AGTGTCTCGGCTCATGCACCCTTGGCGCCATCATCCAGCGGCACGGCTGGCCTTCCCACATATACTGCATCCAATGCGGTGCCAACCTGTTGGGAGAGCGGTGGCACGCAGGCCACCGGGCTTTCACACTACTCAAATACGTCCTCACAGGATACACCAGAACACGAACCCGACATATCATCTAATCTTTATAGGTCATAGACGCCAAGGTCAAGTACATGGAATACATAGCGCAGGCCTCCGCCAAAGGCCTCGAAGCAGCCCCCGAGCTAAAACGGCTAGGAGGCTTGTCACCCGCAATGGCACGTCAACTCTTCACGTCAACGGTCGGCCCGGTGGTGGACTACGCCTCGATTGTGTGGATGCACGCGTTCAAGGACAAGCTTATAGGGCCCATCAATCGAGTCCAGAGAGTAGGAGCGCAGGCGATCGTCGGGACGTTCCTCACGGTAGCAACAAGCGTAGCAGAAGCAGAGACCCACATCACGCCGGCGCAGGACCGGTTCTGGAGACGGATAATCAAGCTATGGACAGAAATCCATACGTTGCCCGATACCAACCACTCCGCAGGAACACGTCACAGATGCGGAAATTCAGAAACCAACACCGCTCGCCGCTCTACGAAGTAGCAGACGTACTTAAGGACTTTGCAATGGAAGAACTCGAAACTATCAATCCGTTCACACTGGCGCCATGGGAGAAGCGGGTGCAGACTATCACCGACGAGACAGCAGTAGAAAGGATCGAAGAGCCGTAGGCAGTACGGGTTGCGGTGAGCTACTCAGTACGGAACGGCTTGGTGGGAATCGGTGGAGCCACTCAGCTGGCAGTCTCAACACGTAGCAAGCCAATGCTCAGGACCTTCTACTCCACACTCGGTACGAGATCACAGCATAATCCGTACACTCTAGAGAACTCGCAGCGATGGCGCACGCCTTCCACCTATTAACGCGGCTTAGACTCAAGTTTCGCAATATCGTATTGCTAACGAGCAACAAGGCAGCGGTACTTTCACTTCGACAACCACGGCAGCAATCTAGGCAGGAACTCTCACATGACGTAGCACCTGACTTTCGTCTCTCTTACATGTTTTCTAATGCGAGTAACAGACGTCATCTGCGCTCGCAATGAACTTGTTCATCATCTAATAGAGTTCAGGTGGGTTACAAAGTGGCAAAACTAGGACAAAGGATCGGGACAGGTGATTCTCCGGAATAGGCGCGTGACGTGGTCGGCGATGCGCACATGGCATCGAATGTTCGCTGCACGGCAGCTAGGCGTTTCCCGTGGGTGGGAAGCGTAGGTTGATTCTGGACCTATTTCGTGGCCTGAGTGGAGTTGGCAGATATGAAACGTTAGCTGGTACGTGAATTTACTAGGGATAGTGAGTGAGTATGGCACGTACCAATCTAACATTTGAAACCCCTGGAGGGGTTGCCCCTCACACTTTCCAGCGAGCTTGGTGCCCAGGCGTGCCCCCGCCACATTGGGATTGGGAGGCAGGGGCCCAATGCGGCCAGTTGCTACGCAAGGGGCCCTTTCATATTACACATAGAGGCGAACTCTTGATGTATTCGTGGAAGGAAGAATAACTTGTTGCAATACAGATCCTTGACCATCTTCTAAAATTTAGAAGACTTAATTAATTTAGCGACACGTGCCTACATGTACAGTTGAAAGCTGACCAGGAAATTGAAGGCTTACCAAATTTCCCCGTTTCATTGCAACAGACACAAGATACCTTAAACTGGCCCTTCATTGCACAATTCCCGCAAGGATACCAACTAAGAATGTTCTTCCATCTTCCAAGTCCTCCACATCTGAGGCAAGTTCTATAGACAAAGCCGGTCCCACTACAAGGCACGCAGACTCTCTATTAATATCGTATTAGCAATCACTAGCGAGCGGACGCTTCCTGTTGGTGACTTTACCTGGGGCATTCTGTCTTCGAAGTGAAGTAAATGCGCAGTCGAGCTTGTACTGGGTGACACGGAGCAAACTTGAAAAGCAGATGGAAGAAAGTAGGGTCGAGATGTAGGCATAGTATGAGACGGAGAGAGAGGCAATGATATAGTTGGCCATATATCTACCAGCGATAAGAAGCCCACCTGCAGAAGGCATGTTTGGACGAATAGCAGTGCCGTCCACAATGCCTCTGATGCAGTGCAACGACAGGAAACGCCCGGCTTGGGTGCGTAACGAAGAGGAGGGTGTGGACGGCAACCACGCAAGTGCGGGAAATCAGGGAGTGATAGGCGTAGCAGGAACGTGGTGTGGAATATATTACCCCACGTTGCCATAACTCTTGCGGTAGCCTTCTCGCTTTTGGCGTCCGGCTTTCTCGAGGTGTGTCACACCAGGCAGCACTCGGCGGCACAAGTTAGAGAACCTTATCTCTGCAAGCTTAAAGAGGGGCTACGCCCCAGTGGGGGGGCCTGCGGACCCGATTCTCTAGATTTGTAGGGGGGTAGAACCACAAATACACATTTGAACCGATCATAACACACGAAGAAAAGAGCCATTCTGTGCAATGTGGGTCCAAATGGGTCTATCTGAGCCCCAGCAAAAATTTGCGGGTAGCAGATATGAATGCGGGTTAGGGCGCCTTTTTTTATGGGGGGGCCTGCGAGAACCCCTCCTCGCCAAGATGGAAATGAAACTTGTGGAGTGGCCCTGCTTCGCGAGGCCCACCGCTGCCTCGGGTAAGTGACCTGGTCACTGCACGGCCATCACGCCTGGGGACCACTCACTCATTGAAGATGACTGCATTGGCGGCAAAGGGCACCCCCACCATGCTGTGCGTGTTAAACTGTGCGAACAGTGCGCCGCACAGGTGGCGCTGGCCGCTGAGCCAGCCGTGAGGCCGCGCCGGCAGTACGAGCTGCCCGAGCGGGCTCAGGTAGCTCGGCTATTCTCACAGGCTGCAGACGTGCTCAATAGGAAGGCGCTCTACCCATTGCGTATGAGCCTCATAAAGGCACTAGCTCAGCTCTACAAGCGGCGAGAGAGCCCGTGCCGTCCTCAGATGAGACGCAAGGCAGACGCACCAAGCACGTCGACAAATGGGATTAAAAATCCCACAGTACTAGATTCAAAGACTTCATTGCCATTAATTATTCTTAGTTCATTAATTACTTCTCTATACTAGTTCCTCCTTCAAAGCGCCACCCCGTTCCTTGCGCTTACTTCGAATTCTATAATCCGCTTCTGGCTTATTGTTGACCCTTTCTCCCAGGAATTTTCGGTAATGGGCCGACCCTTCCATCTTACTAAATACTCAACTTTTCCACGACGTGTCCGTTTATCGAGCAGTTCCACTCCGAAGTGGTTTCCTCCTTGCTCTAAGTAGGCTCCATCAAACTGGACGGCCAGATCCGGATCTATTCCTTCTCGTGGCTCCTATGTATTTTCTTCATCCAGAAAACCTTCCCACTTTACGAGGTAAATGAATTTTCTTCCTTGCTTCCATCTAGCAAGCAGCTCCTCGACTTTCCATGTACCTTCTCTTCATCAATTGCAGCTGGGGAGCTAGCTCTTTCGCCACCCTCGCTCTTTTGGCCGGCACAAATTGACTCTCTTGCCGTACTTTCCACGCGCTTGGCGCTCGATATTTTTGCCTGAAATCCGGTGTTCGCCGAGGGACTACGGATAGAAGTCGGTGTAGTTTGGAGTCTTGGATCAATATATCCCATTAGGTCGCCAGGTGGAGATAAAGAAGTTAAGTGCCCTTCACCTAGACTCTCGGGGAGTGAGAAGTTGGTTTGAGCTTCAGCATTTAAGTCCCAAGGTTGTGCATCGCTTCGAATACTGAGGGTGGTGTCCGATGGTGTTATTAATGGAGAATCATGGTCGTCTTCAGTCTGAGGCGCTGAACCCAAATCGTCGCCTAGTGGCGAGAGCGAAGTAACTGTACTAGGGTAATTTTCGCCGCTCTCCCATGCGCTACTATCCTCGGTGCTGTAGAGTTTATGCTGGCTTGATTTGTTGATTGCTGGTAGACTCTGTCACAAAGCAAGAGATATCCGCGGTGAAACGGAAACTCCCGAACTTGAGGCCGTGATATTGGAGGGCATGGTCCCGTTCCCGGAGAGTGACGGCTGGGTGGCTCCGGTAAGGAGAGTTGGGAAAGCTGTGACTTGTACGGAAGCGGGAGAATCTGCCTTAGAGTGGTTTTCCTCATTGACGAGCAGCTCCAAATCGGTCCCACCGAGATGTGTGGTTTGTGGCGGTATTTCGCTGCCTTTGCTGCTTCTATAGTCTGCGGAACGACTGTAATGCCCTGCGGACATGGCTGGCTGGTTTTGGTCTCTTATTTTTGCCGTCTCGTCAATGAAATAGTATTTCAATTCGACGTTGCCATCCATAATAGGCTTCTCTTTGTCGCTTCGCTTCGGTCTCTTGGCTCTTGCGGTTTCTGCCTCGTACTCATCCTCTGGCATCTCCAACACGCTCAATTCCTTGGTAAAGTCAGGACAATGAGCATCGAGAAGATGAAATTTTAGATACTTGGCTGAGTCGAACATAGAAACGCATCCAAAGTGCGGGCATTTCATGGGCGTACCATTATCAGCAATGATCTGGACATATTTCTCGTAGCTGCGGTAAACGTGATCCTTCCATGGACTTCTCTCCAGATATTGATGCAGTCGCTTCTCTGATGGTAGTGACGGATCCGCCATGCAAATCACGCAGTAGCCTGCGGTGGCAAGAGCGCCGCCATAGACCAGAGGATCGCATTGAACGGGCAGTGTTTCTGGACAATTTAGATGCGTTTGGCAATGATTGCTCCATTGTGTTTCCCCGAAAATCCATTTGCTGCAAAGGAAGCAAAGTTCCACAAAGTCGTCGTGGCTTCTCTTGTAGCAGCTGTATACGTGTCTCCAGTCGTAGGTTGTTAGTGTATCCGTGCAGCTCCCTTGTCCATCTGTGCCACTATTATTGGGTTGATAATAGTTGTTGTAAGTATCGGGATCTTTTTGGCCGGCATGCTTCATTCGCTGGGCAACGGTATACAGCTGATCTGTGAGAACAGGTTAGCAAGTCAGACTGAAGAAGGGAAACTCTATGTACAAGCCTATCCAGTATAGATCCTCCGCCCTGAAATCGTGAATTGTAGGCGGACGAGGATATCCAGCGCGGAAGCCTAGTTGTCTAATGCGCCTGCTAAATGCATTTGCCGTTTCTATCTTCCCTGGCGCAGCTCTTGCAGAAATGCTCTTGAAGAAGGGTAGATCACGGATGCTCTCCCTCCACTGTAAATGGAGCATCTCTCCTTCCAGTGATTGTATGGCAAGAAGATCTTCAATCGTTTCGTAGTCTCTGAACGCTTTGGTGGCGACGAGAATAGCCAAAATAGGGAGCATGGGGTTACAAATGAGAGGCATCGGCTCTAGCCCTTCACATAGCGAATGCTCGGGCCTATAGAAATCTAATTTAGTAATCGTCTAAATAAACAACCATAAAAGTTAGTTTCTCACCGTTTGTCAGAGGCATTTGTCATACCCTTCGCATCCCGAACTAGCTGAACGGCGAACTCTGCATTTCCGTATTCGTTGAGGGAAACTCAAAAAGTCACATCCTATGGCAAGTGTCCATTAGCTTAGGCGACTATTGGATCTAATATTGAATAGCCATTACCTTGTAATATAAGCCGCGACTAGATCCTGCACGGCAAGTAGACTCGATGTATTCGCCGATGCGCGCAGAAGAGCATACGATAGTAAGCATATCGGCCCAGTCGTACACCCTCGTTGCGGGCTTATCGTATACCACCCAATCATTCTATAGCTGCCTTCCTAAATAAAGAAAGTGGCTTTTCGTACCAAACCTTCTTGTCCTCTTATTCTGTACCATCCTTTTACCCTCTCTTTTAATTATTTCGGGCAGCTCATACTTAATAAACTACCACCAAGTTAGTTAGATTTGCTCAGGTCCAAGAGACAGTACGTACATTTGTAACCGAGACTGGAATGTTTCCCGGAATAGCATCATTTTCGCGACGCCAACCAGCCATGAACTGCTTCCAATATACCATTACCGTCCCTTGCCCTGGATCAGGGTTGTCTTCAGCACCGTCGATACTGAATGCAACATCTTTCATGAAGTCTTTCAAGGACATAGGATCGTAGGCGTTGACATTAGGATAGTCTTCAACATATCTATAGGAAAGTTAGATCATAATGCTACCCTTTCTTTAACGACAACTCAAGGTTCTCACCGGCTCCATAGGTCCAGCATGCGGCGGTAGTCTTTTAGTGTTTTCTCAGTTGGCTTCTTGTGAACTATAGCACCGTTGATTGATTCCCTCAGTGCAATTTCCGGAACCATTCTCCTTTCCCCGCCGAAAGAAGTCCGTAGGACTCTTCTTCCGCGGCATTATGGAGGCACGTATAGTATAGGTTGAAGTAAAAGGTACGAGCAGAAATGGTGTAAGGTATACGAGAAATATGGGAAAAGAAGGTTTGGCTTGAAAGAAGGTAGGAACACAACGGATATAAGGAATGCGAGAGAAGTGTCGCGCAGCAGGTAGGGAAAGAAAGAGCTGCCTCTTTACTTAGTGGGATGGAAAAGAATAGTCATGCAGTAGGTGGTAGGAGCGGAACTGCGTCTTTTGTCTATTTGGGGAAGGAACAGTCGCGCGGTAGGTAGTAGGACAGAGCAAAATTGCCTCCTCATCTATAGGTTACTCAGTGTAAGATAAGATTACGATAACTAGAGCTTTTCAAAACGGAGAGTGAATACGCTATACTCTCGGGACCATTTCTGGGCCTCCGTTTTAAAGGTTGTTGCTAAGGCGAGGCAGATAGAATGGGTCCTGCTTACTGGGCCCTCTTTTGGGCCATTAGGAGAGCGAGGCCCAGAACTCGTCCCCGAGAGAGTCGCTTAAAGTTGACAATTGCGTGACATGGTGACCGTAGGCTGAGCCGGGGTGAGCCGAAGGTGATCCGGGCTGAAGCGAGGTTGTTTCTTGTCTAACCGTCCTCGGACGCCAAGAGAATTCTGTTTTAGATCTCGACTACCTGTTTAGTCACCCCCCACAACATTTTCTGACCAAGTCCGCATTAGTCGCAAAACCTGAGTAGGGGTGAGGCAAATCCGGCACCTCCCTGAGCCGAGGTGAGTTCGGCTATAGTTACCGTGATTTAAAATCGGGCCGCTCCTGAACCCAATTTTGGGACACCCGTCCACCAAATACTAGAACCCCTGTCGCTCGGCCAAGATGTGAGCTCGGCATGCTTTATGACGTACGAACGCGCGGTTCTTTGGCGGTCTATCGCTGTGGGACAACGATAGAGTCAACGCGAGGCAGACTCTTGACGATCATGTGGTCCAGAACGCAGAGTTCGCCTTCACCTACTCTCTGGAAGAGGCTCGGGGCAATGCAGCGCTCGATGTTGAGGGCTCGCTGAGTCTAGACCTGGACATCATCAATGCCACCGGCTCAGCCAAGCATTTGAACAACAAGAATTCAAGCACGTTTGAGGCGGGAGCGCTACGCTGAGCTTTCGCCAATCCTGCTCCTCGTCCAATGACGCGAAAAGGATTTTGGGTGAGCTGTAAGCATCATAAAACAACCGATTGGCGGCACCGCTCAGGTGAACTTCTCAGAGGACGTCGAGTATCTCGTCGAGAGCCTTAACGTCTCCTATAGCGACGCAATAGCCGAGAATGTCTCCAATCTCGACGATGCTCGCCGCGTCGCTCGCTAGATGCCGACAAAGCTGGCACAGTAGCTGAATACACTACGCTACAAGCTTCTTCCGCTATCCATTCTCGATATCACCTTGAGTCGCGAGATCCGCCACCTCGACACCTTCCTCGTGACCAAGGCGGCCGCCGCCCTCAGACTCGGTGCCGCCACACGATTTAAGCTGACAGATCTGATGGGGCACGACGTGTTCCAAACCTCGTTCCCGGAAATCAAGCAGCAAATCTCAAACGTGCAGACTGCCTTTGCCGTGGCTGAGACTGAATTCACACAAGCGGCACGCCACTTGTTGCCCGGGCTGCGCGACGGCACCATCGAATACAATGCCAAGACATCTGAGCTCCGGCTAGCCGTCTCCGTCTTTGATCAGCGCATCAGAATTGCCGAACAGTTCATAGCAAAGAACGACAACGAGGCTTGCGGTCTCCAGGCAAGAGTCGCTTCCTTGCTCGCCGACGGCCTTGAGAGTCATCTAACGGGACTTAAACCGCAGTCGCTAACCGCCCCTGCTGCGCCACGACGGGGGCTGTCGTTTGGCAGTGCTGCAATAAACCGTGTCAAACACCCTCTACAATCCAAGCTCGAATCGCCCCCGACACCCCCATCGCTGAAGTCGACGGCCAGAAAATCCGTGCAGCTTGGTCTCAGGAGCGAGACAGCCACGAAGAGATGGCCATGCCGAGCACGGGCTTTGCCGTTCGCTTTCGTCCCCGGCCCAATCTTCTCAAGGAAGGACGGCGCATTTCCCCGCACAACGCCCAACGAGGCATTTACCGAAGTCTAGTGCGATGCTTCGAAAACAATCATCGTCATTGACATGGGGTTACCGTACTGTCATGCGGGATACGCTAGGCCTGGATCTAATTATCGTTCATTATCGAGAAAGAACTCAGCACGAGGGTTTCGATCATCGAGGAGACACGGGGCCACAGAACACGCATGTAAGCTATAGATAAATACAAGGGAAATATACGATAGTTGTTAATTAGACCTATAGGTCTGGGTGTACCTCTTCATAAAAACTTGTGAGGCAATAAGATAAAACGGCGGCTGAAAAGACACGTATAGTTCAAGTCTGGTGTATTAGAAAGAAAAACGGAAAGAGACAGAGGTGCAGGGAATACGCATGGCAACGAAGCCAACGAGAATGAGTCTTCGCTCCACCGTCTTCATATCTAACCACCCCAACCAAGCCCATAACACCGCTATGCACCACAGCAGCTCAGTGCATGGCGTTCTTGCTCAGCGCGCGGATCCTGGCGCCGTAGACATACAGCAGATACGGCACCGGGGCCATGACTGTGGCGAGGGCGGCGGGGATGGTGAGGGCGCGGTGAGGGCCGAGGTTCTCGTACATGGGCACCGAGGCGGGCAGGATGGCGCCCGAGACGACGTAGCGCGTGCAGGTGATGAAGGCGAGGGCCGATGCCGAGTGCAGCCCGTACACGAAACACGTGTACAGCAGGATGGTCGAGAAGACGGTCAGCAGGCCGTAGCCGAAGAAGACGGAGCCCACGAGGGGCACCCAGATGCTGACGTCGGGCTGGAACCTGTCAGCAGCCGATAGCAGACAAGCCGACAACAGATAAAAAATAGGGGGGAGAAGCTCACGTAGCACGACCACGCCATCCACCACAGCGACGCCGGTAGCAGCACAGACCCGCCCAGCATGCTGAACCACAGGCACATCTCGGGCGTCAGCGTGCCGGCGGCGGCATCCTTCTTGGCCCAGCCGTAGATGAGCGGCACGAGCGGCGCCATGAGCAAGTCACCCGCCAGCAGCGCGGCCCACAGGACGTAGGTCAGCGAGCCCGAGATCCCGTACGTCTGCTCAAAGATGAACGGGTAGCCGTTGAGAAACGTGAACAGCACAATGTAGATGACCGTCAAGTAGAGCGCGAACACGAGGATGATCGGCTCCGAGTACGTCATCACGAACGGCCGGTACAGGTTGACCAGCAATCGCCTGGCCAGCGTGCGCGCGGCAGCATGGTGCTCGGATGCCCGGAAGCGCGCGTCGCCGGTCAACTGGCGCAGGTGGCGGGCGCGCCACTCGAGCAGCACGGCCGGGTACGTCTCTGGCTGGCAGAGGAGCACGTAGGCAAGCACGGCGCCGGCAATGATCAGGGCCGTCCAGTCGGCCCAGCGGAAGCCCACGCCCGGCAGGTAGGCACCGATGATAGGCCCGGTCAGCGGGCCCGCGTACGCAGTGATACCCACTACGGGAATGACGAAGATCATCTCGAGCGGCGTGAACAGGTCCGCCACACTGCCGCCCGACGCCGTCAGCGGCGTCGACCCGAAGAAGCCGGTGAGAAAGCGGAACGCGAGGGCCGCGCCGAAGCTCGGCGCGAGCGCCTTGCCGAGGATAAACGCTATGAAGGCGACGAAGGTGGTTATGTAGACAACGTTGCGCCCGAACGTCTCCGACACGGTCCCCGCGACCAGCGCGCCGAGCCCCGTGCCGATCAGGTACAACCCCGTGGTGAGGGACCCCGCGACGGGCCCGACGTGGAAGTGCTCGTTGAAGGCCAGGGACACGGGCGCGTCGATCGACGACGGCACGCTGACGGCGAAGGCGAGCAGGCACGCGCCGAGGGCGGCGAAGAACCGCTTGACGTTTGGCCAGTTCTGTGGGTTCGAGGGGTCGCTGGCCGAGCGCCAGCCGACTAGGAATGTTACGCTGCCGTCGTGTTCCGAGGGGCGTGTTGCGGTGATGCCGGGCAGTTTCCATAGGTGCGCTTCCGAGTCGCTGTCTTGGACGGCGGCGGCTTGGGTTTGGTTGTTGGTTGTTGTTGTTGCTGTTGCTGTTGTTGTTGCTGCTGTTGTTGGTATTGTTGTTGCTGCTGCTGTTAGTGTTGTTGTTGCTGTTGTTGGTGTTGTTGTTGTTTTTTGTGGTGGCAGTGCTGTCTTGGACTCGACGGCGTCTGTGGACGGGGGATGGCGCTGGGCGAGATCTGCTTCGACCTCTCTGCGGATGCGACGGTACTGGATCAAGGACTGCATGGTGGTGGTTGCTGGAGTGTTGCTCGGGTGGCCAGAGACATGCCAGGCCGGCCAAGAAGAGGCCGCAGACTAAATAGACGGCATGACATGTTGAAGGGGAATACGATAAGCCGCAATATGAAGTGTTGGTAATTAGCTGGATTTCAAAGTCAGGGGGCGAGTACTGACTTCTGTGGTGGGAGACTTCTGCGGTGGGAGACTTCTGTGGTGGGAAGATTGGAGTTGGAGTTGCGAGTTGCAAGGCGTGAGATGTGACGTCCGAATCCGCAACAGTCCAGAACTGTGATGCACGATTCCCGTCCAGATCTGCTGCGCCCTGCCAAGGAACCTGGCTCAACCGTGTACCGAACCAAGGTGCGTATTCGGCTACGCTCAACTCGGCTCCGCCCCCTGGTTCGGCCCCACCAGAGTCAGCTTCGGGACCCACCGGAGTTGGCTTTTGGCTCGCTGCTTATCAACGCTGCTTGGCTGTTGGTGGCGGACTTGGTCAGGGGTGTTTCTTATTGGCTACTCGGTTCGGTCAGGGCTCGGCCAGAGTGGCAGTCACACTCCCGTCCTTTTGTGAATCTTTCGCCGTAAACACAACTCCTGTTGCTGCTTTGCCAATGCCGAGTTCAACAATCGTCCCTGTTAACTATTAACCAGTTTCAATGTCGCTCGCCTCCAGGTCCCACGGTGGCCTGCCACTCGCGCACTTCCGGACCGAGCAGACCCTCGCCGCGCCGAATGTGACCTTCAACACGGGCTCGTGGTTGCCCGCCGAGGACGAGCGGCTGCGCAAGGCCGTGTCCGAGGTCGGCACGCGCTGGGTCGCCGTGGCCTCCGTCGTCGCCACCCGCAACGCCGAGCAGTGCGCCAAACGGTGGAACGACAATCTCAACCCCGAACTTGACCACAGCCCCTGGTCGGCCGGCGAGGTGCGGTTTCTGCAGCCGTGCACTGACTACAAGTCCGAGGGACATGGCTAATCATTCTGGTGCTCTACCAAACAGGACACGCTGCTCCTGACCCTCGTCGCCGCCAACGGCCACAACTGGAAGCTCATGTCCAAGGACTTTCTCCCTGCGCGTGCGCCGCTCGCCATAAAGAACCGCCACTCGCTGCTGGTGCGCCGCCAGAAGCGCAACGTCAAGCACTCGCAGCAGCAACGTCGCAGCCCCCTGCCTGCTCTGCCCTCGCCCATGCCCACGCCGCCATCGAAGAGCAACCCCCCTTGCTGCGGCCTGCAAGTCACTGGCGTCAGCACGCCATCAGTGATAGAAAACGTCAAACCCAACGGTGCCATGTCCGCGACTGTTGCTGGCAGTGCCGAGCCAGCCACGACCGCCGCCAATACACCGCCAGCAGCAAATGGGCCCCTGGTCAAAAGCCCAGAGTTCACCTTTGACCTGTCCGAGTTCCTTTCCGTGGACGATATCAATATGGACGTCAGCAGCAACACGGCGTGGAACACACAGCAGCAGCAGCAGCAGCAGCAGCAGCAGCAGCAGCAGCAGCAGCAGCAGCAACGCCAGGAAGGCATCGATCTCATCAACACCCTCTTTGGCAGCAGCGTCGCCGTCAATAGCCTCCCCACGCCGCCCGAGTCCATCAGCAGCGCCCAGATCCAGCAGCAGCACGCTGAGTCTGCGCCTGACAACCCGATCAGCGAACGCGACGGGTTGGAGATGTCGGTGACGTGCTCGCGGTCGCGGCTCAAGGCCATGGTGAGTTATTCCGCTTGCAATTGTTGTCTGCTATTCCCAAGTCCTATGAAATACAAGTCCATTTACGCTCAGCCACACTAATTTGTTGTCCCATTGAGCTAGGTCTGCCACATCTTCGAGGGCGTGCTGGCGGAGACGGCCGGCCTGTCCGAGGACGAGCCGCTAACTGTGTCGCTGCGGCTCATGAAGTAATGGGAAAGAGAAGAGAGAATGGCTGGGGCGTAATAGTTAAGGAATTTGGAGCTCAGTCCTTTTGAGCGAGAAATTACTGGTTGAACAACCTTTGGGTTGCTGGTATCGACTTTATATTTCTAGTATATATTTCGCTTACCTGGACAAGGGTTAGAGGGCCAGGGCATCTGTCAAATGATCCTCCTTGATAGTCTGGCAATCAAACTTGTAGGATCGACTCCTCTTTTGCAGCAGCCCACTAGAAAGCGTAAGTAATTTGCACAACTGTCCCAAGCGCGGTCTCAACCTTATACTGAAGCCACCGAACAAGGCCCGTCCACGTGTGTGTAGTGTAGTGCTCGCCCGTGCAGTCAAGCGTCCACAGGTACGCGCTCTGCGAGGGCGACAGGCGCTTTTCGGTGAGGGACGTCGCTGTCTCGTCGGACACGCTGTGTTGTGCGGCGTGTTAGTTTCTGAGCTGTGGTGAGGGCGGGACAGGAAGACCTGTAGCTCATACGGCACAGGGACAATGGTGCCGTTGTCTAGGGTCTAGACTAGGTAAGCCATCTGGATTTCGCTTGCTGCTGTCGGGACGGCCACAGAAAGGGAGCGGACCGATAAGAGGGCTGAGAGCACAGCAAAGAGACGCATTTTGGTGTTTGGGTGGCTAATGCCCGCGACAAGAAGTGTGCACTGTGAATGGCCTTCTGCAGAGAAACAAGGAACTTGACGGGATAGCAAAGAGGCGACATGTCTCTTTATACATTTTTACTGACGCGGCTAACAATCTGCTGTACGATCCGGGGCCTGAAATAGGCGGGCAGATCAATTCACCAATAACACGGCATTGCGATAGCGGCGGTTGCAATGTTAGTGTTGGAATCACCAGGTACCGGTACTGGAATCAGCAGGGCGCGCTGCGCGCCGTATACTGGTGGTTCAAGTGTTGGATTTCGTTGATGTCTATGTGTATCTAAGAAGGAAGGTGGAAGTTGCCTACGGCCACTTATTTAGGTTCGGTGGCCCTGCGCCCCTGCCCTCCACAGCCACATGTGGCTGCTTGCGCCTCCACCGCCACATCTGTGGCTGACTAGCGTGTTGTTCCAACAGTTGGACGCAGCCTCGAAAAAACCTCTCCCTATTCACCGAGCCACAAGTCAGGCGATTCCGGGTCCGGTAAGCTGTCACTTTTCATGATCATGTATAGTCGACGGCCACACGGAGTATCACAGCGTCTATTGATGCGGCTATGAGACTGATGCAACGCTGTAGCAGCGTTGGCGGCCCGGTTGTATAAGCTTGCCACAACCATGCTGCAAATTTTGCACGCTGTTCCCATTTGGTTATACGAGTTGCTGTAAACGGACGAAATCGCAAGGCTGGCTGTCGAACTGCGTTTGCACTCACTCGCCGCTTTCTCGCACGTTCATTCTTCACATCAATCTACACATCATCGAGCACCTGGTCGGGCCACAGCATAATTAGCGGCCTAGATGCAAGGTGCAGAGCCACAATCTCAGCTAACTGTCCAGGACGCGATCAACAACGCTCTCCGTGGCGCAACTAGAAGCCTACCGGAGAAAGTCGGAAGCACTCCAGGAGAGTCAATTCTGACTTCGTCGAGAAGCCCTGACGCCCTGTCACCGCAAGGTTTACGGCCGATAGCGGATTCTTCCACCCCTAGATCAAGACGGCCGACGAAGACGTCATCGTGGACAATCCTTTGAGCTATTTGAGGCCTACCTCCTCACACCAGAATTTACGCTAATCACCCTGCAACATCTCCAATTCCATCAATCGGCCAGCCGCAACAGCTACCATTTCACCGGCACCAATGTGGTTGTCCGTAATCAATTATGTGCTGTGTGCGACGGATGCCTCTTCTCCGCAATGGCTGACCGATCTGGACCCCCTCTTCTTGTATTTCAGCTTCCCTGTGGACACGTGGTACACGATAAGTGTTTTGAGAACGCTTATGGGGCCAATTTTGGAGTCGACTGTACTAAGTGCAACAAATCTGTCGACCTAGGGGGCAACGCAAGTATACGCGCCAACACCGCGCGATAAATGCATATCGCCTTCCCTATCTCAGAACCATCAGAAAATCGGACAACAATGCCAGGCAAAGCTTCGATTATTCTTTCAAAGCTGGCGGCGTCAGCGGAGCGAGCGGGGTTACCGGGCCCTTGGTGATTGGATCTCTGCTTTCGGGGGCTCTCCTCCTCAGACAGGCCATGGGCGAGTCGAAGATAAATTTACAACTAGACAGCACACGATAGAGTGGAAAGCACCGAACTTTCCGAAGTTGAGTATCTTTCTTCACAGCCACACCTTCTATATCGGCATTAGAGAGGCTTCCTAAAACGCGAAGCTTAAGTCTTTAGCTCCTCCATACCCCGAAATGTTACGCCGCAATTTGAAGGGACACCAGAAATTCCAGAAGGAAAGCATCGCAGGACCGTTCTTCGAACGTTGACAGAGAACTCCGGTGATATCCTCCCTGCAACACAAACCCGTAAAATTCCGACCTCACATGTGCGGGTCAGACAAGCAGGGGCCGAAGGCCACCAAAATTACCTGGATGAGTTCCGAAGCTTCGTGGACCCCTGTACGTATCCTGACTACTGGATGGAGCACTGGGGGCGCAAGGGTGTATGACTGCCAACTAGAACAGAAGAGTCATACAAGCAATACAATCACGCAGCTGCAACCCCATCAATTCCACTACACCCAGTGTGCCCTGTTTCTAACAATTTCCAGTACCACCCGTATCCACGCCTAAATTCTTAGGACAGACTGAAACGGCTGCGCCTCCATAGCCAGTAAGTTAATTCCGCGATGAAGAAGAAGCAAAGGGGGTGATTCTTACGGGTAGGATTCTATCTATCTAATACACGACCGCCTCGCCGTCTTCGTGGTCGCAGGCCTGGTCGAGCAGGCTGAGAAGCGGCTGCGTTGTCGCCTTCTCCTTGGGATTCGGCGCGGCCAAGGCGAGATCGGCGAAGTAGCCTCGTACGGCTTCGAGTTTGTATTGCATCATTTTGCCATTGCGGATTGCCGGTGTTGGCGGGGTTCGCGTTCGAGTGAGGACGGGTGACAGGGTTTAGCAGATCTGGCCGGTCGAACCCGCTGCCTTCCCCCGAGTTATCATTCCTCGTGCAAGGAACATCGATTTCCTTCAGGCCCGTGGTCGCCAAAGCCCAGGTATCTCCCGTCTGCCAATTAACATGCGAATCGTCTCCAGTCGATTCGGCTCGCTGGTTTTCCTTCTCTCTAGCCAACCACCAATCAGATCCAAACCCTAGCTTGCCATCATCTCTGACCACCAATAATTTATAAACACGTTCCCTCCTTCTGGTTTGTGATTTTGAGATACGCTACAATCCGGGCTTTCGTCGGTTGCTCTGATCCCACGTATGTCGCTAGAACAAGCGTGTTGTTCAGGCTCTCCTCTGCGATGAAGAGTTCTCGCGAAGCAGTTTCGAGGGGGGCTATTGCCCAAGCTTCGACGAGCCAGGCTGAGTTTGCTCCCTTCTCTTCGATTGAAACGGCCATGAGGTGATACTTGCGGAGCTGCTCATGGCTCATCTCAGAGATCTCTCTTTCCAGCATGCTGCTAATGTCATCAACGCCTTTCTCAGTCTTCCCTCGAATCATCGAGCGGAACTTCGTCAAAGCCTGTGCTGTATCGCTCCAAGGGAAGGGCTGGTGAATGGTAGTATTGCTAATCCGGTTTAGGATAACGGCGAAATCTTCTTTCACATGTTTGAGCGAAACGCTTTGGTTGAGGCAGCTCTTGACGTGAGCTATGGTATCAGCAAAGGGTCTGAAAATATGCGGCGTAGGGCGGTCCCCAGTCCGAGCAATTTTGGACAGATCTTGAGGCTTGGCGTAGCTAAGAAATTCGATATCGACCTCGGCAGAGTCCGTATTCACCAGCCAATTGTAAATTCGAAGCCCATCCCGCCGTAGCACTGCGAGAACTTCTCCCAAGGCCGTAGGATAATCGTCTTCCTCATCATACTCATATGTGATGTTACACATCGAAGCCCAGCAGGCAACTAGATCTGCCTCCTTAGTCGCGTCCCGTTTGAATGAACTGACAGCGTTGAGCACGGCGGTGAGAGATTTGACGGATAATCCACTCTTAGTGTAGATAAGTGGCCCTTCTAACACAGAATAGTCGCTGATCTCCAAAGCGTTGAGCCAAACTCTTCCACTTCCACTTCCCTCCGGACACATCTCTGATTGGAAACCATCCAAAACCGCTGGAAGTGAAGGGAATTTCCCAGACTCCTCTAGGTAACCTGGTAGATTGTCCAATGGGAAATGGCTTCTGGCCATATCTTCTAGAGGTCGGAAACTTGCCGGCGCAAAATCCTGTGCCAGCCACGGTTTTCCCCATAGTGTTCAAACTGACGAAGCAAATTGAAATGCCAGATAATCCCAGTTCCTGAAAGGATCAATGTTTTAATGCTAGGGAGGGTTTTGGGTCCCTGGTTGGTAGTATCAAGACGTTCCCACAACACGTCGATTTCTTTGGCCATGATCCATTCTTGGAAGGTCCACGCCCTCCGCCAGTAAGTCGACAGGTTCGCTGAGTCAAGCCATTGCTGAAAGAAGTAGGCGTATTCGGCGACCTTCGGCAGGCATTCGGAATCGAGGACGCCTACGGAGACATGTTTACCGGATGCCACGTCCAACTCCACATATTGGGCCATTAACTGAGCTGTCGCTTGCTCGAGCCGTCCCAATGCGGTATAAGCGCGTCTATCTTCGTTGGGAAGCAGGACTGAGACAGATGTCGCAGATTGGTATATCTTTCCCATGACGGGAAGTTGAAGGCATTTATCCTCTTTGCTGTGTTGATCAATAGACAGGGAATCGAGCTAGGTTGGAAGGCCTCGGGCGCATTCGAGCAAGTTCTAAAGCCTTGACGCATTTCGAATTGGAGCTTTCTTTGTCTTCTTACATGATTGGTAGGTCAAGGCCAGCAGGGCCCCTTCGGTCTGCCAAACATAGGATATGGCTTTATACGGCTCCCCCGCGGGGGGTAACTCACAGAGAATGGTGACTATCTCGCCGTCGAGGTTGAACTAGTACTTATTCGAACACAAACGGCACACGAGCGGAGCAGGAGCCGAACCCCTCGGGCCAGCCATTTTTGCTAAGGGTTCGATCGAAAGGCGCAAGGTGTTGAAGATACAGCTCTGCCAGCTACTCGAGGCTGTCTTCGACGTGGTAAGCGATTGCGTTTCCTTGGCCGTTGAATGAATGAGGTGCCGTCGCTGTTGTTCTCTTACCTGATCTCGAAACACTTGCAAAAGGCTCAGGAGGTTGGTAGAGGGTTACAGATTAGTCGATGGTTTGATGTGGTCATTAGTTTGGGTTCTACAATGGGATGATGTTAGAATGTGTCGGACGCGTGGGTCTAAAATTCGTTAAAAGTATGTTGCATTCTGGTATCCCCTTTTGCCTGCCCCCCCCCGGAACAGGCCAAGCGGGGACTCAATTTAACCCTTTAAAATCGGGTTTTCCATGGGACTGCCCCACACCGCTCTTCGTTTGGCGGCCCTGCAAGCCACATTCAGTTTTACGGCTGACAGAATGACGCGCTAGCCAGGGAGCGATGCCCAGGCTCAGCCACGGAAGTGGCTGTGGAGGTGTAAGGTCCCTGACCCGGGCTTACGACCACATGCTCAGGGCATCAACTTCTAGACACAGAACGAACCCATCACTTGAACTACCAGCCTACGGCGCACAGCGCGCCCTGTTGACTCCAGTGCCGGTACCTGGTGATTCCAACACTGATCAGTGATTAACTTCACCATTGGGACAACGGTCCGACGGTCCAACGGTCCAACGCCACAGATCAGCAAGACCAACAGAAGAGACAGCGCGGTAGAGAACGGCCGATCCGAAGTCGGCCCTCCCTACGAACCTATGCAATGGAAGGTATCCCGCCTACGGAAAAGACGGTGTAACGGAGAATTCGTGCCTCGAATCTCAGCCGCAGCTCGAGGACCTTCAAATCTACGGGAGAAGTGGCCGTGACCGTCTCCCTGGCGTCACCTAGCCGTCACATACACTACATGCTAGGCAACTGGCAAGACAAGCCCTTGCAAGGAAGGTACGCGTGGGCTCAACTCTGCTGGCAGGAGATCCGGTTTCCTTCGCCAGGGTGTGGAGTACTGGCGCTGAAGCAGCGGGCTGGGGCATCCATGTTGTAATACAACGGTACCCTATCACCGCAGGACACAAATTGAAGGGTTGTGGGCCTAGGAAAGAATTCCATGCCAGATACGCTCAGGCGTACTGATTTGTCAGAGCCTTGCGCCTTATCTGGAGTGTGTGGTTACACGGCGTGGCCAACGAGCGCGGTCATGGCGGTAAGAGCGTGGAAATGGCCCCCTTCCGAGATAACGGCGGAAACCCCGGGACTGCCGCACTCGACTTGTTGCGCCAAGTCCAGTTTGTGGCCGCTGGGCTGCCCCATCCCTTCATCCTTATCGCATCCTAGTCCAAACATTGTTTATACATGAAGTCTATCTTGGCAGCTGTTCCACACCTGTAGGCAGCCGAGTCATAAAGAGACGAGCAGACGTATGAAGTTTGCGAGCGGATCGAAATCCGATCGGGCAAACATCAAGCGCAGCAGGGCTGGCTCTAAAAGGGGGTTCTAACCAGCCGTGCAGACGGCGGACAACGCTAATTATTCGCATCATTTGCATGGTTTTGGCTTGCATCGCCCCAACCTTTCCTCCTCAAGTAGAGACCTGCAGCTTTTCTTACTTTGGTATAGGCATGTGCCGGATGCTCTACCACGACCTTACAGCAGCTCAGCCACGAGCATTTCCCGAAGCGGGATCTGGTTGGCCATAACTCGACCCAGCCGGCATTCAGCTCCCCGAACTCATCCTCGGCAATGGCAACACATTTGTCGTGCATCCTGCCGCTGTCGAACTTGACGTCGCTCGGCATCCCGCCACCCGAAAACTTCCCGGAAAACCAAAGACATGAACCTAACCGTGACTGCCGACCCCCCAAGCTCAACATCAGCCTCCTGGACCTCTAGAAATTTGCCAGCCTGTTTTTTTCCGATTCCACTGAACGCCTTCAGTCCCGGCGACGTAGCCGGCGACGTAGCCGAGTAGTAGACCAACGCGAGCACGCTCGACCGCGGCTACACCCAGGGGCTCCTGAGCACCTAACTTTACCTAGGCAAGGTAATAAAAGGCCATAGTGCGTAGATCGTCCCTGCAAGCGGTAATGAGCCGGTAAAAGAGTAAGACACCGGAGGCTCTGCTTGTGAGATCGGGGCGGAAGAAACTTCAAAACAAGGGTGCGTCGAGGAAGCTGTGCGTCAGATATTTTACGTTTCGGTAGGCTCTAAGGATCGTCTTGTATCTGATTTGTCTCAGAACTTGCGATACATGGTGGCCAGGTGGAGCTTACAGTATCTAAACCAATTCTGTTAGTTAAGCTCTCATGCAATTACGGTTATTAGTACCAGCCATCCAAGTCTTCATAGAGGACACCGACATTCCCACGGGAGTGCTGCAAGAAGGCAGACACGTGGAAGAACGGGCCTGGGACAGCGAACAGGTTTAGTCCCTTATAAGGGTAAATTAGGTATAGTGCCGTGAGCCCTCTCGATGTGATTACTTCAGCCCGTTAGGCCGTGCATCTCCACGAGCGACTAGAATCAAGCCGCTCCGGTTGTAGAAGTCGAGATTGCACAATAGACACAGGTCCTCTGCAATGCGAGTTGGGCAGTCGGCGCTGCGAGCGGCACGGCGCGCTGGTGGCCTCGTTGTCTTGAAGGTGGAAGAGAGGCGCCAGAAACCGCACGGATATGTCAGCAGGTAGGCGCATAAGAAATGATGAAGAAATGAATATGTATTTCCTTCACACCATGGCGCTCGCATCGACGCCCAAAGATGGTCTAAAAGACGTGATATTGCCTAATTTCCGGCTAAGAAACTCAAGAGGCGGCAAAGACTGAGCCTCGGAAGTGGTACAGCTCGCATCCCCGCTCGAGATACTAGCCCCATTTGCTATTTAAAAGGAATCAGTCTTCGGAATCTTCGAGCATCCACAAGCATCGGCCGCCGAATAAGCCGCCGACCTCAGAATAGCAAATATGGAAGTTGCTGGCCTCAATGTGGCTTTGGCGAAAGAGGACCTCGAAGAGAGCTTTGATATGTATGTATAAGTCTCTTCTCCTGAATCACTCAACACACAATCTCTAATTCACGGAATCCTAGCTACAATAAACTCCTAGACGAATCGATACAGCCCGAAATCCTCGAGTCACATTAGCGAACTCGCTACACTCTTCGTCCGACACAATGCTCACACAGTCTTGGGAATCCACCTCATTCACGGCCATTTCGCCATCCCCGAACAGACCGTTCTGCTAGGAGTTAACTACGACGCTCCCCACTGTCGTTAGACAAATGCCACATCCATCCCAAGTATTGACCTCGACAATATACATGGGCATATCTTCATCCTCACCAAGAAGGGGTTCTACCCTTACGAGTACCAAGTCGGTGTTATGCCGGATCTTTCTCAAGTCAGTAGCACCTTCCTCGTGGAGCTCGCCGGTTTCCTCTCTACGAATGGACTGGAAGTAATAGTTGGTCTTCAGGTCCTCGACGAGAGTTCATACGGCGTGTTAAAACTCGTTCTTGGTCAAGGAACTGTTAATTATGTTATACGGCTCGGATTTGAGGGGATGGATCCCGACTAGGCAGACTAGCTGGAGGTTCGAAGTCGAGAATAGTGAGCCGCGTGTTTGCTCCCAGTACGAGTCACACGGCCAAACAAGTACAGGGCATGAAGTTTATAACAAGGGTAGTCCGCATCCGAAGCTCGGGACTTTCCAAGATCTGAAGGACCTGCTAACGGATGCTGGCATTGTCACTATTGCTTAGTATACATGATCGGGACTATTGTAGGAATGTACACGTCTAGCTTGTTGGGTTATTTTGTCGGCGAGAGGCTTGACCATCTAAATCGTCATGAATGAATCGAACCCTCTTAATCCTGGTCTGTACGAGCGCATAGAGCCTCTAGCACCTGCTTTCTCGAAGAATAAACCTTCAATTTTATCCCCGTTATCTTGGCCTAGTTTGAATTTGGATAGAATAGCGTTGAAATTCTTCGGTATCTTAGGATAGGGGTTGTCGAGGGCGTTTTGCAAAGCAATTCTACGACGGATAGAACATAGTTGTACTCGAGACTTCTTAAATTAACGCGGAGTATAGTAACGATTTTAGCCATGAGACTAATATTATTAAGTGCTAAAACCCAATTGACATCAAATTAACCTTTACCGGGTATAAAAATCCAGTTAGTTGGGTCCATCGTAATCCAGGTTGTTGAGTAAAGTTGGCGATAGGTTGTCAAAGTGCTCTTCCTGTATAGCGAGAATAACGCGTATTGGGATTTGAAGTCGGGGATACGAAGGGAACCCAGCTAAAGTACGCACGGACCATATGAATAGAGTACTGTAACTGAGGCAGCTGGTCGCCCTCAATACGATATGGGGCCATATATCACGGGACCTACCGGCATGATCGCAGCGGCCCACCTAATTTCGCCTCAGTAGGCGTGGCTATTTGTGTAAGTGCGCGCCTTGGACTTCAGTCCTCTCGCCCTAGACTTATATTATTTATATCAGATCTGACCATCTGATTATCTGACCATCTCACCACCTCCCGATTTTCGGAGCTCCCCCGGTCATCGCAGTCAGGGTCTGGGCAAGCGACTCGACACAACGGGGGGGCTATAGGCCTCGGGCCGCATTCGTAGTATAGTCACTGTACCCCAGCGGTTAGGTGCGAATAGAAGCAGGTCTCATGAGGAGTGGCAATGATGAAAGGGTACAGTCTAGGAGACGGAACAGAGCTACTATATTTGATGTCACCGCTGTCGCATCAACAGGGTCACCGTCCACTGTAAGAGCATAGGGGCTCAAGCGTTACAGCTCACCGCCCAGGAAAATACCACGTTTCACAGCCAAAAAAGGAATAAAAACTACAGGCCTGCTTACAACTACTCTCAACTGCTCACAACTGACTGCCCTACTGTCACGGCACGGCCGAACTATGGTCCGTGGTGCCGCAACCATGCCCTGGCTGCAGGTTCCACCCCGTCGCCCCACTCTTCCTGATTAGGACTAGCCTAATCGCCCCTGCCAACCACAAAACCACGGACTGCAGGAACCGCAGGCTTCTTCCTTTCCTTTTCCTTTCTTTAGTTTAGTTATTTACGAATTCAGTCATTTCCTACTTGCAGCCTTGACTCTCGTTTATACCTACCTTCACACCTACTATGCCTTCCAATGCCGGGTAGTAGGTCGCAGAACCCTTCCACTGCGTGTAGGCTTTGCAAAACGGCCTTTAGCCACTGTAGAGGCTGCAGGGCCACATAAAGCTCGTGATGCTGCGTCGCCCCGGCCACCGCGTTGTGTGCCTCGGGTTCCTGTGCCCCGGGTTCCTGTGCCCCAGTCGTATCCGGACTTTGATATATGGAGACTGTAGTAACTCATAGATAGATATAGCCGTGTGAATGAGGCACACACACGGGGAGCGTAAATGGAAAGTCTGATGAAGGGAAGCTTGGCCTCGATGAATGCGTCTTGTTGGCTTATTCGACTATCCTCATCGAGTTTCAGCACTTCGCCTAATAGACATCTTCCATGCCTCGGATTTGCTTCTCCAATGTCCTTGGATCGAGAGTTCCGGCCTCAGTTGAAGCTCTAGCAGATCTCGCAGCCTCGAGGCATGCCGGGTAATTCTCAGTGGCGTCTTCAACGATGGCCAATTGGGAGGTGTCGATGCTGGATTCAATATCTTCAATGATGGCTCGGTCTTGAGTTCCTCGCCCACGATTGATCAATTCGAAGAGGCTGTCCACGAAGTGACTCAGGTCGTTGATGAGGTACTCAGGTTGTTGATGAGGTACTCAGGTCGCTGATGAGGTCTTGAAACTTCTCCCGCTCGTATATCGCCCATCGAGTCCGGGCGGTTGTGTTGCCACGAGAAAAGCTTTCGAGTCTTGTTGAATTGCGAACCAGACACCGTCTTGCCGAGTGCTTGAAATAACCAGACTCTTTGCGCTGATATAGTCGACCGCGCGGGACAAGGATGAGTCCAGTGTCTGAGCTCCGTATGAGGCCCGCAATTCGTCTAAGTCGGTGAGCAGTTCCTGAATCCTACTAAGCGTCGCCTTGATGACTCCTGCTACCCGCTCGTCCAGTAGCCGAGGATTACCATGATCAGGAGAGAGAATACCGAAATTTTCGCCCCAGATCAGAAGCCGCGCCTTTTCGATGTCGAGTTTCAGTAAGACAACTTCGATGTCTCTGGTCGCATTCTGGTAGAGTTTGAAGTAGCCAAAGGCGTCAATACAAGAAGTGAAGACGTCTGCGACTCTAATGACGAAGGCTGGGGTCTCTAACAACCCGCTAGACATGGTAGCTAGAAGAAAACGATGCTTTGTCCTAAGGAAATGCGAGAGAAATGAATACAGGCGGAGGAGAAGATGAAAGGAATGAAGCCGCAAGTCAAGGATGTAATTACGAACAGTACGAGCGCGCAAGACCGGGAAATTTAGCGAAGGGGGCAGGGAAAAGAGGGTTGAAGTCTTCAACAAGCGACGAGCCCTCTGAAAGCTGCATATGCTGCATGTTCTTACCCACCGCCGCCGGTCAACCCGGGCTCGAGTGCAAGGGGGTACGCGGCGTTCCTCTCGTGGCTGAACGTCGACTCATGGGCCGCCAAGCCCGCGGTTCCGAAGGCAGCCGGCTGTGTCTGACGAAGGATCTATAGGAGTGCGAGGATGGGATGAGGATGAGGATGAGAGCGATTGTGTGGGCCTCTGGAGCAAGAAGCTCGCGTCAATTTCCCGGACCGAGCACGACGACGTGGGTCACGTTTGCAGTCTGGCGGTGAACAAGCAAGTAATCCATTTCCGCCATTTATCTAATACCTTTTGATTATTGAAGATATTCAGAAGCCGATTAATTCGACACATCAAATTCTATCCAACCATCCATGCTCCCGTAACTCATCTCGCGACTCTCCAGTTCATGCATGATTAATAAACATTCGTCCTCGAATACCACTCTGACCGTGACTAATCCGTAGGAATGCTGACAGCCCAGCCGAGCGCGAGACGCGTGATATTGATATTATTCTGCTGTGGGCGGTGCCGGACCGGCGGGAGTGGCCGGGGTTCTCGTCGGGGGAGTCGACTAAATTCGTCGACCAAATTCGCCGACCACGGCGCCTCGCGGCTTGGCTGTGCAGGTTAGGTAGCATCAGGGTCGAAATGCGCTGGCTTTATCAAGCCACATGCACACCGCGCACATGGTGGTATCCCAGCGCAGGTGGTATCCCAGCGCGGCTGCGTTGGGACAGCCGTCCGCGGTTACACACATGCGCCCATGTGCCTAGACCGTCAGACTATCGAATAATCAACCACCGATGGGCGCACCATGGTCGACGAAGTACGTAAGAGAATGAGACGCACGACCGCATTCAGGGGTTGTCTAGTCCATTTTGAATTATTATCTGCTAACCGATGGCGAGATGGAAAATACTTAACTATCGTGCAGCTCACCACAAAGCATCCGCCACCCCGACAGACCTGATGGCCTCGAACTAGCATCGCAGTAGTCATGCGGCGACTCATCATCTCGATCCTGGCCGCGCTGGCCGCCCTCCCAGACAACGTGCTGGCAGGCGCGCGGCAGAAGCCCAGGGACAATGTCTACGACTACATCGTCGTCGGGAGCGGGCCCGGGGGCGGGCCCATCGCGAGCAAGCTAGCGCGGGCCGGGCACTCGGTGCTGCTAATCGAGGCGGGCGACAACCAGAGCGCCAACGTCAACTCGGAAATCGTCGCCTTCTTCCCCGTGGCCTACCAGGACCCGCTGCTGAGGTGGGACTTTTTCGCGCGCAACTTTGACAACACGACGCGCAACCTGCAGCACAACTACAACGTCTGGCGCCGCACCGACGGCTCCTTCTACGTCGGCCGCAGCCCGCCCCCCGGCGCCACCCTGCTGGGTCTCTACTACCCACGCGGCGGCACGCTCGGGGGCAGCACCGCCGTCAACGCCATGACGGCCATCCTGCCCAGCGACAGCGACTGGACGAATGTCGCCGCCTTGACGGGGGACACCACCTGGAAGTAAGTCGAGACCCATTGGCTACGACGACATGACCAGAAGACTGACGTTGCCGTACACAGCGCCGCGCACATGCGCGACATCTTCGTGCGCGTCGAAAACAACCACTACCTCCCACCGGACACGCCGGGCCACGGCTTCGCGGGCTACCTCGACACGACGGCGAACAACAAGGCGGCACTAGCCGGACAGGACGACCTAGTCAGCGTGCTGCGGGCCGTGTCGACTAGCCTGGGGCAGGACGGCGCCGCCATCCTCGACAACCTATCCGCCGACGTCAACTACCTCTCCTCCGCCGCGCGCGACCAGGCGCAGGGCGTTTGGGCCGACACGCTGCACGCGACGGCCAAGATGCGCCGCTCCAGCTCGCGCGACTACATCCTCAACACGACCAACGCCGTCGACGCCCGCGGCAGCCAAAAGTACCCGCTATTCGTGCAGCTCAACACGCTCGCCACCAAGATCCTCTTCAGCTCCCCTTCAGGGAGCCAACAGCAGCCCAAGGCCACCGGCGTCGAGTTCCTGCAGGGCGCGCACCTGTACGGCGCCGACCCCAGCTTCAACGCCTCGGCGCGCGGGACGCCAGGGCGCGCCCACGCACGCAACGAAGTCATCATCTCAGCGGGCGCGTTCAACTCGCCGCAGCTGCTGAAGCTGTCCGGCATCGGGCCGGCCGCCGAGCTCGCGCGGTTCAAGATCCCACTCGTCGCCAACCTGCCCGGCGTCGGCGCGCGCCTGCAGGACAACCACGAAGTGCCCATCGTCGGCCAGGCCGCGCGGGCATTCGCCTCGCCGCCGCCTCCCCCCGGAACCCCCGTGTGCACGTTCGGCGCGCCGGGCGACCCGTGCGTTGCGCTGTGGCGCAACGGGACGGGGCCGTACGCGACGCAGGGCGCGCTGAACGCCATCTTCCGCAAGTCGTCGGCGGCGGCGCTCGACGAGCGGGATTTTTTCTTGGTGGGCGGCAACTTCGCGCTGCGCGGGTTCTGGCCGCCGACGGACTCGATCGTGCCCGACCCGCCGACCATGTTCGCGCTGTCGACCGTCAAGCTGCATCCACGCAACACGGCCGGCAACGTGCGGCTGCGCAGCGCCAGCCCGCGCGACGTGCCGGATATCGACTTCAACCTGTTTTCGGCGTCTGACCCGGGCACGGCGGCGGATATCGCCGCGGCGCTGGACACGGTCAAGTGGGTGCGGCGCGTGTACGCGGCGGTGCCGCCGCCGATCGGGCCGCTGGTGGCGACGGAGCCGCCGTGCACGGCTGCGAGCGGGGTGGCCGCCGCCGACGGGTCGTGTGTTGATGCTGATGATGTTGCGTGGCTGACGGACCAGGCGTGGGGCCACCACCCGACGAGCACGTGCGCGATCGGGAGCGATAGGGACGCGTTGGCGGTGCTCGACTCCAAGTTCCGCGTGCGTGGCGTGCGCGGGCTGCGCGTGGTCGATGCGAGCGCGTTCCCGCGCGTGCCGGGGCCGTTTCCGGCGCTCCCGACCTTCATGCTGAGTGAGAAGGCTGCCGAGAGCGTGCTCGCGGATGCGGGGAGCTGGTGAACTGCACATTAAAGGGGATGCCTGTGCGGTTGAACGTGGCCGTAGATAATTGATCTTTATGCAACACTTGTTCACTTGACCTCTCCGATTGTGAAACGATAGTCATATTGCGGTGCCTATGCGTAATGGTAGTAGATGACTACATCAACAGTCAAGGACCATTCCATCAGGCCATGAGACTATGATATTAGTTCAACAAGTGCCCTCGAGTTGCAAAGGCTGATACTGACTCAATCCCTCAACAATGAAGCATTGACCTCACTGCGAGCAATTTGTTCGCAACATTAATCAACATGTGATGAAACATGATTGCTCTCTGAAATTGTATTCTCATATGGCTTCGAATTATACTGAATTAGCTTCGCATTCTATTAATTAGCTTCGCATTCTATTGAATCAGTACACAGCTACTGCATAGGCTTAGAGGCGTTAACTTACTACTGCCCCATCTCCAGGTGACTCCTGGAACCAACCCTGATTAAGTGGGTTGGAAGAAGCTTTTGCGTGAAATCACCGCAGTGTCTCTCTACGCGCACCCAAACCACGCTCGTATGCACCGCCGGTCAAAGTCGCTCAGCAGCAAATATCTCTTTCAGCGCCTCGCAGCACTCCAGGTACAGCTTTTCGGAATCCGCCGCCGGCTTCACGGGGTCCGGCGATTTATCCCAGCCGTGCGGGACTCCCGGAATCATCTTGTAGCGGACGTTCTTGTCGATGGGCTCCTTCCCGAGCCGCTTGGCAAACTCATCTCCCTCGCGCAGCAGCATGTCCCACTCGCATGTGTAAAAGATGACATTCGGGGGGATGCCTTCCATCAACAGCTCGTCGCTCGCTTTGCTCGGGGAGAGGAAGGGATCGTCCAGTTTCAGATCGGGCGGGTACAGGTAGGACGAGTCGAAGAGTGTCGTCAGCGTGGGGGGGAGTGTCTGGTCGGGTCGGATCGACGACGCGCGGCGCTCGGCGCGAGATAACGTGTAATCGGTAATGGGGTACCATGTCGCGATGGCACGGAGACGGTGGTCGGGGACGGCCGCCGCAGACGACGAGCGAGACGTCCTTGCTAAAGACTTGACGTGCTCAGAGAAGCGGAGCGCCGAAGTGATGGCGATGTTTCCTCCCGCAGAGAACCCCGAAGTCGCCAATTTGCTCGGATCAATGCGCAACTCGGCCGCATTTCGAATCACGTAGAGAATGGCGTCCGCGCCGTCGTCTACTGCAACTGGGAAAGGGTGCTCAGGGCTCAGCCGATAGTCGACCGACACAAATACGGCTTGGCACGTCTCGAGAACGAATCGGGCGAATCTGGCATCGTCGGTGGCGTTGCCGATGGTAAAGCCGCCGCCGTGGAAGTTCACCACAGCGGGAAAGGTGCTGCCGCTTTTCTTTGCCTCTTTGTATCCCTTGGGCGTATAAAACTGGAGATCGAAATTCCCCTTCACTTTTGACACGGTGGACCGGACGGATCGCGAAAAGGCGGGATTCGGGGGGCGTGGGGACGCGAGAAAGTGCAGCGACATGCCAATGTACTGCAGCGACCGCCACCAACCCGCCGACATGCGCAGAGAGAAGCGCGACGGCGCCGAAACAGTGATCTCCTTGGCCTTTTCCAGCTTCTTGCCATCACTCATCTTGTCCAGCGGAGGGTCCTCGGATCCGAGGTTGATGGGGGGGATGGGAATCCCGTCGACCGTCGGTAGCTTCGACATGGTGCTGCGCGACTTATGACTCGGCCGTTGCGGGAAAGTTGACGCCAATTAGGTATGCAGGTGAAGCTAGCTTGTCCGGTTCGATGCACAGCGTAAGGGGGGTGAGGACGCGATCACGATATCTCAAGTTGACGAGAAGCAATGTCAAACCTCAATTGGCGACCAAGGCCGGATTGCTTCAAATTTGGTCTCCAACACCCCTCGCCACTGTCTCTCCACGCAGCCTTCGATGTCATGGAAGGTGGGGGACGAAGATCGGATGATGGTCTACTCTAGTTGCATAATTGGAGGGGCATTGAATGCAGGGGAAAGTTGGACTGTGTAGATATGCACATAGCGGGGCAATATTTCCGTAAATACGAGCTTGATCCATGCAGGCGCCCTGGCGCCCCTTCAGCGCCCCGCGTGCGCTGTGCGGCGGAAAAAAACTTGACGTCACAGGTCTTATGACGTCGTAGGCGCCGACCAGGCCGGCCCTTGGCGGTGGGGGAAAGCGCCAGGCACTAGCTGGGCAAAGTTCTCCGCCGCCTTGGTTGCAGAACAGTAGCACTGATGACATGCGTGACTGACTGGCACGGTGCAAGCGACGACACTCGTGCCTACGTGTCCCAGTGCCCAACACCCAGTGCCTACAGTGTACCCTCTTACAGTGGTTGGTCGGCCAAAGCGTGCGGTTCATGATGCGGAAGGAACGGGACAAAACCAGCCACAAACCCTGTCTCGCTGTCCCGTTTGGTCTGGAAGCTTTTGTGGGCGCCTTCCTCACTGGACAGCGGCCTCGCCTTTCCTCATCAGTCAGGGGCAGCAGGTCATCTGCCGAGCTCGGATGGGAACAGGGTTGGGCTTGGTGCAAGTTCAACGCCGTGCAGGGCGGCTGTTCTTAATTTGGCCAGCTCGCGTCGTCGCGGTTCGGGAATCTTCGGCAGCGCCCGTGGCTGTCAGGATTTATAATTCTGCGTTACAATTTTTGTTGCACCCTAACGCCTTTCCCCGGCGTTCTGAGTAATCGCCTGGCACTTATTCTTTTTCTGTTTCTTTTTCCGCCCATTTGCAAAACACTCATATTGCCCCTCTCCATTGTCCCCCAAGCCGGGCTTTTAGGCCAAACGACAGCCACCTTTGTGTCCTGCACGCCCACTTCCATTCCCCCTGCACGTTGCCCAGCCGTCTCGAGTCGCAACAACATCGTGATCTGCGCCAACCCAGCAGCATCCGCAGCCCATCTTCACCCAACATGTCGCCAGCCGGGCTCAAGAAGCCCCTTTTGGCGCTCAACCGCATCATCGGTCACTCGTCGGCCAAAAACCACATCACCAAGATAAAGATCGGGAACATCGAGGCCCTTGATGAGGAGCGCCAGAAGAAGCAGTTGAAGAAGGCCCAGGAGCAGCTAGCCAAGGTGGACGAACGTGAGAATGAGCGCCGCTCCATCCAGCAGCGGCGCGTCGACGAGGAGGCAAAGGCGCTCGCCACTGACCCGCCAGATATTGCGGCAAGATACGGTACCAAGCACAGCGAGGTCCTTGCCGCCAGCTCGACGTCGTTGGAGCACATGGCCGCTAGCACCGCCGGCGTGGGCAAGACGATCAGCTTCACGGCTCGCATACATCACGTGCGCCCCTTGAGCTCCAAGCTGGCCTTCATCATCTTCCGCGACAAGGTCGAGACCATCCAAGGCGTTCTCGCCTACCGCGAAGGCGCCATCTCGGAGAACTTTGTCCGCTGGGCCGAGCACTTGAACGCCGAAGGCATCGTCCACGTCGAGGGCAAGCTGCAGGCCCCTCCCGAGCCCATCAAGGGCTGCTCAATCAGCAACCTCGAAGTGCTTGTAGAGGCCATGCACCTAGTGGTGCCGGTAGACGATCATCTGCCCGTCGACACCTTCGCCATCGACCATGTCGAGGAGGACGATAGCACGCATCAGCTCGAGTCTCTAGCGTCCACCCGAGTCCGGGTTGCCAATCGCATGGCCTTCCTCAGGACCCCAACCGCGCAGTCCATATTCCGCATAAACGCCGCAATCAGCAGCATCTTCCGCAACTTCCTCGAGAGCCGGAGCTTCATTGAGATCCACACCCCCAAGTTGCAGCCGGCCGCTACTGAGTCGGGCGCCGAAGTCTTCAAAGCTAATTACTTTGGACGGACCGCCTTTCTCGCGCAGAGCCCCCAGCTGGCCAAGCAGCTGAGCATCTCGGCCGACTTTGGCCGCGTCTTCGAGATTGGCCCCGTGTTCCGAGCAGAGGACAGCAACACGCATCGTCATCTCACCGAATACACGGGACTTGATCTGGAGATGGCCATTGGCAGAGACTACCACGAGGCGCTTTCCCTGATCGACGCCATGATGAAGAGCATCTTCAAAGGCATCTACGAGCGATACCGAAAGGAGCTCGACATCGTCAAGACGCGGTTCCCACACGAGGATCTCGTCTGGCTAGAGGAGACGCCTGTTTTGACGTTCAAGGACGCCGTGGGGTTGCTCAATGCCTCTGGCTGGACCGACGAGCACGGCCACAAGGCTTCCGAGTTCGAGGACCTCAGCACACGCGCAGAGATACGCCTGGGAGAAGTGATGAAGGAGAAGTACAAGACGGATTACTACATCATTGACAAGTTCCCCACCTCTGCACGACCGTTTTATGCCCATCTCGATCCTGAAGACGAGAGGTTCACCAACTCGTTCGACATTTTCCTCCGGGGGCAGGAGATTACGACGGGCGGCCAGAGGATCCACAACCCGAACGCGCTCAAGGCCAGGATGCAAAAAGCCGGCATCGAGCCCAGCGGCATGCAAGAATACATGCAGGGATTCGAGTACGGCGTTCTGCCTCACGCTGGGTGCGGAATCGGCCTGGAGAGGATGGTGTTCCTCTTGCTGAACTTGGGCGACATCCGCAACGCTTCCCTCTTCCCCCGTGATCCAAAGTCTCTCCCAGAAACGAAGGATGTCGAGGTTAAGCTCCCGCACCCTAATGCCGACACGATCCGGTACGCCTACGAGTTCGAGAAGGGCCGCAAGGATCTGGTGCTTCCGCCGGTCGAGAAACTCATCGCCAACTACGGCGACGCCACAAACACCTCGTGGCTCGACGACCGCTACCAAATCTGGCGGCACGAGGAAAACGGGGCGGCTGTTGGCTATGCCGAGGAGAACGGCTACGCACTCGTCATGGGCAACCCGCTGTGCGACCCGCGGCAGTACCAGATTGTCATCCTGGCCTTCTTGAAGCACATGCAAAAGACGATGGACCTGCGTCCGCTCTGGCTGTTGGTCTCTCACGAGGTCGAAGACATACTCGGGTCCAAGCTCGGCTGGCGCAGCCTCAGCTGCGTGGCCGAGGAGCGGGTGCAGGTCGACAGCGCCAAGAAGGTGGCCAAGAAGGAGCGGCAGGCGCAAGACGCCGGGGTCAGCATCCACGAGCTGCCCACCGACGGGCCGGTGCCCGACGACTTCCGCGCCAGGTGCGACAAGCGCATCGAGGACTGGAAGTCCAACCGCAAGGGGCGCACGCAGGTGCACATCACCGAGGTGCGGCCGTGGGTCGACACGGCGCACCGGCGGTATCTGTGGGCCGAGACGCGCGACGGCGAGATCGCCGCGCTGTGCGTGCTGCACCGCCTGTCGCCGGCCAACGGCTACCAGATCAAGTTCGCGCTCGACTTCCCCGGCTCGCCCAACGGCACCATCGAGGCCCTCATCTCGGCCGCCATCCAGGCGCTGGCCAAGGCCGGCGTCAAGAACGTCACCTTCGGCGCCGGCGCCCTGCCCGAGATGGTTACGGGCGGCCACATGGACGGCATCCGCGCCAAGATACTCTCGCGCACCTACCGCACCGTCGCCCAGCAGCTCAAGCTCGTGCAGAAGAGCGAGTTCCGCGAGAAGTTTGGCACCCAGAACGACCTTGTCTATATCTGCTACCCCTTTATGGGGCTCGGCGTGTCGGGCGCGCGCACCCTGATCAAGTTCTTTGAGGACGAGATGTGAGGGCCTGCTGGAAGCGAAATAATTATCCACCACGAGCTTTTTCGCTTCTTCATCATGTTTTCCTTTATCACAGACTCTCGACGCGGCGATACCAAGCGTGCTTGGACATTACTGATGCGTGGGATGCACATGGAGTGCTCTTCTTTGGTCGATACACTGGAGCCTGTTGTCGTCCTGTTTTTGTTGTTTTGTTTTGGTTTCTTTTTGCGATGATACCCCTGGTCGGTCATACAACTTTGATACCTGGGTCGAAACGCGGTTGTTTTGAAGCACAGGACAGCACGCACAGCACAGAACAGCACAGCACAGCACAGAACTAGAATAATTGACTTGGTTCAGCCTAGATCCAATTGCAGAAGAATAACAACAACGCAACTGCTCGATGTCCAGCCTATCATGTCACTTGGGGTTGCGGTGCATTGTTTGTCTTGCTCATTATTGATCTTCGCGAGTTGACCGCGTCGTTCCCCAGACCCGTTGAAGATCCCAACTTGTCATTATCCTCTCCTTCCACAGATCTAATTAGTAATTGCTGTGAGAGTAGCCCTGACGTCTTTCATGTCTTGGAAAATCTCCCGCTAATAATCATTCGGGGATTCTAATGATATGTCAGGTCTGGCCACCCCTAGCGGGACCTGCCGAGATGTTGCAGATCGAGGCTCGAGATGGGCATCCCCATGGTGTGGTGCCGTCCTCGCCCTCGGTATAGTTGCCCGACGCGGCTGTGGGCTCGATAGTACGCCGGCAAGGGACTTCCGAATTAATATGGCGCCCCGCATTACGCGGCCATTCAGGGGCGGCTGTGGCTAAATTTCCGATCCTCAGGTTAGGAACAAGGGTCTTCCCCAGATTCTGTCTCTGTCCCCCCTCCCCCACCCCTGTCAGCCTGTGACTAAAGCGAAGTAGTAATGGGCTCAGAAACGCCTGGGTCCAGTGGCAGAATGCCATGCTGACGCCTCACAGCTTCGAGAAAGCGCTGTCGGCTTTTGGCCCGTGGAAGGCTTTTGCAATGGCAACGGAGCAAGATTCTGTTTCAGCCTATTCAGGACAGTTCAGGCCACGGGACTCCGGGGCTCGGCACTTGGCCCGTGGAATGATCGGCATTGTGTCTTCCGGAGCCATAAGATCGGGGCTTCCACGTTGAATTCACCATTAAATGGTGGCATGAAGGGTGACAGTCGCTGTTTGTGGACAACAGATTGCTAAAGATGAACCGCTGCCTTGCTGTCACCGTCGCGGCGCTGGCGCTGACCAGCCAGGTCTGCTACGCATATCCCCGCGGCTTGTCCACCGCGAGAGTTCTCGCCCGCGCTCAAGATGCAGAAGACACGTACGACTATGTCATTGTCGGCGGCGGGACGGCCGGCCTCACTATCGCCGACCGGCTGACCGAGGACGGCAAGACGACGGTGCTGGTCGTCGAGTATGGCGAGCTCAGTAAGCCCACCCACCCCCTTGCCGAAGAATGGCTGCTGACGTCCCCACAGGCAGCTCTCCGCTCATCCAAACCGTGCAGGGGGGCTTCATGGGCATGTCGAGTCCGCAGTTCATGTACGACATCACGTCGGTGCCGCAGGCCAACCTGCGCAACCGCACGACGCCGGTGCTGGCGGGCAAGGTGGTCGGCGGTGGATCCGCGGTCAACGCCATGATGACAGTCCGTGGCACGGCCGAGGACTACGACCGCTGGGGCCGCTTCTTCAGCAACCACTCCGAGTGGAGCTGGGACGGGCTGCTGCCCTACTTCAAGCGCGCGCTGCACTTTGCGCCGCCCGACGCGGCCGTCGCGCGCGCCGCCAACATCACCTACGACGCCGCCTTCTGGGGCAACACGTCGGGCGTCTACGCCGGCTGGCCCTCGTTCCAGTTCCCCACCACCGCCCTCCACGTCGCCGCCTTCCGCGGCGTGCCCGGCGTCGAGTTCCCCCCCGACAGCGGCGCCGGCGAGCCCGGCGTCTACTGGTTTCCCACCTTCATGGACCCGCACACCGTCGCCCGATCCTACGCCCGGACGGGCCACTACGACCCCGCCGCCAACCGCTCAAACTACCACCTGCTGACGGGCGCCAAGGCGACGCGCATCCTGCTGGAAGGGACGACGGCGACGGGCGTGGCGTTCGTTCAGACGCCGGCGAACGCTACTAGCAGTAACTTCACCTCGACGGCGCTGCCAACCGTCGTCCGCGCGCGCAAGGAGGTCGTCCTGTCGGCCGGCGGCATCCACAGCCCGCAGATCCTCCAGCTCAGCGGCATCGGCCCGCGCAAGCTGCTCGCCGCGGCCAATATCACCGCCATCGTCGACCTGCCGGGCGTGGGCATGAACTTCCAGGACCACCCCATGCTGACGGCCGCGTTCATGTGTACGCTTCCCGTTTTTGCACGTAGCTAATCAGGCAACATAGTTCACGATAAGCTCTGCTAACCAGTGATTTTTGTTGCTATGGCAGACCAAAACTTCTCGGTCCACCCGTCGAGCGACGACATGTTCTTCAACGCAACGTTCCAGACGTGGGCGGCAGACGTGTGGGCGGTCAACAGGACGGGGCCCTTCTCGATCGCGACGGGCAACGCGGCGGCGTGGCTGCCGTTCCCCGTGGTGTCGCCACAGCGCCACGCCTCGGTAGCCGCAGCGCTGGCAGCACAAGACCACGCAGCACAGCTACCAGCGGGCACCGACGCGACGGTGGCGGCCGGGTACCGGGCGCAGATGCTGGCGTACGCAACAGCCCTCCGCAACAACGGCACGGCCTTCTACAACTCGGTGCTGTCGGGCGGCGCGGCCAGCGGCGTGCTCGTCGACCTGCACCCGCTGTCGCGCGGCACCGTGCATATCGACACGGCCGACCCGCTCGGCGCCGAGCCCGTCGTCGACTACCGCGCGCTGAGCAACCCGCTCGACGTAGCCGTCATCACCGAGCTGCTGCGCTTTGCCCGCAGCTCCGTCATGGACAACCCGCTCACGGCCGGCTTCGCGCCTGTCGAGCTCGTCCCCGGCGCCAATGTTACCAGTGATGCCGACTGGGCAGAGTACATTGCCGACACCGTGTCGCCCACCGAGTTCCACCCCGCTGGCACCTGCGCCATGATGCCGCGCGAGCTGGGCGGTGTCGTCGACGAGCAGCTCAGGGTGTACGGCGTGAGCAATCTGCGTGTGGTCGATGCGAGCATCATCCCCACGCTGCCCGGCGCGAATACCTGCCAGACCGTCTATGCTATTGCTGAGAAGGTGAGTTTTTGTTTCTTTCTCTCTTCTCTTCTCGTTCTATCCTGGGCAGCAAGAGAATCTGTGTGTCAGCAAGAGAATGTGTGTGTGCTAACTCGGATTCACAAGGCGGCGGATCTCATCCGCTACGGTCCAAAGAACGGGGTGTAATTGTTGCAACGGCAGCCTGTTAGTGCTGCACAGGCCGCTTTGTCCTGGCCCCCTGGGTTGGTTGGAGTAGGAGGCCCTTTGTCTGTACCATACACCAGCCCGGCTAGCTGTGCATCAACAAATATCATTTGTCAGCTGCTGGGTTTTGAACGTATTGCTTTCTTTGTCGACATAGACAAGGTATAATAACATTATCCGCCTGGGGCTGTTTCCCGTTTGACGTCTTGAGAGACTAGCGTTTAACGTGAGCGATCGGAGCCGCTGTAATTCCCAGAGTATCTCTTCACTGTCATCAGCTACTTCCCTCAAGCCGTTGCCTAGCACTTAAATCACCAAGACAAGACTCGGGTGTGTTTGAAGCTTTTTCACTGAATAAAGGATAATCATGTCCTCTGGTACAAACAGCACCAACAGCAACAGCACCAACAGCAACAGCACCAACAACAACAGCACCAACAGCAACAACAACTCGGACGCCGGCAGAACCTCCCCAACGATGCAGATCATTTCGTGCATCGGCACTGCCCTCGCCCACATGGAGTACGAGCGCGTCCTCGAGGACAGCTTCCACATAACGTCGGACGGCAACACGCTGATCGTGCGGATCCGGCTGCTGCAGACTGACGCATGGAGCACGCCGGCTGAGGTGCGGCAGCCTGACGTGGTCGAGGCCGAGGAGGAGCACACCGTCACGCTCAGCAACGCACTCCCATACGTGGCCACAGTGACGGCCAGCCGCGACGGCGTCATGGCGTCCGAGGAGATTGTGCTGGCCCCAAGCGGCGGCGTCGTGCTGGTCGACTTCATCCCGCGTGCTTTTGATCGTGTTGAGATCCACTACGCCGTCGCACGGCACTGCGTTGTTGTGTTTATCAACGGCCACTACCCCGGCCAGAGCAATAACCTGTGCGTCTACTTTGCCGACGGCAAGTTCTCGACGCACCGTGATAGTGAGGCTGGCGGCGCTGCTGGCGGACCCCCGCTTGATGTCACCTACTCGCGCACTATAGTCCCTGATGAGGACACGCGCGACCTTGCTCATCTGCGAGAGGCTCTGATCCAGATCTTTGGGCCCTCAGCGCTCGTCATGCTAGCGTCGACCCAGGCTGTTGATCTGGATGCTGTTGAGGAGAAGCGCAGGAAGCGATACTAGGTAATGAGCTTAAGTCGAAGACTCTAACTATTCCCTTTGTCGTAATTAGCTCACTTGATTTGTGTACGGAATTTGATCCATTATATGCCCCTGAAATATAGTCCCAGATGCCCAGATCAATGCGCCCGCTTTTTTCGCCCCAATACACCTCCCAACCTTCAGAAGTATAGCCTTAATGTACCGGAAACAGTCTATCCAGATAAACCTTGTTAATATTTGTAAGTACCTAACTTTTGCCCTCCCTCGACGTATACCCAAGTCCGGGAATTTGCCCGCTTCCCCATCCATGTTGTGAGTGTTGGACTTGCGGCTGGCATTGCTTCTCTCGCATATTCTCGTTTACGAATTTAACCAGCTGGCTCATGGATTAAAAACCACAAAATTTGCGATGGGCAGACTAGTCGTTTTTGCTGTAAATGCCACACCCCTCCCTGTGTGTTCTCATTAGTGGCCGTTGCAACCACCGCTGCCAAAGATTGGTTACACCACTCCTCCCACCATCTTTTCGGCATCCGGTTAGTCTGGCTTCGGCCCGGGTTGGTCCAGATCAGGGATCCGCAACGCCACCTTAGTCCCGAACCATAGTCCTGCCAAGAGCCTTTGACCCCTTTTTCTTGCCTTGCAGCCATACCGCGATCTGGCTACGAGCCAAGACCTGGACTCAACTTCTGCTGCCCTCCGGCGAACCAATGCTACTACGAATCTGCCGGCAACCCACATTATTCGCACTTATCACCACCTTCTCCGTCACCAGGTCCCGTCCCTGACCCAGACCCGATTTCCACTCCCAGTCCCGACCCGACTCCTCCCAGTCCGAGCCTCAGTCCCCGTCCGCGCCCGAACCCCGACCCCGAACCCGTGACACACACCACCAACAACAGCCCCGAGTTCTGGACCCCTGCCAAGATCGGGGGCGTAGCCGGCGGCTCCATCGGCGGCCTGATCGTGCTCCTGATCGTGTTTATAATCCTCATCTGCTGGATCCGGGTAGCGCGGCGCCTCTACGATACTGTCCGGGTGTTCCGCGAGCTGGCCATCGAGACGGTCGGGCTGAGCGGCGACTCGGAGCTGACGGCGCAACTACAGGCCATGGCCAAGCAGGTCACGCAGACGGCTTGGCTGATGAGGCTGGGCACCGGCGCCGCGTGGCTCGGCGAGACGGCCATTGAGCACCCGGATCTAGTGGCCCAGGTCCAGGCCGGACTTGTGCTGCTGGCGTCCCATTTTCTTGTTGGAGTGGGAGCAGATTTAGGTCTTACGTGCCAATTAATAATAATTAGGCCTTGGAGTTTGTCAAGAGCTCTCAACCGAGTACCTAATTAGATGTGCAAAGTTCCAGTTAGACGGATATCTACTAGTTTCGAGCCGAACACACCACTATGCTTTTTAACAGTCTCAACACACTATTGTCATAGGTTTATTCCTCGGCAAGTCGGGCTAGGGCCCGCGTTCTCGCTATTGTTACCCAAGGCAGCTAAGACTCCTACCGACTAATCAATAAAATATCTGTCACCCCGAAACCCCCCGCATCGCTGTCAAGACCGTCTCCAGCTAGCCTCGGAAGGTTTTCTTACTTGGCGCTCCCGCCACCAAAAAAACCCCGCTCCTGCTGACTGGTGACCACAAGTCGGTGTCAAAGACACGGACGAGCCCGTCTCACTAATTAGAAGAGGGCGTCCGTGAAGTCGACGACGAGCACCTTGTCGAGGAAGGGGTAGGCCAGCTTAGCGAACGCCTGGTGCGAGGGGTCCGTCGCGGTGTAGTAGTCTCTGTCCTCGGCCGAGGCGAACTCCATGGTGAAGCCGTGCGTAATGCCATCCTGCGACACCAGTCGACTGATTAGTGGGGGCAACGGAGCAAAACAAATACAACGGCCATGCCCACCTGCAGCTTCGCTATCGAAGTGTCCACGCCGCCCTTCAGGGACAGGATGTAGGGAGTGCTGCTAGTCGGGTGCAGGCACGCGTCTTTCAGGGCGATGAAGGCGGCGCAAGTCTGCATAGATTGTCTTGGGCGTCAGTCTTGTTGCCAGCCAGCCAATTGTCTGTTTCTCGTTCACGTACCCGTTTGACATCTTCAGGCTTGGCGTCTGACTTGAACTGAATGAGGACAATGTGCGTGAGAACCATGGCTGCGGAAAGCTAAGGCAGGAGATGAAGATGTGTGGTAAGGGCAAACTATTTGGGATTAAAGAAGAGGAAGAGTCATACCAGGCTCATCTCGTCTCACGCGAGATAATAAGTAGCTAGCCCCTACGCCGTCACGTGAAGACATCCAGCAGTCGACTAAAATATTAGCCACCGCGAGCGACCGGCTTACCCGGATCAGTCATATTGCCGGTCATGAATCAATCCCCTTGTCACGTCGCCCAAGAAGGTTGCAGGTGGCTGGTGCAAAGGCTAAAAGGCTAGGGCCAGAGGCTCCCCGGCATAATGAAAACGATCAACGGTGCCGAATCGGCGACTTCGTTGTGGGAATACGATTCCGGTTTGCCGCGAGGGCCAATAAAGCGCATTTAAGAGTCTTCATGGCGTATTCAGGCCCCATTCACGGAGTCTTTTGTGTTCGTCGGACGGAGTGTTGGGCGGGTTTTCGCTGCCTAGGTTCTGGCGGGTATGAGAATATGTACGAAGGATCACGATGAACAAGGGCCTGTGCTAAAACTCGCGACAAATTTATAAGCACAAGCAATTACCTACAAGGTAGCTGTGAAAGTGGAGATTGTGGTGCTTGCTCTCCAACAAGCTGAGACAAAGACTCAACGCCCAGAAGCCGCCTAAGGAACACAACATCTAAATGGGACCATGACATTGAAGTTCCTAGGAAATGACACTTGAACCCCGATACCTCCAGAGTTGGAATCTACGCAACCTGCCATAGAGGCTTTCTAACTACAGGATACCTGTGCCAGATTGCTCAATGGCAAATGAAAAGAGGGAGCGAGATTCTGTCAAAAAAACAACCGAAAGAGTTGAGGGATTGATAGGTTGAGATGCACGTGTGTTGTCACGGATGCACAATGGTAAAATCGATCAGTGGCATTTACTGCCTCGGCATCTGCAGAAAAGTGCATTCTACTCAGTGACCCCGTAACCCCAAGTGCCCCAGCGGTTTATACTATTCCCTCATTAAGCCCTGCCATTTGTCTGTCATCAGGTCCGAACTCGTCGCTCATCATGCAGAAAATCGTCGTCAGAATCCCACCCGTACCGTGCTATACAAACAATATCCCCTTTCCCCTCAAACAACACCAGCCAACTTCAGCACATTAGGATTACTGCTGAACAGATCCGGCTTCACGTTGAAGAGAAGGTGGACAGTCCGGCGCACGATCTCACGCGTCTCATCATCAAGCTGCTCAGTGGGAGGGTTGAGGACAGCTTCGAAAATGGGAATCAGCGTCGGCGTCAGTACTTGGATGGTGTGGTCGTTTTGCTCGTCTGAGATTTGTTAGCTGTGCTGGCGGCATCATGGGGGCTGGGAACTTACAAAGCCTGAAGATGCACTCGTACACGGGCGAGTTCTCCTCGTAATCGTCCTTCAGGGGAAGAAGCCCGACCAGTGCGGGCAGAACCTCGCTGATGGGGACACGATCTGGGTGAGACATGATCATGCGGCATATGCAGCCCGCCGCGTTGTCCTTGATGCGAGCCGCCTGAATTTGCAGCATGGGCTCAAGCTTGCGCAGAATTGTGTCGTACTGGGCCAAATATGTGTTGCTGTCGGTCGAGTTGTAGATCAGCTGGCCGGTGGCGTAGGCAGCGTTGCTCCTCGTCTCAAGGTCAGTGTCCGAGAGTCGCTTCAGGAGCAAGTTGAGCAGCTTGGCGGTGTACGGGGTGACGGCTGCCTCCATGTTGGCAGCGCACTCGGCAATGACACCAACGCCGGTGGATCGCTCGAGGTTCTCAGACTCTGACGACGCGAACCGCAGAATCGGCTTCTCAAAGACCTTCCAGAGCTCGGCAAAAGAGGGGCCGAGAGCGACAGCAAGGCCGATGACAACATCGAGAGCGGTGTCGATAACCAGCCAGTCGTACTCGGACGTGCCCTCGACCTCCTGGTCCTCGTCCTCATCGCCAAGGTCTTGCTGGCAAGGGTGGGACCGAGTGACGATGGTCGTGAGGACAGTGACAATTTCCTTCATCATGTCTTCCTGGGCCAGAATTCCGGGGCCGCACGCCTTGAGTGTAGCGGCGACGTTGCGGTTGATCTCGGTAACGACGGAACTGAAATCCATTAGCATGATGCCAGTACCAGTGCGGCAACAAGGGTGAGAGTTGGCAGATCCAATCAGGAGTAGATATGACGTGTTCTCAGCATCCGCGAAAATGATCGCGTTTGAGTGAGCTGGGTATAACGTGGTGTGCTCATCAGGGTGAAATGGAGAAATACGAGGAGTAGGCGTCAAACTCACCGATCGGCTTCCTCGTTCCAGTTGTGAAGCGTGGCCTTGGTCACAATCTCACCGAGCTTGGCCAGAGTGACGGTCGGGGTCTGCTTCAGGGGAAGGCCAGGCTCCCAGCTTGCGCCGGTCTCCTCCTCCATGACCTGCCATACTCGCGCATAAGCGCGCCACAGGGTCGCGATAGCAGCCTTGCGGACGCCCTCGTACGTGTGGTCAGCGAGAGGCGCGATCATCTCGACGGCCTTCTCGAGATACTCCTTGATCTCAGCCCCGCCGCAGGCGTATGTGATGATGTCTCCGAGGATCTCAACAGCCACCTCCTTCTCCAGGGCCTCGGGAGTTACACCACCAAAGTCCTCCCAGTCATCGCTATCGTCGTCACCCATGTCGTTCTCGCCGTCGTCATCATCGGCGCTTCTGATCTTAATCTTCTTGCCGCCAGCAATAACTCCCTCGTCAGTCCCAACGATACCCCTCTCAGCCTCAGTCAGCTGGAGGGAGAACTCCTCCTCCTCAAGCTCGAGGCTCTCGAACAGGCCCTTGAACACGCCGGGCAAGAACGGAGTAAACTCCTTCTCGTACACCTTGGCGAGCGAGCTCCACAAGATGAAGCTGCTCTCCCTCAGCCGAGAGCTGTCAAGGTGCAGGGCTTCCTCGCTCGCCCGCATGATGTCCAGGACAAAGGGCTGGAAGTTCTGAGCACCGACAGCAGAGGCGATGCGACCCATGGAATCGCAGACTCCGCTACGAAGAGTCAACTGTTCCTCCGTCTCCTTGACACTGAGATAGGCACCAAGAGCGAGCATGGTCTTCTCGAAGTAGGGCGCGAAGTCCTCGTCGAGAGACTCTGCGATCGCACCAAGCGCCCCAGCGGCGGCAACCTTGACCTTGTAGTCGTCGTGGGCCACAAGCGCGCCAATGTTGCTGACGAGGTCGCCGGCATACTTCTTCATGAACTCGGCGTCAAGACCATCCGACATGGAGTCGAGAGCTCCGCACACGGAACGGATGATATCGACATTCTTCTTGGTGACCTTGGGGTCGGAGCTGGCGATCATGGCAGCTTGGAGGTTCTTGACAAGAGCCGTCATCAAAGCCTCGTTGTATTCCGAGAGTTCCTCGGCGATATCGTCGGCCAAGCGGGAAAGACCGATCAAGGCAGTATGCCTAACTCCGACATCGGCATCGTTCAACAGGTTGACGATGTGGGGCATGATGGACTTGACCTGAGAGGCGATGAAGTCTGGGGCTCCCTCAACGACGGTGCCCAGCGCAAGAGCGCCAGCCTTCTTGTAACCAACGTCTTCGGAAGTGGCGAACTTGGGGAGGGCCTCGAGCAGAGGAACGATGACCTGGCGAGGAGGCAGATCGTTGGCAAGCTGATCAAGAAGAGCCAGAGCGGACCTCGCGGGGCTCATCTCGTCCTCATCTTCGTCGTCGTCGATCTCGGTCAGGATCACCATGCTCTTCAGGGTAAGCTGCTGGCCCATATCCTTCATGCCTTGGATCTTCATTCGGCGGTAACGGACAGTCTGAGCGAGGAACGAAAGGGCTTGCGACCGAACATCATCCTCTGCCTGTGTGTTTGCGGCAAGATCGATCATGAACTGGACCAGATCCTTGAGGTACTTGCCAAGCAACGCAGACTCGTACGCCAGGAATTGCTGGAAAACCTCGAATGCCTGGCCAGTCTTCTCGTCGTCGCCAGCCTGAACGGCGTCCTTCAGGATCTCAACCATGGGCGGGACGAGGGTCTGGAGGGTGGCCACAGACTCCCCGTCCTCCTCGGGCTCAAACATGAGCAGCATGGCGCCAATCGACATCATGGTGTTGATGCGGACATCTGCGCTATGGGGGTCGCGGATTGTGTGGCCGAAGAGCTCGAGGACTTTGTCGGTGTGCTTGCTGAAGCTGGTGGGGTTGGCCTCAAGCAAGCTGAAGATGATGTAAGATCCCACCTCGCGCTGGGCAACGTCGTTGCTGCTAGCAAGGTTGAAGAGGGCGGGGAGAAGGTCGAGCCACTCGCCGTCTTCGAGGTCGAGAGCTCCAATGGCAGCAACGACACGCGAATCGGCGTGACGGACGGGGGCATTCGGCTCCTTCATTGTAGCTTGTACAAGGTGCTGCCTCACGGCGCCCTTCTGGTCGGCGGGGATCTTCTCCCAGTGCTTGGGCACCAGTCGGGCCGCCTGGATGGCAGCCTGCTGCCGCACACCGACATCTCCGTGCGTGGCGATGAGCTCGATTAGGAGCAACAAGGACCCGGGATGGGCGTAGTAGTTCTTCTGCAGCTCGGCGGTGATGGCTTTGAGCCTCTGGGTATCGGCTGGAAAGACGCAGCACGGTCAGCAAGCAGCACGCGATAGGCGAGAGCCGTGAGGCGGGGAGCGGGGAGATGACAGGAACGGGTTGGGCAGACATACGAGCTTGCGACTCCAAGAGGAGCGCCGCCAACTTCTGCTGATCCATGGCCGACCAAACGACGTGAGAATAAATAATGGGTATCAAAGGAAGGGAATTGGAAGCACGAATGTAGAAGGAAGGAAAAGCTCGTTGGGCACGGCGCCGTGGGACTTTTTGTTGTCGCAGAAAGGCAGAGGAGGACCCCAGGTGCAGAAAATTTTGTATTTTCCCAATTTCCAGTGTGGAAACGGGCGATAAGAGATTACAATCTGGTGCGGGGCAGAGGGGGGAGGAAAGCCAGGAGGAGCACCAACAGTGGGACGCGTTCCAAGCCAAAACACGCTAGTCCCAACCAGAACTACATGTGGGACTATATGTGGCTGAAAACAACAAGCGCCACAACGCCATTCAGCGGTCTCTGCCGTTGCATAAAATTGAACCAATCAAGACTCCGCTCCTCTTTCCGTAGTGGAGCTTCCACTGTGGAGTTTTCGTGCAGGAAATGTCAACGGTATCCATCCGCACTTGCAACTTTGCATTGTAATGCCTTTTACTTTTCTTCATGACTCCTTTTTGTGCCTGTCTGTATCAAATTTTTCTTGCACGTAGAAATATGCTTCTGAAGCCTATTCGCAAGGTTTTGGCCAACTTTTTCCGAAATGTGCATGCCAAACGGCCACGTACGGATACAGCGAGTGGCGTTTATCTAGAGACCTTGGCATCCTAACGGCTTGCAGACGAGTTCTGTCTTTCATGCAATCCTTTCTGCACCATTATTCAGTAAGACGTGGGTCCGGATATTACAGGGGCTCCCCCACGAAGTTTGACAGGCAATTGAGTCAGACATGGGATTGGCCCCAGACCTGAGTCACGAAAATATTCGAGAAGAGGAGAATATGTGAAGAGAAGAACGAAGAAAAAGAAAAGGGGAGATAAATAAAACAAAAACTAGCATGGTCTCGTTCATGCAGAACAACATGCTGGACTAGGAACTGATTAGCCACTTGGTGGCTGCACGCAAGTGTGGACCCAAAAGCGCCGGCATGGACAACGTTCCCCGGCGCGTGTGGCCGTGTCTTGGGACTTGGTGCGGTGTTATCAAGGTGGATTCTTGCTATAACCAAATCCTCACGACTGAGATGCCGGTGGACTGGAGGTTGCCGCTGTTGATCTCTTGCCCCTCCTTTCTCCTCTCTCCATGGGAATCAAGCTATGCACCGGGGCCCAAACCCTCGATTGACAGTAGAGACGGCACCAAGTTGCGGGATATTCTGTCTCGGAAGGAAACAGCTGCCAAAGGCCTCCAGAACCGAGCCACGTGCCAAAATGGGGTGATGGGAATCCACCCAACTCGGACTTGGGAAAGAGCGCCTGGCTCATCGCTTGAGGTGAATTATGTCAGCAAGTGTTTACTTCTCCCCTGAACCTAAGAGACCACGGTGGTCTCCAAGCGGTGCCAGAATTGGCCGTGATTTTGCAGGGAGTGGTTCAAGACAAGATAACAGAAATCGAAAAGTTATTTTCATTGTGGTGATAAATTTAGTTTGTGGATTTTATTTGTTGTGAGTAGACAAGAAATACATAGCATTGACTTAATTAGATAGAAGTTGTTTAATTAAGAGCGAGTCTCCTGTAACTGTTAAAACGTCCCTAGTCACTGTATTCCACCACATATAACCCTAACCCTGCTGGCATACCCACCAGTACATCCAAGATTCTGCCGCGCAGTAATTTACCTCTTTTTACCACAACGCAGCCGAACCTTACACCTTCCACTGCAACCCACCTTCAACAACCACCAAGACATCGTCATCGCCGCATTCAATCGATGCATCGGTATGGCTTCATTTCTTCCTTATTTATTTCGTCGCGCAGTACTAACTAGCGGTAGAAATGGCCGCCCTTGAAGATCTAAGCGATCTTAGCGACTTTGGCGATCTCAGCGATGCGCCGCCCGATGAAAATGCGCCGCCCGATGAAAATGCGCCTGATGAAAATGCGCCTGATGAAAATGCGCCCCCGCCACCACCACTTACGAACCCCCCCCTCCCCGGGCATCGACTTTTTAGTACAAAATATGACTCCCTCGATGATCTTATGGATGATTTGAGCGAATTCGCCGCTTCTGCGCTCTTCAATACCGCTAAATTACGAAGCTCTAACTATGTCAAGGACTTCGGCGCAACGAGGGTTGATTTTGGCTGCCAACGTGGAAGAGTCGTGAAGTCCAGGGCAACAGTGGACAACACCACCACCGAATACAGAGGCAGTAGTTGGCAGGCCGTAGCCAAAGCCCTCAATTATAACGATAGAAAATGGATCTTCGAGCTTCTTCTTGAGTAAATCATCTATTTTTGGCCCTGTTATGTAAGCGAATTTAACGAAGTCAGCTTCGCTTTTTACTATAGATTTGAGCGATTTGAGCGAATCTATGGTCCTGAGCTAGAATTACCGTATTTGGAAGTGTGTTGACGTTGGCGACGGCGGCGAGGTGCAATTGCGGTGCAACTGTGTTGCTAGCGTTTGGAGCGGGGTTGCCAGCGAATGTGGTAATTTTAGCTGTAAAATGTGGTATTTTCATGCGCGGTGAGCTGTAACGCTTGGCGGCCTATGTACACACAGTGACTGGGGACGTTTTAACAGTTGCAGGAGACTCGCTCTTAATTAAAATCATTCATGCCATGCCATTGGCCGCGAAGAAGGTTCTCGACGAAATATTAAGATGTAATTAAATTGATAGAAGGTCTCGATGGGGTTATGGTTTGAATGCAACTGAGGTTTCCCTAGTATTGGCGGCCGCGACTGTGACCTTCGTAAGTTAAGTATCATCTCTCGCTCTATCTGACGGACAAGAGTAACGATACGGCATATAAACCAGCTACCAAAAGCTTCAAGAGAAATTGATAGGTGTGACACGATGAATACTCCTATCAGGGCGAAGTTGTCTGGATTTGAGCCACATACCCCTGTGCTCACAACTGCCCTTCCGTGCTCGAAAATACCCTTGCAGAGGGCAACCCCCTATGCTCTCTCTTCTGTATAAAGAACTACCTAGTAGACTTGAAATCTTAACAAAGATTTAGGGCTTGGACCGCAACTACGAGAGAAATTGACCTGTGTTCCAATGAAGTACTAAATCTGAATATATTTTGCTATTGATCGAGGGTAACAGGTGCGAACTCCATGCTATTTGTGGTGTTTGATACAATGGAAGTACACTGCTCAGGGGTAATTACAAGAATAAACAAAGGAAAAAAGGAAAAAGAAACGAAAACCAAAAGGAATAAAAAGAGGTATGCCGGGTCTCTAGTATATCCCCATAACCAAAGATCTATCCCACTGTATCCAAATGTCATGAAACTCTTTCTACCCAGCCCCAGTGGCTCCTCCACCATTCTAACCGACGCTTCGACTTCGGCCAAACCACACCCACCCTCAACAAACACCGCGAGCGGCTAGTTGGCATAGCCGCCCTGGTATCCCGTCATGCTAGGCCGGCCGCTGCTCTGGTAGCCGGTCATGCCAGGCTGGTTGGGGACCTGCTGGTGCTTGCCTGGCGAGCCGGGGGAGGTCATGGGGAGGATCCCGCCGCGGGAGGGGCCCCTGCTGTCGAGGCTCTCGAGGGTGACGTCGTCCTTGTAGCCGGCGAGGGCGCGGCTGGGGTGGTAGACGAGCAGGATGACGGCACAGATGAGCATGAGCGCGCCGTCGAGAATGAGCAGGTAGATCTCGGACCCCAGCAGCACGCTGTCCTGGCCCGACGCGTACTCGACGGTGCGGAACACGGACCGTACCAGGATCAGGAAGCTGACCGCGTACAGGGCGAGGATGAACTGCCGCCACGGCGCCGCCACCGAGAACGACCGCGCCGTCGGCTCCTTGGTGATGCGGATGTGGAAGATCACGGTGGTGATGATGAACAGCCCGAAGAAGAGCACTTGGATGGCCAACCCCGCGAGCAGCACGTTGCTGCCGAGGTCGCTCTGCTTCTTCGTGTCGGCGTTGGAGAGGATGCCGCCGCCTGGTTTCGCTCCTGTCAGTGCTGCTGCTTCCCCCTTCCACTCAGCGGTGCAGAGCAGACTTACCGGCGCCCTGTGTGAGGAAGGACAAGACGTCACCAGCGACAAAGATCTTGGTCAGCCACGTCGTGCGGACTATGGAGTGCTGGTGGGCGTCGAGCAGGCGCACCAGCCGGCCGAGCATCATGTAGACCGAGGCGGCCATCAGCGCGGGCGCGAGCAGAATGAGCAGCGACTGCATGATGAAGGGGCCGAGCGTCCAGTTCGGCGTCTGGCCCGTGGCGATGACTCGACCAACATATCCAATCGCTTCGACTGTTTGTTGGGGGAAGGCGAGACATGGTAAGCAACTTGGCCGGGGGGGGGGGGGGGGGGGGTCGAGTCGCTCTCGTTGGATCGTTACTCACAAAGACATCCCACCAGAAACGGGATGAAGTACCACGTCTTCTTGCGCACGATGAGGAAGAGGTGCCCGACGGATACGATAGCGAACAGTATAACGAAGGACAGGTTGGCGGCCTTTGACGGGTCGTAGTGGTAGTACTTGAACTTTGGCTTTGCGTCTCCGTCCGACATGGTGAAGAGCCTTTGCGCGGGCACGCTATGCCTCGGGAACTGGTGTTGATTCGATGTTGACAGGGATGACGGACGACGAAGTATTCGGGAAGCGAGCGACGGGCGAGGAAAAAAAGAAATCCAAGACACCTAAGGATGTTGGTTATCGATGTGCTTCGTGGACTGGCCAAGGCAGCCGAGGAGTGTGGGCGCACGGCGCATATAAAACGAAGAAGAGCAACAAGATTTAGCGTGGCTGAGCCAGCTCAATGACTAGGGCCCCTTGTGGGGCGGGGGTGGAAGCGGGTTTGGGAACCGGTGGGTAACAGGGAATAGTCTCCGAACTTGGACCGTGTGTGTTTCTGGGGGGAGCAAAGAGGAAAAAGAGGCTCGCGTGCGTATTTCGTAATGAATCCTTCGAATGTTGATTGCTTACGCGTTTCGATGCAGGCGTTGTAGCTGTTTTGGGCAAGCTTATTTTTATTTACAGGGGGACACTCCGTGTTGTCCACGATAAAGCAATGGAACGGCAACTGCCAAGAGCCCATTGGTACTGACCGCGTGTTCTAGGCCATTTAATCTCCTTCCATTGCACAGAGCTCTGAGCTCAGCCCCATTCCGTGCCTGTCGTATCTCGTAATTAAGGCGGCTACGGAAGTGGGCCCGGGGTTTACCAGACTCCGCCAGAGCCTGGCAGGGCATTTTGTGCTGGGGGCGGGATTTTTCGCTTCGCTTTCGCATCCTCGCCCCATTGGCCAGCGGCAAGGATGACGTTCCACGGTTGGCTGAGCCGCAGCTCAGGGGTCGACCTGCCCTTACCGTTCCCCCATCGGGCGCTACTTACGGCGAACCTCCGATGGTGACACCGTCATGCACCCTTGGCTGTCAGCATTGCTCTCAGACTTTTCCTTTTGACTGGCCCCCGATCGCAAACCCAAAGTTGAATGCCGATTCAAAACCAATTAGTTAGACAGGACGACGCAATCAATTGCTCAGCGATTAATTAGTTACCGAAGCTCATTACGTTTACATATGCCGGCGCACAGCCGATATCTCTTTCAGCACTTGGGATTTCTGGTTGCTTTGTTGCTACCGTCTTATTACGGTGCGTGGGAGCTCATTGGATGTCATTTGACATCCTTAAGGTGGCGGTGGGACCTGGGGCAGAGTCACTCATGCGGTGTTATCTTTCTGATCTGGTTGTGTTTCTCAAACCTCCAATCGCTAGCGGCCCAAGCTGCAGCTGCATCTCAAATCATACCCAAAGTGGCGGTAAGCCAAGCAACGCTCAGCCATGGCATGCGCCATCGAGACTGCAGCGGCTACTTCCGGTCGTCGTCAACCACAGTGTGCTGCTTAGTTAATTATGTCTCCGAGCCGCGTCGACCTAATTGTTAGATAGAAAGATGCCACCGAAAGTCGAACGGAGCACCACACCGGCCAGAGAACCAAGGTTTACGGGTTTCCGCGTGGTCGAATCTCGGTCTGCTGGCTGACGTGTCCCCGGGCCGGGCTTCTCGAGGCGGACGCCAATGGGAACTGGCTGGGTACCGCCCCGCAAAGTCAACCGTCAGGCTCTCATGCCCCCCAACCGCCGCCCTGCATGATTAAGCTCAGTCTTTATCGTGGCTCCGCCCCATCGGTAGATGAAACCCGGCGCGTCTAGGCCCGTTCGCTACCTAAGAACCGGCGCGGCGGTCTTGACATGGTGCACACCCTGCATCTCGGTTTCGGTTTCGGTTTATTGTTCAAATTATTTAGTCTTTGGACCGGATGTTGCCGTCGACGCTGCCCTGCTGTCTCAACAAAACACGAACCGATAACCTGCGAGAGGCCTTTGTTTCCTGTAATGGCAGTCGCAGCTCTACAACATCTGATTAGGTCTGTATTTGGCAGGCGCCATGGCCTTCAGACTCTCCACTGTCTGAGCCTTTACCATTCTCGGCGGGCGCAGTTGCAGTCCATTTTCGTTCCCCGTACAAATCCACTAAGAACAAAGATGTTGACTGAATCGCCAAAAATACAAAATTTTCTCGAGCTACCGAAAGCCTCCTTGCCTCTCTCTGGGTCTCTTACAGTCTATCGACTGCCTTGCCCTTCCAATTATGAAATAAGGCACCGTCCATGGTGGGAACTCCGAAGTTATTTGCTGGTGATGCCCCGACCGACTTCTCTGACAGTTATATGGCATAAACGACTCCGGAAAATGCTGCTGTCTTGGATGAAGTTGACCGACTTCTCTGGCAGTTGTATGCCATAAGCGACTCCGGAAACTGCTGCTGAAATGCTGCTGTCTTGAACGAAGTTGACCGACTTGTCTGGCAGTTATATGGCAAAATGGACTCCGGAAAATGCTGTTGTCTTGAATGAAGTTTCACTTTCACATCCTACATAGGCTTTCCCCCCTTAACTATCCGCCTCGGATAGTATCGTCCGGCGGCAATTAGACGAGGGCGCGTGTTCATCTTCAGACAGAGTCGGGGTCCGTTCCGACTCGCTCATTATGTCCTCTCCTTGCCCCAAATCGGGGTAAACCCCGTTTCCTCCAGCCTGAAAAGTTGTACTGCTGCGCCCCAAAACTCGTGTGCCAGGACTCCATATGATCAATACTGCACACTTGGACCTTGGAAAGGCTTGCGCGGCATCATGCCCACTCACAGTGCTAACCGTGAACGCGATACGGGACGGAATCACGACAGGCCTGGTTCATTCACCTGCTTCGGGTCACGTCCTGTCCTTACCACTCAAAGCATTGTTCATTTTCTGTTCCCGAACCGGCGGTGGGCCAATCGAGAGCAGTTAGGTCCTTCCGTCGGACCTTGGACGCGGGTGGCTGAAAGAGCGTGCGATCTCTGTCTGCTCCTGACGCCAAGTTGGTGATCCGGTATGGTCTGATGCATCTCTTATGGGGGCGCAGCTAAGGCTCAAGCTCTACTCTGGTTGAACCATGTACCCCTTTGCTCACCGACTGACGGAAACACGGATGAGAAACCTAGTGGTATGGATCGTCTACCCAGCCTCCCAACGCCACCTCCTGTCTCGATCGTGGTCTTAAGGAGCCGAGCCGGTTCATCATTGACGTCGCCAAGTCTAACGGGCAGCCTGAACTCGCCATTGTGATGGGATAGCTGTAGCCTACAACCTACAGCCCACAGCCCACAGCCTACAGCTTACAGCCTACAGCCTACGGCCTACGGCCTACAGCATACAGCATACAGCATACAGCATACAGCATACAGCATACAGCATACAGCATACAGCATACAGCATACAGCATACAGCATACAGCATACAGCATACATGTGTACTGTTGCCCAGGCCTCCAGGAAACGGGTATCTGTTTTGTCGGGCTGTTGCAGCGGCAGCTCACGACATTCACGCGCCTTGAACAAAGACCAGCCCCACTATTGATTCAGCCTGTTAGGCTTTTTATCAGAGCCCTGCCACGCCGACTACGAGGTCTACCCCGGTTCTACCCCGGTTTGTGGGCTCCAAGGCTTGACTCGGACTTGGCCATGCTCTCCTTGCCGTGTAACCCAGACTTTCCGATGTATTGCAGAGAATTGCAGAGACTTGATTTCTGCGGGATGCACCAGTACTAGTACTTTCCAGTCATTCTTCAACAATCTCTGTACCCCTTTCCGCAGCCCAAGTCTCATTGCTCACGAGATTCACAGGGTTAGGGTTATGGCGCTCAGTCCCCAAGACGGAGGTATTTCGGAAAGCGCACAGCATTTCCGTCAGCCACAGCATTTCCGTCAGCCACAGAATTTCCGTCAGCCACAGCGACCCCGGCGGCGAAGCTGCTGAATAAGTGGGTCAGGCCTCCATGACATCATGCGCGCCAAAACGGGTGATTATTGCCTTAGTAAGGAGCTTGGCAAAGGCAAAAGACGATGAAAATGGGAGTGAGGAAGGAGCATGTCATAATAAGTCAATGTCCACGGCGCGCTCGCAGCTTCCTCAGCGTGGTGTAGATTTCGTGGGAGATCGGGCATCTCCGACACCGGTCGGCCTAGGGGCACGGCATTCGGGAGCAGACATCCACAGCGGGGCAAGCTGCCCAGCTGCCCCTCATCGGCTTCACCAGTGCCCCGCCCCCAGCAGCGGCACGGTCGAACTCTCCCGATAGCGTTTTGGGAAGGAAAGTCGACGAGAAGGTTATATATTGGGCCGACGTCCGCGATCGACTTGCATTGCAATTTCTAGGCCGTTGAACGATGAGGACAACCGCAACCCACTTTCTCCAAATCCTGAACTCACAGCTCCGACACCCCACCGCCATCACCACCACCACCACCAAAATGAAGCTCCTCTACCCCAACTCGCTCGAGCTCGACACGGCCAGCATCCGGGGCTTCGCGCCCACGCTGTACGAGTACGACGTGCACGCGCGAATTCCCGACCATCTGCTCGACGCCGAGATCCTGGTGACGTGGACCAACAGCGCGGCGAACCTGCGCGACGCCAAGGCGCGCATGCCCAACCTGCGCTGGATTCAGTCGCTCGCGGCGGGGCCCAACGACGTGCTGGGCGCCGGCTTCGACCCCCGCGCCGTCGCCGTTACCACCGGCTCCGGCCTGCACGACCGCACCGTCGCCGAGCACGCGCTGGGCCTGTTGCTCAACGCCGCCCGCCGCTTCTACGAGATGCGCGACTACCAGCTGCAAGGGAAGTGGCCCGGCCACCTCGGCGGCCCGCAGCCCGACCGCGCCCCCGGCAGCTTCCGCACCCTGCGCGACGCCCGCGTGACGGTCTGGGGGTTCGGCAACATCGCCAAGACGCTGACTCCGCACCTTGTCGCCCTCGGCGCCACCGTGCGCGGCGTCGCCCGCCACCGGGGCGTGCGCAACGGGATCGAGGTGTTTGGCGAGGACAGCCTGACCGAGCTGCTGCCGCAGACGGACGCGCTGGTCATGATCCTGCCGGGCGACGCCTCGACGCGCCACGCGCTTGCTGCCGAGCGCTTGGCGCTGCTGCCCAACCACGCGTGGGTCGTCAATGTCGGCCGCGGCTCGTCCATCGACGAGGACGCCCTGCTCAAGGCCCTCGAGGCCGGGACTATTGGCGGTGCCGCCCTCGACGTCTTTGACACGGAGCCCCTGCCCGAGGCCAGCCCCCTGTGGAAGGCGCCGAATCTCATCGTCTCGCCGCATGCTGCAGGCGGCCGGCCGCAGGGCGCCGAAGCGCTGATTGTTGATAACCTGCGCAGGTTTTTGGCCGGTCAGCAGTTGAGGAACGCACTTTAGAGTGGCTGCGTGTTTTGGCTGACGGAGGGCTGATTGAGCTGGGAACTTTGGATGAAAGGAAGCACCATTGGATGGCGTAATTCTTGGATCACGGAGATTCCTTGACAGGTTAGTTTCCTTGGACAGGTTAGTTTGCTTGGACAGGTTAGTTTCCTTGGACAGGTTAGTTTCCTTGGACACCAAAATGTCTGGATAGAGACAGTTTTCATTATCGCATAGTTCATAGCGGTCAGTTCATTAATAGTCGGTCGATTGAGAGATTAGTTTCAAATGACAGGTTTCTAATTCCAATTATCTAAATGGATTCGGGATTACGGATCTACCTTCTTTGACTTTGACTTACCAACAAGGACGGAATTACTTCGTGAAACCACTTATGTGGAGTCACTTGGCTGATCAGCCGAGTCAGTCGAGAACACTCAGCGACGGGATCTTATTCTGGTTGCGGGCGCGGAAGCGCGTAAACTCGGCGTCGTAGGCGAAGCTGGCCGACTCGTCGAACTTGAGCTTGCCCAGCATGAGCAGGGCATTCACGAAGCCCCTGACAGCCTCGGTGTCGTAGACGTCCTCCCTCGTAGTCTCCATCCACCCCATGTCGGGGCTCACGGGCTTCCACACAGTGTAGCCGGTGGCTGCCCACTTGGGGTGCTCAATCAGATCCTTGACAAACTCCTGCCAAGCCCGCTGCTGGAGCGGGGTCTTCCGGAGGTTGTTGCCGAAGCAGATCTGGAATCCCGTAATCTTCATGTGGTTGACAATAGCGCAGGAGCTCATTGTGGCGGAATGGATGATCCGGGAATGAAGTTGAGTGAAGGTGGAGAGTGAATCTGAAGCTGAAGAGTGAATCTGAAGAATGATGATAATAAGTGAAAGTTCTGTACTGTGGAATCCATGGTGCTTTTACACGCTGGCTCGCGGCAACGCCCGGGAAACAATCCCATTGTAGAGTCGGAATGAAGGAAATTAAGGTGTCACAAAGGCCTTTGTGTCACTTTTTTGTGACTTTTTTGTCCTATTTTTGCGGTGTCGATTCCGTGGTTGTCATCGAAGACATTGTGTTAAAGGCTCTTGAAAGAAAGGCCGGGTGACTGGCCCGGAATAGTGCTGGGGCAATTGCAATTACCTGCCACCTTTTCTGACCCAGTGTTGCAAAGTGAATGATCCCGAAATTCATGATGCAAACTCATGACTGCCTACTCTGGCTAGGAATATGCTTAATTGAAAGGGTTACACTCTCAGGGCCCATGGTGGTTCCAAGTCGCAAAGGCACTGTACATTGACATCTTGGATTATCAACATTGACAGCCCGTCAAGTGTCGGAAGGAGCCGCATCTGAGCCACAAGTGGGCGCAGGTGGCGCACATGCTAGACCACTTACAGCCTAGGCTGTGTCAGCCGAATGCCGTATAACTACGGTATCTAGGTCTAGGCCAGCCCACCTTTCTTTTCCTTCCGAATACAAGCACTTTTTTGCCCTCAATTAATGCAGTGTTGTATGTGCCATCAAGCGACTCAAACCCGCAACTGCCGAGTGTCCACCAAAGGAAATGGACTACCTTAATCGCAGCCCCTGGGTAGGCCGCAGAAAACCACCAGAAACACCAATCGAAGCCCGTGCTTCATCACAACACAAATGGGGGGAAGGTTGGTGATCGGCGCCAGGGGCAGCGGCCGAGACGGGATGGCACGTGTGGAACGTCAAACGGTTCCGGCATCCTGAAGCACGGGGCTGCAATTTATCCACCACCCACACCGGCACACGCGCAATTTGCCTGTTGTTGCCGCATCAGAAACCTCAGACGGGCGCGCCTTGGCGTACGCAACTTGCTCGCCTGCCCCGTCTGCGTACGCAACTTGCTCGCCTGCCCGTCTGATGTCTGTGGAACCCGGGGAAAAAAGGGGGTTGCATTTCTCTTGAGGTCTTCACAATTGGCGTGTCATGCTTCCGTGGAGAACGAGATCGACAGCTCATGCGGCAGCGCCGACACACATGAGATGTTTCCTCGGCTTCTCTGCCCCGGGCGGGTGAGGGCGAGCATGACGGTTGCGGGCGCAGAGATGCGTGTGTTTAAAAGAGCAGCCGGCCCAGCCCCAGGCTGCCAGATCTGTTGTTTCTTTCCTTTCCTGGTTATCCCTGGACGATTGTTGAACGAGATTCGCTCCTTTTGGTTCGCTCCTTTTCGTTGCTTGGCCTGGTAAATCAGTTTTCTGTCCTGCTTCTTTTAATATCTTGCACTCATTCGCTTCTTATTCGCTTCTTATTCGCTCCTTTATATACCTGTATACCACCTTGCCCAGCGATGGCGTCTCTCAGGCTAGCAGCTGCGCTGCCCCTTTTCGCCTCCCTCCTCCACCCAGCCCACGGCCAGCGCATCGGCACGCTGGTGCCCGAGGTGCACCCCAAGCTGACGACGCAGGTGTGCACGGCGGCGGGTGGATGCGTGAGCAAGCAGACATCGCTGGTAACGGACGCGCTGTCGCGGCACTTCCACGCGGCCGACGACGCGTCCGTGTCGTGCTCGGCGCAGCCGCTCAACACGACGCTGTGCCCGGACGCGGCCACGTGCGCGCAGAACTGCGTGCTCGAGGGCGTCGAGTACGGCAGCATCGGCGTGCTGGCCACGGGCGCTGCCGTCACGCTGCGCCAGTACCTGTTCGACGGCGCCGCCTTCAAGTCGGTCAGCCCCCGCGTCTACCTGCTCGCCGAAGACGATATGAACTACGAGCCCATGCGCCTGCTCAACCAGGAGCTCGCCTTTGATGTTGACCTGTCGCGCCTTGGCTGCGGCATGAACGGCGCCCTGTACCTGTCCGAGATGGACATGTCGGGCTCCCGCAGCGCCCTCAACCCCGCCGGCGCACAGTACGGCACCGGCTACTGCGACGCGCAGTGCTTTACCGTGCCCTTCATCAACGGGCTGGTGGGTTCTGTCCGCTCCCGAGCCCGTGACTACCTCCGCTGACCTTTGTGTGTCCAGCCCAACCTCAACAACTCAGGCTCGTGCTGCAACGAGATGGACATCTGGGAGGCCAACGCCGAGGCGACCGTGTTCACGCCGCACCCGTGCAGCAGGGTGGGCTCGTTCCTGTGCGCGGGCACCGAGTGCAACAAGACGGTCGGCGTGTGCGACAAGGACGGCTGCGGTCTCAACACGTTCGGGCTCGGCAACCCCGACTACTATGGGCCGGGGCTGACGGTCGACACGTCGCGGCCGTTTACCGTGGTCACCCAGTTCCTGACCAGCGACAACACCACGGCCGGCGACCTCGTCGAGATCCGCCGCCTGTACGTGCAGGACGGCGCCGTCATCCCAAACACCGCCAAGACCACCAACGCCGCTGTCGCCAAGCTGCCCGGCTACCAGGGCGCCGTGACTCAGGACTTCTGTGAGGCGCGCAACACGTCCGACTTCTTGCGGCTCGGCGGCGTCAAGGCTATGGGCGAGTCGCTCGCCCGCGGCATGGTGCTCATCTTCAGCATCTGGAACTCGCCCGGCGACTTCATGAGCTGGCTCGACGGCGGGAGCAACGGGCCGTGCAACGCGACGGCCGGCGACCCCAAGACTATCATCGCCAACAACCCGGACGTGTCGGTTACCTTCTCCAATATCCGCTGGGGAGACATTGGGTCGACGTTCAGCGCCGCCACGTCGCCCGGCGGTGGAGCGTCGAGCGCCGCCGCCGAGGCCGGCGGCAAGGCTGCCCTGCAGGCGTCGACGTCTGGGGCCGTGTCCGCGAGGCAGGCGGCTGTGGGCGCCGTGGCGGGCCTGACGGCGTTGCTGGGAGCGTTCCTCGCTTAGGAGGGGTTTGGGTAGACAACCCGAGTGTTCGTCGAGCGAGCCGGGGAGAGGCAGCCTGGCCTTTGAGAGACAATAAGGCAGCCTGACCTTTGAGAGAAGATACATGTAGATACACGTAGAGGCAACCTGTACATAGATGGCGTGTTTGTAGTTACCGAGGAGCACCAATCCCCGATTTTCCCACCATGCCGCCTGGCCAGCATGACGTCGATATGCAACTACTCGCACCCTGAACTGCAGCTGAACGACGGGCTCGTGCCCCTGGGATCCGGGGCCTTGTTTCCCCACAACACGGACATGTACGAGCGCTTCTCGGGGCTGTACGGCCCGGGCACCATTTACTGCTGACACCTGATCATCGTCTAGCGCGTCGTCACCCTGGTGTATACTGTGTCCGAGGTTGTGAGGTATGTGTGGGACTTGCGGTAGGCGAACTTGCGGAATGCGGGCGCACGAGACGTGCCTGGGGCCGCTGAGGAGGGGGTTGAGCAAGTAGAGCTGTTACCGGCTTTTCAAAGTGCAGAGTTAGGAGCAACACAGCGCTAGCAAACATAGCAGTTAAAAATAAATTGCATTGCATGCTAGTCATTACTATGCACCGGTACAATTTCTTGGTACGCGAGACATAAAAGGAACACCCTCAGCCTTTTCCTAGACTACGCTTTCCTCCATCGGTCAACTTCATTTCCGCTACTGTATATCGACCCATACATGGATATAAATTTTCAGAGCCATTGTAACGAGATACCGCTTAATAAAGATTTGAAACTCCCTAATCTCAACTTCAAGGTCTTTATTTGCGAGGTTCACTATTGTACCCATGCCCGTGCTGTATAGACGGGAGGGATTGGCAGCCAGAGTGTCAACCAAGGACGGGCAGTCTGTTTCTGCCTCCTCCACCGCCGCCAGGCCGATTGAATCGGCAATTCCAGCATGGGCTGTGCATATTGAGGGCTTGAAGTCAATCGCAATAACGATATAATCTTTCCGGTGGCGTGGATGAGGGCGACGAGAAACCTTTATGAAATGCCGAGTCATGGTGTTTTGACCCCAGTAAATTCTATTGAAAGGGTGTTACAACGGTGGATAAAATGGTCTTCTAATCTTTTTTTTGGGGAAAGGGAAATGCTACAGCGCCTGTTCTTTTCATTCTTCCTTTTCCACTTCCCATTTCCGCACCTCCGGGGCCTTCATGAGTATGGTCCCCGCGGGGAATTGCTCACAGGAGGCAGGAGAGAAAGGTGATACCTGTGGATTTGTCGGATGTGAGTACAGACCTATGCTGCTGCCGTAGTTCAGGTTCTTCAGCTGGTAAAGCTGAAAAAGATAGGGGAGACGCGGCCACTGCATTGCAACCAGGGAGCGACGTGCTCAGCAACGTGTGTCTCATTGCCACACACGCAACTAGGAACTGAACGTGGATTCTGCGGCTCAGCAGAAGACTGTACAATTCACACCAAATATTTTACAGCGTCCGGAATCCCGGTTCCTGACCTACTAATCAACCCAAAACTTTAATATGACCTCAGCCAGGGCCGGGAAGCTAACGTCTCCAGCGGCAGCATCTCTTCCGAATGCGCCATGTAAAGTTTATTATAGGGGGGTTAGGAAGAGCAGCAGCAAAACCAGTACTCGTACGAATACGTAGGAAATTCCTGACGATATAATCCTAGAGCCCAACCAATTTAGAGAGACGGTCGGAAATTTCAATAGGGATAACAGGCAAACTCCACGACTTCGTAGGGGGCGGCAATACCTATACGCTAAGTAAGGGTATAAGAGAAGACGGCGTAACCGGCGCGCCACCCCCCATTTCGAAGACCCCGTCGTATGTCGCTCTGGGAGAAATGTTATCAAGACTGCTAACGGGATCTTGACCAGCCAGTTGCCCAATTCTTTCCACGGAGAGCGAAGGCCATCTATCAACGATTCCAATGGGTCTATCCATAGTTCCATAAATGGCCGCATTTGGCCTAGGGATGCCTCATAATCTCACCAAATGGGCGGCGACAACTCCCAAGCGTAGAGCATCAAGACCAAAACAAAAGTTAACATGATAGGGAGACTAGAGATGCGCCATAATAGAATTTCTAATGTGGTGGCGAAAGGAGCGTTCCAGGCGAGGCAATGCAAGCCCCCGTACGCAAATCCGGTAACCGCGAGCCCAATGAAAAGTGCTCGAGCTTGCCGAATGCCATTGACACTCGGAAAGTTGCGAACACGGTTCGAAACACGATCGGAAGGAACAGTTTCCAGAATGCGTGACTGGGCGAGTGAAGACAACAACTTCCGGCCTCGCAAATCGGTTTCATGGAGGTCAACAGTTATAGTTGCTCTCAGGGCCTTGGCATTGCCGCCATCAGGCTGGCTAGCAAGGTGAGCAAGGAATACACCGTGAAATTCGTCAGAAGTGGATGAAGGAAATTCAAGGCGTTGAAACTCTGGGGGACATTCAGCTGTTTTGTCGTGGACTTCGGCGAGACACTAATTGCGGCGCCGGTCCCGTGGGCTGCGCACGCTCATCGTTAGATCTGATAAAGTCCCAGCACTTACTAGGATTTGAGTTCCCTTCCTTCCGATTGTAGCAGTAAGATCCCCCGTTTTCCGTGGTTGGCTCAGGAGAGGCCTTCTCTTTACCAAGCCCGACAGCCCACCTCCTAGAACCAGGTCCCGATGATACGACAGGAAAGAAAATGTGACTGCCGACGCTATCCATGTTGTCACCCTATTTTGGTTTCCTTATTTTTCGAGAACCATGGAATTTGCGAAAAAGCTCTGGCCTCGCTAATTCCGTTCCCTTCCATGCTGGCTCAATGTTAATCCGCACCCACGTATCCTGGTGCCATCGCACCCACTCAGATTCGCGGTTGAGGTGAATGGCTGACCATACGCAAAGACCAAGTGTTAGAGGCAGGTGGACAAGACGCCAAATGTGCCTCGAAACGTCGGCTGGGGCTGCCATGGCGAGGTTTGGTTCACAGTTGATCCACTTCCGAAAAGGCTTCTCTTCGCCTCTTGACTCGATCTGAAGTATTGGGTGCTCGTGGCTTGGGCAAGGTGAGATACAGGGGTCGAGGGTGGAAGGTAAAATGGAGTTCCTCAACCCGGTCGGCAGGAGCCTGACGTGACTGACCATGCCCAACATATGTGGGGATGGCCGATGTCTCCCTGTCGCCGAGATCGGGCTGCGACACTGCGGTCCTGGACTAACCGGTCCTCGAAAAAGTTGAGGCACAGCCCTTCCAGCTTCTCACCCACTTCCACTGCCTGCCACAGCTGAATCCGGCCTATGCTCAGCCGCACAGAAACACCAAATCCGAACTCGGTCTTCTTCGGTTGCTTTGTCGAAAAGGTCTCAAAGACAGGAACAAGAAGTAGATATTAAATTGAAACTAGGGTAACGGAACAATAAAACAAGCCGTCACTTTAACGGAGCGTCAATCAACTAATTATTTCCTAGTAATGTATTCACTAATTGCGTAAAAATAATGAAGGTGAAGAGGGATGTAAGAGAAACCGAAGCTATTATACTTCAAGCTTCAAGCAACTGTCGTAATTAAACATTTACCTTATAAATTGTCATGTTTCTAATTGCAACGACACAAGCCATATAAGGCAACCCACAAGCCATCTAAGGTAACCCCATTCACACGCAAAATGGTCGTGCATGCATTCCATCAAACTAGCAGCATGAGGATCAGCAACAACCGAGTCCGACCCGGCCAATAAGAGCGGCGCGCATCTCGTCTTGCCTCTTCTCGTTCTAGCCCTCTTATCACCGCACTGATGGGCCGGAATTTTATGCTGCCGTTTGCTGCGGCCACGACTTGGGCGTTCAGGCCCTTTATTAGGCAGCCGCCTGCATCCTTGCCCACGCTATGTCCCCTCTGCCACAAGGCATAGGCGGCCGCCGACTGCACGTTTTGCCCCATTTCCTTGCCATGCTAGCACTTTGCACCGACCAAAACTCAAGATAAAATGAAGATATCTTGATAATACCGCAATCAGATAGGTTCAGCGTCATGATTGTTTCATTCATCTAATCAATCGATCACCAAACCAACGCGAAACCACAATGGCCGACCCACTATCCATCGCCGCGAGCGTCACGGGCGTGCTGGCCTTCACAGCCAAGCTGACACGAGAGGTCATCACACTGGTATCCGACGTGAGGGACGCGCCCCAAGAGATCGTCGACCTGCGGTTCGAGCTGGAACACCTGTCGTCGCTGCTGCACTCGGCGCACGACCTCTCGCTGCGCAACCCGCTGCGGCCCGAGGACAAGCCGCTCGAGGCCACCGTCGAGGACTGCCTCGACCGCTGCCAGGAGGTCATGCGCGACATCAAGGACCGCCTGAGCTCGTTCCTGGCCAAGGGCAGCGGGCGCAGGAGCCCGCGCCGCTTCTTCAACTCGACATACTGGTACTTCCGCAAGGGCGAGATCACCAAGTTCAAGGAGAGACTGCGGAACTCGCGAGCTATGCTCGACGTGTCCGTCAGCGTGCTGAACGGGTGAGTGGCGGACTACATCTCCCCGGTAATACGCAGAGTTGGCTCATGACAGGCGCAGGCACTTGGTGGGCAAGGGCCAGCAGGAGATCAGAGACGAGATGAGCCGCGGCATGGACAGGCTGGCGTACCTGTTCGAGAGCGCCGAGAACGCGCGCAAGTTCCACCGCCGGCTGCAGGACGACCTGGAGAGCGTGTCGGCGTTTGGAGGCCGGCGGGCGTCGGTGTCTGACGCAACCGACGCTGGCCTGCCGATGCGGAAATACCTCGAGCAATACCACAACACAACCAGCCTGGCGCCTCCAACGGTGGTGATGCAGGAAGAGTGAGCATAGATCTTGTGCTGTACCGGTAACTATTTGAGTCGACGGGCTGACCAGCCTCCAGCCCCCCAGATGGCGACAGCGTGACGCTGGCCTCAGCCAGCGAGATGGTCGCCGAGGAGACACCGTCGCTCGTGCAAGCCGCACAGGCAGGCAACGCACAGCAGGCGCGGGCGCTGATATCGCTCGGAGCCGAGCCGTCGGCGCGGCTGCACGACGGGCGCACGGCGCTGCACTTCTGCGCCATCTACGACGACGTGGCCACGGCCGAGGTGCTTCTCGAGCACGGCGCCGAAGTCGACGCCACAGACCAAAAGTCTCGGGCGCCCATGAGGGTCGCCCTGAGCAGCGAGTCGTACGCCGTGGCGGCGCTACTGCTGCGCAAGGGCTGTGCCGTCGAGAAGCTGCTCCCCGCACTGCTCGACGCTGTCAGGGACGGGGAAGGGATCCCAGGGTTCAAAGACTTCCTGGCTGCGCTGCGCGAGCGCCTCGACGTGCCGGAGGGAACACCGCACTTATTGCATGAGGTGATTGGACGCGAGGACGACACGTCGCTGCGTCTCTTGCTCGAGGGCGGGTTCGACCCAAGTACTCGAGATGCGTGCGGTGAGAAACCCTTTTGATTTCCTCCCCTGCTTTCCTCCCCTGCCATCTCAACACCGGCTGACGATATTTCGTCTTTGCGCAGGAATCTCGCCGATCCACCACGCCATCATCCTCAAGCGGCAGTCGACGGTCAAGCTGCTCCTCGAGCACGGCGCCGACAAGAACGACTACCTGCCGCCAGAAACCCACGACCGCCTGCGCGAAGAAATTGCCTGGCACCGGCCGCTGTTCCCGATGCTCGTCTCGGGCATCACGCCCATCGCAACGGCCGCACGGGCCATGACCGACCCGAAAATGCTGCTGCTGCTGCTCGAAGCCGGCGCAGATCCGAACTGGGAGTACCCGTCGGACGGTAAGCTTTACCCCCCCTATAATTACCATGCCGTAACCATCTCTGACAAATTCCAGGCGTCATCGCGCTGATCGGCCTCTGCGCCAGCCAGTACCTGGACTCCGCCAAGCTGCTCGTCGACTTCGGGTCGCACGTCAACCACAAGAACCACACGGGGCACAGCGCGCTGTACTGGTCGGTCGTGTGCGGCAACGACGCGCTGCTGCAGCACATGCTGGACCGCGGGGGCGGCGACCTGGGAATCGTGTGCGAGGCCGACGGCCGCTGGACGCTGCTGCACGCCGCCGCGTATCAGAACCGCGCCGACGTCGCGCGCACCCTCGTCGCGCGCGGCGCGGATCTGCTGGCGCGAGATGCTAGGGGCCTGACGCCAGCTGATGTGGCGGTGGCGTATGGGAATGGGGACATGGCGAGGTTCTTGGGGGAGAAGACGAGGGAGGTGGTTGAGGCGTCAAGGGCGGGGGATGATAAGGGGTGAGTTTTTAGGCTCAGGCGTCAAGGGCAGGGGATGGTGAGGGGTGAGTTTTTAGGTTCAGGCGTCAAGGCGTCAAGGGCAGGGGATGATGAGGGGTGAGTTTTTAGGTTCAGGTGAGGGGGATCAGGTTAGGGGGATTAGGTTAAATGTGTGCTAAAAAAGACGAGTTTGCAGTGCGATCGAGGCCACCTTCAAGTGGGAAGCCGGGAAACGCCCTGTTGCGCACGTCCATCGGAAGGTGGCTTAGACAGCGAGTATGATAGCTCAAGATTGTTCAGTCCTTGTCGTTCCTGCATTCAAGTGCCTTGCCTTGTTGCCGAGTTCAGGCAGCCGATATCCTTAGACTCTTGCCGTTCCACTAACACAACGTCTGAAGTCAAATTCTCCGGTATTTTGTCAGGGGGTCAACGGACGAACACCACCTGTTACTTTGAAGAAACCAATAACAAAAAGACGGAAAAAAAGAAAAAAATTCCGCCGTTTATCTCTGTCCCAAATTCCATAATCGGTCATTCTGCATGAGCTGAGATGGAGAGAGGTGTTGCACATTGCTTCTTGAACTGCCTTTGCTGTTTAGCGAAGAGGAGAAATGCGCACAGGGTTAGGGTTGATATGCAAATATCCAACAACCCCACCAGCAGCCCCTCGGTATCGGCAGTTGGGGTCTTCGGTCGAGTCGCATCAGGCCATGACATCATGGGTCTGACGCACGCCAGGACGCCGCCGAGACCGCCGATCGCCTGGCGCCCCAGTGGCAGCGCTGGAAGGGGCGCTTCTCAACGTCATTGAGGAGCACTAGCCCTGGCTTTTGTCGAGCACAGCATCCGCATTCTGTCATTGCCAATCCAAGTCTCCCGCGTTTACTGTTTTGTGTTCAGTTTGCTGGCACTTTCCGCAGCGCAACCCGCTGAGCGTGCCTGTCTAACCTGAACCCAATTCACACGGACCGGCACTCAGTAAGCAGGAACAGTCCACAATGCAGTGCCTCACTATTTCCGTGCATTTTTGCCACCACCGTCCCGACTTTCCCTTGCCCTAGAGCAGCTAATGCCTTTTCACGATCGAGTGGCCGCCCTCGCTCTTGCCCGCACTCAATCTCAATCGCAACCTAGAACCCCCACCCGCGGAACACAACCGAATTAAACACAAAACTGGCAACACGTAGAATGGCCGACACGACGGCTGACACTCGCACAACACCGCAGCACGGAAATGGAAACACGAGCGCGCCCCCAGACACGGCCAACGGCTCCGCCGGCAGCACCGACGAGCCCAAGGGCGCAATCTTGCGAGACATGTCGGTGACGTCGGGGACGCTGACGGGGCCGGTGCCGGACCTGCCCGAGGCGCACGGGCTGCCGCGCCTCAACTACAACCTGTGGGACTACAAGACGAAGCTGTTCGTCGTGACGGGGCTGCTGGTGGTCGAGTCGAGCCTGCTGCCGATCGCGCTGTTCTACGGGCTGTGGTTCTCGACGACGCTGCGCCACGGCATCATCTTTGCCATCATCACGTCCTTTTTTGGGTTAGTGACGGGCATCGAGTTCGCGCTGCGCTGCTGGAAGCTCATCTTGCCGCGCGACGAGTACCGGCCCGTCGGCGGCGGCCGCTGGAGGTTCGACTTCACCCACATGACGCTGTCGTGCGGCTACACCATCATGACGGGCATCCTGATCGGCGCGTCCATCCCCCACGAGCCGCTGGTGCGCCCGCTCGCCATGCCCGTCCCGCTGTTCTTCATCCAGCTCGGCCTGCAGCTCATTGCGACTGGCGTCATGAGCGCCCGCGCCGTCCCCGCCCCGTGTCGTATTAGCTCCGTCCCCAAGGGCGCCCGCACCCCGCCCCTCGTCTACACCCTCGTCGAGGACATTGTCGCCGTCGACGGCGCCGCCGGCCTGTCGTACCGCAAGGCTCTTTCAGCGCGCTACGAGGCCAGTTCGGCGTTCCGCAAAATGATTGCCCAGCAGAACTGGTTCTGGGGAGTCGGCGCGCTTGTCGATGGCGTCGGCACCTTGGCCGTCGTCTGGACGGTGCCGCAAGAGGTTGCCTACGGCGTCGGTGCGTCTTGTCTTTCTCTTGGGCTGTCGGCCCCTTTCTTGTCGTCATGCTAACAGTCTGTGCGCTGTCTAGGCTGGGGAAGCCCGTTTGTCTTCACCATCGTATGGACCGTCACCACGGTCCTGTGGGTTCGCCGCAGCCTGCGCGAGGAAAAGAGGCTGTGGCGCACGAGCCACGACCAGAGCGCTCCGAAAACATGATTTATCGCGTGTTTCGAATGCGGTGCGTTGCCTTGGTGGTACCCTGGCATACCTTGGATAGAATTGCACTTTACCGGCCTGGGCTTCGGGCTTTGCGTGTATTTGATCAAAACATAAATGTCACTAGTATGGTTGTAACATCTTGGCAAACAGCTCGAGTTACTTCGCTCCTCTCGCGCGACTCCAAGCAAACGAACGACGAGGTAACCCGACGTGATGCCCAATGAGGTTGTGTTGTTGGTTGTGAGTGTGGGTTCCACAACACAGACAAGGGAGCTGGTGCAACACGGGATTGGCGCGCTTGCAGACTTTTAATCTATTCGGGGTTATCAGGCGGGTTAATACCCGGTTTGGCCTGAGGAGCGCCGCCGCTTCGGTACAACAATACGGCGTGCGGAGGGAGCTTCCTCGAACATGATCAGCCGCGAGACGGGAGAAGCAAGCAAAACATTGCCACCAATGGTGGCTTGTCAATTTTCACTGATTCGTGTGCATTTATATGGTGGGATTATCTGTGCAACTTGGCTACTCAGGGCCTGGTCATGGGAATATCTTCCTGCTGTTCAACTATTAACACTTGCCCGGGCTAATGGGTTCATAAAATTGACGACATTCTCCGAATCGTCGACCACATTCTCCGAATCATCGACCACATTCTCAGACGAGACTGAAAATCACCCTCGCCTAAGATGAGGGCCAAGAACGCCGCGGCGCTGGCTGCGAGCTGCCTCGCTGCCGTAGCCACCTGCCACGACGTCAACACTTCACCGGCTCCCCAAGCCGCAACCTTTTCCAACCCCGTGCTCTGGCAAGACTACCCGGACCTGGACGTGTTCCGCGTAGGCGACGTCTTCTATTACTCATCCTCGACCTTTGCCTACTCGCCCGGCGCGCCCGTGCTGCGGTCGTACGACCTGGTCAGCTGGGAGCCCGTGACGCACAGCGTCCCGCGGCTCAACTTTGGCGCCAAGTACGACCTCGGGCCCTCGTCCCAAGCCTACGTCAAGGGCATCTGGGCGTCGAGCCTGCGGTACCGCGCGTCGACCGACACGTTCCACTGGCTAGGCTGCGTCGAGAGCAGCCGCACGTACATCTGGACGGCCGCGGGCACCGCCGCCGGCCGCAACCGCGGTGCTGTGGCTAACGCCAACTGGAACTGGACCAGCCATACTCCACCGCTCGCCTCGTGCTACTACGACGCCGGGCTGCTGGTCGACGATGACGCCGCCGAGACGCTGTACGTGGCCTACGGCAACACGCGCATCCGCGTCGCGCAGCTATCCGCCGACGGCCTGGCCGAGGTCAAGTCGCAGGAGGTCTACGCCGCGGCCTTCACCGTCGAGGGCTCGCGCATGTACAAGATCAACGGGACGTACTATATCCTCGTCACGCGCCCCGCGGCCGCCGAGTACGTGCTCAAGTCCACTACCGGCCCGTTCGGCCCGTACCGCCTCGCGCCGAAGCCGCTAGTGTCGAGCATCGCCGGGCCATTGAGCAGCGCTGGCTACGCGCACCAGGGCTCCATCGTCGACACGGTCGACGGGAAGTGGTACTACGTCGCGTTCCTCGACGCGTACCCCGGCGGCCGCATCCCCGTCGTCGCGCCGCTGACCTGGACGCCCGACGGCTGGCCGCAGCTCGTCACGGATTCTGCGGATCGCTGGGGGGCCACGTACCCGCTTCCGGTCGTGAACAGTAGCTGGGCGAAAGCAGTGCCGTCGCCGCTCGGCACGGACGCGTTTGAGGGATCCGCGCTGAGCCACGCCTGGGAGTGGAACCATAATCCGGATGACGCCAGGTGGGGGCTCGCCGGGAGTAGCAATAACACCAGTGGCAGTGGCAGTGGCAGTGGCAGTGGCAGCGGCAGCGGCAACAAGGGAGGCGGGCTGGTGCTGCAGACGGCTTCCGTGACGACGGACCTGTTCGCGGCGCGCAACACGGTGACGCAGCGCATCCTAGGCCCCAAGGCCGCCGGCACGTTCCGGCTCGACGCGCGGGGGATGCGCGCCGGGGACCGCGCCGGCGCCGTCCTCTTCCGCGACCGCGCGGCCTATATTGGCGTGTGGGTTGACGACAAGAACAGCAGTGCGGCGCGGCTCGTCGTCGTCAGCAACCTGACGCTGGCGCAGGGCACATGGGCGACGGCGTCCGCGGGGACGGTCGTGGCCACGGGGCCCGCGTTGGCGGCGGATGTGCTGGGCGACGTGTGGCTGCGCGTTGACGCTGATGTGACGCCTGCGTTTGGGACGAGTACCGAACGCACGGCTACGTTTGCGTATAGCGTGGATGGCGGGAAGAGTTTTGCGCGCCTGGGCCCGGCGGTGGCGATGAGTAATTCGTGGCAGTTCTTTTCTGGGTACCGGTTTGGTGTGTTCAATCATGCTACCCGCGCGCTTGGAGGTGAGGTTACTGTCAAGAGCTTTACTATGAGCCAGTGACGGAAGGGTGATTAGAGTGTGCATATTTGGGTTTGTGGGATACATTCGGGGTTGTGATTATATATTTATTCTATGCCGGTATGATAACAGAATCCGTTGGGGTGATGGTCAGTCGCACTAGCTGGCCCTACCACAGAATCGTGTGAACGGAAGCTGGCCAGCCGTCACAGTATTCTTCTAGTTCACATAGAATTACGTACCACGCCAACAAAACTTGAGAGAGCCGAGGCCACTATTCGACCTAGTTTAGCGAGCTGGGCAACTCACCGCGTAAGCTACCGGTGGTCCCTAGGAGCCCAAGACCGGGACTAGAGCTTCCTTTGTTTGGGTTCCTTTCTCCCCCTTCTCAACCCTTATTCCAGTTAATAATCATTCCTTCATTATGATTACGTTATTTTGATTGGCATACTTTTTCGTGTTCAGTGTAGTTAAGAAGTCGTGATTACTCTTGATTTCGGGGTTCAACAGCGTAGCCTACCGGTCTATCAAATCCGGTACTCGTCAGGGCTCGGAATGCTATCTATCTAGAGACTAAAGGGTTTACCCCTTTAGTCGCTCGGCGTAGAGCCTTGGCTCGTATGTAATTCCAGATCAGAAACTCGACTCGCTTCGTTTCGGATCTAAGACGACCTCTTCCACCCACTCCGGGTTTACCTGTAATTCCCCGGAGAAGAACTCCTTGAAATTGGCATGGTTCTTGAGGAGCTTCCCGAATTCTTTGACATCGGGTGCGGCGCCCCAGGGGCGCGCAGCCTTGGGCATAAACCTTTCCAGGTCGGCACGCTCGTCAGGGCAAGGCCGGCTGGAAATCAGGAAGAAATCTATTAAACATGCAGGAATACTGCAGCTTCTCACGAACCATGACGAGCGGGCATCCCGGGGAACCTTTTTCCGATGCTCCCTAGGAATACCCACCGGGAGACAAGTAGCGGCCGGACAGTCTCCTGCACTCTAGGCCATGGCGCGTGTGTCGGGAAGCACTAGGCATATGCTTTTCCGAAACCCGAAGATGTGTTTTCTCATCCATCCCGCTGGGTGCGCGTCATATTCGTCTTCGTAATTAATAATTATATGACTTTGTCCTCAGATGAACAGACCGTCCTACACCAAAAGGCTTCAGGGAACTACCTCAGGTAAAATAATCGCCTTCAAATTACAAAGGAAGAAACTCATCGTAGGGTGATATTGGTCTCGATCGCTCATCAAGAACGATGGACTTCCAAGGTTCTAATTACGGGAAAAATTTCATTCGTCCGAAAACATTACGAATAGGGGAATTAGAAACAATGACTTCAACAACCCCATATTATCATTCATAGCCCATCATTACCACCAACACTCGACAACACTCAACAATCGGTTGGCCCTCATGAACAACTCTGCAGTCGCGTCATGTGTGCATCGAGTCGAAAATGTCGGACAACTGGTCTCAGCCGCATCAGGTATTTGAGCGTGAAACACCTGCGCTGCAGCTCCTTGAATTTACTTCACTTCATAGCAGCTAAATAAGCGTTCAAGCCTGTTAATTCCGCATAACGAATGCATCGGCACTGCTATTTTCCCTTTGTTTGTCACCGCCTTCCTTGGCTGTCCAGCGCCCGACTGCCAAGTGTCACGCGTTGCACAGCCAGCTCTCGCGTCGAACTCTGCAGCCCATTGGCTGCCTTGGACGCCACCAACCTCCTCAGCCGTCGGGCCTCACTTCTGACACAGGACAAAACACCAGCTGGCAGCCCCCACAGCCTCCCCACGGGCAGGCTGTACAAGGTTGACTGGCGCGCTACTGGCAAGTTCCGCGATTACCTGATTGGGTTGCCATGTTCTCCAAGACTGTGCAGTCTAAAAATAAAGCACACATCACCCTGACCGTGGCCATCGGACTTACAAGATGGCTGTCACTAGACGGTGCTGCTGGAGAATGACACGAACAACTGATCGCGAACTGCCACCGCCTGGACGAAGCGGCTGTCATCCCCCGCCGCCACGCAGTCCAGAGTCCTGGGCCGGCAGCGGAGAGAGCAAACATGCAGACGTACTCCGATGGACATGCTCGGCTCTTGCACTCAACTTTGCGGAGCTTTCTGCACTGCCAGCGGCTGAGGCCATTCGTGACGGGTGGGGCTCGAGGAGAAGAAGTTGGTAGTGAAGAACAAAGACGGAGAAACAGATGGAAAATGGAGATATAATTCGTCTTCCCAACCAGTCTTCTGTCAGAGTGCCATCGTCTTGGGTTCCGCCAAAGTCCTTGGCTCTTGGCACTCGACAGAAACCACGGCTAGCCTTTAACTCTCGAATCCATCATGTTGTGGACCAAAGTCGGGGCATTGCTTGCCTTCGCGGGCGGCATCGCCGCCACCAACGAGCCGAGCAAGACGAAAAAATGCATCACGCGCACGCCCTCCGCGACACTGAGCTTTACCCCCGGCCACACCATCTCGCCCACGTACACGACCAGAGGTCTGGGCGGCACCATCAAGCCCCTGACCATGACGCAGACCTTCACGAGCATGGACTGGTCGACCGTCGTGGTGCCCGACCAGGGCATCCCGCCGCCGCCGCCCAGCATTCACGTCTCCAACTCGACGTTCAACTCGACACTAAACCAGACGGTCAACGCGACGGGCGGCAGCCCAGCGGCATTCCGCAAGCGCACACCAGTGTCGCACATCAAGGACTTCCATCTGCCGATCGAGAAGCGCGGGAACCCCAAGTCGGTCGACTGGCGCGGGCGGTGGGGGTGGCAGTGGACAACATCAACACAAGACCAGGGCGGGTGCGGGGCGTGCTGGGTGTTCGCGGCGGTGGCGCTGGTGGAGATGCAGAACCGCATCGAGCACGGCGCGTGGAGCAAGTCGTCCGAGGCGGACCTGCATGACATGATCGGCGTCAACTGCGCCATGGCCGGGGGGCCCAGCGGCGCCCTCGACTGGGCCATCAAGGACGACAAGGGCATCTCCGACCCGCACTGCTACCCCTACATCGGCACCGACCGCTTCTACTTCCCCTGCGGCGACCGCGCCGGCCGTTCTGTCCGCTTGCCCGCGTACACGTGGGTCGCCAGCGTCGACGACCAGAAGCGCTGGCTTAATAATGTCGGGCCCCTCGCCGCGTGCTTCACCTTCTACCCCGACTTTTTCTCGTGGGGCTTCAAGGGCAGCTCGCCGTACAAGTGGGACGGCGTGACCAACTCGACGGGCGGGCACTGCGTGCTCATCGTGGGCTACGACGACAATGCCGGCGGCTGGATCTTCAAGAACTCGTGGGGGACGGGCTTCGGCAACGGCGGATACGGGTACTTTGCGTATGCATCTCCCGGTGTTCCTTGCCCAACAATTCCCGACGGCTAATCGTCTGTGCAGGTACGGTTCAGCACGAATCGACGACGGGCCCAAGCTGGGCATCTCCAACCTGAGCCCCGACCCGTGGGCCAAGAAGAAGCACCACAACGGCATCCTGTCAGTAGTTATCAGACCCCACTCGCAAGCACCAGCCGTGCAGAAATGACTTACACTCCAATGCAGATACGAGTCCGGCAACGGTGCCACACACCGCAACTACGAGATGGTGCGGTCCAACGCGACGGGCGGCTTCACGCACGTGTACCGGCAGGGCGAGGCGCCGAACAAGTGGGCGGTGGTGCAGCCCGTGTTCGAGCTCAACACCACGTCCGGCAAGCCGATCTTCGGGTCGACGGTGTTCGGGCAGCCCGTTATCACGGGCACGTCGTTCAACCGCGACTACGAGGTCGTCTACGTCAGCACGGAGGGCACCCTCGAGACGTGGCACTATTCGCAGAACGTCCACTACTGGTACTATACTACGTCTCCGAGATTCGCCGGCCTCACCCTCAGGGGATACCCGGGCTTTGTGCAGATGGACGACTCATCGTTCTGCGTCGTCGCCCGCACGTCGACGGGGGCTTTGCAAGAGGTCAGTTTTTTTCTCCTCCAGTCTCCACTCGACCATGACACCACAAAGTCGTTGCTGACCCATCGCAGCTGATCCGCGACGCCAAGACAGGCCTCTGGTCGTGGGGCAGCCAAATCGCGGCCAGCGGCATCTTCGCGTCGGGACCGTCGCTGGTTCAGTCCAACGTCGGACTGAACATCTACGACAGCAATAGCCGGGGCAACCTGTATGTGGTCGCCGTGCTCAACACTGGACAGCTGCAGCTGTTCTGGCGGAGCAACGCCATCGGCGCCAGCCACGCGTGGAGGGCGGGCGAGGTGTTTGGGTCGGGCGTGTCCCGCGCGACGCCGCCCGTCATGATCCAGGATTATTGGGGGACTACTGACGAGCGCTCGCCCGGCGGCTTCCAGCTCGTTGTTGTTGTCAACGGCTACGTCCAGCACTGGCAGCGCATCAACTCCAACATTGCGTCCAGCCCGCCCGTCGCCGGCGCCCGCGGCCCGTGGACTCAGATAAGGACTTATGGTAATGGCCACATCAAGCACGTGTGGAGCTTGGTGCAGGGTAGTTTCCGCGGAATCTTGGACTCTGTGATTGAGGACTTCAATGGCGATATGTGGCATTATCAGTTTGTTGGCAATCCCGGCCAGTGGAAGTTGATGGGCATTGTCCCTGGTGTCCGCGGCGGGTTCTAACTTCCAGGGTGGTTTGGCGTGTCTGTTTTGTCTCTTTTGTTGTCGGTGTGTGGGGTGGTTCCAAATTAGACCTAGGAATTGGTTTTGGTTAAACGGTACGGTCCTTGTCATGGCGTCCAGACGCAGGTAAAGGGGGATATTATACCCGGTGATCAGTCCTTGGATATGTATTGAGAACTCGAGAAAGAGTCTATGATGAAGCACGACGAATTGAACTTTGTTCTTGTTTTTGAAACTATCGGGGAATTTCATGGTAAAAGAAAAGACCTTCTCTATGTTGGGGGAATGCGCCAATTTCCTCGCGACCGTCCGACTGGCTTAAAGACGGCTAGATGGCAGAAGGAAGGAGCACCTGATGTCCATATCTCAGCACTCGCGCCATCGCTGTTCAGATGGCAGGTCCACGCTGCCCGCACTGCCGTGCAACGCGCCTGCCTGATGTTGCCACACTCGACAGGTAATTGTTCTAATTACCAGGCGCAGGCACAGGCACAGGCACAGGCACAGGCACAGGCACAGGCACAGGCACAGGCACAGGCACAGGCACAGGCACAAGTACAGGCACAGGCACAGGAACAAGATGTTCGCACGACCAAGTCAATCGCCACAAGCTCCTTCCTTGCCCCGCGCCTCGCTTCTGAACTGACCAACCGTGATACCAGAAACCCGACCTCGACAGGCACCTCCAAACCACCATCGCCAGCCCGCCGTTGTCAGGCACAGCGCAATGGAGAGAACACCATTTCAAGGAATTTTCCCTCCCCAATCGGACCCACCTCCGTCGGTGCTCGAACACCGAAGAACGAAGCAGGTCAGGACGCCAACCAGTACTGCAACGCCCCAATAACACATGTCCAATCGGGGCACAAAATAGAAAGAAATTTAATTTCGCTCGCCTGCTAACACATCTCCTGTCACAGTCATTCATCAAAGATGGCTTCAAGCTGCGCACTCTGCTCGTGATCGGCGCCCTCTGCCAGCTCGCCCTGGTGGCTGTCCTGCCGCTCTGCATCGCCATGCTCCCCGCACTAGTCCTAGCCTTCCACGCCGCCTTCGAGACGCTCCTACAATGCCTAACGCGCGGCGGCAGCAACCCGCTGATGAAAGGCGTGGTGGTGGGGCGCACGACGGCGCAGTTCCCGTCCATCTACACGGGAAACTTCTCGCACACGCCGTCGGAACAGCGCGTCGTCGTGTTCCACCTTGGCGTCGCCTTCAACCACCCGCTCAGCGTGGCGTGCCCGGGCGGGCGCGAGGTCGGCGGGCTCTTCGCGGCCATGGAGGAGGAGCTGACGCGACGCGCCGGCGAGTACGGCGTGTTGGGCGTGTCGCAGTGGGTCGAGACGGCGCGCGACACGCACAACGCCATGCTGGTTGTTGTCTACTTCCGCTCACTCGACGGCCTGCAGCGCTTCGCCCGCGGCGACGCCCACCGCGCCGGCTGGGTCTTCCTCGACGCCTTCCGCGCCGCCGGCAACCACCACATCGCCACCTTCCACGAGACCTTCGAGGCCCAGCCCGGCCACTGGGAGACGCTCTACACCGACTCCAAGCCCGCCATGCTCGGCAACGCGCGGTTCAAGGCCCTCGGGGCTGGGGAGGGCAAGGAAGGCGCCGGTAACTGGGTGTGGGTGCGCGGTCTCGTCAGCGCCAGCGATGCCAGGCTCAGGAGCATGATGGACCGGATGGGACGTACTAGGGCTCGCCCCGGGATGTGATGTTCCATTCGTTGCCGTCGCCCAGCTTTCCTAGCCAACTTGCTTAGTCTCTTCATTAATAATCATCAAGGTTCTGGCGCTCGGAATATGCGCGAGACTTGGAGGAAGGCATTGCCAGCGGCTTGCGGTGGTAACAGAGCAACCGAGGGACCCCTAAATCGCGTATTTTATGGTATTACTTTTTGTGGCCCAATTGATACGCAAATATTGCTCATGCGGGCCTCGCTTCGTCCATTATAGTTTCGTTAATCTACCTAATATCGAGGTGTCTGGGGCGCTGATATCCGCCATCCCCCGTCACGCTGGTAGCTATTATTCTTCTTCACGCCGGGTATTGGCTTTTTTCGTAACCAAATTTAATCTGTATATCGCATTATTCTTCTTCTTCCGAACATAGGACGAGAATTTATATTTGGTTTTGTTCACTCGCGTTGCAATCTGGAAGGCATTCATTTTAACCTCGCTGCTTATAGACATTGCACAACACTGTGCGACTTGGCGACTAAATTTCGAATGAACCTAGATACCTCCTAAGGTAGTGTTTAGCTAACAAATGCATGTACATCGACATCGTTAGAGTACACGAAGTAACTCCAAGCAAAATACCAAAATAGATTCAAGGTGCGGCGCTCGTCGGAGTTGGGCGTGGGGAACATCCACTACACAGAATCAAGCCCAGTAATAATAGTTTTATAACGTGTCCATACCGCTTAATTCTACCTTATATTTCAGTCTCCAAGACATCAAGATTTGACATGGAGTATTTAGGTGGGTAGAGTGAGTCCCTTACATAACCACCTAGCCTTTACACCACTTAAAATTACAGGTATCCTTGCTGTGTTAAACCCCCGTAAGTAAGAGGTAATGGTATTTTATCGGCTGTCCGTGTAAATCGCGGGTGTTGTTTCTCTACACGTGTAGGTCGGAACTCGGAAGGTATAAACCTTTCCAGTTCCTGCAATCAGCCACCGATCTCACAATTTCACCACCTTATGCATGGCATCGGCGCGTGCTTTTCCAGGATAGTACGCACCCACATGGTCGGAAGGTGCAACCTTAGATGAGGAGTCTAGCCTAAGAGACAACCGAGCTAATTCCAGTCAAAGGATGGCAGCCTGGTCCTTTGATCCACTCAAGAAGCCCAACATCACAGGAATACGCGGCGCACCAACTCCCACCACTCTGACAACCGTTATCAAAGACACCTCTTTTTAGCGGTAAAACCGGAGCTTTTTGGATGCAGATCTCCATAGGTAGAATTTTGTTGCCAACCTCTATGCGCGCATTGCTCCAGCCCAGGCAAAGTCGTTAAATTTGGTGTTAATCAGGGTGTTGAGCTGGCCGTTGGCCAACAAGCCAAAATGGCCTAAGCTGCATACAGTCGGGTGCATGCGTACAAGCGGGGCCCATTGCACAGAGTAGTGATGTTACTTGTGGTGTTGAGAGTGGCCCTGTTGACTGAACTTGCCAGACCGCTCCACATCACCGACAACGCCTTGACAGGAGGTGAACAAAAGCTTGTTTACACACTTACGTTGAACATCTGTGCCATGGTGAGACCCACTCTCCGGTAGGATCTACGGGGCTAAATATATGCTCGTCTCCAAATCCTCCTTCCCGGGATCCGGACTGATCCGTGACGGCCATTCATGGCGGTGGTAAATACGTATTAAATAACGTCGAGCCCATCCACCATAAGAGATTCTGTCATCAATTGCGAATATTTTGACAGCCCAGCCTAATTAGATGATTGAATCGAAGGCCCGGACAGAAATAACCGAAGTTGTTTGTGCACCAAGTACTCTGGATCTGGCGGCCGGGAGTGCAGGAATTACCGATCAATCAGGATTACGCGGCTCACTCAGGGTTATGCGACTTAATCAAGCTTATGCGAATGCAGGGCTGTGATTGGCCTAGCTGGTAAAACAGTGGGGGAATCAGGTCAGTGCACGGGCCGCACCTGCCAAACACGTGGTGCAACACGTGACTGCGGTGTCCCTGATTGAGCGCCTTCGTGTCCCCATAGTTCGTAATCCTTTTCGTAGGCATAGAAGAATACGATCAACACCACCACCCCACCCTTTCGTAGCGGTTACTATAGTGACTAGCACGGATGACCTTGTCATTCCAACAGGGAACGCTGTTGACTGGCTGCTTACTGAGCCTGAAAGTCCGGGGTGAAGCTAAAGCCGCGGTCGCGGCGCGCTTTTTGAACCCCTTTTTTTTTTGTGCAAAGTGGCCAATGGCCGGATCTTGTATTGAGCTGGCCCAGTGGCTGAAGAATATAGATTGGCCAACTTGAGGCTTGAGAATTTTCGTGAAAAAACACGTACATAAAGTAAGCATCGCTTCAGTTTACAAACCTTGAACTTCTCGCAAATTGAGCTCTACGTAAATTCTGGACGTTGAAAGTAGACGAACCTCGACTTGCTCCGATTGGCTGCATTTGCGTGCATGCTTGACCCCGCCCTCCGCATACAGTTCATGTTGGAAAGCTGGCCCCAATGTAGGCCCAAAATCGGTTCGATGTAACAGTCTTATTGTGTGTAGAGTCTTGGGGTAAGTCCTGGGGACCTCCCAGCTGGGGACCCCATTTTACTCTGAAAAAGAGGGGTTTTCCTTGGCTAGGCCCAGAAGGTTGCCCTGCATGCGCCTCCAGGTTAGACTGCCAGCGATTTCCGGGCTTTAGTCAGGACCCCGAAAATCCAACAGTTCAGCGCAATCTTGGTTTCATCGCCCCGCTTCGCGTCTACCTCGAGGAACAGCGAGGCTACAACTCCCGTGATGACTTCTTGTCACGCGCATTCACAGGGCAACTGGAAAAGTGGGCATCATGCAGGTGGGTTTGAATTGTCTAAATTGCCTGAATAAGTAGGACCCGATATGAAGGATCTGTTGCTGTTGGTATCACCAGGTACCGGTACTAGAAGCAACAGGGCGTATCTGCCCGCCGAAAACTGGTGGTTCAAGTGATGGATTCGTATATATATATGTCTCTCTCTCTTCCTTTCTGGCAGTGCCAGAAAGCCCCCTTCTTACACTACTATTGTTGTGACGGCCCGCCTTACGCAGTAGGGATGTCAATGGTTGAAGGCAGTAACGAATGTGGATTTAAAGCTAAGGAAGAGAAAGGAATCTATCGCCGGGTCCGCGCAGGGCGCGGAGAAATAGGTAGTAGTGCTCAGTGCGCACAGACCACACCCTAAGCACAATGCAGCCAATAGAATCAATCCTGTCACATGAGCCCTGTGGCGACCGTGACAATTGTGGTGGCAAAATAGGTGGCGAAGTAGGCTGCAAATCCTCTGCCTAATCCTTTGCCTAATCCTTCTGAGGCCCACATTCCAACAGTTGCTTCTGTCAGAAGTATTGCACTTCTAATGATGAAGGTGATTTGGTTGAAGATCTTGTTCCATTCCATCTTCTCTCTGGCTGATCCAGGGAGCCTATAATATAGTACAGTGGGTGGCGATAATAGGTGGCGGTAGTTGGTCAGCATGCTGACAAAATCCAGTCTAGTTCTTTCTACCCCTTTCCTTCTGACAGCTTCTATTTGTAGTCTGGCCCGTGATCAAAGTTGACAATGGCTTGAAGGGTCTTGAATTGTCTGTCCCCCTCCAATCTAATAATACAGGAAAGAAGGCCTTCTATGCTTCCAAGAAAAGGACAAAGAAAACCTGGTTCAACAGTCTGTTCAGTCGTGCTACGTAAGGGACTCAGCCGTAGCAAGGGAGAAAAAAGAGGGCATTTGAAAGTCCGGGAGCCCGGAAAAAGGGATCAGGGCTGAAAGTCACGAATGAAGGGATATGCAGTGTTTGGAGGGATATGCAGGTATGTGGCTTGACAATGTGGCTCAAAAGTGGGCGACATTATAGCTATGAATCCGGCCTTGGAATGGGGTTAAGCGGCCTCAAAAAGAAGCCATAGCGAGGTCTGTAGAGTAGGTCGTTATACCGATGTTCGGTCATACCTAAAGTACGAGATGTTTACGCAAGGTCATGTTCGACGAGGGCAGGCCTATTAATATGGCCCATGCGATGAAAGGCGTACGCCCGCAGGTCGGGGACCTGCGTTGACCCTGCGGAACAGGCGGTCTAATCAGGTGCCCTGTGCGGGCCCTGCGCCCGGGGTTCTAGACCATGCGGGAAACCCTCCCACTAGGCATAAATAGGCCTTGCTCACCGCAACAGGATTGCAAGGAAGTCAGGACCTCGAGGCCAAAGAAGATTATTGCGTTCTAGCACTTCGCTCCAGGCCATCTTGCCCTACAGGCAGATCCCCTCGTCACACCTCTTCGGTGAACCTTGATTGAGCCGCCATGGGCTCGCGCGTGAACAGCGACGTAGGTGCGTTCGACTGGGGCCCTTTGGCGACGAAATGCCCCGTTTGCAGGGTTAAAGATGGACTGCTCGTTTGCGGCGGATGCAAAGTCGTGCACTACTGCGGCGCCGCCCACCAGGCCGACCACCGACCCACGCACAAGTCAGCCTGTGTCGCCATCAAGAAGACCCGGGCCAAACTTGAGGAAGAGGAAGCTACCCTGCGCGCCAATCCGGGCGACAACTTCAGTATGCCGGCAGACGTCTTCAACAACGGCGTGGGGGCCTTCTGGGGTATTTTGGACACGCGAGACTACATGCGAGCACGGTTCGCCGCCGCCGACGCACTCCTTCAAGTCCAAACTGTCTCGGCCGTCGAGAAAGCTCTGGCCCACTTTACCGACATGCTGCGCCTGTGCCGAAGCGACAACCTCGGTGTGCGGGACATCGTCCCTGGCCTGCTGCTGCGTCTCGGTCGCGAGCAAGAGTGCTACGACTTCATCAAGTGGTGGGCCACTATCAACGACGAAGACCGCTACAATGGAGACTATGATTGGGGCAACTACGAGCTGCCTCACCTTGACCTCCACGGAGAGGACCCCTTCGAAGCCATCGACAGGGTCGCCGCAGGGAGTCTCAGCCATGTCGTTATTCTCACTCTACTGAAGCTGCGTCTCATTCTCGATCTTGAACGGTTTGAGAATGGCTTGGGTGAGTGGGATCGTCCTCTGGGAAGCCTCGTGCAAAAGAGGGTGAGATCACGCAGCCGCTCCGCCATCTCGACTAAAGAATTGCGGAAGCAATACCAGAAGCTTCTTCGCATCGTCCATGATCACAACTCGCACTTTTGGGAAATGCTGGTCGGCGGCGAGACCCCTGTGATGCAACAAGTGTACACCAATGGCAGTGTGGAGGAGGCCCACCTGGCTCTCTATCAATGCCTGCCTGCCTGGGAGGAGAGCGAGGACGCTATCGTCATGCTCGATGCGGATACCGTACAATTGGTCACCCGCCCAGCCCCCAGTCCTGATATTGGCGATGGCGATGGCGACTCTCTATGGGCAGGTCTAGAAAACCTGAAGATTACGAAACCCCAGTCCGCTACTGAATACGCTTTTCCGTTCATATTTCAGGCTCCAACGCCAACGATCGGTCCAGCCGACCTCTTTCCACCAACTCGTATCGGGCCCAATCAGATCGTGCGATTCGTCTGTCAAATTGACCCAAGCATGGCCCTTGCGTATGCCGATGGCGCGTGTTCGAACAACGGGCAACCGGAACCCCGGGGAGGGTGGGCGGTCATTCTTGCTCCGCCGGCTAATGGTGGTGTCCTGTCTGGTCGGCTCGAGGACAGTCAAGACAAAGCAGCGACAAGCAACCGAGCTGAACTGCGGGCGGCGGTCGCCGCCCTTCGACTGCGCAACTGGGAGGGCTTGGGTCTCAAGTGCATTGTGATTGCGACCGACTCGACCTATATTGTCAATGGCGCCACCAAATGGGCCAAGACTTGGGTAACTAACGGGTGGAAGACGCGTGCCGGCGCTGACGCCAAGAACAAAGACTTGTGGGAGCTCTTGCTCAGCGAGGTTGGGAAGTGCAAAGCCAACGGACTCCGTGTTGACCTCTGGAGCATCGGGAGAGAGCTCAACAGTGATGCCGACGCAGCAGCAAAGCAGGCTGCCAGCACCGAGGTCACCAGTATCACCGAGGCCTTGCCCAGCGACGTCATCTCCGATACAGACCCCTATATCCTTGCACTCTGCTTTGATTACGAGGAGCTGTTCGACAACGTTTTCAAGAGCCTCGTGTCAAAACTCGCCGCGAAAGCCAAGATGGTGCGGGCTACGACCCCAAACGCCGCTCTTGCCCAACTCAAGCAACAACCACTTCCTTCCATCATTCTCGTGGCCGATGGGGCCATAACACGCGAGAAGAAGGTACGGGAACGCGTCATAGATCTTCTCCGTGACGGCGCCACCGTTGTGTTGGCGGGTTGTTTCAGCAACATGGTGAGCGAGGGTCAGTTCACTCGCTTCTTCACCGAAATTGGTCTTCCCTGGAGCCGAGGAGGCTACGGCCGCGAGGATGTCAGCTTGCACCGGCATGTACTCGACAGCCGTCTGGCCAGCCGCCTCCCTTCGTCGTACTCCCAGAGAGCTCTCTTTGCGAAGAACGTGGCCCCGTCTGCGGCATGGTACACCGTGGATGGGAATAGGAGCGAGGCTGCAGTCGCGTTTGCGAAAGTGGGCGCGGGCCATCTCGGCTACATTGGGGATGTGAATGGAGAGGAATCGTCGGACACCGTGGTTTTGGCCATGTGCGGCCTTTTGGGCTGATGGAGCACGGCACCGGCCATTGTTGGGGTTATATGCCCGTGGTGATTTCTGGCAAGGGCTAGTTTGTCAGGACGTGTTTGCTCGGATGGACTTTCAGGGGCTCTCATTCATGTACGGCCCACGTGAGATTTCTTACCTTTGCTCGGCCCTTGATCGGATCTCGAGGGACCTGCTCACCCTAATTATCATTCTGGGGGCTGCGTTACAGCTGACTGAGGATCGCTTTATATAGCCGAGTGGCCCAAGATAATCAAGGGGTGTAGATAAGGGGGTACAACAGAGAGGCCAAATGTAGAGGCTGACTGGGATATCTTAGCTAAGAATCTGACTCTGAGCTACCTGACTTTATGTGAGCTTCAAATTTGCCGTGTTTTGATAATTATCAGAGCGTGGGGAGGATCAGGTTGTCAATAATTCTATTGCGTGTCTAGCGTCCACCTTTCAGCTCCAGGAGTGCTCGAGGGGTGGCGCTTCATCGTACCAGTTACCGCATACCCAAGGTACTTTTGCTCGTTTAGATTCTAAACCAAGTGAGCACTACTAACGGCTTTCTCCACCCTTTTCACGATACCATCTTCCTTTAATTGCCCTTGTCGATCAAATAATCGTCCTTTGCATCGGGCTCACTCGATCTCAAGTAGGCAAGCTTTCTCGTCTTTGTCATCTGTGATTCGAGCCAGTCTTCCATAATGGGCCCTCACCAGGCTATCATTTCATCTAGTACTCATGTGCGTAGTCGAAACTATATCCCGGCTTGGGAATAGAACCGACACATGATCAAAACATTCCGCAACCAGTCTTGGACGCCTCAACGCCACTTGTTGTTCCAGCCAGCCTGCTCTATCGTGTAAGCAATGGCGAGCTCCGTGAACCTGGCCATGTGCTGTTTGCGTAATACAGTGTCAGCCACAAGCCCCAGTGAAATACATGGACTCAGGAAAGCAAGAGGGGAGGGAAAAACTCACGTCGATGGAAAAGTAGCCCTTGTCGTCGTCGACGTCCATGCGGTCCCCGACACCGTGGACATACGGGCACATATCGCCCGGGAAGCCGCCGTGCATGGGGTTGCCCTCGGTCGCAAAGGCCGCGGGGTAGTTGTGCATGGTGAACGACATGTAGTCGGACCCGGCGTTGCTGTTGGCGGCGGTAATTGTCAGCCTCGTTACGGACCGGTGACTAGGGGGAGCGAAGACTTACGGCCCAAGTTCAAAGACGTCAATGGGAATCGAGATGTACTCCTTGCCCAGTTCGACGGTCCAGTTGGTGAGGGCCGAGTCGGCCTGGGTCGAGACCATGGCGATGGACTCGGTCGTGTTGCGCGCTACAAACGCCGTCATGTCCTGTTTTCAAGCCCGTCAGCCGGTTTCTTTCGGACAGATGGGGGGAAGGTGGATTTTGATGGTAGGAAATAGGCTACTCACAAACTCCATCATGGCGCCAATTGGCTGGTTCTGCGCGCGCTTGTAGGCGGCAATGTCGAGGCTGCCGAGCAGACCGGCCTCTTCAGCAGCGTACCAATGGAATTCCACAGGGCCGCCGAGGGGCGTGTAGCCAGCACCGGCAAGGACGCGGAAGGCCTCGAGGATGCTGACGGAGCCGGAGCAGTCGTCGTCGGCGCCGGGGGCGGGCAGCAGCGGGAACAGGTAGTTGGCCGAGTCCTGGTGGGCGCCGAGGATGGTCACGGGCTGCGAGAAGTTGCGCACCTTGGGCTCGAAGCGCGCGACGATGGACGACTGCGGGAACGCGTGCGGGAAGTACTCGAGTGAGATGTGCGTGCCGAACGGCGCGGCGGCGATGATCTAGGGAGCGTTGGTGTTACTTTCTTCCCTCTGCACATTTTAGACGGTGGGTTTCTCACCTCGGCAATGTGGTCGTGCAGCCACTCAGAGCTCAGCTGGCCGTGGGTGCTCCGGTACATGCGGTTGTAGTAGCTCGTCATGTGCTTGACGACTCCATACATGCGCTCCTTGTTGACGAGGGGAAAGAGGGGCTTGATGAGGTTCTGATGGGTGAGGTTGGGCAGATCTGCGGGTGAGTGTAAGCAAAGACTAGAGTACGACAAAAACAAGCGGCATCACTCAGGGGCACTCACGAGCCTTGCCCGCCGTCCACCCGCCAGCATCCCCGAGGACGTTCTGGTGGTTCGTGAGGTCGGCAAACTTCTTGCCGCTCTTCTTGAGGCGCATCTTGTCGCCCTCGGTCATCCAGGTGGGCGCGGCGTCGCCCATGATGTGCAGCAGCTTGGGGGTGGCGAGCTGATGGGCGACTCCCGGGTTGAGTGCCAGCATCATGTCGACGGGGTCGTCGGCTGCCCTCATGGCCGCGGCGATGGCTTCCTCGGAAAAGGGCTTGCGGGGGCCGGCATCAGGGTCGCCGCCGGGGCGCGTCGACGGAGGGCTATGTGGATACGTCTGCTGCTGCTGCTGCTGCCCTGCAGGTTCAGAGTCGGCGAGCACGTCCTGCCCGTGGTGGTGCCCGGGAATGTCCCATCCCAGGCCGAGCGACGGCGCGCACAAGAGAAGCGCGACGGCGGGGCGCATCTTTGCGGGGCGGTGACGAGCCGTGTGGTGAGTCAGGAGTGTGTCTGTTTGTTTTGTGTTTCGTGTTTTTGACTGTGGCTGCTTGGGTTGTGCACTCACGGAATTACCGATTGACGTTGTCGGGCTAAAGTTTGGAGTTTGCACAATGACTTTCGTGCCAGGTCCCAAGACGGCAGGTGGGCAGGGGTTCAAACCGAAATTGAAAGGTGGGGGCCGGTTTATTAGCCTGCGCCGTTACTCCCTGCCAGGCAAGGCCGAGTTGGGAAGGTCGATAACGGGCGACGTTCACAGCCAACAACACCGAGAAGATTTCCATGATGTGATCTCCAAAGGCTGAGCAAAACGATGTGCCACTTCTGTAGCACTCTCACTGCCGCTTTTCGGATTTACCGGCTCAGAAAGTGATGTTCAAGTATTTCTTTCGTTTTCACAGCTATTCGGTCCCGTAGAGGCACATGGCCGCGCGCATCACCTATCGTAACAAAGAACAAATGCAACATGCTGTACATACACTACCATCAAAGAGGAAGCCTCATTTTCCTGTCCAATCCTTAATTGAGCCCCAAGCATAATACCCAAGCGTAATAACACCAACACCATTCGGGTCCCCCTTGTCATGCACCCCCTCGTCATGCACCCCCTTGCATGCACCCCCTTGCATGCAATCGTGCTATCCTCACAATTCGACCCCACGATCCAAAACGGATCTCTCTCCAAAATCATCAGGTGTGGCATTTACATGATTAAACAACTAGAAACAAAACCCACAAATAAAAGCACGCTCAATCAGGAGCGAAAGAGCGCAATGGACGCGATAAAGTCGTCAATGTTGTCCGAGTAGTCAGCCACATCCACGCCGTCGACAGTGATCATCTTGGTCGCGCCGACCGTGTTGAGGTTGTACACGGAAACCGTACTGTGCTCGATACTGACATCGCGCTTCTGGCACACGGCGCCACTGCCAATGTCGCTGCAGCTGACATTGTAGTTGTCGAAGAACGAGTACACCCCCGCGCCGTAGACGAGCACATCCGCGCTGTCAACCACACGCAGGCCCCAGCCCGAGTCGCCGGCCAGAAACACGGGGTCGCGGTACGCGGCGGCGGGCGCGAAGGGCAGCCGCGCGTCGGGGTTCTTCTGGTAGTAGGCCGTCTCGGTCTGGATCTGGCCCATGAACACGGCCTTTGTCCCGGCCAGCTGGTACTCGTACATTTGGTGGTGTTCGACACTGGTGCCGTACAGCCACACGGGGCCGGCGACGCTCTCGACCAGCAGCCCGCGCCCCGCGTACACGGTGATCTGCTGGTTGTTGGCCTCCTTCTCGATGTCGTGGTCCGCCACCCACAGCCAGCAGTTCTCCATGTACAGGCCCGTGGCGCCGGCCGTGACGTGCATGCTCATGAACGCGGCGACGCAGTTCTGGTTGAGGTTGGCCGCGGTGACGATTACGCTCGGTGTCTTGGGGCAGTTGGCGAGCTGCAGGTTGGTCCCCGCGAACCCGCCGACGCGCGTGTGCACGTCCCAGAGCCCCGACGGCGTGCCGCCGCCGGAGGCGAGATTGAACTCGATTAGAATCGCGCCCGGCTGCGCGCCCTGCGTGCTGACGATGGTGTTGGACCACTCGACGCTGCCGCCGGCGCCGCTGGCCGCGCCGATCTGCACCACGGGCTTCGGGCTGTTGGCGTTCTGGAAGAAGGCGCCGGACGACAGGATCACCGGGTACGCTTCGCCGAAGATGCGGGACCCCGTGGGGATCTTGATGGTGCTGGAGACCTTGTAGATGCCCGCGTCGAGGAAGACGACCTTGTCGGCGGCCGCGGCCGCGGTGAACAGCGCGTTGAGCGCGGCCGTGTCGTCGGTGGAGCCGTCGCCCTTGGCGCCGGCGTCGCGCGCGCTGACGATGGCGGACAGGGGCACGTTCTGGTACTGTGGCTTGGAGCGGGTGTAGTAGTCCCCGCCGGCGACGAGGCTGGGCGTGCGCGAGTTGGGCGCGATGGCGCCCTCGAAGCTCGTCGGCCCGCTCGTGGACGTGTACTTGTGGCCGCGGCCCCACGCGGCAATGGTCGACGCCCCAGTCGACCCGGCCAGGACAGTGCCCGACGGGCCCTGGATGGCAACCGGCACGTTCTTGAGGCCGACGTTCTCGAAGGCAAAGTTGTTGGACAGCGGGGGCGCGCTGCTCTGGCCGAAGACGACGCCAACCGGGGTGTCCTTGATGTGGCTGTCGACGATGACGATGGAGCCGACGGCGGTGGCGGAGAAGTCGAACCCCACCGAGCAGTTGTTGATGCTGACGCCGATGTACGTCCAGCCCCACGACCATATCTGCTGGATGGCCGTCTGCGCGTTGTAGATGGTCAGGTTGCGCATGGTGAACTGCTGGTTGCCGATGCTGAGGGCCTGGGCTCCGCCGTAGAAGACGAGGTCGCCGACGTAGCCGGCCGAGCCCTCTTCGATGAACACGCCCTGGTGCTGCGTGTCGGGCGCCTCGGACAGCCTAAAGACGATGTTGGACAGCGACGTGGCCTGGGCCGTGGGCCAGTGGATGCCGGCGACCAGCAGGTTAGAGGGGGCGTTGGTCAGATCGATGACGAAGTTGGCAACCTGGCGCCAGAAGACGTTTGTCGACCCCCAGGCCAGTTTGCCGTTGGGGCCGTACTGGTCGCCGTCGAGAAGCCACCTGTCCTTGAAGCTCGACGTGGCCTTGAGCACAGGCAGGCAGCTCGGGTTGCCGATCAGCTGGGTGTAGTAGAAGTCGACGATGGGAGACGAGATGAGGTAGGTACCAGGGGGGAAATAGATCAGGCCGGGCGTCTTGGTGCTGCCCACGCAGCCGGGGCCGCAGCGATCGCCCTCGCTGATAGCACGGTTGATGGCGGCCGTGTCATCGGTGGCGCCATCGCCGACGGCGCCGTAGTCCTTGACGTTGCGGAAGACCTTGTAGCCGCCAGGTGCAAAGGGGGCCACGCCCTGGTGGCTGATCTTGCCGAGCCAGTAGTCGGTGCACGAGGGAGCGGCAGATGTCGTGGTTGACGTGGTTGACGACGACGACGAAGAAGACGACGACGACGACGTAGTTGAGCTCGTCGACAACGAAGTTGCCGTAGGCGAGGTTGACAAGGCCACTGTTGACGAGGCGAGTGTCGACGTGGCCGACGAAGATGCAGCTGACGAAGAGACAACTGACGAGACCAAGGTCGACGACGGCACAGACGAGGAGGCGGTAGAAGACGAAGCAGCAGAAGACGATGCAGCAGAAGACGATGCAGCAGAGGACGAAGCAGCAGAAGACGAAGCAACAGAAGATGATGCAGCAGAGGACGAAGCAGCAGAAGACGAAGCAACAGAATACGAAGCAACAGACGATGAAACCACAGATGTCAAGGGAGAAGACGATGGCAGTGCGGAAGACGAGCCCGGGGCAGTGGTGTCAGCAGAGCTGGAGGCCGAGCCGGAGCTCACTGACACTGTGGACACGGAGCTCTCGGATGCCGGGGCAGTGGTCGAAGTCGAGCTCAACGGGAGCTTGGTCGAGGGCGGGTGGCATGCCTTGTTGGGGGCGGGGGCCCGCGCACCATGGCGATGGCGTTGGTGGTGGTCGCCGACGACGCCGTTGAGCAGCGTGGACATGGCAAGCAGGCCATGCACTGCCCCGAGGGGAAAAGAAACTCGCATCTTCAAGTTCGGGTGGGACGGCGCGCAAAAGAGTGACTACCGAATAAGAATCCGGTGATGGCGCGAGGCGACCCAACAACCTGGGACAGACAGACGGACAAGCTGGAGCAAAAACACACACTGGAACGCACGGAGGGCGGTCGACCCGGGCGGGCCCAGATCGAGTCGAGGATCGACATGCTTCTTATTAACTATTTTTGACCACAATTGACAGCAACTGGAATCTCAATCCCCGGCTTCCCGGTCCCCGCATCTAGTGCTTGCAACCGTTCCTTCTCTAGGAGGCTAGCGGAGCCTCGATGACGCCTGGTAGCCACCTCGATGCCCCTGCAGCAATCGGGCTGCATCTCGGTCTTTTTCCTTGACTCACCTGAATCCCCATTCGCTGCGCTGAGGCTGGCGTGCCGGGGCCTGCACGACCTAGCCCGAAGGGTCGCATTCGACAGCACATCTAAATTAGAAGGTGCAGGGGTCTCCCAGGGGAGCTGCAACGCTGGGACCAGTTGTGGGCATGTGCTGCAGGAGATCTATTGTGCTGCAGCAACTTCGAGCCTTGAGAATGCCCGTTCAGCTCATGGGAAATGAATTGATCTGTAAAAATGTACCGTAAAAATGTACCGTAAAAATGTACTGTAAAAATGTACCTAAAAATGTACTGTACTGCACGCGACTATAATAGCATTGCAGTCAGTGCAAACATTTCAACGACGCGACGAATGTTGGCCTTGTCAATGTGCACCTGAGGTCCAAAGACAAGGCCTGCACAGCCATTGACCCCTTGGCACCTACCTTCCCGAGGCAGCGGCTTCCGTGCAACACACCACGCGCCGGCGAATGCTCCCACTTGAACACGGCACCGTGAAATTGGAGCCCCGCCAGACACGAGCCACTGCGACGCCGTTCCAACCGTGAGAGGCGGACGGGTCGCATTTACGTGCTGACTCCCCGCCTGGAGAACCTGCCAGCCTAGAAATGGAGGGGTGGTTTCCAATCCTCCTTTCTGCCCGCCGCTTCTTGGGATCCGAGGTCGCATTGAGCGTACACTGAACCGTACGCATGAACTTGTGGTTGGGCGGCTCGCAGGCCACTGGCTGTGGAAAAGGGGCGCTGCGTGTCTCTGCTCGGGCCATGGCATGACAGGAGCGGTTAACTTTTCAGTGGCAACAATCCAGCCCAGCTCGACTTTCCCCGCCGCCGCTTGCACGTCGCGGCAGACAGCTGACGCCACCGAGCTAGGAATTCGCGGCTCTAGCGCACAAGAAAACGGGGGCGCTAGTTCGCGGACCGGTGACCACTAGCGCATCGCCCCGCGAACGCTACCAACCGGACCAACTCCCCACCGAGCTTAGTGTCAACGGTTTTGCGACTGCGTGTACCCCGCAGGGGCCGACAGCGACGTGCAGTCCACGTCGTCTAGGCTGCAGAGTGCAAAGTACGGTCCGCATAGTTGGATGTCTGCGATCGTGCTGCAAAAGAGAGGGAAAAAAATAGGAGAAGAGTCGCGCTGAGCCTCGAGTGATGCCGCCTGGAATTGATCCACTTCTCAAGGAATTGATACACATTTTCAGGCCCTGGTTAGCATACCACGCCAACTCCCTTCATTCTTCATTTTCCTTCATTCTTGGCCCTCGGAATGCCCTCATATCATTCCGAACGGCTGATTACAACATTTTCCTTGCCCTTGCTCAAAGAGTGTAAGCAAGCGCTCTTTTCTATACCTTCAGACCTAGTTTAGCAGACAATTCAATGCGCTGTCAACTTCGATCACTTGCAAAACTTCGATCACTTGCAGCATTTTTCTATAAAAATGTTCAAGGGCTTTTATCATTATCTTAAACGTCTACCAACAATGTTTTAGATGCCCGTTGATTATTAATCCCTAACCCAGGTCCCTTTAGCACGGATCAAGAGGCCAATGATGAGCAAAGTCACGGCTGTCGCGAGGATAAAATCAAGAAACCCAAATGTCACACCATCGCGGGACCTAGTCAAGACAGAATCCTTGTGCGCGGTCTCGTGTATTGAACCATGTCGAATGTATTAACAGTACTTCCATCCACATCACCATCCACCCCTCTAGCAGCACAATCCAGCGCCCGACCAGCTAGCACGACCTCTCAAGCCAGGCAACAAATTGTGAGATCCCCTGGTCATGGATGACACCTCTTGACTTTCCACAGCCAGCGGCAGTGCAAGTGCGCCCCGAGGCATGCCCATTGGCCGTTAAAACGGGTTCCAGTTGATATCCCGAAAGACGACCGCAACGTCGGCGCTCGCGCTCCTGTCGTCAGCAGCAGCAGCCTTCTTCGCTGGCGACGCCCTCTTAGCCTTCGGCTCCACGCTACTGTCTTGCGCCATGCGCTTGCTGGCGAGCCGCGTGACGACGTTGGGCCGCGTGCGGCACGGCTTCTTCTTTGACGTGGCGTTGCCGTCCAAGTCCGAATTCGAATCATCGTCGGCTTGGTTGCTTGCTCGCCGGTTGGCTTGGATGTCCTTGGCTGACACCATGACCACGGCGCCGCCCGGCGGCGGTGTCGTCGGGAGGATTGTAGTTGGCGAAACCTCTTTTTCTCCGTCGTCGCGCACTGCCTGCCAGTAGGCTGCCATCTTGTCCATGTTCAGCTTGAGCGCGAGACGGCGGGAGATTTTGCGGTCCATGTCGGCTTGAATGTGAGCGAGAGGTGGAGAGAGCTAGGGCTCTAAGATGGATTTGTGGGCTTTGTGGTTTCCGATTTTTTTTTATTCATGTCTGGCGCGATATTTATAATTGCAGTTCTTTGGTCAATGTGAAATGTAGAAGAGATCATGTTGTGGGTGTTAGGTGGGAAATTTATATTATTGTTGAGCTGCCTGGAAAGATTGATCAGCTGCAGAGTGAAGACAATTAGAACGGTGGTGCTTCCTCTCAAACAATAGGGTCCTATTGTTTGTTCTCTTTGATCCCCCCTCCCCCTTGACTACTAATCAGCGACGGTTTGCTATGCAGGGCGTCCAGACAATAAAGCAGGCTTCCAAAGTTTGCCCAGGTAAGATGCAGAGTGCCGGGCCGATTTCATAAGCAATCCTGAGTTATTGGCACTGTTTGCTACTATTCATTTGCTAGAACTAGTCCCTTTGCTTTTGCTTTGCTCCAGCTCGCAGCCGAGCCGTAATCTGTCCGCGATCACTGATGGTAATGTACATGGAGTGGACAAGTAGACGACTTGGATTCAAGGCAGTCGCCGAAGGAGGACTTCTCAGATTTTATGATTTTGGTTAATTCTCGCATTGACCGTTCTGCCATACTCCAGACGGCCATCACCGTCGCCATCACCGTCGCCATCACCGTCGCCCATGAGGTGGTTCATCTACTCACCGGCTACCTGACCGGCAAGAAAACCCCTCATACTCCGCTAGAGATTTCTCCGTCCCACTATGGAAACAAGTGCAGCGGCGAATCCGGTCGCTACTAGGAATCTCGACTTTCGGGAGGAGGCGCTGTCGAGTTTTACGAGAATAGGCAGGACTCTTTGGGTAACATGCAGGCAGGTGTGCCGTACTTGATCGCCGACGGCCACAAGGACGCACCTACTAGACTCATCTCGACGAACTATATTAACGAGTTCCTGAACGGTAGTAAGTCACCTCCTCCCTTCTCCATCCCATCTCTGCTCCATGTAGTCCTGCATCCGTCGGCTGTTCCGTCCACCACAACAAACTGACAGCGTCTTGGACTTCTCTTTCCCCATCCGCACCTCCCGCACCACCAAACCCACAACTCACTCGAAGTTGCGCAAGATCAGCAGAGAGACGTCTGCCTTGCGTACGAGGAAGAACGCTGCTATGATCACTTCGCCGGGAAGGGCCAGCACCTCGCTTGCAGAGCAGCCGGGTCCCTCGTTTGCAGAGCAGTTAGATTGCGCCGCTTCCTACGGGGAAGCGCCCGATGAAGGCGACTACTCCACTTCCTACCAAGTGCTGCCACAGGAACGCGGGTATAGCACCGATACTTTTCTAGAACCACTGGCAGGCTTCATGACGGATCCGCCAATCGACGATGGACCTGCTCTTCTCGAGTACTTCCCAGAGGACAGCCAAGACGAGGCACTTATGTCGTTTGGTTCGGCCGCAGATCCACCGGCAAGCTTCGCGGGGGATTCATACGCCACAGCTGCAATGGGAGAGCAGCAGACGGCGGCCGCAGATGATTACTGGAGTTTGAGTGACAGTCGTAAGAAGTGGTATCATTTGAATGAGGATGGGTCTCGTGAGTGGCACAAGAAGCCTATTCTAAACGAAGTATACATAGCGCATGGAAGAGTTTTATGATAGCGCCACCGCCTCCTGCATTCCGGGTTCTACATCGATGCATTTACCATGGCCTCGCCGAGTAGTTCCAACAAGGTGCGAACACTTAGCAGCTGCTACGAAGGTGAGGCCTCATTGGCCTGAAAACGCGGTCACTACTGGCCCATCAGAAATTCAGTTGGGCACCAACGCACCTACGCAACATGCTCCCGGCGGAAATGGAATTCATACGAGTCGCCTATCTTGCCTGGATAATGCCAGCAGGCTGGTCGCATGCCAGCGGCCGGCTGTGTGCGGCCAGGCTCCGTTCGCCGTCAGCTTGTAGCAGAGTCTCACCAGGGCCGAACCCGCTCTTCCGTCGCGCATGCGCCGTTTTCTCTCGCGTTCACCATTCACTAGCTACCCAAAAGTTCCCAGAAGTAGATCTCACACCGCTTGGCTTCGAGCTGCAGTCGAAGAAGGTTTGCATGGCTTCAGCAAGCGTCTCGACATAGCCTTATATTCTCAGGGCCTTCGGCTAGTCACCGGTCCGCTCGGTGGCCACCATGCTCCGCCCCGCATGTCGCCTCTGCTCAGACCGAGGCTCGTGAGCTAGGACCTCGGCTTGCGATACGTTGTACTGCCCCAAGAGGCGCGACGCTATAGGTGGAGGGCGGCCTTTGCTTCGGCCTCTGGGGTGCCGGGGTGGTTGGCGCGGTCGAGGCACTTCTTTATACGCTTGATGATCCTGCCGTCGATGTCGGCCGTGGAAGAGCCAATGCGGGCGGCGCCTGCGTCTGCAAGTTCTTCATCTGCTGCTTTGTGGGGGGTTTGACGATTTTTGGCTCTCGCGGCCGTCGAGTCGGCCGGCGTCGCTTGCGCGAACGGGGCTCGGCTTCGGTCTCATTGTCCGGGATGCAATGAGGCTCTGCAGACCTTCGTTCCTGGTAACTAGGATATTCCTTTAGGATGTTGTGGTTCTCTCATCCGCAAAGGCTATCTCGAATGTGGCTCAGGTGACTCTTTAGGCTCCGAAAAGAAAGGAAATGGTGATAAACTAGGAACTATATGCCGACCTTTTGAGTACCGTTTCTGAAGGCGAAAACCATCAGATGGCAAAACTGTTCTAGTGGGTTCTATTTGCTGAGCGACCCTTGACTGTTAGTTAAATCGGATCGAGCGCACCACATCAGCTGATCCTCGAGTCGAAATCGCCACAAGCCCGCAATGCATCTTCGAAGCCCCGCGTCTTGGATAGATTTTGCAATGCCCGATAGAGCTTGGAGCATGTTAGTGTCGTTGGTTAAGGTTGCTCTGCAATAGGCATCTAGGATGACGTCCCAGCCTGCGAGAATAGCCCACACCTCCTTTGATTACTCGTCTAACATGAGTCCGTTCTGTTGAGCGACACGAATGTTGCTGATACTATCGCGCAACTGATTTTTTTGCCCTGATGCAGTCTCTATTAAAACCACTGCATTGGCATTGTCGATAGTATCCACAACCCCAGGCCATTTTCTCTTCTAGAAAATGGACTACACGCGGTAACGCTCCTGGAAAACACCACCCTCCCTTAAGTGCCGGAACCTATCGGTGTAGGACCTACATCTGGGGATAAAGAGGGGGTAGTGGAGATTGTCATATACGGTAGGAGTTTCCACAGATTGAAGCCATGTTCTCTGGCTCTACTTCCCAATCTTTGTCATCATTTTGGACGATGTATACCCCACATCTCCCACAGCCCCTGAAATCGGGTCGCACGGGGCAGAGCGTCCAATCAGTATCCTCTTGCCCCGGTGGATAAACGTGGTTGGGCCTTTCGCCGGCACAAATTGCCGGGTAAGGAGCAATAGGGCCAGAGCCTTGTCAAGCCAGTATCAAGAATCTGAAGGACTTGAAGACATCAGATACCGGTATAAAATATTTATCCTACCATTTCAGCAAGTCTCATAATAAGTCTTCCCTAATTCACTTCACCCGAGTCTTAGCTCCTCAATTTCCTCATCGTCTGCTTGAATTGACGGCAAATTACCTTCCGCGCCATAGCCGTGTACGAAGGCGTCTCCGATGACCTTTACAGTCTCCAGCCTTGACACACCAAGGCACAAGAGCAAGTCGACCGTTCGAAGTACATACAACTTGCCGACATGAAAGTCTTTTAGAGGCAATATCGATGAATTTGGAGCTGGGGACTTGGAGAGCCCTTTTGCCTCCATGACTTATAGTCGCGGTTGGAGAAGGGCAGAGATTCGCTCGTTTGTGTACCGCCCGTCATAAGGGTCCATTCGACATCAATCTGCCCACACTCTTTGTCTGTCTCGGTATCGAAGGGTTTGGGGCAGCGGTCGCCAGATACCAGTGAATGAAACGTGCGAATGCTTCAATTTTGATGGATCGAAAAGGTCCATATCGCGAGATAATATAGGGGCTTCGGTTGCCGCAACGACGAACTCGTTGGCAAGTCCCCTAACAACGAGAACTTTACCTCCTTCAAGGTGGAAAGGCGCGGGGTCGGCAGCACTGGGAGTCCCTGGAGGCCCGTGGAAATGGCTACCTCGGCCCCCTGGAAATGGCACGGTGAATCTGATTATCGTCTAGTCCGGAACCCTTGACGGTAACCCCTGCAGAGAAGCAGTCCGTCTGTAGCTTTCTCGCAGGTGGGTGTCACCCTCAATCCATCCGCCTATCGTGCAAGATTGAAGAATGTTCAAATCGCCCGACTTGCGAATGATGTGAAGAGCCACCTCCGCATACAGCGCCGTATACAGCGTGTTGGCGTCGATGGAGTAGTCGGGCGTGCAGGGCCAATCATCAGCTGTTAGCAGAGTGAGCAGTGCAAAAACCTTGTCCCGAGCATCTGTTGCGTGTCGCACCCTAGCAACTCCTAACAAGTACTCCAGCTTTTGTGACTCGGGTAGAAGAACATCGAACGTCGTTGCCGAAAGAGCGAGACCACCCAGCACACTGCCCGCGGCGGTTGATGCTGTCCTCACTATATTGTTCCACTCGCCCCATAGAATTGCAGCAGCCGCGACCACATTCTCTCACGGCCGAGCAGCCTTCCCACACATCACGATGGCGTTCGAAGCGTGATAGACCTCCTGCAGGACCCACATACGTGTCCACCATGGACGACCGAATAACCTGGCGAACGGTTGCAACATTATACTAGGCTTCTGTTGCTCTGCAGCTGCATCTCCACAAGCCAGTCTGCTGATGAAGCCACCAATAGTTCTTTCTTGCAGCAGTATATCGACATGCGTCATGGCTTCGTCGCTGTCCTGGGAGGGGCGCCCGAGCCATATGACGACCCGTGAAGCACGCTGGTAGACGTGGTGCATCAGAGGCACGTGTATGCTCTTCTCCACAACATCTTCCTGATTGATGCATATTACATCGATCCAGACAATCCGTTCTTCGTCCTCGCGCCGCAGCTCCGTCAGGGCTGCATGGAGATTGCTGTTGATAAGACATGGGCAGCCATTGACTGATATGGGAATTTTGAAGGCAGGACTGCCCCATGTGAGGAGAGGGCTTCGTACTTTTTACGGCGTTCATCGAGAGTTATATGCACGAGGGCGCCGGCGATCTGCTCATCTGTAGCTCCTGGTGCAATCATGAATAAGCGGATTTCCCCATTGCGCACGTCGATCGGTGAGTAGATGTCTTGGTTCGTCGGTGCGGCTTCGATGGTTTCCGCACAACGGCAGGTTATAGATGTTGTTGGGCATGTAGACGATACGGTATGGCAAGTTGGAACATCGCTCGCCGTCGACGCTGTTCTAGTGTCCGACTCGACGGCCTATCCGGTCTGATATGAAGATTGAGGTTTCCCCAAGTGCCATGATGCGCGCTCTATGCTTCATTTGCGGAGAAATAAAAAAATAAAATAAAAAGGCAACCATGCAATATAATTTTTAACCGGCAGATGAGTTGGTGGTAGTCGTACAGGCTCCAGTTATTAGCCACCCCTCCCTTTCGCTAAAAAGCACCTACTTATCCGTAGGCAGCACCGCCACTTCAGCACAGGTGAAAGGCTGAGTGGAAGGCGTTCATCTGGTTTTACCATATGCCTGCGTTGGGGCGTATAAATATGGCCTTCCGAGGCACTTAAATGGGCGTGGAAGTCGCAAACGAAGCTTTGAAAGTCTCGCAACAGTTTCCTTCCACCACGGTTATTCTTAACGCGAAGCAAAATGGCGGCCAACTCCCTCCAGCCTCATAGCTGCGGTCTGTGCCAAAAATTGGTCATGGATAAGAGTCCGCTTACAAAACAAATATCCTCTGACAACCCAACGGACCCAGACTACGATCTTTATCCTTATATTCGATTCGACTGCACTGCCTCGGAGATTCTGAGCTTCTCTGACAATTGCCTCTTCTTCAAGTGGCTCGTCGATCAACAAGGGCTCGACAGCGACCAAATCGGAGCGAATGAAACATATGCAAGACAGAGGCAGTATCCCGCCTTGGATGAATTCATCTGCAGAACTGCGGCTGAGTCAACCTTCAAGTTTTCCTTCGCAGAGTCGTATAAAGGACCTTTAGGCCCTATGAACACCCTCCGCTTTCGATTAAGCCAAATCGACGCTGAGCAGGCTCAGAGGCTCACGCTAGCTTGCTATGCTGAATGCAAAGGCAAGACGTCTCGGGGTATGACAACAATCACTTGCTTTGCTTTTCTAGATCCTCAAAGACGACAAGGCATATTTCGGACGATGGACGGGTTTGATTTATACACCAACTCAGGTATGCTAACCCCTGATGTAGGATCCAGACGATGATGACGCACCACAGAAGTCGGTTTTTGGGCCATGCTAACTCTCTTGTAGAGAACAAGGCTGCAGTTGACATCTCTAGGAGACCCGTAAAAAAGGACCTATGCAGCCATGAGATGTTTGCGAAAGCCTCCGAAATGCTCTCCCAGTGTCTAACGTCCACTGGGGAAACGCGCCATGATGATGACGAAGATGATGACGATCCTCCGATACTGCAAGGAACTGAGTCCCCGGACAAAGGTGTAGTCCACAGGAACTGTCGACAGTATGCTGCGACATACATGCCTTCGCGGTTGATCGAAATCCACACTGATACGACTGGGCATAAGCTGAAGCTGATCGCCACGGATAGCGATCAGCCAAAGCCTTATGCCACTTCAAGTTACTGCTGGGGTGGTAACCAGCCGCTTCAGTCGGCCAAGGCTCTCGTTCACCTGTGGATGACCGACATACCGTGGCAACGGCTCCCCAAAACGCTTCAAGACGCCATTACCGTTTGCTCTCCACTAGGGATTTTCTCCCTGTGGGTTGACTGCTTCTGCATCATTCAAGACGACGAGACCGATAAGGCTATACAGATAGCTCGGATGCCCGATATCTATCAAAGTTCGGCCCTCACGATTGCTGCAGTCTGCGCGGCCAGCGTCCTTGATGGTTTTCTAGACGAACGAAGAGCGACAAACGTCCTGGAGCAGGCTTTCGAACTGCCGGTGGTCTGCCACAACGGAGAAATGGGCTCGATCACACTTATCAAGGCTATCAATTATCATAAGCCAGAGCCTCTCGACCTGCGAGGATGGACCCTGCAGGAACGACTGCTCTCTACCAGAATTCTGGAGTTTGGCCGGAAAACGATAAGCTGGACTTGCAAATCAGGCAAACAAGTCCTTTCCGACGCCTGGAACGACAAGCTCGTGGACGGCAATTATCAGCTGGACAAGCTCCACAAACAATTTGACAAATTATCTGCGGTCCGCCGCCGGGACGGCCGGGAGCATTTCCAAACAGCGATGCGCTACTGGAACGATCTATTGGAGGTTTATACCAAGCGGAAGCTCAGCGTTCCAACAGACAGGATCATGGCCATCTCCGGCATCGCTCAGCGGTATGGAGCTGCATGTGGAGGTGAGTATTTGGCAGGACTGTGGAAAGACGCCCTTCCGAATGCCCTCCTGTGGGGACGCGAAGGAGAGATGCGTTCGAGGCCGGAGCAGTGGCAAGGGCCGTCATGGTCCTGGACCTCGATCAACGAAGTGGTTAGGATCCACTGGTTGCCGGAGCGCAACAAAGAAGGGCCAGAGGTCGTGGGAATTGAGCTCGCGCTCGTCCATCAAGACGCGCCGTACGGTTTCATTCGGGAAGGGCACGCCGTGTTGACAATCCGAGCCAAGGTCCTGCCGTGTGAGCTGGTAATGCTGGACCTCCCCACAACTCCATATGCAGACTTTGGCCGGAGCGCCAATGCAGTGGCCTTATTCGGCTCCAGGAATGACGATGGCAGCGACGGTGAAGTGAACGTCACTTACGACGTGGCCGAGCCTCCTGGTCAGGTATACGCCCAAACCGTCATTGTGGAATTTACCCAGCGTATTGGTCTTGTCCTTGGCCCTCTGGGAGATAACAAGTACAGGAGGATTGGCCTCTTTCGCGACATGTTGGCCGTCTCCGGCCCATACCTAAAAGGCGAAACGAGTGATGCCAGGAAAAGCCGCCTCGAAAGGAAGGGCGATTGGTTTAAGCACTGTAACTTTAAATTCATTAAAATAGTTTGAATGCCACTATCCATGTTCACTAGGCGGCTGGCTAGCCATAGGACCGACTCTCGGTCGAATACCTCGAACGGAGCCAAACCACACACGCCCCACTACAGCCAAGGCCAGGCCGACAGCGGCGCCTGCCAAAGCTCTGCAAAACGCGGGTCGTCGGTCGTGATATGGGACGGGACGGACCTGGCGTGGCCTTTGTTCGGCCTCTTTCAGAAGTGCCCATCCACGAGCCCCTACTGCGGGGTAGGTATGTATGTACCTGCTTGCCTGTTTGCAAGGCACAGCTGGCACGAGGCTTCAGTTGCAGATGGCTTTTGGTTGTCGGCGGCCAACGAGCCTCGCCAGTCTAAGATGCCCAAACTAGTGCTCAAAGATGGGAGGTAGAGCTGCGATAAACAGGTCTATTTTTCCTGCACGTGTCAGCCGAATCCAGATTCTATTTTCTTTGATCCCCTTTACCTGATGCGAATATCGCAGAGGCCATTGGCATCCTCGGCCTCGTTGGTGTCGTTGACGTCTGCTGGAAATGGGGCAAGAAACTTGTCGAAATATGCGAAGCTTTCAGGCACGCCGACACGCAACTTGACGAGTACATCTTTCGTCTCGATGCCCGCTGGCTGCGCATTGAGGACCAGATTCAGGTAGTCCGCAAAATATGACCACTACTCAGCAGCCGCCACCAGGCCGTCCAGCGACGGTCCCTGGAGATGGTGCTCGCTAAACTCACGGCGGCCGTCTCCAGGCTGGAGAGTTTTATCGAGATACCAGATCCTGCCCAGGGACCTTTGGCCCAACCAAGAATCAAGTGGTGGAAGTACTCGATTGTCAAAGAGGCTCTCGCAGAAGCCATTTCCGAGCTCGAAAGATGGCAGCAAATATTCGACCCGAGCTGGTTCCTATTACTGCTGATTGCCGACCCGCAAGTCGACAGCCAACTCGAGGCCACCCAGCCGCGGGCCGGCTCCGTACGCGGAGGGCCCCCGGCGCCTCTCTCCGCCGCACAGCCTATACGCCGCGCCATCAACCCGGGCACGGCGAATAACGGCCGCTCCGACGTTAACCTCTCATGGAAGGGCCTGGTAGCCGGGAGCATCCGTACAATTCCTTTCAGCACGGTCAGCATCGCCCAGTGCGCCGACAACCAGCAAAGCGTGCTGCTGGACCCTGTTACCTGCGTGTCGCGAACCTCGGCAGACGCCATGGCCCAAGACATCCGTAACTCCGCCTGGAGCCTACGCCACGCAGACCCCTCTACCCTGGGCCTGCTCGGGTGCAAGGGCATCTTGAAGGACGAGGAGGGAGACGGGGCGGCCGGGGGAAGGGCGGGGTCTCGACCCGTACTTCCCGCCGGTCTTTGCTTCGTCTTCCGCCTCCCCGTAAACCACCCACACGTGGAGAGTCTGCGGGGCCGCCTTCTCGGTGGGAGGGATCGCGCCCACGACTCGCTGCCAGAGCGCTTCATCCTGGCGAGGCAGATGGCGGCGGCCGTCAGCTACGTCCACCTCTACGGTTACGTACACAAAAACATCCGGGTCGTCTCGCTCTCCTGGCCCGCTGTCTGGCCGGAACCAAGCTAGGTAGTGAGCTCTTCCGTGCGGAGTATCCACTCACAGGTTCCGAGAGCACGGTCTCCTTTATTCCGCTTCAATGCGTTCTTGTCCCCGAGCGGATCAGTCACGAAGAGGTCGCGTAGACAGTCCCCGGGCTTCTCCGTCCAAGCGCCTTGGCAGTCCGTTGGCAGCAGGCTTACAAATGTAGACAAGACCATACCGCGTACCTATGGTCACATTCCCAGTCACCTTGATATCCCCACTTCCACTGTTTTGGAATCCGTGTCCATCGAAGAAAGATTGAGCAGTATCCGCCGCTATTGTGGGTCGCTTTGAGGGTCTGTTTTCTGCGAGAGATTCCTCGGTAACCCGGCGCTTGTTGGACTTGGCACACATGAGTGGTTTTCCTCGAGCTCTTCGCAGTAGTCAAGTACAAAGACGTTAGGTCATTGAGAATTCTGAAGGAAAGGCTGAACGGGATCGAGTGTTGGGCGCCAATTGAAACTGCAGGGCATTTCCTACGGTGGCGCACAGACCACATACAGCGGTGCACAGACCACATCAGTTCTCCACTTTTTACACCAGAAGCAGCTGGAACTCTCGTGGAATGGGATGCTCGGTTTTAACTTTTACCCATCAACTACAGCAACTGCTATCCTGCGCGTCATTGTTAGCGTCAATCTCTCTGGGGTCCTGAAGCCTAGATCACCCCCGAACCAAGTCGTACGAAATGAACCAAGTCGAACGAAATGAAATTACTAAGATGGAAGGTAGACGAGCTACGTCAGCCCAACCGAGAAACACCGTGCCCTAACCAGGCGTGCAGAGCGTGTCCAGTCGCTTAGCTACGAAGCCTACACTGTCGGTATCTTGTGCGCGCTAGAATTCGAGATGAGCGCTGTCCGCTACATGCTGGACAAAGAACATGCCCGTTTGCCCAGAAAGCTAGGCGACTCGACTCTGTATGTCCTCGGAGAGCTCAGCGGCCACAACGTGGTTCTTGCCACCCTTCCCGGCAGCCAGGGGAAGGGCGCGGCAGCGGCGGTGGCAAAGGATATGGCGCGTACGTTCCCGTCGATCGAGCTTCGGTTAATGGTCGGTATCGGAGGAGGCGTGCCGAGCGGAAAGAATGACATTCGCTTGGGCGACGTTGTGGTGAGTGTGCCCGACGGCGAGCATGGCGGCGTGGTTCAGTACGATCTGGGCAAGAACACGGACGACGGCTTCGTCATGAAAGGATTCCTTTGGCCGCCACCCGAGATTTTGAGGAGTGCTGTGGGTATTATGCGGTCCGACCACAGGGTTTCGCAAAACAAGATCCCTGAGTTCCTATCGGCCATGTTTCAGAAAAGCGACGATCTTCGCGTCTCATACCAGCGGCCTGTAGAGCCGGATGAGCTCTTCCAGTTGGAATATCGTCATGTCCCCAACCAAGCCACCTGTCAGCTCTGTGACAAGACAAAACGGGTCCAGCGTCTGCTGCGTGAACCGACCCCCAAGATTCATTATGGGCTTATTGCGTCTGGAGACCAAGTCATGCGGAGCGCCCCGAACGCGGCCGAAATGGATGGGAGGGTGGTTGGCGATGTCCTGTGTTTCGAGATGGAGGCGGCGGGCATGGCGACCCAGTACTCGTGCATCGCCGTCCGGGGCGTCTCGGATTACGCAGACTCACACAAGAACGACGCCTGGCAGCATTATGCTGCGGCTGCGGCTGCGGGGTGCGCTAAGGAGCTCCTTTCGTATGTGGACCTGCCGCAGCCTTCCACGACGACAGCAGCCGTCGGTCAGCATGGATTCGACTCGTCTATGGGCAACGGTCCAGCTGCGCAACACATCTTCCGCGGCCAGGGCGTTCAAAACTCGGGGTCTGGCAATGTCTCCATAGGGAAGGACCTGAACATCGGTAGGATTAATTCATGGTGAAGGGACTTAGACTTTCGGCTATCTGGCATGCCGTTATCTACATCCTGTCGCGGGAATGGCTGGAAGTGATGACCAAATGCTCTCATTTCCAAGCCTGTCAAGGTAGGCTGCCACATCCCTGGCCGCAGCACTACTGCCACGCAGACTGCGGCGTTCGCGCACGTTGACGAACTCTCCTGGGCGAAACTCGAACCCATATAACAGATTCGTCAACAGCGCCAGGTCGCGTCGAGCACGGGGGTCGACATGTCTCTGGCTGCTCCCGATCGCATCCACATAAGAAGACGGAGAAATCTTGAACGGAGGACAAACGGTAAGACAACGGAGTCCAGTGTCCCTTCATGGCTATCGTCCGCTAACAGTGTACGCACAGTCGGTTCCTTTCCCATCCAGCTCTTGAAGACTGACGCTGACGGTGCTGACGCATTCTCGATCCGATCCTTGAGCAGCTCCTGTTACTCGTGCTCACAATTTCCGTTGCATCACAGCATCTCCAACTCTAGCCCGTACGCTGGCAGCCGCAACAGCGTCCGATCGCGCATGTCCCCGCACTCTAACAACGTCGCTCGCAGATCGCCACCGAGGTGCTGGGGAGTAGGGACAGCATCGAGGCCGCCTTGTCTGCTTCCTACCACTACGAGGGCGCTGGGAGGAGGAAACGCCGCACTGTCGGCAATCCGGTTCACGACGTAACACGCTTCTTGGAGACGGATCTGTCGCTCGTAGACCTGGGCGAGATGTATTCCTAGAGAAATTAACATTAAGGATGAGATAGGCCAGACACCGCTGTTATGACCCGCCGAGAACGGGCACGAAGGTGTCGGATGCTTGGCACAGGCAAGGTCGATGTCGACACAACGAGTACCTCTGGCTGCGGTATTGGACTGCCGACGAAGCTGCAACTAATGACTGGAGCGAGAAGCAGAACAATGATGAACGGCGTCAGCAGTATCCTAGCAGCTCACGTTACCGACTTTTGCAGAAATATGTGCACGTTTGGGTCTCTCGAGACATAAAGCTGTGCATTCTTTACCGTATTTCGCATCTCGACTCGCGATGAGAAGTGTAGATTCCGCATCTAGCCGACGCACTCGTGATAAGGGCGCCACAACCCTCCACCAACGTCCCTAGAAAGTGCCAAGGGGGCTACAGCACGGCATCACATCCTGCTTCCGTGGATCTTGGACCAAATCCTTTTATCAAGCCGAGTTGAATTGCAGCGAAGAGGCCGGAATCTCGAGCAGGATGATCGACTTGACCTCGGGCAATCCGACGATGAAGTCCATCGCGATGATCTGCATGGGTAAGTCGTCGCTAGGTCGGATTGGCTGGTAGTCGCCGTGCTCCTTCTTTCGGTCTGTTGCATTGGAGCCGCATGCTGGACAGTACTTGATGTACTTGTGAGGCCTCGCAAGTCAGAGTATTCGATTCTTGCCGAAGTGGTGCTTCTCGTCATGCACTTCTGCGAGGACCTCTCCGATCAGGTTGTGTGGTATACAAAGGCTTCGTGTACCGTCGGGGCGAATGTTGAACAGTAGTCCACCGTCGGTGATGACGAATGGGTACCCGGGGCGAAAAAAGGTGGCAGCGTCCCCGCTGCTTGGCGGCGCCTTCATGATCTCATCTATGAGTGGCTTGTATTTGCTGTCTTCTTGGTAGCCTCTGGTGAACCTACTTCTCAAATCGTCGTCCATTTGTACCTGGGAAAAGGTATACCAAATCTCGTCAAGTACCGCGTCACCTTCTGGCCTTGGGAAAATGTCGCCGACGGCCTTGAGCCGGCTCAGCGCGTCGGGTACGAAGTTCAGGCGGCCGGGCACGTGGTGCACTTCCAGGGGGTAACTGGACAGGTAGATGGAGGCGTTGATAAGCCGCCGATTGGCCCGATCAGTGGACGAGGTGTCCAGACTAGTCTGCTCCACTATTCCCTTTGTCGAAGAGTGGTCTGTCAGGACCACTACAGGAAGGTTGTTACCGTGGATTATTGTACGAACCTACTTGCAGGCTCAGACTAGGCACGCAACCTCTAGTTCAGAAGGACCGTAGCGTAATTCTAGGTTAGTAAGGCACCTGCTGAGGAACATGACGGGCCGGACCTGGTCGGACGGGATTGGGCCTTCTTTCCATTCATAGCCTTCTCGCAGATGGAATAACATGACGCCGAATCCTCGCTCCAGGAAACCATCAACGTTGACGAACAATTGCCTATCTGAGTCGGCGTGGTGGAGCACGGTTAAGTTCTTGCATATAGCTTCCTCTGGTTCGGCTGCCAGGAAGGCAACTCCGTTATCTTCCAGTGCGGTGGAATAACCTTCATCATTAGAATCGTCATGTAAGGGGTCGGCCGTACCGGTACGAGCTCTGGCGCAAGTCCTGAGGTGCCGGAAGACTGCGTTCCGGGGCTCGCAGACCTTGTGACAATAGCCACAGGTGCGCCTGGCTGATGGAGTGATCTCGCTGATGCCTTCCGTCAAGACAACCTTGAACGGGGAGCAATCTCGCAGGTACGCTAGTTTGGCCTTCTTATTCTTGAACTCTTAATAGCAAAGATGACAGGTATGATGACGATCATGAACATGTAGTTGGCCAAGGTCTCGACAGGCAATGGTCCTCGGATGAACCTCATGATCTCCACGTCGAACCTGCCCCAAATGTTCTGCATGACGCCAAGCCAGTTGGAATTGTCAGGGAGGAGAATGCCTGCGCCGTGGGCGTAACGAAGCTTCTGCTGGACGAAGCGAATGGCCGCGGCTTCGTCTTCGTAGATGTGGTGCAGGTTGAGGCGACCTTTGTTGCAACGATCATTTGAGGTGCCGGCGTCGGGGGCAAACCGAGCCACAAGGGCAGACATCAAGGAGTCCAAGCCTCCCTGGCGTAGGACCATACGGCGGCTGCTGTCTACTTCTTCCGTCCACCACATCAAGGCTCGACCTCCCAATAGAGTTTGAAAAAGACTGCCAATATGTTTGGCTGCCTCAAGTCGGGTGTACTCATCCTCAACAAAGGTAGTGATCCTGTCTTGGAAACAAAGGACATCGGTATAGACACCGATATTCAAAGGGCTAGATCCACTCTTAATACACAAGTCCCAGCTAGGAGCCAAAGCCCTTAATAAGTGTCCCGCCGGGCCTTGTCTAGTAACAACGTGGTCCGAACTAGTCTTTGCTCCGTTCTAGCCGGCTATGCCCTCCTGCAGGTAGTTCGTAGCAGTTTAAGTTGTATGTAGCGATTTGTGAGCTCGTGACAGTTCCAAGTTGTGGTGTGAGTTGGTATGTGGCGAGATGGAATGTGGCGAGATGGTATGTGATGGTATGTGGCGAGATGGTATGTGGCGAGTTAGGCTTGCAGCTGAAATCGAACAGTATAAAGCAATCGCATTTCCCAGACCCTTCAACTGAACAAAGAAAAAATAATGACAGAGAGTAAGAGAGGAATTAAACCTGACTCCATATAAAGACATTATTGGAAAATGTAGTTGCTCTCCCTAGCACAAGATCTATAAATACGACGAGGCTAACGGCCCGACCATATCACTGTAGCCTTTTGCGCCTGTCGCCGGGTTCCAGATCTCCAGATCTTCACTGTCTCGTCGGCCGAGCCTGATGCGAGCCGGGCCGCATCGTGCGACCAGTGATGCGGGAATAGTCTCAATCGCGCATGCCAATTGATGACATGCCCCGCACGTGCAGGTGGCACTTGCATATCAGTAGATTACATAACACAATCCCATAGATAAGGAAGTGAGGGCGGTGTGCCACGGCAATATACGGGCATAACCCGCGACTGGGCACACCTTCTACACTTCCAAAATGTAACCTTCTACACACACATTTTACATGCACCTACTTTGGTCATACTGCGCCCTTTTCCCCTATCAACCAGGCTACCGACCAGACCCAATAACTATGGCCTTTGAGGGTTGAAATGCATGCGCCTGTCGCCGGGTCCCAGATCTTCACTGTCCTGTCGCGCGAGCCTGATGCGAGCCGGTCCGCATCGTGCGACCAGGCTACCGACTCAACCGAACCACTATGGCCTTCGAGGGTTGAAATGCATGCGCCTGTCGCCGGGTCCCAGATCTTCACTGTCTTGTCGGCCGAGCCTGATGCGAGCCGGGCCGCATCGTGCGACCAGGCTACCGACCAGACCCAATAACTATGGCCTTTGAGGGTTGAAACGCATGCGCCTGTCGCCGGGTCCCAGATCTTCACTGTCCTGTCGCGCGAGCCTGATACGAGCCGGGCCGCATCGTGCGACCAGGCTACCGACTCGACCAAACCACTATGGCCTTTAAGGGTTGAAATGCATGCGCCTGTCGCCGGGTCCCAGATCTTCACTGTCTCGTCGGCCGAGCCTGATGCGAGCCGGGCCGCATCGTGCGACCAGGCTACCGACCCGACCGAATCACTATGGCCTTTGAGGGTTGAAATGCATGCGCCTGTCGCCGGGTCCCAGATCTTCACTGTCCTGTGGCGCGAGCCTGATGCGAGCCGGGCCGCATCGTGCGACCAGGCTACCGACTCGACCGAACGACTATGGCCTTTAAGGGTTGAAATGCATGCGCCTGTCGCCGCGTCCCAGATCTTCACTGTCTCGTCGGCCGAGCCTGATGCGAGCCGGGCCGCATCGTGCGACCAGGCTACCGACCCGACCCAACCACTATGGCCTTTGAGGGTTGAAATGCATGCGCCTGTCGCCGGGTCCCAGATCTTCACTGTCTTGTCGGCCGAGCCTGATGCGAGCCGGGCCGCATCCTTGATTCTTCCCGTTGGCTTAGGTTGCTCGACCTGGATAGTTGTTGGCTCGTTACTGCTATTAGAGATCGCCTCGGGGATAGGAACACCTAGATTTTGATCTTGCCCAAGGGTTAAAGCTGAAGCACCTGATGATATTGTTGCCCAGGAATTAGGAGCCGGGTTAGTGACGAGGCCGGGTGTAGTAATATTAGATTGCATGCTACCCGTAAGAAGTTAGCCGAACGAATAAGCGGGTCAGGGGGGAAGAGGAGGGAGAGATGAGAATAAAAAATAAAATAAAATAGATTGCGCCTACATTGATGTAGACGCCCTTAATGGGGTGAGTTTCACTCCAGAGGGCTTGCAGGGCTGGATCCACTCATGTTCCAGGGCCTTACCCGAGGGCAGGCGATGTTCGGGCGTCGGCCTCATCAGAGCACAGATAAAAGATTCAGCGCTGTCGCTGGCACCGTGCTGGCCCAGCTCTTGGAATCGCCACGAGTCGGGCCTTATCATACAGTGGAACAAGGCGTCCAAGGAAGGGAAGGCGGCCGTCGCGGCCAACATGCGGTGCGCCATCTCGCCGAGGGACCACATATCACAAGCTTGATTATTGACCTGGACCCCACTTTTGGGGAAGAGGAGCTCGGGCGCCATATACTCCCGAGTGCCCTTGACAGTCGATTGCATCTCGGTTGGTGCTCTGATGCGCTTGCTAATGCCGAAGTCGCTGAGCTTAACCCACCAATCTTTCTGGGGCGGCTGCGATTTGATCAATATGTTCTGCGGGGGTTTCTCAGTATTTCTACAAGGAGGCCATAAGGAGGGACGGCAGAGGGGAGAGGGGGGAGCGCATACCCCTGGTTTAATATCACGGTGGGCAAAGCCCTCGCGGTGCATGTAGTGCAGTCCTTCTAACACCTGGTAGATGACTGTGCGGACATGGGTTTCGGGCATTGGCCCGCTTTTGGACATGTGCTTTTGGAGGTCGCCCAGGGGGAAGTACTCCATGGCGATAAATAGATGGTTATCGGTATCGTATCATCCTAGGAGCTTAACGAAACACTTGGAGTACTGTTGTGAAGGCGAGGTGTTAGCTTCTCTCTTAGCCCCTTTCTAGAAGGCCTCTCTGCCAGTTATCTACTTACTCGCCTGTGGGAGAACTTGGCGATAACCTCGAGCTCGGTCACGTAGTCGAAGTGCCTGGTTTGTGGCCGGGCAATCTTTTTGACGGCGCGCAACGTCTGGCCACGGTTCCCGTCGACGCAGCGCTGGAGCGAGACCTCACCGAAGCCGCCGCTCGCCAGCGGCCCAGCCTCTTCCCAGTGTACAGAGCGCTGGTTGGGCCGCCTGTGCTCCTCGCCATCCGAGTCGTCGTAATAATGGATCGTGAACTTGTCGTCAAAGCTCGTCTCGAGCTTGTTATCACGGACGAGGTCCGGGATGTGTGCCATAGCGGCGGGGCGGATATTTGCGCTATGCTCGCAAGGTCGAAGGGATCAGAAACGAAAGACTTGGGGGGGCAAACTAGAGGCGGCATCGTATTGGGTGCCTGATGCGGGGGCAGTTGTTCGGCCTTGATGCACAGACCACCCGGCGCTTCGCTGGCCGTACGCAGGGGCGGGAGCTAGGGAAGGGATTAGGAACGTGATGGATGGGTGCAGCAACAATGCGGTTGATTTGGCTGGTATGATGGCTACTGCTATGGAAGAGGAGAGGAAAAGGCAGGCAGAGCTCTGGCTGGAAGAGGTGTGGCTATGAGGCATGGTGGCCAGCCTCACAGCACCACAGAACGGGATCGTAAACAAGAGAGGCAGTTGCACGTTTTCTTGCGTCGCAAAGCCTCATGGGATGAAAGAGAAAAATCTTAGACAGCGATCTCACCAAGCCTCATAACCACTTTCTCAATGTAGCGAACTCCTACCGCCACGCTATCCGTGCCTTGGGACTCTTTCTCATTTCCAAAGTCGATATTGCCTGTATCGAGACATGTCAGGCACGTCTCGACAACCTTGGCGTACATGGTGCCCATGGTACGCCGGAGCGGGCCCCTAGCCAACCGCGCAAGGCCGTCTTTGACAAGCTCTGGGTTCTTAAGCAACTCCGGACCGCTCATATTGCCGTCGGATATGGACAGTTCCGGCCCGGGAAAAGGCGCGCCCGAGCTGGCTCCGTAATCGACAAGGCTTTCCCATAGGCCGATCTCGAGCAGGCAGACGCCCAGGCTGTAAATGTCGTGGCGCATCTTGTAATCGACCTGGAGCGATCGGCCTTGCCGTTGCGGATGCCGGTATAGGTTCTTCTCCCAATCATCGTCGCCCGTGCGGCATGTCTTGCCCCCGGCTTCGCGGAGCACGTCGAAGCCGACGAGGGCAACCATCTCGCTCGCTACGAGCCCGGTATCCCCGCCTCCTTCGCCTAGCCTGCTCCGGGGCGGTGCGGGGTGGCAGAGGAGGAGGAGGATCGTCTCTGGCCATGTCCTATGGCTCCATGGGAATCCGGGGACTGGGAAATCGACCATGGCCATATACCTTACCGAGGATTTGTCGACAGCTTTCTCCAAAACGGACAGAAAAATGCTAGCCTACTTTTTCTGTGACTCTGGCTTCGCGACACGGAGGGAAGCGACCTCGGTTATCAGAGGGCTTCTCCACCAGCTCGTAAAACAGCACCCACCGCTTCTCGATTACCTCCTACCAAAATATAATGAGCGTGGGGCAGAGTTGTTCAAATCCTTCGATGCCCTCTGGACCATATTCATGGCCGCCGCCGCGGATAAGAGCACGGGTCGAAAATACTGCATCATTGATGCGCTGGATGAATGCGATCGAGAATCGCAAAATACCCTGTTGCAACAGCTTGAACGATCCTTTCAGAGCCAAGATATCTCGTCAAATTTCCGGATTTTGGTCACCAGTCGGCCGTATTCCGAGATACGCGAATACTTAGAAGGGTTCCCGAACAAAGATTTAGCTTCTTTCTCCGAGAGACAGCAGGACATTGATCTGTTCATCAAGGAAAAAGTGGCAGACCTTGCCCAGAGAAAAAAATACACCGACAAGGTCAAAGGGCAAGTCAGCGATATCCTCAGAGACAAGGCTAAAGGTACTTTCCTCTGGGTTGGCTTATTATTAGCCTGTGAGGAGCTCAAGGGTACCGCTTCGCAACGCGCCGTCCAAACCTTACAAAGCATGCCCAAAGAACTTGATTCGCTCTACAAGAAGCTTCTTGACACAGTTCTTAACCAGGATGAGGTCAGCCACGATGACATCCGACGCATCCTGAGCTGTGTGGCTGTATGTTCGCGGCCACTGACCGTGTTGGAGCTCTCTGAAGCATGCCGCCTGCACCAGGATGAAGAGGGCGCTGAGACCCGGGTCCAGTTCACACGCGAGCACATCGCGTCCTGCCGCCTAATAGTCATCATTCAGGACGACAAGGTGCTCCTGCTGCATCAGTCTGTGAAGGACTATGTATTTAGGGCTCTTGCTGACTATTTCCCTGACGAGCGCGAGGCTCATGCCAACCTTGTCTATCGCTGCGTTGATCTCCTTACCGACCCGGATCAGTCGCGTAACAGCTTCTTGGATTATGCGATTCGGAATTGGCCTCATCACGCACTCATGGTCCAGTCGACATTCGAGGTCGGTTCGCGAGCCGAGTTTTTCCGAATTGATTCTGCGCTACGTGAGCAGTGGCTACAGCGCCTAAGATCGAACCGGTTTGAGTATCCTCAGATTCCACAGCAATTCTCCATTTGGCACGTGCCTGCACGGTGGGGAGTCTCCGCTCTAGTAGAATATATCTCACATCCGGATGGTCAGGAACGTGTTGATTTTGTCGATGGCTCAGGTATGACGGCACTTGAGATAGCTGCTGGGTCCAAATATCCAGATGTGGTTTCTGCCTTGCTAGGGCTTGGGGGGAAGGTGACTATACGGGTAGTAGAGGCTGCGGTTGGAAATTACGGGAATGGCAAGGAAGTGATGGCACTGCTTCTCGACCGGCGAGGAGACCAGATCACCATCACCAAGGAGGTGGTGAAGGCTGCGGCTGGAAATTACGGGAACAGCAAGGAAGTAATGGCACTGCTTCTCGACCGGCGGGGAGACCAGGTAACTATCACCGAGGATGTGGTGGAGGCTGCGGCCGGAAATGAAGGGAATGACAAAGCGTAGCTGAGTGAGATGTTGAAGGATTCGCCGTGAAGGAGCGACTGTCTCAGAGTAGACTTGGTGTCTGTCTGTTGCTATAATTGCGGAATTTTCCCCCGAACCTCAAGGACAGCAATTCACCCCGACTTTGTACTCGACTACGCTTAGCGCTGGTATGCTCTGGTAATTTGGGAATGTGCGATCCGTAGAAGCAAACCCAGGCGTTATCGAACTCCTGGCGCCAGCTAGCCGATGCGGCTTCCTCTTCCGGGGTGACTGCCTCACCGAAATCACCAGATCCTCTGGGTGGAGGGTTGTTCTTTCGCCATTCATACAGGGCCACATCAACTTCATACTTGGCAACAATCTCCTCACGCATCCAGCCTTTCTTGGGGAGGTCGATGTGATCTTGAAAGTGGCGCTATTTAAGGGAGAACCGAGTAGGATCGACGTAGCGAAAGCTTTCCATTACTTCCCGCTTCGTGCGGGCCTGCCTATCGCCTAGCTCGTTTTCACTTTGCGACCGAGCCCCGTCGATTAGGGCCTCCCTGCGGAAGATCTTCTCGAACTAATACCGTTCCTCGTCCCAGTTGAATCGTCTTCGGTTGTACTCCAGCCGTTCCCATGGGTCTTCCGGGATAGGTGTCGGTTCGCGAGACTCGGGGGTTGGAGGGTACGTGTTGTACCCACTGAGGTCGGTATCGTTGCTGCCATTGTCCTTTGACGGCGTCGGAGATGCGGGATTTCTGGGGATGCCTAACTCCTTTGACAGTCGAGCCCACAATCACTTCCAGCCCTTATTAAACACGGATTGTGGCTTGAACGGCCGCATTTCGACCTTGTGTTTCATTATCCGCAGGGTTCTCTGGCGCTCCTTGTAGACTGGATCATGCTCAAGATAGATATTCCTTTCCTCGAGCATGGTCTTTCGCAAGTTGTACCACTCTTCGCCAAAAATGCTTTCGGCCCCAAGCCGCATAGGTCTCGGGACTATATGGCTGTGGCTCAGGCGTCCATGGCATCCGGCCGTTGGGATCGTACGTGTCAGGATCGTAGGTTTGTGGTACTAGCATCTCATCGCCCAATACCGAGGCGTACAAATGTGGTGCTGGCGTCTCCATTTCCTCGCTTTGTGGTTCATCGGCCGCGTGGCTCATACCCTTGGACTCGTGGTTTCCCTTGAGGTTTTCGCTGTTGCGAGGAGCCATCGGGATGAAAATGAATAAGGAATTGATCGAGGATAGTACTGCGATATAAACGCTCGTGGCTTGCGGAGTTGGGGGATGGTGAAGGATGAAATCAACGATGTTGATGAGCGCAGGATGGTATTCTGGTCCGGTAGTTTTCTACCAAAACTTTTTGTTGGTCAAAGGTGCGACAGCCGCATGTTCTCCCTCAACCAATCCTTTTCACGGCGCTAAGCTTCTTCCTATCAAGACCATCACTCCCACCTTTCTCCCCCTTCCCTTCGTCTGGTGCCACCGGATAGATACAGTCGAGTCCTTCGCGGCGAGTCCGCTCAGGTCCTATTCTCAACAAACACATCTTTCCAAAGATGGACGCTCCGGGAACGGTCTTTTACCTTGTTCCAAACAACAAATATGCCGCAGCGATCGTTCAAGATCCCGCGAATCGCGACCGAGCAGCCCCCGCTGTCCCCCACATCGATTCAGGCGGGCCAGTCTTGAGAATTGGACTAGACCAGCTGCCCAAATGCCCACCATACCTCGTACGCTTCGGCCGGCATTAGCGGAACGATGTGATCCTCAACCGCTTCTCGAGAAATGATCAGTGCTATTTTGATTTCAATAAAGAAAACCGGTGAGCTCCTTCTCCACGACCTATCGGAAAATCACGACACGCAACTCTACGAGATCGTTCACATCACCACCGAAGATGGCGAAGAGGAGGAGTTAGGGCGTCCCCAGATATCGAAGACCCGTCGGCAATGCGTCCTGGTACTCGCCTACGACGTCTACAACAAGCGTGACCGGAAGTGGATCTTCAGAATGCGTGACGCCGAGTTTCGCTTAATACCACGAAGGACGCAAGGCCAAGACGAAGCGACACTCACCAAAGAGAGATTGGCGTTCGTGGGCCAGACCGACCATGATCGGACAATCGAAGGGACCATGCAGCGACTCATCACGCTAGGCCTGCAATCCGAGGGATTGACAACTACCTACAAGTCAGCGTCAACGATCACCTTCAACCCCCATAATACTCGGCTCCAAACCCCACTTGAGCCTGAAAAAGACAAGGTAATCCAAATCACGAAGCTTAGACCGCTTGGAAGAGGGGGCCAAGGTGAGGTGCACAAGGTGGTTGATATGTATACCGGCGCGCACCACGCTTGCAAATTCGTCGCCGTGAAGGCGGAGGTACCTCAATGGAAGATCTATTCGGAGGAGGGTGCGCTGGTAGGATAGCTTGTACCAACCAGCGGCCTCATCACCCTAGCTTCCATGCAGAACCAAAATAAACGCGACCTGGGGCAGCAGGACTGGCAAAGAACAGGGCCGCCAGGGTCTGTCACGGAACTAGTCGCGGATCCACGGCTATTCCAAGATGTCATGACGTGGTTCCTTCTATGGCTTTGATTTCCATACAAGCAAGAACAGGACCGTTCAGCGGACCCCTCCATTCTTGGCTGCAGTGCAATGCACGCTGGGGTCTCTTTCAGCGGGGCAGAGCCAACGTTATGGGTGGGAGGCAGCCTGTTCGAAAACGGAAGTACCGTTTTACACAGGGTCCGTGGGTCACTAACAAGGGAAAGAGGGACCCGTTTTTGGATCCCAAGTACCCCCGGTTTTTGACCCCCTCTACCTCGTAGGGCAAGCTTCTAGGGATTGGATTATACGGCGCGAAATTAAGGTGCTATTCACGATTCTGTCGATTGCGAGACTTGTATTCTGTGAACATGCTTAATAGGCGGGGGCGGGGGGGTTCAATGAGTCTCATTCTGACCTTCAATCGCATATATGCCATCTGAGGCCATGTCTGCCACATCCGTGTTCTTGTCCCGTCCACCTTCACCATCGCCGGCATCGGCTATCTCGCCGTTGGGAAAGTCATAAATGGTTTGCAGGAGTTTTTCGTGTTGCGGGAAGGACAGTATCAAGTGGGTAAGACTGCGGCATTGGCACTGTTAGGGGATCTTGAGACTTCAGGAGGCAAAGAAATATTTTTCTCTTAAACTTTTGCTAAAGTCTGGAACTGGACCTAGTGTACAAGAGCTGCACTGCATGCTAGGCTAAATTCGATGCCAAGACAAGCTTTAAGCAGTTGACGTGTTGGCGCTGTAGGCGCGCTAATAAATCTGCCTCGGGCACCTTTCACGGCAAACAGTGCCGCACAGTATGCTGACTGCCAGGGCCTGCCCTGTATTTTGCTAAACGTAGTATTCCAGATTCCATCCGTAGCGTGCTTAGATTGTCTCCAAAATTTAGGCCTAGGAAACAACCCACGCCACAATAAGCTAAGTGCAAACGTGCCTGTCTTCTCGTAGATGGATGGATGCACGTGCAGCTTTGGTCGCAGTGCTCCATTCGACTCGCGTCACGTCTCGGTTGCACTTCCCGTCCCGCCCCCTCGGCCCCATCTTGCCCCTCGATCAGCTCCACAGCAAAGTTACGCCGGGCACACGAGGCAAACCGATCCGATGGCTACCGATCCGATGGCTCCCGATCGCGCAATGGGAAAAATTACCCCTCCCCCGCACTGAAATTCCTTCCTCGAGCCGACCACATTTTCGCGGCATTTCTTTTGCGCGTGCGCGACTATTGACCCATCTTCTCCGCCATGGCTACCATCATCCTCGGGTCCCAATGGGGGTGAGTTCTTGCCAATTGGTTTCCAATGTAGCGACACGAAGCAGCTATGGCCGATGCTGACGTTTTTTTGCCTGATTTTTAGCGACGAGGGCAAAGGTACCGAGGCCCCAGAACCCCCCGGTCTCGAACCGCCATGTCCCAAAATGACCCCTCCAGGCACGCGTGAACCGCATAGCGGGCTGTCGATGCTAACCTCTTCGCAGGCAAGCTCACCGACATCCTGTGCCCGCGGACCCAGATCTGCGCGAGAGCTGCCGGTGGCCACAACGCCGGGCATTCCATCGGTACGAAGCTGCCCTGCCCGTTTTCTGCCTGTCTCTCTCCCTCCCACGCTCCGCGGGGCGCACGCAAAATCCCGTTTACTAACAGACAATACGCCGTGCCAAACAGTTGCGAATGGCGTCTCGTACAGCTTCCACCTCCTCCCTTCCGGCCTCGTCAACCCCAACTGCATGAACCTGATCGGCTCCGGAGTCGTTTTCCACGTCCCCAGCTTCTTCAAGGAGCTTGCCGAGTTGGAGGCCAAGGGCCTGACAGACGTGCACAACCGCATCCTCGTCTCGGACCGGTGCCAGGTCAACTTCGACCTCCATGCCGCCGTCGACGGGCTAGAGGAGGTCGAGCTGGGCTCGCGCAAGATTGGCACTACTGGAAGGTTTGTGTTATTCGAGCTACACGGAATGGGAGACAGAAAACTAATACGCGCGTGTAGAGGTATCGGCCCGAGCTACAGCACCAAGGCAGCGGTACGGAGACCCCCATCCCCCCCTACCGCGCGCATTGCTCGGCTTGAAACTGACTCGGGATGTTGAAGAGAAGCGGTGTCAGGGTCCATGAAATCTTCGACGAGGAGGTCTTCGAGCGGAAGCTGCGCCAGCTTGAATCCGGGTACAAGAAGAGATTCGGCGACCTGCTCAAGTACGACGTCGAGGAAGAGATTGCCCGCTTCAAGGAGTACCGCCCCAAGCTCGCGGCCTACTGCACCGACGCCGTGCAGTACATGAAGCAGGCCCAGGACCGCAACTACAAGATCCTCATCGAGGGCGCCAATGCCCTTATGCTGGACATCGACTACGGTGAGCCGTTTTCGAGTGCCGCCGTGTCAGCGTTGCGGTCGGCTAACAGATGTTTGCAGGCACCTATCCCTATGTTACGAGCAGTAACACTGGGCTGGGCGGCATCTTCACCGGCCTTGCCATCAACCCCAGAAAGCTCGAGTAGGTTACCCCAAAGCTGCAGGCAAGACAAGGTTGCTGACTCGGGATCTTAGGCAAGTCATCGGAGTGGTAAAGGCCTATGTCAGTATACTCCAGATGCACACCCTGTTTGCGCCATTTACTAATATCATAATATCATATAACAGACCACCAGAGTGGGTGAGGGAATCTTCAAGACGGAGGACACGGAAGAGGCCGGCACGAAGCTGCAAGAAATCGGTACGCTCGTCTCATTCTTGCACATAGCGCTGTTCATCATGGCAGACTGCTAACATGGGATGACCACAGGCCGCGAATGGGGCGTCAGCACCGGCAGGAAGCGGAGATGCGGCTGGCTCGACCTCGTAGTCTTGAAATACTCCACGGCCATCAACCACTACACGGCGCTCAACCTGACCAAGCTCGACGTGCTCGACACTTTCCCTACCCTGAAGGTGCGTCCTGCTTCCTTTTTCCTTGGCTTTGCAGGCGAAACAAATAGATGACTAACCAGCGTCGCTGTTCAAAGGTCGCCGTTGCGTACAAGGACCCGTCAACAGGAGAGGAGGTCGATTACTTCCCGGCCGATGTCGGCCAGCTGGAGAAGCTGGAGGTTGTGTACAAGGAGTTTGAGGGCTGGCAGAAGCCCACCACGGCCGCAAAGAGCTACGTAAGTTTCCTTCTCGCCGTTTTGCCGATATTTCTGCGCCATCCAGGTCCGAGCTGAAGACTATTGCGTCCACTTCTACTCGCCAGAGGCTGTTTCAGCTCATGCTAACCACTCTGGAAATAGTATGACCTGCCCAAGCAAGCGCGCGCCTATGTCGAGTTCATTGAGACGTTTGTGGGCGTGCCCATTGCGTGGATTGGGACGGGCCCGAGCCGCGAGGACATGGTCGTCCGCACCAAAGCCGCCGGGCTCGAGAAGTGAGTTGCGCGCACGGAACAGCCGCGGAATGCGGAATAGCCGCAGAATGCGGAATAGCCGCAGAATGCGGAATAGCCGTACCTGGGTAACCCTGTATCCTCACATGACATGGGGCATTGTGAACCTGGCGGCGTGTGGTGTGTGGAGTGCGTGCGTGAATGCGTTGCTTGGGCTAGAGATACCAAAGGTCTCCCCCATTTGCCGGGTTATATAGGGCTTTTTGGTTACCCGGTGCCGTGAGCAAAGGGGGTGTTTTTACTGACGTCGGTGAGAAAATCATCTGATATCCGGGCTTCGCCGTAGATCCAACTGCCGGTGAGAAAATGTGACGCGACCAATAGAAGGTCTGGATTACAGAGGTGAAACTACTACGCTTGATTATTGAATTTGAAGAAAGTAGAAAAGCCGACCCATATCCGGTTTAAACGTGAGGAGAAAATGGCAACTTTCTATATCAACATGGCAGCTATTATATCACCAGCTGGTTAACAGCCCACACCGTCTCGCACAGTCCAGACGCCATGAAATCTATCAACCATCACGCTCACTGCCGCTATTATCGCTTCCCAGCTCGTCCAGAGCATACGCCCGCCGCCACAGCACACGGCCCGTCAGCGGATCCATGACCACGGCGTAGTGCGTTTGGTCGTGCGTGATATACTCGTGGCCCAGCATCTTCAGCACGTCGTCGATCAGCACGCCGTCGGCGGGCAGCGGGACTCGTCTATCTTGTTCTTCCTGCTCCGCAATCTCATGCCGCTGGTCTTGTTCTATCGGGTCTTGCCGTGCACGGAGCTGCGAACTCGCCTCGGGCGGAGACGACCGGGCATGGCCACGCCGCCGCAGCACCGCCGACCGCCTCGCCTGCTGCTCCCGCTGCCGCCGCACCGCCGCCCGCCACACCTTGCGCACCGTGCGCTTGCGGTCCATCGAGTCCTCAACGAGGCTCACCATGCCCGTCTCGGCGACGGCTGCCGCGGCCGCGGCTACCCGCTCCGGCGCCGACTCGTCGCCCACGTCGTGGTTGCATGTTGTCATGAGCGTGCCGTCGCTCCGCACTACTGCTGCCAGGTGGTCCTTCTCTACCGCGTACGTCCGCTGCGCCGTGCTGAAGATCAGGTACGCTGCTGTTGATGGAGAGTGTGTCAGTTCGGCTAGCAGGCTGTCGATGTTGAGGTCGTGCGGATCCTGCTGCTCGTGCGAGTTTTCAAGTTCGGCATTCGGAGTGTCTGGTTTCACTTCCCCTGGGGCTAGCGGCGATGATGAGGCAGCCGGGTGCTCGACCGCCGCGCGCCCGTCCCTCCGCCGCCGCAGCGGCTCGGTCCCTGGCGCCGCGGGGCCCAGCAGGTAGTAACGCAGGGTGCTCGAGATGGACGGGCGGCGGCCGAGCAGCACCATGGCCTGGTGCCAGCGGTAGGCGGCGCGCTTGCGCCAGGTGCTGCGATCGTGCGTCGGCCGGAAGTTGAGGCTCAGGCTCAGCCCGCGGCGCACGCCCGTCAGCGCGCCCACGTACCCAAAGTACCCGACCGTCGTCGCCACCACGGGCCCGCCCGCCGCTCGCACAAAGTCCAGCTCCACGATCAGGTGCCGCAGCTCGTCCATGTCCCAGTCCAGCGTGCGGAAGTGCACGATGCGCGACTTGCTTGGGATCGCCGCCGCCGCCGCCACCGGCTTCCTCGCCGCTCTAGCCCCCCGGGCCGCACCGGCCCTTTCGCCTGCGTCGCCCTCGGCGTCCCCATCACAGTACGCCATGCGCACGCCGCCACTCGTACACCCGAGCAGCAGATCCAACAACACGTTGAACGCGACCAGCAAGTACAGCGGCAGGCCCGTGGCGGAGGCAATGCCGCGCAGCTCAGCCGTCTCGTCGTCGGCGTACACGCGCCGCAGCGCCACGCGCGCCAGCGCCAGCAGCCCGCGCTGTCCCGCCCGCCACCCCCTCGGCACGACCGTCGCGACCAGGTCGCCGAACAGGCCCTCGAGGTCGGCCGCGCGGATCGCGGGCATCAGTTGCGCGGCAATGTGGTCGTACCGGTGCTCCGGCGCGACGGAGAGGTCGACGGTGAAACGCGGCGGCGTGCGGCCGGCTGTCTCCCAGATGGGCTGCGCTTTTGGGCGCGCGGCGGTGCTGGTGGTCTTTTTATGTTTGGCAGGTGCCGGGGCGGCGTCGCGAGCGTTGGCATCGTGGCTGTTATTGTTGTTGTTTAATTGGTTTGATAAAGAGGTGTTTGTTGTTGTGTTTGGTTCGCGCGTCTCGGGAGCTGGTTTGACAGGTTTCTCCTGCTCCTGTTCCTGCTCCTGTTCCTGCTCCTGTTCCTGCTCCTGCTCCTGCTCCTGCTCGCGCGTGTGCGACGAGTGTCGGAGGCCGGCCGACTCCATAGCTTGGACTACCCAATGAAAGGTGAGAGATTCGTGCTCATCCAAGTGCAAAGACGAAGAAGGTGCGACTCATTATATTGAGTTAGCTGCTGCCTCGAGAAATCTCGGTTCTTTCTGCGCGCTGGCGTTGACTTTGGAGTCCTCAAATGAAAAGAAGCAAGACTCGGCGCGCACACGACAGACAGAAAATGCGCCTCTGCTGAACTAGCCAAGGCAGCCTTGGGGCTCAGCTCGGACTTGTCGTACGCCGCGGCGTGTGGATGTTACGTGTACTGTGCATTTTGTGTTGTCGAAAATGACAGGTCGGCGGCCAGGCAGCAGCCACAGCGGGGCGTCTGCAGTTGCTGCTCTGCTCATTTGGAAAGCAACGATTTCCGTCCGAAAACACTTGCAAAAATAAAAAAAATAAAAAATTGGATTCCAGATTGAAAGTAAAAAGCTTATAATAGAACGTCTCTCATTTAGGCTCGAGGGGGCAAAAAGACAAAAGTTTAGGTCCTACCCGGAATCGAACCGGGGTCGCCGGAATGGATGTTTAAATCAGAATCCGAAGTGCTGACCGCTACACCATAGAACCGAATGCTTTGATTGGTTGATGGGCAGGTACCTGATGCTCAATTATATACCCGCACGTGGTCTTTCAGGGTTTTTACACCCCTTGTCCTGTAACTCGTTTCTAATTAAGTCGAATTTGAGGAAATGTCGCTAGTGAAACGAATGTCTTGTTTGATATTCTTTGCATTCGCTTATTTAAATAAGTTCTTATTAGTAGCTTAGTTAGTGGTAACACGAGCACTTAGCACCTATAAGTGAGCCATGTCAGGCGACCCCAGCGGTGACAAACTAATTAGCTCGAATTAGGGCTGTTCATATTCGATAACATATCGGCTTTGCCTTGAAGAAATCTAGTAATTTATTTCCGCTTTCTTTGGCGTTCCGTTTTCAGACAAATACCGACGAGCGCCAAGCCATACTCAGTCAACTGTATTTAAGTCTGTGGGGATCGTGCAAGCCTAAAATTTCCACGAAATAACCACAACCGCAACGAGTGAGTCATTTATCGCCACAACTTCGCCAGTTCAGCGTCTGGGCCATCCACCATGGCCACCTACTCGGACGAGCAGCTCGCGCGTTATTTCGCCCACATTGGATACCAAGGCAGAAATGCCAGGCAGGCCGCGGGCGAGGACGCGCTGGAGGTGCTCGCGACGCTGCAGCGGCTACACCTCGCGCGCGTCCCGTTCGAGAGCCTGACGCTGCACTACTCGCGCCATCGCCTGCTGTCGCTCGACCCGGACGCCCTGTTTGACAAGATTGTCGGCAACAGCCGCGGCGGCTACTGCATGGAGGTCAACACCTTTTTCGCCACGGTCCTGCGCAGTCTCGGCTTCACTCTGATCAGCGTCGGCGGGAGGGTGAGAGTTGCGGACCAGTACACGGGATGGTATGTCCCCAGCATATAGCTCCGGGAGATGCAAGGCTGCGGATAATTAGGCACTAAACTATGCGCTGCTCCGTGGTCAGGAGCCACATGGCCAACCTCGTCACCATCAACAGCACGCGATATCTTGTCGACGTCGGCTTCGGGTCCAACGGCCCGCCGCATCCCGTCCTCCTGGTCGACGGCCACGAGTTCGTCGGTATCGCCCCCGTCCGCGGGCGGCTGCAGCACCGGGCGCTAGAAGAGCATACAGACCCAAACCAGCGCGCGTGGGTGTACTCGACGCAGGACGCGGAGGGCGCCCCGTGGCGGGATCAGTACGCCTTTGTCGAGCTGGAGTTTCTGCCGGCCGACTTCGAGGTCATGAACCTGCACACCATGACCATGCCGCAGAGCTACTTTGTGCAGACGGTGCTGTGCATGCGCACGCTGCTTGACGAGGGCGACCAGACGGCCTGCGGCGTCGTGATCCTGCACAGGGACTACGTCAAGACGCGCGTCGGCCCTCTCGCTGTCGAGACTATCGAGGCCCTCGAGACGGAGGAGCAGCGCGTCAGGGCGCTCGAGAAGCATTTCAAAGTTCTTATCACGCCTGACGAGCAGAGGGCTATCTGCGGCCTGGCGAGCGAGCTGAGGCCCAAGGGGCCCAGTCCTTGAGTTGCCCACACTCTCTATGCAGCCATGTCATGCTGTGATGGCAGGAAGAAGCAAAGAAATTCGATGGTCCTTGCATTGAAGCCTAACAGTAGATAATTACACGTCATTATTTTGCTTTATACTTCCTGCGTTTCATATTTGATATCAAATACTTGCTGTGGTGACTAATCAGTTCAGTTTAGCAGTCACTCAAGTCTCTTATTGCTACAGCGGCCAAAGTTTACTGCAGCTGGCTTACATGTGCCCATGGCTCGTCCGAATTCGGGGACTGTGCTTCGACTTGCGGGGATTTCCGGCTCAGCCTCAGTCAACTGGTCAATCTACCCCGCAAGACTTCACCGCCAAGTCCTCAAGATACTTTGGGATAGCAGAGTAACAGGCATAGAGCCGAGATGGCACACAGCAACCTGAGCAATATTTCCTTCTCTCCAGGGAGGCAGTTTCTACACAACCTCGCGAGAGAACAAGACAACAGGCAGAGGGAAGAGGAACAAAGACTGGCCAGAGAGAGCGAACAGCTTGCGCGGGAGAAAAAGATCGAATCGGCCGTGCTCGCCACCTTCTACAGCTACCAGCCGATCCACGACTCGTACGGGACGGGCACGCGCGTGCTAGTACTGAAACCGGGCGGCGGCGACGACAAGCTGGCCGGCCGCCTCGAGCCCCTCTGGGTCGGCAACAGCGGCGACTACAAAGCCCTGTCGTACGTGTGGGGCGAGCCCCGGCTGACAGACGCCATACTCATCGACGGCAAGAAGCTGGCCATCACGGAGAGTCTGGGCGCGGCGCTGAGGCGGCTGCGTCCGCCGACGGGCCGGCCGGCGCTACGCATCTGGATCGACCAGATCTGCATCAACCAGCGGGACACGGTCGAGCGCAACAAGCAGGTCCGGCTGATGCACGCCATCTTCCGCGCCGCCAGCCAGATCCTCGTGTGGCTCGGCCCCGACGCTGACGGCCACGCATCGCGCGCCTTTCAGCTCGTCGGAGCTCTGCGCTCCATCTTCGGCGACAAGCTCTTGGCCAGCCTGTGCAAGTCGAAGGGGGCCAGCCTCGATTGGCTCCCCACCGAGTACTGGAGGTCTCTGCGCGAGCTCAGCAGGCTGCCGTGGTTCCGCCGGGCGTGGATCCCCCAGGAGATCGGCACGGATGCCGAGGCCGTCGTGCACTGGGGCTCCGAGAACATGGGGTGGGAGGCGCTGCACGACTCGATGAAGAAGCTCGAGGTGCAGGGCTGGGAGCTCAAGAAGAAGTACAAGATCGACACCAGCTCGGTCACGCTGCTGTTCCACCGCTTCGTCGACAAGCCGCGGCCCAAGGCGGAGAGCCGGGCGCATCGGAGCTTCGTGTACCAGCTGTGCCTGAGCGCGCGGACGCTGGCGACGGACCCGCGCGACTACGTCTACTCGCAGCTGGGCCACCACTCGGCGTGGGTCGAGGCGGAGCAGGCCATCATCATCCAGCCCGACTACGACAACGCCATCTCGACCATCTACCACGAGATCGCCATCCGCGCCCTCAGCAACGACAGCACGCTGATGCTGCTCAACGCCGTGTCGGACAGCGGCGACGCGCGGCCGCCACTGCCCGGGCCCGACCCGCTGCTGCCGACGTGGGTGCCGCGGTGGGACGCCGGCCGCTTCCACAGCCTCGTCGGCCACCCGGGCCGCTACCGGGCGGCGGGCTCGTCGCGGTCCGGCATCACGAGCGGCTCGTTCGAGGACGGGTACAAGACACTGGTGGTCAAGGGCGTCGTCGTCGACACCATCGCCAAGGTCACTCCCAGGTTCACCTCGCACTGTTTCGTGTCGGACTCGTCCAAGAAGGACCTCGTCCAGGCCGCCTGGCGGCTCGCCCGGCTGAGCGCGGCCGCCTCTCCCCCGGCCCAGCCGTCGTCCTCCAGAGCCGACACCGCAAGGGGCAGCCAGGCGTCGCTGTCGTCGTCGTCGTCGTCCAAGAGCGACGCGGCCAAGTTCACCACCCAGGGCGCGTACCGCGGCGACGCCTCGGCGCCGGCTCTACTGGCCTTTCTCGAGACGCTCGCGCCCGCAGCGCTCGTCACCGAGCTGTCCTCGCCGGCTACTCCCCCGCCGGCAGCCACCCCGCGACTGATGCCCAAAATCCCGAAACCGCCTCCTGCGGACTCAACCACCACCACCAACAACAACAGCAACAATACAGCAGCATACCACTCGGGCCTCGCCGCGCTGCAAAAGCTGTTCCCCAGCTCGTCGAGCTACAGCAGCAAGCACGACCCGCGCAAGCTGCTATCACTGGCCGCGTCCACAGCAGCCCCTGACAGTACCACCACCACCACCAACAACAACAACAACACCAGCACCAGCACCAGCACCAGCACCAGCAACAGCAAACAGAAGCCACCGCCCCCGAATCCCACGGCCTGGCTACAAGCCGCCGAAGACCACGCCGTGCACCGCTGCTTCGCTGTGACACAATCCAAAAACGACAACACTAGCACCACCACCACCACCACCACCACCACCAATAACAGAGCAGAAGGAAAACCCGGCGGCTGCTACTTCGCCATGGCGCCGCCGACCGCCCGGGCCGGCGACGCACTGGTGCTGCTGGCCGGCGGCGAGACGCCTTACGTGCTGCGTCCTGTTACTGCCGAGGCGAAGAAGGACCGCTGGGTGTTTGTAGGCGAGGCGTACGTTCCGGGCCTGATGGGGGCTGTGGAGGGCGAGGATGGTGGCGCCAAGGGGAATGGTGGTGGCAGTAAGTGGCCCGGGGATGGAGCTGGGGTGGTGACGTTTCGGATTGGTTGAGGTTCTTCTATCAAGCGTGTGGGGGGCTTGACGTTGGGATTGCCGTAGCCGCGTACAAACCAGACGCCTTGCTTGGAGGTCCGCGCAACAGCTGTGGCTACCCTGAACATGGAGGGCTTGGAGACGAGAGTTTGGAGAGAAACCTTGTTCGTTGTATAGCCGGCGTAGCGCCGGGTGCAAGACACTACTCTTAGTTCTAGAAGCTGCGCTGCATGTGAACAAGGCAGACCGGGCACCTTGGGTACGGACCGGAGCCGGAGACAACACACAATAACCGCACAAGTCTCGCGGCCGAGGTCACTTGGGCCAAGCAGACAGTCCAGCCGATTCACGAGTCGAGCCACGATCCGATGCCCATTTCATCACGCGCTGAGCGGGCCGGCCCGGCGCCGTCGAGGACACCCCTCAGCTCCCCGTCGCCGAGCGCGACAAGGCCCCCCCGCGCCCCATCGCCTGGATCGACTTCAAGCTGCCCAAGGCGTCCTTCCTAGTCAGCCGCGCGAACTACGGGCCGTGGGTGCGAATCGTGCGCCTCCTCTTCATGCGCGCGTCGGGCTGGACGCCAGCACGGTCCTCTCCGAGATGCAGGAGATGCAACTCGCCATCAACCTATTGAGCATCATCGGCAGCAGCGAGCCGCCGGGCGTGATACGGACACACGACCGCGGCACGGCGGTGCTCGCGGGGCTCAGGGGCGTGTACCAGCCGTCGGACCAGCTCGTCTACGACACGGCGGTGCGCGGGATGGGCCAGCTGCGGCTCACCAGGCGCGACTTGTTCGCCTACACGCTGCGCTTCAACGAGCTGCACGCCGAGATGGCCGCCACCGTCCCCAGCGCCTAGTCTTTGGAGCTGTCATTGCTTTGTCACTGATAGCTTGGCCCAGCTGGCGTGTGGGGCCTGGCTCGCCCACCACCACCACAGAACTGCCAAGCACAAGGTAGCTAGCTAGCTGCTGTACAGTTAGTTCGATTCGAAGACCGGCAGACGGCTTGTGGGAAAATGCGGGGAAACGGGGACGGGGGAGGAAGGTCACGATCCAGGTAGCTAGCCAGTCAGCCAAACAGCAAAGACCCAACGTTGCACAGCACCGCCCCTTGGCGCGCAGCGCACTATTGGCTTGGGCTGTGTGCCGCGCAAAGCACCTTCCAGAATGATTCTCAGTGTCCCTGCAACGTAATTGTCTGCCTTGTACATGCATGCTGCCGAGAGAAGAGTGGCAAAACCCCCACCCCCCTGGACTAGTAACAACATGGCTGGCATCCAGCAACCGACCCACCGCCGGGCTGTAATAATCCGGAGCGAACGTAGGTGATCCTGCTTGGTTTAGTTACATAGGTACCTACCCACCCAGAGACAGTCGTGAGGCGTTCAAGTTTGGCGGTGAGTAACAGTCTATTACAGATAGACACACAGGCAACAAAGAAACAAACGAGCGCAAGACTGGAGAAAAAGGGGGCGGGAGGGGAGGGTGGGGGCAAAAAGGATCGCACACACACGAAATGCGTTATTCGTTACTATCCCAGCAGTACTCAGCTACCCAGTCGTGAGGGAAGCATGAGAAGAGGGGGAAGCAGAAGGGCGAAAGAAAAAAAAAAGAAAAAGAAACGAAAAAGAAACGAAAAAAAGCAAAGAAAGCGCAACAACAAAAACCAACAGTCTAGTCAGTTAGTTAGGTCCGGTCTCGGCGCACATCTCTGCCAATCCAATGCAATTCACCTAGCCACCCACCCAAGTCCCACCAAACTCCCTCCCGCATGGGGGCGGCGCGGGAGAAAAGACGCCGGGGAAAAGAAAGGAAGGCAAACATGGGGTGAGGGGGACATGGCAGGCAGGATCAGGTAGTTTGCGGGGTGCTCTTGTAACAGTACTGTATGCCCGTCCGCCGCTAGCAAGTAGCTTCAACCACGTACAGTATGTATATGTACATACAGCATGCCCGCTAGGTGCTTGCGTTCCGTCGCCTTGGTCAATGGTCAATGCTACCCCGTCCCATCCCATCCCTTCCGTTGTGGAGAAGGAAGCAGCAGGCTGGTTTGGTCCACTCTTACCTGGGCTCAATTGTCAGTGCCGTCGAGCACGCCTTTAAGCTGGTAGGGTACACAGATAGAGTCACCGTAAAAATCTAAGTTCTGTATAGATGAAATATCTTCACCATTTCCCAATCCAAAACCAGGCGGGATGGTGTTACGGCGGGATGGTGTTGTCGTCTTGGTGGGTAATCTGGCATGGAATGTAGACAAGACATATTCCACGGTAGGGCGCTGTGTTCAAACGGGGCCTATAAATAGCTGGTAGAAAATAATAAGGAAAATCACAAACACGATCCAAGTTGCGCCCGCCATGTTGCTTACTAATTATATACACATGTGCATCCCTCGCCAAAACAAAAGTGCCGCCTCAAGACGATCACGCACCATCCCTCTACCCTGCGTGTGAGCGACAGTTCATGCAGATACTAATCCGCCAACACAAACCGACACGGCTCAGAGCACCGCCAGCCACGCGGCGAGCGCACCGACCACGCCGTAGCCGAGCAGCTTGGTGTCGGGGCTCCACAGCGCGGCCGCAGCGTTAGGCTTGCTGGTGGCCGTGACAAAGGTGCCGCCGGTCGTGGCCGTGGGCGACGACGACGTCTTCTGCAGCACGTAGATCTCGCCGGTGGAGTCGGCCGTCATCCACAGGCGGCCGGCGGCGTCAAAGGCGAGACCGACGGGGCGGAAGCACTTGTCGGGGCAGTCCGTCTGGTTGGCGTTTGTCAGGATGTCGGTCAGCGCGTCGTTGCTGTCGGGCGACGCCACGGGCTCGCCCGTGTCGGCGTTGAACGCCACCGAGGCCAGGCGGTAGCCGGCGGGCTGCGTCTTGTCGACTGCAGCCGAATATTAGCTACCGGACCAAGAACAATGTCAATGGCGGGGGGGGAGGGCACTCACAGCTGCCGCGAAACGTGACGTAGGCAGTCTTGCCGTCGGCGGCAAACTTGATGTCGATGGGGGCGTAGTGGGCCGGGAAGGTCAGGCGGGGCGCGACGTAGTCGGACGCGCACGTCTCGTCGGTGAGCGTGCTGTTCTCCTGTATGGCGAACTGCTTGCCGACGCCGAGCCCGTCGCTCTCGGGGATCTCGGACACGTCCCACACGGCGAAGCACTTGGGGTACCCGTAGTTGCCGCCCTGGTTCGCCTTGGTGGCGTTGAGGTAGCCGAAGAAGTTGAGCTCCTCGCCCGGGTTGTTCTCGTGGATGTCCTTGCCGTCGCGCGTCACGCCGTCGATGCTGTTCTCGACCGCGTAGATGCCCCCGGTGATGGGGTGCTCGCCGACGCCGACGGAGTTGCGCAGACCCCACCCGAGCACCGTGCCGTCCGTGTCGTAGTCGTACACCCGGGATTTGCTAGCCGAAAGGTCAAAGGCCCGGATCTGAGACAGACCGCTCGACAGCACCGTGGCTTTGGCCTCGTTCCCGTCGGAGCTGCCGCGCGAGACCAGCAGCGTGTTGGTCTGCTTCTTGGACATCAGGAGCGTCCGCGTGACGAGGTCATTGTTGCCCATGTTGTTCACGACGACGACTGGCCTGCCCCCAACGGAGCCGGCGTTCGGGTCGTAGTCCCAGGCGAAGACGGAGTCGACCGAGGATGCGTAGAGTGTCTTTCCGTCGGCCGACAGCGCAAGGCCATGGTTGAGCTACAAGTCCCGCGGGAGTCAGCTCGAGGGCAACTAGCCAGGACAGAGAAGCACCGGGAGCTCAACATACCGCCGCCTGGTCGATGAGCACGGTGGACTTGGTCAGAGTAACGCATGTACCGCCATTGTCGGTGAAGCTGTGACGGGTGACGCCCTTGCCGCTCTCGACGACGAGCAATGCGCCAGTGCTGTCGAACTGGATGCTGCGGGGCTTTACCAGGCCGGCGACGACCAGCTGTGCTTGCCACCCGCTGGCGACAACTGGGAGAGCATGACTGGGGACGATGACGTTGGAGCAGCCCTGGGCGGCCACTATCGAGGCAGACAGCCCAGCCGCGAGGGCCGCCTTGGCAGCTCGGGTCGTCTTCATTCTGCAAACTGAATCTCTGAGGTGCGGGCTAGATAAGCTGGTAATGCTTGTCTGATATCAGGGACCCGGTGCGCCGGGAGGAACAGGGCGGCAGGACGGACGGAAGCGGGAGAATGCCAGCCAGCTCAGAGCACCACGAAAACAAAACCGTCTGGCTTGTGGGCCGGTGGTTCCTAATGAGGTCGGCCGAGCCACGAGCGCGGTAACGGCCAGATGGGTAGCCTCGAAAACAAGAGGCTTTGATAAGGGCGTACGAGCGAGGAGCTGGCCCAGAGCAGCTATCCCGGGGGCCACGGCATGCGAGCAGCGCCAACAGTGGCCATTTTCCGCTTGTACGTAAAATCCCGAACAAGAAATGACGGATTGGCGTTCTTGGCCTCGGGACAGAGCGAATCCACAGCGAGGGCGGCCCAGCCCAGCTGCGGTCCCTCCTCTCTAGATAGAGGTGTAACCTCTCTAGATAGAGTTGTAACCAGCAGCCCGTCGATAGCGCAGCGAATACTCCCACGCGGTGGACGAGGTCAATCTTGAGTGAAAGCGGTGCAGGTGAGCTGCGGGGTCAAACTTGGCCCTCCATGCTGTCCCGTCCATTGCAGGCAAGCGAGGAAGGACGACAGGCCATGGCCGTGCCGAAGCCCCGCATAAACAGCGCAGGCTCGAAATGGTTGGCCAATCAGGCGGCGCCGAGATGATGGAATGGTGGTCGTCGGCTGGAAGGGGGGTCTGGATCCCATCTCAAGTGGCCGGCCAGCAGGGCCAGCAGGTGGGCAGCCCCGCCATCCTCTTTGCCGGCATGCTTCTTGTGCCCAAGCCGAAGGGCTAAGATGTGCCCTAGCTCCCTCCGCCGGGTGCGTTTCTCCCGATCGAGGAAGCGGACTGCACGTGTGGTGTGCCAGCAGCGGTGGGGGATTGGAGGGCCGCATGGCTGGAGTGGCTGGAATGGCACGCTGATGGAGGGGTAACTTGGGGCGGCATGGTCTTTGGCCAGCCTCCCACGACAGAAAGCGATCCACAGATCGCGACCTTGTGTGGTGGCCCGACGGGGGCCAGCGGAGAGAGCACTGCAGCAGTAGCAGTCCATTGAATCCAGTCTTGTTGAGAGATCAAGTGTGCGTATGCGTGTGTGCATATGCTGTGCCCGCCCTGACTCACCTCACCACCTCCAGGCACTGCTTCTTGTTCCTGTCCTGTCCCGTGGACTGCGCCGTTCTGTTGAGCTACCATTTGCGGATCGATCTCTGCCGACAATAACAACGCAACAACGCCTCTCGGAGTGCGTGTGCGTGTGGTTGCGAGAGATAAACAACCGTTCCCGATTTTTGGCCCTGCAGCCTGATCTCTCCGTGGCCGCCTGTCCTCGCCGCCCGCATTTCGCATATTTATGCGGTCTGGAGGTGCAGATAATCGCTAGCTGACACCCCCCGGGGAACAATAAGAAGATATCGCACACGCGCACCCAGCCAGACTCGAGCGTGGTGGTCACAAACAGCGCCTGTTCCCTTTGCACTTGCAGGGAACACTGGGAAACCTCGCGCGCTGCCACTCAACACCAGACGAGGACCCCAGAGTGCGATTGAGAAGAATTACAAACGACAAACGAAATGGGACGAAAACAGAGCCTACGGCAGCTTGCCGCCGCCGTTGCCGCGGGTCTTGCGCTGCAAAGCCAGCCAGCGCTCGCGCTCCCGCAAGCGGGCGGCGTCGCCCCGGCGCCGCCGGTGCCGTGGGTGACGGTCAACGCGGCGGGCGTGGGCCAGACCATCACGCCGAGCGTGGTGACGGCGGACGGGGCGCGGTCGACCATCTCGCAGGCGCCCGACTACCTACTCGCGACGGGCACGTACACGCTAACGCCGAGCGGGCGCGTGTCGACGTACACGGGGCTGCCGCCCGTGGCGACGGCCACGGGCTACAGCAACGACGTGGGCGCCTTCCTCGCCTGCACGCTGAACCAGGGCTACGACGAGCCCTTCTGCCAGCCCAAGTCCGGCTCCACGCTGTATCCAGGGCAGACCTACTACGGTAAGCGTCGCTGTTGTCTTTTCCCTCTTTCTCTCCGCAATGGCGGTTGTGCCTCTTCCTGCATTGCGCTATGTGCGTTCCCTTCCGACCGGCATCGCGACGGCCGTACTGACTCGAGACGAAACAGTGACGTGGGCGCCGACCTTCTTCGGCGAGAACCCCGACGGGGCGGTGGCGCTCAACATTGAGGTGCAGGGGACGGCGAACGGCATCCTGATCCACAGCGTGCCGGCCAGCCAGGGCTTCTACGCGTGGAAGATCGAGTCAGACTTCTTGGCGCCGTACAAGGCGGTGGCGCTCAACATCACCTTCATGCTGCAGCAGGACGACATATCGACCCCCGACGAGAACGACTTCACGGTGCAGATTGGGCCGACAGTGACGGTCGCGACGGCGGGCATGGGGGCGTCGGGGGGCAGTTCGGGGACGAGCGCCGTGGTGATCGCGGTGCCAGTTGTGGTGGGGCTAGCGGTGCTGCTGGTGGCAGGGCTGTGCGTGTGGTCGTTCCGGCGCCACGGCACGCTGCCGCTGGTCGGCACGCTCGGCGGCGGCATCAAGAGGCGGTCGAGCGGGTACGGGGTGCGGCAGAGCCGGTCGGAGCGCGTCGGCGCAGGCGATGCGGCGGCTGGTGTCGGAGGCATACGCAGCGACAAGCCTGACGCCCGTGTCGGCGGCATCCAGCTCACCGACCGCGACAGCTGGTCACCCACCGCCCCGAGCCACCCCAAGCTAGGCGATGCCTCCATCGGTCAGGGCCGCAACGTCTTCCGCGAAGAGCTGCAGAGGCAGGAGAGGCAAGGCTGAACCTACAGCCAGAAGTAGGATTGGCAGTGGAGATAAGAGGACGCGTCACCGTTTTTCTGACTTGGACTTTTCGTGTTCGTACCTTGCCTATACAGGGCCTAGTTTGGCCGTAGCGTTGTTCGGGTCTGGATTGCAAGATGTTTAATGGAAATTGTTTCTCCAGCTCCCTTCGGGTCCGAGGCTTGGTTCGGGGCCTAGGAAATGACATCAGGTGCGCTGGTGGTCGGTCTGTGCCCAAGCCAAGCCCATTTTAGCGGGGTGGACCCACAGCAAAACCACCAATTTCCGAGTTTACAGCGCGACGATGGGGGATCCACCTCGTATCCGTATCACGTCAAAGCACCGAAACAAAAGCAATATTCACCCAGTAACTTACTTCACTACCACGATCGCTGCTCCCCAAACCAGCTATGGGCATTTAGAGAACTAGCGATTTATATTCCGCCATCCGCAGCGGTGTTTAATAGTAGTAAGTAATTAGTGGTATGTTCGTGTCGTCAGCCGCCGCGTAATTACAATCGGTTCTATGGAACCGGGTATCTAGTGCGCCCAGTGACAGCAGAGACGAGCAGCTGCTAACTGCTGCCGCCCAAGCGTCCTGGGTCAAAATCTGCTATCCAGAGCAGTACAGTGTGACTGGAATGAGAGGCGAGTGCAAGCTGAAACCATGCACATCATTCAAGTCGTTGGCTCCATAACTCCTCCTTTGCCACCTTCCAGAACCCAGATGATATCCATCCTCCCACTAGCTTCCAGTGCTCCATATTACATCTGCCCGCTCATACAAAGGAGATTAGGCTCGGCAATGGCCAATTGTTTAGAAAATGAGCGACGATCCGGCGCTCGTTGTGTCGGTGTCGCCATGTCGACGATATTAATGTGTACCATTCAGGTATTGGTAAGAAAAGGGAGGCCAGTGAGGAGTCGCGAAAAGCGAGGGGGGAAACCCTTCCAAGACCGCCAGTGCTCCATGTTCATGCTGACCCGCTGCTGGCCGTCTTCATCATTTTGTTAGCCAGAGTCATCCCACCACCCGGCCTCAACATTGGGCTTGTAATTGCCAACGGCGCTCAGTCGAACTTGCTTCTTCCTGGCAATTGGGTTGGGCATGGGGAAGGCATCGGGAGAGATGGGCGAGTCTGGGCGTGGAAAGCCGTTTTGGGTGTCTTCCTCCTCCGCAACGTTCTCGGGTATCCGAGCGTGAGCATCTCTATCGTCCCTTCGGCGTGTGCCCGTTCTTGTATCGGCATTGTCGTCGCTCTGTCTCAACAGGCCGTCGCCCCTCCCGCGTGGCTTGGCCCGCGTAGAAGTGGAAGCCGGTGTCGCGTTTCGGTCTTGGGTCGATGCCCCTGACATAGACTCTGCACTCGCCCCTGGGCTCGACTTCCTGCTCTGCGCCCCTTGACTAGCGGAGGAAGAAGAGTAGTGCATCGGGAACCCGTCTCTGCTGTCGTCAAATTCCAAAAAGTCGCTGAGGTCTGGGCTCGGTTCCGCCGTGTCCAGTGCTGACGCGCTCTTCATCGGCCGGTCCATCATCAACAGAATCTGTCCACGGCCTGATCCCTTTTCCGTTCTGTGCTCGCTCGACCCGCTGCTGAGTCGAATTTGAGGTTGCTGGTGCGGCCGGGCAGTCAGGGATCCTGCTCCCGTCTCCGCGTTGCGCATGGTGCTCATTGAAGACTGCCTCGACATGCCACTGCTGTAGATGCTACTCTCATTAGTAGTTTCACGCTCCAGCACGTGGTCCTCGTTATCTAGATCCTCTTCAAACTCGGAGATTTTGTCCTCGCGCATCCGAGCCCGCTTCAATCTAAGAGCCGCCAATAGCATCTCTTCTTGCCGCGTGACGGCCATGAAGCGACCGCTGCTGGTATCCTGCAAACTGCTGGCGGCGCTGCTCCGACGGGTTCCCTTTACCGCGCCTCCGCCGAGGCTTTTGCCGCTACTGGTTGATCTAGCGTCGAAGGTTGCCATGGAGGTGTGGTGGCTTTGCAGATAAAAGTCGACGCTGGTCGGCGACAGCGGCGGCGTAGGTTGATCAGACGCCTGGGATGCTATGGACGGCCGGTTGGCTCGATGTTTGGGGGGAGTCGGAAAGTTGTCGAGGCGTTTATCGGCGGATCCGAGCCAGTTGGAGAGCTGCGACGGGCTGCTCTTGGGCACCATGCTGATCGCCTTGGCCTCGCGGCTGCCGGAGTTTTGCATGGTTTCGTACGAGACAGTTCGAGAAGTCGATGTCGTGTTGATGGAGAGCCGCGACATCTGGTGTGACAGCGACGGTGATACTTTCTTGGTCGAAAAGTTTGGCAATATGGAGCTCGACCGGGAACCAATCTTTAGGGGGCTTGCTGCCGCTGCGCCTTCGGGGATCGGCAGGAACTGGGGGTTCGTCGCGAAGCTTGTGCGCTTGGGCATCTTTGGGCGGCTTGTATCCTGGGGAGTGGCTGGTATGGAACGTTGGGATATGGCGGAGCGCGGGCTCGTGGGACTTGTCTGCCCGTCGCTCAACGCCGGGACCGCCAAAGAGCTTTTTGACGAAGGCTCATAACTGTCATCCTCGGAGTCGGACGAAAGCGCGAGCACGCTGTTTTGCTGCAGATCGATATCCGTGAGGCTGCGGTCTGTCCGTTTCGAGGCCTTGGACGTCCTTGTATGCCGGCTCGAGATGCTGGCGCTATCGGCATGTGGTGAGATGAGGCCCAAAGGGCTCACAACCCCAGCCAATTGCATGTCGGAAGCGCCACCCGAGGGGGATGGCTGCTTGGATGAATAGGGAGAGCGGATTCCATTGGGCGGGAAAGGCGACAGAAACGCCCTGTCGGAACCGTTGCCGAGCGGCGGTTTGTAAACAGGGATATGGCGATCGGATGACAGGTCAAAGCCGGCATTGGGCCCTGAGTTTATCTCCTTTTCCAAAACATCGGCGAACGACAGCTGTTCGTAATGGTCGTATAGGTTGAAGAGATTGACCGTGGACTTGCTGGGATTGTGCCGCCCACCAGCCAGCGCACCCGCAGCTGCCAAGTCACGCCTGGCTGGAGGGTGTTGCTGGATCTGGGGCATTGGCTGTGCTTCAACAACCGGAGGCAGTTCCCGCAGCGACTCTTTCGTTGCCTTCTTCTTGGGCTTCCTCACTAGCCTGTTTGGAGTCGGCGGCTGGGGTGTATCCGGCGACATGGACATCATAGAGGGTGATGTGGTTATAGATTCCGGGCTGAGCACCGGGCCCTTCTGTGAATCCGGCTTTGGGTGTCTCGAGAACTTTGACCGGGGCAACAGAGACGAGAGATCTAGCCTCGTAGGCTTCTTCTTCGGCTTGGTCTCGGCCAAGCCATCCATGTCGAGGAGGGCGTGCGCCTTGGGCGGGAGTCCTTTCGCCATGGCCGAATTAGAAGTCTGCTGGGATATCGAGAGTGGAAGCTTCGACTTGTCGTAGTACGACGTGATGGTGGAACTCGATTGGCGTCGACGAAGACTCGACGCGTCGGTTGTGCCTCCCACTGCCGTGTGGTTCTGGTTGTTCAGGTTCCTAGGTATTATCTCGGATTCTTCCTCCCACCGGCGCTCGGGCCTGGCCCTAAAGACAGCCGGCGCATCTTCGTGCGCGATTCCCAGGCCGGTCCCGCCTCCGTCGGTCTGGCTCGGCGTCGCCTCGGATACGGAGATGCTGATGCCCGAGGCTGACCGTGACTCCCAAGTCCACTTTGAGTCGACGGAAAGGGATGGCGAGGAGTCGATATTGATCTCGCCCGTGCCGAGTATTTTCTGCGCCTTGGTGAGGGGCCCCGTTTTGGCCGCCGGAGGCTGCTGTTGCACGGGCTTGTGCTTCCGGCCCGGCAGCGGAAACAAGAATTTGGATCCGTGGCCCATCGCGGACGCGGTTGCACGACGACAGCAGCGCGCTCAACTCCCGCCCGGATGCAAGCCGCCGTGACTATCCAAACCTTGTCGAGGGCTGTTGTCACCGTGACCAGTTCATGAGTGCCAATTGCGTGTCCACCTGGGCGCAAAGTAAACTTGAGGCGTCGAGCGGGCGAGGAGGCGGTGGAGAAGAGGCGGTTGTTATAGCGGTATTGTGGTGCAGGTGGTGGTGGTGGTGGTGCGGGAACGGGAACCGTCTTATTGTTATTAGCTCTCATTAGCCAGCCATGCAGATGCAGGATGGCAGGTCAAGAAAGGCGGTGGGAATTCTGGATCGTCACATTCAGCAAGCTGCCAATTTCGGGCTCCAAACAAGCACCAGCACCAGCAGCAAGCTGGGGCGAAAGGACAGTGGTGGGGAGGACACGCTGCGGGCTACAGATACAGCTCCAGGGCAGCTGTGTTCCCGGTAATCCCGACCTGACCCAGCTGCATTCAGTTCATCTCTCGCATGCAAGGGAATGCTGGATTGCCTGCAAGCCAAAGACAAGCCAAAAACTCAGCAAAAAATATGATCGTGCAGTTTGCTCCAATTGCGTGCAGTCGAGTCGGGACGGCGGCCAAATTTTAACAAATCGTGCCTTCCATGCTCCCGCTTCCCAGCTCACACGTGCTCTTTGTCGATGCCAATCAGCAACATCCTTGCGCCTGGAGATAGTGAGCCCCACCCCCAAGAAAGACGAGCATGGGTAGGGTTCTGTATGTACCTCGTACTGTGAGTCCTGCTGAGTGTGCAACTACACGTTAACAGTGCCCGGGCAATTTGCGCGGCTTTTTTCTCATGGGAGGAATGACCCCCCGGGGGGGGAACCTTTTTTCAAGCCGCCCGCCCACAAAACGACCTCAACTCGACACCCAAAACATGTTCGCAGGGCCGACCACAAAATTCCGTCTACAATGGCACGAACTCCTTCATGCGGACCTGCACCTCCCAGGTATGGTATTATTCTGGTTGGTTGACAAGGGCCTGCGGTTGGGGGAAAGTTCCGCGTCTCGCCTGGTTTCCACCCTTCGCTCGTCTTCGGACTCGGTGATGGATTTGGTTCCAACGCCCGGAACTGGAGTCGTTCGTTTTCCAGCCACTACGGACACCTCAGGATTCCAGTTCACGCACTGTGGTTAGATCCCACTGCTGACCGAATCCCCTGTGCGCTGGCCGCAGGGGTGCTGCACATCCCTGCTCGACCCCTGTAGCTGTTCTGTTCTGAGCACGACTGACAGGTTTGCGCCATGTCCGTCATCTTGAGGTTGTGTTATCTTCATGAGGTGCTTGAAGAATTCGCGTCTTCACACAACCTGCGCAACCAATACCCATCTCTTCCCGAGAACTGGGACCTGCATGCGCCAGGAGACGGGCGGGGAAAGTGAGCCTAGCTGAGCCCCGACGTTGATGCTCTGATTGCCAGCTCGCAAGATAAAACCTCGAAATCTCTTTGGAGCCACCCTCTAGCCCTCGAGATCCGCATTCCAGCTTCCATGTTCACGTGGATCCATCCAGGACCTTTTGGGCTTGTCGCCCTAAAATATCAGATCTGCTAAAACGCCCACAGTGGACACAATCATGAATGATGTAAGAGACTAGCTAGGCATCCCTGCCTTATTTTGCCATGCAATCGGTGGAGCAGCGAGGCTTGCAACGATCGCCAGGCCCCAACCCAGCCCCGTCATTCGATCGGCCAAAACAAACGAAAAAAAAGCAAAGAAAAGAGAGAAATAAGACACCAACGGAGTATTCCGCAAAGCGAGGAAAATGAAAGATATCGCCGCCATTGGCCAACATCCTCAATCCGATCACCGACTGGACGATCGGGTTCCCTGGAACTAGCCTCAAATGAAGCCATTTCCAGGCCACCTAGGCCTAATCGCTGTGATGCAAAATCGTCGAGCAAGCAAGCGGACAAGCAAGTAACGGTAGCAAAAAGAGCAACCTGCTCAGGAGTTAGGGGTGCGAGCAGCAATATTGATGACGGGCACTTCACACTCATAGCTTGCATGACTTCACAAGCTCGCGTTCAGCCATCCTGCTCGGGAAGGATTTCTCCCACAAAGGCTCAGCCAGGTCGAACTTTTGTGGTGCCAAACAAGGAAGCACAAGCTGTCGATGCCTGCGACTGAAGCCCAAAGACAGCTAGCCCGGCCATTCGAGCTCCTCCAGATCCAGGGAAGGTGAGCCAGATTCCCCCACCTCATGGAGCAGCCCGTCCGGAATCGACCAAACCAGCTCCGCAGCACGATACCTCGCGCCCGCCATTGGGCAAACGCATCCCACAACCTAAAAGTTGCAGGCTAACAAGGGGCACTGGAACTGGATCCCCGACCAAGGAGAAGCAACAGTGGTCAGAGGACTGCAACCTCGGCAGAACAGGGCCGCATGCAACCCGTTCGCCGCTGTTGTATCCTTGCGGGTCTCCCGTGTTTTGACGAGACTTGCGCGAGTTGCGATCGAGTCCGGAGCAGACCTCGCTTGCGCATCGTCACTTGAGCAGAGGATAGGGAAATAGAGAAACGCGGCGAGACACACGCCCCCAAGGCAAGAAGTGATCGACCCCCCAAGAGCGCCCCCAAATTGCAATTTACATGGACCCGTCGATACGGTTCTTACATTACTGAGCATACACACGGCGCGGCGCAGCCATGTTGTGCGACTACGGCTCGCCGCAATGCGGAAGTTGAATGCTCCAAGAGGTTTCTGAAGTTGTGAAGCTCTGAACGAAAGCAGCACAGCACGCCCAGTCGCACAGACCCGTTCAACGGCACACCAGAGGTCTACTAAAAGCGGCCAAGCTGGGTGCACGGATCAGCAAAAAGTCTTGGAACATCCGCGATTTGCAGAAGAGGGGAAAGGTTTCGCGAGCAAAGCGCCGCCCTAGAGTTGCGAGTTGCGATGGCAAACCCTCTTTTTGTCCGTGCGCCTTCGTCCAGGAACCCGACGGCCGCGATTCATTGGACGGACGCGAGTATTTTTCCTGCTTCTCGAATCCCTCGCGAGGTCTCGAGCCGCTCTGTGCCGTTGCGCATTATCTCTGCCCTCTCTCACGGCCTGGTCGCTGTGGCGCCACTTGACGAGGCCTGAGGCTAAGGAAGCGTAGATTGACGGTCCCGATCAGATCGAAACTATCGAGCCGTATCGTCGTCGGCCCTTCTCTGCCAAGGCTGTCTTGCTCGGTAGTGCAGGAACCCCATTGACTGCGTTTATTAGCTTCCAAGACTCCGAGATACGCGAGCTGAGACATGGGGAAATAAAGCTGCAAACATCAGCGGCCCGGTTCCTGAGCTCCCGGCCCGCCATTGGTGTTTTTCGGGTCTGTCACGCGCAAACGCCTGACCTAGATGAGCAGCAAATCCGGCATTCCTCGTCCTTCCTTGAGTGGTCAAGAACCTGTGTAATGCGTTCATTGTCTCTGGGCAAAGGCGGCCGCCGGTGCAACCCCCATTCCCGAATTGGGGGCGGGATCGGGTCCCGGCAGCCACCTTTTCCCCCGCACGGAGTTTAGACCATCCGGACCATCTTCCACAGGACCATGGCAGCACAAGAGCTTGGTATCACGACATCAACACGAAGATGCACATTGATGCAACAGCCAAACATTCTGGCCCTATGTTACGCCGCGCTGTGTTTGTCGCTGCATCCTCCAGCAGCCTCAGCCTCTCAATCTCCGGAATAATGGTGGACAAGCGAAGGTAGGGAACGGACCTTGAGTGACCAAGGTTTGGTCGCCAGCTTCCCCGCTCTCGGAATCGGGGTTTACCTGGGCGGGCCGACCTGAAGTTGAAACACCTTCTCCATGCTCTCAGCGCTATATCTTTTATCGCCAATAGCCCTGGTCAACAATTGCCTGACGTCCAGCATTGAACGGCATGTTCCATGTTTCTTTCCCTGCTAGGACCTGCCCTCTCTGTCCGGTTGAAACTGAACTTTCTTTTTTGCTTGTTTTACAAGCCACACCTCCTCCTTCCCCGCCTCTCAAGCCCAATGTCCGCACCTCTTTAGCTATTTATGTCTCTCCACCCCCGAACCCCGCGTCCCGGCATAGCCATAGACAATTTCGCACACACTAGCCTCCACGAAGGCTTACACGAATACGGCAGGTCTTGTGTCCGCCGTGCAGGCCAGACCGTGCACCAGAGCCTCTCGTCCCGTTTTGAGGCTTTTGTTTTGTCTTTTTCTTTTCTTTTGACTTTCTTCTGGTTTCCGGCCGATGGCTCCTCTACACCACCCCCACCTCTTCTCCCTTCTCCTTATCGTTACATTCCGTTCCCGCACCATTAGGCTAGGCCTACCTACCCTACCAGCCATCAGCTGTCACGCAGGGCCCCAGCGTCGATGGCACAGTGCAGCGGTTCCTGCATGCGTGAGTCATAACTAAGGTATGTGCGTGCCATGTAGTAACGCAGGTTGAGGGAAAGATAGCGAGAATTTAGCACGGCACTTACTCCTGCCGTGTCGTCTATTGGCGGTGGCACGGAAACATCGCTACGCTTTTGTGACTACTATTCCCCAGCTAGCGCTCGAGTTCATTCAAAGACCGGCCGTGGCAAGGTTGCAATCATCATTTGAGCAATATATAGCCCGAGGCCTTTTTAACAGTGACCTGTTGACGGTATCAGGCTTCTAAGCTGAAGAGTCTAGTTGCGACTTGTAGGGATCGGTGAGCGTATTGATGAGTTTCCGGGTTTGTAATCAAGTGTCTGGTGTGTCTGAGAGGCTTGATGTATACGTCTCCGACATGATTTCTCGGAGTCTATCCCGCGGTGCTATCTGCCGTGGAGTGGTAGAAATCGAAGAGGGCGAAAAGGGACAAATCGTAGTTTCCCGCGTTCTGAATGCCATGCACCTTAACTGATAGAACCGGCGGTTGCCTACTTGTTCATCATTATCATTCATTTTGATACTCGATGGCTGTTCCGGCACGACGTCTTGCTTGCCAGAAAAGATGATCTCTCTAGTCAGCCGCTATGACTCTGCCGGAGCAGTGCCGTCCAATTATTTAACTTTTTACTGTACCGCGTTAGATGCCTAATTGACTGTGTTTATGATAGTCTGTTGTGATGTGTAAAGGCCATTTTACTTTGGTGACATACGTATTATTTCGTCTGCTTCAATAAAACTTACTACCTTGAGGAGGGACTTCCACAGTTAGATTTATCACAAAAGTGAAATGGCTAATACCCATCACTACGTACAAATTAAAGGTTAACATAGGCATTTACCGCGGTACAGCAAAAAGTCAAAACAATTGAATGGCACCGATAGAGTCATACCGGCCGGCTCACGAACCTTACCACCGCCATGTAAGATCGAAGTTTTCGCCCAGGGCACATAACATTTCGACCGCCTGTGGGCCTTTTTGAGCTCCAATTAAGACCAGGTCGTCAGTGGTTTGGTTCGATCAACGGATTCCAAATGTTCCCCTAGATGCCGGAACCACAATTGCAAATGTAAAGACACAGTTGATGCCTTTTAACGCCATAGCCAGGACAGTTGGCGCCGTATATAACCGTGGAAGTCACTCCGTGGGATAAGTAAGTGAAAGGAAATATGTTCTCTTTGCGGTGATAAAGGGAGCGAGGTCCGGCCACCTTTTTCTTTATGTCTCCATCGATAAAAAAGTGACAGGGGTAATTCTATCACTCGACCTCCCCAAAATAGCCGTTATCGTTTGGATTTCTCCTGTTTATATGTAATGGCCTAACTATGCCGGTTTCCTTCTTTTAATCCCATCATTCCGACGAGAACTACCCTAAATGGTGTGACTGGACAATCCACCTATCCAATTCGCTCTAACGAATAATTACACGACACCCATTGATTTCATGCGTCTCCACTCGAGTCGAGTGTGACTAGTTCTAGAGACATTGCAGAACAATGAAATGTAAACTGCAGAGAGTGCTCGCACGATTACTGTCTATTTTTATCAACAACTCACCTTCCCCAGTTTAACACTCTCTTGGTCGGTACTCCTTTAGCTGCGGCATTCCCCTTATTCCGAAACACCAACTCCCACCTTCCAAAGTCAACTTCATAATTGTTCTAACTACTCTGCTATGCCTTGGGAGTCGTTCTCCCCTACACTAATAACCCCAAGAGTAAATACATGAAGCGTTGGAGACTCTGAATGGTTTCTACAGTTCCATTTGGGCTGAGCCACAAGAAACTGCCTCGGGCGCCACATGGTGGACTTCAAATGCATGTACCGTTGCTGTTCGAGACATTGCTGGGCCTCGTTCACGGCAGGGAAGTAAATGCTCCCAAGGGCACTGATTAAAATTCGACGAAGAAGAGGTATCATTTCATGTAGTTTTATTTGCTTTTTAATTATTTCAGGGTTTCATCTATTGGATAGCAGCGAGGAACAGGTGAAGCCACGTAAAGATACTTGTTCATTGTGGAAATATTCAAGCAATCCGGATTTCCAATCCCGTCGGCATGGTCTGTTCCGCTCTGGCTTGATACGTCAGATTTCTTCCAACCTATTATTGAGACAGACCAATTAGCCGTAATTAATGACTCGAGAGGTTCAATCTATGACCTCATTTCTTTCGTCGTCCTTTTTGCCCCTTCTATTCTTGATTTCTTGTTTGCCCCTTCTCTTGATTTCTTGTTTGCTCCTTCTCTTCTTGATTTCTTGTTTGCCCCTTCTCTTGACTTCTTGTTTGAACTCGTTCTTACCATGTCTCTCAGCTAATGTGCACTGCGGTTTACCAATTAACAGGGACGTAACAACGGCAGGGGCCGTGTTAGCCGCATTGCCAGCCGCGTCGGTGGTGGAGGGCAACTCTTCTGAGAGTGCAGTCGAAAGATGGTGTTCAAGAGCTCCCCTATCAGCCTTGACCGGGGCGAATTTCGGGTTGATCAGGGCGAGTTCGCCACTAGGGACAGATAAGCAGCCAGTGGCAGGGCCGGTGGGCTGCACGACATCAGGGCGCGGCGCTCAATGGGGGAGCTGGGTCGGTGGGGTTGGGCGGGGCGCGGCTGGGGATCCTGGGCGCCCGTTAACGACCTGTCGGTTCAGGCAGGTGGGCCGCCCCAACGGCCACCAGCTAGGCCAATTGTGCGCTAGGAGAGCGCCCTAGTTCCCTGGCGGGCGAGATTGGCGATCGGGACAAGAGATTCGACGACCAGGCATTGGCCAGCGACGGCCGCCTACCTACGACCTACGACCGACTGCGACTCTGGTATCGTTGCCTTGATGAATGAACACTCGGCCCACGTGCTTTGGTGAGATGCCGAACCGGATTCTTGGCGGGCCATGGGGAGTACGACGGGCTGCTTAAGATGGACGGCGGCGCGACTTCAGCCAGGGGCGAACTGTACCACCGAAGTCAGCCAAAATCGAGATGAGACCGGCAACAGTATTGGCGAGCCTGCAGTCTCTGGCTCTGGCTCTGGCCGCGGCCGTGACCATTGCCGAGATCAACGGCAACAAGTTCCTGTCGCCCTACTCGGGACAGACCATCACCAACCTCACCGGCCTGGTGCTTGCCAAATCGTCCAGCGGCTTCTACATGCGGTCGACAACCCCCGACGACGACCCGGCCACCTCCGAGGCCATCTACGTCTTCAGCAGCACCGCCGGCGCCGCCCTCAAGGTTGGTGATATCGTCTCACTCGACGGCAAGGTGGCCGAGTACCGGTCCTCGGCCGCCTACCTGTATCTCACCGAGATCTCGTCGCCCAAGAACGTCGCCGTCCTGTCGTCGGGAAACCCCGTCGTGCCCCTCGTCATCGGCAAGGACACGCCGCCACCACCAACGGCGCAGTACAGCAGCCTGGACAACGGCGACGTGTACGGCCTGCCCGGCGGATCCTCCAATGTCTCGGCCGTCAATCCCGTCCTGCAGCCCGCCAGGTATGGGCTGGACTTTTGGGAGAGTCTCAGCGGCGAGCTGGTCACGGTGAGGAAGCCTACTGTCGTCACGCGGCCCAACAGCTACCGCGAGACCTGGGTCGTCGGCGACTGGCCCGCGACGGGCAGGAACGAGCACGGCGGCATCACCATGACTGACAAGGGTAAGGCGCAGTCCCCCGTCTTACTTCTGTCCCAACCAAATACTTAACCCCTGGGCTCGCCACAGACTCCAACCCCGAGACCATCTTCATTGGCGCGCCGCTCGACGGCACCAAGAACCCGACCACGTCCAAGATGGGCGACCAGCTGCAGGACATCACGGGCATCGTGCAGAACACGTTCGGCTACTACTACCTGCTGCCGCTGACGGCGCTCACGACGACGGCCGACGCCTCGGCCACGCCGCCCGCGACGTCGCTGGTCAGCGGCGGCAGCTGCAAGGCGCTCACGGTCGGCGACTACAACGTCGAGAACCTGGCGCCGACGTCGGCGCACCTAACCAAGGTGGCCGCCCACATCGTCGACTTCCTCAAGACGCCCGACCTGGTGTTCCTGCAGGAGATCCAGGACAACAGCGGCGCGACCGACGACGGCGTGGTCGACGCCAACACGACGCTCTCGACCCTCGCGGCCGCCATCAAGACGCTCAGCGGCGTGGCCTACGACTTCACCGACGTCGACCCCGTGTCGGACCAGGACGGCGGCGCGCCCGGCGGCAACATCCGCCAGGCCTACCTGTACCGCCCCGAGGTTTTGAGCCTGTACAAGCTCAACCCGGGGTCCGGCACTGAGGCGACCGCCGTGGTGCCCGGGCCGGCGCTGTCGCTCAACCCGGGGCGCATCGACCCGGCCAGCGCGGCCTGGACGGCCAGCCGCAAGCCGCTGGCCGCCGCCTGGCTCGCCAAGGGCGCCAAGAAGCCGTTCTTCACCGTCAACGTGCACTGGTCGTCCAAGGGCGGCAGCACGTCGCTGCAGGGCGACGCCCGGCCGCCCGTCAACGGCGTCGTCGACCGCCGCCTGCTGCAGGCGAACGTCACGGGCTCCTTCATCGCCCAGATCCTCGCGCTCGACCCCGCCGCCCGCGTGATTGCGGCTGGCGATTTCAACGAGTTCGCCTTCGTGCAGCCCATGAAGGACTTTGCGTCCGTCTCGGGGCTCGTCGACCTCGACATCGCCGCCAAGATCCCGCCCACTGAGCGTTATACCTAGTATGTGTCTTTTTTCCTTTCCCTGAAATTTCCTTTCCCTGAATTGTTTGAATTGAGGGAGAAAAGAATAGTTGGAGAATTGGAGCTGACTCAAGCGCAGCATCTTCGACATGAACGCCCAGGAGCTCGACCACATGTACGTCAGCCCCGCGCTCGCCGCCAGCAGGGCCACAAAGTACGAGCACATCCACGTCAACACGTGGGCGACGGCGTCGGGCGCCGTGTCTGACCACGACCCTAGCGTCGCGCTGTTCAATGTGTGCGGCTGTTGATTCCGTGTGTCGGGGGAAGCCTGGTTGATGGGCCAAAAGACGGATTGTTAATGGAAAACTGACGGAAAATGAAGAGGACGATATTGTTGTATACCTAGATCTTTCTCATAATGTCTCAAGATAATAATACAGTTTCTTGTGTACCATCAATTATTTGAAATCATAAATTACTTCCCGAGAATCTTTTCGTCGACCGACTTCAACCCAAAGTCCCAATAAGCAATAATTAAGGGGTGAAAAAGGGGCCTCGTATAAGGCAGGCGTTGTAGCACAGAATGCAACGCTCTCGGCCGCCCTGGCACCTGACACTGCGGGTTGATGGCGGACTGGCGAGTGGTGTAGCAGCAGGAGGAGGAGAAGATGGGTTGTCTGTTCCCGAGGAAGTTCCCGAGGCAGGCTCTGATGAGCCGGTGGCTGGAGTCGATGCAGTCGGCCGAGGCGTGTCAAAGAGGCCGAAAGTCCCCCTGAGCATCCTCAAGGACTTCATCCTCGACGGGCTGGCATACAAATCGATGCGGGACCGCGAGGAAGAGGTTACCGAAGCGCACGGCAAGACTTTTGAGTGCATCTTTGGCGCCGGCGGAGACTCGACAGACACCGGCAAGCAACACAGCGGCGGCCACGCATTCCGGACCTGGCTGGAGGCCGACGGCCTGGGGCCTCTCTTCTGGATCAGCGGCAAGCCGGGGTCAGGCAAGTCGACGCTGACGCGGTTCCTTTCGGACACGGCGCGACGACGCAGTGCCTCGACACTTGGGCCCAGGGCCGCCCCGTCAAGATCTGTCTCTCGTCGCGGCCCTGAGATGTCTTTGAAGAGGCGTTCCAGCACCACGCGATCCCGAGCCTGAAGCTGCAGGACCTCACGTTTGCCGACATGCGCATGTACGCCTCCGACAGCCTCCGACAGAACGCGCACGTCAGGCGGCTGGCGAAGAAGAACCCGCCACAGTACGACAGGCTCGTCAACAAGACCGTGCAGCGGGCGGACGGCGTGTTCCTGTGGGTCCGCCTCGCCGTCAGCCGGCTAATCCAGGATTTCGAGCCCGGCCAGGGCATGGCCGGCCTCGAGGCCACGCTCGACTCGCTGCCGCGGGAGCTGGACGAGCTGTTCGAGAAGCTGCTGTTTCTTGACCCCAAAACTGACCAATCCCCATTTTTTGACCACTTGATCCCTCGCCGCTTTTGCTCAGCCCAGATCAGCCCTGGCTCAGCTTCGGCTAACATCTGCTCGATTGGCCTTCGCAATTTCGCCAAAAGTTGCAACTCCTACCGAGGAGCCCAAAAATGGTCCTCATGTAAGAGCAGGGGTTCAGAACTAGGACACCACGATAAACGCAGACGAAACTTGAGCGCTCCAAAATCCGTTTTCGGATGCAGAGCTGAGCTCTCGCCGCTTTAAGGCTGAGTGAGGGCTGAGGTACCGCTGAGTGATGACTAAGCAGCGCTGAGCGAGGGCCGAGCTGCCTAGAGGAGCCACTTTTAGGACTACACATCCCTGCAAGGGCCCCTAAACTTGGACTTTGGCCCTGTTTTTTTTTTGGCTCCTGGCTAGAGTTTCCCCTCGCCGAATGTCTCCTGATCCCAGTTTTAGGCCTAGGAACATCCAGAGGGCCCAGAGACCGGCCACGAATCACTTTTCTCCGCGCAGGCTATTTTGCAAAGTTCACGGTAACCTCGGGTAAGCTTTTGCTTTGTTATCCGTTTGTGGATCTTCCACAGAACTCTAAAAAAATTTCCTACTTAGATATCTCCCCCCACAAGAGCTCTAAGCTTTTTCTCGTGTTCCACAGGCCTTCCCACCTCCTCGAGTCGCAATGGAGTGGATAGATCCGCTCCGCAATATGTCGCTCGGTGTTTCTCACCCAGCACCAGAATCCGTGGCAAGCTCAGAGCTATCGTCTGTTTTCAACAATGATGAGGAATGGTACGATGCGCGCAACAGCTTGGTCGATACTCTCAAGCACAGGTACACGCCCAACGGCCCCGAGGATGACACGTTCACAGTTCTGCGTGTATTCGTGATGAAGTTGCCAAAGGACGGTCAGCTTGCGCTTATGTCGGAGATTTACGATCTCATGGATGATCCGCCCAAGCTACGACAACTACGGAACTTCTTGGTAGGAGCAATACTCAAGCCTAGTATGCAATCGAGTCCTCCTGTACTAGATATCATTGACGAACTAGCTTCTTAGTGAAGGCGGCAGGCGGCAAGGGTCCCAAAACCCCAATTACACCTTCTCCACATGCAGCAGCCAGAGACGAAGTCCTCCTCAGTATGACCACGATTGAGCCATCTTCCAGAAAGGACCAGCCAAGATTGAAGGCCAACTGCTTGCAGAGAGAGGGATATCGCTGTGCTCTTTCTCGCTACATTGATATGAATATGAGACACAAAGTTTCGGCATCTACAGCACCAACCACCAAGATCAGGACTCATTGTGCCTGCATACTCCCGTTTGCTCTTGGGAATTTCGACGAGGAAAAGGCACAGGGGGTAAGGTTTCAGTTAAGATACAAGGCAAGAAGCGAAATCTGACAATACTAGACTGAGAATAAGGCTATGATCTGGTGGGCTCTCTATCGATACTTCCCAGATCTGAAGGGTCAAATTGGTCCTGAGAGCATCAACCAGTGTCAAAATGCCATCACCATGTGGACCGCCTTACATGAGGAGTTTGGATGTTTCAACCTGGCCCTGGAACCTCTGGGAAATGTAAGTTTTCAAGATTAGTCACAATTTCATACATCTGACATCCACGGCTTAATAGGATCGATATCAAGTTCACTGGTTGATATGTGAGGGAATCAGCATTCCTCCTATTATCACCTTTACATCGAATGACCCTTCTGTGCCGTTGCCAGATCCCAAATACCTTTGGTGCCATTTCCGTGTCGCGGAGATCCTCGAAGTAAGTGGTATTGGACAAAAGATCACAGACACCATGGACAGCGAGGCGTGGGACCCTGAGAACATAGATCCCAATGGCTCTACCGATATAGGATCTATCCTATCTCGCAAGATGCTAACGGGTATCTAATAGTGGATCAGGACGGGTGGTGAAGCCTCATTGTCCTTGGTAGAGACTGGAACATTCACAATGTCTACTACCCACAACTTCACAGGCATTAATCTGTCCCATCGCCCACTTGGGAATGCCTCCATTTGTCTGCGTCATACTTATTGCCTGTGGTGGTACAGGGCTGCGTGTTCGTGAGATGTTTTGGACAACGGCCGTCGTGTAACCGTCGGAGACAGGCGCACCGGTCGTACTTTGAGTTTCGTGATGCTAGCCAGATGGCTGTGTATTCTTAGGCAGCACCAAGTGGGGGCTGAAGGACTTCTGGGTGCTGTTTCTACGTATCCCTTCCCTCCTCCAGCCCAAGGGCTTACGTAGTCTCTGCTGCCATAAAGGTGCCTATAAATGGTCTCTTCCACCTCCCCATCTCTGACGCGCGGCGGCGCGGCTGGCTGGCGCACTACGACACGGCGGAAAGCGGCGCGCGGCGCTGGGCCGGCGTCGTGCGCGATTTCGTCGAGCTCGGCGGAGCGGATGTGCACGCTGTGGTGTTGACGGACCGCTGGGATCCCGAGGTTACGGTGCGTGGCGTGCTGGATTTGCTGTGCAAGACGTACGGCGATGCGGATGTGGCCGAGGTAAGGGACGTGGTTGTGCGCCGGGCGGGGGGGGTGGGGGGGGGGGGGTGTTGAGTGTTGAGTGTTGCATGTTGGGTTTTTTTCTTTTCTTTTCTTTTTGTTGGAACAACGCGCATTCCAGCCACATAGAGGTGGCTGTAGCAACGCATTCATCAGCCACACAGGCGGCGGTGGAGGCGTAGGGGTCCCAGATTCCATATAAGTGGCGTACGGCCACCTCTTTCTTCTAGATAGACATAGACAACAATGACCATCACTTGAACCACCAGCTTTCGGCGTGCAGCATGCCCTGTTGTTTCTAGTACCGGTACCTGGTGATTCCAACACTTTTCTTGAGCACTATATTACCGAGGCGACTTCCTTCTGCCGGGGACCGAGGTAGTTGGCCACCGTGGCATGCATGGGTTGACGGGCGTGGACGATGGACATATCGGGACGGTGAGGGTTGCTCTTTGGTAAATTCTGGTTGAGTAGGGTGTACTGTTTATTTGCCTAGTTTGTCCCACTATACGCATTGTATCTTTCCTCGTTTCTCTCGTGGAGCATGGCGATGAGCCAGCCTAGATGTTGGGCGGGCTCAGTCTCGGCTGCATCACGAGCTCCATGGCGCGCGTCGCCGTCGGGCGGGCTGCCCAGGATCTGGCGGACGAGCCTCAGCACGTGCTTGTGGTGCTCCTCGAGGAACGACACCAGGTGCTCGTCAGCCAGGCTGAGTTTGTGCTACTTGAGGGTGCAACACGACTTCTTCCACAACTCGTCCTCGTCCCGGACGTACTTGTCGTTCCCATCGACAGACACCAAAGCGCCAGAGCTCAAGGGGTTCAGGGGGGGCAGTGAGATGCCGAGTTTTCATCACTTGGCCAGACTGTATCCCGCATCTACAACAGCACCAGCGCTCGCAGAGGCCGAAAACCCAGCCAGACGCCATCCTGGATATAATACTGATAGAAGCCGGTGATGACGCCCTCGTCATTCCAAATAACCGAGCCGCACGTGCCGTCTGGTGGTTCAAACTTGCTTTCGTTGCCTTCTGTCTAGCCCATATATAGCCAGCCGTAGGCAATGTAATGCAACTGTCTCTCGGTGAGATATGGGGAGGACTTGAAGAGCCGCACTGACTTTACCACAAGGGATGCGTGCAAGCTACCGGTATATGGGCTATTGAGGTACGATTCGGAAAGAAAGGAATGCTCCTCGGTTGACGTCTATAGGCGAACAAACTCGGGCACCACGCCAGCGTCCGTCTCAAAGGTCTCATTGACAAATTCAACGTCATCCTTGAGCTTGTGCCAACGAGGAGATCCTCGTGTTCAGTATCTCAGCTCTTTCCCCCAAGCCGCCGAGTTTACCCTTGACGTCCCTTGGCCCTTCAAACCCATGCATGAGTCCCCCAAAGTCCCTTGCAAGCGACCACATCAACTTTAACTTGGCCGAACCCATAACATAATCGCCACTAGATTACGTGAGTCCTGTCAGTATCATTTCCTGTCAGTATCATGTTATAGATGTTGTTGGGGAGCGCATCTAGGACGCGCGACAGGGCTCTGAGCATCGCTTAATAGGGTCAGCAAGGTCGGAGCGGGGGGAGGTGATGTTTGAGATGAGTCTCTGGCTCGAAAACACAGCGTTGCTGATAGTAACGGCAGCAGCCACAATAAGGTCTCGCAGGAAAGCCATGGCGGAGCAAGCTACGGAGCAGTATTGTGTGGAGCTCCGATCAGTGCAGGTAGTGGGTGTTCTGACTAGCTGAAGCCTGATTCGGGACTATCTCGACTTTAGGTGGATAATTTGGAAGACGAGCCGCAGAGCCGAGGGAGTACGGCAAACCCCAAAGCGAGGTGGTGCGGGGTGTGCATAATTAACTAGCAGTTCGGTGAAGTGAGGTGGCACACGAGAGGCAGACAGATAGATACCAAGTGCACAACAGACAACCATTGGCAAACCACGACATTGACCGCTCATGGTGCATCAAACGACCTGGTTTCTTCAAAGAACCACCTCCCCGAAACCACATTTTTTCGAGACGTTAGCAAAATTGACAAAAAGGATGGAACTGACAAAAAAGATGGGGGCCACCCGGGGATTGAACCCGGGACCTCTCGCAGAAAGTGCTTCAGGGTTGGAGCCCTAAGCCTGGTGGAGAGAGTTAGCAATTGCTGCGTGTTTTTGCTGCTGTGGTCTGCGGGAATTTGCAACTTACGAGAATCATACCGCTAGACCAGCGGCCCTTGGATTTGGTTGTGGATATGCCTCGTAACGGAGACCCATGTTGCTCGCAATCACAATGCAGAGCACTCTATGCTCGGTGGAGAGGCTGTTGAGCTTGTCTGCACGAAATTAAACCATGGTGAGGAGACTAAAGTTTCCGCAGTAATTGTTTGCTTGTCTGCTCTATGTAACTTACCGTTGACAGAATTTGAAAGTCAAGTTCAAGCAACGGTTCGAGTGCGTCAAATAATAATTTAGGTCTAGAGTTAAACCGACAAATCAAGAGGCGTCTGCAATAATTATATCCGGAAGCACAACACCGAATTCACCAAACGTCACGTCAACAAGCAATGACTTACAAGACATGTACTAATTGGTGATAATTATTTCTATTAATTGGTCATCAAAGCCTCCCTCTATCCTCGGCCCCCTCTAATCCCACACAGTTCAAAGGCCGTTATCCCCCTATCTACTCGTAAGTGACGGGCATGCCGCCGGGGAGCGAGTCGAGCCCTGCACATCTCTGTTAGTACCTGCTCTGGTCTGCTAGCCACAGAAAAAGAAACGTTTTTGAGACTCACATCCTTCCGTCTGCTCAATCACAGTCTGGCGCTTGCTGCAGGCCACTGCCTGCTGGGGGGTCTGCGTCGTGAGCGCCGAGCAGCGGTCACCCGTGCACCGGGCGTCGAGCGCCTTTTGCAGCGCATCGCCCTTCCACCCGAACACGTAGTCGCCGTGCTGGCCGAAGCCGGTGCTGGAATCGACCACAGTCAGTAAATTGTCGTGATTTCTCGGGTCGAACTCGAGACTGAAACTCACCCGTCGCCCATCGAGTAGACCAGCGGCTGGCCCTTGTCGGGCCACATGGACTTGTCGTTGAACTCGCGCGTGTCCCATATGACCTCGTACATGAGCTGCGGGAGGCGGACGGGGTGCGTCGACGGGCAGGGCCCCGTCGACTCGAAGCTGCCGCTGCTGGGGTAGGCGACGTGGCTCTTGTGGTCTGGGCTGTCGAGGTTCTTGCCGTCCCAGCATCTGTTCAGCCCTTGTCAGCCAAAGTACAAAGAGACGTGGTGCGTGGCCCTCTCTGGTGATACATGGCCACACAGACTTACGTCGGGAAGGTGACGGTGGTGCGGATGCCGCCGTCGCACGGCTTGCTGGGGAACGCGGCCGTGTCGTCGCCCGTGCACGGCGCGCCGCCGAACGGGGTCTGCGCGACGTTGTGCTCGCAGCGGTGGCAGATCTGCTTCTGCATGCCCCGCTGCTTCCGGAGGTTGGCGTCGCCGACCAGCATGCGGAAACCCTAGTTGCGCGTCAGTATATACCCATTGACTACCAACGACCCCCCTTCCGAGATTGATAACCTACCGGCTTGAAGGCGGTGACCTTGCTCTTGCCGTCGTACGGCGGGATGTAGTACACAGTAACGCCGCCCTCGCCCTGCAGACCGAGGTTGACCATCTGCGGCACGCGCTTGAAGCTGCCGTTCTTGGCCTTGAAGTAGATGTTGGCGGTCCAGTAGTTTGAGAAGTCCTCGGTAAACGTGCACGTGGTGCACGACGACTTGGCCGACGGGTCGTAGTCGACGGGCGTCATGGTAGCGTTGAACGAGTTGCCGCCGACGATCTGGTGCAGATGGCCCGACTGGAGGAGGCCTGGGTTGACCAAACTGGAGAGAGGGACGCGTGTCAATAGAGGATAGGACGGGCCGGTTCGTGCTATGCTTCGCTGGGTGGCTTACGGATCCATTCGCTCAATCACAAGCTGGGAACATTGAAATCTCATCATCGCGGCTGTCGCGAACTGTGCGGCGGCTTCCCGCGCATACAGCGCGGCCGCCACGGCCGCGAGTGAGGCCTTCATCGTCGGTGCTGCACTGGACTTCGAGATGCAGAGAGGGCGAGAAGAAGCGACAGCTGGAGCCTTGGGACCAAAGGCTAAGCACCGTGGGATAGGGCGGAGAAGTTAGGATGGCGTGGAAGCAAAAAAAAGAGAACGGCACACGGTGCCAGGTGTGTTATTGGCTCCCCTCTCCTTATAGCATCCAGACAGCCCCTCGCGCTTCCGGCTGGTTGATGAGTGGAGGGCGGCTTTGAGTCGGGCTGGACTTCATCAACCGCCCGGGTTAGCGGACTCCGCCATTGTCGAGAGGCCCGCCGAGATTGAGATCCGTGAAGGGATCGAGCTGCTGCAGAGTTGAACTGCCGCATATTGGACTACTGGTGGTTAAATCTGGGGTAAAAGGCCGCCGTTGCTATTGGTCCGCACCGCACGACCGTCGACGTCTGTCTTCCAGAAGTCAATCTAAATCTAAAGGGTAATTCATTCCCAAACCCCACCCTTGCACTCGTTCCCTGTGTTTCCATTCGCACTACGCTGCGCGGCTGCTCAATTAACAGGCGCTTCCACACGCGGGCACGAAGCCATCGACGGCAGGGAACAGGGCACCCTCGCCACATGCTGCCGCTCCGGGTCCCGGTCGTGATAATCACAGGGCCTGGTTTGTGCTTCGTGGATGCACGCCGGGCGTTACGCTTGCTGTGGTTATAATATGCAGTGGTCCTCAAGGGTTGACGCAGCGGCAGAAATAGTCATCAATGGGTGTCTGTGCCACTTGACTCCCCTGTCTCCCTTTTTACACATCTATCTCTGGGTGCAGAGGGTGGTGGTCTCTTCATGCAGAGACAGATGGATGGATGCCGAGAGAGACCCGTGAACCTATTCACTCTAATGAAGAGATTCACGCCGGGGAGTTTGGCGTCGTCCTAAAGTTAGCTAATTAATTACATCGCTCTCTAGACACAGGTCCGTCGCCGTACTTTCTGAATCTCTCTAGCCGTTTGAGTGACAATGTCGAACAACCATTGCACTCGTTTCAAGCAATCTTTGTTGGATTGGCGATCGTCCATCAGATGTCACCCCGACTCTCTCTTGTTGTTTGATGCACTGCCAACACCAGTGACAAAGAACATACAGGTGCTTGAGTAGTGGGAGAAAGTATATACGGACTAACCAGAAAAGAGGTCGACAACTTGGCAGGTGAATGAGAAAGACACAAAACGCGGACATGACATTAAAGAGCTGAGTCCACAACGAACACGACCGAACGAAAGGCCTCTCTAAACCATATCAGACATACCCACCGCAGAGACTAGAGTCTCCCACGATATCACGATACCGGGAAGCGCGACCGCACAAACTCGCTCATCCAGGACGACGGATCGGTTTGGTGTCGAGAGATAGAGCGAGCTAAGAAGACCACCATGTCAAGCGAGGAGATGGAGGGAAGAGGGCTCAGACAATTCGGCCCCAGCCGGCAATTTTGCACCTTGGGAGCGCAGTTTGCCGGGCAAGCAGCCAAGCAGGGCGCGGGTCTGGGATGACAGGAATCGCAGCGACGATAGATTAAAAACACTGATATTAATTGTGGAACAGTTCCAGAAAGAACTCCACCACCATCATCGGGTTGATGGATCCTGGAGGCAGCCAGACAGACTTGGGCCTTGGACTAGATAATTAGCCGGAATGTTTTCCAGCCGGCGTCCCGTCTATTATTCTAGAAGACGTCTTCTCCAGCCCTTCCCCTTCCCCCTTCATTTCCTTCCTCTCTGGCTCGGCTCAGCCCTCTTCGGGTCTGTCTGTGGTTCGGGTTCGGGTTCGGGTTAAAACATTACCCTCGCCAAGCGGCGGGTGCCCTTGTCCCGGGTCCAGTCGTGCGGTTGCGCATTGCACCCACGCACAGCTGAAAAGCTGAGAGTGCATACGACACAAGTACTGAGTGAGCAGAGCCTCGTTCAGGTGAGAAACAAGGACTCGGCGGGCGAGGTGGCCTAAGACTGTGGCCCGAACCGGACCCGGGAGAAATAAAAAAATCGACATCGGAGACTCGCCGTCATCGCCGACGGCCGACGGGGACGTATGTGTGTAATTGACGGGCCTGAGACGACGATCTCTGCGTCTTGGATCCGAGACGATAATTAACTACATATCAGCAGCAAATAGGACCCGGAGTCGGGAAACCTGATTTTCGAGACGAAAATAAAATGCAACCATTTCCCCATCATTCGGATCGCCGAGCGAGGCACAAGGTCCGACCGATCAGGCGATTCTCCTAATCTCACTACAGCAGCAGCAGCAGCAGCAGCAAAGGTCGCTCATTAATGCCCGATACGTTCGTTCGTCGGCCGGAAATAATGAATATGGGCAGAAAAAAAATCTCGCACAGTCCGACATGGATTCTGAGTAGTCTCGGATCACAGTTGCCGTACCGGGGCGCCGCGCGTGTTCGCGCTCTATCACCGAATAGGCAGCGCAGCGAGATGAGCTGCATCTGGCGTGCGTACGCGTCGAGCTAAAAAAGGGAATCTCAGAAAAACCACATCCCTACCAGTCTCAGCAGACCAGTGTCAGCAGTTAATTACCCCGGGCCCGAAAGGGGAAGAAGACGAAATAGACATCGGGGGCCCCACCTTATTAGGTAGGATGTTTCGGGGTCAAACAGGCAGGCAGGCATCGGGGTTTTCAGCTTTGTTGTGCTGCGCTGGCCTGCCTGCTTCACTAGACCGAGCAACAAAGCGTTGACCGACAAATTAGATCAGACCAGACCGCAGACCGACCGACAGGGCCAAATGCGCGTCAATTATGCGTTTTGCTGCTATAATATTGCCTGCATGCTCTGTCTGCTCTGTCTACTCTGCATCTCAGCGCAAGCGAGCGTGAAAAAAATGCCTATACGCTGGTGGGTCATGGGAAGGGCGACGTGTACACGTCGGGCAAATCCTCAATATGACGTGGGAGTCAGCAGGCAGGCGTGAGCCTGTCATCTTAACATGTGGAAGCACAATTCGAGACCCGGGTCCAATTCCCGGTGGGGCACAGAGATCGGAGCATGCTTGCCTATCCTTCCTCAAAAAGCCAGACGCGCGGGTGTACGGTTGCATGCTAATTTGGTAGTTGGGAATTGGATTGGAATTGGGAACCTCTTTTTTTTTCTTCGCTTTCTGTTTTGATCTAGCTTTCGCTTTTTAAATTCATCTCTTTTTCGTGTGCCTGGGCGGCGGTGGTGCGATGCGCGCGTATCCATGGGAATGTGCAATTTTCCCGCCAAGTGGCTTCGCGGCCCAAAAACCATAAAAAACAAAATCAATAGATAAGCAGGGGTGTGGGGGTTGTGGTTGGATGGTGAGTGGGCAGATCCTTTCCCACCATGGGAGAAAGAACTGTGTTTTTTTTGGGTTGGCGTGCTTTCGGCACTGGGCGCACTAGTGATCGGCGCAAGGAAGCAGTCTCGGGCCTTCGGGGCCAAGGGCTAGCGAAAATCTCCAAAGGGAGATCTCCAAGTTTGATCTGCCCACCAATCTCAGGGAACGTCACAGACAAACTATCGGACCTAGGCATGCACCTTGGCACAAAAACCAGCACATTCAGCTCCCCTTGGCGACACGGTCAGAACTTTGGCCTGGATCTGGGATTGGCATTGGCACTCCGACAGTGGCGGCGGCGCAGGCTTCGACTCCGCGTTGTGCCGTTGATCGGAATTTCCCCTTGACCCGCAAATGCAATCTGCATCGCGATCGCGGCAGACTGCAGACTGCAGAGCGCCAGACAAGAAAAGAAAACGGAAAAAGAAATTGCGCTCCCCGGCGGATCCGAGAATCTTGGTCAGCGACAAGCAGACGGCGTGATATTTAGTAAAGGCCCCAATGAAACAGAACGAAGCACAACACTCGGCAGCACAGGGACAGCACGGGGGGCAGCACGGGGCGGGGTCAGAGTCTGTAGTGTTCGTGCGCAGGAAGATGGAAGAACTGCGGGAGCACTCTGCTGCATGGGCCCAATAAGTTGGGCAGTTAAGGTCCGTAAGGTTGTTAGCAGCGACAATCAACAGCGTGTCCACGGTGTGGTTCACGGCTACATCAGCCGCAGCCAACAGATGCGACCATGACACTTGGCCAAGAGGCGAACCGTTCCTTTTGCGGCGCTGGAATCGGGGCACGGATGGGACACGGATGACGGAAGAGGATGCTGAAACTCGGAACAAGAGATTTTCCTCTCTGACTGTGGATTTTGGCGGTAATTTTTGGTGGGATAAACGATTAAGAGCAATCGTCGAGACAAATGCGGCTCGCGGGCGACCTAGCGGCTTTAGTACGGATCCGTAATTGCTTGGGATCTGACGGCGGAGTCCCAAAGCTCGTAATTCCCCTGACGGGTGGAGTTGCCGCCCCGAGTCTCAACAAATCACCGCGTCGCTTTATCAGCAAGCTCGGGCTAACCAGGATGAGCACAAATGACGTGATAAGGAAGCCCAGGCGACGAGCAAGCGGGAACAAACACGCCCGGCATCCGCAGCACAAACAGCGGTCGCGGCGGCCAGCCAACACGAGGTCGCCCAGGCCCCAGGGGTCGAGACCGGGCCTGAGCAGTCCTGGGCGGGTCCCAGATGGCAGGCAGAGCCTGGTCGCAAACAATAAAAGTTTGGTGCAGTCACACAACCTGCACAGGTGGAACATGTGGACGGACCCCGCAGCAAGCACTGATAAGCATCCGTTCCCTCCTTGACCGCATTTCTGCTGCTGCAAATTGGACAGTCAACTCAGGGCCGAGGCTGAGAAGAGGCGACGGGAGGGGCACGAACTGTTGGGCCCAGACACGTCGAAAACGCCTTGGGGGAATGGGGATCGCGGCTGGCGACAGTCCGATAAGGGACTGTGCACCGGAAGCTGCGCACCGACGCCACTGGGAGATGGATGAATCGGTCAAGCTGTGCGGAAGCTGTGCAGTCGCTGCAGTGCCATTTGGGTGCTTCTGTCTTGGGTTTGGGGAAAAGAGGGGGCAGAGCCGCAGCGCCTCAGATGAGGCTTGATGGCTTGCGTGATGGCTTGCTCTAGGCCATGGAGATTACGCTCTTTGGGCCTCGACGGCGTCGGCACCGCCCAAATAGAGCCTGTTAAATTGTGCAAATATTTTCTTGGCTTGCCGCAGGCGTGCCACGATAACGCAGTGCCATTCTGGCCCATTGGGCAGTGAAACCGAACATGGTGCAATTGACAGCGCGCCGCGTTTCCGGCATGTTGGTTCCAAAGCAGCCATGTGTCGCTTTGGCTTTGGGCTCGCAGCGCTTGCCACATTCGGGCCGTTGACTCTTTCCCTCCTTGGAGCCCAGGGCAGGCTAGGACCATTGGGGGCCTCAGAGCGTTAATAGCGTATAGGGCTGACCGCCCGATATTAATCGACGTGGGACGACGTGGGAGTCCCTCGGTAACCCGGCGAATCGCCAAATGCTAACTCCTTGCAGAGTTCCACAGTGTGTGGCTCATACGAGTCCCTTATCGATGGATGCGCCGTGTATGCAGTATTAGCGTCATCGCCGACACGAGCAGCTCCTCGGACATCGGACGCACACGACACACTCATCTCACCCCAGGCTGCAGCTCGCTCAAGCAAGTGGAAAAAAAAAAAGAGCAGAGCCCGATTTTTTTCTCCTCTTGCAAACGGAAACAAAAAAGACACGCGCCCCTCTTTTCTGAATCCCGATCCCAGGCTGTTGGCACTTGCATCTAAAAGGCGCCACAAGATAATGACAGAAAAGACAGAAACATCGTCAGCAAAACTGCTCGATGTCAAGAGGCAAACATGGGGGCCGTGGGACGCCCCTCCCCCCACGGTGATGACGAGGTCGGCGAGCGAGGAAGCTCTCGCGAGAATGGGATGGAAACCTCTGGCCGGCCAGAGCAAGCCCAAGCAGAGCGACTGCCGTGAGGTGCTCAAGGCCAACCGCTCCCTCCCACGACCGACGCCCTCGATCCGAATCCACAGCAGCAATTGCAGGTGCAACGAGTTGGAGGAAGAGCAGCGAGTAGCCGACGAGTTGCTGGCGAAGAAAATCCGAGCTGCATCCGAGGTCCGCCGCAGCAGGAGGAAGACGACCATTTCCATCTTACTACCAGGCCAGAAACTGGAGCGGCGGCAGACGCAGAAGCAGTCAACAATAACGCTGTCCATGCAGAAACGAATGTCTCGCATATTCGCCTCAATACCGACCCCGAGCGTCGCCGCCGTCGCCGACCTCTGCGCGGCGTGTTCCGAGCTCGACATCACCAGGATCTTGCGGTACCTGTCCGAGGAGGAGATCCCAGTCAACATCCACAACTCTGTGGGCACGACACCACTAATGGCCGCCGTGCGCGCGGCAGATCCCCACCTCCGACCGACGGCACACCTCGCCCTGATGACGCTGCTCCTCGACCTCGGGGCGAATCCGAACGCCACAACCGGTGAGCACACCCCCTCGGGCTCGACCCCGACGAGTGTCCTCACGGCCGCCTCGGCGTTGGACCTGCCAGAGGTCGTCAAGCTCCTCCTCGACCGGGGAGCCGCCGTCGACGCCCCGCTGCCCGCCGTGCTCCGCTCGCGGCTCGGCAGCCGCGGATTGCGCGCTCTGCACGTCGCCACGCTCGCCGACAAGCCCGAGAGCGTCGAGATCTTGCTCAGCTACGGCGACGCCAACGTCGGCAGCACCGTCGACGCGCGGCGGTCCGTCCACCGCGGCCCAGACACGTCGTCGCACGACACATTATCCCGAAAGCAACCTCACCGCCGGCGGCGCGACCCCGGCGACGACGGCGACCACTGGACGACGGGGATCACGGCGCTGCACCTGGCGCACGACAGCGCGGCGTGCACGGCGACGCTGCTGCGGCACGGCGCGAACCCGCTGGCGCGCGACGGCTACGGTCGCACGCCGCTGCACTGGGCCGTCGAGGCCGGCAACGCCGACGTGGTCGAGCTGCTGCTCGACGCGGGCACGAGCGCCGACGCGCGCGACGAGGCCAGCGCCACGCCGCTAGCCATGCTCGTGGCGCGGCTCGAGAGCGGCAACGGCGCCGCTGCTGCCTTCGCGACAAACAACAACATCTCGCCGACCTCGTCGCCCCGCCGCCGCGACGCGGAGATCGCCCGCTCGCTGCTCGCCAGCGGCGCCGACCCCGACCTCAAGCATCCGGCCACGCGCCGCTCCACCCTCAGGGACAGGGTGCTCCGCCTCGAGAAGAAGTCGCGCCGAGTGTACGAGCCCATCTTCGAGGAATACGAGACAGAGCTGAAGGTCCTCTATTGATTGAGGGGGCTCGGCGAGGGCGCAAGCCAGCGAGAGACGCTTCTAATGATAATGCGTATTAATTCATTTTTCTTTTTCATTTATCGCCTCAATTGCGCGGGTCCCGGCTTCAATCGGCAGGGGAGGGGACACGAAATTATACCAACACCGACGAGATGGATCAACGAAAGACATAGAATGAGGAGGAAAGAGGGGATTGCGACAAGGTCACAGGACGCAAGAGGAGGGAACAACAGCAGTAGCGGCAGAACAGCGACTCCGCACCCCAGCACACCGGCTTCCACAGCCCCATCTCCTTTCTCTCTCAATGAGCGGTCCTTACCTGGCGTCGTCATCATTGTCATCATCATATAATGTGCGGGTTTCGGTGTTTTTCTTATGTTTGGGGCAAGGGGCAGTGCGGCCGCGGTGGCCGCGGCGGCCGCTGTGGCGTTTTTTGTTCGGTTTTGCTTCGATGGCCTTGTCAACGGCGAGAATTTTTTGCATGGATCTTGCGTTCTTCACGCAGACTCCTCGGCGTCTTTGTTGTCCATATTTTTGAATTCACAATCCTTTTATTTTCTCACCTTTTTCCCTTGTCGTTCCATGGATTGGCCCAGTACAGGCGGAGAGGCCGTCTGGAGGTTTTTTTCTCCCTTTTGCTTTTCGGTGTTTGTGGTTGTTTGTCCTCGGAACTCCCGGAAGGCCAAAAGAGTTCTTTCCTTGAAGGGGCTAAACGTATGGAAACATGGCGACTTCGTGCTGTGGCAGCTTTGGCTTTTGGACTGGGAAGGATCGCATGTGGCCGGCCTGGCTTGGAAGGAACACACGACAGTGGAATCATCACGCATGTGGCTGATGACGCGCCTCGTCCTACCATGCGCCAAGTCATCTAAATTTTCTTTTTCTTTACCGTCTTAGCATTTTAGGAAGGCGACTAGGGGCCACCCCTCACACATAATAGTGGTAATAAGTCCAAATTTGATACCAACGCAACGCAGAATTTTCCAAACAAGATGCGCGTGCACAGACATTCCAATCCAACCTCGTGGAGGGCCAGGAGCTAGCGGTGAGTTATGCCGGGTGCAACTCCAGTGCGCGCTGAGGTTACGGAAGACCGCCTCAACCGCGCTTTCCGTGCCTCACCGATCCGGAGAGCGCAGTTGCAATTACAGTGGGCGGCAAAAAGTTTGAATCCAGCACTAAGTACCATGTAAGCCGCTAGCCGTATACGTGGTACCAAATTTGGATTCAAACTTTTTGCCGCCCACTGTGAGGACAAGGTTCAAGAGCCGACCAGGATGACTGACCTGGAAAGACTGGAAGGTGCTTCCCTGTCATCCAATTCCCATTTGAAACACCAGCTTCCATCGCCACCGCAAGAATTCGTATTACTTCCATATTAGGCACCCTCCATAGGCACCCGGGTTGTTGGAATTCAAAATGTCACGGTTTTTCTGACGTCAGTCTTTGCATTGTTGGAACGGCATGAACGGAATCCTTTCCAGCCCAGGCCTGGAACGGCAGGAACGAAGGAAGAAACAAAAATTTTGTGGAACATGGATGTCAAAATCGTTTGTGTTCCCAGGCACTCCTCACGAGCCGCCGCACACCCGCACACCCACCACGCCCACTCTGCACACCCTTGGAACGAACTCGAGATCGATAATATTGGAATCCTTTGTATCTCGGATCTCGCTCCCGCGTATGACAGATGACAGGTCACCCGAGACCAGGGGTTCCACACGTGTCACGATGTAACAAGTATGAGAAAGACAAAAAAGTTTGGTTCACCACACGTCCAACGTCATCCACGTTTTTTTCCCGAGTTCTGAGGTGTTCGTATCGTGGGGGTATCGGTGGACGCAATTTAATTTATGGCAGTGCTTGCTTGCTGCTGCGGTTCCTCCTTTTCCCTTTTTTCCCCTTTCCTCGGATCCTTATGCGAAGACATCGGGCACCACCAATAGGCAATTGCCCGTTTGAGGTGTGGGAAGATAACAGGGGTATGAGAAGTGGTTATGAGGACTTCGAAAAAAACCCCCAAGCTGTCTCCAAAAAAGTACACCGCCACTGCCAACTCAAAGGGACATGTAGCCTTAGGATTTAGACTCATGGAGCCCCCCACCCTAACTTTTCTTCTCGTCTTTTCCCCGACGGACCAACAAGCATGACAGCTCGCGCGTCTGTTGGTGTGATGTACCTGCTTTTCAAGATGACGGGGCTGACAGGAATCCCACGAGAGTCAGCCACCAACGGCGGTTGAAGCCGCGGCGCGGACCCGGGCCGGGCCAATCGGCTTGATTGCCATGGTGCCCTCCCTCGACGTTGTGGTTGCCATTCTCGATCACATTTTCTTTCAATCAGAGTGTCAGAGTAGTTTCCCGGCGTGCCAGTTACGTATGTATTTCTTATTTTTTTCTCTATTCTTTTTACTTTAATCACTAATAACCAAAGTCTCTTTTTGTCCATGTTTTCCACTTCTATTTTCTAGCCTCCCGGACTTTCCCGCTTGGCAGCTGCAAGCGACCGCCCCGGTCGGACGGATTCTCTCACCGGTGGAAGAGAAGGGAGGACCCGTATGGACAAGGAAGGACGCGGCAGGACGCGGGCCACACACACCGCACACACACCCACACACTCACGCACATGTAGGATTATGCCGGGAAGTTTTTTTCCCCTTTCCAGATGCATCCACAGTAGTATTCAAGATTAACGCACTACCGGAAGTGGGGCCATCAGATGCAAGAGGTGTGCGTGTGTGTCTGTGTGATATGTACATACTTGGCGGCTTTCGCCGTTTCATGGGAAAAACGACGTGGCAGCACCAGAGAATTCCATGCCCGCTCTGACCTAGCTGCCGGGTCTGAGGGTTATGTAACTTTACGCTGAAACGTTGCCATTATAAGGAGATAGGGAAAAAAAAGGAAACGGCCAGGGGCATGTGTGACATTCCCGGCTATTTTTGGCCTCTGCTCCAACTGCTTTGGGAAGTTGTTTCTAAAGTCTAATGATCCGCCTCGCTTGTACATTCCTGCTCGGCTACCGGGCAGGCGTTTTTATCATCTTCTCTGTTTTTGTTTCAACGGGTATTGTTTCAATGGGCAATTTTCATGGCTTGCGGCAAAACTTTTATTTATCCTCCATTGCAGTTAATCTGCTCTATATCCCAGTTCAAGTCTAATCAGAAGAAATAAAAATATCAACCGTCCCTCCGCGGTGTGCAGCTTTTGAACAACAACGTTGCCTCTCCTCGAACTATCTATCAGTGTTCCAAAAAGAGCGTCAGGAATAATCGAAAATCAAAGCAAGGTTGAAACCTGCCAGATGCGTCCAACGTGACAAGCCTTTCCCGGCCGTGAGTCAAAGCTAAGTTTGACCGAAACTCAGTGAGAGTGGTCAAAGTGAATGTCTTCGGGGGAGACATCGTGTTCGGACGGCGCGGGAGTGCGGCAGTAGCCACAGGCACGTCCTGGGATCACCCAGACTTCCTCGCCTTTGGCGGCGCAGGTTGGGCAGCGGACACCCGGGAGCTGGTCCCTTGTCAGCACAGAGCGAGGCAAAATGTGGATATTTAGACTCAAGTCACCATGATGCTTCTAATGCCCTCGCCTCTGGGGAGGACGATAGACTCATACAGGGGATCCAGGGCCAACAGCCCGGATCCACGGGTGTCTCGCTCATCCTGAATGATTTGGGGAAGCATTTTGAAGAGGTTGTGGTTGCTGGGTAGCAAGCGCGAGAGAGGTAAGGCAGTTGAGGTTGTTGATGTTTGAATGAGGGGTGAAGGTGAGTGAGTGGGTATGGACTGGCCGTGAGTTTGCTGGACGAGTTCAAGCTTGCTGCTGGAGATGTTGATTCAAACAACCTCTGACACGAGAATAGGCTGGTCTCCTGTCTAGTATTTATATCTTCACTCGACTCCCTACCTTGGTCCTTGCATCATTCGCCGCAAGCACCGGGGCATTGTTCCGAAGGGGGCACAGCGTTGAATGACACCTCGGACCATTATTAGTGGGAACGAGGAAGGAAGAAATGAAAGCTAGCAAGCAAAGCCAAGCAAGCGCGGACCCAAGAAACGGCATGCAGACAAGGTGTGCTTTCACAACCAGACATGAGATCGGTGAGGCAGAACGGGTAATTCGTGAACACTTGTTGCGAGACGTGCCTATCAGGGGCCGGGACGGAGAGGGGGGGAGGGGAGGGGAGGGGGCATGTTCACTATTCCGCGGAGTCAGGGGTTTGTCCTTCCGCGCCGTGCAACTTCCGGCAGTCCAGATAAGGACCGCCTCTTCCGATCGCAGTAAAAGTCGGTTGTCTAGGAGAAGACAGCAACTCGCGTAGGACAAGGAAGTGGTGCGACTACAAGTGAGTGCGTGTATGGTGGTGGTGGGTGTGTGTACGAGGGAGAGGGAGGGGCAAGGGCATGAGCTGCCAGTCACGGTACCTTGTCGAGGATTTTTATTGCCTCACGGAGTAGCGAGCCCTCCAAAGAGGCGAGCGGTCGAAGCGACCAAGAAGGCACCCGTCAGCGGCGGTGCAACTTTACTGACAGAGGTATAGCGAGTGGGTGCATGTTTCCGACAGTGGGGGTCCACTTTAAAGCGCGCATCGAGCCTGTCACGTTTCCCATCGAGTTGTCGAGAGAGGGCAGAGGCGCAATTACAGGTTGTCATCAAATTGGCTCTTGCGGCCGTTCGACTGGACTCTGTTCAAATGTCAGCATGGTAGGTGGGTGGGCGGGCGAGCGTGGGGACGGATTTGGGGATTACCTTCCATTAATTACTGCGTAATAGGTCGTTCTAGGTACCTGAGGTAGTGTACCCTAGCAGTGGGGCTGCACGGCAGAGCAATCCATCCCCGGTCTCGACTTGCATGGCACCCACGCCGCGCAGGAAAGAGCGACTGGGGCAACTGCGACCACTGGGACAGACAGTTGCAGGTAATAAAATTTTTGTATTACAGCAGATGCTGAAAGATTGAAGAGGGCCAGAAGCAGGCTCTCAATGACAAGGGGCTGCACACAGGTTATATTGCATGCCCGTACATACTTTCATGCTATAATATGATGTCCTGCAGGCAGGCCGTAGCTTCCATAGGTACGAAGTATGTACAGGACAGTGCCACAGTGTGCACGCAGGGCCGGCACTTTTTCCCGGAAAGGCATGTGCAACCTGTGGTGACCTAGGTTGGCAGTTGCGCCTGGGGTGGCCCCGGCGGCCCCCAAGAAACGGTGCTTTCGCCGCGTCGCTGATCCCCGAGAATGAGATAACATGGAACTGCGGTAGACAAAGTAGGTGCTGATGCGGTGCAGACGGCTTGCATATGCCAAGACCGCAGCGCAAGCGGCCTAAGCTCCTTCCAACTACTATGCTGTTGAGACCATCTTGTGCTCCCCCAAGCGGTGCTGGCTTGTCAAAATTGCGGGAGGGCTTCGGACCGTCCGATGTGGCTTGAGCCTTTGTGATGTGCGTGTGTGACGTGGTCAGACGGCCGGAACGTCCTGTCTGGCTCTCCATCCCGCGCCGCCTGCACCCACCCACCAATCCCCCTGAGGCCGGTGAAGAAGTGGAGAAGAAACCTCACGGCTCGTTGCCGGAATGCGCCAGGTTGCCGCAGCCGAGTGCCTGCCAGTGCGCTTCGGCACGTCTCGACCGCACTCTAGTGACATCGCCAAGCTCGAAGACGCAGAGGTGCTAACGCTCGGCCGGCCCTTTTACCCTCCACCCCTCCCCTCCTCTCAGAACTAGTCTAGTACCAAATCCCGTCTACCGCTCCTAACTGTTCACCGCATCGCGTCACCGTGACATTAGAAGCTATTCTGGGTCAACAATTTGGCTCATGCTCTCTCGTCATGAGCTAATTCTAGGAACGGCTATTTACCCGACAATAATTGCTGCAGACTGTGCAGAGAGAGAGAGCCCTGACCCACGGCCATGCATCATCGTGTGTCACAGTCTGAACTCTGGCTACTCCCGACATCCCGATTCTTTTACACATTGGCCTTGCTTCCGTCGTGACTCCAACACTCATCCACTCATTCACCCACCCACCCACTCACTCATTCGCCCACCCACTCACTCGATCTACCTACGTTGGTAATTCCCGAAATGAAGGACGGCCCGTCGTCGTACCACTCTCCGCACCCCGCGTCTACAGCCGACCACCTCCTGCCATCGCGGTAACACACATGGTCACGGTCACATCTGGCTCACTCTTGTTGTTGTGCGGAAAGGCGGCTAAATGAGGCTATTCGAGATTTCTGCTCACGTTATTTTTTAAGCTCAGGCATCTTGTCAATCTGACGATGCATACATGTATATATTATAAGCTTCCCAGCCTCAAGACCCGAATTGATTGTGCTAATACCTTGGTTGCCCTCTCAGGATCCGGACTCTCACTCCCGGGCTCAGAGCTCCAACAACGAACGCCACGGCGGAAGAAAGCGGATGATCAACATGGCCTCCCTTGTCAGTGACCACGGCAGTCGTTTTCGGGTGACTGGAAGGCCCCTTTTGATGGCAGTGTTGGAATTCATGGGTTTTCTCAGTTGCATCCCGCCCAGCAAGTGACGACACAGCGTTTGTCTCTCTCCAGTCTCTCTTTGGCACGGCGTTACTCCATATCTGAGGTACTTTCACAAGGGGCATTGAGTCAATTTGAAAGGCCCTAGACAGTATACGAAACCGCAAGTAAGCAGAATAATGCACCAGTGATGATATCCAACCAGCCCCTTTTCATGATAACCATGAAAACAAACCCCCTTTGGTCCTTCCGCCGTTGAGAGCCACAACTCAAACACAATCCATACTCCAGACGCCAACGCCAAAAATCTAAATGTTATATTGATCTGACAACGTGCAACCACGTAACATGACACTACGCAACCACGTAACACGACACGAGCCGCAACCATGAAAAAAAATAAAACAAAGCCGCCATCACTGCACCATCTTATCGACCAGCGTGACGTCGCACTTGCCGCCCTTGGGGTAGATGAAGCACCTGAGGCGCATCTCCATCATGTCATCGGTCATGCCAGGGCCGAGGCGGGCGCCTCTCATCTCGCGGAAGAAGAGTGCCGTGGTGAGGCGGAGCTCCATCCTGGCGAGCGCCACGCCGACGCAGGATCGCGAGCCGCTGCCAAAGTTGGCCGCGATGCGCCGCTGCAGGTCGGGCATTTGCTTCTCGTCGTCGAAGCGCGTCTCGTCAAACCTATTGTGTTATTTGTCAGCCGTCGAGCTTACTCAATTTCCCCATTTTTTTTCATAGCCAGCCTCTCCCAGAGAAATCAACTCTGCCTTGCATTGGGTTCTTACCGCTCGCCGTCAGGGAACAGTGCGTTGTCCCGGGCCATGGAATACGTAAAGGTTTGCACCTGGGTGCCGGCGGGGATCGGGAGACTGTTGAAAGTGACACCGTCCTGGACCACGACGCGGCTGGCCGGAGATGAGCCCGTGCTGTGCAGGCGCAGCGACTCGGCGATGACGCCGTTGAGCAGCGGCAGCGCGAGGAGGTCCGTGTCGTTGAAATCCGGCGGCAGCGCGGCCACCTCGGCCTCGAGGCGGCTGCGGAGACTGGGCTGCCGGAGGACTTCCCACACGATGTACGTCAGCATGACGGCGGTGGTGTCGGCGCCGGCCACTAAGAACTCGGCCACCTCGGAGCGGACCGTCTCGTCGGTCAGCTTGGACTTTTCGCCGCCCTCGCCCGCCTTGTCGGCTTCGGCGAGCATGTCGCTGAAGAGGTTCGGCTTTTCGCTGTTGACCGCGCGCAGGTTGCGAATGGCAATGCTGCCTCTGGCGAAGACCAGGTTGCTGGCGTTGATGATGTCGTGCACCGTCTGGAAGGGCAGAACAAGTTTCAACAGCCGCAAGACCGGGCCCGGGAATAGCCATTGCAGCGCCATGCTGAAGCCCACGAACTGGAGCGCCGTCAGGAACTCGTCGTTTTCCTTCAGGTCGGCCTTCTCGAGCATGTCGAACGACTCGCCAAACGAGAGGAGAGAGATGACGTCTGACGCCATGATGTACCACCAGCGGGAGACGTTGGCGACGCCGCTTGTCGCTTCGCCCTTGATGCAGCGCACGGCTAGCTCGACCTTGGCTCTGATCGCAGGCTCCCAGTTGCGCCGCAGCGTGTCCAACGTCAAGCCGCGGGCCAGCAGCCGACGCCGAATCCTGTGCTCGTGGGGGTCGGTTAGGGTGAACAGGAACTTTTCGGGAACGATGAGCGGGAATTCGATTTTCATGAAGATGCCACGGCTGCGATGGACTTGTTCCCAGTGGCCGGGGTCGGCGGTCGCCACGACATATGGTTCAGGACGGACCAGCGGCCCATAACGTTGATGCAGCCCATGGAACCACTGGAGCTCGTCGCCCACGATGCGATGGTAATGGTTGACGAGCGACGTGAAGCGCGAGTACCATGGTCCCGGGATGTGGGAGAGGTTGTTTCGAAACCCAGAGATGAGTGTCTGCACATGGCTGCCCAGGTTAGCTCCGGCCGGGCAATCGGGACGGATACCCTGCGGGAAACCGGTTGAGGAGGTAGTTGCTGACCTTGACGACAAAGTAAAAGGTAAAGATCAGCAACCCGTAGGCACAGACCAGAAGAGACATGAACGCGGACATTTTGACGGCGCTATCGAGATCTGCCCACCGTCACTCGGACAATCCTCTTTGAATATCTCATCGACAAAGGATTCGTGTGCCTGATCCCGCCCTATTTGTGCATTTTCCTTTACCCCAATCCGCCGAAAGTCCAGCCATCGTTTCAAAAGTTGGTATTCTCTATCGGGTTGAACCTTGGGTTTCCATGGCCGCAAAGAATGTTTTTTTTTTGGGGGTTACGAGATCGACCGCCAAAAGAATTGAGGAATTAGCGGGGGTTGGTCGGCCAAACCTCCGCCGCCTAGGCCGTGTGCGCCACAGGTTTCAAATTCCAGCAGGCCGCGAACTCGCGGCCTCTGCGGCAAAGCTTAGAAACCCCACTTGACGCGGCGTTTTACGCCCAAATACGGCACTCAATTGGCTGAAAAGGGCAGTCTGTGCCTGGCCCCGCCAAGTTGGTGGCGCCAACTCTGGGGCAGATCCCGCCGACCCGCGGCCCGGTCTTGTAAACCCAACAGCGTCAGCCTGAAAGCGGCGGCCCACCTTTCCACGCATCCCGGCCCCTCTTATCCGTCCCAACGAGGGCGACACAAGGCCCGAAAAATCTCGGTGTCAATGATCAATGACACAAAACTATACGCTCCTACCGACCAGGCCGCGCGCCAACCCCCGTCGGCATCTGGCAGCACAAACCCACCAACGACCGCTACTTGTAACAAGGTGACCCAAGTGGGGGTTTCTTCTCTCACTTCTTCCATTCTTCTCTCGGTTTTCTTTTTTTATCCTTTACAAATCGTTCGCATTTATTTGCAATCGTCGGTCGCGTCGGTCGGTGGAATGGGTCACATGGGCCGAACAATCCCGTCGTGAAAACGACCTCAACCGCAGAAATCACTGTCATTCTGGCAAGAGCTAAAGACATCGCGACGGCAAACTCACACACTCACGCGGGGCATTTAGCGCTGACGCACCACACCGACCTCGTTCCAGGCGTCGCGGACAATCTTGGCCCCCTCATCTCCGTACAGCTCATGGGCAATATCGGTCGTGGCATCGGCAAACTGGATAAAAGTGCACCGGGGAGGAACGCTGCCGCTGTTCATGGTCTTCCACCAAATCTGGCCGGCCTTCTCCCAGGAGTAGCCGCCGAACGCAGCTGAGGCGAGGTAGAAGGCTCGGTTTGGGATCCCACTGAACATGTGCACGCCGCCGTTGTCCTCGGTGACGGGCTTGTATCCAGCCATGGATGCCGGCTGGGGATCCTTGCCCTGTGCGGTGTCAACAATGAACAAGGATGGAGGGCATCGATGACTCAAGAACGTGGGCTTGAGGGAACTGGATACTTACAAATCGAGGGTCGTCATAGGCAGTGCCGGGTTCCTTCATGCTCCTCAGCGCAACTCCCTTAACGTCGGGCAGCAGGCAGCCTTCGCCGATGAGCCAGTCAGCCTTGTCGGCCGTCTCATCCTCGACAAGCTGCTTGACCATGATGCCAAACACATCCGATATGTGCTCATTCAATGCACCGGCCTGGCCTTCATACTCCAGCGGACTCGTGTGCTCAGTGACGGCATGCTAGCATCAACGGGTTAGCATCTTTGAGAATTTAGGGAGCAGCGAGACCATAATCGGTGCTTACGGTCAGTTCGTGGCCAATGACATCGATGCAGTTGGTGAAGTGGTAGAGAAACGTATGGCCGTCACCGAAGACCATCTGCATCCTGTCGGGATCCCAAAACGCATTCTCGTACCCTTTTCCGAAGTGCACCGAGCTCAGGACGTGCATGTTCTTGTTGTCGATGCTCTTCCACTTGAAAAATTTCTCGTAGAAATCGAGCACCTTGCCGACGTTGTCGTAAGCCTGGTTGACCGCCTCGTCGTTGGCGACTTTCTGGCCCTCGACGCGTACCACGGTGCCCGGGAGTTTGTTTTCGTTCTGAGCGTGCTTCGCGTCATAGACGGCGCGGTAGAAGCCATCCGTCTCGAGCTTTGGGGCGAGGGACTGCTGCTCGACCCCTCCCTCCCCGGACAACGACTGCTTGTACGCGGTCGTCACGAGCTTGATCTGCTCGCAGTCGCGGCGGGCGCGCTGTCTGGTCTCCTCGTCGACTCCCTCGGCCTCAGCAATGTGCTGAAGGAGGATTTCGGGGACGATGGACTGCTGCTGGTGCAGCGCCGCATGCTGCTGGCGTGCACGCGGCTGGCTCAGGGCGGCAAGGCGATCACAGCGCCTGGACGTGTACTCGTGGCGGTGTTTGAGAGAGCGCAGGGCTGCTTCGCGTCCGTCATCGTCGACACCATCTCGGCCCTCGGCGATGCCCTGGAGAAGGTAGGGCGGGACCACGCCACAGATGTGGGAAGACATGATGGGCCGCTGGAAGTTCAGACGCCCGAGTCTAGGCCGGCGGGGCAGGCAGTCTCTGGCAGTACGGACAGCGGTGAGGGGCAGGCGCATTTGACACTACGAGGCAAGAGCAAGTGGTCGACCCGAGAGGAGCCGAAGTCTTGAAGAGTAGGAAGGCGCAAACATGGCAGCGAGGTGCCGTTCCCTTTTTAGCTCCTCCCTTCCCTTCTATCTCTTCGGCGGGCTCCCATGACGACGTCAGCTCAGCTGTCTTTTTGCACATGTGTGCGTCGTTAGCGTGCTAGGTTTGTCTCTGTTGGTTAGGATGTGTCGCATTTCGGCCACTCTCGTCCGTCGGGAGGAAAGCCTTCGTGGGTGGCTGTGCAAGAAGGGCGATAGCTGGAGTCCCCTGGCAGCAACCCCGCACGGCACAAAGCGGTAGGATTAGCGCCCTGCTGCCCTACGAAAGAAGCCCCTGACGCGCGAAGTGGGACTCGATGCCCTGGAAAGAGCAGATCAGCAGGACGCATCACTACCCAGAACCTGGAAGGCATCGGCGTCCCGAGAGGGCAACTACCACGTACTGACCATGTTGAAGCGGATACGAACAAAGCTTCTCCAATGCCGGCTTGCCAGCCTAGCTAGGAATGAACACCCCGTCACCCCCACGCACTCGGAGGCCCTCTTTCTCTAGCACCCTGTAGGCGACAAAAGACAATCTGAAAGCTGCCATGGAGGTTTCAGTCCGCAACGCGTTTGGGTTACACACCTAGAAGATCTCCTTTGAAGCGGGCTGTTATCAAGGCCACCAAGATAAGCTCGTGATTTTGTGATTTGTTGATGAACACACCACATTGCAGAGGAAGCAACATTGCTTTGCCAATCATGTGTCTCTTCAATGTGACTGATCAGCCCGTCGGCGTCTTGACCGAAGGACTTCCAGCCGCAGTCGGCTGCCTGGGGTGCCGCCTCTCCAGTAATGCGCCTCAGCAAAACCCCTTTGTGGATGGGATGGGGCGCCATCCACTTTATCGAGAGTGTCCGATTTCATGCAGATTCTCTCAGCCGCAGTAGCAACCAAGAGCCTAGGCCTTCTGACGCCTGGTATCTTGGGTTGCATCGTTCTTCCCTGCCCCGGTAATTAAGGTCCAATATGGAAGGTATGCTCGGCAGCTGATGTACAATTCGTCAACTCAATCAGGGGCGCAAATAGATCTCGCGGCTGGTTGGATCCCGTTTGACAATCAGCGCCCTCGCCCCCCATGAGCGCTGTCGAGTTCTGTTATGTATTCGTACCTTGCTGGCCTGGGAACTCGGCCTTTCATAATTGCTCGTTCAATGATCGCCCTGAGCCACTCATTGGAACGTTGCTAGTAGAATTTCCCACGTCTAGAAGAAGTTGAAGCAGTATCGAAAACCAGACCCTGATGATGGTTAGCGGCGATAACTCCCGGCCATAAAACCACGACCAAGGTTCATTGCTCCGGGGCTTGTTTAACCTGAAACGATCGGCGATTGGTGTTTAATTCGATATCCAATAGTTCCCAAACATAGTACAAGGTGGTTGTTGACATGCAAATACAACCTGTCGTTGTTCAACCTGTCGTCATCCAACCAGCCTGAGTCCAAGAGTCAAGTCAGCGATCAAAATTTGGACAACAGGTTTTGATGGCTTGAGGCCAAAAGAAAGCATGAAAGCCGCGGAATCGCGTCGCTCTTTTAGATCAAACCCAACTCGTTCAGGGTGAAATCGCGATTGACTGCGTAGCCCGTGGAGCTGCATTCCATCGTTGGCCTTCGTGTCATACTTGTCGTCAAAGGCATAAGCTCCACGTTTATTTAATAATAACCTCTAGCGTAGTTTCTGTCCATGTTCATCAGGCCTCGGACAACGCTTCTGTCCTCCTCACGGTCCTCATCTTTATAGATGTTCAGCCCGTGCTCCCGGGGGAAGTGGTACTCATCCATCCAGTGGAACTTGAGCCAGCCCCTCTCAAAATTCGTGTACGGTGGCTCGGTAGCGTTACCTGGTCGCGCTGCTTCTCCTTGTCTAGTCGGCGGAGCTGAGGTCCTGACTGCTTGTGCTTCGGTAAATCTTTTAGCGCTCTGATTCTGGCCATTTTGCGTTGACCACGTACCCGATGCCTTTAAGTGGTGACGGCCCGACAATTGGCCCAACAGGAGGGTCGCTGGTGCACAAACGACCCAAGCAACAGCTTGGATGCCTTTCAAAGGATCCGACGGGCTCGCCTTCGTAATCCGAAACCTCCGACTCTGCAAAATTTAGTTTGTGGTCTTGGAAAAATAGAAAACCAACAATGTTGCAGAGGGCAGTCGGAACATGTAGAACCTTGGTAAGACGAAGCGTGCTGTGGCTAGGCCACGAATGCTGTAGGGGAATTTCAACCACGCCAACACTAATAGCGTAGATAGCAAATATAGACTGTACAAGGGTTGCGAACGGTGTCTACTCTGTAAACCAATGGCGGTCCTTAGCAACACTAATGAGAAAGCCGAGAAATTAGTATCCAACATACAACAAATCAAGTAAACGATTACCTACTAGACTTCGGAACCGTTAGAAAGGATCCAATCCGGACAAACGCCTGTTGAGGACAGGCCGCACTGCGGAAGTGCGGATGAATCGCACGGATTTCCGTGTCAAGGCACGGCTCCAAAGGGGTTGGATGGGCTTGGAGAGGGCGGAGGAAAGCGCGGTTTGTTTGATTTTTTCTCGTTATTTTTTTAAGAAAAGAAGAGTTCAAAAAGCCCCACTCTCTACAGTCCGTGAAGAGGGGTCTGTAAGAACCTAAGAAAATAAATATAAAATGACCACCTTGCTGCACAAGCCTTTGCCGCTCTCCTTCACACCACAATGGCATAGAAGTTCGCCCGTTGATATCCTTGTTCTTCCACGCAGAGCAAAGATGAAAGAGGCCATCCAACGGCGGATACGGTCTCATATTTCATTAATGGGCGACTTATCTGGGGGAGTCAAAGCACCTATCATCAAATTTTGAACTTTATATCTAAGGAGGAACGGACAACTGAATTTTAAACATGGAATGAAGCCTAGCTGCAAAAGGACTAAAAGAAGTGGAAACTACCGGCAGAAACGTTCTCAAACACAACACGAATGAAACGCAATCAACATCTAAATAGTCTGTTGTCACGTACCCAGCCTCCAAGAGCGTACGAGCAACATGTTTCCCAAAATAACCTGAGCTTGGCTGCAAGCCAGTTTACCCGGGTAATCATTTCAGGGGGCGGCGTTAATCTAAACCTGCGCAGACAGCCCACGAACCAGGGGGATCTGATTGAAACCCGTCCATCCAACTCCACGGCAACGTTCCGTGGGACGGGCATGAGAGCTGTACATCCGTAAAATGCGAGCCGTGAGCGCTCTTGGCGACGACCAGAGCAAGGGCCCAGGCTACAAATGCCCGACAGCAACCACAGTATGGCTGTCCACGACGAGCAGCACACTCCCCCGTCTGTAAAACGATTCCCCAGACACCCAATTTAACGATGCGCATCCCGATCGCCGCCCTGGTTCTCGGCAGCCAAGCTACCGCGGCGCTGAAACCGTGGGAGATCTCGGCCCTGCGCACCTTTTCGCCGTCGGGACGGCCCGACAGCTCGCCGTGGAGCTTCATCAACCTGACCATCGCCGACCGCAACACGTACGCCGCGACAGCACCTCCACCAGACGCCTCCGCTCCCGGAATAGCCGCAACCTGCTTCGTACAATGGCCGTACGCCGGCGACGCGTATGGCCGCGAGGTGAACTGCACCACCACCACCACCACCACCACCCCTTTGTCCTCCTCGCCGCCGCCGGAATGGACGCTTACCATGCTCCCGACGCCGGGGTCGGCATACGCGTCCCCGCTGAACGATTTCATGCTACGCCTTACGCTCACGCTCAAGTTCGCAGGCGCTGAGGACAAGTATGAGGGCTCGGCGCGCTTCGCGCTTGGCCCGGGCCAGAACCTGCAGGGCATCTGCTCTGCCAGCGGGGTTTGTGCGTTTGCGCTTAGGGACGAGGCTGTGCCTGTGCTGGTTTTGCAAACGAGGGTGGCAGGGGGCTTGCTTGGGTAGTGTGGGAAGTGACTTGAGAGAAAGATTGAGGGTGGAGCTGCTTGCTTTTCCTTGTCTTTTTCCTTTCTTCTTCTCTCTTGAGGTCATCAAAGTCCATGTATCTTAGCCACGAGCACCGTGCATGGGTATCACGCAATGTTTGTTTAAGAATTGCATGTTGTGATTCAAATGCTTAACCACCAGCGCAGACATATAGTCACGTACGGACCATTAACTACCCCTGAATCGTCTGCAGCGTGGCCCCGCCGGCACCAGACTCGAGCAGCCTCTGCAGGATCTCGAGGTCCTTGAGCGCCTCCTCGGGGGTCTGCCTGGGGTCTGCCGCACCAGCCGCAATGGCCTCGCCAAACGCGGCAACCTCGGCAGCGACGCCCGAGTCGGCGGCAAACGTCTTTGCGACCTCGACGGGGCCGTCGCCTTCGCCCGCGGCGCGCGTGAAGGTGCGGACCTTCTTGGGCTCCCACACGACGGCGCCCTGCGTGGTGACGACCTCGACCTCGAGCCCGGCCTTGAACTCGGTGCCGAAAGAGATGGCGATGGTGCCCGTCTTACCGCCCCGCGTCAGCGCCACGGCCGTCACCGTGTCGACGGGCGGCAGCCGCGCCTCCAGCAGGCCGCTGAACCCCACCAGCTGCTTCACCTCGTGGCCTGTCGCCCCGAGCAGCAGCCGCAGTGCCGCCACGAAGTGCACGCCGCCGTCCAGCACGAAGCCGCCTTGGTGTTCAGGGGTCTTGCGCCCTGTTGGTCCTGTCGCGTTAGCAATTCCGTGTCTGCCCGTACACCGCTAGCTACTACGTAGCGCCGAGCCGGATCCCGATGCCGGCATCTCGAACGTGCAATAAGAGGGCCAACTCACAGGGCGTGTTGAGGTAGTTGTTGTCGGGCTTGACGAACTGGTGCATCTTGAGAGAGAAAGTCGCAACATGGCCGCCGATTCTGCGCAGCTCGTCGGCGGCATACAGCAGCGAGGGCCAGAAGCGAAAGTTCTCGGCGACGGCGAAGATGGGGCGCGCGGGCGCGGAGGGCAGCGCGGTGTACCAGGCGACGAGCTCGCGGGCGGCGGCGAGGTCGCCGGCGACGGGCTTCTCAGAGAGCACGTGCTTGCCGGCGGCGAGGGCCTTTTGCACGACGGCGGGCTGGCTCAGGATGGGCAGCGCCACGACGGCGGCGGCCACGTCAGCGCGCGTGAGCAGGTCGTCGAGCGACTTGCCGGCGGCGGCCGGCTCGTCAAAGTAGACGGCCACCGACGCCGGGCTCCGCGACGCCGCGGCCAGCGCCTCGGCCGACGCCTGCGACCGCGAGTAGACGGCCTTGAGCTCGAACAGCGCCGGGCTGGCCTCGATGGCGGGCAGGTGTTCTGTTTGGGGGGTCAGTCTGTGGTCGGGGATGCGCCGGTCAGGGATGCGCCGGTCGGGGATGCGCTGGTCAGGGATGCGCCAGTCAGGGGTCCATAACTGCCTACCTTTGCGGGCAAAGATGCCGGCGCCAAGCAATGCGATGCCGACCATTTTGTTCCGACTAGGGTTGTTAGAAGTTAGTGGTCTGGGATGGATTCGTTCAGAAGGAATTACATCAGTGAAGCGATCAATAGGATCAACAGGCCGAACAGAGTTGGGTTCAATGTAACAGACTGGGGGGTGACGGCGAAAGCAATGGACGGAAGATCCTGCGACCCCGTACCATTATTATCTAATCCTAAAAAAAGAGGAGAATCCAGGATTCCTAGACTACTACTAGATAGGGAAATGTCTAGGTATTCGGACCGTAGATGCCGCACGTAGAACAATGCGACCCACTGGGGCTGGTCGAAATTTCCTGTTCGTGGAACCGGACAGAGTGGAGAGGAAGCCGATGAATCATGCAGTGTGTGCTGGTGGATGCCCATGGGAGGAGCTCTCCACCGTCGGCCGCGGTTCCGACGTCGCTTGCTGCCCCTGTAGCCAAGGTGGGGTAAACTCCAACGCATCCATTCATTGTGTGACAAAGAATCCCTTGCAGCACCAAATACCTGGGGTGGTTAGCGACGAGGCTAGGCCGTTAATGTCGCCCACGCCGACATGTTTATATAAACATTGGCTTATGAATTCTACCTACCTCCTAGATCACGGGTCCGGTCCCGTATTACGGGCGGGGCAGTGAGCACGGTGATGCTTTCACGAGATAAAGTAAACATTTCAGGTATCACGTCTCCATCAATCACCAACCAATACGGCATCGGCATCGATATCAATACAGGAATTGCCAGCTGAACTGTAGTTCTCTCATCACGCATCACGCACCACGCATCACGCACCACGCAATGGCAACAGCCACAGCCCCCCTCGCGCAGCACCTCAAGGCACGCTACCTAGCCTACCGCGCCGCGACCGACTTCGACGCCAAGGGCCTGTTCTACTCGGACTCGTGCCTGCAGATCTGCCGGCCGCAGCCGTCGTACGCGGCACAGGACCGCGCGACCATCGTGCAGTACCTGCGCGAGGCGGCCGCGGGCGGCATGAACCTCGCCACCTCTTCTACCCAGCAAGTGCCGCCGATGAAGGGCTGCACGATCCGCCTGGCGACGGCGGACGAGTTCGAGTTCGCGTCTGACGAGGTCACGTTGCCGGCCGGGTTCACGGCTGCGGAATTGAAGCTCAAGGCGCAGGCCGAGGGATGGGTCGGCACGCGGGTCGATCTGTGGTCGGAGAGCCCCGAGGATACGAGTCGGCAGATGCTGGTCAAGGTCAAGTATTGGTGGCGGAAGGAGGGCGGGGAGTGGGTGCAGATTCTGCACGACATCATGTACATGGGCCCGCATGACGGGACGCAGGGGACGGATGGGGAGGTTCTGTGATGTGATGCTTGTGTTCAGAGGGAAAGTGTGTGGCGGCTACAGGGGTAGTCGGTTACAACAGATATACAATGCTGTCAATTTGTTTATTATTGTTTGGCTTGTTCCTACATGTTCATTCTCTTTATGCCCATCCATTGTCATTGTTATCATTTCTATCAAGGTAATTACGCCCATTGTCATTGTTATCATTCCTATCAAGGTGATCACGCCCATTGTCATTGTTATCATTCCTATCAAGGCGATTACGTGCTCTACTTCTTCAGCGCGTCGCGGCGGCTGGAGCTCTGCGGGTCAAAGTAGGGCTTCTCGCCCAGGCTGACAGCGCGGCTGCCGCGGCGCTCGCCGAGACCCTCCTCAAAGGCGTAGTCGGGGGTGGCGGCGTGGTAGACGCTGCGGTTGTCCCAGATGGCCAGGTCGTTGACGTCGCGCCAGCGGTGGCGCACCTGCAGGTCGTGGTTCTCGACGATGAGCTGCACGAACCAGTTGAGGAAGTGCTTGCTCTCGTCATCGGACAGGCCGTGGATGCGCTTGACGTGGTGGCCGACCGCGAACACGCTCTTCCAGCCCGTCACGGGGTTGGTGCGCACGACGGGGTGCACGGCCTCGAGGGCCTCGCCGACGTTCTCGGGGGCGCCGCGCGGCTCGGCGTAGATGCTGAAGTTGTTGTGCTTGGCCGCGTCGTTGAACAGCGGCTGGGCGTAGTAGGCCGTCAGGGTGTCGAGGAAGCTGCGCAGCTTGGGCGAGATGCGGTCGTACAGCTCGTAGCCCGAGGCCCACAGCGTGTCGCCGCCCGTGGTCGGCAGCTCGGTGAGGCGCAGCAGCGCGTAGTCGCTGGGGATGGGCTCGAAGGTGATGTCCGAGTGCCACTGCTCCTTGCCGCTCTGCCGCTGCCCGTTGAAGATGAAGCGGCCCTTGTACAGCTTCTTGGCCTGCCGCGACGAGATGACGCTGATCTCGTTGTCGTTGCCGCCCTCCTCGCGCCCCGCGTTGCTGATGGGGTGGATGTGCAGCCCCGACGTGGCCGGCTTGCCCGACAGCTGTCCCAGCCGCTGCACCAGCTCCTTCTGCAGGTCGTCGCTGATCTTGTCCTGCTTGCGGAAGAAGACGACGCCGCGCTGCGAGACTGCGTTATGTTAGTGTGGGATGTGCCGAGTGAAAAGGGCACGACGTACTTGTGATGGCCAGGTCCCGCAGCAGCTCGTCCGAGTTGGGCGCGCGCAGCCACTCGGCCAGGTCGGCGTTGGAAAACTCGCGGCCGATGACGGGCGTCACGTCAAAGGACTCGAACTGGTCCAGCACCCCGCTCAGGACGAGCGGCTCTTTGTGGTCTTCGTACAGCGCCGGCAGGCCGTCTGGCCCCACGGTCTTGTCCTTTACGGCCGAGCCAATGGTGTCGACAGGCTCGACGGGCTCGACAGGCTTGACCTCGAGATTCTCCGCTTCGGGAAGCTCCGTCTGGGAGACAGCAGGTTCTGCCTTCTCGCGAACAGGCAAGACCTTCTCCTTGATATCAGCAATGGTCTGCGGGACCGACTCGACAGCTGAGGGCGACATTGCAAGATGCTTTCTGTGTCCTAGAGTGTGGAAGTAATTATCTAGAATTAGCTGGTGCAAGTCAACTGGATGGCTGTTATTGCCGGTTATCGAGATGGATGGTGTTTCGACACGACCAACCGGGGCAGCACACAACTTATAGCTCGCTCGGCGTGACTCAGGTTCGTGTTGTCGTGAGCGGGGTTGTTGCGTCTAGGCTGCCGCAGGAGTAGCAAACATGTCGCCTCTTGGCAGCAGCTCTTGCATCGCAGGGCTTGGACTTTGTCTTGGTTATCCCACACACTAGCCACGAACAGCTCCTGTCTTCGCAGCACGCCATACCCGCACGGCGGGATGCGGGGGGCGGTTCAGCTCGCCATCGGCTCCAAGCTGGCCGATTAACCGACGGCGACGCGGGTTGAGGCCGTCGACGACCCAAGCTCGAATGGTGAAAGATATCTGGGATTTGACGTGCGCGGCGCTGGCCCAATCGCCCGGCACGGGTCTCGCGAGAGCCAGTCAGATAGATCCGCGGCGTGGCATTAGTCGGTGCGGTTTAAACCACGCACAGGATGCCCCCTTAGGTGGTCTGGATGTCGTGCTTGGCACTGGCAAGATGCCTGATGCACTGTAACCCCCCACACTCTCTGCCCGCATCGAGAGGCTGCTAGTCCGGGTTGCTAGTCCGGGTTGCTAGTCCGGTTTGCACCTCTCGGCCATGCGGGCGGGTTTAAGTATGGTGGTGAGGTGAATTTGGGACCTGGCTGATGCCATTCATGGTGGCGATCACGAAGTTTGGTCTTTGACCATCGCCAAGCGCCGCTAACTCCGAAGTTGCATTCGCTCTTTGAACCGCGTCCTCTGTTGACAGGTATAAACCCAGTAACCAGTCACTTACTATTCACCATTCCGTGCAAATAATCACCATTGGCCATTCAGTGCACTAGCGAGGTTAAGAACCCAGTTGAGGTTCGATTAAGATCGGACTCGACTTTCGAAACGACCGTTCCTTGGTCGCTCTTGTTGGGAGAGGACGCCTCATCTTCCGCGTCAGAGGTTTTCCCGATCATACCACTCGTAATACCGGTAGAGACTAGTATTTATTAGTATAGGTTTGAAGAGAGAACATATTAAAATATCTAGATCGACGATAAGGATAGCGTCTGAGAGCTTACTAATTACTGGCCTTCCGTACCTGTCTGGCAGCGGCGTGTAATTGCGTTCGTGAAGCATTCCCCCTCCCTCTCACGAGAGCTACGATGATAAAGACAGCAAACCCGAGGTCACACGTCACACGGGACGAGTAAGAAGAACAGGAGCGGGCAAGGCCCGACGATTACCGTTGCGTTCTTCCTCGGACCGGTAATGCTGAGATCTGCCATATTGTCCCTTTCAGTGCGGACTCGAAAGGAGAAGTACCGGTGGTCAGGAGCTCAGGGGCCGGGCAACAAGGGGGGTTATTTACACCCTTGCCCAATGTAATCTAGTGTACGTACTCTTTTTCCTTTTTCTCTCGGCCTGCCCACCTCATATAGGGTGGGCAGCCCGCCCTCACTCTGATCAGAGAGCCGGCACCGCTCATTCCTTCTTTTCTAGTCATTCTTTAGAAATCACGGCCTTTTTACCATGGATTATGATCCCCGGGCCAGTGCACGCAGTAGTGCCTTTTTCTTTGTTGTTTTGACTACCTGGCTTTGGAATCTTGTACCTGTGCTCTGTAAGGCTCGGCTGCGGCTCGCCTTAGTGTTTTGGTGCCTTTTCACCGCTTCACCGGCCAAAGACGGCAAGCGAGGTACTTTCCGCGAACAAATCCGCCCAAGTCTAGCAGCTATTCATCGTCCATGGAGGAGGACGGCGCGAGCACCGCCCCATCTCGCTCATCCAAGACAGCCTCTTGCCTAGCAACAACAACAGGATCGTAGTAACGGAGGCGGTTGGTGGACTTTTGTGTCTTGGGCTTCTTTGAAAACCTTGACCTTGAAGAGGTATTGATTAGAGCCGAGAGGGTTTGAGGCGTAGTTAGATGTATCGATAGTTCTGCATCACTTCCAACTGGCAACAGCTTCAAAGTGTTGATGCATGAACTTTGATATTCTAAATACACCTGGAAATTTTCGAGGCGCTTATAATGTCTCGTAAAGACTTAGAGCGAAAATATAAATATCTTTTTATGCGCCCTGGGCGAAAACTTTGATCTTGCATTGCGGCGGTAAGGTTCGTGAGCCGGCCGGTATAGCTCGATTGTTTGACTTTTTGCCATACCGCGCATGCCGGAACAAAAGTATATCATTCCTTATACTCGGAGAGCTATATATATACAGAAAGTGCATCGAAATAACCTTTAGACGGGCCATAAGTACACAAAGCGAGGGAAAACGAGAAGGTGGCCCATTAACTACCACGAGACGTCTCTCAGCGGCCGAGGTTTATAGTACGGGAACAAAATTATTTCATTCCTTGTGCTCATAGAGCCAGATATGTACAGAAAGTGCATCACAAAAACTTTTAGACCCGCCATTCACAAAACGAAAGAAACCAAGGTGTCCACATTCCCTGCCAATGCAAGGTAAACCCGACTTCAAAACGTGGGCGCAACTTTGGCCGCGGGCCGATCCAGCCCGGCGCTGCCCAGCTTGAACGCCCTCAGCGAGGTGGTCGACAGCTTCTTCTCGTGGGCGTAATGGGTCTGCTGCTGCTGCTGCTGCTGCTGCGGCAGCGGCGGGACGGACCTGGTGCTCATGGACCGCGTGGGCCTGCCGCGCGCCATTACCACCCTGTCGCTGGTCGAGCTGGCGGCCGACAGTGCCGGGGAAGGTGGGATCGAGTTGCCTCTAGCCCGGGTATTGAGCTTGCCCATCATGGCGGTCATGGCTGCCGCCGCGTCAAGGGGCGGCGTGGGCGGCGATCGAATGCCTTGGTGGTGGTGGTGGGCTGCTGCAGCGATGCCGAACGCGTTCGTGCTCGTCCGCGCCTCGGCGATGGAAGGGAACGGCGACATCCTCGTGTTCAGCGCCCTGCCGTTCTGAGGCGCCATCATTCTTTCGAGAGACGTGGCGCTGTGTGACCTGCCCTCGGCGACGTGGCGCTGCGGGCGCTGGCCCGATATGCTCGACGGCGGCGTCGGAGGCCGGCCCGCCAGCCTCTCCTGCCGCTCCACGGCTGCCTGCAGCTGCTCGAACGACATCGGCACGGGCGGCATCTTGCTTAGCCGGCGGATGGAGCGCCGGTTGGCGTCGATAAAGGTCGACATGGCCCGCACGGCGCTGTTGTTCTCGTACGTCGCCATCGCATTCGTCTCGGCGGTCGGCGCGGCCGCTCGCGCGAGGTGCATGGCAGTCAGCGTCCGCGGCGCCATGTCAACCGCGGGGGCGGCGCTGCGGATGCTCGCCTGGATGCGACTCATGACGCCGTCGAAATCGACGCCGCCCGTCCGGTTCTGTGCCGACACGTATGCCGGCGCCGCGCCGAGTACCGTCTCCTGCGTGAGGACGAAAAAGGACCCGTCGCGGATCTTGCGGCGCACCAGGCTCCATCGCGTCCTCGCCGGGTTGTGCTCGATCTCGGGCTGGTAGATCTTGTTCTGCGCGAGCTTGGCGTAGAAGACCTCGAGCCTCTTTGCCATCCGCTCGAGGGTCTGCAGCAGGAAAGTGGCGAGTACGTTGACGCGCTGCTCGTCGCTCTGCGCGTCCATTGCCATAACGCTGCCAAATGCGTCCATGCCGTGGCACGCCTCTTCGCGTATGTCTTCGAGGAGCTCAATGTCGAGTTCCACCGTCTTGGCCGCGTACTTGAAGATGCCCCGCTCGGCAAAACGAACGTTGCTGTTGTTGTCAGAGACAAACTGTCCGATCAGCGCCACCTCCTGCGACGTTGCGATGGCGTCGGGCGACGTCTTTGCGCGGGCAATCATGTTGAGCACGTCGGGGAGCCGCATCTCGGCCCCGCCGGGTGCGGCATCGGCGAGGGTGAACGACAGCTTGAGAACAAGCCCCTGCAGCTTGGGGCCGAACAGCGCGGCGAAGCCCCCTTGGAGGAGCCGCGACTGGTATTGGTAGAACGTGCGCACGCCAAGGCCGATGTTCATGAGGTGTTCACGGGACCAGACGTCACCGGCGCCCCGGAAGAACTTGTCGCTGGTCCCGTCATCATTCGCCCCCATAATCTCGTGCATCTCGAACTGATGCGCCACGAGCGTCTCCACCGTCGCCCGAAGGTAGTCTGCCCAGAGGTCATACAAGCTGCCCAGTTCAGGACAGCCGGGGAAGTCGGGCTTGGGAGTCAGCTGGCCGACAAAGTATTTCGTGAGAAGGCTGTTGACTTCCGAGTTGTTGGTATGTGCAAGGCTGTCGAACGACCTAGAGCAGTCCACGCCGGCGTTGGACTTGATGATGAGGTTGCCGCCGGGATGCATTGGACTGAAGTCCGTCACATCGTAGGCGCTGCCGTGCACGCCGATCCACATGCGGCTGCCCGGGCGGTGGCCAGTGTGGCGAGCGAGCTGGGAGAGGGGGATTGTGGGGAGGTTGCAGGGGAGAGGCTTGGGGGTCATGAAGACATCCAACATGAAGCGGCGCTCGGCAAACGCCTTGCTGATGATCATGTCCGAGGTTTCCATGGTGGCGCTGCAGTGGTTGTATATGGCCTTGCGGATGCCGTTCATGACGGAGTCGAAGACGGCAACTGAGCCACAGACGTAGAGATAGCCGCCGAAACCCCCCTGCTTCTTTGACATGACCAGCTCAGATATCGCTGTCGACTGCTCCACGATCAGGGCGTCAATATAACGAGGCGGCATCTCCCTTTCCACCAGGCTGTTGGTCCGCCGGTCATAAACAAGACCGCGAGAGTCCCGCGAAAATGCGAGGTGAACTTCCATCAGGCCTGCATCGACATAGTCCCGCAGCTCGTCCTCGTAACAGAACTTTTCTCGGGACTGGACGCCAAAATAGAGAAGGTCGCGGCCGGTGGCATTGTCACGCGAGGTAAGTCGAGCTTGCCAGAAGCTGCGAAACGGTGCAATGCCGCTGCCTCCGGCAAAGAACGCGCAAGGGGCAGCAGGGTCCAGAGGGAGTTGGAAGTTGAGAGGCCGCGAAACTCCAATGAGAATATCCTCGTCTGTCTCGATAAGCTCCGGGCTGGATGACAAGGGCGGGTTCAGGAATCCACTCCCAACACCAGCACAGGTCACATCGCTATTGCCGGCGAATGTGGTGCAGAGCTTGAACTCGGCCCGGGAGACTGTGAGGTCGACGGTTGAAGGCAGCAACTCCTGCGAGTAGTTGGAAATCGAGTACGTCCTCGGTATTTCGACCGGGATCATGTCGGCCAGCCACGAAAGATCACCGGCGAGGTCGAATGCACGGTCCCAGATGTGGGGGTTGGTGTCTGCCACAGCGGCTTGAAGGAGGTCGCCGAGGGAGCCTCGAACCGGCCACTCTTCGGTTGCAAGAACCTGGAGCACGGTGTTGGACGATGCCCGCAGCATGTCGTGAATCTTCAGGGCCAGCTCCTTGGTGATGGGTGCGAGATGGCCACGCCTCAGGATGTCCTTTACTGTTAGTTCCTGGGGTTCCGTGCGTGAGACAGATCCCAAGTGCTGGGCGAACCGTTGCCATTTAGTGTTCAGCGTGACCTTGACGTCGAGATAGTCCACCAGCCCAAGGGCGGCCGCAACTTTGGCGCATTCCGTCCAGGTGTTCAGCGGCATGACTGCCAGCCGGTCTCCCGGCTGGAAGGTAATGCCCGTGTTCTGGATATCTAGTGTCACCATGGCAATCGACCTGGCTGGGTCCGTGTTGACAAACGAACGGCTGAGAACGCGGGACTTGTAACGGCATTCTTCAAATGTGCCACGCATTTCGTGAGGCTCAACCGAGATGCTTCCGCGGAACGGCTCAAGGCGTTCCTTCATGGCGGCAGAGAACTGCTTGTGAGTCTCTTCCCACGGCCGAGAGTTTGCATCGGGAGCGCCAGACATGCCATTGGTCTCGGACCGTCCCGTTTTCCCGGCAACCTCGAGAAGCCCAAAGACCTTGTATCTGTGAGTGCCCATGAATCCCCTCTCGCCGGTATAGGCCTCGACGATGCCATCGAGTACACCCATCAGCCTAGGATCGCCAGACTGTTTGACGAACTCGGGGATCCGGTAGTGGTACTCGATAGCGGCAATGAAGGCCCTCAGATTGGAGGGTAGCCAAGCCCGCAGATGAAGACCCTCGGCTCCCAGAAACGAGTCGTATTTCTTGCGGCCTAGGAAGGCATCCATGACCAGGAAGGGCGGGAACTGCAGGCCGGACGAGGCAGGACACCTCTTGCTCAAGGGCGCAGAGAACTTTGCCCACCGTACCCAGCGGTGGGCCGACACGTAGTTCTCCCCAGAGTTGGGATTGGGGTTGATGGAGTGGAATGCGTTGGGCATGCGCTCGAGGATTTCCTTGAGGCGAACCATCTCGCGGAGGAGGCCCTCGACGTTTCGGTTCATGACATGTTCCTGGCAGCTCGCAATGGCATCGGGGCCGTGTTGAAAGGACGCTACACAAGAAACTGTCAGCCACCCTCCGACAACCTAAGCTCGGTGATGCTCGGTGAACGCACCTGATGTGTCGGCGCAGCCCTTTTGGAATGCCATTTCGCTCTGCTCGCCAAACATGGGCCAGCGAGACTCCATATTGTCGAAGCGGCCGACGTAGGGGAACGTGGAGGAGGAGTCCTTGATCTTCATGTTGTAGGAAGTCTGGTCGACAAAGGTCAGGTGAGGAATCGATCTACCCATCCGGCGCGAGATTTGAAAGAAGGGAAGGGCGATGCTCCGGGGAATCCCAACAAGCTCATCGCCGAGGTCGTCCCCCATCTCGCAGCTGGGCTTGTACTTGGAGGCGTTGACCGTGACGCCCTCGCTTCCGTCGTGTTTGTCTTCGTACCGGTAGATGGAACACAACATGCCGAGCACGACAATTGCAGCCCAAAGGGCGCGGTCTGGGATGACTTCCTCGGTCCCTTGGACGATTGGCAGTGCAGCGATGGACTCTCGCACACGACCTCTGGCGACGCAGCCGGGCATGCGGTCGCAGAGATCAGTCCATATCCTGCCGGGGGAGTTGGAAAGAGCTCCCGGCGAGTCGTTGTAGTCTGGCGGGCAGAAGCCATGCTCGGCGCTGAGGTATCCATCCTTCCAACCGGTGAGGGGACCAATGTCCTCGGCCCGGATCATAACCTGCCGCGCTGGGGCTCCGAGCGCAACGGCGAGGAGATCATGTTCGGCGGCATTGAGGGCATCGAGATCTTTGAGTCCGCTGATCTCCTGTACGGACGGGATGTTGGCATACAGGACGTCGTTGATAGACTTGCGCTCTCTGGTGACGGTCAATACTGTGCATTCTTGTCCGAGTCAGGGGCCCTACCTCAACCGCAGCCACTCTTCTGCATCGACTCCTCTGGGGATCTAGTGTCTCGGTAAGCTGGCAAGAAGGGATCACGCTATTTTCAGGATCGCTCACATCAAAAGCTGCGTGGATATCGCCGGGTTGCGTGAATCCGGAGAAGGTACAGCCCCGTGGTCCGATGCGGCTGCTTGATCTACTCTGACCCGCCACTGAGCCAGCAGGGCAGTGACCGCCTGCACTGCCGGACACGGGACACGACTGCATCGGTATCATGAGAGAAAGAGAGAAAACGCCCCTGGCGTGGAAGTTGAAAATAGATTGATGGCAAATAATTGGGCGGCCTCCAGGGCGGGTTGTCGAAACAGAGAAGGGAAACGACGCTCAGCAACACAGCAGCAGCAACGTGGCCATCAAGAGACAAGACAAACAATGGGAAAAATACGGGCCGAACCTAGGAGGTTATACGCAGCCTTTGCCTGTCCACAACGCAAACCAGGCATCATGCCGGCCCCTTATTGAAGTGCGACGCCAGCATCCATGCTGGGCGGAGAAGAAGGACTTGGCACATTCCACACTAGAACGCTCCGTGCAGTTTGGGAAATCGACAGCTAAAATTAGCTCGCCGGCCAACAGAAGAAAACGGGACGAGGATCCCGTCTCCAGTTATTACCGGGTGATCGATCGCATAAACCTTCCCTTTCGACGAGGCTGCGAGCTTGTGTCGGCAAATCTCTTTGGTTTCCGTGGTCGAGCCGGGGTCGCAATCGGCCCCAACCATGGTGGTGCCTGACTAGAATGCGGAGTAGATCCGGAAATGGTGGGCCGTGGTTGCGCCCGCCTCTTGCGGTGGTGAAACGGCCGTCGTCCTAATTTCTCTCGAGACAACGCGCACCTGTTTCTGCAGGCGAGAGCCAGGCTGGGGTCGAGGTTTCGTGACCAGGTTCAAGTGGAGAAGATGAGCGAACAGCTCCAATTCTTGACCAATGGCTGGCCGTGTGGATTTTAGGGTTCTCCATCGAGCTCCCCACCATGCGAAATTTGCCAAGGTGAGGACGCGTCAACACTCGACAGGAAGTTGCGACCTTCGAAGCTTGACTTCAAAGCTTTAATCGATTCCACACAGACTATGTGTCACCCGACGGTCTAGACTGCTATTTTTCTTGGCGGGCGCGTGGCCTCAAGTTTCAGCAGTCTAGGCCGCCTCAACAAGTACACGAGAACGGGGCACATGAGCCAAGGTGGCTCTTATTACGCACAATGCAGCTTAATTGCAGTGTCTTTAGGTCTGATCTATTGAAGGAAAAAAGAAAGGAAAAGAGGGCCTTATTTATCCCTCGAACAAAAGACCGGTATTAGGCAAAAATGTAGGCATCAAGGCCTATATAGGGGCCAATCATCGTCGGTGGCCTAGTTGGTGGCAAAGTTCGGTCAGGAGGGCATTATTACGTAACAGCTCTCCGCCTCACCGTTCGAGCTGTGATCCTGTCTCATTCATGGCCGACGTACCACACCGGACCATCACATCATTCACGCACTTGCGAAGCTTGCTGACACATCCCTCGTCGCGTCTTTCGGCATCGATAGGTGGTGCTCGACGGATTTGAGGATAGTTGTGGAGATAGAAAAAATATGGATAATTTGATCATTGTAACCAAACACGAGTCCCAATTTATCCAGTGCCACAATCTCTATCAAACCAAATCCACCCAGCGCATCCCAATAGTATCCAAGACCTCCGTATAGTTCCCTCCCAGGCCCAACTCATCCCACACCTCACCGTTATTCCTCTGCGCCGCCTGCATCACTTTCTCCCGCTGCGCCGGCGTGGGGCTCGCCTTGCAGCCCAGCTCAGTATTAATACAGGCGACTTGATTGACCATCATGCCGTGCACGTAGGCATCGCCTATCAGCTCGAAATATCCATCGTCCGTCTTTTTCGACGTGCTATTATTAGTTGCAGTTGCAGATTTTGCGGAGGGTGTGGTGGGCGGCGTCCAGGGCCGCAGCACAACAGGCAGAGTGCAGCCTTTGATGATGGCGGCGACGTCGTGCACTTGGACCATGGCGGGGACTAGACAAAGGTAGCTGTGCTTTGTGGTTGCGAAGCGGAAGTTGAACAGGGCTCCCGAGTTCAGGAAGGCGTCGGCGAGCAAAGGCATGGCTGGGTTCTGTGCTGTATTATTATGATCGACGTCGTTGATATCGTCGTTATCATCGTCACTCGTGAGCCATCGAACCCACGAGTCCCAGTGGTCGCGAGTATACTCCGCGCCGACAAGCTCGCCATGGCGGCCCGTCGCTGTGATGAGAGTCAGGCGATACGCTTCCAGGACGGAGTCACCGTTCATATATGTCCCTGACAGTCGAGTGTCGAGATGATCGAGATCATGCCGGATGCAGTCGAGGCAGTGCTTGAATGACGGCCTGTCAAGAGACGGCGCTTCTCCTCCTTCCTGGATATGGTCGTAGACGGTCTGGCCGACGTAGACGATTTCGTCCATCATCAGGCACCGGATGCTGATATAAGACTGCAGCAGCTGCTTGGTCCTCCCCTTGAAGCTCTGGAGCGTGTCTGATATGCGCTTTTGGTCGAGCTTCCGGCGGTGGTGCTTGGGCAACTCCCGCTTCCGGGCCGCTATGGTCAGGACAGGGGTTACTCCTGTGCTGTCGGGGCTGAACCCGCCCGCCGCCCACTCGAAGTGGTCGATCAGCTCCGGGTTCGACTGCAAGACGGACGCGTCGAGCCGCCTGTAGTCTTGGACCCAGCTCGGGAGGACAGAGTCGGGCGGGTGTCGTGACCTGCCGGCTCTAGAAAGCGAGGGCAGCCAGCCGTTTGTGAGAAGAGACAGGCTGGTCTCGATGTACAGAATCTCCCACGGAATGCGGTAGTCGGCTTCGGGGGCCCAGCGGTTGAAATTGCCGTGGCAGACGTTGCGGAGGGCGAATATCTTGTCGCGCGGGTCTGTGGCGGCATACGAGTTTCCCTTGAGGAGCACAGCGGCCAGACTCAACACCGTCATGCCGTGCACGCCTTCGTCGGACCGGCGAAAGCGGATCCATCTGCTCGACTGGATCGACCTGATGGACACAAGGTTGCTCTGGGATTCTCGGTACGAGTGCGGGAAGTAGTCTGGCCAGCTTGCAGTGTGTATCGGCATCAAGATCCACGCCAGCGCAAAGACGTGGTCCCAGCTCACCGTGTCTGGGCCGCACAAGACGCGTGTGTCTCGGCAGGCTGTTGCCTCCTGCTGAACCCACACACGGTTGAACCACGGGCGGTTGATGAAGGCGACAAGGGCAACTGCAAGTTCCCTGTCGTATGCAGATGCGGGCTCTGCGCCGAAGAAATATGTCTTGTCCCGGAACGCATCCCTCGCGGCAACGGAATTCCCAAACTTCATGACGGCGCCCAGCTCGTCGATGTATCTGGCCGGATCCAGGCTCGCCGCGAACTCGACAGCCAGGTGGCTGTTGTCGGCCGCTGGGCCGAGCCACACGACGACACTGACGGCGGACGAGTAGATCTGGTGCATCATGGAGACCTGCTGCGACCGCTCCTCGATGTCGCTCTGGTTGATGCACACGGCGTCGATCCAGACGACACGCGGCCAATCCGGGTGCCGGATGTGGGCCAACATGTCGAAGGCGTTCCTCTGGATGCGCATGGCGAGGCCATTGCACTCTATGAGCAGGGGGTCTGCCGGAGAGCCCCAGGTGTAGGAGGTAGCCTCGTACTCATTTTCGATCTGCTCGAGCTGGGTGACGATGAGCTCACACTTGATGGGGGCAGACACGGGGCCGGGATGCAGCTGGAGGACGCGAAGAGGCAGGGTGCCCTCCAGCGGCTTGTAGAGGTCGTGTGCCAGATGCAAGTTCCAGAAGTCCATAGTAGCTGTGTCGTGAATAGGAATAGAAGACACATGGGTGTTGTGATGGACAACCACCAGCAGCAACCTGGCCCAACCCGAGACCAGGCCCAACCCAAGACCATGGGATGGGGTGGAAGCCTAACACACTACCCCGCTTCAAGGCTGCCTCTCCGCCAAGACTGGTAAGCGGCCAACAAACCGACCGCGTGTTAGACATGATTTTATCAAGATGTGCTAGTTGACTCTAAATTTTATGCAAGTTTCCTTTTCCCTCGCGTGCTAATGCATTTCCCCATGTGTAAAACAATCGCAACACCCCCCCCCCCCCCCCCCCGGCCAACGCATTACCGCCACGCTTCCATCTCACGGCATATTCGACGCTTCCGTCTCACGGCATATTCGAAGACCGTATTGAGGAATACCATGTAAAAAACCCACCCTCTCCATGGAATCTCGCTCAGAAACCACTCATCTCCCCTTTGCCTCTGGGTCATTCATCCGGGCCATGAAGACCGTATCGAGGAATACCATGTAAAAACCCACCCTCTCCATGGCATCTCGCTCAGAAACCACTCATATCCCCTCTACCTCTGGGCCATTCATCCGGGCCATGAAGACCGTGTTCATGGCAATGAGCCGCGTGTTCAGGTCCTCCTGCCACTCCATCAGATGCTCCTGCACAACCACGAGGCGGGCTGTCGACATCTTGCGGTATCTGCTCTCCCAGGAGCTGACCTTGGTGTCGAGCGCGTTTGCTACGGGCGGGGATGCCGACGCCGCCAGGCGACCACCCGCCTGATGCCGAATGACATCGGGCGTGATGTGGTTTGCCGGAATCTTGGGGATCGAGATGGGGGTCCCTTTGGGAGCGGCATAGACCGTTCGATCTGCGGTGCGCGTCACATTCTTAACCACAGGAGGTTTGAGATCTGGCAGCCGGTCTCCCTCGCGAATTCCTGAAAAGATGCAATTGGTCAGCTTCGTCTCTTGCTGAACGGACGTCGAGATCTTAGGCAGTGGTAACATACCTCCGGTGCGAAACGTGCAGGACGAGCCTTGGCGGTTGTACCAACAGTTTGCACAGGCCCCGCCCGTTGACTCGAGGATCATAGGGATCTTCACCACGACGCATCCGGCATATCGTCCACTGCCCCTTTGACAGCGCCTGCAGGCCTGTTCGCTGGAAAGAAGCTCGCCTGTTGCATGCATAAAGTAAGATGATATGTTCTGGCTCCTGTCAATGTTGAATGCCATCTGAACTGTGGGCAAGCGCCGTGGGATGCTGTTGGCCAGAATTATGGTGTGCTGGTTGCGTATTTCGCCCACTGGGAATTGAGGATATATTTGGCCGAAGAGCTGGAGGGCAGCTGTGGTGATTAAAGTTAGCAATGAGGTTCAGGCTCCATCCCGAGACGCTAGGGCAAAGGACCCGGGCTCACTTCTAGGGAAGGCGGGGTGGAGCACCGCCTGTGCTTGAGGTTGGGGGGCAGTCGGCGCTACACCGAACTGGGAGCCGCTATCGCTATAGCTAGACATGTTAGTGCTAGCCGACTGTGGCGGCGGACTGTCATCCTCACTTTCTTCGTCATCCTTCGCCTTGACGGGGGTGGAAGAAGCGGAGGCTCGTGCCGAAGCGATCCTGGGCAACTTTCTGCCCTGGATGCTAGAGCCTGAGCCGTCGCGGGCTTTGCGTTTTAAGCTGTCAGCCTTGTTGGGAAACCTCCCAATGACGTGTTTGCTGTGGCGAGATGCCTCGTCCTTCACCAGGGTAACTGAGGCGAAGAAGTCGACATTGAACTTGGAGGCGGTGTCTGATCCAGGCTCGTCGTCGAGGTCCAAATCCTGAGCAACTGACGAGTCCGAGTCCGAGTCGCTCACGTCCTCTGGGCTGGGCACGGCCGGGGGCATCTTGGCTGCGCTCGCCAAGGACCCGCCCGATTGACGCGAACGAAGGTTTGGGATGGCAGCCGCGTATCCCCACTCCAGATGGCTCATGGCCCCGAGATTGCTTCTGCAGATGCGATCTGTGACAAAAAGAATTCGGTACTTGGTGTCAGTAGCTTTCTTCTCAAGGCTGATCGATATTTGGCTGTCGGCAGCAAGGGACGTGGTAGGGTCACGGTGCCGAGTGATGCACTGTCAGATTTCTTAAGTTGTGATAGGGCACCGTTCGATAAGAAAACGGTCATCCGCAGGCACAGTCCAATAAGACAACGGTCATCCGCAGCAAAACCCTAACCCTGGTTTGCAGTTTCGCCCGAAATCCATTTCCATTGCAAATGGAAATCACTCCGGTCTCCGTCTTCTCTGATAACCTCCCGCCGTCGGTCTACCCCAGCTACCTTACCAACTTACCTGTGCACTGCGCCAACCTTTGGCACATCTCAAACGGATCAATTACCGCAACAAAACCTCAGTTTTCTTCACCGAGTTTATTCGGCAGCCTGTCGCGATGGTGATTGGCCCTCTTGGTCGACCGCCCAACTCAACATCGTGCCATTAATTATCTCATCAGAGCAAGCGGAGCGAGTGAGAGTCGGTAACCTCCCACGAGCGCAAATACGACCAAAATATCTACCAAACGTCTCGCATGCAGCCTGCAACCGATACCCGGGAGCTTCGAGGTCGGCTTTGAGATCCCTTAATTATTACGGGAATGCACGGCAGAAGCGGCTTGTTGGTGCTTGGCAGGCAAGACGCGGATCCACTATAGAGTAGGCGGCATCAAACAGAAAGAGACGTCACAGAAGAAGGAGGCGGTGGCTAAGAAGTGCTGTGAAAGCCTTTCTGTCTGACTAGAGCTGGCAATGTCCCAGAATATATCGCACCAGACGAGAACTTGAAAGTTACACGCGCAAACGAGACACAATGCACACATCTCCACCCCCCCACCCCTTCCAGTCCGTTTACGAGTTGCGACGCGCTTAGGCGACCTTCATGGCGCCCGGCAGCTCGGTGAGCCAGCCGCTGAGGTTCTCCTTGATCTTGGGGCTCATGGTGCACTTGTTGGTGTCGGCGATGGTCTGCAGCTTGAGCGTCGGGCAGTTGACCTTGTCGGAGAAGAGGTCGCTCTGGCAGTTGGCATCCATGGCGCGCTGGAGCGCGTCGCCCTTCCAGCCGAACACGTAGTCGCCGTGGTTCCCGTAGCCCGTGGGGTCGCCAAACGACCATACGAAGGGCTGCGACCCGTCGGCGGGCCACAGCGACTTGTCGTTGAAGGGCTGCGTGTTCCAGTACGTCTCGTAGAAGACCTGCGGGATCGTCACGGGGTGCGTCGACGGGCACTTGCTGCCCGACGGGTACGCCACGTGCGACTGGTGGTCCGGGCTGTCGAGGTTCTGCCCGTCCCAGCACGTCGGGAACCGCACCGTCACCATGATGCCCGCCTGGCACTGCCCCGTCGGGAAGTCGAACCGGTACCCGGACCGCGTGGACGACGTCGCCAGGCACGTGAACTGCAGCGACGGGTTCTGCTTGGCCTGCGCCTGCGTGCGGAACGCCGGGTTGCCGACCGTCATGCGGAAGCCCGGCTTGAACGCCTGCACCTTGCCCGAGGACAGGTAGTACACCGTCTGCCCGCCGTTGGACTGCGTGTACCCGAGCCCGTTGCCGTACGTCGACACGCGCTTGAACGTGCCGTTGCGCGCCCGGAAGAACAGCACCGCCGTCCAGTAGTTGGAGAAGTCCTCCAGCGGCATGCAGCTCGTGCACGTCGCCGTCGACGCCATGTCGTGTGCCGAGTGGTCCATGGTGACGTTGAAGGCGTTGCCGCCGACGACCTGGTGGAGATGTGGCGACGGCGCCTGTCCCGGGTTGACAAGCCTGGCGGCGGGGAAACGTGTTAGATGATAGCACTGGCCCGGCTCGAGGGTTCGTCTTGCTATGTTCTGCCAACTTACGGATCGATACGGTCCACAACAAGCTGGGCGCACGAGAAGCGAAGCTGCGCCGCGTTGACGCCAGGCGCCACAGCCGCCGCCGCGAGAACGAGGTCTCTCCAGTGCATATTGAACTTGCTGCTACGCGCGGTAGCTGCCGGGTTGGCGGTTTGAGCGTAAGGCCACTAGAGGCTGACTTTCGGCACTGGGACAGGCACCAGAGACTCGAGGCAGAAAGAGGAGGTCTTGGCACTCCCTCGTACGATTTCGCCCCGTAGGCAGCGCGCTGACGACTTATCTAGCCATCTGGCCTCGAGGCTGCGTCGTATTCGGCACGCAAGTACCGAGCGTGTCTGGTTTGCCGGCGACCACCACGCTCGCCGGCCATGTGAGCTTCCAGAATCCGCTTCACCGCGTTTAATAAACCGGCTTTTCTCGTGGTTGGCTGCCGGGGGCCGACGCTTTGCGACGGCCTATATAAACTGCGTCAACCCCCTTTCCATACGTGACGACATAAATGTGTGGGGTGGCCAACGGCAGTTGGGCTTCGCGCTCGAGTAGATTGAAGGACCTATGGGTCCCAAGCTGCCGCGTCTCCCGACTGGACCGGGTGATTTGGTCCAAATTTGGGGCTGTCTAGAGGACAAGCTTTCTTCAACCAAAATGTCGAAGCGATGTGGGAGCGTGAGCTGAGCGTTTAATTAACGGCTCGTTACTTTTGGCAGCCAATGAACTCGGTCCCAGGTCCCGTTTTGTTTTTGTCTCTCCGCAAATAGTCCGGGGAAGTCGTTTGTAACCCCAGACTGGGGGAAGGCCGGCAGGTCCCGGGTGCATGACGATGTCTGCACGTTTATGCTGTCCGAAGCAAGTGGCGAGCCTTGGCTTTTCTCATGTCATGTCAACAACCATTTCTGAACTCGGTGGTGAATCCGGCGTTTGCTGCGCTTCAATGTCTGGTTCTGATCCTGCCTTTAAAAACGAACATCGGAGAATAATGGGTGGCGTTGAGCGAGTGATCGAGCCCATGACTATTGGCAAGGAGGAAGATTAAGAAATGAAAATCTTAGCATTTAGCCGTCGTCCTAGTTGCCCTTAACCACCCACACCAGTGCCGTGTGGCGTGCGCCTGCACCAGGGAGATGTTGAAACGCCGGCCCTACGACCCTATCCGTTTTGCAGGAGCATGCAAATGGTGGGACTTCCGAGGCGTACGTTGACTGGGCACCTACTAAAGACATTCCCGCTTCAGCCTCCTAATAACTCTAGCAAGAACTAAGATAGTGGCTAAAACAAGATTCCGGCTTGGATTCTTGCTTCGTGCGACGCCTTCAAATACTCGGAGACTTATCAGACCGCTTTCGAAGTGTTAAGGTCCTACTGCAACGCCAAGTTAGCAGAGGATGCCGGTTCCATCGGGTCAAGACGACCTAGAAATCACGGACGCCGTGGGACGCTAGGCTAGCTACAACGGAAATGATTGGCTTTATGTCGCTGTCGGCGCTGTTCCTGTGTGAATGGACTCTGCGCTGAGCACGGCCCGGAGGAGGGCTAGAGGCAGCCGACCTTTCCGGACGTGCGCCGAATCGTCACAGTCAGGTCCATAACCAGCTCGGGCCGAATGGCGTGCTTGCGCATTGCCGCCGACTGTTGACAAGTTTGGGCACATAATTAGACGTCGTGGCATCTTGGTGTCCTGAGACCCCGAGTAGCCTGATACCGGTTTGCCCGCCACCTGTTTTCCAGCGTTGAAAATGAGTCCACCCGAGTCACCGTGGCAGCTGGTCAGGTTGATGTAGCACGTCTGCACGTTGCGGCCATTCTTGTTCGCTGGGACGGGGCACGCGTTTCGCCGGTTGCAGATTGCCGTGCCATACTAAAGAGTCATTTCATCCTCATGGCCAAGCATCCGAAGTTCCGAACGACGTCGCCATGGGCCGGTGGCTGCGGCGCAAACGTCAAGGGCGGCTGGGTTGCAGCCTTCTCGAGCATCAAAATGGCCACGGCCACCTGGCCGGACCGTAGAGACGGGCTGACTTGGTGTAACCACGCCAAATTGATGTTCCGACGACAACTTCTGTTTCAGTGTAACTGTACGGTAGGTGTAAAGAGAGGAGGACACTTACGACTGAATTTGTGCATTTGCACTTTCTAGGAATGTCAACAAATAGAATTCCCTCATCGCCTGGACGTCTTATTGAGGGGTTCTAATAATGAAGTAGTGGCGAGGCGGAAGACTCGCTGGTCTCGCATTTGTTCGAACTTGCTTGTGGAAGACCAAGCCAACCGAGCTAGAGACGGTATTTTCGGTTCATCGGCACTCAGAAATTCTGCAACTCATGCTTGCATGGCCCACTCGGTGCTCTGTTACCGCTTGGCAGCAACGGGCATCGCAGTTCGAAGCGGTTGGCTGTTAAGTGGCGTAACATCACCAAGTCAAAGCCTTGCTGGGCAGTCTCGGACTTTCATGAAATCGCGGTCCGCCTCTTGCGAGCCTGGTTGTTCTCATTATGGACTAAGCTGAAAGCTCCTCGTCGGAATGACCATTGATACGAGTTTCACTGAGCGGGGTGCAGGTAGCAGCCGGCGCGTGGGTGCCACTGCGGTGATGCGGTGGTGGATTGGGTCTGAACGTGTTGGCGCGGCCTCCTCACAACATTGGCCTGGCTGACCAGCAACTATAACCGACTGCCAAGTGACGATAACACGTCTCCATTTTCTCAGTTCAACAGCCTGTTAAACCCCATTGGCCACAGAATTCGACCGCTGATACGGCCGTGAAACAACAAGCCTCTAAACACTTTCCACGACCATACCGACTAAGAATAGACTGTTTCTGAGCCGGGTGCCACGCCAAGGATGCTGGACTATATGTGAAGATAAAGAGCTTGGGAAGCCCTGGTGGCTGGCCAAGCCACACGCATTCATTGCAGGTGTCGCCAAGGGACATCACACAGTCATGCGCCAGGCGATCGCCAGCCTTTATCGAACCCGGGACCACTGCGCAATCTTTGGGAATCTTCCTCGTTGGACTTGCTGCGTGCGCCTTGTTCTTTTCGTTGTTGAAAGATTCCTAAGCTGTGTCCCCCACTGAGTTAACAGACAGGCTAATAAGCTGGCTGCTCTCAGACAGGCATCTTCATTGTCACAGGCTCGCACTCCCTGTCAGGACTGGCAGTTGCCACCTGAAGACTAAACCCAAGATGCTTGTTCATAATTAATCAGCACCGGGCGTTGACTGAGACGCTCTTGAATGAGGCGTTGAACCAGTTTGGGGGGTGCGGCACAGCGACACTTTATTTCTCACGATTTTGCACTCACACCGAGGTGAAGAAGAGGAAGGCACACTCTTGGCTCTTGGCACACTCTTGGCTCTTGGCACACTCTTGGCCCTTGGCACTTGGCACGTGGCGCTCGGTGTTGGAACTTGGCCACTGGGCAGGCAATTGGCCCAGGCCCAATCCACATGGCGAGGGAAACCTCTCAAACAATGGCTTGCCTAGCCTGAGCCTGGCGACCTGGGAAGGTCGCTATTCTATTGCTTACCGAGGTCGATATCGGACTCTTGGGTCTTCGGCTGCGGTTGGTTGTTCAACTCTGGCGAAGTGGAACTTGGAGAAGCTAAAGATTGTTGGAGTCGGTGCTCGGTCTTGTGGGTGCTTGGTCTTGTGGGTGCTCGGTCTTGTGGAACATGCGGGCCCGTGCATCGTCCCCACTCTGGTTGCGGTCCAGACTGGTCTTCTCCGCCAGGTGGACCGATCGGGTTTTGCAAGGGTCGCGGATGCTGGGGCTCTCGGCTGCAAGATGTGGTCTCTGCCTATTGCGGGTTCTGGCGGCACGGCATTCCGTCGTCGCCTCACCCACCTGAACGTCCATTTCCCCCATGCGCCTGCCCTTTGAGGATCGAGAATCCTCAGGCCCCGAGCGAGCTGGCCGCGGCGGTCCCGGAAGGAGCTTTAATTAGCGGTCTGCCTGCTCATGGGATCGAACCATTTGAGGCCCAATTTTTGACCGTCGAGTGGCGGGGTGTGGCACTCTGATCCAACTGCATCGTCTGCACTCGGCCTGCCTCAACCCCGATGACGCGGAGCGCAACAAGAAATGGTGCGGGCTCGGTTCAGTCGGCTGCTTCCCTCGCATCTTGGCTGTCCTATCGACTGCGCCGGCGAAGCGTTGAAACGACACAACTGCACGGGGTCGGCGGAGACAGAAACATCGATGGAGCAGGAGAGAGCGCCATCGCTGGGTTTACTAATAAATAGCTGCAGTTTCAAGGTGCGTGACGGGGGGCACTCTCTGCAAAAGGCGCGCTTGCACATGATATTTCAGGGCAGATTATCCGAACCCGTGCCTGCGCACCCAGCCCACGGTTCCATTTGCTCCTACTATGTACGGTGGGTTACACAGGACAGGGGGTAGCACTCGACCACTGCCGGATGTGCGCATGCTGTGTCTCCTGCGGAGGACAACATGATGCCGGCACAGGATCGCCGAGACTGGCAAGTCCGCCCCGAGTTGGCATGTTGATGTGTCTTTTCCCTCTCTCCTAGATCATTTGTTCTGGAACTGTCCCTTGAGTGCTTCGGCGCCTCCCCTGCCAAGCGCCCCCATCCCCCAGCCGTCGCGGAGATCTTGGCGATTGTCCTAACCTGGCAGTCGAACCGAGCCTTGGCAATGTTTCCTTCGGGGGGGGGGGGTTCCTAAGCAACTGTGCGCCGTTTTCACCGAGGATGAGATGAATGTGTCAAAGATAAGCTTATATCCACAGTGCAGGTTTTGTTTTGTTTTCACAGTCAATACTGACTCATCTCACTCATCATTATCGACACTTCAGTTGTCATTCAATCACTTTCAAGTTCTCAATCGCCAACACGTTTGGAGCCGGATTACCAAGGTGCTTGGCTCTTGCTTGCGCTCGCATCTGCAAGTTCCACGTTCCTGCGTCTGGCACTCCCGCATTTCGAAGTGACGCGTCTGACAGCCAAGAAGGCCAAGTGAAGGCCAAGTGAAGGCCAAGTCGGTTTGGGGTGGCGCTGCATGCTTGGCTGTCACAAATCTCTGGCCCCGCTACAGCGCCCGCTCCTAACTCGACCCCCTTTCTTGGCGGTATCGGCTGGCGAGCGGATCATCCGAACCACTGAAGTTGCTCTGCAGCCCATTTCCTTGCTGCTTGGCCAAACGCTTGTGAAGCTCTGATTTCTCTTGGACACAGGGTAAAGTAGTCGACGCGACCCTAACCCTGGCCACGATGAAGCCCGTTGGGGCCAGTCTGCGAGAGAGGCTTGAGCACTGCACATTGGCCAAGCCCAGAGCCGCAGGCATCTCAAACCCGGGTGCAACCTAGCTTGGATCTCGAGGCCGCTTGAGAAAGCACCACTGCCCGATACAAAGACGACTGAGGCCCTCACGGCCGTCTCGTTCTCTTCCCTTCCTTCCCGTTCCCGTATAACATCTTCCAGTTCGTATTTTCCTTCGTTTCTTTTCACGGTCTGGGACCGCTTGCAGTCCGGTTTCTTTCTTGTTTTGTTTGCTGGTCATTCACCCGCTTGCTCTTCTTTCCGTCTGTCTGCTGTCTTTCGCATCTCCATCCCTGATTGGGTGCCTCTCATCCCTCCATCCCACCCTTTCTTGTACATATTGCCTTGCCCTCATATTCCGCAAACATGGGCTACATACTTCAAGCTCTTCTCCTCGCAGCGTCTGCGACGCGAGTTCTCGGGTCATGCTCATACGGCACTTTTCTCCAACCTCGGGCCGAAGATGGCGCCGTGCCTATCAGCACCTTTGGGTATTTCGGGGCCAAGGTATGCAGCACCGGCTCTCAGCTTGAGGCGTGATACAGAGACGTCTGCTGACCGGGAGACATTCTCATAGGGGCCCCTCAACTGGGCTGCACTTGAAGTGCCCGCCAACTCGGCTTGCGCCACCGGCACCCGCCAGTCACCCATCAACATGGTAGCCGGCGTCTTCAACCTCGTTGCCGCCACGGACCTCGTCATCGAGGTGCCAAACTTCCCAGAAGGCACCGAGTTCGAGAACCTCGGCTCCACAGTCGAGGTCATCGCCAAGGGTGGCAAGCTCGCCTTTGCCGGCAAGGAGTTTGAGCTCGAGCAATTCCACTTCCATCTCCCGAGCGAGCACCTCGACAATGGCACGAGCCAAGCCAGTACGTCTACTTCTTGACCTCCCACCTTGGGGTATCACTGGGGTTGCTATGCTAACACCGGTGCAGTGGAGATGCATATGGTCTGGCAGTCAGCCACCAAGGAAATTGCCGTTATTGGAGTTTACATCGAGATCGCCAAGGAGGGAGCCGCAGCCGCACCAGCAGCCGTCGCTGCACCAGCAGCAGCAGCACCAGCTCGGGAAGTAGTTGCGGGGGCACCAGGGGCGGAAGTAGTACCACCGGGAGTAGTGGTGGCGGTAGGAGAAGGACCAGCTCGCCGCCGTAGGTTCCAACAACGCAGGCAAGCAGCCCCAGCCCGGGGCCCCACCACCCTCCTCGAGACCATCTTCAGCGTCGCCGATCAGATCAAAGTTCCCGGCACAAAGACCAAGACGCCGCCATTGGTCCTAACTGAGGTGGTCGACATCCTGAAGTCTGGGGCTTTCCAAGGGTGAGTGCAGCGTTCCCCTCTTATTCGGGGCGCCCATTGTCCCCTTCTCAAACCACATGCTTACAACCCATCAGGTACTCGGGCTCGCTCACCACGCCGCCCTGCAGCGAGGGTGTCAACTGGAACGTGGCCACGGCCAAGCTGTCGATCCTGCCTGCCACCTTTGAGCGCGTCCGCAACATCATCGGCTTCAACTCGAGGATCCCGCAGAACACCCCCGGCTTGCCGAACATCGTGCAGGTGGGCGGCGCCGCGGCAATGGCTGCGCTTGTCGCGACGAAGTAAAGGACGGGGCGGAGGCAATAAATGAATACAAAGAAGGAAGATATATTTGCATGGGATATGGGGTTATACCTTGGGAGATAGAAATAATAGACGCCAGCGGCATGCTGCATAGGCAGTTACAAGACACGGATGTTGACACTTACTCACTTGGGGCTGTATGCCATATACTTTGATGTCTTGATCGTCACGAGCGTCCTGGGCACGTAGCAGAAATAAGCAAGATCTAAAACATATGTAAAACAGCACATGTCATTCAAGTTTATCTTGTCGCTTATTAGTTGGCATAAAAGATGTTGGAAATGGCAGGGGCGCAATTGGGCGACAGAGCCAATGTTCATCTCAGGCAAGGTATCATTCGGGGGAAGGGGGGGGGGGAGAAGTGGGGCGCAAACATGAACCCCTGACAGGAATGCGAAAGCGGCTGCAAACACCGCAATTAATTGATATCCAAGTGCAAGCAAGTATCAAAATTTCAAGCTCCATTTCAGCATAATTGAATCCAGCTGGCCTCAACTAGTGCTCTGCGTTTCTAGTATATTCTTTTGCTGCACGCGCCAATTACCATTGCAGCCACGTGCAGGGATGAATTGCGCGGTGCGACAGCGAGCATGGCACAGCGTTCACGCCAGAAACTAACTTTCTCGGACCTTACCAGGCTTATCCGGCCGTGGGCCAAACCGACCTGGTCCGGTCGGCCGAACAGCTCCAGGGGGTCGAGGGGGCCGCACCGGCCGGTGTTCAGCCCTTCTAGACTACTGTTCCACAGTCGGAACCCTGGGACGCCAAGTTTAAACAAGGAACCGGCCGGGGGCAGGCCGGGCCCGCTTGTGTAACTAATGCCAGACTCGTCCTTTTTCTGGGTCAGCAACTTAATTAGGGTGTGGAGAGCGGCGGCCCGGCGGCCAGCAGCAAAGGCCGCCGGGCCAGCCGTCCGGCCTTGCTACTGTGGTGCGGCGTTCGAGGCCCTGACTCGGCGGCCACAAGTCCGAGCGGGCATTTAGTGCTTAAGACCATGTGAAATAGGTGGGGTGAGGACTACAGAGGGGGCGTGGTCTGGCAGGCGAGCTCTACCGCCTCGCAAGGCTGGAGATATTAAAGGGACAGTGGTCTGGCGCTTAACCCCAGGGGCTCCACTCTGTGCTTTCACCGTATCTTCTTCACGGAGCTGAACAGCGAAGGGTTTGCTAGTACCGTGAGAACCGCGAAGGGTTTGCTAGTACCGTGAGAACCGCGAAGGGTTTGCCAGTACCGTGGGACTTGGCAGCAGTCCGCCGAGAATGGCTTGGTCTTCCTCGTGGCGCCCTTCCAATGAATCGGTGCTCAACCCGCACGCCGTATTCGCCAGCTGCATAATCATGCCATAATCCCAGTCCCACTGGCAGCAGACTGCTGACCTTCCTTCCGCTGTGGTGCCCTCCTTTGATTCCACCCACACTACCATGCACGTCTTTCCCCATGGGGGTCTGGAACCTCATAGAATTCCCTCATTGCGAGAGCCAGGTTTTGCTTTGTGTCATTAAACTTTGGCAAGACCCTGTTCAAGGCTAGCTAAAAGGTGCAAGTGGGCAGTGAGAGCCAGGTTGAAGATAGATGTTGGTGGCCAGCACAGCCAGCCACGGCCCCATCACAGCCCGTGGCACATAGCGGAAGTGTGCAGTCCAATCCCTGAAGGGTTGTTGGCGTGGTACTCAAGAAGTAAAAGTAAATAAAAAATGCACCGGCTAGGAAAGGTCTTTAATAGGTTTTGCTAGAGAAGGAATGGGCCTCTAGAATTTCAAAATAGGCATTTAAATAGCTATTACCTCCCTCAGCGACAAGCTTTTTACGGCGAGTCGTAAGATACCAATGCCATTTGGTTTTTAGAAAGTACCACGCTAAAAAAACATTCAGGGATTGGATTATACCACTTTCTGGAATATTGCTTGAAGCCATGGATGATTGTCGGTGGCGTCTTGGGAGTCGAGGCGCCGATAGACTTCCACACCGGCGCCAGCGAGCACCACTAATATTGTATGTACCATACAAAACATCAATTGGAAGTCCTCTACCGTTACATCGACGAGCCGGTCAACCGTTGGATCGCCAATCATGTGCGATGTGTGTCGACGCCATCAACTCAGTTAGCTCTCGGCAACTCACCAAACTCAGGTCACGGCGATTCACCAAACTCAGCCGATGCTCCGTTAACTCGGGGGTGTCCAGAACATGCAGGTTACTCCTCAGCTAGCCACTTTGACAAGCCTTCTGTCACGTTACTGCACATTATGGGATTAGATCTAGCCTTTCATGTCCAGCCTGGTCAATACAGGTAAAGGAATATTGCAACCCTGGAGCCACAACGAGCATCTTTGCAGCACGCTACATTCTGAATTCGGATTCCGGTGGCGCAGAACAACCAACTTCGGATGGGCCCTTTCAGATTGCCGCATTTCGTATCTCTTGCGCAGCGAGGGTTGGATATCCGGATTTGTTACGCCGGGCTCTTGGACAACAAATAGCATCGACGCGGATTCATAACTATAAAGACATGGCAGGCGGATGCCCCTCGGACTGTCATTTCTTCGCAAACCAAACCACACGGGCACATCTGAGCATTCACACCTGAGCATCAACCGGAGCATTCACACCTGAGCATCAACGCCGGAGCATTCACACAACCTCCGCTTCATCAACTAATTACCTCGATTCTCTCACTCGTCCACCACCGCCGTCACCATGGCTTACGCCTAGTGGATCTATATGATCATCAACAACGTGTCCAAGTCTGGCAGTCTGAGGGTCAAGAATCTCGGCACCAAATGGCAAGTAGTAACTAAGCCATGAATCATCTCCATGCGCAGCAACAAATGACCCGTCACTAACGCGCCGCCCCTTTTTCTCCACTGCCGCAGGGCAAGTTCTACCAGTGGGACAACAAGGACCACGAGCTTTCCGCGGCCGATGTTTCCAAGCAGGTTGCGGGGCCGTCGGGCAAGATCGACATAGCCTCGTGCGGCCGCTCCGATGCGAGCAGCGGCACTGAGGGCGACTACGACATCTACGAAGGCGACACCAAGGTCTGCCACATCTACTGGACTGCCCCTGGGGCAAGAAGACCAACACCTTCACCGTCTCCGACGTCAGTGGCGATTACGTGGTGTAGGCCACCAGCTAGAACCTCGAGTCGGGCGCCTCGGGGACTGTCACCATCAAGGTTGTCAAGCTGGCTTGAACGCGAGGAGCTTGGGATGGTCGTTGCACCATCGGTTGGTTGACTTGTGATATCGGTGTTTTGAGCAGGGCAATATTGTGTTTTTCCTCTGTGATATGGATGCTCAGTTGGTTGACTTGGTCAGGAGCCGAGGACTGTTTCTGGGGTCGAGGTTACTCATTTAGCTAGCTACCTGCCTACCTTAGGCACCTACCTACCTTGCCCACAATCCAATCCCGGAATGTTTGTGAACGTGGTACTTGGGCAGAGTATGTGTTATAGCCTATCAAATGCACCGGCTAGAAAACCCCTTCAATATTAAAGGTACCTATTAAGTGTTTTTTGGGGAAGATATAGGCCGCTAGGATTCCAAAACAGGGATTCCAATAGCTTCTACACCCATTGGCGGAAAACCTATAGGTCGAGCCGTAACGTATTAAGGCCTTTCAAATCTTGGAAAGTCCCTCGCTAACGAACATTCAGGGATTAGATTGTAACCTAGGCTACACACCTGAGCAGTGTAAATCGTGTCACAGATGGTCTAGTGCTCAGCCTTAGGGTTCCCCTTCTCTTTCCCTTCTGTCTCCATGTCTTGCTAGGCGAAGATCGCTTCTTGTTTGGCGGTGACGACTGGGTACCCAATTGTGGCCTTGCAAAAATAGCAGCAAGGGGTTGGTGCAATGCCGCGACGAGTCTTTCTATAGGCTTGACCAATGTGGGTTTGGCAGCCCTCGCGGAGTTGTGTCAATTTGGTGGCGTCGTTCTGTGAGAGATTTTGTCGGTCAAGGATCTGCTTTCTAACCGTAGCAAGTTTCTGCTCCTTGTTGCCCACCGATTGGGAGACAAGCAGCTTCTTCTCTACTGTACTGAGCGTCCTGCAAACTTCTGCCAAGTTTCCACAGCCTTCCCCAAGTTTCTTGCGCGTGCATCTCTCCTAACCGACCAAAACTCGGGCCAGGATCTAAGTCTCTCAAGGGTAGCCCCGGCAGTGGTTTGGACATGGTGTGGGTCCGAGAGCTTCTCTGAAAAGCCGGAGCAGAAGTTGAAGATCTGCGCATCGCACTCATCTATTTCTCGGTGAGCGCTCCCCTATGTCGAGTCGTGGATGACTATCGGGTATTTGATGGTGAGTGGGGATGGGATAAGTTTGTCGGATAGAGACCCTAGAATAATAATTAGCGACGTAACTCGCTATAGTATGGTCTAAGTAAAACTCAGTCATTATTCTCATGACGCTACCGGAATTGGTTGTTGCCGCTTGCAAGTCATCTCCGAAGGACTTGGTATTCAGAAGACACCAGAAAAGTACCTCTCTGGGAGAGACTGCCGGGATTAGGTTCTCGTCCAGCTTCGCTTTGAAGTCGACTCTTAAGGCCGAAGTTGCAGCGTCGTCGACATTTATGCTCAATTGGTCAACGAGACGAAGGGTATAGATACGCAATTCTTCGACCGTGCTGGAGTCCGATGGGATGGGTCCGCGATCCCAGTAGCAATCTTCGTTGTCCAAGTCATAGTAGTCGTACGTAACATCTGCAGCCCCACAGATGGCAGCGACACACAATAGGTTACATTGCATTTCCAATAGGTCCCAGCTTGGTAAGTCCTCAGGATCATCCGCCCGGAGAGTAAACGTCTGTCCCGTCTGGATAGGGACACCGCTAGGCCGATGTGCCAAACACTCGCCCCAGCCCTGGTTTGTTATTCCAGCTTGGAGTAAATCAGCCCGAATCAGAACCTTTGGCTTCAGAATAGCTCTTTTGAGCCAGTGCCACTGTACGACGATCCCATCTCGGGTCTGGCGAAGAGGCTTGAGAGCGAATCGCGCATTGTCGAACCAGAAACGGACCTGGTGGTTCATGGAAATTCCGTTCTTGGTCGACTGCGTGATTCCCGCGTCCTCAAACTATCTGCGCCAGGCCAACGTCTTCTCGGCCCCCCAAAAGCATGTGAGTAGTCCGGAAATCGCCCGAAACTTCTCGGCGCAGCTCGTTGCAAGGGGAGAAATGTGTGCCGCTGCGTGGTCGCCCGTTCCGCAGAACACGCAAGCATATCCATCCCGCGCTTTTATCTTTCGTTTATTAATTAGTACATCCTGGTAATATATGAGGAAAGTCTTTAGTAGCTCAGCAGAGCTTCACGCCGCACAAATTCATCGCTGGGGGCAGGTGCGCCAGGTTGGTTTATTTTCGTGGCGGGTAACACAGTAAGTGGTGCCTCCAGAAAGTCCGCCAGACGCCCTTTAGAAAGGTCTAATAAAATGACAATTAAGCTCGATTCAGGTAGGACGAGAAGGGAGCAGATTCGAACAGTCTCGTATCGCAAACGGAGCATACTTATTGTCACAATGGGCTATTGCCCATCCGTGGGCGTGCTGCCGTATAATTGATATCCACTTGCGAATTTCGAAGATGGCGCAACCATATGAAGGCGAATATCGTCGCGTTCGAGATTCCCAATTCATTCCGCTCAAATAAAACCTGCCGTAGCTCCCGTAACAGGAGAGATATCGAGACTCAAAGTGTAATTAGTACAGGATGAGGGTTATATATTATTCCGTCTGCTTCAATAAGGCTCGCTTAAGGAGGGGCTTCCACAGCTGGATTGGCTTAATATATCTCTCACGACTTACACATTAAAGGTTAATACGGGCATCTGCCGCGGTACAGCAAGAAGTCAAACAATTGAACGGCACTGCTCCGATAGCGTCATACCGGAACCTTACCACCGCCACACAAGATAAAAGTTTTAGCCCAGGGCACAGGATGAGGGGTTAAAAATTGAAAATGTGGTACGGAGTCTGGGACGGTTTAATGCTCACCTGAGTGTTTCTGAGGAAGACATTAGCCTCTGGGATTTCAAAATAGGGATTCCCAGAGCTTAGACACCCATCAGCGGAAAACCTATAGGGCGAGCCGTAACGTATTGGGGCCTTTCGAATCTTGGGAAATCACCCGCTAATAAACACTGAGTGATTGGGTTGTAGGTAAGGCAGGCATAATTATATATCACCCCTATACCACGGCTTCTCGTTTTCCGACCAACGGTACTCTGGGCCACGTTCTGTTACCCAAAAAGTCTGTCCTCAGAAAAACTTAGACAGACTTGGGTCTGTGTTTATATAAGACTGGGCTGCAAGGCCATGCTTCAACCACCAGTTGACAGTAAAGGAAGAGCAATAGGTCTGGGACTTGTTCCGAAACCAAGTGCAGATCAAATTGATGAGTGCTCCCTTGTCAAAGTAGTTGAGATGAAGTGTAATTAATTAATCTTGAGATCACTTAATTATTTGACCGATATTTTTCCACACCCCAGAGTTATGAGCATGCCTATACTAATTGTGTCAGCGGAATTCTAAGAAAGCGCTGACTTGTGATGCCGGTTGACCAGCTATCCGCCGCCTAGTGAGACCTTTGACTCGGGCACCTTGCAGCGTCGTTATCCAGCCAGCGCAAGTGAGAACCGTCAGCAAAGAGCGGCGCGGTTGCGGAGATTTGGCTGGTGAGATTCCGGCTTTGTCGGGTCGGGCACGGGATTTGGCGCTGGTTCCGTCTCCGTTTGCTTGCTCGCTTCCGTCAGAGAGGCGCAAACCCCGATGAATTTCGTCGCCGTAGCAGAAGTGGGAGGGTTTCTAGGCAGCAGTACATATAGGTGGGTTGCTGTTGGGCGTTGTCGCATGATACACTGCAATTTTGAGCTCAGCGGAGGGCATTGCACTTGCTCAAAACATAGGCAGCCGGACACGGACCTGAAATGCGGACCGAGGACCACTTGCTCGGGTAGTTAGGTTGGTTGAGGCATCCATTGCTCCGACAGTGGGGCGCGGACCTGACACAGGCCCCGGCTCCAACGAAACCAACAGCTGGGACCGAGCCTGGCATCTGCTGACGTCACCTGGATTTCTTCGGTGGCTTCCTTCCGCGCCCACCCACCGTCGCCTGCTGCTCGGAACAGTCGGGTGTTTTTCTCCCAAGCCTCAATTTGGCCGGCCACAAAACACGTCCAAGGGCGAATCACTTGTGACAACAGGTCGTCGGCGGGCAAATTGGTCTGCACTTTGTTGATTTGCCCCACGCGACACCAACCGAATCAGCGCGCAGAGCAGGCGCCGCACGCACTGATGGGCTGGCCGCGGAAATCAGGCGTCGGCCAATTGGAGGCGGGAGCGGGGTGCTGGTCTCGCTGGGGCAATTCCGGCGACGAATCGGCCACGGGCCAGGGCACCTCAGCTGGGAAGCTTCGGGGAGGGCAAGGGTAGGCTCCAGTGGAAACCGCGAGCAGCTCACTGGCCGCCGTTGGCACTGGACCGCCTTAGTCGGCACCAAATCGAAGAGGCTTCCACGTGTTTTTATTTTTGTTTCTGCGCTAGCCACCATATGTTTATTCCAGATCTCCCCAATGCGTGCTGCGTGCATCTGTTTGCGATAATTTTCTTCCCTTTTCTGCCGCCCACGGCGCAGAGCCGATCGTTGGGAAACAAGTTGAAGGTTGGTGTTGCAGGCGAAGCTAGACCCGCCCTGGAAACCCGGAAAGCTCGGTCTTTTGGCGGCACAAGTGGCCTGTTTGTTGCAGCTTCCAGGCATTGCAGTCATTGTTCCAGCGGCGAAGACACCGCGCCTCCCTGGCTTGGCCACAGACACGCCACCCACAGAAGAGTAACGACACCACCCAAGGGGCCCTTCGATGACGACCAACAGCACTGGAACGCGGAAATCCCCGCCCCCATGGCTTTGCTTCTCTCGCTAGCCCCGAACTCGATTTCTTGGACGAGCTAAACCCGCGTATCGCCCATGAGCTTTCCAGCATCCACCATCAGCGTGAACGTGAACGTGAACATGTCCGAGTCACAGCCTTTGCAGCAAATGATGGTGAACTTGAGGACACCGCCTCGAACTCTCAACAGCCGGGCAAAATCACCACCCATGGACCTCGATGCCTCGGCCGACCCCAAGAAGATGGAACACAGGCGGGGCCACTCGCAAGCCAGGCAGCCTCCTCTGCAGCCAAGAGACCTAGTCCGGGCTTGGGACTCCAGACCGGCCAGTACATCTCGCTCGAGCCGGCCATCGAGCACAGCTTCGTCACCACCTGGCCGAGAGCAACGGCTATCCAGCGTGCTCGTGCCCAAGCCACCGTCAATGCACCGTCAAACGGCCAGTATCACAACCTCTTCCTCGAATCGGTGGAGCAGTCGGTCTCAGCAGCGCGAGAGCTATTCGTCTCGTCTTGCATCCATGAGGAGGGATGTCGCCGAGAGCATGGCCGACAGCCAGGGTCGTCTGTCCATGGCCGCAAATGACGTCCAGAAGCCCGACCGGATGGCGCTTGGAGTTGCCCAGAATCCCGATGACGGCCTGGTCTCGGAGATCTGCCACTCGATTGTGAGAGACCGGTACAGCACCGACCCGGACAGCTCGACCAAAGCCTTGAGGATATGGAATGCCGTAACTGCGTGCCTAGACGAGATCAACGACTCCATCGAGGGCACCTCATCCGAGGACACGCTCGTGAATGGCCGCCATGCTCGGACGGCAACCCGCACGAGACACGCCCGACGGATTAGCCATGACCGAGACCCTTGGCGCGGGCGGTCATCGGGAGATGGCGACTTATCCAACCCTGGTCATGGAAAGGAGATGGCCGAGGCTCCGGCGGCGGGGGAGAGAGTGCAGTATCAATGTCCGTTTAGGAAGCGGAACCCGGTCCGGTTCAACGTCCGTGATCATGAAAGCTGTGCCAGGACCCCGTTTCACTCAATATCTGGCTTGAGGTAGGCACCCATTGAGATTGCCCTTCGGTTAGGCCCTCGACTAACAGGCCGTGCCTAGACACCACATAATCGCACACCATCGGCGCCGCAGGGTGTTTCGGTGTCGGCGATGCAGGTCGGATTTTGAGAGCGAGGCCTCACTTGACAGCCACATAATGCAGCCCCGAGAGTACATGTGCGAACTGCGGTCTGCACCAGGGAGCGATGACCCGGAAGATGGAGTCACCGATGGCGTCTATCAGGTGTTGGCTCGTGAGAAGGACGAGTTTGCGGGATGGACATGGGATAAGCTATGGCGCGCCATCTTTCCTGGGAGCGAAGAGATCCCCAACTCCGGTGAGCGACAACGAACCAGCTCAGCGGCTCGACTTGGGGAATTGGTTGCTAACTCTAGCTGCATAGACTTCCTTCCAGTCACCGAACTCGTCGAGTTCGAGCAAGAGATGGCCAACGACCAAGAATCGCTCAAATCAGAATTGCAGGAGAAACTGAGGCTCTTGCTCCCAAACAGCATCGAAGATGACTTCTGCCACTTCTTGGCGGGGCAGCTGGAGTTTGTGTTTGAGACGCACCAAGCAAACGTCACGAGGAAATGTCTCAATAATGTAGACTCAACAAGAAGTGAGCAGTCGGCCGCGACCAGGACGCGGCCAAACTCTACACAACAAGAGGGCATCCTGAAGCGGCAGTCTCGCAGGTCACGGCAAAGCACGCTCTTGCAAACCACTGTGAGCTCTGGCGGGCACAGGAGAACGCCGAGTGACAAGTCAGACGCTGCCAGAAGGCAGAGCAGACGGGGACCGCGAGACGACCAACCTACCCACCCTACCAAAACTGCCCGCCGACTGCCGTCGCTCTCCGGCATGCTCCGCGGCGGCAGCCAGTCTCCACCATTACGATTAGCGGCAGCATCAGGAGCAACGAGCTCCCCAGGCACCATGTCATCGTCGTCAAACACGGCCTTCGACAGCGACAACAACGACGTGATGGACTGCAGCGCCGACGACTACGCCAACGGCCGCGACTCCCGCGACTCGGGCATCGGCATCCCGTGCGACGTGTGCGAGATGGAGTCGTGCCGCTGCCGCGAGATGATCCTGTCTTATGCTGCCGAGGATAAGGCTGACGGCCGCAAGCCTCGTGGCCACACCCAGGTCCTTCAGGCATCCTCACCACCGCCACCACCAACAGCAAATGCGAGCCAAAAGACGAAAGAACCAGCATCAACGTTCTCCCTCAGACGCCAAACCAACCTGCGCATCAAAACCGGCGGCATCGGGTTCCGCGCAGCAACCCTGACGGACGGCGACGCGGACGGCAAAGTCTTTAGCCCAGGCGGCGGCGGCGGCGCCTTCTCCCCGCAGTCGTTCAAGCAGCGGCTGCTAAGGAAGCAGCACACACCATCCTTCTACGGTGCCGCACATATGAGCAGCTGGACGGCCTAACGCCAATATTTCGAGATCTTCAATTAGCCTGGAATTACCCCGGACTATTGTGTTTCTCTGTGTTATTTTTCTGTATCAACAGCATGAGCGGCTGGCGGGAAAACTGCACTGCCGGAACTTTTATCTTTCTTCTTTACATAGGGGATGGATTTCTCGGAACGGGTGTTGCAGTGAGGTTTAAACACCTGGTGGTTGAGCTATCCATATTGATGTTGGTATTTTCTTTTCGCATTTTCAGGTCGCGTTGCATAAGGTGCGTATATACATCGGGGCATTTAGGGGAGCGCGCAATCTGTCGACTATTTATATAAATGTAGGCGGGAGAGAGAGGAAAATGGGGTGTAATGATAATTGTTGGTTTAACGTATTTGATAAGCGAGTTAGCCATGATAAGCAAGTTAGCTACCTTAACGAGACCGGGTAGCGTGCGCAGCCAAATGCGATAAGAAATTGATAAGATCACTAACAATTTACTAACATCTTTTTGCTTGTGCCCCACCAAATCTCGTTAAGGTGGCCAACTCGCTTATCATGGCTAACTCGCATATCATGAACGTTATCGCATGAACACAATCCATTTATGGGTTGATTTTCAGGGAGGGTTGTGTTTGCTTTCTCTATGCAGGAATTACCGATCAATCAGGGTTATGCGGCTCAATCAGGGTTAATCAAGCTTATGCGAATACAGGGCTGTGATTGGTCTAACAGGCAGAACAGTGGGGAGATCAGGTCAGCGCACGGGCCACACCCGCCCAACACGTTTGCGCAACACGTGACCGCGGGCACCTTGACTGAGCGCCTTCGTGTCCCCGTAGCCCGTGATCCTTTTGGTAGACGTGGAAGAATACGAGCAACACAGCCACGCCTCCCTTTCGCAGCGGTTACTATAGTGGCTAGCACGAATGACTAGGTCATTCCAACACTCTAGTCGAAACATATCGTTTGGGATATATCCGTTTTTTATTCATCGACAATTTGAGAGGAGATTAATTGTATGCTGTGGCAGAAGCCAATGTAAGATATCCGCGACTGGGACAGATTCAGGGGCTCAGGGGGGCTATTTTGGTGCCCTTCAGAGGGCTGCCGAAATGTTGATCCAGGTTAGGGAGCAACTCGCGCTAGCGCCCTGCCTTAATAGCGAGGGGTTCAAAAACACCGTGCCATTTCAGCTTTGGTAAACTCGATTACGCTTCAAATCTGTCTCTCATCAACTGAGAAACATTTTGTTCGTTTTTGCAACGGCCTCACCAGTGTAGGCTTCAACACTCAGTCCGCGGAATAAACCCGCTGACACAGACGGACCCACTCTCGATCCTCCTAGAGGACCCAGACACCCAGCCAACAACCCTCACCAGCACCAAATAAATGGGCCATTTGCAGGCCGTTTGTCCAATCAGATAAGAAAGGGACCATGGCGCAGCTGGTTAGCGCGCAGGTCTCATATTACCCACATATGATCTGGTTAAACATCAGAGTTATCCTGAGGTCGTGAGTTCGATCCTCACTGGTCCCAATCCCACAGCAAACGTTTTATATTTGTGCCTTTTTTGCTTTTTGCTGAACTAAATTCTGGCCTGGATCTGCATTTGTTTGTGGAACTTGCTAGTTGGGTTAGTTAGTCACTCTCTCTTAGACTCGCTGACTTTGCTTTTTGCCCTGGACTGTTTGAGACGGCGACTGTTGGTTGGTGCTGCACTTCTGAAGCAGACAACCCTGGAGAGCATAACATCAATTGCTGGGTTTTCTTGGCACCCGGCGGACTTTCCAGGCAGTTTCAGTTTCAGAGGAGGCCACACCCTTTGGCTCCCGGACTCAATCTTGCAATGTGAAAAAGTTGCAATGAGAATTGCTAAACCATCAACTTTCTTCGTCTGCTTCTGTTCGGGAATGGGGCAGTTCAGGTCCGGGCTCTCGCGGGTCCCAGCGATCCCCAGCGGTACAACCCGGAGCGGGGTTGCGGGGGCGCGAGCCTGCTGGGCCTCGAGGGGGGGGCGGAGGGTGTGGCACAACGGCGGCACAGTTGGGTCCCGGCTGAGTGTGGTGGGTGTGGTGCGGTTGTTGGTGTGCTGCAGTGGCAGGCTCTAAAAAAAGACGGAATTGACGATCGCTCCCGTCTTCAGCAACCGTGGGGGCAGCACCCGACCGATCGATCGCAGCCGGCCTGTCCCAGGAAAAAAAATGGGATAGCGCAGCAACATGGCAAAAAGAAGTTCCTCCTCGAGCGGAATCGAGCCGCTGACCTTTCGGTATACAAATGTTCATTTACAGCCGAACGTGATATCCAACTACACCACAAGGAGATGGATGCTTTGTTGCTGTTGGAAACTACGGAGCAAACTCTGCTCTTGTGAGGCTTCTCGGCGGGTTTCGCTCCACCACCTCTGCAATAGGTCGCGCCTTGACGCTGTGAATCTGATGGATCGCGCCACAAGCTAGATCTCTGCGTGTACCAGGCGAGGCTCCGCCAAAAGAGCCATAACAACGGTTCCAAGCTTGGGGCGACTGGGACACGGTCGAGCAGACTCGGACCCTACGGCCTGAAGGCGTGTATTTTGGGACGACGACATGTGAGACGACATGTTGTGCGACAACAGCATCGCAGCGCCCTGGAGAGGGAGTTGTAGGTTGGCTACCTTTCGACCTGAACCGTAGGTGGAGTGTGGGGTTATCCGCCCACCACATGTCGGCTGTGAGCTCAGTGTTGGATAAACCCGTGAGAGGAAGGGAAGTCGGGCCTTTGCGACATCGTAATGAACGCTGCAGGACAAAATAATAACTCTGGCGATCGCGTGCTCGTGGGAGAGTGCATTTTATCTCTGAGCGAGGAGAGGCTTTGTAGCCCCCAAAGTTAGGTTTCCGATTAGAAGGCCGATGAAAAAGCTTCCTTTTGCGGATGCTTTGCCGTCGGGCTGTTTGATGTTCTGCACCTGCACCCCTGGCGGGGCAGTTGGCTCGAGGGCTGGCAAACTCCGGGTCGCTGATTCGCTCCTGCCTGACAGGTTGGGATCCCAAACCTGCTGCCTTGGGATCTGGCTTGCAGCAGGCTCGCGGCGACAGCATCCTAAATTTGAAACGGGACCTGCTGAGTAGAGTGCTGTGGTGCTGTGCCACAGGCATCAAGGCCATTCAGCAGGCCCGTTCTCAGCAAGCACCCAGCCGCGGCGGAGATGGCGCACCGCGAAGCCAATTGCTGTCGTTTGCTACCCACCCACGCAGCACCACGCTGATGGCACAATTCCGTGCTGGACTCGACACCCGCACCTACCTTTGAGGAACTGCAACGCGCCCGTTTTTGGGCTGCACTTCCGATTGACTGGCTGCCCGACTGGGGCCCGACTGGGGGCCGTCTTGGTTGCTGCTGACCCCAGCTGCCATCAAGTTTAAGCTTCAAGCAAGCACCCGACAGCAGCCAGGACCTAGATCCTAATTAACAGAGTGCATGGGCACAGAGCTGTGCCTGCCAGATTCTGACTGGGGCGTTCCCGCACGCCGCCCATATTATAGACAGGCCTCGCCCCGCCACCATGGCCGCCGCGACGAGCCGTGAATGTGCTTCGACAAGGTCGGACGAGAAACGCTTCAAACTGGCGGCGCTGTTGCTGTTGGCAACTTTGTTTCCATCCTAACTCGCGTCGATTCACCCACCGCCAGACTGGACCCCCGACACCGACTTGACTCCCTGTCTCCAGTCGCCGCCTTTCGCGCCTCCTCCTCCCCTCCTACTAGGAAGGAAGAGGTACCCGCTCGGAACGGAGGAGTTGCGAGAGAGGCCGTCGTGCTTGGCCAGCCAGGCCCGGTCGCCCGTCGCCGGCCTCGAGCTAGCGAGCTCTTCGGATTACAGACATGGGCGCATACATTTCCAGCTCAACCTGCAGTGCCTACTACGGCATCACGCCCAACTGCACGGTTGTGCTGTCCCCGCAGGACCAGGCCAATGCTCTGTTCCTGGGTGGCAACGCTCCCGGGGATTTTGAGTCTGATCCCGACATTGCTGGCATTGGTGTACGTATTGCTCTTGGGCTTCAAGGCTGCGCCTTATGCAGCACTGGCAATAAACAGTAGTTAACAAGCTGCCACAGGTCCTTGGTGCCTTCCTCGCCGTCACCCTCCTCTCGTTGCTTCTGTCGGTCGCCAGTACAGTATGGTGGTTCTCAAAGAACATCTTCCAGTGGACAAGAAAGCTTGAGGAAGAGTATGTCCTGTATCATTCCTTGGTCATGACCGACTGCGAGTACCATGCCGCAGAAATAGAGGCGCTGACTCGGCTCCAGGCAAAAAGAGTCCAAGAAATGGCAGCTCAGCGTGGCCGGCCTCCTCGAGACACTGATCTTAACTTGCTCCGATCAACAGATCTTCACGGGCGGGGCTTACGCCATAACCCTGCGCTATGTCAAGGGGTGCGACATCTCGGCATACCACTACAATGTTGTCGCTAACATGCTGCTCGTCACATGTGCCACACATTTGATGGCGGTCACGGTGTCCAGGCACTACTGGGAGCACCCCTGGGTTGGCGGCCTGAGGGTTATCGTGACGACGCTCGTCTATCTCGTCACGGGCATCCTCCTCTCCAACCAGGGCTCCGGGTCGCTTGGCTTTCCCACCCGGGTCCCCGACCTGAAGGAACAATACAGCCCCCTGCTGCTACCGGCCGCCTGCTTCCAGACCGGTGACTCGGGCTTTGCTAAATCCTTTAGCCAGTCGTTTACGTCGAGCAGCTCCTTCTTCGGCGGCCGCATCCCCGGCTGGACCCAGTACCTGGTCATGTTCATCTTCTATGCCCTTGCCGTCTTCATCAACCTCGGCCGCCTCATCCGCCGCGGCACGGGCCACGACGGTGGGCGACGGAGAACGGTAAACTGGATGAAGCGGTCGTGCGCTGCCCTCTTCCGAGCCAGGAGACCCCTTTACTGGCTCTTTGGCGCCTACCTGGTCGGCGGGATTGGTATTGCCTCTTGGACCGTCGTCACGTCGGCGCGGTATGTGCTCGAACTCCGCAACTGGGTCGACAAGTCTGGATGGTATGTACTTTTATCCCCTGGCCCGGATCTGCCATGCTATTTCCGTGTGGTTTGTAATCCCAATATTAACCACCTTGTTTTAGGATGGACTTGGAACACGGCCGGAATCCTGAGAACGACCCGTCAACCTTCGGGCAGCTGGTTCCAGTGCTGTTGATCACGCTCATCATCTTCACTTTTCTCCAAATACTCAGCGGTAAGTTTATTTCCATGCCTCGGGTCGTCTTTCATCGCTAATTCACATGCTCCACCACAGAGAAACTACGGGAGCGTAGTAGAGCTAGGCATCTCAGAGACTTGGGTGGGCGGTCACCCGAAGACAACACACTGGTGCAAGTCTACTCGAGGGATCAATCCCCTCCCGAACCTCGCTATCTCGACAAGTCGATCATCGGCGTGGCTATCAGCGAGCCCGAAGACCTGGACCACATCGCAACGATCGACGCAGGCGGCACCGCAGCCCATGCGCGGAGCCAGAGCCGGGGCAGTCAGTCGCGGGGCCGCAGCACTACGCCTCTATCGCGACCGCTCACAAAGCCGCCCATCTACAGCATGTTCCCGACCAACACCAGCAGCCCACTGGGGAGTCCGCAGACGGGCGGCTCCGAGACGCCGCCGCCCCCACCAGTCCCCAAAAAGAGCCGCTCTCGAGACTTCAGGCGGGGCGAGTTGCCGACTCCGACGACGCCGAGTGAAGACGAGCAGCGCGAGGTGCGGCCCAGCCAGTCGCGGGGCGACCTACGGAGGAACATCGCCAGCCCCGTGGATGACATCACACCGCTGCAGCAGAGCGAGGTCCGGCCCGGGTCGAGCCACTCGCGTGCCGACACGAGGAGGAACCTGACGCCCATCGCCACCGCTGTTGCTGACGACCAGCAACAACACGAGCTGCGGCCCAGCCGGTCGCGAGATTTCCGCAAGAACCTGGCCACGCCCGCAATAGACCAGTACTACCAGCAGCCGGAGCCGATGCCACCGAGGTCAAGAGACGTGCGTAGGAACGGCATGGCGAGTCCGACCGAGCAGCTCGGGCTGAACCTGGACCGGATATGATGGCGGGGTTGGGGTTTTTGGGCATTTCCATATCCTGAGCATGGGGGAATAGGACTCAGACTCGGACTTTGGAGAACTCGGAATAATACCAAATCAAGAAGATAAGAGGCAAAGAATAATCGGTACAGTTTTTTGAGCTTTTCTTGTTTTTACTTTTTACTTATTTTGCAAAAGATTGGATAGAGGCTGGTCATTGGTTACACGGACTTGAGTCCATTATTCCATTAGAAAATAACCTATTTTTCCCTCTACCTTTGGTAGTGTTCAGACTCAGTGGCGTCTACTCTCTTGACAACAGTGCACCGGCCGACAGCGCGCGATTGGTCTTGAAACGTTTGTTGACTAGTTGCGTGATGCGTTGAATGATGGCCCCTTAGGCATGGGGATTTCGTGTTTGCACCTCCCCGGCGCCCCCCTTTTTTCATCTCAAAGGCCATGGCAAATTCACACCAGCCTCAATGCTCTGGCTAAACTGGTTAGGTGATCTTGGTTCGGTATTATCTTCTTATCTGCAGGTTGACCGACAAAATTTGACCTCCAGCTCAAATTTGAAACATGAGTTCCGTGACACTGACGGTCATGGTCCTGATAGCAAACAAATTATCTTCCAGAGAACAAACAAACCGTGTCACAGTCGCCGCCTTGGCACCAGGGTCGGGTTTACGGGGGAAACTCCAACTGTCGAGAGCTAATTATCCCTTTGAATCAAGATAAGAAACGTCAGGGTAGAGCCTTTGGGCCAGGTATATAAAGGCAGACATGGTCTTCTTGAAGTTGCAGCGATAGTCTACAGCAACATCTACTTCCACACTCGACAAAGTCAGCTTGCAGCAGAACAACCTTATCAACACAGTCTACAGCAGCATCCACTTCTACGCTCGACAAAGCCAGCTTGCAACAGAACACCTCAGCAAAACACAATCTACACATATTCGCCTTGTTGCGAACCAACGACAAGAGCCATGTGCATACTGACCATTTTCAAATATAAGGGGTGCGCGGCCACCAAGTGTCGCTTCTCACGTGTCACGGAGCCTTGCGGCAATCCCCACGCTCGGGGCCACAGGAAAGATTACAGATTTCAGCACTGGTTGGACGGCTGCTGCGAAGCACACACGCCTAAAGCAGAAGATGCTTGAAAAATACAAGTTCCGACTTCTGCCCCAGCAAGCATGAGCATGCTAGAGGGGGAAATGCTTCTTTTTTGGACTCCAGTATCATCGTCATTGTCGCCTGGGATACCAGACTTTGTTGGTGGCAATTGGTGGAGCAGAGTAATTCGGATCCTGATTTGGGGGTTCGAATATCAGCAACGGCTGCATGAGGCCGGGTAGGAAATGCTTCATTTTTTAGACCCCGGCATCATCGACGTTATCGAGTGGGATAATTACCAGACTTCATTTGCGGTGATTGGTGGGGCAGATCAATTCAAACTTTTGGCCTAATCATGGGTTCAGAAGAGAGGTCAGCAACGGCTTTGTTCCTGTAATTACACATTGGGCTTTTAAGCCTCTTTGTCCTTCTACGATTAATCACATCACCCCTTCTCACACAGACTAGGGGGTAATAAACCCACCACCATGAGGCTCCGCTCCTTGGCCAGACTAAGGCCACCCGGTGACAACCAGTGAATCCCTGGCATCATGTCTTTTTTTTTGGCGTTTTCTACTTGGCCAGCTTGGAAGGGAGGGGCGTCGAGCTTTGTATAGATCAATAAGACTGAACTTGTGGTGAAGTCTTTGTATGAATGGGATCTTATTAAGACTCATGAAGCCAGAAGCCTATGCTCTAGCCTATGCTCTATGCTGATATGGCAAGGACTGAAGCTCTGGCTAAATAGGCTGGTTTAGACTAATCAACTCAGTGACAAGAAGAAACATATTAGAACCGTGAAAAAGAAAAAAACTGCAGCCAAGTCATAATTACACCCGACGCACGCACCATGATTTGAGACTCCTCTCTATGCCATGGCTTCACTCGCGCCTAGCCCGGCCAACAATGCCGCCGAGGCGCCTCTTGCAGGCGCAGAGGGTCCCAAGAGCCCCCGCACAGCTGTCAGGTCAGAGTCAGACGACATCTTCAAAGCTGCTGCCGTCTGCCGGCATCGCTTCGACGAGTACCTGCAAAACCCCAGACTTTACCGCAAGCAGATTACTGAGTGCCAACGCCGCTTTTTGACTTGGGCAGGGTTTCTCGGCGTTTTCGCTCCGGCCAGTGTCTGTCTTGATACTCGATTGGCCGATGCCCCCGAGATGAAAGAACTTGCCATGTCCATGTTAGCTCTTCTGGCAAAAAACCTCGAGCGCGGTATGGGCTAGTTGTGCTTACCTAGATGTCGAGAACGGTTAGACTGACGTAGTGCACGTGCAGGCATCAAACGCCACCGTCTAGTCAATGACGGGGGCGACTCCGGGGCGTCGGCCGAGAACGACGGCGCCATGATTGGCATTGCGGGATCTATGGACCGCCTGGGGCGATTGGGCCTCATCATCCGGGCTTCTTCAAAACCAGACGAGGTCGACAGGGTGCTCAAGTTTAGCCGGAAAGGAGAACCAGATGGATATGACGAACTCATATTCGCACTTGTCAAGTGGAGATTTCCCGTCGACAAAATGGCCGAGTCGCTTCAAATACAGCTGGCAAGCTCCATCATCTACCGCCGCAACAGACTCAGATACAATTTCAGACACGAAGCAAAACTTGGCGCCGACAGGGAGGATGGGACCGACTCGGAAACGGCTCTGACAAAGCTCCCCGGAAATGCTTGGCAAGCCGCAAGGATAGCCATGGGAGCCCAACACGAGCCAGGCCAACCAGCCAGGCCGCAACATCTCGACAACAAAGTGCCCGTAGCTATGGCGCCGGCAGCTTCCAACCTTCTTCGACAAGTCCTAACACACCAGGTCCCACGAGGCCTCGGGAAAGACGGGGCCTCTTCGGACGCGAGCAGCTCACGCTCTAACAACCCCTTTCTCTCTGCCGAATATCCCACGCCGCCGACGGTACCACCAAACCATTCAGATGCAAAGTGTACCATATGTCGCAAGCCACAGACAAGAAGACTTTTAGTAGACGCCAAGAAGTGGAGGTAACTATGCAAATAATCATCCGAGAGATGCGTGGTCATGATGAGCTGACAGCTGTCGACGATTTCTAGACACCATGTAGATGAGGACCTAAAACCCTACGTGTGCATCTCTGAACAGTGCGGAAATTTACCGCCTGCATTCTCAACTCGGGAAGAGTGGCGTAATCACATGGCTGACAAGCACTGCCCTGACTGGGTCCAATATATTCACCGCCCTAGTCGCTGGCTTTGTACTGCCAAAAGCGCATGCCTTTCCTTCAAGAGCGAGCAGCTTCTGCTTGACCACCTGAGGGCAGACCATTCACAGGACACCCCGGATGCACAACTGGTTCTCACCGCATCCAGAAGCAAGGTGCCCATTCCCTCGGAACCCAACACCTGCCCTTTCTGTGGCCAAGATGTCGCCGTTGCACCTACCATGATCGTTGGGGTGAGTGGGAGTGCGAAGGGGCCCGCACCTGAAGGCAACTTATCGTCAACTAGGAGCGAAGTGCCGCCATCACAGGTCGACACAAGCCACGGCCCCAAAGCCGCCCTAGCTAGCTCCAAAGATACTGCACTCGCGATAAAGATGTGGAAACACATCGCAGACCACTTAGAGTATCTCGCACTATGGTCGCTCCGCTGGTGGGGCGATGACTCGGGAGCGTCCACCGAGGCCGATGGCGGCAGTCAGGTCAGCTCTAAAGGACTTGAGCTGGCCCTGTCCAACAGATCCGCGTCTGTCGGTGGCCCTGTTGTGAAAATAGATGATCGCATCGATGCTGCGCTAGAGTTGAACTCTTTTCCACATAAAGAAGCCCGCCAACTGTTCCTGCCGGCGGACAAGATAGACAGCCTCATCACCGCACATGCTATCTTGGAAAAGATGCCAGACTTGTTCGACTCGCAAGACGGCGCGGAACTTGTTTCTTACATTCTAAAGAACGCGAAGCGTCTCTTCGCGATCACAGCCATAGACATCGACTTTGACTCCAAAGAACTCAAGCTCGTTCTGACTCGGTTTCAACAGTTTGGCTTTGATGACGGCAACCTTCCCATTCTCGACCCTCGGAACTTGGGTCCACCAACACCAGCAGCCTTTTCCATTTGGTCCCCGGAAAGATTGTACGTCTTTTACATGAGGCAGTGGTTATACTTGTCCCCAGTCTTCTCCGACGAGGTCTTTTTGTACCATGCTAGGCCCGAAGACGTGTTGCCTTTCGTCTGTACTAGCGAGACCCCGACAGTAAATGAAAACTTGGGCGACATTTTCGAAGCCGGTCTGCACCAGGCGCACTGGAAACAGTTGAAAGCCAATTCCGCACAAGAGCATCCACATCAAACAGATGCGGCTATGGAAATGCGATGGGAAAGGGTAGCTCTGTGTGCGGTTCCCGTTGGAAACGAAGAGTGGTCTCAAAGACCCCGGAAGATGAGCCTAGTGAATCATCCGCACATCATAAAGGATCTTACCTCAATCCTCAGGGGCGAGAAAAGATACCTCGTTTCCAAATGGGCGGACGGAGGTTCTCTTGGAGACTACTGGGAATCAGTTCCGAACCCCAGGCCCAGTATCGAATTGGTGACAGAAATTATTGAACAGCTTTGGGGATTGGCCGACGCTCTCTGTGAGCTCAATGAGAGGGGATACTATCACGGCGACTTGCACCCCGGCAACGTCCTGAGATTTCTTGACGGGTCCATGCTTGGAAGACTAAAGCTACACGCAGATCTACAACTGGGACGTCCTGATGTTATCACCACGCGTTATCGTTCCGCGCTATACCAGGCCCCAAACTTAACGCTGCTACGGCTGGAACTTTTCGGGATCCTAGCGTGGGCCGATACATGGTCAATGGGCCTCATTATTCTTTCCTTCTTGATCTGGTTTTGCTTTGGCTTTGACGAGCTGAGGAATTCTCACGAGGATCTCGCTCTCGTTTCTGATGTCGTAGACTCTGAACTGAAGCGAACGGACGCTGTTTACCACCTTGTGGCCTCGCGGATGGACTTCATTGCTAATAACCAGGAACACACTACGCGAACAGCACTTGGGGAATTGCTTGTGTTAACGAGATTCAGACTTCTAATTCCCGAATGGTCCATGTCTGATATTTCAAAGCCGGCCGGACAGGCAGACCAGTCGGAGCTGGATTTCATCTTAGGCCTAACCCCGTTCACGGGTATTATAAAGGGAACGACTTCTTATAAACAAAGCACCGATGTTCTATCTCGTCCCGTGGACGCTCATTATCTTCGCGCCGGGCTGGGAAAGATACTGGAGAAGGGACGGCTTGACAGCAGCTACTTCTTTTCGGATCGTTCACGTCGCCCACCATCGAGGTTGTGAGCCGCCCCCTACTCTTTATCTCGCATTGGATACTATACTTTGAGCCATCTTCTAACCGATGATTGCCGCTTAGCTCTTTCACGTCCGCGGCGTACGTCGTTTTGATGCTATTGAGGTGGCAACGAGGAGCGCTCGAAAGGTATCACGAGTCATCAGACACCTCCTCGCTTCTACAGGAACGCTTTTCGCTAATGAATAACAATATTGCAGGCGGCCAACTCTTCTAGAAATACGCCCCCGCCGGTTAAAATCCCAGTTGAGAGCTCATATTTACGTTATAATTGCGGTCCAAAGACTTCAAAGTCTGGGGGCCACAGCTAGGTATGCCCCCGTGAAACCTAGCAGTGATTTATTATGAAACGCTGACAGGAAGAATTCGGGTACAATAGAGACCTTGCCACGGCGCAGGAGACTGCGGTATGTTTCCAGAATCGTGGCCGAATGTAATAAGGAGACTTGCGAACTAATATGCTGCTGAAACCTCTCTAGAACTCGGATCCTTGGTGCTTGGAGGTGGACAACAATTTTGCTTCCAAGCTGATCATGACATCGAACCTTTCGGCACTATTCCCTGCGCCAGGAAAAGTCGACTCCTTGTGTGGACGCTGCTCAAAGTTGAGATTCGACGAGCCTAGCATCAACCCAATTTTGCATTACACGACTGCTTATTTGGAAGAGTCTCAGAATAAGTGCAGATTCTGCTACCTGCTGTGCCACGCCGCTCGGTCACCCAATAACCTGCTTTTCGGCAAGGACGCCATGGAGTTCCACTGGTGGCAATCGAGAATATGGATGAAAGGTCATATTAGTCTTAGGCCAGTCCTCACGCTTTCCAGGACCCTAGAATTTGATAGCATCACTGGATCAGCGACCGAAAACATTCCGATCGGGCTCCCCGTGCTGCCACAGCCCGGGGGTGCAGAATATTTTGATGTCCTCAAAGGCTGGATTAATGATTGCAACGAGAACCATACGTGCACCTCGGGAATCTTAGATTCGATACGGCTTCCCCGCAGGGTTATTGATGTTAGTTTCGACAGACTCTCCGGCGTCCGGCTATTCGAGCCAAAATCCGGGTCGGGTGGGTTGGCTAAGTACTTGGTATTATCGTATACCTGGGGCAGCAGCAGACCCTTGCTACTAGTCAAAGAGAACCTCCAGCGTTTCCTAACAACTGGAATCCCTCTCGAAGATGCAGGGCCTCTTATCCGAGACGCTGTTCGCGTATGCCGCGAGCTGAGGCATCGCTATCTATGGGTCGACAGCCTCTGCATTCTTCAAGATTCTGCCGAGGAATTTGCAGAAGAGTTAGAAAAGATGCCGGATCTCTACCACGGTGCATCTTGCGTCTTAGCTGCCACGCACGCAATGGGTGCGCAATCTCATCTACTGATGAACTCTAAAACTAGACCTTTTGCGGTCTTTAATCTCGGCTTGTATGCAACTTTGGCTGTAGACAACTTCTAAGCGGACGTCTTGGAATCGCCGCTGTACCAGAGAGGCTGGGCTTTTCAAGATCGAGCAATGGCACGCCGCACCATCTTCTTCACAGAAAATCAGGTGTATTGGGAGTGTGGCGACGGGGTTCGCTGCCTCACACTCACAAAGATGAACAAGTTCGTCATGTCCCCACCCCCTACTGGACCTGTTACTTTTCACCGACTGACAGGTAACCTTGGCGATAACAGCGACGAAGCATCACTGATGGGTGACCCAGAGTTTCCCAGTAGGATTGCCGAGTTACCTATAAATGCACAAATCGAAGCTGTCCAGAGGATATATTCCAGGTACAGTCGCACCGCTTTAACCTGCCAAAAGGACCGACCTAAGGCGATTGGATGGATTGAGCGCCAGTTTCTCGAAGGGCTCAAATTGCAAGGAGCCCATGGCATTCTGGACAACCCTGTTGTATCCCGTGGATGGTTGTATTGCACCCTTCTTTGGCACCGCGGCGGAAGCGTGCCCCTAACTGCCATTTCCCCATTCGGTAATCGTCAAGTACCAATGAATCACCAAGTTGGTCGTGGATGGCCTACGATGGGGAAATTAACTACAATTTGACGCCTAAATTCGGCTACTGGTACGATCACGATTGGTTGGAGGATGCTATCGACTTGCAGTGGGCTCCAGGCGGAGGCCATAGCCAGCATAGCCAGCTTCATCCTACACTGACTGGGATGGCTTACAAATATTCTGGAGACGTCAACCTAGGTCAACAAGGAGGTGGCAGTGATGAAATACTGATCTTCGACAACCCGGAAAAGCCTTTAGATCCGACGCTGCATTGCCTTTTTCTAGGGGTTCGGGGGAAGCGTCAAAAGCAAGAGCGAGGTTCATCACACTTTTTGCTGGTAGTACCCGTGGAGGCAGCCGAGGAAGGGAGCCTTCCTGTGTTTGAAAGAGTCGGGGCCGGGTTCTTTTACGGAGTCCTGGAAGACGTAATGGATATAAACTCTGAGCTCCGCGTCTTCCTCCGCTAAGATAACCATGCCCAGCCTTAAGAGGGCAAGTACTAGCATCTCCCGACATGTAGGAGGGGATGTGCTGGATTCGATAATTGGAGTGCCTTGATCAAGCGGTTGATTCCGGTTTGTCATTGAACGGTAACGACAGAGCTATTATGACGGCCCACTCGCGAACTATTTCGCCGTCTTCATCAACAAGGTTCTCGCTCACGGCAGAGAAAATGCAACAAATGTTTGCCCGCACAGTGTTCGCTCGCCGTCTCCCTAAATCCAGCAACCGACAATCATCCATACACATCAACGAATGCGCCAATCAACCAGTCAGGCGAGCCAGCGACTCTTTGTCACAGCAGGTGCCCTGTTGCTGCCAACCACGCTCCATTTGTTCATTACATAGGTATTATTGACTACTGCTTAACCGCTACGGACTAGAAAATTGAACGTGCCCCGCTCCTTACTTGGTCGAGTTAACCTAGCACTCATCCGTCTCGCCGGAGATGGCGGCTGCATTCTGCGCCTCCACCTCTTCCTCGATGGGCACCTGCTCGTACGAAGCCTCCGGTCCGGTAATCTCTTCTTTCACGTCTTCATGCATCGACGCATTCTCCAAGTAGTCGCTGCCCTCGAGCTTTTTCTTGCTCAGGGGGTTCCACGCAGACGCCGGCACGTACGCGTAGCGCCTGACGCGGAACCCGACCACGACGTCGTCGACGTCAAACTCGACCGTGTGCGCGTTGTCGGACGAGCCACCAGCGCCAGCGCCGAGCTCGGTGCCCGTGTGCGGCTCGCGCGCGGCGACCTCGGCCCTCGCGGCGCGCTGCGCCGACGTCGACGAGCTGTACCGCAGCTTCTCGGCCACCTTGAGCCCCGTCACCAGGTACACGTCGTCCTCGTAGCCGGAGCCCGCAAAGTGCTCAGATACGTCGCCGCTCGCGAGGCTGCGCGCCACGTACGCGCGGTCCGGGTCGAAGTAGGTTGTCACGATGGCGTCGCAGGCTACCGTGCTCGTCGTCTCGCTCTGTGCCGACGCTCCACCCGCTCCCTGAACGATCAGCGACCGCGCCCACACCCCGCCGTGGCCCTCGCGCAGCCGCGACCGCGTCTCGGCGAAGCCATGCTGTGTCGTGGGCGCGTAGCGCAGCTTGGCCGGGATCGGCACCACCGCGCCCCGGTTCAGCGGCCGCAGCATCAGCAGGCTGTCGACGACGGTGCCCAGCTCCAGCGCTCCGCCCTGGGCTGCGATGTCGAAGCGGGGGACGACGTGATACGTCGGCGGGAGCGCGCGGATCGACGCCATGCTGACTTCGAGTGTAAGGGGCAGGGGGTAAGTGACGTTAGTCTCAAGGGGCGCGGAGCCTAACGAGATGATCGGGCTCAACTCGGCCAAGCGCGGGGTCGGCCGAAAAGGGAACACACGCCGCATTAGCTGGTTCTGATACCGTCGTAGCCTGCATGGGTGGCCATGGTCACGTGCAAGTACTGTTCGCCAGCGAAGTCGACCATAATTCACGATGGAACACGATGTTGTATGTTGAGCCAATGGTTCTTGTCTATGATAGGCTAACTTTGAAACCCCGTTTCTAGTGTGATACAACTATTTATACAATACTAAAATGAAAAGAAAAGCAGACACTCCACCAAGCCCTTGCCTTGCGATGATGGTTGTCAAGCAAGGTGGAGAGAAAGGAAAGAATAAAACAAAACAAAATACTTCCCCGAGCCCCTGAACTGCGAATGGTGGTTGCCAGGCAAGGTGGAAAACAAGAATAGGAGCAAAACAAAGAACAAATCTCTCCCGCACATCCGGGACTTCTATAGTACATGTCCGGCAAGACAAAAAGGGGGTAAAAGGAAACCATTCCCTTGGTTGCCGCCAGCCCTGTCGGACACCTAGGTGTGGTAGATGGCCCACTTGACGTGGGGGCTGCCACTGCCCTGGCAGTTCATCTCGCCCTTCGCGCCAACGAGACCATTCCACTGGAAGCGGCGGATGGAGTCGCCGATGATGTCGCGGACGTCGCCGTTACCGATATTGGCCCAGAAGCCCGTGACCGTGTTGATACCGAACGCGCACGTGCCGTACTGCGCGATCTGGTGCTGCGTGCCGGTCCACACGGTCCACGTGCCGTCACCCGCGATGTTGTTGGCGAGGCGCTGGCAGTCGCCCACCGTCGGCGACCCGCCCGTCGACTGGTTCTCGAAGCTCGAGTTGTCGCAGTCGTTGATGGCGCGCTCGGTGAGCCCGCGGGCGGCGCTCGACGGGCCCGGCGTGTAGGTCAGCGTGTCCGAGTTGGGCGCGAGGATGAAGCCGCCGTCGGTGGCGTTGGCAGCGGGTGCGGGAGTAGCGTGGACCGCAGCGAAGAGGGCGGCGACGGCGGCGGCGAGCTTCATGTTCATGTACATGTTGGCGGTTGGCTGCGAAGAAGCTGAGAAGCTAGTGACTTGAAAAGTTGGGCTGACTTTGAGCTGTGAAAGGGGAGATAGTTGTGAGAGTGGTGAGTGTTGTGAGTGTTGAGTTGAGCTTTGAGTGTGAAGAGATGGAAGTGCTTGCTGGCTGCTGAAGAATATTCCTCGATTCACCGGGAGACATGCCGTTCTTTATACTCGACAGAAGCTCACCAGAGTCCGCATGCGGCCTATGGAAAATCATCATGGACACGCCGATGCACACACACGCAGGCAAGCATACACACGAGCCACCTCATGCGTCGGGGCCGCCATTGCTGACCGACTTTGCCGCTGGCGCCGCAGACGCAGCATGGACCGCAAGCACACTGCGCAAGCCGGCCGCGCAACCTCTAATTACCATGCACCAACCCGTGAGGCAAGACTCGCGCCACAACAAGATATTGGCGTGGCAATGGGGATGAGGTCCAGTGCCTGATTCCAGCAACGTGCAATTCCCATGGAAGCAGGTGATGTCCCTGATCCGGCGAGCGGCCCATTGACCGGCCACAACAGACGAGACGGCGCAGCACGGGCGGCCTTTGCTGCGTCTAGTTCGGCCGCTGCCCAGGCAGGATCAGGTGCGACAATCATGCAGAGTGTGCTTGATTCTTTCCAGAACCATTCCCGAGCATAATCAAACTGACGGCCCGTCCCAGGGACGCGGCCATAGGCCACCCACTCCTTTCGGATCCGTCCGCCGCATTGGCATACAGTCGGTCAGCAAAGGGCCATGTTTGGGGCCCAGAAAACGCAGGTCGTGAATAGTTGCTGGTACGTAATGGAATGATTCCGCTGGATTTCACTCCTCTGAACATTTTTCTTTGGTCTAATTACGCATGATGCTCGGTTAAGACGAGGTCATCCCGAAATGGGGCCGTGAAGGAAGCGCCAAGGGGCGCTGATCCGTTGCTCGATAATTATGAAGGGTGGGTGTGCGAAAGAGAACATTTGTATCACGATAATTAATAGGTGGTGAGGCCCTAGTTTTACAGATTCAAGAATAGCCGCGAATAGGAGACATGCTTGATATTAAGACAAATTGTGCTGCGACATGTCAATGTTTGTGTTGCCACACTGGCCTTCTGTCCAGCCCCGGGTAGTCTCTAAAATCTCCAAAGAACTGAGACATGAATATCGGATGGACTTGGAGCTCAGTAAAATTTAATTACGGCGAAAACCGGGTAATTATACTAGGTATTCTGTAGTTTGGCGCTGAACCTAGGTACTTTGGAAGGAGAGCTGCGCCTGCTGGAGGCTGCGCTTGACAAGGACAGCACATAATTGTCAAGCAAGCGGCCGACTGGATATTAATTAAGTATAAGGCGGCACAGCGCACAGGACGGACTGCCTACCACACACGTTACACAGCAGATGAACTGCAGATTTGTAGGTATATAGCATCGCGTCACGGTTAATATGTCAATGTCGCCGGCATCTCAAGGCATTTGCACCGTAGCAACCCAAGGTATTGCTATAGTCTGTGCGATCCGCTGACGCAGGCGCGAGAGCCCCTTTAGAAGGTAACACAGTGGCCAAATCCCGCCAAGCGATCCTTCCTTTGAAGAGGCAGAATTGTTGCCGCCCTCTTGTTTACTTGGCATTGTTAGCCATCCATCGGCCACGCAATTAACATGGGATCCAGCGAGCAATCAATAGACACACCTACCTTAATCATGGCTACCTAGTACCACAACCTGACCCTTCTAACTTCCAAGCACCAATTAGCCTCGAGGAATTGACCACAAGTTCTGTGCAGCAAAAGAAAAGCCCAGGCCTAAAAGAAGATCAACGGGATGAGAGAGACATCACAAAGTGTGTAGAACTACATGCCTGCCGGCCTAATTAGCCGGCTGAGTTGCAGCTATGTGCATCGCCATTGTCACCAGCCCGGGCGAGTTCGTGATCGATCCATGCCGGCCGGCAGGTTAAACCGTGTTCAAACCGCTTCTCACCGCCTCGATGCTAATACATCAACCAAGGTTACAGCATGCGTTTTTATGGTCTGACATTGCGTCAACTCAATTGTTCCCGGTGGGATAGTTAATTAGTGGAAGGAAATTTTCATGCTTTGCACATGCACAGGCTCAAGGCCCCATTGGATTTCGGTTTCAGTCTCATTTGGTGTTGAATTCTCTTCGCTGTGTATTCTTGCGTCGTTATAGCCAGGTGAGTAAGAGTTGTTGAAACCAATTTCCACTCCCAACAAGGACAAGGCAGGCAGGGAGGGAGACACTGACAGATGTGCTCGTATCTCCCCCGTTCACCATCTAGACGTTATCCATCAAGTACTCTTCTCAGGTCTTTTCCCCTTTCCCTTTTCATTCTCCTTGGACTCAAGAAGCGACTGGTACTCGGCCTGGAGGACCTCGAGCGCCGAGTTGATGTCCTCCGTCTCCTGGTCGACCTCGGAGATTTGCTGCTCCAGCTCCTTGATTCGCTGCTCCTTGCGGTCCCGGAACGCGCGCTGCGACTTTCTGTTTTGCTCCCGGCGGTGCTGGTGGCGCGGTTAGTTAGAATTGTAGACAACAGATAGACACACTCACAGCAAGCTGCTCGGGCGTGTAGTTTCTGTTCCTTCTCCTGTCCTTTCTGCTCTGGTGTGGAAGGCCTCGGTTAGGACCAGCCATTTGGCCATACATCACCTGCGAGCCCTCTCCCGTAGGGTAGTAATAGGAAGCGTCACCAGCGGGGGGCATGGAATATCCAGAGGGTCCGGCCTGTGGATAACTTCCTGCTTGGCCGTCTCCGAGGGAGCCATCTCCGAAGAAGTCACCTCCGAAAGGGCCTTCTCCGAGAGGGCTGTAATACTGGGTCGGGTCTTGGTAACCGTAGGGGTTGGCGTAGAGGTTCCGATCAAGGCCCTCATTGGGATACTCGGAGTCTCCGGGTGCCGCGCCGCTGGCTCCTTCAGCCGCAGCCGCAGTCGCAGCCGCAGTCGGATCCTCATGCAGATGAGAGGGCCCGAATGGAGGCGGCGCGCTGGGATCATTCAGATCATTGTTCGGGAAATTCATGATGAATGATTGAGCAAATAGAAGTAAGCAGGTTTGGCAATTCTCGGACGCTCTCCGGACGCTCTCGAGTCTTTCAAAACTCTGAGCGAGGCAAATCAAGTGATACTATGATGAACATTGTTATATTCAATCTAGCCATTTCTTAGCAAACATACTTATACCGGGAGTGCCTGCTATAATTCTATAGAAACACGGCGTCGGAAAAGTAGGCATCGTAAATTCTGCAAGGCCCGTCTAGGCCAATATTGTCAGCCTGGATAGCAAGCGAACCCTGCAGTCGGAGATGCTGGATGCCGAAAAGCCATCGTGCCTCTCAACCGCGTTGAGGGCAAACGACAAGATTCTTGGCAAACCAGTAGGATTTTCCTCATGTGGTTTAGGATTGTTCTGAGGACGGAAACCCGAAGACGCTGGTGGCGCGTTACGCGAAGGCGACAGAGCTCTCAACTCGCTCATTCGCGGAGTACCGAACACCTTGGTAATCCGTCAACGGTCGATCCCCATCTCCAAGGCCGTCGACGTCCGACCTTTCCAGGAGAGCGAGGGAAGGTTTGCACCATTCGATTAGGAATAATGGCGGGGAAAATATGTTGCATTGTGTCTAGAACTTTCGTCGTGGAGGGCCGGGTGTGTGATGACTGATGCGATGACCAAGCTTCCCAAGAGGGCTTCGATTAGGCGGCGCAGGTTTCATTGGCGAGTGGCGAGCATGCGCTGAAGGCGGCTTGGGCAGCTAGCTAGACCACCCCCAACACAATTTTTCTCGGTACCGAGCATCAGCCCCGTTCTTGCAGGTCTGACATCACACAGCCCAATTCCAACTCAGTACCGTTTTCGAGGTTCCCGCGCGGTTCTTTCCGCGGCTTTCCGCGATCCCACCCACCTCATTATCCCGGCTCGCGGGGATATCGATGATCAAAATGGGTTTGTCGATTCGAGGCCAATTGCCATTCCGGAGGGGTCGAGAATGGGTCGGCGGCTGTGGCTTAATTGGCGACCAAAAAGTCCGTGTTTGAGTCTGTAGTCCTCGCCTCAGTCATCAATGGCAAATGCACTGACAAGGCGATGCTGAAATCTGGGCGTCTTGTTATTAGTCTATTCATCCATTCGTCTCTTCGTAAGATGTCAAAGAAAAATGGGAATGGAAAATGGAATAGTACAAATGCTTCGCCTGATAGACCCAAAGACGAGTTGACAACCAAGTCGAGCTCTGGGACGGAATATCAATAACACGCTGCGCCTCTGGTTGCAGCCGCTCTACAGGCAGGAGAGAATATATCGAGAGACAATAATCCTTTGCAGGTAGATGAGCAAAATAATTAGCAGAATTTCCTGACGGAGCAGGTAAGCAGGTGGAAGAGAATGTGGCCCTCTTATGGAAAGATTGACGCAAAGACTGATGCATGGCTAATGGCTTGCACACCTCTGCTATCATGTTCCCCCAATTGGCAAGATCACCGAACCAAAAGACGATGCATAGCCAAGGCTGACAATACTACCGTCACAAGAGACATATCGGACGTCCAGAAGGCCTCGGGTACTGCTCCCTTTGAGGTTCACGAAGAATAAGAGAGGTATGCTAAAAACATAGTGAGTGATTCTGCCATCCCCCTCCTCGGAGATGCATTTAAATTGAACAAGCGCTGGTATGGTAATTAAGAATCACCTGCAATAGCTGCGGTTCCTGCTGCATTGTGCACGTTAATTACTACCGGTAAGAGGAAACGATTATCTAATTATTCATTGAACTTCGAAAAAGCATGATCAAGACCTGTTGAGGCCATTCGGATATGGAAAGAGCAACGAAGTAACTACACCAAGACAACTTGAACTGGAAAAATCGGTAAAAACAGAGACAGGAGCGCACACCGCTTCAGGCTCAGTGCCACGGGCTGTCCAAAACCCATTCGACACATGTTCTTTGCTCCATCCCGATTACCACCAAGTCAGTAAGATTGACACTTTTGGACAAAAACGCATGTACTGTATTGTTCGTACTTCCGTACGCTCCAATGCAACATAAAGTAGATAGCTGCAGTCACTGCAGTTGAGCTGCATCCCACACCATGCCGAATTGGGAAAACGATAGACCAGCTGTGGATAATAAGCCATCTGGGTGAGCAGGGTTTGTGGCACGGGCCAGTCTGACAGATGAAGGAACATCCGACGACAATTCCCTCCTACGTCCTGTCTTGCGGGCTCCCCCTTCCCAATCCCGGTCTGGCCTGGTCCCAGGCCACCCAACAATCCACAATCTCCAATGGGCACCCAACTGCATCTCCGTCCCGCGCCGTTCATCAGCACTATCCCATTTCGTACTCACTAGACGTGGCGACCCAACAAAGAAATCGCCCCACAACGAAATCTCTGCCCCTGTCATCTAATTTCCCGCCCTTCAACTTCAACACAACACAACTTCATCAATTCAGGCTCGAATAGCTTCAAAATACATCATGTCGAACCGTCGAGAGCAGCTAATTCAATCTGCAATACTTGCAGTTGAACAGGGCGCATCGCAGAAGCAGGCCGCGCATGACTTCGGGATCCCTCCTTCTACCCTCTGCAAACGCATCCACGGGGCAGAAAATCGAGCACAAAGTAAACAAGCCGAAAGAAACCTCTCCAATGCGCAGGAAAGCTTCCTAGCCGACTGGTGCCTCAATGAGGAGGCTGCAGGCAGGGCTCCTAGCCGTCGTCAGGTGCAGAGATTCGCTCAAGCTATACTCAATGAGGCCGGCACGAAAAAGACCATTGGGGAGCGATATGTGGACCGCTTCCTACGCCGCAACCCGGCGGTAAAGATGAAGAATTCAACCTTGTTGGAATCCTCTCGAGTCTGCGGATCTACTCGTGAAGCTTATGAAGCTTTCTTCAAGCGCCTGGCCTTCCAAATCAAGGATAAAAAGGTCATCCCGGCCAACATCGCTAACATGGATGAGCACGGCATGCAGGAGCTCGAGACCCGGGCCGGAAAGGTCATAGGAAGCTCCCTGACGAACTGAACCTACGTGAAAAGCTCTGATGCAACAACTTGGGTTTCAGTTATCGAATGCGGCACTGCTGAGGGCGTTCGTTTGAAGCCCGTGATCATATTTACCGGGGCCAGTCTTCAAGGACAACACTTTCCTGATAACTTCAACCTGACGAAGGAATTCCGGGAATGGAAGTACGATTACTCAATTACAGGCTGGAGCAACGCCAGTATTGCGCTGAAATGGCTCAAAGAGGTCTACCTGATCCAAACAAAGCCCCAAAGGCCGGGCGAATGGCGTATACTGATCCTTGACGAACATTCGAGCCATATGAATGAAAAATTCATGTTAGCGGCCTTCCAAAATAAGGTCCAGTTCGTCTATTTACCTTCTCATACATCGCACAAGTCTCAGCCTCTCGATCGCTCGGTCTTTTCACCTTTAAAGACCTATTTTAGGGAAAATACCAAGGCCCTCGCGAGCTTCACATCGTCAGCTCCTGTCAACAAGGTTCGGTTCCTTTACTGCTACAGAGATGCCTCGGGTAAAGGCATGAGTGCCCGTAACATCATGTCGGGCTTCAGTAAAACCGGGATTTGGCCCTTCAACCCGGCTTGTTTACTTGATGACCCTGAGGCGGTCAAGGACAATGAGGCACTCCCGGCCCGGCCTTCAACACCGCCGCCGACGGCCCCGAACGACGATGACAGGCTCTTCAAAACACCGCACGGCAGTCAGGACATCAAGAAGTACCAGGACAGTATTCGGAATGCCCTCAGTCCGGCTCAGCGGCGTGTGCGGGCCTTGTTTACTAAGGTCGGGAGGTCCCTGGATCTGAAGAATACAGAGATCGCGTCTTTGAAGGCACAAATTACGCATCTCACAACCGAATTAGAGGCTTCAAAGCCTCGCACGCGTAAGAGGGTATATGAAGATGGAAATGAGCGATTTGCACGTATAGAGGACATCGCCAAGGCACAAAAAGCTAGTCAAATACCCCCAAAGCGGAAAAAAACGGCTCGGGCAGAAAGCCAGCCACATGCAGTCAAAGAAGCCCGGGAAATAATCGCCCGTGGGCTCGAACAATATAGACAGGCCGAAGAAGAGGATTGAGTATTTTTTTGCTAGTTATTTTGTGTAGAAATGGATAATTTGCGCCCGTGGAGTGGGTGTGGGCATGGCGTGGGCCAATTTCGTTGTGGGGCGATTTCTTTGTTGGGTCGCCACGTCTACGCGAAGTCATGTCTCAGCAAGAGTTTCTATTTGTCAACCCGGGCAATCGGTCCAGGGCCTCCAAGATCTCAACGACGGGTCGCGCCTTCGTCATCAGGAAGGCCCGCGCCGCCAATTCGTGGTCCACCACGCGCAAGAGCGGCAAGACCACTTCAATTTCGGGTATCGGCAAGACAGGCACCCTGGATGGAAAGCCGCTAGCGAGGAGCGAGCCTGAGGCGGTTGGGGCACTGGCGCCAAATTGTCAGGACCTGGCCGCTCGCCACAGCCCGTTGGTCTCGGTCTCACTCGATCTGGTGCCTGCAAGCCGGAGCCGTAAAAATGGCGAAGATGCGCCCATGGCAGCTATTGCCCCTAGCCAGGCCCAGCAAGACGTTCGACTCGTAGAGCCGCGGAACAAGACTAGGAGCAGAAAAAACCCTAGATGCCCACATTGTCGACTAGCATGGCGGTTTTGTACTTGCTTCTCGGTCTCGGGCATTCGTTGCTGAGTGGTCGCTTTGACCCCTTTTCGTCTCTGGCCGTCGAGCTGAAGAATGGCGACGAAAATCTCCTGACCTACTGTGAGCCTACCCCTTTCAAATTATGGTTTCGCGGTTTCTGGAGCTTGCTACACCCATAGCGCTCAATACTAACAAATGTCCATCTCAATATCCAGTTACCACAACTGTCGTCCCATCCATCTCTCCCCTTACGAGCAACGGCCGCCAAGCGGTCGAGGTGCAAAAGTACTGGGTGACAGTGTCCTTCTACCACTCGGGCTTCATGCATGCGCTCCTGTGTCTCGCAGCTCTCCAACTAGCTATCGCAGAGCCACATCAGTCTCCCTTCCTAGTCGAGCGATTCATGCACCACAGACTGGAGGCTATCTCTTCGGTACATCGTGACCTGGGGGATGCCGAACGCGCCTTGAGCGACGAGAACATTGCAACCGTCTTCAATCTACTGTGTATTGAAGAGAACTTGTTTCTTCACGCCTCAGATGCGCTTGCCATCAATCCCGCGTGGCGCCACTTGCAGCCCGATACTGCCCAGCGCCAGGTTCATCTAGATGGCTTGAAACGCATGTTAGCCCTGCGCGGGGGCGTGGCCCAGCTCGGCGAGATGCGCGGCCTGCAGGCCTTCCTCATCCGCTGGGTGTGCACCTCTCTGGGCTGCCGAATCACTTTCAGCCTGCCCCACATGTACAACCCCCAAGACCAGATGGAACGGAATGCTGCTGAAATGGCCGATCAGACATTTGCTGCCTCGACTCTCCTTCCAAAGGGCTTGCTGGCACGTCTATACAAGTATCCCGAGTCATCACCCTTCTACCATGAAGGCTCGAGGATGGCCGATTCCTGCAGGAGCGTTGGCATGCATCCCGAGCTGTTCCACCATATTCTGACCATCGAGTGCCTGCTCAAAGACGCAACAGCAATGGCCATGCGCCCCGACTCATACAACTTAGACTTGCTGGACATCCAGAACCTATTCTCCCTCGTCCTTGGCGAGCTCGTCCGTTGGAATCTTGAGAACGAAGCTACGCTAACGGCCACGGAGAAGGTCACGGCCATATGTCTCTTCATGTTCATCTTCCTCGTCGGCAACGGAACGCACGGCGCCTGCAGCCCACTTCCGGGGATAATGCCGAGACTCCGCCAGCACTTTCTCGACCCCCACCTCAAGATCCAGCTGCAGGCGGCCGGGATCGAGATCTGGGTCGCACTGCTTCTGCTCATGTCGTCGACGGAGAACCCGGCGAGTGGCGAATTCTTCTTCCGCTACTACATTGAGGCGCTCGCCGGCCGGGAGCCCCACGCCAGGACCTTTGAGGACCTACATTCTATGCTACAGAATTGCGTGTGGGCTCCACATATGGACCCCAACGCACGCAAGGCATGGGACGAGTCGCTAGAGGTATGGGAGAGCGTGCGTGGCATCGCGGCAGAAGACCCCGGCGTCATCGCCAACCTTACCAGGCCCAGGCCGAATGACTTGCATGCCCGCCCTACCATCCCGCTCTCGAATCCCTACGCCACTTCCCACATGAAGAAATTGTTTGGACCTGTGGGCGCCCACTGAAAGTTTTGGGGTGAAATTCTGAAACTAGCTTTTTGAGTTCAAGTGTCATGAAGGTAACGGCCTGGAAGTGCATTTTCGATAACGTGGTTTATCACCGAGCGGGCCACTTTTCCTCGACTCCATGACTTCTAGACTCAATTACAACCGCACCACAATAAAAATTCAATCGGAATCCATCTCTTTGTCTTCACCCGATAGTTCTTCATCCACGGGACAGGTTCGTACATTATGCCCAGGCTTTCCGCATCGTCCACAGCACCGAATAGTCGCCGGCCCTGCCTGCGACGGACCCCTATCCTCGTCCTCTTTGCTCTTTTTCTGGCGACTAGAATCTATTTTGGCTATCAAACCGCGCGCATCTTCTACAAAAAGTGCACCGCCTTCTTGGAGTCTCGTGCGCTTGGCTCGCCGGCGCTTTGCAAGGGCCTGATTGGCCTTCTGAGTCGTACGGAGCTCTGCCCGCAAGAGTGTCATCTCGTACGCGATTGCCTCCGTACCCTTTGCTAACTGCTTAATAGCGTTAAACATTGAAGTCGGCGAGCTCCCTTGATGGTCGCTAATCCTCTTCCGTACGAATTGGGATTGCGAAACAGCCTCGGCCGCCGTACGTGGCGTCTGGGAGGTCCAAGGGCTGGCGTCGGCGGAGGGGGGGCCAGTCGGTGTTGGCGTCCGAAGCTTAAAATATAGCTTCGATAAGACGGCTTCTGGGTCGAATGGCACTAATCCAGCACCGCGGAATCCAGCTATAATGTTATTAGGCGTTATAGTGTCGTAGTGGGCGGCGATAAAGGCGATCAAGAACTCGGGCTTAGTAATATGGTTGATATGAGCTCTAATGAAGTCTTCAAGTTGCTTGCCGTACGACCGTTTCAAGGCGCTAAAACAACCAATATCGAGAGGCTGGGTAAGGTGCGAGGAATGTGCAGGGAGACAGAGAGTAATGATGTTCTTCTCCTTGCAGTATTGCTCAAACTCGTACGAAAGATGGCTTTCATGACCGTCCAAAATAATCATGCGATAACCACCCTTCCGCCGGGAAGTAGTATGCTTATCAAAGTGCCGAATCCAATCCATAGCCGTTTTATTATCAATCCAGCCGTTAGAGGAGGTCTTGATAACCCAGGAGGCTGGGAGATCGGTGTCTTCGTACCATGACTTGAGGTGGTTTTTGCCTTGTACGATGAGAAATGGCGGTACCACAAAGCCGTCGCTACTCACGCACTCAATTGCTGTCGCCCATTCTCGATTACCTGGCTGTAGTTGCTTGCCTCGTCCGCGACGGTTTGCACGTGTAACGACCATTGCAGCGCAAATAACGCCCATCATAAAGCCAGTCTCGTCGAAGTTGTAGAAATCGCAGTCTTAGATACCGTACTTCGTACGCATATTCTTTACCAGCTCGAACCACTTCCTGATAAGGTCTGGATCCTCGCAGAGGGCCCTCTGAAGTCGTAGGCGCGAGAAAAAGGCGTCTTTAGCTCTTGACGGCGTCGTACGAAGCGGTATGCCCAGTTCTTACCAACGCGTTTCGCGCCACGCGTCGTACGAAGGAGATTCGCCATTTCCTCAACACCCTCGATCCGGGGTGGAAATCCTCGCGAATCTAGGTCGAGAACATATCGGACAATCGTTTCTTCTTCGACTTCGGTCAATTGATGGGCGGCGTTACGCGCTTCGCGTTTCATAACGCGGCCAGTCATTCTGGCCTGGAGAGTAGTTCTGGGTACGTCGTACATCTGTGCAGCGCGTCGGATTGACATTTTCTTAGATGTACGGATAGCCTCGATAGCAAGGATGATTTTGGCTTCTTGGGTTTGGTTAGACATTGTATTGGTTGTGGTGTGCGATAGTTTGAAGTGTGGAGGTTATGGAGCCGTGGAAAAGTGGCCCGCTCGGTGGGGTGGCCCGCTCGGTGGGGTGGCCCGCTCGGTGATAAACCACGTTAGAGATATTTCAAGACAACTTTGTTGAGATTCCTACCAGCTACCCAACATTAGTCACAGCTACTCCCGCTAACTGTGATCCCTATCACCACTATCCCTAATTTGCAGAACGCAATCTACCGGGGCTGCAGCGGCAGCGTCTTTTGCTCATTCGTATGTCTACACGGGTGCAGCAGCAGACAGCAGACACACACCCATTAGCCCGTTTTGCCTCCATCCGCAGATGGCAGCTATTACAGCAGCACACCGATACGCGAACCTTGTCGTCTGCAACGTGCTTACTCATGAACGGCTGGCTGCAATGTATTGGAATTTGGGGGGGGGTAACTAGTCAGCGTGGCTTGCATGAAAATGCTGCAGCACAACGCCTTGGCCACAACGCCTTGGCAACCCTCCCTAAGTCGGGTATCACAAACCACAGACATTTAGACAATAATGCGCCAAGTGAATTGAGACGCACTCTCGCTGCCCAAGTGCAAGGTAGGTCGAAGGTAGGTCCACCAGTTCTGCAGGGTAGACTGTAGAGAACTGTGCCCTGTATTCCAGTACAACAGTGCTCTGTGTAGGGCACTGAGGGAAGCAGGCTGACTGCCACAGGTCTGTAGAACTCTGCTACAGGCCTGCCACTTAGACTGTGAGGACTCTGCTCAGTAGTCTACCTCGTAGGCTGCAGGGGACTCTACCCTGCAGTCAGGGTTTTCGGGGGCAACAGAAGGTGCTGAAGAAGACTGAGAGGAGTTGTATTATAGAGAGACTATAGTACAAAGAGTGGCGAGTGCGTTAGAGATAACGAAAACCACCATCCGCGTTGTCGAAAACGACTTCGTTTTGACGAGCACGGAGACCATGTGGTTCGGGTTGACGGCCCGAACTTGGGCGTGAATGAAGCTGCGGCCCTGGAGATTGGTGGAGCGTGGACGGACCGTGGGCGCAACGTCCCTCCGTACGGGCGTCGGCACCAGGGGTGGTAGTGGTACGGGTGTCAGGGATGGAATTAAGATAGATTTCGAGTCTGCAATTGGAATACGATTTCCCGCAAACGTCGCTCTCGCTGCCCCGAATGTGGGAACCAAGAGCAGCAAAGATGGAGAATGAAGCCACATGATCTCTCAGGCGTAAAGCTGGTGTCCGGTTTACAGATTAATAGTGCGTTGCAAAGTGAGGAGAGGTGGTAGCCAAGGGCGGATGTACGAAGACTAGAAACATGGAAACAGCAGAATTCCTCAAGATAGCCGTACGACAGCTGTATCAAGATTTATATGAAGTTGCCAGCTCAACTTCGGGTATCATGTGGTCCGACCATGAACTCCAGGCCTACGCCAGAAGCTTCAGGTCCATGTCGCTATGGCGAGGGCGGTAGCCCCGGCAGAAGGGCCAGGATCAACTAAATGTGCCCGGAAGGTGCTGTGGTTCAATTTCCGCGGCGTTGGCGGGTCGGGGGCCCCAAAAGTCTTTGAAGTGAGCTAGGTGGCTGCCTTGGCGGCCGCACCTTGTCGAGCAGATCCTTTGGCTCTGCGAATGAGCAAGACAAAACGGCCAACCGCCAGGGAATATTTGCAGGCAGAAAGCGACCCTAGCGGACCGGTAGCCCAAGTTGCCGTCAGGAAACGTTCGCCTGAACCTAGGCTACCGGTACCGCCAAAATGAACTGTGACGTGTGGGCCTGACGTGTAGGGCTGGGGACGCATCCGTAGTGTCTCCAAATCCGCAGGGGAGACGCTCTGCGTCCCGGGCGAATCGGAGGGTGGTAGAGAACTGCGGTTGAAATATCAAGAGCACGGAGTCCGGAATAGCTTCGCCTCCTGTGGGACCACGTCAATCTGAATCTTCTGTTAAATCCCTGGGTCGGGATCCTGTGCGACAAAGATCTATCCAAAAGGATTTAAACTTTAGAAGGCAGTTGAGATGAAAATGCAACTTCGTTCATCAGAACTCGGTGGCGATATGTCTAGGCAGCTATCTCGTGGTCGTCGTGCTTGCCCGCGCAATTAAGACATTTTGCTATTTCTAGCGGCGATTCTCACAGGTTTGACTTTTTGAGCTGGGGCTGAGGCAAAGGGGATAGGGTGATGGATTCTGGGGGTTTGATGCCCTGTGCTGTCTGTTGCTTGCAGCTGGACCTTCCCTAGCACCTTCCGTGCCGGTTAACCACCGCCTTGCTCCTTCCAGTGACGGCTCAGTCAGTCGATTGTGCTCGACACGAGTGACGTTTTTCCTTGTACCCAAAATTAGAATGAAAAAAACCGGAACCTTGTAGTGCGAACTGATCTCGGACCCGCCAGGAAGCAAACGCTGCCGCATAAGCGAGGCCAATTTGGAAACCCCCCAGAAATCTAGCGAACAGATCACAGCTTAATTACAGAAGGTAAGTAAGTGGCGATACCCTCACCATCCAAAACAAGATTTACACGCTTCACGTTTTCCGTCTGAGCAATCAATAACACAGCAATTCATCAAAACATAATCCGTAGGTATTATCACAAAATCATTCTCTCAAATTCTCTCTAACATACGAAACCACCCCCCAGATCAGTTCATCTCGAAATCTCCACCAGCCGCCGCCCAATACGTTCCGCAGACATGGACGGGGCAGACGCGAACCCGCCGTAGACACGCCTCAGCCGGTCGAGCGCAAACGGGGCCTTCTCGACGACGGCCCCATCCAGAAAGAACTGGTAGTCGGACGTGCCAAAGACGGTGGCCATGACCATCCACTTCAGATTCTTATTATTGATCTCGGCCCCGACTGCGAGCACCTGCGGCTGCTGCGCGCGGAGGTCCTGCCAGGCGGCCATGTCGCGCCACAGAAGCCGGATGGCGGCGAACGCGTCACGGTCCCTCTTGTCGGCCGTCGCCGACGCGTAGTGTTTGGTTAGGTGCCAGTGCAGGCGCGGGCGCGCGAGCAGGCGGATGCCCAGACGTGCGGCGCGCTCGAGGTCGTCGCCGTGCGCGTCGCGCTTGTAGGCCTCGACTGACCCGCGCTTCGAGAGCGCGCGCTCGCGGAACTGGAACAGCAGGCGCCGCTGGGAGGCAAAGCCGAGTGCCAGCGCGTCGCACGCAGTGCGCCATGCTGAGTACCGTATGCGCAGCACGCGCTCCAGCGACGAGCCCGGCCACCGCTCCAGCAGCTGCGGGTCCAGCACCAGCGCGAACCGCGCCGCCGCGAACACGTCCCACCGCTGCGATGTCATCCCGGCTTCGACTGCTGCTATCGCTGTTGGCTGCTGTTGTGGAAACCGTGCCTCGCACACAGTATCCAGCCACCAGAAGCCGCCCTGGCCGTCGGGCTTCGGCCCCAGCGCCTTGTCGACCCACGTCTGGAGCCGCGCCAGCTGGCATGTTGGCAGCCGGGCGTCAGGTTCGCAGCGGAGCCCCATGTCCCGAACGTGGAGGAGCGCGACGTACTCGAGCGGGGCTCGGTCTTGGGGGCTCAGGGTGATGTACTCGGTCTCGATCGTCGGATTTGGCATATCTGCCCGAAACCGGCACACGGGGAATGTCCCCTGGACGAAGCGGGTGGCGGAGCCGTACTTGCTTATGTCCAGCGAACGGCATTTGCAGCCCGGGTTGACGTGGCGCGCGGTGGTAGTTGCGGATGGCGTGTGGGTGTGGGGCGATATGCTGACCTTGGCTCCGTCGTAGAAGGAGAGGTGATACCTGAGCTGGAGGCTCCTGGGCATCGAGTCCATGACCTTTCTGTTCCAGCCCGACCTTTCTAGCATGCTGTCAACGAGTCGGCTGTTGGTGTTTTTGGGGCCCAGTGCGTCCTTCCCGCCAGGATAGGAACGCAGTTTGAGCTCACTGATGATGGTTTCGTGTAGGAATTGGCAAGCCAAAAGAACATCCAGCACAAGGTTGACCGACCTCCGTTCCTCGGGAGTCGTGGCAGCGGAAAGCTGTCTATTGAGGGGTCCTATGGCCTCGTTGACGAACGAGATTGCGTTGGTGACGCAAGTGATGAGCTGGTCTACTGGCCTGCTGGCATGTGCCCTGCGGATCAGATCGATGCGAAGGTTCTCTGTAGACAGAATGCGTCCCTGGTTTGGTACAGTGCGGGTATAGCGACCTGGAATTTTATTATCTGGGATTCCCGTTGGATCTGCCAAGGCCTTGGTAAGTAGGCCGACCCAAAGCCACGCTTGAATGAACGGCCCTGCATCTCGAAGCTTGAGTCCTTTCGCTCGGTCTCGACAGAGCTTGGCTGTATCGACCTGACATCTGTTAGGGTAGTCACTGAATCCCAGCCCGTCGTAAACAAACGGAGCTCTGCAGACATATGGAATGTGCGCCAACTCGAAGGCCCAGGGACAGCTCGGTTTGATGATATGATCCATGCCGGGCTGGACTCTGGGAGGGAGGGCAGCTAAGTTTGAACGGAGATGTAGTCGAACTCCTGGCATTCTTTCTTTTGCTGCACAACACACAAGTCGTTCGGCAAGAAATAAGTAGACTACCATGGGCAAATGACCGGGCGGAAATCGTCATGGGTTTTATTTAAACAAGAATACGGATGAGTGTCTGAACTGTGTGCAGGTCAGCAATAGCATGGTACCACGCAGGATTCACACCACAGACAGGTAGGCATTGTCACACCCCTAGGAATTCCAAATGGTAATGCTAACTCTATACCATTGGAGTGATTAACGGAAGTCAGCGTTGTGCAGATCCCCCGTCAGATAAATGACAAGAGTACCTCCTGTGATTAACTCAGATGTTCATTGACTGGTAATCACCTTACATATCCTTTTATTCTGCCCTGGCCTGCAGTGTCACCTCAAACGTGGAAATCCATTAGGAATTCAGGATGTTCACAAAGCGACCTTGAATGCCCCACCAACGTCTTGTGCAACTTATTTGCATTTGGTATAGCTACCTTTCAGGTTCACGAGGCCAACAATTTGTTTGCTGCGGGTCTAGGTTCAACCTCGGATGTTTGCCACCCGTGTAATGCGAACTCGCATCAGATGGCCTCCCTTGGGCAATCCAAATTGCTTTCTTCGCTCTGAATTAATTATATGTTCGTCTCTGCTTATTGATAGCTTGTATAACGAACTCGTAGACAGAACTAGACACCCTTTTTCAGGCAAGTGTCAATACAAGGCTAACATTCATTCAATATCCTCATCACCTGACTACCATCTTTATCGACCTATATAGTAAGACCGCTGCAATGATTCTCAAACACATCCGTCGCCATAAATTCAAGAATTGTTGGCATCATTATCAAATGCGACGTAAATTTATTTATGTGGTAATTTTATGTGATTACACGTTTCTGTTGCGGGCTTCGTTACTATTGGTCATGACAGCACACATGGCAGGAGAACCCTCGACCAGCGAAACATTTGTCATCATAAATAATTTTGACCTAGGGTGGAATCCATGTTCCACCTTGATGATATGTTAATTCAAGCGGTACAGAGCATTTTGATGGGACGGCTACTTACTCCCATGGTGTGGAATTAATATTGGTATATCCGCGGTCGGGCTGGTTTTGAGACCTTTTGTCCTATTAGTAGTCAAATGTGCGCTCGGAATGCAGTATCATACATACGTGTCTATAGGGTGAGTCTGGAGCCAGTTGGAACTTGATATGCCAACCAACTGATGCGGCGGGCGAGATGAGTCGATGGCTGGCTTTGAGTTTGAAGGCGAGAATTGTAGAGGCCGTAGAGCTACTTCGTCAGGGTCCCCCCACGAGTTCCTAAACTGAGCTTGTAATGGTAAAACGATTTGTTTGTGGAGGACTTCCCTCTGGGCACTGGTATCTTTCCCCTCAAACAGGCTGGGCCAGAGACAGCGATGCACGGCAGCTATGAGGTCCTTGAATGTTTCTTGCTTGTCCCACAGCTCTTGTTTTTGAAACCAAAAATATGCAGCAATTAGATTGCCGTTGACGGTCAATTTCCCGTCGGTGGCGAAGCAGGTTCGAGGTCGCTCCTTGGTTATGTCGACGCCGAGCTCGATCTCGAGAAGTATGATTCCCAGTGCCAAAATCTTGGGAAACATGTGAAGTCGGCGTGAGGCCTCGGCGTCGTCGGGTTTCTGATGAAACCGAGCGGAAAGGAATGGCTCGTTGACAAAAATTCCGGCGCTAGACACACCTTGCCTGTGCTCAAACATGAAGTGTATATTGTCTTTTGTCCATTCGCGATCAATCCACTCTGACTCGTAGAACTGCCAGACCGTCTTCGCCAACATATAACACAGAAGTAGTCTCATCTTGCGTGAGAGTTTCTGGCCTTCAAGAAGTTGGGAGAGCGATACGCTGGGCATATGTAGTAGGAACGAGCTTTGTTGGAGACAAAACTCCCGGAGAACCAGTTTCCCATCGGTTAGACTCATGGAGATCTCCACACCCACGTTTTGTGGGTTTGATATGAAATCGCAAAATCCGCCTGACTCGACAATACGGGACGGACTATGGTCTGATTCGCGCAAGGGATCGTCCAAGAACGAGACACTAGGTAGGCTGCGTTAGCGATGATTTTGCTTTATAGCCCTACAGTAGCGGTTTCTGTTAATACCTTCTCATGACGCTAATACGGGTAGCTTGCCATTGGCAAATCCTTTCGGCAGCCGAGCTATGTGGGTGGCCAAGAAAGAAAATATTGAAAGTGACATCCTTGGCGGTCGAATCGCGACAAGCACTCAAACGTAGATGCGGTAAGATGAAAGTGCTACCAGAAGCATCGGCAGAGGGGCACACTCCATGTTTTGAAATTGCCCCATACAAACTTTGCGCATGGTATGTGTAATCCATCGTGTCCATGTCTTGTGTGGGCAGTGGTTTCACCGACATGACAGTAGTTTCCTCAACCGACCAAGACCTGCCCCGATTTGAGCACCTTTTAAGTGTGCGAAGGAATGCTTGTTGTCGGGCCTGGGGCTCGCGGGTGGCAAACTCTCGCAAACATTGTTTAGCTCGCGCTGGACTTTTGAGGAGTTGGGAAAGGCCGGGATACGGGCTCGAGGTTTTCAACTTTGCGGCGAGGCGTGTGAACTTATTTTGCTTCGAGTTCGACGGCCACTGGAGCGGTGTGGAAGAGTAAGTCAGTGTCTGTCTGTGTTTACAACAGGCGTCATAGTTGGGTTGTAATGTTTGGTCCGCCCGCACCTTGCTTAGTCTCTCGAGATTCGTGAGGACTTTGGAGAGACGGACTGTGGTCTGCGCATCGAGCGGGCGAGGTTGAGATTCGAGCCATTCTTGAACGAGAAGGAGCTCCGCTCTGAAGGAGGAGTAGAAAACGCGATGTTGATCCTCATTGGAGAGTTCGTAGCACAAGACCTTGAGCTTCTCGATCACACTGACCACGAAATCAACCCAGGACGGAGGAGGTGGAGGAGCCATGCTCTTCACTTCTCCCGCAATGGGAGAGAGTGGAGTCGGGCGGAGCTTTAGCTTCTGCAAGGGTTGCCGATCTGAAGATGGAGGGGTCGGTTTATCCCCGCCAAGGGCACGTGATTTCGAGACGATAACGATCCTGCCTTCCAATCGAATGGCAGCTAAATTTAAATGGCTTGGCTCGGACCCACCCCATGACGATTGGGGCTAACCACCAGAGGTTAGGCGGGTAATGCATTTAGCGCGGTGACATGTCCTGAACGGCGCTTCCTTTCCCGCACCCGAGCGGTCAAAACCATCTCCACTTCGAACCTGATTCAAGATGGATGCCAATGTTGATGATGAAGAGATCAAAACCTGGTTTTGGGAATGCAATGATCGCTTCCGCGCTTGTCTCAGCGTCGCGGTTTTCAGCGACGATGACTGGATGGACGACAGAGCCGCAGACTTCAACGTATGGGGTTTCTCAATCAAAGCGGATGCCACGGGACGCTCTTCGCTGGACTACAGACTCCGGAACTGGCCAGAAGTCCGTTCAATTGTGGTTGGTCTTCTAAAAAGTCTGAGCCACTGTTTGGGTACGACTCGGATTCCAATAGCCCTTGTCTATTCTCTGTTCCTGTGTGCTGTGTAGTTATTTTTGCTCACGCAGTACGACAGAAGCCATCGAAAAAGCCGCTTCTAGCCAAAATACAAACTCCAATCCCATTAGCCCCGCTGCGGAGACCGCTGGTGAGCCCGACGTCAATGCTTGGTCGGACTTCTCAGACGACAGTGATGGCGCCGAGCAAGAGACCAGGTTTCAGCCCTCCGGCCCATTCTCAGAAGGAAAGATTCAAATCGCAGCTACAATCGACCAGCTTGTGAGAATCACAGTTGCGATAAAACAGTCCGGAAACAGGAGACGACTAGACAAGGCCGACGAGTCTTTCGATGAGAGCAAATACCCGGATCTAATGGAACACTTTGTTTCCTTGATCCGAATAGCCCACCTTGATATCCGTGAGATATCTGGGTCCTTGCAAGCCGGGCTGGACAGCACGCTGCTCCTTGACACCGTCCAACGTCGTCTTGTCAGACTCAACCTATTACGGCACCACCGAATCAAGCATGCTACACGTTTCAGGAAAAAGGCGGATCATGTTATCATGGGCTCGGCTCCCAATATACCAAAGATTTCTGCCCTTGTCCCGACGGTTATTACACCGAGCAGGAAAGGGAAGAGACAGACGCAGGAACCGCAACTGGCTCAGGCCCAATCTGTTCAAGCTAGTAAAAGCGCCCAAACAACAAGCACCAACCCCACAACCTCCCAACTCACGGCAACAGAACTGGGCTCTCAATTTAAACTTCCTAGTGCCCCTGGACGAAAATACCCTAGCTCCATGACGAATATCTCCCGAATTGGCTCGAAGCAGGATTATCCAAAATTTCCAGGTACCAAGGGTTTATTCCATTGCCCATATTGCTCCCAAACTCTATATGCGGAGGACTTTGTAGGAAATATTTCCAGATGGAAGTAAGTTTCCCCGTCGGTAATTAACGCATCACCGGCTCTGCTCTTTTTGCCTTTCTCTTCTTTTCCTCCTTCTTCTCTCATCTCCCCTCCATTCCATTTCCGGCAGGCTAATACACAAGTAGGAACCACGTCGCACAAGATATCTCCCCCTATGCCTGCATCTTTGAACATTGCGACAGTCCAGATGAATTATATGTCACAAGCGAGGAGTGGAACACACATATGCGGAACAATCACAGCCAAGTGCGGTGGCTCTGCAACATCTGTATGAACAAAGCGACGTCATTTGCGACAAAGAATGATTGGGAATCCCACGTAACCACGAGTCACGCAAATTCATTTCCTCAGGATCAGGTAGCTGTCCTCGGAGAACTCTCCCGAAGGACTGTATATCTACCGCCGTCCTGCCCGCTGTGTCCATTTCTGCCTGATGAAGGTCAACAAGGCACTGAAGACCACATTGCGGGCCATCTTCACCAATTCGCGCTGCGGTGTCTTCCTGGTAATATAGATGATGGGGATGCGAGCTCATCAGGCTCTAGAGGCGCACAAAGCCATATTTTTGATTTTGATGATGATGATGCCGGCGAGGAATTTGAAGACGAAACATCCGACCCCGACGATAGACTTGCGCGGGCGAGGAAACGCTTTCTGGAAGCAGGACGAATGGCATACCAAGCTTTGAATTCGCACTTCAGCGGAAGCGACGAGTCTTCCCGACTAGACGTCAGAGCGGGTCTGGACCTTTTCTCGGACTCTAGCCAAGGCCTTCTACACCCTAGGATATACGAGAAACTCATCCAAGAACACCTTGAATTTTGCACGCGATCCTTTGTCAGAATCCGCCAATGCGTCGAGCAAGTTGAGGTCGGGAGCGGCGCGTCCCAAGCCGAGGAGACACTACTAAGCGAGTTAGGAACGACGGTTCAGGACGAGTGCGACATGTTGGATTCATTCTTGGAATATAACCGGCAGGGTTGGGACTTTGACATTGCATCCCCATTCAAACACGCCCCCAGAATCAGATATGAGCTCTCGAGACCTGCAATCGAATTTGAAGTCGTAAACCCCGAACTTTTCGTTAGCCCGGCTCAAGCATCGCCGGCCGAATTTCTATCAACACGTTCCTCTTTTATCCCCAAGTTCACGGCAGGTTCGTGCCGATATTACAGCAAAATAACTCGCCAACTCATAGGATTGAAGATTGCGGATCGGGAACTGATTTTCAATGACAACGGGAAACACGTCGCAAGAGAAAGGGAACAAATTTTAAGAGATGCCCTTCCCTTGCTCAGCGGGATCTTTCAAATCTTTTCTGGTCTGGAGAAAGAAAAAGAAGAGCACGATCTGTGGGGCGAGGATCTGGAACAGGTTCAGCATATAATAGAAACTGTGAAAGGAGAACTGCAGCACGTGGATTATTTGATGAGGAGACAACGGGGCTTCTTCAAAAGAGAGCGCGGATATTCTGACTCACCTGTATTGGCGGAAGGATAGTGTTGATCATCGACTGATTGCCGAAATGACTTCCATAGATCCAAGGCAATTTTTGAACAGATTTCAGTGCGTCATATCATTTGGAATATGGTGTGGTCATTCAACACTAATTATCAACGGCACCGAACCATCCGTCAATGAAGGCCCGCATCTCAATCTTCTTCTATCTTGGTTTGGACACAGTGCTAGGTTTAGGCTGTTGGATCCCGTACATCAGGCCAAGTGTACAACTTTACCATCGTGGTCTGGCAAAGTTTGCTACGGTGAGACGAGGATTCTGTTCTAGCCATTTAATTGCCTAGTTCTGGGTTGATTGGACCTCCTTATTTGTTGCATTGTTTGCTTAGTTTGCTAGTTCGTTTGCTCGCTTCCTCACTTTAGTACAGCGTTGAGCCTCGGCCTGCACGGCGCATGTCGGATTGCTCCATTCTGAAGTGTCTGGACTCGATGTGGGTTTCCAATTTCCCGCAAGGGAGATAAACGCCGGCGCCGGGGGTACTTTATGGTTTACTGCCCGCAATGGAAAGAGGAAGGGCCTGCGAATACATCGGGAGTCTAATTTCTTGCTCGAAGTAGTTCATTGGTAAAATCCCATAAGGTAAACTGAAGCAAGCCTCAACACCGCCACTTTGAGACTCTCCTGAGTACCTCAATTACTTCAGTTGGAGATAATGGATTACCACCTTATCTTCGTGATGAATTTAGCGAAACGCCCCCAGTGCATTCACACAGGTACCGTCGTCAAATTATCGTGCAGTTTAGAAACATGTTTGGCACGTCCCAGGACCCCGTTTCCTTCGGCACGGGTAGCTATCTCCAGACGGTGATATTCTTTACAGCTTCGACATCAAATTTGGTCCTCACCGCAGGGGCAAAGAACGCTTCAGGAACATGCAGGCGTGTTCATAAATACATGTACAGAGGCCATGATCCAGTCCCGAGTCCTCACAGCAAAAACACATCATATGCAAAGCTCACAAAATTGAGCACTTGCGACCCAGGAATCTGTTCCGGGGCTGCGTCCATCAGCCAGCATTTGAGAACTCCAGGCGAGTTAGCTGCAAATAAGCATGGAAGGTAAGTCCAGTGAGCCAGGTCTCTTAGTCGCTAAACCTTTGCTCCGCACGGTTCTGTGAGAGGAAGGCACTACCACGGCGACCGAGATCGGGTCAGGAAAGTCTTGCTCGTGGTAGACTTTCCAACAGTCGTGCCTTCCTACTCTCTCTCGTGAAATCATGACCCGACCGTGCAGTGCCCAGTGGCTTCCAATTCGAATCTACCGCACCGCCTCATAACCTTTGCTGTCCCTTCTGCAGTTATTGTATTCATTAATTAGCACATCCTCCATTTGCCCTCCGCCGTGTCCTACCACTTCCACTGGATGTTCACATACATGATCTGACGCTTGTTTGGTGGCCGCGATGGCAGCAACAACGACGATGCGCATTTTCCTCGTTCAGACAGCACAGGGCCTGACCCCTTCCTCGGGCGGCTACAAGGCAAATATCAGTCTGTTGCGCGAACTGCGCAGTTTCGGCCACGCGGCCGCCCAGATATGCTATGGCTTTGAGCACGAAGTCGAGCATTACGCCGAGCGGGCCGCAGCCAAAGGCATCGATCCCGACGTCACCGAGTCCACTGTGCCATTCGTGGACTTCAGGGGAGCGAAAAACAACCTGCTGGTCAAAACGTTCTTCGATGAGTACGAGATTCAGCACTTCGTCATTTCTCGAAGTCTCTTCAAAAAGGACTATCCACGGAAGGAGCTGTGGCAGGAAACAAAGGATTACATTGAGGTAAATGACTTACGCTGGCGTTCCTGGTACCCGTTGTTGGATTGCTGGGAGAGAGCTGACAGCCCTCTCCGTGCACAGACAGGCGAGGCCAGCGACCTCGTCAAGGCTTTGGTCAACCTTTACACCGCCAGCATCACCGAGTTCCGCCCTACGCACGTTGTCTTCAACGACGCCATGACCATGAAAATTGCGTCGCTACATCCCGACCGAGCCAAGTTCAAGCGGGTTGCGGTTGTGCACACGGCGGAGCAGCTCCCTTTCGGACCCTACTGCTCCGGACTCCCTGGCCACTGCATGTCGGCCGAGAAGGAAGACGTGATGTTGAGGGACGTGGACGGGATTTGGGTGGTCTCCCGCGCCATTCACGACTACGCTATCAAATACGGCAATCTGGAGACAAAGTTCCTGAACCACAGCACCATGACTTATCTCGACTCAAAAACCGGGGGGATACCAGAACGCCGAAGAAACGAGAACAAAGAAGAAGTGGGTATGATTAATCCCTGCCCGTGTAAAGGGCTCTCCATCCTCGTTGCTCTGGCCAAGAGGCTCCCCCACGTCAACTTTGTCACTTGGGCGAGCTGGGGCTCCAAGCCCGAGCACAAGGAACTGCTCCAGTCTCTGCCGAACGTGAAGTAGGTTTCTCTTCTTTGGAGTTTAGTCACGCCCATGCTTATTTGGTCCAATTGCAGAATCGAGGACACGACAAGCGACACGGATAAAATTTGGGACAGGATCAAGATCCTACTCGCGCCTTCGGTCTGGTATGAAGCGTGGGGAATTGTCGTGACGGAAGCACAGCTGCGCGGCATTCCTGTCATCGCTTCTGAGGCTGGAGGGCTCCGCGAGGCGAAGCTTGGCCTTGACTACTGCATCCCCGTGAATCTCCTCACGGGCGAGAAGGACGCCAATGGCGAATACATCATCCCCGACCAAGACATTACGCCGTGGGAATCGGCCATTGTGGAGCTGATGACAGACAAGACCAAGTATAGAGACCTGTCCAGCAACACATGGCGTACGGCATCTAAGTGGTTTAGCGGTCTGGACACTCGAGCTCAGGAGAAGTGGTTTCTCGACATGATGGAGGCCAACGACCCCAAGAGTGAGGTATGAACCTAAGATGGTCAACAAGGCCCGGCCCGCACTCACTAAACTTGTCTCTTCTTGGTTTGTTTGTCGGATATTTCTGGCATGCCGCTCTTAGTTGGATCCGTGAGCTAGACCATCGGGCTCAAGAGAAGCGGTTTCTCGACATGGAGGAGGTCCAAAGTAATCAGTAACGAACCTAAGATGGTCGACAAGACCCGTGTACCTCCCAGTTTTTGGCTGCCCAATTTCCTTTCCTGTACCCATTTTTCTGTAGCCAAGCACACAAAGCCCAGGACCCAGGCTCGCGGCCTCGGGGCAGTCCTGTGATGCACCGGCAGCATTTAGTACACACTCAAAGTAAATCAATACAGAATATTTTCTAATGGTTCCCTTTGTTTTCCATCTTTCTGCTCTCTTGACCTGCGGACCGGGCTGTCAATTAACAAGTTACCATGTTGGCAACCTTGAACCCTGTTCTCAAGCAGCCGGGGAAGACGTCTGCAATTGAGAGTCCTTGGAGCAGCTCGCTTCAAAAACTCCACGCCGAGCCGTGAGCGCCCGAGGAGATCATCAACACGAGCAAGCTTAGCCAGTTGCTCCAGCCATGCCGATCTAGCCTGCGAATTCGGGGACTTTTCTCATGACATCACGAGAAATGCGCTCCCCCAACTCCGGTAGCCAAGACACGGGCTTCCAATTGCAGTAGCATCTGAAGCAATGATGCGTAGTAGTGTCTTCTTGGCCACGCCTGCGACACCGTGAGCAAGCAGAAATAGTGTCATTTGCTTCATGCATTTATGTTTGAGCCAGTCATCATTGATGTAGTACACGCAGTAGAATGAAAGAACAGAGAAGACCACGTCGTTGAAGATTGCCACCCCTTGAGTTTGAGGCGCCTTGTGATATCGCCGTTGTGTGGTTGCTCATTGATCGGGCATCGCACACCACCATTCACGACACCGAACACCACTGTAATAATCTGAGCCAGGGACCTGTCGCCATTGAGGCAATGCCAAACACGAACATGATTTCTTCGCGTCCCGAGCTAAGCCCAAGAGTGCAATGAAAAAAAGAGAATGTCCGAAGACCAAGCTTCAAAGAAGCTATCAACACCTCAACAACACCATAAAGAAGGACAACAACCGCGGGCCGCCGGCACAGGACTCGAGGATGGTTTCTCAAGGGGCCCTAATCCCGATTACCAGTACCCCGCATGAGTTAGACGGTTGGATCGCGTGTGTGCAATGCGAACCCAACTACCCCGGCCCACTGAGCCCCTACCGGGTGTCGGCGGTTAGGGGCAGGCGCGGTGGCTGCATTATAGCAAGAGCTTATCTTTCCAAGAGCTGCGATGTCCGAAGACGGTGCGAGCGAACAAGGAAGTCCAGGGACAAACTTCGACACAAAGGCCCAGAATGTAATGAGTGGCTCTGCTGAGCCTGAGGTACGGCAGCCCACGGTGTGGTTTGTCGTTGAGTCGGATCGTCGGTCGAGTCGAGTCGTCGATCGAGTTGCGCCCCAAACCCCATATCCCTCACCATACCTCAGAATCCCAATCTCTTCCCTCGGCCAGAGCCATCCTCCTTCGCCATACCTCGAAATCCCAACCTCTTCCCTCGGCCATGGCTCTTTCCCCCCTCCCCCTCCAAGTTGTCGAGTTGGTGGTCGGGTCGGTTGTTGTCGGATCGGATCGTGGTCGAGTCGCGCCCCAAACCCCATATCCCTCACCATACCTCGGAATCCCAATCTCTTCCCTCGGTTATGACTCTTCCCCCCCCCAAGGTTGTCGATGTGTCGATGTGCGGTCGGATTGGCGTCAAGTTGTCGTCAGGTTGGTACCGTGGGCTTGTCAGTAGGATTAGTCTGGCAAAATGAAAGTTAGCTGAGATCGAGACAGCGAGGAAGGATTGAGAAGGTCAAATTACATGAAACAAAACGCAGCACAAAAAGCACGAAAGAGCGCGAAGCAAGAGCTTTCTCGAGATCCTAACATGCCTACAATGGCGGTCAAAGAAAGGAAGCGAACTTCCAATCTGACAGCTAAGGCAACTGAAAGCGTGCTAGGCCAAGAGAAAAGCCCGCAAGGGAAAAAGCGACAGCCATCCATAGCAGGAAAAGAAAGACCATTCTCACCGAAAGGTACCACCCAATTCAGGTGAGAAGGCTTCCCGATTCCCGGGGTTGCTATGCTTTGTAGTATGAAAGTAAAAGGAGGGAGATGAACATGCCAGAACCACACAGGCCAGTTTCCACTCAAAAGAAGCCGCCAGAGGGAACCACCCCTCCAGCGAACACCTTTTGGAAAGCTGTGCTGTGTGATCTGCGCGACGCTTTTGAGGAGGAAGAAGGGAAGGTACCAAGCCATCATGCTCATGAATGATAACCTTTACTGGGGGGAGCCACCCCGCCCGATCTTGGGTCTTCTGAGCGATAGCCGGTAGTGTGTGTGTGTGTGTGATTGATGAAGGGAGGAATGAAGAAAGAACGCGAGCGACGACGGCGATGAGCAAAGACGGCGACGACGTGCCAAGAAGTCGGTCTTGCCAAAGTGCCAAAGGGTAGAAAAAGAAAAAGCAAAACGCGGAAATGCAATGAGTGGTGGAAGCCCAAGGCCCGCGAGGTGCTGCAGTGTGGAGGAAGAAGTGCGAAGAAGAAGGTTGTGTGTTGTAAAGGGAAGGAAATTTTTTGAGGGGAGGAGGGGAAGGGAGGGAGGGTTTTATGCACGAGGGGACGGCCTTCGCAGGCTCGCAAATCACTCCCTCCAGGTAGGTGGGTGGAGACGTCAGGGACAATAGGGACGGTGGCAATAGGAACGACGAACAATAGGAACGGTTTTTTTCTGCGGCCGGCCAATGAGAAAAAGAACGGGGTGTGCGGTTTTCCGAAAAGGGAAAGGGGCCACCGGTTTTCGCGCGTGGGAATTCTTTTTTTTTCTACGAGTGGGGCTGCTGGTGATTAAGGGCAGGTTGTTCGGACGGTGTAAGGTGGGCGTTGATTAGGGGTGAGGGCAAAGTGAGGGCGTTGCCGGGTTGGCGAATGCAAAGGGGGAGCTCCGCGGCCCGGGGGGTTGTAACGTAATGGGGGAAGGGCGAGGGTCAGCCGTTGCTCCCAGCTGACCGATATGGCCCTTACCTGCGGGCGGGGAGGTCAGTACCATGACCCTAAGGCCCAGCCTGGGAGCTGGGCGTGCTGGCCACAGACGCGAGGGCGTTGTGGGGGGTAACCGGGGCGGTGCCAAGACATCAGAGCAATGTTCAGACGGTTGCCCATGGCGGGGCAATGAACCGCAGAGGCGAGGGGCATCATTATCACCGAGGCTAATTGCCATCATTACTCGTGTGTGGCTACGATGTATGTGGAATGAATGTGCGTGAAAGCATCACGAAAAATTGGCTCGCTGGAGTTGTTGCTCGTCGTGTCGAGAGATCTAGAGGCGTGCTACAGCCATATCGTCCGGACCGCGTCTCTGGAACCACGATATTTGGGGCAGACAGGATAACCCAGCAGCCAAAGTGTAAAGACTTGGCTGGAATGGAGGTAAAGATTAGCTCGAGGCATACACCCGTGACTCGACGCGCCGCACTTGCTGTACGCTCGATATTTTCCTTCCTTGGGGACATCCTTGAAGATCTTTCATACTACGGCCATGGAAATTTGTCTCTGGCGAGCTGTGTAGTCCTGCTAAAATGGTAGGCAGTAAGTGCAATTTCTTCCTCGTAGTATTGGCAATAGACATGAGCCACCCACCATATTCACACATTTAAATACCATTTAATTACTCTCCTCAACGACGTAAATTAAACAGCCCGTGGGACGATATCGAATTCCGTAGATATTAGAGACACATCGCATCCCATAGGGAAACTGGCGGGCAAACGGCCATTATTGTACAGATCCCAGAAGTTAATGAAGTTTCAACACGGCAGCAGTCGTCATGGAACAAGAATTATTATCTTCTACTTCGGCTAGAGCTTGGGTCTGATAATCTGCGTCAGCATGTGAATGGCGTACGCAACGCTCGCATGGCAAAGGCTCAAGGCCCTTTCTTAATTTCTTTGTCAGCGCTGTCTAGGAGCGACTTCTAAAGTGACAATCACGCACGGCATTTTCAGGTCACGGGTGAAACGAAGACATCGTGTACAATAGGGAAAATATGGATTTCTGGTTCAATAGCATTCATTTCATAATCCAAGATAGAAAAAAGTCACTTGAGTACAGTATGCACTCAAGTCGATCCCACATGCGCGGGCATCATCATCTAGATGTTCGCGAACTACGAAAAGTCCTCGGTTGCCTACTCATCAGCAAGTTAGAAGCTTTCGGGAGCCACAATCAAGAGATTGTTGGGATAGAAACGACCGTGGCACTTCTGGACAACCGTGGCGATGTCCGACCTGAACTTGTCAGCGCCCTTGGCCTCGACAGGCGTGCCCTCGACGGCAAGCGTCTCGAGCGTTGCTCTGTACTTGTCCAGAAAATCTCTCGCAGCGATGATGTGGTGGAAAGACTGGCGAAGCAAGTCCTGCGTTGTGTTGGCAAAAGGCACGCCAAACAAATCCTGCTGCACCTTGGAGCCAGTGCTCTCGGGGTCGGGATTCATCTCGAGCAGTAGCAAAACAATGGCGATGAAGCCCTCGCACGTCTCGATTCCGTGCTGCTGGTGGTGGATCAGCCGCTGGCGGAACTCGGCGGGGCTCATCTTGGACTCGTCTCCTTGCGACTCGTAGGCCAGCTTCTCTGTTGAATTGGGTTAGCATCCGGTTGTAGCCCGTTACCAGGTTCTTGTAGACAGCTAAGAAGGGTTGCCTGACAGACATTTTAAGGGAGTTCAAGGGTTGAACTAGGCTTGTAGACGTGTGTGCCAGGTAGGTGTGCTGAAAGCCTAGGGTGTGATTTGAAAGAAGTGATCGGTGATGCGGTGGAGGCGAGGATACTAAAAATAAGGCATCTACACCGCTGCTCAATGCAGTCATTGAATACAAATTCAAGACGGCAGCGAGCATTGGGGAATAAAGAACGCTTGTTATTCCGAGTATTGATCAATATGATTATCGTCGTTGGGTGCTGCCATCTTGGGCTTTGTGTGATGCGTAAGCTGCTTCGGACAAGCATCCTTGCCGTCCTTGTCGTCCCCTTTGACACGCTGTCTTGGCGAGTCAGAGAGCTTGGACCACACCTTAATTCAACACTCTCTAGGTGGCTGGCTAAGAAAAACACGTGCAATTTTTATCTCGTCAGAGGGCATGGAGCGGCTCCTCAAGCACAGCTTCTTGGAGCTATCAGCAAAGTGCTTACGCTGGCTCTGTAGCCTTGCATAAGGTAGTCAATTGGCTTTTTTTCTGGTGTAATGATTTGTTGTAGCCCCCTTTAGGTCGGAAGGTTGCAATGCCAAGAAAGTTGGAATAAGTGCACTGCGATTTTTAGCTCGGCGGAGGGCATGCACTTACGAGCAGGGTGAGCGGGGTTCCCAAGCACATTTTTAGCTCAGCGGAGGGCACGCACTTACGAGCAATCGGAGATTCGAGAGCGAGGCGGCGAGATGCCTTCAGTCTAAAAATTGCAGGGCATGGATTCCTCCCCCGCGGTGCTTAAGTAACCAACTTTGTCCCCTCTGCGGAGCTAAAAATTGCAGTGCCCGGAACCCGCTGTCCAACGTCGATCCTTCCAAAGATTTGGCATCCGTTAATTCATGAAAAACTTGTTTCAATTGAGCAAATAGTTCAGTAGATCAGAAATGATTTCATTCCAAAGCACATTTGTATGTACATTGGATCCAGTACGTCCTTGCCGTCGTGGCAGACCCTCGGCACTTGGGAAGACCCCGGGCCTGTCGGGAACTGGTCGCCCGGTATGGAATAGCTCGGCTTGACCCCTGTCGCTTGGGCTTTCAGCTCCCGGTCTGGGCTCTGTGTGAGGGCCTCTTCAAGTCGAGCCTCCCAACGCTTTCCTCATGAACTATCCGTTATCGCCACTGAATGTTTGTGCATGTATTACGAATAAACAGAAACCCGGTTGAAAATTTTTGCGTCAATGGCACCTTACCAGTACAAGCCGCTGTCAGCTGGTGGGCAGAGCATCAGAACCGTCAGAATCATCCGAACCATCATCAGAGCCAGCAGTCGCTGTTGGGACAGTCGTCTTCAGAGCCATCACCAGAGCCACCAGAGCTATGAGAGTCAGCAGCAGATTCGCTATTAGAGCCATGGTCAAAGCCACCACCAAATCGGTCGACAAGCTCTTTGCCCTCCTCGCCTTCTCGTCTGACGCATCTCGGGCTCCCGAGCTGCAGCCCGATTACACCATTCCGCAGCATGTGCTGGCCCATAGGATAGTCAAGTTCGCATTTCCTAGTTGCGTCATTGACCCGGCGTCTGCGAACAGTACTGCAGCAAGTTCAAGATTGACGGGCTACACTTAGGTGGTATCCACCCTAAAATGACGGGCGCCGATCGAGACTTTGAATTTTATGCGGGCAAGTCCAAACTGCCAATGGCGGCTGGGAACAAAAAGCTGTTGGGGCTATTTGCAATGCAAGCGAAATGGCACATACGACTTTCTAACGAGAGACGGCTTGGACTTGACGGTTCGGTCGTCCTGCTGCGCGGTGCTTCTCGGCCGAACGTCCTGCATTTCAAAGACGGAAAGTGCATCGTCGACATGCTGGCAACGCCTGGGCCTACGAGAAGCAAGGATAGTGTCGACAACGGCGGCGAGAACCGGCATAGCTGCCAGACCATCGCGTTGCTCATGGCCATGTCCCGGCAGGACAGCGCCGCCATCAAGGCCGGGACCTCCAAGCACACCATCACACTGCACCAGGCCGCCTACAGCGGGCACTAAAGCACCGTCAAGCTGCTGCTGGCCGCCAACGCGGACCCCAAAGCCACCTTCGAGCACTACGGCACGGCGCTTTACATCGCTGCGTACCGCGGCCACGCCAAGATCGCGCAGGCGCTGCTAGACGCTGGTGCTAAAGCCGACGCGCTCGACCGCGCCGACCGCACGCCGCTCGAGGTGGCCGCACTATGTTGCAACATACGGGAATGTGACGATTAATTTACGTAGACATATGAAGAAGAAAATCAGCTCGAAGTCTAAGAACGATTAGAGAGAAACCCGTGTCTTTATTCGCTCTTTAAGAAAAGGGCACAATTCAGGATAGCTGTCGCTTCACACTCTCATTGCTGAGTCGATCGTGACAAAATGAATGCTCGATGGCGTGCTATCCAGCAGTCAGTACTTGAATGAGATAGCTCTGGAAGCTGCGATGGATATGCCAAATCGCGACCGATGACGCAAGGCAGCGGCGACTTGAAATAATCGTCCCACCATCCAAACACTCCTACCCCAGACCCCTCCACAATACGCTCCCATCGGACGTCTTCTTCATGCATTCATTCACTTCATTCCTGACATGCCGTACTTGTTCTGCTTCTTTCTCAGCATGGCCGCCTCCTCCTCCATCAGCTCCTTGTCGATAATGGCGCCCTTGGCGGGCCGGTTGCCGTTCAGGGTAGCCTTTTCCACCACGTCGGGCGAGCATCAGCAAATATATACACACACCGGCAAGAGTAAAGAGGGAAACTTGCCGCCAGCGTGGGGTCCTTCTTCATGGCCTCGGCTTGCTTTCTCGAGATCTATTATGCCCCGTCGAGCACGTGTCAGCAAAGAGCAGCTCATTGTGCTGAAGACGGGGTTGTGTGGTGGTGGAAATGAGTTTCATGACTTATGATGATGCGCGAAGGGCGGGACAGACTTCCTCGTCGTACAAGCGATTCACTTCGCTCGCTTGGCTCTCTGCGGCAATGTCAGCATATTCTGCGTTCCACCAGATACTGACGCGGTCGCCGACGCACTGCCCATGTAGCCCTTCACGTTGACGCCGCTGTGCCTGCTGAGCTTGTCGACCTCGGACCGCTTGAAGCTCCGCTGGTCGTCGTCTTCGTACATGTTGGGACAGTCCACGTTTGATTGGCCAGCGGCGGACATGGCGATGGGCGTTGTTGTTGGAGGGAAGCAAGTTGTGGTGTTGTTTAACACGAGGACAGATGCAAGATGGGAGGGAGGGCAAGACAGGCGTCTCGGAGCTATCTCCTTGCTCGACAACTATTGTGTCATTATTAAGGGGGCAGTGCAAGCATGTCCTGGATAGTCGAAGCGTGGATTGCGAAATGGATCACTACTGGGATGTCGGTGGAGAGAAAGCGTTTGGATATTCGCTTTGGGTTGGCAGGTGTGGAGCAAACAGGGATCATGCTAAAGTGCAGCTATCAAATCGACTACACTTCTTCGTCATGGACATGAAGGACAAACATAATGACGTTTTTTTTGATCGTCGTGCGAGTCGGCCAATTAGCATCGGAGTTTACGAAGGTGATGGAATTGCTGCTGTGACGAAGCAGGTGACTCCTCGTCATGGAAGCCACACTGACGAACTTCAACTTTACGAGGCAGGTAGGCCCTGCAGGCCATGAGCCTTGCTCGAGGAGTCTATCAGACTCCCAATTGTTACCAATTGACCAAGGTATAGATAGAGAGGCACCTACGGAATTAGCGAACATGGACGATAATCATCGCTTCGTACCCGTACATGGCGGTCGGCAAACATCACAAAAAGCTCTCGCCTTCAACAACCAAGCATCCCGGAATCTCACTCACGCCGCTGGTTGTGCAAGCCATTTTAGTGAGCGCCATTTTTGGCCGCGTTCGTGATGCTTTCTCTCCGCAGTTAAGTAACTCCGCTTGACGCCAGCGATCCAGCAAGAAAGGCGCCTCATGAATCAGCCCGAGTGTTTGTTTTTGCTGGCTGCGTTTGGGCTTTGTTGGCTTTGAGCTGGCGAGCTTTGCTGTTGTTCCCTTTGTCCGATGCGTCGTTGTGAAGGCCCGCTTTTTTCGTTGTAATTATCCATTCCAGCAGACGTCGTAGTCACAATCGCCGTCCTGTTCAATATTTGCTCTCGTTGGCGTTTGGTGTCCGTCGCATACGACGTGGACAGCGCTAACCATCTAGCGAACGGTCATCGTCTTCCGAGAGACGGACGCGTCTCATCCCATCAACCCGGGCTGTCGGCATCGGGGCGAAGTAGCTAGCGAGCAGCCGCATAAGTCCCAGTACGATACAGTACAGAGATTACACCAGCCCGGCCTATGATGTATCAGGTCCAGCACCTATCTAAACAACGAACAAAGAGAGGGACGGATCTAGGGGGCTTTATCGAGCGGGACATTGGTGCGGCGTCACAGTCCACCTTCCACTGCGGCCTGAATCGACTCACGGGTCGTCATGCTGCGCTCGAAGTCGCCGAGGGCGGTCTCTGCCCTGCCAGTCTAGACCAAAATGTTAGGAGAGAAAGACTTTGGTTGGTGTCGGAGACTTGTAATTACTATCGTTGCCGAAAAAGGTGAAGGGTATCGTCGGGACCTCGGCGGAAAACGAGGCATGGGGTTTTTGGAGACCGTTGTCCGACACTGGCGTCCCGAGGACCGAGGAAGGGAGATTCCCCTGACTAAAATCCCGAAGGACAATGGCACACGAGAATTCGTTGAAGCCAAATTACTTCTGGCGTGCAAGAGCAAGCTTATCATCTCCAACATTGTGGCAAAACAGCAACATCTCAGTACGAATGTGGACACCCATCGTTAAGAATTCTTCGGACCGACTATAGGCGAAAGCTATGATCCTTAAAAGAGGGCAAGATGGCACGGAAATCGCTGGCTAGCCAGAGGTCTCACCTGTCCCTCGATCCAAATCCCAAAGATCATGCAAGAGTCAGGAGTTTACTATCGTTGTAGCAACGTTGATGGTTACTGTCTAAAGGCGAAAGCATCGCCCCCCTACCGTATCTAGAGATAACAAGAGCATGAGTCATATTGGCAACGACAAATGCAGGACTAGGAAAAGGGGACTCTGGAGGGGTGGCTGTAGCCTAAAAGAACACACCCCTTACTTGGCCTCGCGAAGGGCTCCTGGTCTTCGATCGGAGGAAAGACTCTGACGCTCGCAGTAAGGGCCGCGAGACGTGCGGATCTAACTGGGAGCTCTGTGTACTTGAGATGCTATTAACACTACCCGGCTGGAGCACAGGTACATACACAGACAATAGTGGTCAGCTAAACAAAACAAAACATAATGGGTAAGGGAAAATAGTTCTTGGGTATCATAGGTCCATTAGTATAAAATGTACTTGTGCGTACATCCAGCTCCAGCCCCGACTACTTCTGCCGTATGTTCTTAGGCTTGCGCTTCTTGAACACCACTGCCGCAGCATCGCCTTCGTCCTTGGGAGCAAGAAGTTCCGGTGCCTTTTGCTCTATCGCGGCGGCTTCTCCCATACCAACCTCGTCCTCGCTTGGCTCCCTTTTCAATGGCGGGATCCCCGCAGCCACCTCCCTCGTCTCCTCCCCGCCCATTTCCTTTCCCTCCGCCTTGCTATCGACTGCCTTGTTATCCTCCGCATTGCTATCCTCAACCTCGAGCTTGGGCGCCTCCGCAGTCTCTTCCTTTTTCATCTTGACTAGCGGCCCGCTCAGCAACGCATCGAGCTCGGCGTCTTCGTCGGTGGGCAGCCTCTTAGAGTCGATGCCCCATCTGCGGGGTCGCTTGAACAGCCCGTTGATAGCCTCCTCCTGTTTCTTCTCGGCTTCTGTGCGCTCTCTCTCCCGCTTGACGCCCACGGCGCGTGCAGCATCAGAGACTTCTTCCTTGGCTTCTTCGGGCTCGCCATCGTTGACCTTGATGATTCTTGTCGACGAGACGGTCCACTCGCCGGGCAAGGCCAAGTCGCCTCTCAGCGGTGTTGGTATGTTGACGCCCATCTCGGCGAGCTGTTGTATCTGCCGTTTCCTGTCTTCTTCTGTGGCTTGCTGTGGCGGTGGCGCGCCGCCCGACGTCGCTCTGCCGGGCAGGGCCCCGGGCTGCGCCGACGGGGCGATGCTCTTGGAGACGATTCCATTCAGTCGCTCGACTTCTCGTTTCGCGCGGTCCTCGTCGCGCTCTTTCTGCTCAGCGTTGCGCAGCAGGTCGCGGAGGGAGCGCTTGATTGCGCCCTGGTGCTTGCCCGTGGACTCGTGGTTGGCGCGCTCGAGGCCTGTGTCGCGCACGAAGATGGAGCAGTGCTTGCACCAGTACTTGGGCGTCGATTTCCAGTATTCCGACATGGCTGCTCGCAGGTTATCGAAAACGTGGGTGTTGGCGAGTCTTGAGAAGGTGCGCGTTGAGCCAGGTGGCAACGAAGATGAGTGCGGTGATGCTACTGCTTTTCTTTGGAGGTCGTTGGATGTGGGCTCTTTCTACAAGGTTAGCATGCGATGCGACCCGCGGGAGTGGTGGGGTCAATTCATTCCGGCTCGGCAGTGGCCCCTGCCTGCGCGTCCGAGCCCCACTGCTCTCTACAGGGGCCTCATGCCCGGACTTCCCTCGACAGTCGGCACGACTTGTCTCGACACGACACTTGACCCATTCACGACATGCAGTCAAACAGAAGCGTTCACGCGCCAGCGTGCAGAGCCATCGGGCAAGTCTGTCAAATTATTATTTTTTGTTCGTTCTAGTGTCCTACATACAATGCCGTTGTTATGTATTACTTCTTCCCGTCCGAATCGCTCAACACCCGTGCTCTCAAGGAGATGCTGGATTGCCTCCTGGTCTGTTCCTCCCATCGAGAAACAACGTTCCCCACCGTGGCGACGACAGCCCCTACCCCCCATAGAGCAAAAAGAAAACAAAAACAAGAAAAATAGAACAGAAAGCAGCGCGGGAAAAAAATGAGCTCTTCCCATTTTTTCTCCTCCTCCCGATCAAATGTGTCAAGATCAACGCTAGTCGCTTCCAGTGTGATTAATATTAACCCACGCGCTCTCTCTCGTGTCGTGTGGCCGACATGGATAGGATGCCTTTCTCTTCCTTCCCTAGATAAACCCGAAGAATTTTGTTATCCCCCTCCTTTAACCTTCCCCTGAATGACCCAGAAAGAAAAATGACAGAAGAAAATCCTAAGCGTCGCTCCCGAGATGTGTGCGTTTTTGCGTCTGCAAAAAGCTATCGCTGACGGCGTATACGCGCCTCGCCCGAAAACCTCCCATTATCCAGATCCAACCTCGGAAAAAAGTCGCTTCTGTTGAATGGCGTTAAAATGGCCTCGGTAAGAGCAGCTCCCACCCCCCAATCAAACTACTCGAGCGTTGTCGCTCAGAGGAACCAAAAGGCGCCGACGACGCCAAGCACAAGGGCGACGGCCGAGCTGGTTTGGACGCGGCGGCCGGCTGCGCTGCCGACGGGCGGCGCGGTGGGGGGCGGGGACGGCTGGGCGATGACGCTGGTCTGCGGGACGCCGGTCGAGAAGGTGGTGCCGTTGGTGATTCCCGAGGCCGGGGGCGCAGGGACCGACACGCTCACATTATGAGGCACCGAGGCGCTGGGCACGGGCGGCGGGGGGAAGCTGGGCACGGGTGCGGTCTCGCTGGCGGCGGGCGGCGGCGTCGCAATCGGCGGTGTCGCGATCGGCGTCACCTGGATCTGGCCATCGGAGAACTGCGACACTGGCGGGGCGGGCGGGGCGGGCGTGGCGACCGGCGTGATGGATGCGCAGGGCGTGGTGTGGCCCTGGACTTGGCCTGGCAGAAGGTGAGAGAGTTAGTTTGAGGAACAGGCAAGCAAGCAAGCATGCTGACACAAGGTGGCCAGAACGAAACGAAGGGGGTAAGCCGGGCAACGGAACCACGACTCATGCCTTCGTGTTTGTCTGGAGGGTCAAGAATGGTGGGGGTTTAACTAACCATCGCCAATCTGGCACATCGGAATCGCCTTAGTGGTGGTGACGACCTGCGGCTGGCCGTCGCCCAGAGGCACGACGACAGTGGTCTCGACGATCGAGGTACCGACAATCACACCAGCATTGCCCGCGGCGGAATCCTCGCCTCCGCAGGGCATGACCAGGATCTCGACGAGCGAGCACTGGGCGGCCCAGTAGCGGTCGTACAGGTTGTAGAAGTTGCCCGAGGCGCACTGGTAGAAGGAGGTCGAGCCGCCGAGGGCCAGCGTGCCGTTGCCGCACTTGGAGAAGCCGGCCGTGTAGATGGCGCCCGCCTGCGGGGGGCCGTCGAACTGGAACTGGTAGTTGCTCGCGATGTAGCCGATCCGACCCTGCGCGTCGCTGATGACGCCGTCCGAGAGCCCCGCAACGAGGATGCCGTCGCCGGAGCAGCTGGCGCGCTTCTGCGAGTGGGACAAGACCCGAGTTAGTGACCGCGGTCGCGCGTGTTTCTGCGGGGGTGGTCGTGAGCTGCCGACACTACATACCTGGAAGAAGCTATCTCGCTTGGATTTGGATCCCGTCTCGACAATGGCGATCTCGAACTTGCCGTCGACGCTGGGTTGGCATCCGTCGGGCGCCGACTCCTTGGGCGAAATCTTGTCGGTGACGCCCTGGGCGACCGCAGAGGCCGCGGTGGCGAGGAGAGCTAGTGCTTGGTACTTCATATTGACGCGACGTTGACGATGACCTCTTGCAGTAGGAAGCTACTTGGATTCTCGGGGGTGTTGCGGTTTTGTAGGGACAAACACAAACGCGGCGTTGCGGGAGTGGGGGGTGTAGCGAGCGAGCGAAGGAAGGTAGCCGTGTTTCGCTGGTGCGAGGCGAGGGTGAGGCGTCAGTCAGGTCTACGGGGGAAAGAGGTTTGGAATCGATCACGAGGGGCACAAGCAATCTAAGCTTGGGGAACGGAACGAAAGAGAGAAAAGGGAAAAGCCAGGTGCACTCGCGGCGGGCAGCAGAGACGAGAGGCTCCCATATATACGGCACTCGACCGATCCGTCCGTCTGCTTGCACACACATTACACCATGTGTCCATACGGTTACTCATGTTACCATTACTCACAGTTCTCCCGTCTTAGTGACTTGCGTGTGTGTTCCTGTTTTTTCCCGCCCGCCCTGAACTCGGTGAACCACGACACAACACAAACACCAGGTTTGAAGGTGGTCCATTGTCTGATGGCGGGGCCTACCTGCCCAAGGCTGTACCCAGGTACATGCATGTACGGGAGTACATCCGGCTCTGCTCCCCCTCTGCAGGCCCAGCGATCGCCCGCATGCACACAAATCAGGATGCGGCGCATTTGGGTACCTGTTGCTATAGCTAGGGCTCCTCATCCAAGACGGGACCTAAAATATTGTAGGTGGCAAACTTGGACGTGGGGCGGGGGTTGGGATGCATTTCCGTCTGCACTTCATCACCGTGGGTACGATACCGTATTGGTGTACATATACGTACAGTACTGTATCCAGGTACCTTTCCAGAGCGGTTCTCTACATACATACCAACACATGCACCAACTACCAGGTAAGGTTGGTAAGGTGGAGCTGCCAGCCTCTGATGTCAGACGGCACTGAGGCACCGTACGTGACTGGACACCCGGTGTGTCCTGACAGCCCGATACCTACCTAGCAATGGGCAGCCAGAGGTGCACTAGAAGCGCATTCGGGTCCGAATCGCTTTGAACTTGGCGGAAGAGAGCCTGCGGTGGTGCGTTTCTCTGAGCGCCCAAATCATCCCGTCCTTCAGGTAGCTAGCTAGCTGGAGGTATGTGCCCCGCAACACGGCAGCGCAATTGGAGGAGGCCGCAGTCGCAGTGGAGATCCAGCTGCGTGGATCAGCTACCTTGGGTCAACCCTAGGGCGGCTTCGGCCGGTTTTTTTTTAGCCACCAGTGAGGCCGCTCGCTCGCAATGGAGATGTGGGCGCCTTCGAGTGTCGTGGCGTGGCCGCCGCTCCGCTGCCTGAACAACACCAGGGACCGACCTTGCAGACGCATCACAATAGAAGCCGGAGAACACAAACACCTGCGTGCCGGAACACAGGTCTGGGTTGAACTCAAGGTCCTGGGTGAAATACAGGGAGTTTCTAGGGACAACCTACCAGGCTTGCATCCTCGAAAAGCCCTCGTTGCCATTATTTACCGTCAATACCCGTTGTTACGGATATTTATGTGGTTGGTGTTTTGGAGGTCGACCCTGCCTGCTCGTGCCAGCTGGACCACCAACTTCAACACGCTACAGCGCCTTCCTTTCAAGCCACACACCTTAGCTGCAGCGCTGCCTGCTGCATTGCTTGTTGTCGCATAGCCAGCCAATGCCCACAGACGTGAGGACAGCAGCACGCTACAGCAATGGCATCTGGAGCGACACAATGCACACTATGCACCCTGTATGCACTTTGGTGGCAGGATCGGGTTGCTGTTTGGTCGGCCAGCTTGGCCAGGAGGCGCACCACCTACGCCTCCCGCACCAATTGGCAGTTGCCGGGGAGAGCGATGCGCTGGGGACCTGAGCTTGCATCCCATCCCATCCAGGCGACGGATCCAGTTTACGAATCTAGTACTCCGTACGAAGCATCCGTACTCCGCGATTGTTGAAAGTATAGATGTACTGGATACATCACCCCTATTTTTTCGTCGTCTCCTTTTGCTCGCTCCAAAGAAGGCTCGGGCTGCGGAGTATTCATCACATGTGTCTTGATCCAGGGAGAAACAGTCTCGGCACATGGTCCCAGACGGCCTTTTCCAGCGCTCTCGTTGGTACGAGGTACGGATGGATACGGATACAAAAGCCCAACCCTCCTTTTCCATCCACGCGCGGTGGCTGGTGGTGTTGGGTGTCAAAATGTCTCCAATCGCCAGACTTCGCAGCTGGGCTTTTGGAGGTGGCTGGAAGCGTATGCGCCGCGCCTACAAGCCCCGCGGCAACCACCAACACGCAACACAAGACACACACTGGGCCCCTCAACAAGCCCCTCACCACCAAGCTTAAGACGCCTCCTACAACTTCTAAATCGTATTGTATTTTCTAGCGCTCTCTTTAGACCCGAGAAGTCGGTGGAGAAGACTGCACACATCATGCCGACATGGGCGTTTATTGTTATTTCCGCCAATGGCTTCCAGCTTTTCTTTCACGGTGCAGTTCTCCCGGTTCCAGTCTCTCCTGCATGACAAGAGAAAGGGTAACAAAAAGCAGGTATCCGGACTCTTTCCCCGCTCCCCCCTGCCTTGCCTTGCCTTGCCCTGCCTTACTTCCCCGGCCGAAACGGCAGGACAGTGACATTGACATTGACACTGGAAGGGGAGGCTACAGCCGGGAAACACGGAACAAGAGCCCCAAAGCTCCGAGCTCCGCTGTCAATGACATACACTGCTTGTCACGATGCTTTCTTCCATGTGTTTTCGCATGTTATTAGGTAGACCCTGTGCGACCCCGCCGTGAGCCCCGTAGCGATGACTTCATAGAGGTAAATCCTTATTTCGACATCAATACCCCTCCACCCGGGAAGGACCTTCTCCACCCTTGCCGCGGCGGCCTGCCTCGGTGGAATTTGGAAAAGAAATGGAGGAATACGGAGCACGCACGTGGAGGTTCCACAACTCAAGCTGGTCCGGCCGGAGAGGCGCTCCCCTTTTAGGGGGTTTTAGGTTGTCTATTTTGCAAATCCTAATCCCTTCCCTGCTTAGCTGTAAAGTCTGAAGTGGAGCTGAGGGTGGGAAGAACGCTAAAGCGGCAAGCCGTAGGACCCAGAAAATGGCCGGTTGGCTGGTGGAAGGCTTGATCTTCAGTGGCGCGGCACGCACTCGCCGGGCACCACTGTGCTGCGGGTGGGGCGCCCTTTGTTGTTTTCAGGGGAGCGACGATCTGCTCCGCGCTACAGTCGGCGGCCAAGAAAACAAGCTGCGCAATCGGCAGGAGAAGCCGAGCTGTCAATCAGTGCCGCGCAAGTCCTTTGATCTGTCCACTTTGGAGGCAAGTTTCAATCTCGAGCTTCTTGGGCTGCCGGCGAAGATTATTCAATCTGGCTGCAAACGCGTGCGACTCTGGGCCGGCGCCGCGTTGACGGAGGACGGGTACCGAGGAAAGTACCTGCGGCTTCTCATCTTCCATCTCTCTCCATTTCGGGTCACGTCAGCCAGCTTCCAATCCGTCCTCGTTCAACCTCCCACTTCCAATCCGTCCTCGTTCAACCTCCCACTTCCAATCCGTCCTCGCTCAACCTCCCACTTCCAATCCGTCCTCGTTCAACCTCCCAATTTGCACGGTCGCACAAGGTGACGTGCCTTTCTGCGCCGTCCGTATCCAGAGGGAGGCAGATGCAAACCTGGCCGTTCGGTTCGGCTGCTGGCCCGTTCTGACCTGGCGTGCAGCATGCATCCATGCCAAGGCCCTGTTTTTAGAGCGCCAAATAGATTGAGCCAGGGAATTGGCAGGACCTCGCGCGCATCTTGCCTCAACCCGGCAGAAAGATTCTTGTCAATTTCAGCAACAAAGCTCCCGCGTACTTATGTAATGTAATGTATCGACTCGGCGCTGGACCTGCAGCAGCACACCGATCGCCAGCAAAAGGCGAAGATGGCATCGACAGCCCGTATTACTCTGTTCGGACAGGCAAGTCGAGCCACGGCTGCGAACCGAATGCTTGGCACCTACAGGATCAATGACATCACCTCTCGCTGCCCTCTCCACAGTCATAAAACGGCTATTAATCCACCTCGGCGCGAGATGTGCCCGAATTGAGAACTGAGAGCGACAATCCGGGAGAGAACCCTGGCTTTATCGGCTCTTTCTCCTTTTTGTTCAAGAGATGGACTTGTTTTGGGATACGAGATTCGCGGCCGAGCAGTCTGGCATCCAAAACCTGACCTGACGTGACGTGATGCAGACAGATGCAGACAGATCCAGCCAGATCCAGACAGAGTACACGGTCACCAGCATCCATCCCCTCGGCATTGGTGCTACACACATGGACGCCAAGCTCTCTTCTCTCTTTGACCGGGCCCGTCGGTCTGTGTCCAGTTGCACACGCCGCACACAGACACGCACACAGACACGCACACGGCAAGCTTTCAAAACGAGGGAGAAAAAAAGGACAATCCACGGATGCGATCCCAATCCATCTGCAAGCTTGATGCAGAACAGCGGCGAACACCATCCCAACCACTCATTCTGCAGCAACACGCACGACAAAATTACTAGGCGATCGATCTCTCGCTAGTCCCGGCCCGGCCGGGTCGGCGCCCCTAAACAAAACAGAGAAGAACAACAAAAAAAACAAGGTCAACAGCCCGTGCCATGCATGCATGCATGCAGTGTGCCGTTGCACCTTGCTCTGAGGCATCTCATTCTACCCTTCTGGTGTGCGCGCTCGACTGCCGTGCTCCGCGACTGCTTCAGCTTGCTGCTGCTACGTACCTGCTCATTAGCCTCTCTCGGCTCCGTCCCGCAAGACCTTTGTCGTGCTTGCAGGCCTGCATGCATGTGAAGCTCAGATGCAGGGCCCCTGCGCGCTGCTGAATGCAAGACCGCTCTTGACTGGCGATTCTTCTACTGCGTAGTGTAGTGTAGTGTTGCAGATCGGATCGCGCTTGAGCGCAAGGCAGGGCGGCGTGGCTGCAAGAGCCGCGCGCTGCGAGCTGCGTGCAGGGTTTTAGACTAGCCTTTGCCTGTTGCTCTTCCTGCAGCCCTCTATGACAGGCGTGTAGGTCGCCCGTGATAATCGCCATAGCTTCGCTTTGTCCCTGCACGTCTTGCGTGTTGCCGGCGGGACCGGCGGGACGTATGTTGCAGTTGGTTGCCGTGGTTGTTGATGCTGCTTGGGAACGGAACATCAAATCAAGATGTGGATGGGTGGTCGTTGCGTCACACATGGACGGGTATCGCCACAAATACTGCTGCTAATTATAGGTCTAGAGATCGAGTCGCACGCACCGTGGCTGGCAGAGCAGAAAACACCAACCAACTAACGACTAGTTTGGATAATTATGGCCTTGCCCTCCCGCCAGAACTCTAGACTTTGTGTCTATTTGTGTCTATCTAAGCCGTTTTTCTTTCGATAACGGCAGTCTGCCCGGGTAGGGACGGTGTTTACTGTCTTGTCCAGCCAGAGAGGGCAAAGACCAGTGACGTCCATCTGCCGGTGACCAACAGCCTGGCTGACTATGAGCATAGCCTCTTCAAATTCAAGTTCGCCACACAATTATGACAGCATCTTCGATGATACACGGGTGAAGTCTGGTTGGTGTGCAGTGGCGAAATTTCTGTCCTGCCCCAAAATATGCCTTGTCTCAGGCCATAACCACTCTGTTGTCTCACCGTGAGGCAACTGATAGCATCACTGAAGGATTGGAGTCTGGAATGGAATCGGTGACCGCCACCAGCACTTGAACACTGAGCAGTGTATTTCTAGCTGTGTGTTTGTGTGAGTTGCTGTACTTTGCAACGCGGCTTCACTTCTCTGTCTAGACTAGACATCATTGATGATCTCAGCGCGACAATGATTACCGTCTCTTGATTTTCCCGGTCGACGTACTCTCGTCGAACTAGCGTGCGAAAATCGAGCAGGGCTCGTGTTCTCTAATAGGCTAGTTTTCGCCGTCAACCTGCGATGTAATTATATTTCGTAGACAACGTTTCTTGATTTCTTGGCTCGCTCCAACGGACGTAACCAGGCGGCTATCGAGCCGGTCTTGCCGCCTTGCGCACATTGCCAAGTCTCGCGTTGTCGCGCGTGTGTAGGTTCCTGGTGATGAGAGTTAGAGTCCAGTTCGGAACCACGGGCTCGTGGATTATCGGGGCGCAACACAAGTTGTTCGCTTGGTTATCCCGGACTTTGTTTGCCGCATGTCCTGAGGCGCTCATGTAAGAACCCGACTGAGAAGGCTTGGGTTACATATCAACATCTAGGTTGCACTGCCAGCTTTCTAATTTTGCTACCATCTCCAATCTACCCAGTTCGAGCTTGGATCCCATTTCTAGTAGAATCCACTGTCACCAAGCAAATTAGGGTTGGAAACAGTTTACTGGCTAGTCCGTTGCCCACGCTCTTTGGCGTTCCGAGATGAGAGTCGGCGTTGGGGGTTGATTTACTCTTGTTCAAACAACAAAACTAGCGGTTTGCGATGTGCCCGGACCGGTATTTCGGGGGCGAGAACGGCGGCGATCAGGAATATATCACTGACTGTCCCCTTGACATGTGCATGTCGACCTAGACGGCCAACAACGTCGTGGTGCTCAACAGCGGGCGCCTGGTGCGCGAGCTGTTCGAGAAGCGCGGCGCCGCCTACAGCGGCCACCTCTGGCAATACATCAACGAGTGGATTTTGGGTACTCGCCGTCGCAGGACGACGTGTTCGAAGGACACTCCATCCCCAAAGGCACGTCGGTCATCGCCAACGTGTGGCATACCCATCACTCGGCGGACGACTACGACGACCCGGACGAGTTTGTACCTGAGCGCTTCCTGGCGCACCCGTTCGGCATGCGCCCCGACGCGGCCCACGATCCCGCGCGCCTCGAAGGGTCCGGCCCGCGCCTGACCTACGCCTTCGGCGCTGGCCGCCGCATCTGCCCCGGCATGGACTCGGCGCGCCAGAATCTGGTCTTGGGGCTCGCCAAGGTCCTGTGGGCATTTGATGTGCTGCCGCCGGATAATGGTGACGAGATTGGTTTGGACATTGAGACGGGGTTTATCTCGGACTTGGTGCTGCGGCCGAGGCGGTTTGATGTTAGTTTGAAGCTGCGCGAGGGCCGTACTAAGGAGATCCTCGACCACTACCACCAGGCCTACGAGGGCCAGGCCGAGGTCATGAGCTAGGAAGGCAGCCTGTACAGGTAGGTGATCTGCTCGGTCGGGGCTCAGACTATGAGGGGGTTGCATCTTGTCTTTGAAACGCTGCTTGGCTGCAAAGGGGGTTGATGAATGGGGTGCTGGTCAGGTGCTTCGAAGTTTGTTTTGCGCGTACAGAGATACAGATTACAGTCATGTCACACTGTTAGCTAGCCCAGGGCATGCTGTCTAGCTTGAACTATTTCTTACTAGTAGCGCAACACATCTTTGACACGACAGAACTGCCTTTGATGTTGAGTTTAAAGCGGTTATTCTATCCTCACCTCTGGTGTATGCAGCCCATCCAAGAGCCCTGGCCGTCGCATCTCCTGAGTGCTAGCCTGTCGTACTTGGAGCTCAGGCCTAGAATTTGGCCCACATGGTCTGTTGCCGCTTTCAAGCCAATCCTTTGCGGACTGTTTATTGTGATTTGGACCGACTTGTCACCACTAAACAGGGAGCTCAACACTGGCGATCGAGATCTTATTTCCCCGTGTTTGCCTTTTACCATGGACTGAGTTTAAAGGACGGCAAGGTGCTGTGAGATATGCAATAGATGTTTCATTCTAATATAATGACTACCGCCACGCGGTTCTCGACGGGAATGTTGAGCCGCTCCAGCGCCGGCATCATGTCGGCCGCCAGCTGCAGCCCGTTGGGCGCGCTGCCGTCCTCGTTGACGTACGGCAGGTACATGGGCTCGTCGCCCGCCAGCTGCCCCGCCCGGTCGTACATGGCCAGCTCCAGGATCGGCTGCCGCCGCTCCGGCAGCCCCGACGAGTCGATCAGCGGCGTCACCGAGATCATGGCCGCGATCCGCTTGCTACACAGTCGAAAGTCAGAGACTAATTCATAGTTAAGGGGGATAGGCAGATGACGCACTCGAGCGCCGCCGCCGCCAGCGTCACGTTGCCGCCGAAACACATGCCCCAAAGGGCAATCTTGGTCTCGTCGGCGAGCGGGTTGTCGGACAGCCACGTCACGGCGTCGTGCACGTGCTCAGCCTGCTGCCGGGAATCTATCTGTGCGCAAACACGTTCGAGGTTAGCCTCTTTTTTGTTGCTGGGGGGTTCAGTTAAGGTAGGCAATGCGCGGTTGCGGAGGCAATTATTCGCTCAGCTCAGCTCAGGGGGAGCTGCTCGAAAACTCGCGAGATGTGGTTCAAGAGATCTTAGCTAGCTGCTTTAGCACTCAGGCATTCCACCACCCAAACAGCCAGCACCATGGAGTGGGTAGAGCCTTTCTTGGCTACGCTTGTGACTGTAGTCTCTTGTCACTAATCAAGGGCACAACCGCACAAACAGAGCGCCAACGTCAGGCACGCGTACCTACTCGACGATGACCCGCGCGTCTTCGATCGCGACTTCTTCGGTACCAACCCCAAGGAGGCCGAGGCCATGGACCCGCAGCAGCGCGTGTTGCTCGAGACGGTGTACGAGGGCGTCGAGGCGGCGGGCTACTCGATGGAGCAGCTGCGGGGGTCGCCGACGGCTGTCTTCGTCGGGTGCATGAGCTTCTACTACCAGTTCGTGGCCATCCGTGGCATCGACAGCCTGCCGCAGTACCACGCGACGGGTGCCGCCATGTCCACCATCGGGCACACCGGGGGCACGGGGGGTCTGGCGGCGTACCTGCGCTCGCAGCCCGCTACGCACCTGGGGCGGCTGGCGCACACGCTATTACGACGCAGTGACCTGTCGTTCCGGGCTGCCTTCTCGGCATCTTCAGCCGAACAGCTCGCTGACAAGCTCAAAGCCGCGAGTGAAGATCCCGCCATCATCAACACGCGAAGCACTAGTCCTCTGCCAGTGTCGCTGCCGCCGCGGATCCTCGGCGTGTTCACTGGATAGGGAGCCCAGTGGGCAGGCATGGGGCGCGAGCTATACGCGTCGTCGGCAGTGCCCCGTGCGCGCCGCGTCGATGGCCTCGGCGTCGCCCGTTGGCGTGCAGCTCGTTAACGAGTTGCTGGCCGTAACCACCAGCGACCCGTGTCCAAACTCTCCTTCTCCGCAGAAGCGCCGCGCCTGCTCCAGCGGCAGACCCACGGCCATCATTTTGCCGCGCTTGCCACCGGGGCCCTACGCGGGAGCCGAGTACACGCCACGGAAATGGGCCACGCGGATCGCGTCGTCGGCGCTGAGATAGCCCGCAGTATACGCCGCGGTAATCTCGCCTGACGAGTGGCCGACCACGGCACTGAACTCGATGCCCACGGCGTGCACCACGTCGACTAACATAACCTGCAGTGCCGTATATAGCGGCTGGGAGACGGGCGCCTCGCCGACGCGTGATGTCTCGGCTATTGCCGTGAGCTGCTCGGCGAGCGTCCAGCTAGGCCTGTTGTGTTGTTCCTCCTCGGGGAGCGTATCCAGGCTGTGCTGCATCCCGTCGATGGCCCGCCGGAACTCAAGGCTAAAGGCAATTTTGCTCGCGTACTCGCTATTGACACGACGTACCATTCGCACCATATGCAGCCGTGCGCGGGGCTATACTTGGCGTCGCTACAGCGGTGCGGAGTCCGCCTGCTCGACAAATAGGCACGACACCGGGTGGTGTGGTACTCGAGTGTGTGGGGGTCTAACGGTCGTAGCAAGTCGTTTGACGGCGGCGGCGGCGACCTGCTCGCGGGCCAGTACTGGGTCGGCAACCTGACTCGGCCGGTGCTCTTTAGCCAGGCCTTGGCGCGCGCTCTCAATGACGACCAGGTCTTTGACGTAGTGCTCGAGGTCGGCCCGCACCCGGCGCTCAAGGGCCCAGCGTCCGAGACCATCATGGCACTGGCCGGCGTGTCTCTGCCGTACTCGGGTTTGTTGAAGCGCGGCCAGAGCGCTACTGAAGCCCTCGCCGACGCCCTTGGTCTGCTGTGGAAGACCTTTCCCTCACCCTCACCACTTCCGACGGTCACCTTTGATGGTATCCGCCGCGCGTTTCCCAGCAGCGGCGGCCACCTGAAAAAGAAACAGCAGCAATTGCAGCAGTTGGCCATCATCAAAGACCTCCCCACGTACTCGTGGGACCGCCACGCGGGGTTGGTGTGGAAGGAGTCACGAGCGTCTCGCATCTTCCGCACGCAGGGCAATATAGGACTCAGCGGCCAAGAACCACAAATCAATCAATCACAGTTTTTTCTCCTCCAGATTTTACCACATCTTTGGCAGTTCTACTGGCACGATCACGCAACAGCCACGAAGGTAGAACGGAGAGGGAACACGCCACGCGCACAGAGAAAGAGCAAACAAAAGACCAGACGACCCGCAACGGCACGCGATCGGGCTTTGCGAGCGAGGCGGGCGAAGGGCACGCGCACACGAAGAATGCGATGAACCGCAAGTCAGGGCGAACGGCAGGGCAAAAAGGCCGGTATAGCATATGATGTGGTTATACAAGCAGGGCGGGCGAGTAGCTCGTATTATGGGATGACCCACAAGTCACAGCAAATAACAGGGTGAACGTAACTATAATTATTATATAAGCAACTAAGAGATAGAGATGGGATGCCCGTACCCGCCGTTTACCTAATTGATTAGTCGCAGGGGAAAAGGAAGGTTTTTTACTCTATCGTAAGAGAAGGGGTATATTTATGAGTAGTACGTACGTAGAGGCCTATATAGGTTGCTCTTTCCTTACTTGGGAATATGTCATCCCCCCCCGTCTACTTCGTATTTTCCCCCCGATTACCCTCGTCTACTTTACCTCTCCCGCTACCCCCGTCTACCCCTTCCCCTCCCCTTTCACCTTTTTCTCTTCCCCTTCTATTCACGAATACGTCCTTTCCAGCTCTTCCTCGCAGGAGCATTATGGCGACCACGGCTGGCGGCCCCTTCTGCCCACGTGCCAGGCCCCAGTGGCCAAATCTTGACCTCTCCACCTCATACGGCCGTGGGTATGCGGCAAGCTGGATGAGTAGCGTCCTAGCTACTATTTATATCTTTTCCAAATACGTAGATAGCGACGTCTATACTTTCTTGAAGTCTGATTACTAGAACTGTTACGAATCCTTGTTGAAATGCGCAATAGTGGGGCACGCTCAGTTTGGTGTGGACCAATCAGGAGCGTCCCATGGAAGGAACCAATTAGGAGTGTCCCTAGGTCCCGAGGTTCGGGACCACTTAAGGTCGGGGACGCGGGACAGTGTCCCGCGCGCCCGGCGTCCCGAGACCTTGCGGTCTCGGGACCACGGGCCAGTGGGACCATTATTATTAGTTACACAGTTAGATATATACGACGACCGTACCCACGGTCTTAGATAGTTCTTGCTTAGTTCTTCAAGCAAGCAATACACATTCACTGCACTCATACACTTTGAGTGGCATTCCAATTTGACTGTATTACCCGTGCGATAGGAGCTTGCCCTTTGTTCAATCTTCATAATTACCAACCCCAGCATCCTGTGGAGCCCGTGCTCCCTTACAAACAGACGACCTTAACAGTCGAGTGGTTTGTAATACAAAGGCCGCGGCCGATAGATAGAAACATTTTATTACTAGATATAGAAGGGCTATCGCCTCGAGACGCCAAGTATACTATAAGTCTCCTCGAACGTAATATTGTATAATCTAGTACTGCTATTGATTTATTAATTAATTAGGTAGCTAATACCAAAACCTATTAAGGAAAATGCGTACTAAAAAGTGTGACTATACTACGAAGGCTACTCAGCGGGATACGGCGACCTAAGCGCGCTCAGAAAGTACTAGATCCAAGTCCACGATAAGCCCCCGAACCCGCTTCGCTGCACCTAATGCGGCTATACTAGTCCGAGGCGAGACCGCGTCCGTAAGTACTTTATGAGTAAACAACCCGGTATGGTCATTCCCGAGGAGCTGCAGCCTCGGCGCAGGGCGTTCTCCTCCTTTTCTGCGCCTTCCGCTGTGCCTTCCGCTGTGCCCTCTCATGGGCACCCGATGGCGAGGAGGATATCTACCTGATTCACCGGCTACCAGGGCTTTCTACACAAAGGCAAATGTGGTATTTACTGGCTGCGAAAGATGGGTGTATCGATATTACTTGTTGTACATGGTGAAGGGAGACCAAGGAGTCATTCAGGCCGCCTGCTGCATCCCCAATTCAAATTACATCACCCCTAAGTTAGCTGCCTACTGAGTTAAGCATCGCTCTTCCTGTCGTTCTGCTCGCATTCTTGACCTGGCCTCATGACTAGTAACCCCTGGTGTTGGGTGTTTTGAGCTGACATTGAGGACGGTGAACACATCCAAAACCTCAAGTCCTGCTTTCATTCCACCTTTTCAAGCCGCGCCACGAGCTGCTGGGCCACGCCGTCACGCATGGCGAGCGCCACCGCCGCGAGGTGCACTGAAAGCAGGTGATCCGTCTGGGAGAGCTACCATGGCTGCGCGGCCACAAGATCCAGAACGAGGTGCTGTTCCTGGCATCCGGGTACCTAGCCATGACGTACGAGGCGGCGCTGCGCCTTGTCGACCTCGACGACGACCAACAGCAGCAGCAGCAACAACAACAGCCGCCTTCGATACGGCTCATCGAGATGCATAACATCGACATCGTGCGCATCATGGCGCTCGAGGAAGACTCGTCCGGCCTCGAGGTGCTGTTTACCGTCTACGTGACATCGCAGTCAGCGACGTCCATCACGACGTCCATCACGACGTCGGTGGCGTGCTACAGCGGCGCCATCAACACGGCCTCTCAGCAGCTCGATACGGCGCAGGCCTGGCTGACGGCGCACTTTACCAGCAGCGTGCGCGTCTTGCTGGGCGCGGCTGACAAGAAGGCGCTGCCATACCGCACCGCGCCGCTGCTGCCCCTCGATGCCCTCGACATGGACGCCGTCTATGCGAGCCTCGACAAAGAGGGCTTCAACTACTCGGACTTGTTCCGCGCCAAGTCGATGCTGCGCCGGCTCAACCATTCCGTCGTTACCGTTTCGGACCCTCCGCCTCCGGTTGTGGCTGGGACGGCAGTGCGTGCGTCCATCCACCCAGCCCCTGTCGATACCGCGATCCAGGGGCTATTGGCGGGCTTTTCGTTTCCAGGCGACGGTCGCATCGGCACCACATATCTGCCGACGCGCATCGAGAGTGTCAGGATCAGCATGGCAGCTCCGTCAAAGTCGGAGTCAGGCCCTGTCCTCACGGCCGACAGCGTCGTAATGTCGGCAGACGGAGCCACGCTAACAGGCGACATTGACATATTCGACGCGGCAGACGGGCACACGGAGGTGCAGCTGCGCGGGGTGCGCATGAAGGCGGTCGGGCAGCGGCGGACGGACCGATGGCTGTACGCAGGCACCGCTTGGGCGCGGGAGGCATCCTAAGGCATCGAGCCCGGGCTGGGCGCGCGCCTCTCGGCCAGCGAAAGCGAGCTGTACGAGCAGCTAGTGCGCACGGCCTACTTCTATTCGCGGCATCTGCGCAGCAAGATCCGGCCCGTCGAGCTGATGCTGATGGGCAAGTTCCGCAAGCACGTGATGAAGTGAGCCACGGAGCACCTACTCCCCGAGATCGACACTGGGAAGAACCCTGACATCCACCCCGAGTGGGCCTCCGACACGCTCGAAACCATCAACAGTTAGCGTGCCGCACAGCCCGCCGACAACAACGACATGAACCTGCTGCACGCCATGGGCCAGAGCTTGGTACCCATCGTGCGCGGCACCGTGCCCCCCCTGAAGATGCTCGTGCAGGACGGCATGTTGGACCGGCTGTACTTTGAGGGTCTGGGCTTCAAGGACGGTAACGTTGACCTGGGCGCCGTCGTCGGGCAGCTGGGCCACCAACACCCTCGCATGCGCATCGTCGAGGTCGGCGCTGGCACTGGCAATATTACGCGCACCGCGCTGTCAGCGCTCGGCACAAGATACTCGCAGTACACGTACACGGACATCTCGACGGGCTTCTTCGAGAACGGGCGTAGCATCTTCAGCGCCCCTGCCAGCCGCCTTGCCTTTAAGACGCTCAATATCGAGAACGACCCGTCCACACAGGGTTTACTGCCGGCTTCTCTAGACACTTTGCCGCCGCTCGGCGAGATCGTCATCATCGGTGGCGGCTCGAAGCTTGCAACCCAGACGCAGGCCCTCCTGCGCGCCGCTGTCCCCACGACCAAGGCCGTCGCAATCATACCAAGCCTCGAAGAAGTTGGGGAGCTACCCTCATGCGCGGCGGTGCTCTCCTTGAGCGAGCTAGTGGCAGGCCCCGCATTCCGCGACATGACGGCCGCACGGTTCCGTGGGCTGTAGGCGGTAGTGCAGACGGCTAGCGCAGTACTGTGGGTGCGGTAGGCGCCAAGTCTGGAAGGAACCCCGAGGCCAACATCACGGTCGGTCTAAGCAGCATGTTGCTAGCCGAGCGGGGCGATCTGCGGCTCTAGTTCCTTGATATTGACGACGACGTCGACGACCCGGTGGCAGCAGTCGACCCGTCTCTGTTAGCGACACTGTTCCTTTGCCTTGCGTTCACGGATGACCGCCAGACGCCAGAAGAGGGCCCGCTCTGGCCAATGGAGCCTGAGCTTGCCTTGAAGGGCGGCGCTGTCTACATCCCCCGTGTAGTCTCGCTCGACGCCGTCAACCGCCGCTCGGCTGCGCGGCACCGCCCCATCACGCAGACGGTCAGTCTCGCGGAGTCAAACACGGCGGCAGCAGCCTTACTAGCCGAGCGCCCGGGCGGCGCAGTCGAGCTGCAGACCGTTGATCACCAGCAGATTCTTCCCCCTACATCAGGCAGCCCTGCAGGCCAAGACATAGACGAGAAGCAGCAGGCGTTGCCGCTACTGCAGCTGCAGGTCACGGCATCGTCACTCTGGGCCGTAAGCGGCGGATTCCACGTAGTCGTAGGCCACGATCTAGCATCGAGAGACGAGGTCCTAGCTCTTTCCCAGTCAAACAGCTCACTAGCCACCATTGCCAAGCAGGACCACGTGCTGCATCGCTGGCGCAGCGCCGACGAAGCGGAAGACGACACCAAAACGGGAAGAATTCGGCCAAGCTGCTGCACAGCTTCCTCGCGCAAGCCCTAGCCGCACAACTACTGCGCGACGCGCAGCAGCAGCAACAGGCAAAAGCTGCGCCAGTCTGGATCCACGGCGCGCCACAGGGCCTCGGCGTCGCCATTTACGCCGTGGCCCGTGAGTGTGGTGTGGCCGTCGTCCAAACCACGTCAGACCCGACGCGGGCAGCAACACCAGGTGATAATGTCGCCTTCATCCACCCGTACGCTAGCGAGCGAGACCTGCAGGTCTGGGCCTAGGCGCCGCTAAGAGTTTGCTTGTCAACCTGCAGCCAACACCGCCAAACGAGGCGCCAGTGGCGCTGATCGGGCGTGCTTCTTCCTTGTCAGCCTTTGCTACTGTTGTAAACATGGAGGTTAAAGAGCTGATGGTCGGGTTGAGTCTCGCGGAGCTAAGCAGTCTAGCGGCCATGCAGCAGGTCCGCCTTTACAAGGAAGAAGACGAATACCCGTTCCAGGGCCAGGTGCTGGGCATCGACAAGATATCCGCCGAGACGAGAAGCAAGGAAGAGCTGGGCCCCATTGCCGTAGTTGGCTAGCGTGCTACTGCTGCCGCCAGCGATGACAAGAACAAGAACACCGTCACGGCCGTGGTCCGCCCGCTCTCGCACAGCGGCCTGTTCTCTCCTGACAAGACGTACCTGCTCTTCGGCATGACGGGCGACTTGGGTATCTCGGTGAGCGGGCGGATGGTGGCGCAGGGAGCGCGACACATTGTGCTGGCAAGCCGAGCGCCCCGCGTGCCGAGCAGCGTGGTGTCGTACTTTGCCACGCACCACGGCGCCGTGGTGCGCACGCTAGCTGTCGACATCACCGAAGGCGTCGCTGGAGGCGGGGCTTGCATCCATTGCCGACCTCCCACCCGTCGGTGGCGTCATGAACGCCGCCATGGTGCTGCGCGACCGGCTCTTCGACGACATGACGTAGGACGACAACTTCAAGGCAGTGCTGGGTCCCAAGGTTCGGGGAACACTGAACCTGGACGTGTTTGGGGAGAAGTCGGGGCTAGACTTCATCTGCTTCCCGTCGGCAACGCCCATCGTCGGCACCATCGGGGCAGTCGGCATACGCGGGAGCGAATCACTTCATGGCGGGGCTAGCGCGGTCGCGCCGGGGCCGCGGGCTGGCGGCGTCGATCGTGCACATCTCCGTGCTGACGGGGTTAGGCTACATCTTCCGGCGCGACGCGCATTACACGTCGGCCATCGACAAGGCGCTGCTGCCGCGGCTCGTGCGCCAGGCCCAGACGGACCTGCACGAGATGCTGGCTGAGGCCATCATGGGCGGCCGTCCCAACTCTGGGTCGGTGGCCGAGCTCATCACGGGCGTACGCACCGCGATCGTGGGCACGTAACCCAACGACGCGCGCCTGTCGGGGTACCTAGGACAGAAGCGGCTTGAGGACAAGGCGTCGCAAGAGCGGGCGACATCGGCGGGTACGGTGAGCGTGCAGGTGCAGCTGGTCGCAGCTGGCGACGACTCAGCGGGGGCGCTCTCGGTGCTGCAAGAGCGGTTCACGCAGGCGCTAGGCGCCATGCTCGAGATGGACGCGGAACAGATCGACGGCAGGGGGCCCGTGGCCAGCCTAGGCATCGACTTGCTGGTCGTTATCCGCATCCGCAGGTGATTTCTGCGCGAAGTTGGTGTCGAGGTCCCCGTGCTCAAGCTCATGTCCAACATTAGCTCCCTGACGTATCTGTGTGACGATGTCTTGATTGATTGGCGAAAGCGCGTGAAAAGGGCTGCCGAAGATGACAAGGATAAGGACAGGACAAGGCGAAGGCCGAGAACAAGAAGTGATCGCTGGTTATCTGAGTAGAGGACTGCGAGGGGGGCACCCACTTTGGATTTCTTTGGGATTTCTTTGACGCATTCAGCTTTGGCTTCCAAGGCAGATTGCAGATTGAACCATGGTGGTTCTTCGACGTTGTCGGTGGATGGTGGGATGGGGTTTCGGGTTGGAATTTTAAGTTGGTGGGCCGCGAGAAGACGTTAGACTTAGATTTTGGTGCTGCGGAGTTGCGGAGTTGCTGTCTCGGAGTTAATCTAAATTTACACATTACCACTTCAAGACCGTGCGCACCCGCCGTACCATGGACTATTACATAAGTTAAAGCTTCGCTCGGACAGTTAAGTAATTACGGTACCTAGCTCATTTAAACGTTAGGCATTTACATTGCCCGGTAAAGAAGAAGATGAGGAGGTTAAAGATCAAAACCAAAGGGCTAGCTCATCTTAAGAACTCTGTGCCCGCAGTCACGTCGCTCTGAACATTAGGATTCGACCAGGTACTTAAGCCATGTAATTAATCTAATTTAAACACCCTCTCTAGCTAGAGTCTTTTACTGGGCCGAATTATTAAGACTTGGAATTATCTAGCATGACGATGGGGCCACAGGCTATCCAGAACGGCTACCTTTATCATGGCTGTAGATAATCTGAAGTAATTGTACTTTATCTGGGTCATTGGTTGACTCGCACAGCCCGGTGGATCAAGGAGCGCAAAACAGCTCTTGGCTGGTCAGTCTATCTCGGTACTTAGCACACTATAAATAACACTAGCAAAAAAAAAAAGGAATATTGTTTCTTGTGATAAGTTCCCCAAAGTCCAATATTCAAGTCTAACTACCTTATCCTATGTAGAGCGCCACCGATGGTCCGGTAAACAAGATATGCGTACGTAAATGAGCAAATCCCCGACTCCCCGAGGCGCCAGTGCATGCTTTTCGAATCAAGCCTTTGACACGAAAATCTTCCCCTTCACGATTCTGGTTACCTAAATAATGAGTTAGCATTTCATTAAGCAATTCAGAGCTGACGGGGCACTGGGGCAGGTAAGGCTTTGTACTTACTATTTCCCCGGCTTCCTAATCATTCCAAATTCAATTCCCGCGACTTTGAACCAGTCTAGTCTTTGCGGCCGACTAGAGAATAAACACCCAGACCCCTGCAAGACTATACACATATAAAGAACAAAATCCCAATCAACATGACGCCCGGTCTCCTCCCATCCGCCTCCTAACCGCTATTGGAGCTCCGAGTGCTCCATCTTTGTCTGCAGCTCCTGAATCACCTGCCTGAGCTTCTCGTGTCCATCCGGTATTGCCCTCGCAATTGCTTGCGCAAGTGTGGGAAGGCACTGCGGTGCCGAGCCGACCCCTACCATCAGGAGGGCGTGTATGGTTGAGCTGTGGATGCTGCCCATGCTGGGCGTGTCGGGGGTCATCTGGCCGCCGCTAGACGACTCTGAACTGAAGCACAGGGATTTGTTGACTTGGAAGAGGCTCCGGTCAACGCGATTGATTAGGTGCATCAGCAGCTGGAGGACCATGACGAACTGGGCGACAGATGAGGGCCCTACTTCGCCGTGGTGTAGGCTTCGCTGCTGCTGCTGTTGGTGCTGGTTCTCGTTCTCAGAAGCCATGGATTCCAGGCACCGGTTTATGGCCTCGCAGATCGCCCTGAACAGAGCCATGAGGTGCTGGTGGGAGGCTAGGGCCAGGAATACCAGGCCAAAGTCGGTGGTGGCCGGGTCGATTGGTAAGTCGTCGCGATCTGAAGAGGCGGCCGCGATGTTGTTCACGATGCGTATTAGATTGTTTGTGTCTTCAAAGGCCTCGTTCACCTCGGGCGACGATACTGTCAGAGGCGCGCAGCCCGGGCGGCCAAGACGGCGCATTGACCGCGTGGTCCTCTGGCTAATTGCCGTCAGCTGCAGAGAGAGGGCGTCGGCAACGTCGTCGTCGTCGCCGCCGTCTTCGGGGGTGGATGGGCCAGCGGAAATGGCGCGAACGTCGTGGGCGCCCCCGAACGCGTCGGCGCCTGATTGTGCCGCCATGGTACTCGGCGGTGAAATCGGAGAAAATGGTTGGATTGTTTCCCAGCCATGGAAGCCGGTGAGGCCCCCCCTACCGGCACTGCTGCTGGCATCGTCAACGCCGGGGAACGGAACCATCAGGTCAATCGGCCCGCCGGCCGGACTAAACACGCTGGCCAGGCCTTGATTGAACCATGACGTGCTGCTAATCCCGGTATTGGCGTTACTAGGATCGAGATTTGCGTCTCTTCGCGTCGCGGGCTGGGCACCAGAAGAGGTGCGAGTCGACCTTTGTTTGACTGCATGAGTGCCGCGGATAAGGACGGTGGCGCGTTGGTTAGCTGGCGGAACTGGACTCCGCGGGAATGCGAGGCGGGAATTGAGGACAGAACATACGACTGTAGACACAATCGACATCGGCTTTGGTGCAGCGCTCGCAGCGAGTGAGCGACGACCGGTTGCGGGAGGCGGCGGGATTGCTTCCTGGACCTGCCCCTTGCGATTGAGATTCGTCTTGAAGGCATCGCACCTTTTGTTGCCGACAGCGGTCACACGAGTGTCGGTGAGACATTTTCTTCTTCTCTTTAGACTATGCGCTCCGAATTCTTTACCTCTTTCTCAAACCTTGACCTGGACGCTGTGTCTTTTGCCCAGGGGGGTCAGGAGTTGGAACAAGGTGATGATGTGCAGGCAGTGGCAAGGTGTGGCTGCTATATGTTTCACACGCGGCGCGGTCTACTAACCTCGGCTCCCGTTGAGAAGTCCCCTCTCAGCCCCGCCGCCCCCACCGTTTCTCTAATTCCGCGTAAGTTCGGTTCAGTTCAGGACAAAACGTTGATCCTGCATCCAACCTCTCCATCCAACCCCACTGAAGCTGCCAATTCGCTCGAAACCACGCGCTCCAGGTTGCCTGCATTTCGCAGCTTATGTCTACCTGCCAATACCTACTGACCGGCTAGCCATCTAAGCTAACCAGCTAGTTCGGCGTTAACGGGTGGACGTTTGATCGACACCTGTAAATCCATAAGCGCGCCAGAGTGGGCCCTCTTATTCTTAGCCTTTTCCTCAGGAAGTTCGAAAAGGGAATTTAAATCCACCCAACTCTCCAGACAAGGCCCTTGATTCACTAACCCGTCAGTAATTAACTTCCATGGGCATTGAGGAAGCACACGGGTGCCATTTGGGCTGTACAAAAACCGGCAGGCAACACAAGTCCGCGGTCTTATAGGACCCAATCCCTCCTGTGCGGCACTGCTCCGTGCTTCCAATAAGCTTGATGTATTGATCATGTGCGTCCCGCGTTGTTGGCCGAATCAACCTAATTTTGTCACTTCAGGTTCCCAACTATTCCTTACGGGGTACGGATACTGTACTCACATACCGTCCTGCAGGTATGGAGCGTCTTCCTAGGTAAGGTAGATCCCCTTAACCCGACATGGCGCTTCGAGTACTACCTACCAGTCACCCACTTCACACGACAGTTGGCAATTGCGCTAGCAACTGCAGGGTGGAGTATAGGATGGATAGACGAATGTGACAGCGCCCCACCGCTGGCCTCTTTACTAATAATATTATACGGTATACGGAATAACTGCCCTGTCTAGTGGGGGGTCGAGAGATTAGAGAACCTACCTTAATGTTGAGTGGGGTTCCCCTCGCTCGGACTAACATGCCTAAAAACGCGCAGGATCCTAGAAGCTTACCATCACTTCCAAGAGAGATCGACCGCTGGGGTAACGGGCTTGGACAAAGCTCCCGTGAGAAGGAGGCCCTAAGGCAGTAGGTATGCAGGTAGGTGCTAGGTAGGTCCATGCTAGCGCAATCTCTAAACGAAAGCGACGGACGGAACTTTTGTCAAGCTCTCCGTATTTAAGACGAACTGGCTTCCCCACAGCTCGAGTTGCCGCTTGCCTGAGAAGTAATAGCTTGGCTTATCACGGCGGAAAATGGCCGCGAATACATGGTGGGAATAAGAAGGTGAGAGCAGCCACTGTGGGTGAGCTGTCTTGGACCGAACTTGGAGAACACGTCCGTGTCGCTAAGAAGGTCGCGTGCATCATGTAGGTAGCGAACCTGTAGTGATACCCAAAGTGCTTTGCTGGACACAAATCCAGCACCCTCACGTCAAGATTTGGCCGGAGTCGGAAACTCGGGGTTGACAAGTTAACGCAGTCAAAGTTACACAGTGGCCTATACGCGCAGTAAAAAGAGAAAGATGAGCATGCCGCGAAACGATGTGGTGTGTTGCTTAGAATTCCCAAATTCAGTGGTCCCGCACTAGAATATGGCATGTCGTACGCTAGGGCTTAGCGGTTGCAGCGTCGAACGGTTCAAATTCTAGGGGACGTCCCCCCCAGGGCCTTTGTCGCACAGTGGGACAGCGGGGTAGACGCGGAATTTGTTTTTACCCGGCAAATCCAACACTCGAATCCGGATTCTTGGGTCTGCACTGCTGGAACAGTGTGGTTGCTTTTGCCCCCCATCTTATAAGATCTATCCTGTATTTATTCTGCTGCTCGTTCGCTCTGGTTGGAACTAAGGAAAGGCCGTTCTTGGATACTTCCCGACCTGAAATTTTAGCTCATAATTCTCCCTCACTAGCAGCCAACGCTAACTGGGAAGAGGGGCCGTTGCGGGTTATACCGTTTTAGAACGTGGGGTTTAGGTGGCGCTTGAGGTGGTTCACGGGCTTGGCCGTTATCCCAGCGGGGACGCGCAGTTGCTATAGGATCAAGCTTTAGCGTACAGGCGGCTTCAACCCCTTGGTACCTATAATGATGCGAAATGATGCCATTCTGGGCTTGAGTTGTAAGATTCTGGAAGAAGCTCTAAATTGCTGCCGAGGTGCTCGCACTCGACGATGCATAGAGCTTGTCGCCGAAAATCAAGGGAGGGGACGGGGCGTTAACGTCGTCTCGTCATCCTCTGGTGGTTCCACCAGATGAAGCTGAGAACCCTTACGGATGGCATGTGAAGCAATTCGGATACGAAGTGCCTAATCAGCCGTAGCTCCGTGGTCTTGCATCTAGAACGCTACCTGAGTCCTGGGGTGGTATTCTTCTTGCAACGATGAGCGAATGTGCGGGTCGGAGTTCCCTTTTCAGGTCAACTCTAATAGCATCATCCAATACTTAGTAACGCCAAAAAAGGCATCACGGTTACCCAACCCAGTAGAGATCCAGGTTTATGCTCAGAGGTCGCCTTGCTGCAGTGGAGGGTAGTACAGTATGGAGCACTATTTCTCGTCGCTCAGGGACACAGCAACCTTTTTACAGACATTCGTCTCGAGTCCATAGGCAACATTGGTATTGTTATTCTTCTTTTGCTGCAAGCCACAAACCAACTGCAAACTAATCGGTAGTTAAGCTGTTGCCAAGTCCTCTTGGTCACTACCTTATCGTGCCATGCCTGATCGCGCTCGTTCCCGCAGTCCCCCACAGCCTCCCGTCTTGACTGACTCTTGGCAATCGGCTCCACCCGTAGGCCCCTGGACAGCCCAAGGCGGCCGCTGATGCGCCGCATGCTGGGGGAACGCCCGGCGGGAGATACCAATTAGGCCACTGAGGATGCAACGGAGGACAGAATATGCAGCGGGCACTTCTCACAGGGGCTAGTGGCGTGATCCCGGTGTAAAGGTACCTAGGTTGGAGTTACCTACCTTAGGTACGCGCCCATTGAGAAACACTTTCTATCCGTAGGTATTCCGTATTTCTAAACTTGATTGCGCCACCGGCCTTGGGTGGCATGCGGCAGCCTTCTTTTTCGGCGATTAGTTTCCTTCCCAGCGGCATTCCTCTCCCGGCTTGGTCCTCATGTCGAACTGTCAGTTGCTTCTGGCCGATGCACGCATCCATGCAAAGTAAGCTTATTACCCCTCACAGTGGAGAGTGGAGGGTCTAGCAAGGAAGCAGCCGACAAAGGGCGTCGCCAAGCTTATTATTACTACAAGCAGAACCGGGCTGCCCTCCCGGTTCCAACCGGCCAACCTCGCCTAAACACATAATTATGCGTATATCATATTCGGACTTGCAAGTCCAAGATATTATACCCACCTTCCTTCCCAGATGCCCACATCCGGATACGTACCCAAATATGCCAAGCTTCGTCAGCGTCCGGCCGACCCGGTCCCTGTCTCAGTTAAGAGCGAGGGTGATAGGTATGCCCACTCACCTACCGATATGAGTCCGAGAGGAGGGGCCTCACCTATACGCTTCTCCACTTCTTCGAGCTTGATATTTCCTAGGACAATGCGGACGTCAACGGCAATCGATCCTACTGAGAAGAGTCCGAGGACAGGGCATGTGCCTTGATTTTCAAGTTTCAACTTCGCCACGCCCTGTCCATTGTCCAGCAGCAAGCAGATCAGCTCACCTCGGTCGGCCGAGATCATCCACGCGATCGGAGCGCTAAGTTGCTGACCCGAAGGCTCTCTATCATTCGGCACTACGCTGTTGCTTAATATCCACGATACAGTCGGAGGCGGGCGGAGCATGGCCGGACCGAATGGGGCGCGTGCAACGTGCACAAAGGTGCATGGTTTCTTATCTACACATGTAACACAGCTGCGCACAGATGCACGTACATGGATCGCGTGGTCGTTAATGTCCTGTGGATGACAATTCGGTTGACGTTTTGGGAAAAAGTCCGCGGATTGCAGTAGTACCTATCAACCTCGTGCACCAAATACACGAAATTTTTCCTACTGCAGTTCAATTCCTTTGCTTGGCGACATTCCTGACTACCGTACAGCCACCGTATTCTCCGTCTACTACCACACCCGTATAGGCTGCGTCTCTCTACTATGACGTTGCTAGGCTAGTCATGCAGGATTTCGGCATGCAGAGTCGGATGCGTTGGCAACCACCAACTGCCCGAGCATCTTGTCAAACACCGATGAGGATCGTCTGAGATCCGGCGGCCTTCTGCAATCGCCCACCACCCTCTGCAACGAAGGGGCTCTTCCGCATGATCCCGGCAAGTCTGAGGCGGCTGCAGCAGTTGGCCACCCCCACCCTTTAAGACCGTAACGGCTATGCCCGTTAGTACAGTCGCAGCGAAAGGGGTTTGGTAAACGGTAGGTTATCAATGTCTTAGCGGCCAGGGTGGCATGCAGCCGGTATCAGACTTGAAAGAACCGTACCGTGCCAATGAGGTTGTGGTAAGGGAGGCAAATGGCATGAGCAATCGAAACCAGTTAGCTATGTAGCCACCGTTATAGCTCTTAAGCTGACGATAGGAATAGTAATGGAAACTTTGATTATTGCGTGAAGAATTGTCAGCAGCAACGGCTCAAACAAGAAATTTGCCCCAAATGGTCCGTTCAGACGCCGCCGAGGTCTTGTGCTTATTAGACCACGGACTATCAACGTGTCGGTTACACAGCGTAGTTCTAGAGAAGAATAGAGAATAAATCGTCTCTGGACATGAACGTACATGATGGGAAGGAGTCTCAGAAAAGCAGCTTATGAGAACTGGCGATCAACAGCTGCTCTAATTCTAGGTTGGCTCCTACCCTACCTACCCGTCAGGCTAGATGTTTCCGGCAGAGACGACAAGCAATACCTAACCAGCCGACTTTTCAACTCGAAATTTTGCGTATCGATTTCAAATCATCTCGAACTGAATCGGCCTGTTCGCTATGCAGTATGCTAGGATAAGAAAGCAAGGCACCCATGAGCTGAAACATCTTGGCGCCGGATTGGCAGCCAACAGCCACAATTTATCGGACTTTAGCTCTTCTTCAAGACAAACAAACAAACAAACAAACCAATAGCTAACCTGACACGTACATTGACATGGCAACTGCAGCTATAACACAAATGCAACCTTCCCCTCTGGTTTGAGTGGTCGGGGAAAAGGAAAACTAGGGCGCTGTCATTGAAATGCACCTTGATTGTGAATATGATAAGGATATCGGCCGACGGCGGGCGGATCCGGCCTCCATGTTACTAAGCCTATAGACATATGGTCAAGGCGACTAAACCTTGTCTAGAGCCGTCTACATTCAACACTGCACTGGTTCTGAGTAACCCAGCACAAGCCGCTCTTGCGTCAACTTTGTACAGGAGGTTAAACCTGAAATTCCCCAATCAAAATCTAGAGCCTAGGTAAGTATTGATAGCTGCAATTGACCAATAACCCTTTGGCCCCATTGTCATTGTTACTTTTTAAAATTGCAAGTGTTAAAATTTTGAAGTAGAGAAACTAGTGCAAGCCCATCTTGCGATGCTTATATACCAAGGTACCTAATTCGACTGTTCATAAGAGTCCACAAAAGCAAATAGATGTAGTCACTGAGACTCCGGCAACCCCAAAACAGAATTTGGTGTTAACATTATACAGGTTGTCGTTGCACGGGGTGGTGTCCCTTCCTGAGACACTACTAGACTTCTCGGACGGGGGACTGCTGGACACGGTGCAGATTGCACCACGCGCAGCCACGCAATGCAATCAAGGACCCATGACCTCATTACACCTAGAGATTTGCATTCCAAGGAAATGAACAACATCAGTCTACAGCTCGCATAAATTAAGGTCTTTTCTCGAAAACTTCAAAGTAGACTAGGCCCGATTCTGGGCGTTGCCTTTTCGAAATTATACCATGACGCCTCAGGGGCGGGGCTAGCTAAAACCGGAAAACTAAACGGAGTTTTTAACTTAGCGGGGCCTTGGCGAAGTAGTTTAAAAGGTCGGCATCCGTACTACTACCTGCCTAATCAGCCACCCCTGCCCTTGGCTGCTTTGGTTGCTGCTTGTCAGAGTCGGGGAAACAAGCTCCCTTGGCTAAAGCGCAAGCCAAGCCCTGGGCGCTGCGGCCCGGCCCCAGCGCGCCCCACAGTCGGAGGCGGGGCGGATCGACATTGCCCCGTCTCCTCCGATATCTTGACAGTTTGCCCCACCGACTCCGAGCGGGCTGCCATATTGCACTGTCGCGCTCCGATTTCCTCAAAGTTTCTTTTCGCGTTCTGATAAATATCTGCCGCTGCAGGGCAAGTAGCCTGCTTCTCCCAGAGGCATGACGGTACTGTTGTTATCGTTGCTGCTGCCTCTCAAACCCGCGGTCTTATTCCTGTTGGGTCGCGTTTTCGCCGTTACCTGAATCCGTCAGAGACAGCAGAAAAAAAGAAAAAAAAAGACAAGGGTCGCTTACCGTTTTGCAATAAAAAAGCCAAATCTGCTTTTTTTCTTCTTTCTAAATATTTATCAAAAATTCCCCACCCCGTCGCAACGAGAGCTCTCCACAACAATGGCCGCCGCCGCGAGTAGCGATCTTGAGAAGGGCGCTCTAGTGGGCATGCAGCGCGATGCCCGGAGTGACCGCGACTCTGAAGCTGCCAGTGATAAGCCAGAGTCGGCCCCTGGTAGTGAGACTGAGCGAGACCCCGAAGACGCCAAGGAACCGGGTTCCGATGACAAGACTGGTGCTGCCGCCACGGCATTGCAGGACGCAGGCCCCCCTGATGGTGGTGCCGCTGCATGGCTAGTCGTTCTCGGCGCCTGGTGCTGCTCCTTCTGCAGCCCTGGTTGGCTCAACAGTGCGTTCTTCTTTTTCCCGCTTTTTTCACATCCACTTCTCGATATACCCTGTCTCCCCGCCCGCCTGCCTGCCCCCCCTGGTGACTGCCTAGGCGGTGATGACATGGGGGGCTGGAATGAGGTGTGGCATCCAACAGTGAGTAATAGAGAGAAAATGGACGCCGCTTGCTGACGGCATTGCTCCCCTCCCCCACCAGGCATGGGTAGCTTCCAGGAGTACTACGAGCTCGGTCCTCTGAAAGAATACTCCAGCAGCACGATTGCGTGGATCCCGTCGCTCCAGCTGTTTTTCCTGTTCGGCTTGGGCCCAATCGTCGGCATCCTGTTCGACAGATATGGGCCGAGGCCGCTCATCATTGCCGGGACCATCCTCCACGTCTTTGGCCTGATGATGGCGTCGCTGGCGACGACCTACTACCAGTTTGTCCTGTCCCAGGGCGTGTGCAGCGCCATCGGCGTCGCCTGTCTATACTCGCCTGGTAGGTCCAATATTCCCAAACCCCATTCTCTCATCCTCACCGGCCTCTTGTGTCCACCCCGAAAGCTGACTGAGTCATGTGCGAAATCGAATGAAGCGCTGGCCTGCATATCGACATGGTTCAACAAGAAGCGCGGAGCGGCAATGGGCATCATGGCCACGGGCTCGTCGGTCGGCGGAGTCGTGTTCCCCATCATGATCAGCCGCATGATCAAGCACAACGGGTACCCCTGGGCGCTGCGGACGGCCGCCTTCCTCGTCCTCGGCCTCCAGGTCGTCGCCTGCCTGACGGTGCGCTCGCGAACCAAACCCGTGCCCAAGAAGCTGCCCGCCGGCCGCCTCGCCGCGCCCTTCGCCGAGTCTGGCTTTGCCGTCCTGCTCATCGGCATCGTCTTCCTAACCTTTGGCATGTACATCCCCATCGACTACCTGCCCTCGCAGGGCTACAATGAGGCGCACATGACCGAGGAGATGTCGCAGTACCTGGTCGCCATCCTGAACGCTGCAAGGTAAGCTAGAATCCCCCCCAAAAAACATTTCTCGTCTTTTTTCAAGAGAAAACAAAAATGCTACGGAACGCTAACAGTTTTCCTCTTCACCAGTCTCTTCGGCCGTCTGGGCGCGGGCTACGGCGCAGACTGGATCGGGCGGTGGAACATGTTCATCATCGCGTGCCTGGTGTCGGGGATCTCGAGCCTGGCCATCTGGATCCCAGCGCAGACGGGCGGGATCACGATCGGGTACGCCATCGCGTTCGGGTTCGCGTCAGGCGCGTTCGTGTCGCTGGTCGGCGCGCTGCCCATCTCCGTGTCCCCTATCCCCGAGATCGGCTACCGCATGGGCATCGTGTTCCTCGTTATCTCCATCCCCGCTCTGAGTATGGCCCCCATCGGCGGCGCCATCCTGCAGACCGCCGCCAACGGCTGGCTGTCCCTCAAGCTGTTTGCGGGTATCATGTGCATCGCCGGCTCCTTGATTATTCTCTGGTCGCGCATGCTCTACACCGACAAGAAGCTCCTCAAGCTATTCTGAGCGACGGACCTGCGGTCGTGGAGTCGCCGTGAGACTCAGAGGGAACTGGATGGGCTCCTTCGTATGGGCTGGGTCGATTCGGAGCTAATTTAGAGGTAATTGTTTTTAGATTTCTCACAATCACCCTTTCCCGGAGTCATCTGTGTGTTTTTTAACTCTTGAAACCTGTAATTATGTTTACTGTCCTTTTTATTTTTATTTTTTATTTTTTGGCAGATCCTTGGGCTGTATAATATTCGGGACCGGCTTCATTTATATCTTGGTCTGCCGCATTCTTTGAGATGGGTGTCAATTTGGGAAAGATGAAACATGGTCTAATTACGTAGGTAGATAGGAATACTGGAGAAAAGGCCACATTCGCTTCGAACTGGCTAGTTACGGCTTACAGGGGAATTCCTGAACCCAATGCAGTGGTGGTTGCCGTTTTGTGATTAATTAATTCCTCCTCGCCGTTAATGCTCTATCTGGGGATAATTGACCTTGCTTGTCTTCAAATACATTCGAATTCAATGTCAATGTTTTATCTACTCACCGAGCCAAAGTCTCAGGGAATTAGGCAATTCGATGGTTTACCCAATCCTAAGGTAATCAAACTTGAGATCTTGACTTGATTTATTGACTATTGTCACCTTTGTGGCGCAGCGAGCTCGACAAACCGGAATTAGTTCTCTAGCTAATAAGTTGACTTCCCTGACTGACTCGGTTTATAAGGGTTGCCTTGAAGAAAGTAAACCGGCAGTTTACGAAGAATTAATGCTAACTGTGGCTAAAATAAAGTATCTGTGGCTGAGGTTGTGTGGCTTGGGGCCTCCAAGTGTGGCTCGTCTCTCCAGCGCAGCCTCAGCTCCACCGCCACAGCACTGAGCTTGCCCCTGCGCAACCAGCAGCGCCCAAGTCTTCACAACACGCAGATGACAGGCACTTCACCACTATTTTCTCACTGCAAGTGCAATTAAAAGCTCAACTATTAGCCAAACCTTCCAATCGTATCTGGGGGCGTACTGGGCCCAATTCGTACGTCAAACTCGTTTACCGCCATTCTCTCTCCCGTCCCCTCTCTTCCCCCACCTACGAGTACCACGAACGCTATCCTCACCGACTCCTCTCCAGACCGCGACGAGAGGAAAAAGAATACAAAATCCCAAGACTCACCACACACAACAGAAGAACAATGGCCGACGTTCGCGCGCTCCTGCGGCAGCAGCGCGCCGCGCGCCGCATAGAACATCCCCACGCGGCCTACTCGGATTCCGGCAAGCTGCTGTGCACCCTGTGCCACGAGCACGTCAAGGCCGAGTCGCTCTGGGACACCCACATCCGCGGGGTCGGTCACCAACAACGGCTCCAGACCCTGGCGCACGCGGCAGCAGCCACACGCAACAGTAAGACATCATTATTAGCAAATGGACATCAAAAGCAGCAGCAGAAGCAGCGGCAGCGGCAACACGATGCTGACGAACCATTAGCAGCAGCAGCAGACGCTCCAGCGGCGCCGTCCAACAAGCGGAAGCTCGACGACGACGACGACGACGACGAAGAAATGGGCGACGACACAGCTGCAGCAGACGGGGCGGAGGCCGAAGACGGCGTGCGCAAGAAGCGCAGCAAGCCAGACATGGTGCTGTCGCCGGAGGGGATGCTGACGCGGCGAGACAGCAGCGGCAGCGGGAAGCCGGTGACACCGCCTCTCGGAGGGCGGCGGCAGTCGATGACGCCGACGCTTGGAGTGGAAATTCAGATCCCGTCGCGGCCGGCGACGCCGGTGGCGCTGCGCGAGGGCGGCATTAGCAACAATCACAATGGCAGCTTCGGCCAGCACAGCGCCAACAGCAGCATCAGCAGTGCGTCGGCGGGGCAGACAACGCCCAAGGCCGTGGGCCGGTCGCCGCTGATACCGCAGGACGAGACGGCCGGAACAGCAGCGACGCCTCATCGCGTGCCGCACGCCAGGTTTATCGCCGACACAGCACCATCCTCAACTGCGCAACATCTAGCAATAGTAAGCACAGCAGCAGCAGCAACAACAACAATGGTAGACGAGGACGAGTGGGCCGCGTTCGAGGCAGACCTAGTGCACGGGGCAGCAGTAGCAGTAGCAGCCGCCGAGAGCAAGGCAGCCGCGCTACGCGTGCTAACCGACAGCCACAGCGACGCGGTGATCTCTGCGCCGGTGATGACGGCGGCCGAGGTTGCGGCCAAGTCTGAAGAGGAAGAGCGGGCGCGGCGGCGGACGCAGGCCGAGGCGCAGGTCGAGGACGAGCGCGAGGAGGCGGCGCGGGCGATGGAGAGCGAGTTCGAGGTCATGGAGGAGCTCGAGGCGCGGGCGCGGAAGCTGCGCGAGCGCCGGGAAGCGCTCCGGCTGCGTCTGCATCAGGGTGGTGGTGGCGATGCAGCAGCTGCCGACGACGACGCCGCCACTGGCACCAAAGGCAGCTCCGCCGTCACGCTTGACAAGGAGAACCTCGCAGGGGGCGGCGCGGAGCAAGAAAACGGCGAGGACGACGATGACGATGACGATGACGACGAGGATGACTGGGTGGGCTTCCGCTTCCACGTCTAGGACGGGATTCGAACACAGGACTTCCCGAGGGAAGTGATTTACCGGACTCAAAAAAGGCCGGCTCCTTACCATGAGGGAGAAACAACAGTCAAAGAGCAACGACATGTAAATAATATTTGTACAGTAGAGTACATCAACACAGATGTAGATACCCTCCGTGGGCCTATGTGGGAAAGAGAGGTCAAATCTTTCGCCAACTAACTTGAACCGTCGCTGCAAACTGCATTCTGTACCGTGTCTAGTAGAACAGGGCGGCGGGCGTGCAGGATATACGCCGAACAGACAGAAAACATCACCTTGGGGAGATGACTGTTAGTGTTTGTTGCAGAGCCATCACAAGATGGACCGGCTATCTAGACAGAAACCAGTCGCGCCAGACGAAAGAGCCGGAATGCAAAATTAAATCCGCCCCCGGTATGGTATCTATCGTCCCTACCCATCATTCCTGCCCATCGTCTCAATCTCTATGATCCGACTCGCTCCCAAAACCTCCGCAGACGCCACACCCTCCCGACGCCGACCCGCTCCTCCCACATACGGATGCCTTCTTCCCGGGAGCGGACCTCGCCACGCCACACGGAGCCCACCCAGCGCCGCAGGCCGTCCTTGACGCGCTCGCGCTCGATCGCCCGCTTCTTCGCCACCAGTGCGGGCGCTACCGTGATGCCCGCGCCGCCTGGGACGCACTCGGGCGGCAGCACACAGCGCGTGACGAGTGCCTCGGCCGACGGCCGTGCGGCTAGGCGTCGCTGGAGCCGGATCGACACGAGGCTGCGGGCGAGCTTCCGCGACACGACTGTCGTGTGGGTGAGGAAGATGGACCGGCTAATCAGGTCCGCCAACGACGGCCGCGATGGAGATGTGAGCATGGGCGGGAGTATGGCGCGCGTGCGCTGCAGTCGGATCCGGTGCAGTATTGGTGCTAGCGATAGCTGGCGCAGATGGTGAGATGTCTGTGACGGTTCGTGTCAACGCGGAACCTAGCCAGCCCAGACGAGAATAAAGAGGGGGAGGAAGGAACGGATTGCAAAAGACAGAAGCCCGCTGTCCCTTCGTGTCAGACTCGAGCTTCTGCTGTCGTCCGATATTCCTTGGGAGCTGCGGATGGGATTGGAGGCGCTTGCTCTCTGGATCAAATTCTGACCAAAAATGTGACTAGACAATGGTCGAAGGAGGCATGAACTAGGATCGGAACCCACCCTGGAGGTCGACAGCAGATCAGAAACATCTAGATGACCAAGTATCTGGAGAAGCACCTCGTTTGGCATGTCTGAGAGCTGCAGGAAAGGACCACATCCCGGGATAGCGATGTCCACGTCAACGCTACCAGACTCTGACGCTGTCGACGTTATCATCAAATGGCTCTCCCCCATAATCGCATCGATAGTCAGCTCCTGCCAAGCATTAATTTCTGCATCGTTTTGTCCGTGCAGCCAACGCTCAGACTCTTCTGTATGTGGAAACTGTTGGGCAGAGGCAGGCGAGTGTGTCTCGAACGAGGGCAACACACCGGGGTCAGCATCAGGAGTCGTGTGCCTCGACGCTTCGGCATTGCTTCCAGAACACGATAGACTGTAGCAGCTAGCTTCGCTAGCAAGCTGAGCAGCAGCATCCGTGTCTAGGTCTGCTCCCTCGCCAGTCATGTCATAATCAGCGGGCCAGCGATGGAGCAACGGGTGGGCGCCTGGCTGTGGTAGTGATGCCATGGATGACGAGACTGCTGTCACTGTCACTGCCAAATATGGTGACTTGCACTTGATGATCTGGCAATCAAAACTCTCTACCCCCGGTCGGATGAAACTGAGAGCTTGCTTCTCTGTCCGCCTCTTGTCCCCCTCCCAGACTAAGAACGTAAGAAGAAGGGAAGAGACAGTGCGGGAGTGGGATGAAAGGAGTTCGGCGCAGTTAAGTTAGATATCGTCTATCGCTGCACACTGTGCCAGTCACACATGCCCAGCTTCGTTTCTTTCTTGCCACCTCGAGAGACGAGACTGACAGACTTTTTTTCGTGGGTTGCCAATCGCGGGCCTTGGAGGATTCTGCCGACAGGAGCTCGCAGAAGGTAGGGCCTCTTGACGACTCCCTCCCCCCACCCCTCTCTTTTCTCCTGGTGCGGCTAAAGAGGATCTCGTCAAGCAGCAAGGACAAAATCGTCTAGCGGGGTGGTCGCCGAGGCGACCGTCGAGGAGAGTTGGTGGCTGGGCGGGCGCTGAAGGGAGCTTGGGGACTCCGTGTCCGGTTTGACGGTGCGTAGGATCAGGTAATGGCCAACCTGCCGACGCAAGGTGAGCTCCTGGGCAGATTCTCGGTCAAGCCGCGGAGGAAGACGCACAGCATGGCAAATGACAAGAAAGGGCGCAAGAGGGGGGGGGGGGGGGGGGGGCTGAGTCAATCAACCCTTGGCTTCCGACGGTCGCGAGGCAGCGGGCGACGAGCTTCTGCTTCCGCCACCGTGTTGTGTGTTGTTTCTGCCGGTGCTAGTGTTGCCGGCAGGCGGGCGGTATATTGGTTCCACGTTAAGTCAATAAGGGCCAAGGATGTAGTTCGCAGCGCAGCGCAGCGGGCAAAACGATACAAGACGAGCGATATCAGGAATGATCGGCCTAGGTTTAGAGTTCAGGTGAGGTGTGTTGTTCGCTGTGCTGTTGCGCGAGTCCCTGTCTGCACAGGTCGGGTGTTGTTGGCTGGCGGTTGAAGTGACGAAGCTCCCGTCGGTGAGTCTAGGCTGGCTGCCATGGAATGATACGCGTCGTCATTCGTCGCTGTCACACCACCCGAGTCACCTGGCAGAAGCCTGGCAGTCTGACACAGCCGTCGTCGCTTGGCTGTTTTGGCGGGCTGCCGGCTGCTGGGCTGACACTCCTCCACTGCCCTACGTACTGTACAGTACATGCATACGGAATACTGTACGGTACAGCCAGAGCGTACTTAATGGCGGGGTAGGTCAGGGAAGTTTCGTACCTACCGTAGGGACGTACTCCCTAGTTTGGGAAGGGGCACCCCGCGCTCGCGCAAAGGCACCAGACCGTGACACGACGCGGAAAGTGCTTTACTGCCAACGGCAGGAACGGCAAACAGCCCTTGCTTCAGGTCCCCGTGCTCTCTCTCTCTCTCTGTCTCAACCTCCTGCCCTGTCCTTCTCCCCCAAATATCCTCCCCCCCTGCAAGCTTCCACCTCACCCTCTTGGCTTGCCTACTCCTCCCGTGCATGGGCTTCGGCCCCTGGGAAACATCGTGTTGTACACATCATCAATACCAGTCCGCAATAGGAATTATCGACGGTTTTATACCTGCACTGGCGGCACTGAACTCTTTCTTTGCTTGCCAACCCACCCCGGTCTCGCCGCGCCGCGCCTTGTCGACATTGGACGACAGCGACTGGTCGAGGATCAATCTCAACCTCCAAGCCCAGCGGCCCGCAGTGGAGCAGCCCGATAGCGATAACGAGGTCACTGCAACGCGGGGTTGATCAGAGGGCTGTCTGGAGCTGTTTGCCGCCTACAGATACCTACCCCTCCTTGCCCCGACAATGTGCCCCTCTGCCCCTCTGCCCCTCCATCTCCCTCCATGGTGGAGGAGGGAGGGGAACGGCCAGTGGAGGCAGAGTCCAAATTTACCACAAACCGGGGAAGTCGATTATCGCGGATGCAACGGTGGAGCCGGCGCGCCAGATAGGTTTCCTGCTGGCGATGCGGTGGAGGGTGGGTCATGATGTGTTTCACAGCTGCCCGCGTCTTCTGCACGTTAAATCGATAAGACAGGCATGGGCAAATAGTGGAGGATGCTGCGGGAGACGAGGTATCGATGTCGGGGGGAGCGATCGATGAGCGCGAGCTATTCTAGCTCAGGTACCATAACGTCCGGCCCAGTCAGCGCCCCAGTCCTCGGCCCTCAAACATATCAGTCTGATTCTAGAGATTATGGACACGCTTAAGGCAGACAGACACCAGGCGCTAGACACAAGGCGCCGTGTCTTCGGCATCAGGGGTGTGCGATTCCATTGCCAGTCCAGTGCTCCGACGGTGGGGAACACGGGTCCACTTGACTGCAAGCCTCTTGCACTAGAGACGCGACACCAACCCCAACATACAGCGCTGTATATGTGTGTGTGCGTATGTACATACATGCACTGCACTTCGTCTGTACATACACTCCAAAACATTGCAGCTCCAGCTAAGGTACAGTCCTGAACGGAAGGCAGTTGCGTCAAGGCTGGCGCGGCGACCTGAGGCGGACTCACCTCCAGGCCCCACTCCCAAGTCCACCTCAGTTGGTTCGATTGTTGGTAAATCGTTGGTGCGCCGAAGCTTTAGGAGGTCCTTCTGCCTTGGTGGCTCCCAAGTCAGGTCCAGGGTCTGGCGACTCGTGGGTACGCGCTGCAGGCTTTGGCAAGGCTCGCTGCCGCCGATATCACATCTCACATCCCAATTGCATCGAAACTCACATCATTCACAAGGCTTTCCCCAAGGCTCGCTCAATTGATGCTCCTGGTGCCTGATTTTCCGGATTTTGTCTGCCTGCCCGCCAGCCAGCCAGCCAGCCAGCCAGCCACGTTCGGTCTTGTTGGGGAAACGAACTCGGCTCAGGTTGCTCTCGGTCTGATCGCGGTCTGTGACGTGTTGGCGGGGCAGGCCTCTGGCGATGCGGCCATAGTTGCTTATCACTGTCCCTCGATGGGTTGCCCTTTCGGGAACGGAAACGCCCAAGGTCAACACGGCAAACACGAAGTTCAGTCCACAAATCCCAAACCACCCAGCGCTCTGACGTTCGGTTCGGAGAAGCCAGCGAGCACTCCAAACAACGGTCCCGACGCTGTGTCAGGACTCAGCGGTCTGCCAACACCAATCGGCCCATGTACCATTTCCGCGGATTCTCAAAGCCTTGTGTCTCGCAACCTGTCTCAACTTTGACCACAGCCAGCCGCTCAACATTGCCGCCATGGCGCCAAAAGGGAAAAAAAGAAAGACTCAACAATTAGACAGTCAACGTTTTGAGTGAGGATCTCTCGGACATACCAGAGACACGGTCTTGCTTGACCACTCGGAACATCTGCCAAGTTCTACAAGAACGCTGTCGTACGACAAGAGGCTAGATGGCTAGCGTGTCTGCTGTCGCAGGCGGCTGCTAACTGTCAATGCTCTCTGCAATTGTCGCATCATTAATTGCTATACATATATGCCGTAGAGACGCAAGAGACAATAGAAGTCAGACAAAGCATCCGACTCCGCCTACGCAAGGCCTGCAGCCTCCGCATATCCGATAGCTGTCGGGTCAATTGCTCGATCCACGAGCCAAAGCCAAGCATGATTGTCCATGATGAGAGGCAAATGCTCTAGACCTGGGGCTTGTGATGCTGGATGTTGATGGTTGTATTGATATCAGGCCCGGAATGGGGGCCTAGTGGTGGTGGTGGTGGTGTGTGTGGGTGTCCGTGGTGGACTCCTTTTTCCTACCCCTCGTCCAACCCCCAGTTAAGGCCAGCCAATAGAGGGCCAAAACAAGCCCCGTTGAGGCTGTTCCCAGACACGTCCCTCCGTCACCCGCTGTTCCCGAGAAGTGATCCGTCGTATCCCTGTCTCTTGCTTTGACTCGATCGCTTCAGGCCGCCTCATGTCGAACTAAATCCTTTGTACCTAGGTACCTGGACGACTCACGCTCGCACTCAAACACCAGTTCAGCCACGGTGCCGGACCCAAGAAGACCAACTCCCGAAGCTGGCATCAATCAATAACGTCAGCACAAGGCCGTTGCATCTTGTCACTTCCAGATTCATTCTAGAAGGTGTTAGCTTGTCCGCCAGCCTCCTCATTAGCCAGAATTCCATTGCGTCCTGCTGCCGCGCTTGGTACGTGCAGGAGCCGAGCTATCACGCTGCAGAAGCTTGCCAACACATGATTTGAAAATGGCAAAAATATTCCCGTCTGCTGCAGTGCCTGGAAAGGCCTGAAAACGCCACCATATGCACAGAAAACCCACTTTGGGGGGGAGCACAGAGTGTGAAGGGCAAGATAATCGATGGTGACCATGGGCTTGGTGGCGTCTTGTTGATTGTGAAGGGCTACCCGAGCCGCTACGACATCAGACCTGCGACAATCATGCCAAACACCGGATTCTTGTTTGGCAAGGAATCCCCACGTCTGAGGGAACGGCCCGCTCCTTGCTCATCAGGCTGGTCGAGCTTCGGGTCGTGGAATTGGGCGGGCTGGAATAACATGGTCGCGGCGTATAATACGGCTCGTCAATTGTTTGAACGGAACAAAAGGGCGCTTAAAATGGCTCTCAAATTCACCACAACAACCACGACCTGGCCGCCCTCAAGACGGCCATGTTTACCAAATGGCTCCGCCTTTACCGCTTTTAATCCGCTAGGCCGGCCTAGCGCCGGCCGTCAAAACATTGATTCCTTGCGACATTTCCTTTCCGCTTCCAATTTCTGATTTTCAAACCCGCATTATCAGGCGTGGCTGGCGTAATGCCAGCCGCTGTTTTGCCCAGCCAAGCAACGCTTTCTCAGAAATGTACAGCCAGACAGCCGGACAGCTCATCACTTCCCTTCTGGCCTTTGTTTCCCGGCTGATTGTCCCGATTTGCATGCAAGGGTCAACGTACCAGGTCTCGCTTGGCCACAGCCGGGCTCGAACCGCGTTGGTGTCGTCGGCAAGAAAAAGGGGGGAATGGAGAACAGTATCGGTAGCGTGTCTGTCATGCCCCAATCCCGGCCCCCCGACCCGGCCCAGGCTTGCTTGACGCGCAAACGAGGGCACCCAGCAGTGGCATATCTGGAATTGTGGCCGGATGCCCCCATGGATAGCCTGCGACTAGGGCACAATCTCGCCAGCCCGCATCAACTTGCGATCATCCTACCCGTCACCCCACAGGAAGCAAGGTGAGGTGTAAGTCACCGCCCCCATCGATGGCCGGCCTGGCCATCCTAATCAGCGTTCCATCCTGTTCCGCGCACGGCCAGGAAGAAACAACCGGCTGAAGCGGTATCCCGATCGCAAGGCCAAATGACTTGCGTCGATGTTTGCTCGGCCCCTTGTTTCTTGGCCTCTTGGGGCGCGGCCACGATCCGGATGAGGTGATCTGCATTCGATCCACCCTCGGGATGCGTCGTTGATCCCTGATATATCTCTATCCAAATTCATGCCGGTGAAGAGAGTCACCGAGACACGGTGGTCGACGCGCCGCGGCAAAGCCGTTCTCGTCCGGCCCATGGCTCGAGGCAGCCTGGCCCAGGTAGAAAGCACAAGCGCCTGTGGGCAACTTCGACCCACCGTTCCAACGAAGAAGCCACCTGTCTGTAAGTAACTGGGACAAACAAAGTTAGCAGAGATATACAACTCTGGGTTCACCGATGCAATATCACTCACACCTCGTCTCTGGTGGAGGGCGGGGGCCACGGAGAAAGTAAAGTGGGCAAGAGGAAACGAACTAGTCAAGGCATGCCACGTTGCACACTCGAATCCCCACGGCTCCCAGCCACCCACCCGCCGAGTGAGTGACCGTGGTGAGGATCTCCTCTCGGCTGGCCGTTGGCCGTCTTGGTTGGGCCCTAGACAGCCGAGTGGTTTCGTCGTCATTTCGACGCAGCGGGCGGCAATTCATGTGAGATCAACCTCCTGCGAGCTTGCCAACCCCTAGCGAGTGCTCGCTCGGCCGCCCACTTCTATCAGACGCCGAGCACAGTCGCAGCCGCGATGGCCCAGGCCCGGCGAGACCCACTCAATGACTAGTCCGTTGACCCGTGGGGAGTAGCGTAGCGGGCGAGGGTGGCGAGAGGCCAGACCCGTTTGGGCGATTGAACCGTGATCGAAGCATAGCAAAGCGAGCCTTGCAAGAGCAAGTGACTTGAAAAAAAAAGAGCAAATCTGTGTTTGCCGCGATTAGCTGCTGTGACGCTATCACATATCACATTGCCCTTTTACAACTCTCACCTGAGGTGGCTTGCACACCATCGCAAGTCGGCACTTGTCCCAGCGTGGCGGGCACTGCAACGATAATTTGCTGTTTCTGTCAAGTACAGTGACCACGACTTGCTGCAAGCTAGGCTCTTTCGGCCACGGCTACACTCTAGGATTCTCATTCCGAGTGGTTCTCCCGGGTAGAGTCTTCTCAAGGGGGGTGGTCACTAAAGACCCCCCAATCAACTTGCTCCCCTTCGAGGAGGCGGCAGATCATGCAGTTAAGACACCAAATCAAAGTCAGTGTCCAGATTGTACCCTATCCAGCCACACTGGAATAGCGTGTTTGCCTAACTATTAGACAGCAAAGCCGTGGCCCTAGCTGCCTACTGGGCTCTAAAAATGACAGGGGTAGACATAATAGTTCGTCGTGGGGACGAAACAGGACAATCCGGTGGTGCCAGGAGAACCTGCCATCCTCGATTAAGTCTAGTCGGGTAGCATGAGATCTCCGACCATCCCCGGTCATACACGACAAATGACAAGGAGGCTAAAAGAAACATTTTGTTTCTGTTTTTTTTTTCTTTTTTGTGGCGGCCGGGGCGTTTGGTAACTGGTCTTGGCTTCGGCCGCCCCTCCCCTCCCCCCCCCCCCCCCCCCCCCGGCCACCCCTGGCCGCGGCCAGCTCGACCCCACGCTAGCCGAACACTTGTTGCCATGTGGGCCGACCCGGAAGAGACCTTGACGGCCGCAAGCTCGAACGGGAAGATCCTCTCCCCGTGGACCACTAGGTCAAAACGAGGCGCTCGATGGCAGGGTGCGAGCACAGGCAAATCATAACAACAAGTAGCAGCACTACAGGGGTCCCCGTGTACTGGCTACATTGGGTTCCAGTTCCCTTTCCGCCCAGCAGGTCGCAATAACATGACCAGCGACAGGGGCCCGCGTCCATGCAGGGAGTAGCACCACACGGGCGGACTGAAAGTGTGTGAAAGAGAAGGGGGCAGAATGGGGAACGAGAGGGACAGAATCGAAGACAAAAAGAAGAGGCGGATATGCCTTTTCAACAACGGTCAGGCCGCGTTCGGGCCAATGGCGGGCGCTTTGGCAATCAACGATGCCCACCATGTTTGCCCCCCATCGATGCCAATGGGACGGTCCCTAGTCTAGCCGACCACAGCTTGCCCCGAACTCGAGGGAGACGAAGGGTTGATAGCGCGCCTCGGCGGGGAAGGCGTGCGGAAATACCGTGGTAAATGAGCCATGAACGACGTGGCTCCTATGAAGGCCGCTCCACTCAGAGAGACCTGCGCGGGACAGAAAACGGGCTAATTTGTCGGCAGGGTCCCAGGGTGTGGGCACCACACTCCCTACTACACCCCCAGGGCCGGCGAGGTACTTCCTCTTGTCGACGTGTGATCGCGAGCGTGATTGTCGACGAGGGACCCGCTAGGGTGGAAAGGTAGGTACCCAGCGGGGTGGTCTGTGACGGGGCCGGACGTCTCGTCCACTTTGAATCCCTACCTCGCTCTCATCTCCCCCCTAACACCACTTGATGTCATGGGCCATCCGCCGTGCCTGACGGGTCACCGTGTCTCGCACCCCTTGGGAGCGGAGCTGGTTCGAACGCGCGGACAAGTATAAGTACGGACCCGATGCCCTCATGGCTTGGGATGGAGTGCTCCTGCTTGCTCCCCCAAACGGCCATCCGACATCGACATTGACAGTTCCGAATTGCCTCACTGCAACAAGGGCCACAAAGGAAGACGACAAGCAACGGTAACGAAACAGACGACCTTACCTCTTCTTTCTTGTTGTTCTCGGCGAGACAGACTCACCAAGCTTCGAAAGCCCCAATTGCATCCACCCTCGACCCGGGCCTGCTCGTCGTGCTCCCCTTTCTCCGTTCTAGGTGCTGTGCGTGTCTTGACTGGGTGAGTTGTGCCTTCAGCACCTCCCTCAAGCATGAACGCTGCTGTTGTGGCACGATGGTGGTCGAGGGTGGCAGAAGGGAACCCGGAAGATAGCTCGTGCTAACTGTGGGATTGTGTCGAACCAGGTCAGACAACAGACGGCAGCCAGCGCAAGCGGGCATTATCTCCCCCTCCTCAAAGGCCAGGTGGACACGACCCTTTCAGAAAGGCAACCGCTGCTCTCTCCTTACCCGAAGAACCGCATTCAACGTCAGGCACACGTACTCCGCATACCAGACACGCACGACATTACCATACGGGCGGGATACTCGGACACTGCCGCGAAAACCCGCCTACAGAACACTACCAACCAACCCCTGCCCTGCCCTGCCCTGTCCCGCCCTACCCTATCCTACCTACATACCTCGCTAGCAATGTGCTACTTCGAGCAGACTCGCTGGAGCTGCGGGTACTGGAAGTGGGGGAACTTTCGCCAACAGTGCAACAAGGAATACCGGACAGGCGAGACGTGCGGGCTGAAGCTGGTCTACGACACGTCCTACATGCACGGACAGTGCAAAATCTGCGACCAGATCACCAAGAAGGACCGGCGCATGCGGAAAATGTCCGAGGACATCCAGCGGTGGCAGCGGGAGGGCAACCGGCGCGCCACCATCGAGAAGACGCAGCAGGACATGACCGAGATCCAGATCCAGATCAACGACCTCTGTCACAGCCATCAGGAGAAGCAACGGAGCATCTGCTAGCCCAGCAGCACAGCAACATGTTGCATGTATTGTGTGCTGTGCTGTAATGCGCTGCGCTGTGGCATCCAGAGATAAGAGTGGAGAGAAAGAGGGGAAAGGGGCGGTGTGCGTGTGCGTGTGCGTGTGGGAGCGAGAACAGTGAGAGAGAGAGGAGAATCAGTCAGAGGGACGGACAGTGATCGAGCGAGCGAGCGAGCGAGCGCGGCGAGAAGAGTCGGTCACTTGGATTGGGGAGCAGCTAATGGGGAGCCGAGCCGATGGCGCACAGGTGATGTACGCACAAACCCCAAGGGCGCGCGCGCTCTTTCCTCTCTCTCTCTCTCTCTCTCTCTCTCTCTTTCTCTCTCTCTCCTCGTCTTCGTTAGCTCCCTTTTTTCCGTCTTCTTCTTTTCCTTCCTCCGCTCGTCTTTTCATGTCTACTTCCTTTCCAGGGGGGGGGAAAGCCGCGGCTTGCGGCGGCCACCGTCTCCCGCATTGGATCGGACATGGCGAAAGGAGAGATCATACAAGGGGGCGGGAATTGGAGAGCAGAAAAACGAGAGTGAACGAGTGAGCGAGCGAGCGAATCAAAAAAAAATTCGGGCTTCTGTAAAACCAAAAAAAAGCAGAACGGAAACATTTTTTTGTCACGAACAAATTTTTGGGTTTTCCTTTTGCCGTCCTCCCCACCCAAAGAAAAAGGACCTCATGAAAACCAGGGAGAGAGAAAAAAAACCCGCGGAGCTGGCTGCCCAAAAGCTAGCGACGTCCCAGCCAAGTCATCCCTCCATCCCCCCTCAGGCGGTCAGCCAAGCCACTTTGCCGGGTACCGGCCCTTTGGGGTTGGTACCGGGAAGGGGGGGGGGAGGATATGGAGAACGGAGACGGCACTCCCTTCCTGTGCGTTTGCGCCTCAAGGTCGGCAAGCAGGCGTGCAGGACGAGCCCAAGCCTGGCTGCTGCTGCATGACCAGAGCCAGACCCGAGCTCGGGAGAGCATGGGGGAGAGCTTCGGGCTTCCTTTTTTCTCTTTCATTTCTGACGAGGGGCCTTACCGCTTTTTGGGGGTTGCGAGGTATTTTTTCTCTGGGTTTTTTCTTTTCTATTTTGTCGTTTTTGTCCTCACTCCTTTTCATCTCCCCTGGGTCTTACTTTCCTTTTTCTGTTCAGTTGCGTATCTGTAACGTCGACATTTCATTTCATCCAACTGTCATGAAGGATCTGGGAGTTCTGTCTTTTTCCTTTGGCTGTATCTTGGAAACCACGGAGCGAAAGGGATGGGTGGCAGGCGCGGCGGGAACCAAAAAAAAGGGGACCGGGGAATCAATATCTAACGAAATGGGGGGGAATGACGGTTTGCTCTATCCAGAAAGAGAAAAAAAACAAGCTATCTTCCTTTTTTTCCCCTTTCGTTCAATTTTCTCCTTCCCAGCGACGTATTGGGCATAAGTCGACAAGCAGAAACCCCGGCCTCGAATGATGCCCAAGAGGAGAAAATCGAACAGAAGAAAGAGAAGTACCGGTACTAACACTTCCCCCCTCCCTGTCTCCTCACCACTTCCACCCCTGGTATCAGGCTGGCCGTTTCGTGCCTGGACTGGCATTTTCTTCCTTCCCCCCTCCCGTTCCCGGATCGGCTGGTAAGAATGTGAGCGTGTAAGTGTGCGTATGGTCAGATTCAGATGCCGAGGGAAGAGGCATCCGGAGGGGCGAGATGCAGAAACCGGGGAACGATCCCACTGGCCTTTTCCCCAACAGTCGGGCTGGTCGGCAGGCGAGAGGGTGACGGGTGGGCCTCTCAACACAAGCAGAGGCTGACAGGTTAGGTAGGTAGCACGGAAAATGAGCTCATAGCACTCGCCTCGTCCCCCTCGTTGGGAGGGCCGGGTGCTGGCTGGCTAGCTTATCTGCTAGGCAAGCAGGTAGGTATTGCGTAAGTTGTAACTTCTAGGCGAAAAACGGCTCATCTGGGCGAATGAGGGTGGAAAGACAAAAGGGAGGGGGGGACGGCCGGCGTAAGAAGCATGCAGGCTGGAAGCATGTCTCACGCACGCGGAGAAGGCGAATCTAGCCTCGGCGGATTCAAGACACCCGCAAAATAGCTTGGAGAGACATGATCCAGAATGCTCTTTCCCACCGTTTGGCCGTCTGAAATGCGGTACACACGCCAAGAAATCAAACCAGGCCGTCTGCTGGCTTGCTCGAAATGGGGAGGGAACGAGGGGGGACCCTGAGTGCAGTAGACGGAAGATGGATTCACGGACAATCTGGTCTCCAGAAATGGGGGGCCAGGGCTTGGAGAAAATGGTCGGTAGACCTGCAGCTCTGCAGCGACAGGACCGTCAGACACAGAAACTCGCAAAAAAGAGGCCAAAGGAAGAGGGTGGCGAAAGAGGGGCGAAAGGGGCTGCAATGGTGGCTGTTGCTGGTAGGAACCTGCCCGAGCGTTGCGGCCCCTGGGCAGCTTTCTTGGGCGGTAGAAGCGGAGCCATAGCTGACGTGACGTGCTTCGCTGTACACGCTTGAATCCTGCTCTGGCTTGCTGTACGCCGGTGTCTGCTTGGGCGGGCTTGCTGGCGTTCCCCCTCCCCTCCACCCCCTCTCCCCCTCCCACGTCACGAGTCGTGGCATCCACCATCCTTTTCCGATAATCATCTGCGAGCTACGCTGCACGCAACCCAATGAGCCCAGCCTAGAGGGCCGAAATCACGCACAGAATCCCGCAGGATGTCTTATCTTCCAAGCCGAACTCGTAGATGGGGCTACGAGCGGACCTGACGCTCGCTAATGTGGGTTGAGTACTTGGGTGCTTTTGCCTCAGCATGACCTGACAAAGATGAAGAGATGCGACCCGACATCGGATTGGTGACGTGTTATAGATGAAATCAAGGTGAAAGCTGTGAGATTTTATATTGTGATCTCAGCTATCAAGTGATATTAGCAGTCCTTGCGTGCACGTGGCCGCTGGGTCCATGGGTTCGGGCTTGGTCGGCGCCCAGGAATGAGAGGAGTTCGGACGGGAAGCCGTGATTGGCTAGAGTTGAGGCCAAACAGGGGCCAGTCACACAGACAAAAGGAATCGATTGATTGAATTGTGCGGTACAGCGCATCCCTCCATATTCCCACACGCCTCCACACCCTCACGGCGTCAAGACGTGTCTCTGGCCGTACCAAATGGCCGGGAATGAGACAAAACGGAAGCGGATTCCCGCTTCATGGGTATCAAAGCAGTTATCACGGGCCGTCCCACATTGCCACGTCGGTTCTTGCCGCAAGCTTGCGGAACCTTATTAACGCCATCATCCAGGGGCCAGAAAAGGGGGAAGGAAGAGGGGGGGGGGGCAGGGGAGGGACTGACGGCGCCGAGCACGCGTCAGCAGGCACCCTCGCCCCTCCATCCCCCAAAGAAGCAAGTACAAAACAAATCGGCAGGCTTGGATCAGATGACAATGGCCGCGGGATGAAGTGTCCCGCCAGCGCGGGGCTCGGGCGGGAGCAGCGGGCTCAGTGCGTGGTGCGTGGTGCGTGGCTCAGCGCATGGCGGCTGCAGCATCGGCAAAGTTGCCGACAAGAGCCTCGCACTCGTCGAGCTTGATGGGAAGCGGGCTCTGCTGCATCTCGATGTTGTCATCTTCGGGGAGGCCCCAATCAACGCGCGCCACAGAGCTGAGGCCGTCGTGCGACGACAGCTTGGAAAGCAGGGTCTGGTAGCGGGCCATGCGAGCCTCCTGGCCGGCATACGAGTAGGGGGCGGGGGCAGGCTGCACGACCTTGTCCTGCGGCATAATGTCGTAGATGTCGACCATGTTGCTATGCAGCGCGTCAGCCAGGTCATCCATGCGTCGTCCCAGCCCCATGGTCGCGTGGTCCGTCCCGCCGCCACGGGCTCGGGGAGGGAGGGAAGAGCAGGCAAAGGGAGGGGGGGACGGGAGGGGTAGGGGAAGATGTACTCTGACGTGCGTGCCACCACCCTTTGCAGAGCCTCAATCTCTCTTTGAACCTCCTGCGGGTCTTCGTGGCCCATCACCTGCTGCTGGTCGAAGCTTCCATAGTGTATGCTGTTTGGGTCGTCGAACAGGTTGCGAGCCTCGTCGTCCTATGGGTGGCGAAAACATGGTCAGCTTCGAATCTTGTACCATTGGCTATCACGAGGGGAAGGGGGGAGCAGGGCGAGAAGAGAGTAGAGAAATGGGGGGCTCACCTCGTCAAAGTCATCGCGGCGTCTCCCAAGACACGAAGAGCAGTTGCCCATCGTTTCGTTTCGTTTCGTTTGTTGGCAGCGGGTGAAGGATGGTGCAGAACGCGATTGTCGTCGTTGGCCAGCCAGCAAGAAGGAAAAACAATATGCAATTGCAATATGAGCGAGCGTGTTGACGATACAAGATTCCGAGTTGGGTGCGGTGCGGTGCTGTCGTAGTAAGCCGAGGCCAATCCGTTCCGTCGGGTTAGGGACGTCCCGCTGAGGGAAACTAGCAAGGCCGGCTCATATGGAGAGGCCGATGGCAGAAAGATGGGCTGATTGATGATTCGGGAGCGTTGCGATGGGATACCAAAACCGCCCCAAAGATATGATGTGCCTGTTGCATTTGGTATCTGGTCCACTGTGTGCTGTGCTTGCTGTGGGTAGTCTTGTCGCACTCCACTACCGTCGGCTAAAATTCGAGCCCGCGCGAGATTTCTGGCGGAACTTCGAAAGATCACTCTGCACCTCGGCTGAACTTCGGCCCACCGATGGCGTACCAGTTAGCTGGTTACGAACCGTGCACAGACCAACTCTTTTCTCCATTAACCCCTCCCCTCCCCCGGCACTGAATTAGGTAAGGTACAGATACGAATTGCATCTCAAGTTCGAAGACCAGACATTAACTTTTAGCTCTTGTTTTCCTTTTCTTTCTTCTTATCGCCCAAGTTAACTCATATCGCGGCATTTAATATCTCTTGCTCCAATTAGAAATCTTGATCTTGACTAATTAAATCATAGCTATCCTCATGAAATAGTTAATAATTAATTTCCACGAAAGACAACATTTTGTTGGAACAACGCGCTAGTCAGCCATAGAGGTGGCGGCGGTGGCGCATACAAACAAAACATGGTAGTATTTATTCGTTTATTCCTCAGCTCATTCGAAGAGTGACTGCGACAATGTCAAATTAAACAATTAGAAGGAGCCAAATAATTTAACGGTAAGCTTAGGAACTTTACTGCTAAAATACCATGCGAGGTCAAGGTTAATTAACTACGGCACCATGGCCAACAGATATTCCACAACCTCAAACTCTAGAACTCATCAATGCAAACAACCAGTTTCGCTAAAATTTTCCGCGCCTTTGTGAACATTAAGTGTAGTTCTAACCCAAACGAGCTGAGCCGGAGTAACTTCTAACTGTCAACGTTTTAAATGATTGTCTTGGTGCCTCTAGGAGTCTGATTAGGCATCAGAACGGCAACGGGTAGAATAATGAGTTGATTTGCCATGGCAACTCTCGGGCCTCAGGAATTCCCTCACCAGATTATGTCGATTCGTTATAACTCTACAGGATGATTTACTCAATTGACGCCTAAGGTGGGTAGTAGTATTGGGCATCGAGAGACTTTAGGTCATTCAACTAAGAGGTATTGGATGTATCAAATCTCCAAAATCTCCAAAATGGAATCTAGATATGAGAAATCGGTACAGTTATTAGCGTACCGTGATTCGGATGAGGGCTGCCGTGTCTCAAAGCTGACGCTGAAGCGCTCATCTTGAATCTCGTCACAGACCGAACTATATTGGTGTTGATAAGTAAGGTAATTAAGTCTAGGTCTACACATTCTCATTTTATTTCACTGGATTTCTTCAACCTCTGTCATGAAGAAGATCAGGGAACTGGGATAAAGCTGTAGGCTTGAGCCAAATTCGACGTCGAGAAGACGGATGACGCCGCGCTGCTGGCCAGGTTGGGGCTCGGTAGAGTGGAAAGTGAAGCTTAATTGTTTTTACTAGTATATACCTCCGTTTCGTCACGTACGATAATAGTCTGGTAGTATTGCCGTTCCAAGCCACAACCTTGGCGGCAAGGGGTGTAACATTGGTATTGTTTCCGTCCTGGCCGTCTGTAGCCAAGACCGCCAAGATGTGTCAAAAGCTTGAATTGGTATAAGGGCGGCTGGCGTGGCAGGGAATCTTGGCCGCCAAGCATGCTATTGACATGCACAGCTCAGCTGTGACTTCTCTCGTTCTCGCTTATCCCCGGCAGTGAGAAGTTACGCCCGATGAGAACGATGGAGCCCTTGTTGGCAAAGAAGCACGTCTTGGCAATCGATCTCCAGTCTCCTTGGAGACTAATAGGGAGAAATGCAGGGCCTACATCTGTCAGCCCGAAGCCTGCGCTGGGGACAGGGAGATGCAGTGAGGCTCTGCTCCCCAAGGATGGGACCTGGGCCCTAGCCCAGCCTCCCTCAAAAGGAAGTTGGCGTGCCGTGGTTCTTTGCCAGCCCTCCGCGTCTTAGTTCTCTCAGTTGCCAAGTACTTTTCTCCCCTCGCAGACTCGCTCCTTGAGTGACAGGTCAACTCCCTTGATTAACAGGTCAACGATTGCCGATAACTTACTCTCACCATAGCCATGGCCGAAGCTAGGACTGGCGCCGAGACGCATAAATAGGCAGAACCAGCCGCTACGATAGAAAGCAACGAGCCCTTTATCGCCCACTCGCCGCTCTGGGTCATCATTGTGCGGGGGATCCAGATACTGCTGACATTTGTCATTGTCATTCTGGCGGACCTGCTCATCAAGGGCAAGGCACTTGACCAAAATGTCTTCGCCTTGGTCTCGGTGCGTTTGACCAACACCGTGGCTCAGATCCAGTCCAATTGGACACATGAACCGTCTTGTTGACCGATACCCAGTCCCTCTTCACCTGGATCATGGTCGCGTACGTGCTGGTAGCGGAGAAAGTGCGCTCGGCGCGCAATGGGTACAACATCTGGGCGGTCCTGTCCCTCGACTCGCTGATGGCCCTCTTCTGGCTGGCATCCATGGGTGCCAACGCCGCGCTGTGGGCCACGTTCAAGTACGATGTCAATGTCAAGAACTGTACCAACAACGCGCCGCCTCCAACAGCGCCTCGTGCGAGGTGGAGAGCCGGTCGATCGAAAAGCGAGGCACCATTGTCACCAAAAAGGGCCTCGAGTCCATGAGTGCCATTGCCGGGCTGAGCGGACTCTTGACGCAAGTGTCACTCACTCTCAAGTCCTTGGTCAAATCCAGTCAGCTAACATGCACCGTCTCAGCATCTTGTTTATCGCCGTCATCGTCTTTGAAGCGCGCGCCTTCCTCAAGTCCGGCAAATCGAACAAGCCACTGGGAGACAACGTGCTCGTCGAAATGAAGGCCCCGATGCTGGACGCAGACCTAGCGGCTGCAGGTGTCGTCCACCCACAATACACGGACGAGCAGGCGTACCAGCCGCAGGTCTACCAGCAGCAGGCGCCGGCGTACCCGACCAGCGCCTACGGTCAGCAGCAGCAGCAGCAGCAGCAGCAGCCCACGCCATACCAAGCGTATCCAGACCCAGCACAGACCCAGCAGTATCAACACCACGGAGCACCGGCGGGACAGCCGTACTAATTACTCGCCCGGGCAGTAAGAAGACAGTTGATTTCTCAAGTACTGCAATTGGAGACTTTCATTTTCTCCGAGCTTCGAGACGAGTCCGTGTTCAAAGAGCAACCAACATGCGCATGTGTAATCATGGCTCAGGCAGGCAGGCGTCTATCATACATTCATCTAGCAATCAGTAGACATTAATTGAGATTCCAATTATCCTGATCCTTGTCATGTTGTCGCCGAACCTCGAAGCTGTTCAGCTATACAAGAACGGATTAATAATATTCTGCTAGCTCGGTGATTCGTATGATCAAAGGCTAACCGCTATGGTAATCCACTCGTCAAAATATGTGAGAAACAATTGAAAATTTAAATATGTGGACAACTAGGGAAATAAAAGACCTCGGAAGCCTAGAAACGAAGAGAAAAATAAGGAAGAACATACTTTATCGACAAAATGCTGTTAAGAAGTCTGATGATTACTATAAGCGACTCATAAGACCGCGAGCGTGATGGCGATTCATTAATGAAGGTGAACTGAATTCTCAGATAGAACACCCATACGGCGTTACTTTCAACTCTTTTCAAACATAAGCGGGCTTCATTCAACGAGTCCCTGAATCACGGCTGGTTTGGGGAGCAACGATTTCACTTTCTTCGGACGTGTTTTTTTCTTCACTTTGTTGCTTGAATGTGATTACGGTTGAGGCGTTGAAATAGAACAGTGACTAGGTAGGTACCCAGAACGATTGATGACCTTGAACGGTTCTTCGCATTTTATTCGACCCATTTCAAGGCAAACACAGATTTCTGGAATACACAAACTTTGTGTGTCTTAAACAAAAACAATGACCAGCGATTAAATCTGGATTGGGTTCAAGCATGTGCTTCTAACATACGAATAAGGATCGATGTTTAGAGGGAATCATGGGAATGATTTCTCGCACGCCGCGAAAGACCAACAGAAGCAGGCCATGAATGAATATATGTTCGTTTATGGGCCGTTTCTCAAAGTTACCAGAAAGTATTGGGGTGGTCAATACGCAGATACGTACAGTACGGTTGGATACATTCTCACTGTAACTGCGTGCTCCCTCGCTTTTAAGGTTTTATGGGGAAGCCCCACACCCGATCGCCAGGGCACCTCGAGCTCTCTGGTCTTTGTCTGATTTCCAAAGCGACGACACACCTCCGCTTGCGCATTTCTCTAGCGACCGCCGCCTCTCTCGATCGCCTGCGAGGGACACGGTAATCCCAGAAATGGCAGCCCATCTTCCCAACTCATAGCACACGCGGAGCCCCGGCCAAAACAAGACAAGACAATCGCTTGACGCGTCAAATCGAGCCCCTAGAATTTCACGAACCTGCGTACCCCCCCACCCCCCACCCCCACCTCCATCTCGAAATCCGTTTGCGACAAACGCGCCGCCTACTTCCCCCGCCGTTCTCCCTACCGCTCTTCCCGTACGCGCGGTGCGATAGCTCCAATCCCTCGCAATGGAGAACATGGAGGAAGACTCGTCTCGGGCGCCGCTACTGTGGCCCGACCCGCCGCCGTTTTGGAAGGACTTCACCCCAGACAACATCGCGAGCTTCGACCGCCTCAAGCACGACTACGCCCAGCAGCAAGGGCTAGACGACAGCGACGTCCTGCTGCGGATACTGGACCTCCCCGAGTACCTGCTGGACTTACAGCCGCCACGAGAGCCAGAGGAGCGCAAATGGAGGCTTTTCAGTGTAGTGCATTCCGTCAGTCCCCTGTTGATATCCCCCCCATGCCATCTAGGATCCTGATTGCTGATTTCTTTTTTTTTTCTCGCTGCAGCTCAACGATGAACTCCAGAGCCTCGAAGCCATGGGCATCCAGCGGCTTGGGCCCCTCAACGAGCGAGACCGCGACGGCAAGCACATGGACCGCGCCTTTGAACTCAAGCGGCAGGCCAAGTCGATCCTGCTAAACTTCCTCGAGCTGATGGGCGTCATGAGCTACAACCCCTCCCACGTGAGTGATAATTTTTTGTTCTCGAGCCAAACACCCCAATCTAGTCCCGGACCAACTCGCTGACCACCGTCACATAGGGCGCCGAGAAGGTCAAGGACCTCGATACGCTGCTGCTCAACTTCCAACACATCCTCAACGAGTACCGGCCGCACCAAGCGCGCGAGCAGCTGATCCAGCTAATGCAGGACCAGCTAGACAATAAGCGCGCCGAGACGGCCGCGGTGCGCGGCGTGGTCGACAAGGCCAAGCGCGCGCTCGAGGGGCTCGGGAGCATGGAGATACCGCCGCCCACTACCCCGGAGCGGGAGAGCAGCAGCATGATGAAAGCGAGCGAGCTGGGGGACGGCGTCAAGGACGGCGTGCCGCACTGGGAGCGTCAGAATATCGACTTTGCGCTGTTGGATGGGGATTTTGTATGATCTCGCCCGTCTAGTGGCGGCTTCAATTCACATCTCCTCCGTGGGACTGTTGTATACATATAGAAAAAGTTGATATTAGTTTCGTCTGCGAAAATAACTGCCGTTCGCCTTTCTCTGATCGTAATACCTATGGACTTAAAAAGCTACCTTGGCTACTTAGTACGTGAATGGGAATGTGAATTATCGAGAGACCTCTTTTACTTGGTCAAAACTCACCGCCAGATTCAAACCAAGAGCTACAGCATCGTAAAGACCCATCAACGCTCACGAAAATACCCGCCGGCATATGCTCCAGAACAAAGCCTGGGCATTCACAACCACCACAAGAAGACAGCACACGGGCTATGCATCATTGTATGGAAAATAGAGGTATGATTGCCACTGACTACCGAAAGAGCAAGAAAAAGGGAGGAAAAAGAGGATTAAAGACAAAACTCCGTATTAAAATCCTTTCCGTCTTTCCCAGCGCTATCAACTCTATCCGCCGATCACCTGTCCCGCCGTCCTGTCTCGGTGTGCCTTTCTCTGATCTCAGCCAGGACAAGGGTGCCAGGTAAGGGAGGGACGGAGACAATTGGCAGCAGCAGCAGCACATACTCCCTAGGACTTCATCGGCTCGGATGGGAAAGAAAGATAACATCACGCCCTAGAAAAGACACCTTTTTTCGTTTTTCTTTCTTTGCTGGGTAGGCGGCACACGGGATCTTCTTCCTCCCTCTGCCTCGCGAGATAATTGCATGCAGACGCCCCCGGACCAGCCGACCGACAATCCTGACCTTTGACAAGCAGCGGGGAAAGGCGACAGGGGAAGAAAAAAAGCGGAAGCAAGGCTCATTCCCGACAGACGAAACAAACTAGCGAGTATGTTGCGTGCGTGTGGGTGTGCGAGTGCAGCATGCAGTCTGTCCACTTCCGTGCCAACTCGGGGCCGTCGTCTCGTTTCGCTTCGTTTCCGTTCTCTTCTCCCGTCCGCCCGCGCCACTCTCATATATCATTGTCATCGAGGCCACCATGACTGAATCCGCCTCAAGGAGGGGCCGGCCGCCGCCATCCGTATACTAGAGAAAAAAAGGAGGTCTCGACACTTTGCTCACACCATCTGTACATGAAATAGCTCGACACGATACGCAAAGAAAGGGGAAGGGGCAAAAAGAAAAGAGAAAACAACTCCGCCTGCTGCTGGGTGGATAATGATACTGCCAAGAAGATCTCTGCCGTGTATATAGATATTTGACTCGAGACGTAGAGCTGCAAAAACAAGGCAAGCTGACAAGTCAAGTCTGTCGCGCGGAGCACGGCTTGCTACTATTCAAGACCCAAGGTAACGCTTTGTCCCAAATAAATAACGCGAGGGGAGAGATAAGTAAGAAGTCGAGCCGAAACAGCCAAAAATATCGCCGTACCGTTTGTTGATGTTCCGGGGACTCGTCCGGAGTGATCAATCAACGTCTCAGGAAAGTCAGAAGTCGCTAGATTCCAATTGTGCTCCCATGCCGCGAAGATGAAGCCTTTCCAAAAGCGCCAATTGTCAAGCATTGTTTTATCTTTTCCTTATCACTTCTTCGGCCTCTTCCTCAGCTGTCTGGTACTCACGCAGTCGCCTCACGGCGGCTCTGAGTCGAAGCTGCTGTGCTTGGAGCGAGAGGAAGGGTATTTGCCCGACGTGACCGAACAGGTTGGGGCGGGGCGTCCGGCAGCCTCCCACCTAGCTCTATGGTTTGCGCCGGAGGGGCCTCACGGTGACTCTCGCCCTACGAAGGAGGCACCGGGGTTGAGGCTGGAGGTGGAATAGGTGGAGGAGGAATAGGTGTCTGACGCGACGGAACGGGCCGAGGGGGGACAGCCTGCTGCAGAATAGGGGGAGGAGGAACCGGAGTGTGCCGGTATGATGGTTTCGTGGCTGTGGGTGAGGTAGATACGGCGGCCGCATGTTGAGCTTGTTGGGGCTGCTGAGTCAGTTGAAGCTGCTGGGCCTGTGGCGATTGCTGGATCTTCTGCTGCTGCTGCAGCTGCTGCTGAATACTCTGCGGCTGTTGGGCTTGAGGCTCCGGCCGGGCCTGAAACGGCTGTTGGATCTGCCGCGGCGGCGGAGCCTGTCGCGGTTGCTGGACTTGCCGTGGTTGCTGAGCCTGCCGCGGTTGCTGAACCTGTGGCGACTTTTGGGTCACGGGATGTTGTGCAGGCGGTCCTGATGTTGACTTGGCCTTGCCCTGCCTCTCGAGCGCGTGGCTGAGGTACGGGAGGTCATCACGTGTTTTCGGATCAGTCTCGTATAGGATTTTGATAAGCTCCCACTCCCTCCGAGTCATCTGGTGCGCCTGTGGTATCAAAAAGGCCATAGTCGGGCTAGTCATAAGGCTACCCATGATCTCGCGTGCAGTGGCTAGGCCCTGAATCTGAGCCGGGTCTTGCGATGTCCTTGAGCCCTGATTAACATGGGGTTGCTGCACAGGGGGCGCAACTTGAGGTGTGTTTCGCGAAGGAGGGTAGCTAGGTAGTGTTCCCTCAGGAGACGTAGGGGAGAAAGAAGGCACCGAAACCGACTTTACAAACCCTTGAGCGGGGGTGGGTGTGGATGGAGACTGCGAAAAGTCAGATATTGATTGTGCCCGTAGTTGCTGTGCTCTGATTGGGTGATTAGGATCGTTGGCAAGACGCTGAACAGTCTCGGGGTCGTTGCGGTAGACGAAGACAGCTAGCAACAATGGCTCAGTCCTGGTCTCGGGGATCAAATTGTCTGACAAGTTCAGCATGAACTCCGGGTAGTTGGCAGTGCCGGGCATGACGGGTACCAGATAGGTATCACGAACGTTCGCAACTCCTTTATCCCCAACCACACCGTACCGACCCTTGGTCACGAAGTAGTCAATAAGCTTCAACATATCGGGCCTGGACGACTCAAACGTTGGCTCCAAGCTGATCACGACTATATCAGCAAGGACACTATATCTCAGCCCACAGAGATAGACGATGGCTTGCTGCGGTTCGATTCGACCGCAGACTGTCAGATTTTGCGGGATGAGCTTGCTCCACGGGAGGTTGATAGTCTCATTCAGCTTGACTCCGCCGATGTGCTTGCCCGTGACCTGGAATTCCGCAATGCTGTTCATCAACAGGCCGCCTCTCCAAACTACATCCGGATCGCTTTCGGCGCTCGGGGAGTAAGGAGGGGACTGGCTGCCATCGTCAAGCAGACGGTCGACATCTAGGTCGACTCCGGGTCCTGTTGCAGGAGCCGTCTGTACAGGCTGCCTCACTTGATTTTGAGGGAGCGTTGGCGACTTGACGCTGGAAAACACCTTGTTGATGTCGAAATCTGCTCTGTTCGGAGACTGATTGGTGTCGGTAGCTATACTGTGGGCGGGCGGTCTGACGTGTCCAGGCTGAGCTGAAGAGCCTGGTCGTTGTTCCTTTTGTACCTTCTTCGAGGGTGCGGCCTGCCCATAAGCATCGTCGCTGGCAGTGAAGTCGTCACCGCCGATGAGTTCTTCGCCCTTATGTGTTTTCCGGATCCGCGGACCGTCATCAGGGAGTTTGATGGCTTGCTTCTCTACGAGGGCTTTGAGTTCGGCAGTTTCCTTCTGCAGTTCCTTGGTCGCTAGGCTCTCTGAAGTCATTGTGGATAGCACAAGGGGGCTAAGAGTGCGGTTAAGCAGTCTAGTACAAAGGTCGAAGTTCGTCTTAAGGTTAAACGACAATGTACGGAGCTGGCCAGCATACGCGCTCAGGCTTCCGTGGGTATCGTGAACAGCGCGCTCGATTTCGAGTGCAAAGCGCTCTGCGCGGTCTGCAATGGAGATGCCGTCGGTTGGGACAAAGGTGCCCCTTTTCTCTACCACCTCAAGAGCGTGGTTAAGCGCCTTCGACAACGCAACGGCAGAACCCTGGCGGGCCTCTGGCAGCTCTGTAATCTTGGCAGGGATGTCATCAGGTGCTGTGTATGACTGGATGGGTAGTGCTTGGGTTTCGGAGATTTTTCGCATTTTCTGTGAACGTGCCATATCAGTAAAAATACTCTTTCTGAGACTGAGATGAGGGCGGGGTCACCTTAGCCTCCTTGTCTTGTGATCCATCCAAAGTTTTCCGCTTTTGGCCCGCGGTGCTCTTGTTCTCCTTGTCCTTCTTTGGCTCTGCTGGGGGGGCAGCCGACGGTTTTGCTTTGGTAGGTGGGGGTGCTGGGGACTGTTTTGGTTTCGTAGGCGGTGCGGGAGACTGCTTTAACTTCTGGGGCGCGGGAGTAGAATCCTCTTTGGATTCGCTGGTCCTCTTCTTGTTAGCACCTTTCTTGGGGCCTTTTTTCTTCTTCTCTGTCTTCTCCTCCTCATACGCCCTGCGCCTGGCTTCCCAGGGCCTCTCGCCTCTGGCCATGCCGGCGAGGAGCTCCTTGTGGCTCTCGGGGCGGCATATCTCGCAGAAGTAATCTTTAGGAAGGTCCTCGGAATACTGGCTCATGCCCATACAGATGTTGTGCTGCCATGCGCCGCACTGGTCGCACGCGATCCAGGGCTCGCCCGAGTCTTCATCTTGCTCTGTCGCCCCGCAGACACATCGGATGACTTCTTCTTCGGGCTCCTCGGGCTCCGGCGCCGCCTTTTTGCCCTTCTTTCCGCGCCGCTTCGGGGTGTCGACGGCCTGGTCGAGCTGCTCCAGTGCCTTGTGCTGGCCTTTGGTGGCCCTAACTGATCGGCGGGGCTCTGGTTCTGCCAAAGAGATTGTGGTTAGCTTGCTAAGCGCAACAAGACTTGTGACTGCCTGGTGGAAGGGCGGCCGTCGTGACCGAAGGGGGTAGGGAAGGTGTCGTCTTTCTGCGGACGAAAAGACGCGCCTTGCGCGGTGCTGCTTACCAGACATGGCTGCTATTGGGCAACGAACGATGTGTCGCGATTGAGCGCGTGCTCTGCTAGTGTTGCCCGGTGGGTGGGATATGGTGCCCCCGCTGATGCGCGTCTTCTACTTCAGATGGCTCAAGGCATGCGCGTGAAGAGAGTTCACGCGCTCATTTAATTTTATACACTTCACTTCAAAGTAGGACTAATGTGCGACTGCACAGAGGGAGCAGCCTCAACAAAGGAATAATTCCCCGAAGCTATCCGCCGAGTCCAGCGCCCGACTTCTTCTGTCTCCTTGTGCCTGTGCGCCGATTGGTTGCTGCAGGCGCGGTGAGAAGGTTGAGGAATGCGCGGGAGCAGCTGCTCGCGGGTCGCGAAGCTCGGGCAAAGCTTGTCTAGTGCTTGAGCTCAGGCAAGTCCAAGCTCCACTGCGCGCCTCTGGAAGCTGGCGTGCCGGCTGTGGACTGGGCAGAGCTGCACGACGTGATATTCTTGCTTGGAGTTGGGGTTTGCGATGGCGATGCGACACCGAGATTACTGCGTTTGTGACAGACGCCGAATTTAGCGGGAGAGGGGGAGGGGGGCTCGTCGACGGAATTGTGGAGGTTGGAAAGGAGGAGTTGGTGGAAGCGGAGTCAAGCTGGAAAGGTAAGGTATTCGATTTGTTGCACGGCAAATTCCAACGCTTATGTAAGGATACAGTCGGCGTCTGTTCCAGAAAGCTCCGACAATGTAGCCGCTTTTGGATGTGTTAGGTAGGGTGACAGGATGAGATACGTAAAATGTAGGTATAAAATACCCATAATATCAGCTGTGATCAAGAATAGTTTTAGGCTTTATACTATTTTCTAAACCTTCAACAAAACTCAGACTACCGATATACGGTCAAATAAAGAGTTAGTTACAATCGTAGACGTCATTTCATCTTCTCTACCCAAGGTCCCGCCTTAACACGAGAGAACAGTTGGAGTGGTGCACGGAGCACATTCCGGCCCTAAATCCAAGGCAGACAACAGCTACGCGTGTGAGGCGCTTGCCTGGAGCTCCAGTGCCTGCTGCTGCTACGGCTGCAGGCTTGAGGTCCAGCGTCAGCCTTCCTGCCTTTCGACAGCCCGTTGGAACGATTCCATTCCCAGCACCCCGAACACCACCAAACACCGCGTCGCTCCTTTTTTGTTTGACGTCGACACCGCTCGGCGAACTTCAATCCGCCCTCCGAATCATTGCAAGCTCGCCGCCATGTCGAGAAGATACGATTCCCGAGTAAGTTGACCGCTAGCTCCGCCAGAGGGTGACCCCCATTAGAACTTGGAGCTTTGGTGCAAGCGGACAGCGGGACTCGCACGTATTAACACGCACAGACAACCATCTTCTCGCCTGATGGCCGCCTGTACCAGGTCGAATATGCGCTCGAGGCCATCTCCCATGCCGGCACGGCCATAGGCATCCTGGCCAAGGACGGGATTGTGTTGGCCGCCGAGCGCAAGGTCACGTCCAAGTTGCTCGAGCAGGACACATCGGCCGAGAAACTCTACATCCTGAATGAGTACGTCGGGATTCTATCTCTCTCTCTGACCGAAGGCATGTCTTCTCAACGAGTCCGCTGACCGTGTTTCTTTGACTCATTTAGCAACATGATCTGCGCCGTGGCCGGCATGACCGCCGATGCCAACATCCTGATCAACTATGCCCGCCAGGCCGCCCAACGGTACCTGCTAACCTACAACGAAGACATCCCCTGCGAGCAGCTGGTGCGCCGGCTCTGCGACTTGAAGCAAGGGTACACACAACACGGTGGCCTGCGGCCGTTCGGCGTGTCTTTCATCTACGCCGGGTGGGACCCCCAGCGCCAATTCCAGCTGTACCTGAGCAACCCGTCGGGCAACTATGGCGGCTGGAAGGCAACGAGCTCGGGCGCCAACCACGCGAGTGCGCAGAGCTTGCTGAAGCAGGACTACAAGGAGGACTGCACGCTGAAGGAGGCTTGCGGTATGGCGGTCAAGGTTCTTAGCAAGACCATGGACTCAACGAAGCTGAGCAGCGAGAAGAGTGAGTTTGCCTTTCCCCTACCCTGCATGACAAGCATGCATACTTGAGACATGGGGACAACTTGGCTAACAAACATTACAGTCGAGTTTGCGACGGTGGGCCAGACCGAGGACGGAAAGATCTACCATAGACTTTGGAACGCAGATGAGATCACGGCGTTACTGAAGGAGCACGATCTGGCGAAGGACGAGAGCACCGAGGACAAGTAGACGGAGTTTGGGGCTACAGGGAAAAGCGCATGATTTCGGCGCCTCATGTACTAATAGAAAGATTTGCCAACGCGATGTCAAAAAGAACCCAAACTCCATTGCTGTGTGTGTCCAAAATCCGATATAGTACATGGGATATTATACACATCTCCTTAAACTGACATTGAACATGGCAAATACATGGCATATATATCGCACAATATGTACCGGAGACGAGGGCAAGCTCTAGGCCACCTATGGGGGTATCACGTCAGCATTAAGGTCTATTGAACTCGTCGAGCCCGAATCCTACATTCTGTCCCGGGCCGGCGCCTTCCTCCTCGTCTCGGACGCGGCCGTAGCGAGCCGCAACGGCCTCGCTTCCCGGCGGGTTGACATACGGCTCGGCGCAGCGCGAGCTGCTGAGCCGCGGCCAATACCGCCGGTAGCTCCAGTACGCGACGACGGACCCCAGTATCGCGCCCACGCACACGTCTTCGACGTCGTGGCGGTAGTCCTGGCAGCGGCTGATGGCGATCATGGTCGCGCCCAGCAGCGGCGCCAGGCACAGCAGCGCCCGCATCAGGTCCCCGCGCACTAGCTTCTCCGTGTGCTCCCCAATCGTCGGCGCGCGGCTGCCATCCCCGGCGTCCCCATCCCCGGCCCCGTGCGCAAAGATGCGCATCTGCCCAGCCAGGAACAGGCTCAGGTAGCCGAGCCCGGCAAACGAGAAGGAGCTGTGGCCTGACGGGAACGAGCGCCAGCCATCGTGCAGCGTGTGGTGGTGCTTCTGCGTGCACACGTTGATGGACACGAGCGGGCCCGGCGCGTCGCGCAGCAGCTTGGGGTCCGGCATGCACCGCGCCAGCAGGTCCGGCCTCGCCCGCCCCACCATGTTCTTGACCACGTCCGTCAGGAACGCCGTCAGGATCAGCGCGATCGCTAGCCCCAGCACCGTGACGTGCTGCTTGTGCAGCGCCGCGCGCGAAGCCAGGTTGTACGCTACCATCAGCGCCAGCGGCACGAACAGCACGTATACGAAGTCGAGAGCTGGGTTTTTGGAAAGATGTTAGCGCATGGGTTTTAATCTTTAGGAGAGTGGAGAGGGAGGCGCACCAAGAGGCACCCGCTCGACTTGGGCAAAGGGGAAAGAGATGCGCAGGTCGTTCACGGAGAACATGCGGTGGAACGGCTCGACGAAGAATTGTATCTAGGTAGCGGCTCGGCATCAGCGGCGTGCACTTCGCAGGCTGTTGTTCCCTTTCATTCCACGTATACAGGGTGGCCAAGATCGAAAACGTACTAGGATATAGCTAATCAAGAGCAAGCTGAAGCCAAGGTAGTCGGGCGCATAGGATTTCTGGGGAGGACATCTTCTCGTTAGCATGACGCTGCACGACAACGACTGACGCAGGAGAGAGAGAGAGAGAGAGAGAGAGAGAGAGAGAGAGATGACTTGCGTGCCAGAACCTCGAGACGGGGCCAAGCAGCCGACTACTCGGCGGAGGACTCCTCGAAGGCGCCATGGTGATCAGTCACCGTCGCCGGATGGACTTGAACGAGTTCCAAAGCATCTGCAGATAGGTATTGTCTTGCGCTGCAAAGCACAACTGGACACACTTTCTTTGCGCAACAGCCTCGCGGTCAGTTTGCAGTCCTGTCGAGGCTGAAGAGTCCTCCGGATGCTCTAGGTTGGTAGACTGTTCCGTGCAGCTGTAGAAAAGTGGATCCATCCGCCACTTTCGACCAACGGTCCCTAGCGCGACCGCCTGAGCCCGCAATTATTTCCCCTATAACCTGTCACTGGCCTGGGGCCGTGCCCGACAACATCTCCAGTCCAGGCCCCAGGGCTAGCGAAGACGACCGAAGCAGGATTTTCCCTTTTCATGCATTGCCTAGGTTTTTGGTCATCCTATCCGTATACTTTAAATTATTGTTACTTGAATATTTTATTTTGTACTTGTTTGTTAACTGACCAGATCCCATCTCTTCTGAACAGGAAATGTCTCAACATACCGCGTCTATTCTAAATGTCTAGGGGGCTATTACAGGTGAAAGATGCCTGTTATTTTGTTGATATGGAGTTAGCATACGGTGCAGGCAACTACTCTCGTCGACAGCTTAAATTACAAGACCTCAAGGGGTGACAACATACCACTATCCAGCAATATTTTTCTTGCCTCTTGTGTTAAAGTGAGTGAGCTGGGTGCTCTTCCATATAAACGCAGGAGGTAAGCTTCCAAACGGTGGCAGTAAAGATTTCGGTGAGCTATTCGATTTCAGGTATATTGTATAGGTGATCCAAAGATAACGTTTTGCGCCTGGATTGTCTTGTTCTGTATCGTGTTACGTAGAGTCAGTGATGGCCCCGGGCCTTGCCAATTTGATAAATACTGCAGGAGGGCGCCTTTCAGAAGCGAGCGTCAAGGTGAAGGACGAAAACACAATAGACAGCCTCTTCAGATGGGTGCGGGGTTTTATTTGCTTCCTCTACAGTGACACATTACTCAGATCGCTATTATCCAGACACCCATCACCTTAGAATCACCCAACTCTCACGTCTCCCATGGACAGGACGAATGCGGTGATCATCCCCCGTATAAATTGCAATATGTAAGTAAGAGCCCGAATTCTCTCCCGCTCGGCAGGCGCATCATAAATAACAAACTGTACAATACATAAATCGCCGCCGCTTGTTGAATATATCCCCATTTTCCGCAGTCGAAATGTATAATTAGCTCCTGGACGTAGCGAGTCGCTTGTGGAGAATGAACGAGGCCATGGACAGTTGAATAATGGAAGATAGGTGAAATAAAGCTGGGCTCCAAGATTCACCTCGAGGCAAATTATGGCCAGTCGGCAAGTATCAAGAAGTGGTGCCAACTTCTCACTAGTTAAGGGCAACGCAAGTGCAGGTCGATGCAGAGATAATGTGGTGCGCCTTCTCCCGCAAAATCCCAGCACGCCACAGTACTCGTTCGTCCCGACGAGTCTAGTATCTCTGACATCCTGTGTGCCTTTAAGTCAGACGCTGCCGGGCCGCCCGAGTCACCGGCCCCCGGAGTGCCAGAAACAAAACGCAACACTATTAACCTCCACACTTAAGGAAAACATATGCTTAAACCCATGACCACATTATGACTCCAAAACGCAAATATGCCGCGAGCCCAAAAGAAATTTAGAAACCCATGCTGTGCCTCCTTTCTGTTTTGGTTCATTTCATATCATAGCCCATGCTTCCCTTGACAATATAGACAGTCCTCAGCCACATGATAAACTCTGCTCATGGCTCTGCCCTGCTGCAGGCCCATATGATCGGATCGTCGCAACGCCGTCACGATCACGTCTCCTCGGCAACTAGGCGTTGTACTTCGGCCTCGTTCAGAAGTTTGCGCTTACCGAGCTCCTCTGGCGCTTTGCCATCTCGAACAGCTCCAAAGTCAAGAATCTAATAGAAGAGAAATATTAGCGCATTTCTCATCTTCAAAGACATAGAAGAGTACTCACCTCGACATATGTTAGATTACCGCGTTGTACAGCAGCTACGCATCTCCGTTCGTCAAACTTGACTTGCCAGACACCGCTCAAGTCTGTGAGAAGGTCCTGAATGCATTCGCCCGTGTGCATATCCCACATCTTGACCGTCTTTTCGCTTCCAGAAATGACCTTGCTACCGTCATGTTGAAAGCAGGTGATAGCTCCAGTGTGTGCTACGAGGGTGCTCTTGCATTTGCCCGTCTCCGGGTCCCAAATGCGAAGTGTGCTGTCCGCTGCGGCAGAAACCAATCTCTCGTCACGCAGGTCCAAGAGACCCACGAGCAAGCTGTGGCCTTCCAACGTGTGCAGGCAAGTACCTGTATCCAGGTCCCAAATCTTGACAAGCGAGTCCATCGAACCAGAGATACACCGGTTCCTCTTGTGGTCGAGGACTACCGAGTACACTTTCTGACTATGACCGTGCAGAACATGCAGTTGCTCACCAGTGCTGATACGCCAGACGCGGACAGTGCTGTCATAACTCCCAGAAACAAGAGTGTCTCCGTGGGCCGAAATTGCTCTAACCGAATGTGTGTGTCCAGCTAGGATTCTGATAAAATAGGGGCATTGATCATCGTTAGCGGGGGGGCCGGTCTGGATGTAACGACGCGAGCCTGCCTCGGGAAGTCGCCAGACCCGCAACTGGCTGTCGCGGGATCCAGTAATGATCAAAGGCTTCGGTGGCATCATGACGGCCTTGCCGTCCTCCACCCTGCCTGTATCCGTTGGCATTAGAATCTGCAGGCAGCGGACAGTGGATGTGTGGCCAAAAAAAGTCTGAGTGCAGATTCCTTTTTGGATATCCCAGACGCGGACCGACCGGTCGGTACTACCAGACACCAGTATGTTGCCCTCGTACTGAAGAGCCCAGACTCCACCTTCGTGGCCCTCAAGCTTCGTACGAAGCTTTCCGGTCTTTGTGTCATAGACGTGAATAAGGGTGTCGTCGCTGCCCGTGATGATTTTGTCCTCGTCAAACTGCAGGCACGTAATGACGTGGCGTGGATGGGCAGCAAAAGCAACATGGCCAGGCTTCACCTTGCCACTTGTCCAACTCTGTCTAATCATATAATGCCGTCTGTATAGCGATTTGAATAGATGAAGCTTCCGAAGAGTTGGGAGGCCAAGACGCGGGTCGGGAACGGCAATGGCAGCCGCATTTGCAGCCGAATTAGGACCTTCGGACTTGTGCATCTTTGCCATGGGTGACGAGCTATCATCCCTCATCTCTTGGGCACTGGCACGTCGCTTGGCTCTATCAGCGTTGATGTGGGTTAGACCACGCTTCCGTTTCGAGGCTCGGGTCTTTGTGATAGGCTCGGGCTTTTCCTGCTTTACGGCCGATCGTATGAGTTCGGATTCGCTGGATGTCAGCCTAGTCTGAAGGCTCAGGTCAAGTTCGCAGCCCAAGGCTCCGACGGGGTCTTGCCATCCCCATCCTTGAGTGATAGCCTTCTGGAGTTCTCCTGGAGGGAGTTCAAATCCGTCGCGGTCCAAGAGCTCTTTCCATCCTGTTTCATTGCTGTCGACCATGTTGCGCCAGTGTTTAGAGACCTGCGCCGCCCGGCACAGGTCGCGATGGTCCAGATATGACAATACGTGGAGGCTGAGTTCGAGAGGGAGTTGCTTCATGAAGTCACACTTCAAAGCTGGGTTGACCACGTCCGCGACCATGTGAAGTGTCTTTCGCGGACATCTTCGGAGGAACTGGTACATCATCCAAGTCTTGAAGTCGTTGGGCATAGCATCAAAACTGTCAAGCATTGAGCGGGGGTTCGCAACGTTTGCCTGTCCATGTCTAGAACGAGACATGGCGGCGTCGAACCGAATTGGGGGCAGGTCCATGCTGAGAAGTTCGGAATCACCCTCCTCAGTCGTTTGGCTATCCTCCAGCCACCGTCTTCGATCCACGCGCGTGAGTTGTTGAGAAAAGACCGCTTCGTCATCTTCCTCTGCATCCTCATCCACTTGGTCCTGGAGCTGAGCAGCTGCCAGAGTGGGTGAGAGACGCGGGCTCGGCAGACTGGCGTCTTGAGCGGTCACCGTGTTGATGCTAGGTCTTGCGATTGCACGGATAGTCTGCTGCAGAGACTCGTCAACGTCACCAAACGGTGGGAGGTCGGCGTCAGTAATCGGCGGGGTAGCGACGTTGCTGAATATAGTCTGTGACTCGCTGGCTGCTGGGCTTGCTGCATCATAGCTCGCCGTTGACTGGCTTAAGCCAGAATCAACGCTGTCGAGATGGAGGTGTCTCAAACGTGATGGTCGGTCGAGTCCGGGGTTACCTATAGTTGCATCGGTAGTATCGGGTGTCGCCAAGTACCCAGAGGGCAGGCGGCTCGCCTTATCCGACTCCTTTCGTGTACCATGTACCGCCGAACGGCGAACCTTATCGGATGCCGTATGGGAAATATTTCCATGCCTTGTGGACCTCTGAGACGTCCTGGGTGGAAGTGGTGTGTAACTGGGCGAGGCGGGTCTAGCGCTCGACCTGCGAGACCTCCGGAGTGTTGGCTCGGCAGCAACATGCTGAGATCGGTGTGACGATTCGGGGAGGTTGTCGACACCCGGTTCGGACTTCACATTACCGGCATAGTCGCTGCTCTGGGACCGCCGAACCTAGCACATGAGTTGTTAGTAAAAGGCGCCGAGGGCATTCCGTGTGGGGCCGGTGGCTTACCGGTACTTCGGAATCCTCGTCGAATGACCAGGCCTCGCCCTCGCGGTCGCCGAGGTCGAGGGTCAGCTTCCGCAACTCGGGCGGAGTAGGCTTCGAGGCGAGGGGGTATTCTTTGGAATCGAGAAGGTACAAGTCTCGCGGCTCGCGAATGAGGAGGGCTGGATATGCCCGCTTTGTTGTCGTGGTGGTCGTGACGGTCTTGGTCTCGATACACTCTTCGGCGAACTGCATCACGCGGTGATGGGTTATGGTAGCATCGTCTTCCTCCCATGTCATCGACACCCGCTGGCTGGATCGTGGACGGCAGGCCTCGGTGGCCTTGCTGGCCGAGATAGGAGAGCTCATGACAAGAGGGGAGTGGTCGTTAGCGGAGAGGAGTACAGGTCAAGTTGCGTCGTGTGTTTGGGCAATCGTGGTAAAAGAGATTTTCGGGATGGCCGCGGGTCGGATAGAGAGATCTGCTGGACAAGACGAGTACGGCCTATGTTTCTCGTCGCAAACGGCTGAGAGGGCTTTGAGAGCCGACGGAGGTGATTGCTGGGCCGGATCTCGGGTCACTTTGCGGTGTCCGTCTTCCCAACGCGTGCCAGCCACTGGCCTTCGTATTACCAACGCGCGTTGGCTGGCGGCCAGTTTCCCCCACCGGTTTAGAAGCGAGCCCCGAAATCAGGTCCGTATCATGATTTTATCCGTAGCGGCCGAAAATGTTTTCTGTAGGCTTGAGGCTTGTAAATGCGATGGACGAAGGAAGGGCGGCGGCACCGTGGGTTTTGAGTAAAGCGGGAGGCGGTGCCCAGGGGAGAGACTAGCGTCGGTCAACACACCGTGTGCCTAGGATCCGAGTCATAAAGGGAAGATCACGTTGTGGGATCCCATGCAGCAGAATAACAGACGAAGAGTAAATATGGGACGGGAAAGCGGAAACCGAGACAGCGTGGCTCTTGTGGCCGCGGAATGCTCTCTGCCTGGTGCTGAGTGAAGTGACGATAGATTGGAATCCTGGAATCCCGTCTGGCTCTGGGAGGCGAGGACCCCAACTCGACACTAGCACCTTCCTCCGCTCGGTGCAGTGGGAGACAGTGCGCCTGTATCGCCGACCACTGTCAATGGTGGCTTTTTGCGACGGGGCGGGGCGACTGCGTCTCACTGAACATTGAAGAGCCTCAATGTCCAAACACTTCAAGATCCCCAGAATTTCGGATCTTAAAGCAGTAAATAATGATGATTTGAATGCATAGTAAGAAGTCCCCGCGCACTAGATAATTACAGGCGCAAAACTGCAACTGCGAGATATCTACATGGTTAAGAGTTCTGCCCCTGAATGCCTGGCGTTGTTCTATAATAGGCTTAAACACAGTCTTCCTGGTGCACCCGGACCAATGGCGACCGAGAAACCAATACGCACCAGCCTCTTTGGGGCGTCAAAGTTTATCCACCAACACGGATTTTGCGCAACCGTGGCGAGCCGGGGAACTGGGTGGCCAACGTGTCTGCTGAGTCTGCGGCTCTTTTTTGACACCGAGTCGCCGTTGTCCCTTCCAAGTTCCAACAGGTTTATGTGTAAGCTCACCAGGTTGCAGCTGCTGAGGCACTCGCCACAACTTAGTACGAGATTTGATGAGATTTTAGTTCCATGGCTTCCGGGGCTCAATCTTCCATATCTCACATCATGTGCGGTCGCTTGATCCCGTCAGCAGATGTCGATTTCTTCGCTGCGGTGTTACCACCTGCGTTGGAAGCGCTGAGAAGAATCAGGGAGGGGGGTGCTGCACCGTGCGGTGCATTCCAAGTCACACGCCAGCGAGCAACGGGCACCCACCAGCCACACCTTCCTCAAGCCTGCCTTGAGGGAGCCCGGGCACGCCTGTTTGGGGCCGGCCGGAAGGCCAAGTCAAGCTAGCGCGTCGTTACACTGCGAACTTTTCCCCCCCCAGCACCTGGTTTGCGATTTCGACCTCCTGTCAGTGCCCGTCAGGTGCATGCAACCGTCTCAGTAGGCCAAACGAACTTTGTCCTCCACGACGGCGGCCAAAAACGCGTCCCAAAACAGAGCTATTCCGTAAACCGCGCGTTAGAAATTGAAGATTTCGAAGTAAGGAATCCAGTCGGCTGCGACATATTGGGAGAGCTCATGATCGGGCGGAGAGGAGATCAAACCAAGGATTTTTTTTCCTTTCTTTCTTTGTTGGGGCCAGGATGGCCGACCCCATGGTCTAAGCTTCCTCCCCTCCCCTCTTCCGTGCCGATCGGGGCCTCTCTCTTGCTTGATCACCACCGACCTGTAGGCGTTCGTCAACTATCGAAGCTTTCCCCAAAAGCTTTGTGCTGAAGTCGTTCTTTCTTGATCCGATTTCTTTGACGATCAAACTGCAGCTCCCATTTGACAAATCAGGAACCGTCCCAAGGAAGCTCCGATGCCCATCGCGGCCCCTCCGTGGGAAGGCCACCCGACCTTGTTGCATCCGTGGATCTCAACGCCGCCCGCTCCCGCTACAGCTAGACAGTTGCATACCGTACCCCGTAGCTTAACTCTAGTGTGTGTGTGCAACCCGTGCCCCGATTTGGGAAATGTGAATTCACAACCCGGACAGGAGCTCGCCCGATTTTTTGCAAGGGGGATGTCGACTTCGGAGCCCGGAAAGAGAGCACAAGGCGCTGTGTTGCAAAGGGGTCCCACTACTGCACCGGAAACAAGGTTAACTCCTCCGGCCATTCTTGTTGGCCAACGACGGTACTGTCTCCCCTCTCCCCTGATTTTACGGCCAACCGGATGACAAAAAGCCCACTATTGCCGACACCGCGCCGCTCGAGCTGTTGCCCGATGACAGGTCGGAACGCCGCCCCCTGGGCGTTAGCCGTGGTCCGGGCCGACGCAAAATGCGCGTCTCAAATACCCTGTTGGGTTTTGATGCTAGATATTGGCCCAATAAGCCCATTGACTTTGGAGAGGGGTTTTCTGTCGTTGGCCGACTGCCTTAACGTGACACTGTTGTCGTGTTCTCCATCCAGCCCCTGATGATAAATCTCGACAGTAATTCGTGCAGTCTTCGAATTCGGCCAATACGAAACCAAGTCAACACAAGCTAAATATGGAATGGCTGTCAATGCCTCTCTCAAATTTGTGAGTTTTTTAATATTGCTGCATTTGCGTTAAAATAGTCTCGTCGGTCGAGATGTGAAATACTCAGGGGCTGTTAACTGCCCCTTTTCATGGACGAGATCCACATTTCACCATCAAAGCACTGTGCATGACACTAATTGCCATGTCAACACTTCCTGCCTACGTACCAGTCTAGAACCTACCACCACAGACTCTTGTCTTATAATTCAAGCAAGATGGACCAAACCTCCTTTCAGCCGTCATGACAAACAACCCACTCTTTTCCGTGCCAGCAAACTAGGAACAACTGTATGCCGTGCAGTTGGCACCTAACAAAGCCGCGAGTCCAGACAGCAATCGGGATATCGAACCTCCAGTATACGACATTCACCCAGCCACCGCTAAACCTTATAGCGGGCACTAAACTGACTGCCTTTCCCTCCACAAACAAGCTAATTGGGCGAAAGCAGACAGTGCCTCGTAGAAACGCCGAGCTCAGAAAGCGCAATCTGTGGTTAGTAATGCCATGAACAGGGTTGACTAACCGCCCTCGCGAGACCAAGATTCTTCAGTCACCCTCGCCCATCTCCGAGGCAGTGATGTCAAAGAGCATTGAGGCTCGTCGACTTAGCTGCTTGGGCGACACGCGCTGCGAATCTGCAGCCAAGTTCGCATCTCGAAGATTTTGGGGAAAGGGCATGGTTTCGTCGGCATCTGAACCTGATTGGCCTCCGTCGCTGGTAAGAATATTTCCGAATAGCGTTTCTTGAGATCCCCCTTGCATTCGGTTCGAGACTTGCGGAACAGATGCTAGCGAGTGATATTCACCTTTAGCTAGCGTTTCAGCGATCACGAATCCGTCCAGCATTTGATCGACGGCAAGCAACTCGTCAGATTGCCTTAACGAAGACTTCGATCGCTTAGCCCTCATAGAGTCGCTAATGCTGTTGCTGTCTCTGGGTCTTTTATGGGCTCCAGAGATGTATTTCTGGCTTTCGCGTCGGTCTTCCTGTATTGCGGTCATACGCAACGCGACATTCTCGTGTGGTAGAATTAGTGACTTGAATGGTAAGCCGGGAGGGAGCCTGAGCGAAGTCCTACAAGAGGGGGCTTTGGCTTTCTCTTTGGAGCAAGGCTCCTTTTCTGTCCTTTTCCCTTCTTGCTATCCTTGTTGTCTGTCTTTACATCTTTCTGTACATCTTCAGTAGTCCTCTCACTTTGCTTGTTTCCTTTCTTCTTAGATGTTTTGGTTGACGGCTTGGGTTGCGAGGGCTGCGTCGCCGGGTGCTTTTTGTGTCGAGCTGTTTGGTCTCGGGTCGAGCGCTCCTTGGATCGTCCAGCCTGTGTCGTCTTGTATTTCGGTGTAATTTCTTGCTTCCCTTTTGTCTCAGTCTCTACAATTGGATCTAGTTCCAATGGTTCTTCATATGGATCGAGCTCAGTTGGCTCGTCATATGGATCCTGTTCCATTGGCTGTGTCTCTGGCACGGTTGACGCCTCGACATCTGGCTGCTGTTGCGGTTCAATAGCGTCACTTTCAACAAGTGGTGCCACCCTATGAGATGTCAGCCGAAGATTTGAGAAGTTATGGCGAGGTACATACTCCAGCTCGGCGATTTTCTCGTGACAGAATCCTCCCTGGTGTTGCAATCGAAGGTTGGACTCGTTAAACTGTGCCCGATTGAACTTCCAAACTCCAATCAGGGGCTCATCTGTGCTTTTGGTTGCATCAAAGGCCAGATTAAAGTAGACCGGCGATACTTAGATGTGTTGTCAGAAACAGACCGCGACACAAGGCAACGATTGGTGAGATTTAGAGGAGAAATTTACCTCTCAATCGAGGCAGGCGGCTAAGATAGTCACCCAATTTGCACAACTCGAGGTTGCTGGTAGATACGTGCTGCTTGTCGGTTGCTGCCCTCCAGATGCCGATGCTGCATTTTCCATCCTTTTTATACTGGAACACCATGGTGTAGTACTCAACCAAGTAATCTTCGCTCCAAGTCTTTGAGCGCATACAATTTATTCGGAACCGGAGTAGTCCTTCTCTCTCGATCATTGGAAAAATGTCTCGCGTCTATTCCCGGCGGCGCCTGTTAGTAGCATATCGTTAGGAGAATGGCGAAACCTAACAGTCACGTACCAAAATGCCCATCAGTCGGCTCAAGTCGTAGTCTCCGGTATTGCGCAAGAAGACGGTGCTTTCCTGGTCTCTCAGAAGCTCCATGTCGTGGAATGCGATTGGCGAACCAGAGTCAACGATTTCTCCGAAGGGTGTCGAGAGAAGCTGGTCCAGCGGTAGGACTCGAAAATGGCTCGGCGGGAAACCGTATCTATACCGAAGTCAAAGTCTGAGGCAGGCGCATGTGAGCGATTTGTTGCGCCTACCTGGCATACAAAACTTGGCTCAACTTCGACGCAAAGATTAGCAGAGACAGGAGAGGGGGAGGATGCTAGGGCGCACATTTAAGACTTACCACTGTGCCGACCACTGTCTTGCACAGCTCAACATCGCGCTTGGGTATGTCGCCTGATTTTGAGAGAGCTGTTAAGCCCTTGGGCGCCATTCTGGAAGCCGACGAAGCTATCGGCTGGGAGTCGCTTACGAAAGTATCGTACACCGTTGAAGGTCAAATGGAACGAGCACGAGCACCTTTGAGTAGTTCCAGAGGAGAGTGCGGCTTTGAATAGGCAGGTGTGGGAAGGCAGGTGGGGAAATAAAACAGTCGAGGTACAGTTAACTAGTACGTAAGGTCACGTGCCCCTCATTACAATCTGGCCCGCTATCTAAATCTACGTAATTCTTGGGTTGTGGGGTTGGTAATAATAAAGATTGAACAAAGGGCAAGCTATTTATCGCACGATAACACAGTCAAATTGGAATGCCACTCAAGGCGTATGAGTGTAACGAATGTGTAGGCCGTGGCTACGGCCATTGCATTGTAGGTTTCGTAGGCCAATAAGAGTCTGGCTCTTATTTGCCAGGTGCCAAGCAGCGTCTTGGCACTAGGCACTTTCTTATTAGCTGCATCCCCCCATACCCCAGGACTGGCCCGGGGCACCCCGTCCCTGCAGTCCGCCCAGTATGAACCAGGAGGTTCGTCACACGATGCCCCGCCTCTAAGGTTGGCGTCCCGATAACCTCGCCTTTCTTCTCTGCAGCCCAGTGCCTATGTAAGGAAAGAGCCCCAACCCACAACAAGATCAACTACACGCGTACCGAGCGGGCCAAGACCTCACTCCTTTGTCATGACCTCTCGCCCGCCCTGCCCTGCATTCTGTCATGTATATAAGCAGTGGCCCTCGCCCCTTCCTTTGCGAGGGCCAGGTTGAAGTCTCTTACCAATACCAGTCATTGCTCGCTCTCTTCATTACCTTCAATGTGACCACCTTGATCAGGCGTACCTGCCTTCACTTACAGTGGTTTACCGCTTTATTATACGGCGGGGCCGTTTAGCGGGGTTAGTGCAGTATAGCGTGCAGCTCCAGGCCCTAGCGTACTTAGCCGTGATGCTTACGATCGCTTTCTCAATTTCCGCCGATCGTAGAGCCTCACGGTTAGTAAGATCGGTTCTTTTGCTCTTCTAGTAGATACCTCTCTACTCCCTCGAAAGGTCGTAGATATTTATCTTCTAAGCAATAGTACGAGAGATTCTCGCGTACGAATCGCACCTCCCTCGAAAGTTCAGTGCGAGTCGCGTGTGAGAGAAGGCAGGTACGCCGGATCAAGGTGGTCACAGTGAAGGTAACAAGAAGTGCAAGCAATGACTGGTATTGGGGTAAGACTTCAACCTGGCCCTCGCAAAGGAAGGGGGCGAGGGCCACTGTTTATATACATGCTCAGGGGCTCAGTCCTGCGTGTGCTTGTGAAAGCTTGTGGGGTTGTGGCGCCGTAGTGCGGCTTGGTGGCTTATGCCAACGGGCAGTGGCCTGGCCAGTTGGTGCTCTTTCCTTACATTGTCGTGCGGGGTAAACACAGTCAAATTGGAATGCCACTCAAAGTATATGAGTGCAATGAATGTGAATTGCTTGCTTGAGTAGCCAAGCAAGCTCTGTCTAAGACCGTGGCTACGTGAATGGATTGAAAGGATTCCTCACTACATATAGGAGGTTATTCGCTACGAGGGGAGGAACGAATAGAAGGAGGGCCGGCCAGGTTGGCTGAAGAGCCGTGAGGTTAATCGTATGGTGGAGGTTATTGTTGGAGGAAGAAGGTATGGAGGGTTCGGAATTAGAATCTGTAGATTCGGCTCTGTGGCAACTATTAGAGGTGTATTCGGAAGGCGAAGAATTAGAGAGAGAGGTTGTGCGGCAGGACGAAGCCGAAGAGCAGTTGCCAGCGCCAGAGCCGTTGCTAGAGCCGCTGCCAGAGCCGGCGCTACTGCGGCGATCAAACAGAAGAAGGACGTAGATAGTTATCTTAATTAATAATTGGCTGCGTCCAAGATGGGTAGAAATAGCTGTATTTTAGCGTTGAGTTCGTTGTTAGAATTGGTGGTGGGGTGGAAATGACAAAGGTGCTGTATTTTGAGTAGGTTTTAGTGAGGAAGCCCTGAAGCGGCTTGATTGCCAAGAAGGCGGCGACAAAAGACTTGTAGTAGCGGCTTCCGTACACCTTTGGCCATCAAGCGCGAAAGCATTCTACGGAAATGGATTTTGAAGTAAAGGAATACATAGGACTGGAGGAATGGAAGAGATGATTGAGGGAGTTGTGAGGTCTGATGTATTTAATAAATGACTAAACCTTTGGGAGAAGTATTTTTTTGGCGTCTTAATATCATCGCTTTTCCCGTCAACTTGCTGCTGTCTTGTGAATGCGAAAATTGCAGTCAATTCATAGTCACTGCCAAGAGAGAGCGATCATTTTCAGGACATTTAATTTTGACGTCTCGACATTGGATTATCGGAAGCTCAAAGTTTAAGACGTCTCCATCGTGTCAAAGCTAAACGCCGACCTTGGGGCTTTGGGGGATATCGATGGCAACCCGGAACTTGTCTGTCGCGAGTAATAGGAAATGCGGAAATACTTGCGTGTTAAACAGATGAACTTCATCTCATAGTTGACAGTCTAGTTAAACGAGCGCACCCCATCCCAATGATGTTTCTCGCCGTGCCGCGAACAGAACTGTGCAGTGCCCACGAAGTACCTCTGCAAGGGAAGTTGCCAGCTCAGAGACATCTAATGAAGAATATCGCCAAACGCAACCCTAGAAAAAGGTGTCACTAGACACGCCCTCCACAAATTACTATCCCCCAGACAAATGGAACCCCCAAAGTGGTTGTTCTAGACACTGTTCCCCAAAAGGAACCGTTGCCGTAAACGCCGTCCAATAAAGGGGGAAGACCAACCCCATTTGCGCACCTTATTCTTTTCCTCTTGGTTAGGCTGACCATATTCACCCCAACGCCTGAAAAAATTACCTAGACATGACAACTGACAACCCCAGCCAACAGAGAACAATTTCCAGATCCTGGCACAAGGAGATTCTTCGTCCAACAAATCCGAGGATGGTAACATCGGCCTAAAATCTTCCACAACTTGGAATTTCCAAGCCAAGAGAACGCATCCTGCCATACCGTAAGACACAGCAAGGTCCCTAGATGACAACAGCAAAAGAAAGGAAGAGAACACAAAAACAAAGTAGAACCAAGGGCGGGACGTCACTACCAGCCCCTTTAGATAGTGCCTAAGCTTCTCCGTACTGGGTGGCCGAGTAGGTGCTGCCGTTCGATGCCGCATCGCGCGAGTGCTGAACACGTATTCCGGAATGATGGTTCTGGGTAGACTCACCAAGCCCAGCAGAAGAGCCCTCTTTGCTCTCCAGATTGACTATAATCTCCATGGCTTCCTCTAAACGCTTCCGCTCGTTCTGGAAGTCGAGGCGTTTTCCGGCGATTTCTGGACCCTCGCTCATGAGCCGCTCGAGAATGCCCGAATTCGCATTGCGCCCGCCCAGCTCAAGTTTTTCGTACAAGTAGTTGTCAATTACAGAGGCGATATTTGGCAGTAGTCCCGACATGACGCGGATTGAGACGTTGTCAATGAATCGATGCGCGGCGGTCAGGTAGTAGCCACGCACGTACGCGGCGACGGTCAGCTCCTGGTCGAATTCATCGGGGCCGATGGTCTTCAGGTCTCTCTGCATTTTGACGGCCTCTTGTGCAAGCTCCTCATCGGTAAGGCCATCCATCTTAGGGATGGGCCCAGCCTTCTCGCCATGATGCGCAGCTATGCGGTGGTAATATCGGTGTCGGGTGAGAATCTTCTTCTCCATGGCCTTGTGTTGGCTGAGGACGACGTCATCCTTGGTGAAGATACGCCGTGTCTCTAGGCTGTAAATCTCAAACAATCCTCGCCGAAGGTCGGTTTTACAATCTTCGATAAAAGCCTTAATGTGCTTGACCGACTCCTGATACACTAATCGGTTCTTCAAGTGAAAAAACGCATCTTCCAAGATTCTCGTGATTTCGGTGTTGATAAAGCCAACCGTATTCTCAATGAACCAATCCAGAAGAACATCCCACGATTTCGCAGCCTCCGTATAGAGAGGCTGATACACGCTGGGTGATACCAGACCAGGTTGGCCCGGGATAGCGCTCCTCTTAATCATGTCTCGAATATCACACAGCGACTTGGCAGCTGAGCTACCGAGACCGGGCGAAGAGTGATAAATGTTACGACGAGGACCGGCGGAGTTGTCGGGATATTCCGATTTCGCGATGGCGCCATTTTCTTGACGCTGCCGTTTTGCAGTTGGGGTTTGATCGTTGATGGGGCGCTTCCGACGGGCTGGCAAGGATTCTGGGCTATCAAGGTCGATAGGTGACGTTGCGCTTCCAGCAGGCTTTCGAGGTGGCTCCTGTACCTTGAACCTCGGCTTCCTGTTCAGAATTTCGGCTTTGAATGGCTCCACAAAACGGCTGTCCCACAGGTTCAAAAACTCTTGTTGCAAGACCAGATCCTTTACCTTCAGACTGAAACCCGAGAGACTTCTCATTATCTCTAGCTCAGGATTCGGCGGCGAGTCCGGGTACTCTTTCAACTGCTGGTCGATATCATACAAGCGGTTGTTGACTTTTGCCTTGACCTCTGGCAGCCTATCTATTGTCAGTGGGTTGTAAATGGGAATGGGAACGGGGAGGGGGGGACTGACACTTTGGAGAACTCTTCTCCAAGCTTCAAGGAGAGAAAAGCCTTGAGCTTCTCAACACCGCATCGGTCCTTGAACTGCTCAAAAACTCCTGGCCACTGGCCCGCATTGTCTGCCGTTCGGTTGAAGAAGGCTTCCTCGAGCTTGGTTTGCTCCTCAAGTTCGGTTCCCTGCCTTGATGTAATAAAGTAGCCAAACCCCGTTTTATGTGCTTGTCCTTTTAACATCGACATCCAACTGGCAGAGGCTTCAGTCGGTAGCAAATCCGCCTTGGTCATAACTCCAATGCAACGCTCTTCTGCCTTCATTTCGCGGATGAGGTTAAACGCAAACGAGTTCTCGGCATCCTGATTCATGGGTGCCGCCCAGAGGATCATGGCGTTAGGGCGCGATATGTACTCGCAAGCCAAGTTTTGGACGACACGCTCTAGGAACTTGTCTTCAGGCCTCTTGGCCGAAAGAAATACCCCCGGCAAATCGTAAAAGTTTAGATCAGCCAGCTCAGGGCCTCTGACTTCAAGAGCAACCGTATTGGGAGAAAACTGGGCTTCCGAATTGAGCTCCTTCTCTCGAACTCGCTCAAGAGTTTGGTCGCGAAGCATATCCGAGGTCTCACCCTTGAGCTTTGGGATGAACATCTGGTGAGGATCGCTGGGGTTTAAGATGGCGACTTGAGCACAACGTAAGATCGTCTCTATATCGTCAGAGTCAAACCGATCCGTGATAGACTTGAACTCATATCGCTCAGCATGGACAGGTTCTAGTAGAACCCAAGGAGGAAATTTGTCGGCCTTTGTGACATCCTGAGTTGTGATAAGATGGCCACGCGGGACGAAGTCGTAGTCCCTTTTGAGAAACACTCGACAGGACCAGGCGTCTGCTCGTGAGATTCGTATATGGATGGGGCAGCGAGTGCAAGTCCCAGTGCTCCGCGGGAGACTAAGACCAGCGATTGCAGACATCAGACTAGATTTTCCGGAAGATTGGTCGCCGACCAGGACCAACTCTGGCAGGCTTGCGACATGCTGGATACCACGAGCTTGGAGCTCGCCAAGCGCATCGTTTATGTCCTTCAACTTCTTTCCGAAGTCCTTGAGGGCCCGATTGGGCCCAACAAACGACACTTGTGTGGTTGAGATGGCTTGGGAAGCTGACATTTGGTCTTCATCGGGATGTGCCTTAGTTGGCTTGCCTCGAACCTCCATTAAAATGGGATCATCGTCCATATCCTCACTGAGATCCTCGTCAATAGAGGCGTCTCCAGCGGCGGAAATAGGTGGCCGTCTGGTGGTTACGCTCGCTGTGGAATAATGATTAGCCAGTAACTCCATATGGGCCGGAGGGAGAAATTTGAACTTACGCGCATTAGAACGCGCTCCGCGAATCGGGTCAGATACAGTGAACGGCTTCGTTGCCTGCTCAGATGGAGTTGTCGCGGTTCCTTCGGAGCCACGGTAAATTGCCGCTGGGATGGCGATTGGCTTGGAAGCTTTTGCTGCTTCCCGACGATTGCGACCCGGCTCAGACTTTATACTCCTGTGGTTGGCCATCTTCGTTCATCTGGAAGATTGTCAGTGTTGCAACGGAAGGGCGGGGAAAGAAGTGGGAGTGTGAAAGAAATGGCGGGTGCGAGAAGGTGATCGAACTCACGTGCTTGTTCTCACGAGGAAAGAGCAGAGTGTACAAAATGACATCCACCACAATCTGAAAGGGAAAACGCATGCCCCAAGGATCGTACAGGTGGGAGGCTTTTTTGGTGTACAATGTCCTGCGTGATGTTTGAAGGAAGGAACAAATGCCTTTCGGAACGGTGCAGGCCAAAGGGAAAATATGGAGAACCCTAAGGGGAGTGATGGGATTCGGGAGAAGTGAGGAATCTGACGAACTAGTGTACCAAAGGTTGGTAAGGTGAAGGTGGGTGGTCTGCGTTGAAAGGAAAAAGGTGGAAGGCGGAAGGTGGAAGGGTGAAGGTGGAAGGGTGAGAGGTGGAAGGGTGAGAGGTGGAAGGAAGGAGCGGCAGAAGAATATGCTGACTCTGCTCATTGGCACTGTGAAATGCGTGTGAAGTGAAGCTCAAGAAGGGCTCGTGTGAGTGATGGTCATTGTTAGGAACCCACGCACAAGTGTGCGCTGTAACTAACATATCCTATCTTGGACTGGAGAAGCATTGGTGCATCAACGGAACAGCGCGGGGCTGGGCGAAAGCGGGGCATTTTTGCCAGGTTCCTTTGCCGAGACGCGAACTGGGCTTCACGTCATGGCACTGGATTTCTGCGGGAAAGCTGTGAATATCTGTGAATCGGTTTCCCACTTACCTGTCTCACCCACATCCTATGTAATCCAACGAAATGTGACTATCCTCCTCCGTCCCCGTCCCCGCTTCTCCCATTCCGTATTTGCTCCAAGGTCATTTCAAGAGGGCGGAGTAACTAGGGACTAATGGATAACTGAGAAAATATAATCAAAAGATCAATCGGATTTTATAGATTAAAGCAGGCTAATATACGAATCCGTATATAGAAGTACTTCACTCCTAGAATAAGGCTTTAGCTTTGGACTGGTACTAAGGAGAGGTCGTGATAACTCGACGGCAATGGGATGGACGTTTGGGAAACATGGCGGGGTACAACTAACCCCAATTGGCAAAGCGTGGTTGGATGATCTACGCACGGACCAAGAACAACTGGCCAAACCCGGCCAGAGTTTGGCTCACATGGGGCCAAGCCAGATTTCAGGGGACCCAAGGACCAAAAAAGAGGATCTCGGGCGATATCTGGCTTGTGTCCTCGACCCTAGCTGCCATTGCCGCCACTGATTCCGTGGAATAGCATTCCGCCTGCAAGTCTTCAAGATACCCATTATGTCGCTTCAAATTCCGTACCGCGAGAAAGCGAACGGCGCCACTGGCGCCACCAAGGCCGTCATTCTTGTGAGTCGGTCGGTATTGGTAGAGGGAGGGTTGGGTTCGCGGGCACTTGCTAATACAAGGTCAAGGTTGGAGGCTCTTCGCGCGGCACCCGCTTCAGGCCGCTCTCTCTCGATGTCCCTAAGGTATGGCACCGCTCGAAACCGAGTTTTCTTTTGCCATTGAGCAATTTGCGCATACCCATAGCTAACGTGGTCGAATTCGCAGCCACTTTTCGACGTCGCTGGCCACCCCATCATCTGGCACTGCCTGACCGCCATCGACAAGGTCCCCTCAATCAGCGAAGTCTACCTGATCGGCTACTACGAAGAGTCTGTCTTTCGCGATTTCATCAAGGACTCCGCAACCGAGTTTCCCAATCTGTCGATCAAATACCTCCGCGAATACCAAGCCCTGGGCACGGCCGGTGGCTTGTACCACTTCCGCGATGCGATCCTCAAGGGCCGCCCCGAGCACATCTTCGTCTTGAACTCGGACGTGTGCTGCAGCTTCCCACTCAACGAGATGCTCAAGCTGTCCCAAGAAAAGGATGCAGAGGCTGTTATTCTGGGGACACGGGTCAGTGAAGACGCCGCCTCGAATTTCGGCTGCATTGTCTCCGACACCCACACCCGCCGGGTGCTGCACTACGTCGAGAAACCAGAGAGCCACATCTCCAATCTGATCAACTGCGGTGTCTACCTTTTCAGCACCGAGGCCATCTTCCCTTCGATTCGTAGCGCCATCAAGCGCCGCACCGACCGGCCCTCTCGCCTCGTCTCGTATCCCTCCTCCGACAACCTCGAGAGCTCCTTCATGATCGACGATGAGGACGACGAGAGCCGCAAAAACGAAGTGATTCGCCTCGAGCAAGACATTCTCAGCGACATGGCCGACAACAAGCAGTTCTTCGTGTACGAAACCCAGGACTTTTGGCGTCAGATAAAGACGGCCGGCTCCGCGATCCCGGCCAATGCGCTGTATCTCCAGCAGGCATGGCAGAACGGCTCAGACGAGCTGGCCACGCCGTTGCCAAACATCCTTCCTCCTGTGTACATCCACCCAACCGCAAATGTGCACCCCACGGCCAAGCTCGGGCCCAACGTCTCGATTGGTCCTCGCGTCACGGTTGGCGCTGGTGCCCGTGTCAAGGAGTCTATCGTGCTGGAAGACTCTGAGATCAAGCATGACGCCTGCGTGCTGTATTCAATTATTGGTTGGAACAGCAGGGTTGGTGCCTGGGCTCGCGTGGAAGGCACCCCGACGCCGGTGACCAGCCACACGACAAGCATCATCAAGAATGGTGTCAAGGTGCAAGCCATCACCATTCTAGGCAAGGAGTGCGCAGTGGGCGATGAAGTTCGTGTGCAGAACTGCATATGCCTGCCATTTAAAGAGTTGAAGAGGGTAAGCCATCCCATTTACGCATCTCGCTTCTGTGTGTACCGCTAACCTGTTGTTCTTGTAGGATGTTGCGAACGAGGTCATCATGTGAGCAGATGATAGGCAAGGACGGAGATATACCAAAAGCTAGGCTTTATTACAGGAGATTCGTGGGAATTCGCATCTTCTTCTGCATCGCACTGCTGGGGCACGGTGCCGAATGCCAAAAAGCGTATCTAATAGATAGGCAGAGGAGCTCAGTTTCTCGGCCGACTTACAATTAACTTTGGATCTGGAGCGACGTCCATAAATGGTTCTCAGCTTCGTGGCAGACGTGTTTTATTGCGGCCAGGATACCCCTGCTCAACGTAGAGTTGTGATGTTTGTCAGACATTGCTCCGGTTCTCGATGTTTAAATGCTCAGAAGGAAACACGGCGAATCGATGCACTGAGTGATTTCGCAGCCCTTACGGGTAGGATAGAAAACTACTTCTGACGGACTGGTCTACATCGCCCAGGGGACTTTTGGACATCTTTTTGGTGTGCCTCCAGAGCCGCCTCGGGGGGAAATTCCATGGAATACCCGAAGACTTTGACAACCATACCCCCGTTGATGGCAGGGTGTACTTTCGCTAGAGCACCAACTCCTCGACACAGATCAACTTTGCGAGTGTGGTCTGGTGTGCCTTGGCGTGGGCTTAGTGTTCCTTCGTTGGCAGTATTGTGTCCATAAATCCAAAGGGTTACTTTGACTGGGTTTAAGGCGATTGTTAGATCAAAACCTTGAGGGTAGTGGTTTTGCATAATAATCGACTAGATACCCAGGTGAACTGTTTATTATTGCAGTGTGAGAATAATATCATTATATTTTCTATCTTCTCTACCTTCAGCTGTAACGCTGATCAGACTTTAGTGTTGAGTCCTCATACCTTGGCCCGAAATCCCCGGTATCGGGAGAGTGAAAAATACCATGAATAAAGTGGCGACGCAACGAATAATGCCCTGGATATGATTATAAAACTGAGTAGGGGCTGTACCAAATACGAGCGAACAACCGTACCGAACTTCCTCAGCTCAAGCTTAGGGGGCGAGGGCTACAAGCCTGGCTTAAAACCTGAAATTCCTAACATTGGATCTAATATATCAAATACTAGTCCACTGCTCGCCATCCGTTTAGCTGCTATTAGTGGCCCACGTGGTCCTTTATTACCCTAAACCCATACTTCAAACTGAAAACCCACGGCCAGCGCCCTCCCACTGCCCCGAGAGGGAAGTTCCTTCGACGAGCGCGGTTTCGTAATTGCCATCCAGCATGCCCTACGGCGTGAGAAGCTTGCGGAAGTACACGAGAACGAGGGCGTGGATCGCAGCGGTGGAGCTGTAGACTATGACGGAGCCGAGGGCGGCAGTGGCAACCCATGACTGCTTGTGCGCGACCACGGAGAGGATGGCCATGAAGTAGTAGACGTACCGCGCCGTCGGCCCGTAGCCGCCGCTGATTGGGTACGAGCACTGCACGACCTGTGAGCGGAAGAAGGTGTTGTTGCCGGTGGTTTCGGTGCCGATTATCCAGCAGTGTGCGTCCAGGAGGAGGTTGCTCGGGACGATGTTCAGTTTGGGCGGATGGAGGGATGCAAAGAACGGGTTAAGGGGTTCCATGTTGGACTAAACAGCAATCAATCGTCAGATTTTGGTATGGTGCTTCGAGCCTGAGAGTCCGATCCAGCAGAAAGATAGTAGTTTGATGTTGCTCCGAAGAGAAGAGAGACCATGCGGGATTTAGGGCTTTGTTTTCCGCTGCAATGCGATTGTAATTGTATTGGCCGAACATGAAACCAGTGGCTTGGGCAAGTCTGTGCAACTGCCCCTGCTTTTCGCAGGAGGCTTGTTTTTTACCTACCTACATTACGCTTGTGACGGCAGACACAATGAACGCCAAAGTGCCCAAACATTTACAAAGCCAAATAGTTAGCATATTGATCAATCCTAGACTTCGTCGCAGATATCTACCAGAGGCTAGCTATAAACTTAATGTTGCTAATCATGGCGTCCATCAGCCCCACGAAACTATAACGTACCCGATGTGATTCCTCGTCTCACTAATTACGATCAAAATCCATTAAACACACATTCAACTCACCCTGCTCGAGCACGCCATGCCGGGCAAGAGTTTCACCAGCTCAAATATTCGGTAGCCTTTCGTTTCTCTCGTTTCTCTCGTTTCTCTCGTTTCCCCGCTCACTCCCAACTTTACCCAACTCAAACGGAAGCAGTCTCGACAAGTCGACGGGCAGATACTGCTCTAGCTTGAGCCTGATCCTAGAAAAACAGTGCTTGCGCTATGCAACGGTCCGGTTGTTTTCCATACAACTTTTCGCTTGGCAAACACATGGTTGTCTCTAGTACCTATAAGGCAGTTTCAGTCTCATCGCATCTATCCTCTTACTACCGGCATAAGGGACCTCGGTAGTCGAATCTGGCGTTCGCTTCCTTCAACTTTTCTCTTCTGCGCTACATCTACATTATCACCTGCTACGAGGTTCAATGCCGTGATTAAACTATTTATTTACCTGCACCTGTTCGTTTATCACGCTTTACATGTAACTAACAAGAGCGTATAGACGAACACAAGATTCAGTTTTCGAGCTGTCCTAGCGTAATTGCTAGGATGCTCAGCTTGCAAGCGGCTGCCGTATGGTTACAGATTAGTTCACAACTTTACTACACATTGAGTGTGATAGAATCAACGGTCGGCTACCCGGCCGAGGGCTCTAGCTCAAAGACTGTTCATATATTCCGTTTGGTTGTCACAAATCACGTGCGAGGGACGCGGACGCCTGCTATCCGGTCCCTGATGTGCTTACCCGAATTCTCAGGGAAAGGGCTGTTCACACAGGGACTCGGCGGAGACGAAAGCGTCAGTTATCAGATTGCCACCTAGGAAGCAGACCGAAGACTCAGGAGCAAGAGCGAGGATTGCCCATCCAGCAGTAACCGCAGCAAAGAGAGGCTTTCATCCAAAGTAGAACAGCCTGCCTGGCAATGGACGCGCCCCCGTCTTCACTCTCTATGCGGACTGTTCTTGAATAGATACCTACATCTTAGAGCAGCGCTTCTTTTCAAGAGCCCCAGGGGCTCCTATAAATCTCTCCTCTGCTTCATTTCTCACAATTCGTCACATCGGCCGCGCTAGCGATTTTGCGAAAGATCTCACGAAAGATTTTCGTCTGCCTTTTTCGGATTTCTTCTCCTGGATTTCTGTCCCGGATTTCCGAACCTCTTCAGACTTGACACATTTTTGCAAACAACACACCAGCAAAAATGCCCAAGGCCCCGTCACCAGCTGCCTCAATGGCCTCTTCCCACCGGATGCTTCCGTACACCCGCGGAAGCAACAGCAGAGCTTCGTCAGGACTTCCCCTCGACAACAGCGAGATCGACTTCCTGAGCCTGCCAGCCGAGATCGAGAGAGTCATTTACGGCTTCCTCTTCACCATCGACCACGCGGTCGACACCCATAACGCCCACAACCGCACAAGGCTGCGTGACAGCTACAAGTTCAGCTCCGCAACGGGCCTGCTTCGAGTTTCCCGCCTATTTTCTTTGTTCGGTTCGCTTTTGAGGCTAATATAGGTAGCTATTGTCTTCGGACAAAACCTGAGGGAGGCTTTGTTTTAGAGTCCCTTAAGGGGACAATTGCAATTAACAGTAATCATCATATAAATGGAAATACCACACACATGCGTACCTTGAGTCAGTGAGCTAGTCATGGCATATTATATTTGTTTCGGTTGTCGCATTTGTGCTTGTCTAATGCCCCTTTTAATGAGGAATGTAACTATGTATACCAATTTTCGTCTCTTTTGGTGTGTTATACCTAGGTAACTACCTTCTGGTGATGGCAATTGAAATTCGTGCACGTAAATACCCATGTCTCTATCGTGGGTTGAAACTGAAGATGTTCGGACCTGAATGTGGTCCGTAATTACATGCAACCTAGGTCTTTCGGTCGCGGTGATTCCCCTCTATCAGCCATCAAATGATACAACATTTTACCTACCTTCATTCATATATCTAGACCCCTTTCCTCGGCAGTTCTGGGGAGCATATTTTTCTAGCCTGCGGTAATGTCCATTCGGTGTAGTGTTGTAGCCCACGCCCCAGAGGCAGTTGACGGTGACGATGATGGATCAACAGAAGGAATGTCGGTTGGGAGTTCCAGCTGAGTTGCAAGCCGTACGACCGAACTTGCGGTTGTCTGAGCTGCTCTTGCCAATGTGTCTGCCCAATTCTTTGACGGAGAGTTATGGGGCGACCCTGTAGTTGAGTACACTGGAGAAGTCAGGCCCAACGGGGAATCCTCCAAAAGATCGGTTAGGACTGACCTGCCTGGTTGGCAGCCCCGGGAGCTGAGCAACAGAAGGAAAGCCACGTGGTTAACGAACGCATCCAGGTTATCCAAGCTGAGAAAGGAGCTCCAAATCGTGGCGTTTGCTGTTGAGGTTCCTGTCGCCAGCGACCTTCTGGAGAGCAGCGTACCATGCGGGCAATTCTGACGGGCGCGTCAGAATGGGCTTGTAGACGGTGTCGGTAGCGGTCGCTGCAGCTAACGAAGCCATTGTTGATTTGACTGATCGAAGGAAGGAACCAAAGATTGAAGAGAGTGGCCTGTTGGCTAAGATCACGAGCTTGGAAATGAGGTGCGGAAATGCTGTTGCGGAAGCGATTTTTGGTGGTTAGGCCGGGCTCATAACTGTTGCATTGTCACGGCATGGCGCATTGCGGGTTCCTTATCGGTCCCTTATCGCTAGCCGTGTGACATCAATTCTAGACTAAGCCCGAATAAGCTTAGTTCCCCGCGCCACGTGCACCGAACCTCGCGCCCACAAACCCTCAATCGCAGCCTTCGCGATTCTTTCCCTTTTTCCTTTCCCTTTTTCTTCTTTAGCTTAGTTTTACACTTAATCAATACGGTATTTTGCTGGCATAGTCCTTCATTTCCTATTACCCGTGACATGCATGCGATCGGAGTTGACAACGCATTGAAGTGTCTGCTAAATAAATCAGGTCTAAAGGTGCAGAAACGAGCGCTTCCTTATACCCTTTGAGAAGGGCAAGGAAAGCGTTTTAATGAGCCGTTCGGAATGAAATGAGGGCATTCTGTGGGCCAAGTATGAAGAAAAAATGAGGAAGGAAGGGAGTTGGCGTGGCATACTAACCAGGGCCTGAGAATGTGGTTCAATTCCAGGCGACATCCTTGAATTCACGCTCGGGTACCAGTGCCCGCTAAATATTTTATGTCATCCAAACTCGAAACTTGGATATTGCTGAGATTCTACTACACACAGGCGCCGATCCGTACCAGAATAGTGCGGCAGTGAATGAAACCACCATCAACGCGGTCAACCTTGCGCTCTAATACCTCTAATCACCTTCGCAGGAATCCAATCGCAGATGACCTATTTCGCTTACTCCCGGTGTTTGATCATCTTAAGGACCAAGGTCAAGATATACATCAGATATCCAGTGCTTTTTCGAAATCGTGGCAAGTGCCTGGTGTTTTCACCCAGCTATATCTATATATATAAGATCGGGAGGGTTTTGACAATGTAGAACTCCGTTGTAGCATGGAGAAGGTCAGCTTTGTGCTTATGCCTCTGAACATGGATTTATATTCGTGTTATATTTTGTTTGCTTTAATTCTTTTCTTTCTTTTGGAGGGAGCGGGGGAACGATATATTGGATTAGAAGCAAGAATAGACTGAAGAGAGCAGATAAAGTTATTGCTACATTGACAAACTCAACCTCAGTGTACCGCTTCCATGACAGGAAGTTAGAGACTCTACCCACGGAAGACGCCGAAGTGCATTTTCCGTAGGGACCGCAAGGCTTCTTGAGGGTTAGATGTTTATCTATCATTAGTTCTTGTTCCAGCCATTTCCTTTTTTCTCTGTGCATGTATTGTCAGCTTATTATTGGAATGCGCTACTCTCTAATTGAGTCTGATTTTGGTTATTATTTAGGAAGTTGAGCGGTTGATGTATTCTTGAAGAGATCAAAACAATACACCCCCTCGAATACTTCGATCATCATGTGTCCTTGATATCACCGAATTGAAGAGAAGTTACCCTAGATAATTACGACTCAAACATGAACTCCCCTCCTCCCCTTCAGCGAACGCTCTCGGAAGAACGGCACATAATTATCCCCTGGTCACTGACTCACTCGAGCACCTCGTCAACAGCTTAATAATTAAAAGCCAACCTCTGCCACCGAACGCCCAATAATGGCAGGAACCGAGTATTTACTCAGATTGTCATTGGTCAGTCGTATCACATAGCTGTCACGGCCCGTCACGTCACATGAACTCGCGTCAGGCCAAGGGCGCGCGTCTGAGAGGGAGCTTTGCAAAGCAAACCCCGCATACATGGCGCACGCACGCCCTATTGTCAAAAGCAAGTGGTTGGAATGGTTGAGAATGGCCGATTGTCCAATCGGTAAGCGGCAGTCGCGGAAAACACGACTCCGTGAACAAGGAGCTGAAATGTCCGGCGGTGCAGACATTAGTAATCAATTCGGAATCACGGGCAATGCGACTCCGCCGAGGAGAACGGCAAAACATAAGAGGACTCTCTCTGCAACACAGCTCTCTCTGCTACACAGCACACTGGGACTTGTAGATCGGCATGGAATCACACATCACACATCTCTCACCAAGGCACAGCCACAGTCACAGTCACACTTTAGTCTAGCCCTCTCAAAATGGCCATCCCCATCGCCACCACGGCCGCCAAAGCCACGGCGCTCAAGGCGCTGCACGTCCCGGGAACACCACTCCGGCTCGCCAACGTGTACGACGCGGCGTCGGCACGCGCCGTGGCCGCGCTCCCGGGGTGCCGCGCGCTCGCGACGGCCTCGTACGCGCTGGCACAGATGATCGGCAAGACGGACGAGACAATCTCGCTGGACGACACGATCTCGCTCGTGCGGCCCATCGCCGCCGTCGCGACAGACCCAAACACCAACCTGCCGCTGACGGTCGACCTGCAGGACGGCTACGCGGGGCCGGGCGACATGGCACGCCTGCGCGAGGTTGTGCGGCTGGCCATCACCGAGCTGGGCGCCGCGGGCGCGAACATCGAGGACTCGTGGCACGAGAATGCCGCTGGGGAAATGATGGGCGAGGACGAGGCGGTGGTGCGCATCGGCGCTGTGCTGGGCGCGGCGGCCGAGCTCGGCGTGCGCGACTTTGTGCTCAACGCGCGCTCCGACACGTTCCACGCAGGCGCGCCGGGGGGGCTGGACGAGTCGATCCGCCGGGGCAAGCGGTATCTGCGGGCCGGCGCCACGACGGTGTTTATCCTGTGGCCGAGAGCGGCCGAGATGCGGGCCGAGGATGTGCGGCGCGCGGCGGACGAGCTCGGCGGCATGGTCAACGTGACGTACCGGCGCGGCGGGACGCTGACGGCGGCGCACCTGGCGCGGCTGGGCGTGGCGCGCATCAGCATGGGCCCGCATTTGTATCTCGTTGCGGCTGAGGCGCGGAGCAAGGCGGCGAGCGACGAGGCGGTGGCCAATGTGCTGCGGGAGAAGGCTGGCGAGCTGTTCGGAGACGGGATGTGAGTGAACGTCTGGCTTGATGTGTGACAGGGGCCCGGGAGAGCTTCCCTATGTAATTCTGATTTCTTGGATATGTGACGATGGCTGTCGAGTTTGTTGTCTCGTTGTCGCATTCTCACGCGCCGTGGCTGCTGAGACGTCCCTTCAGGTTCCATCGTCTTCACAGGTCCATGGTGGTCCAACTTCCGTCATTAGTCCTCGTCGCCTATTACCTCCCCAGCCCTGGTGGCGACTGCTGGACACTGGCAGTTGGTCCCCGTAAACCCTCCTTCGACAAGGCGCTTGTCCGCAGCTTCTGCACTGGAGCGGAAGGAGGCTCGCAGGGCGGCAAACCCCGGAAATTTAATTATCGCCGCGCGTGCCAGGTCAGCGCCATTTCGGCGAAAGCAGCCGTGGCATGCGATGGCCTCGACGGCGTTTTGTCGTATTGATGTATCGCTGCAAAGTCCAAGATGAGAACGCCAAACGTAGACTGCCGCGGACATGATGCTTACCAACACGACCAGACGAGTCAGCCAGCGAACCAAGAAACGCGGACTCGGCCTTTTGCTGACGCGCGCCAGTATCCAGCGTCCAGCGTCCAGCGTCCCGTGACCAGGGCCGGTGGCGGCCTGGAGCGAGCACCATTAACATCTCAAACGGCGCTTGGCTGGTGACAGAGCCAGACAGCCACCAGGCGTGCGGGCGTGTGGGCGTGCGGCGCTTCGAAGTTGGCCGCAAAACCCCGCCGCAACCGCGCGCGCGCACACACAAGTAGGGGAAACAAGCACCCCCAAAACCCGGTACCCGTAGCGTTTCACCGTAGTGCTGCACGCGGGGCCGGCCGCGTGGGGGCCAGCCGGCCGCCGCCCCACCACAAAGTCGCCCCTTTTCCAGACCCTCGCGACCAAAACACACAGCCTAACCAACAAGCCAACAAGACAGTCGCAAAAAGGACCACCAAACACTTTTCTCCTCAATTGTGCTTGGGCGAGGCAGGGAATACGGCCAACAGCCGCCGCGGTGTTGACCCAAAATATCTTTTTTTCCCTCTTCGCCCGCTCGGCTTTCGGGCGGATTTCCGCTAGCGTCCTTCTGTCCCTCCTTTTTTGCCCCGTAGGCTGCTAGTTAGAGAGCCTCATTTTTCGAGACGCCGTTTAGCCGTGATGTCACGCACAATGCCATCTTTGCGCTTGCCCACATCACTCACGCACGGGTTTCTGCCAGCCCTTTTGGCCTTGCCTCGTGGCCCTCGAAACACTCGGCCAGCTCACTCCCCCCCCACATACATCAAACAAAGGGCGACACGCCAAAAACGGGATTCGGACGACCGCCGTTTGCCGCCGCCCGCCCGCATTTCTACGTCGGCTGTGCTCACACTCCTCTTCTTTTCCCTCTCTTTTGTCCTTCCCCGCGAGCAAGAAAGGTTCGAGTCTTTTTGTCCTTTTGCGAGCAGTGATTATACCATAGCACCCTTCCAAGCTTCCCCCGCCACTCTCGGTTCTGTCGATCGATCCCGCTGCCACACACGCGCAACTTAAAATTGCTCAAAGATCTTGGCTTCTTCGATATATTAGCGCCGATCAAGTGAACGCATAGTTCACTACTCCTCCCTTCCTCGCGCCGCGACGCCTGTTGACTTGGGCGCCATGGCCGAGGAAGCCGTAGCAGCAGCGGCAGAACGGGCCGCCGCCGTCAGTGCTGCTGCTACCGCCCATGACCACGTCGCCGCTGCAAAAGTGGAAGCGGACATGGTTGTGGATGTGGTGGTGGTGGGCGCGGGGCTCAGCGGGCTGCGCGCCGCCGTCGAGGTGCACCGCGCGGGGCTGACGTGCGTGGTGCTCGAGGCCATGGACCGCGTCGGCGGCAAGGTGCTCTCGGTCGACGCGGCGCCCGCGCTCGACGGCCAGGGCGAGGGCTCGCGGCGCAAGGTCGTCGATCTCGGCGCCGCCTGGATCAACGACACGTCGCAGAGCGAGATGTTCGCCCTTGCCAACAGGTTCAAGCTCGACCTCATCGAGCAGCGCATCGCCGGCCGCTACCTCCGCCAGGAGCGTGACGGGGGTGTCGTGCAGTACCCCTTGGGCTTTGGCGAAGTGAGTGTTGCCTTTTCTTGCCTGCTTGAGTAGGAGAAGTGTGTCTGTTTGTGATTTGAATGGAGAAAAGACCACGGACAGACGCTAATCGAATGACCTTGCAAATACAGGATATAGAAGACCCCCAGGTCATCGGCGTGTACCAGATGATCAAGCACCTGTCCGAGAGCTGGCTCGGCCCCGACGCCAAGGCGTTCGACTCGGTGACGTTCAGGGCGCTGGCCGAGGCCAACTTCCCGGACAACCAGGCGGTGGGCGAAGCGGCTGATTTCCTGGCGGGCGCGCTGCTCGGCGTCGGCGCCGACGAGATCAGCGCCCTGTTCATGATCGAGCACACCAAGAGCGGGACGGGGCTGGAGAACATGGCGTCAGACCTGCCCGACGGGGGCCAGTATCTGCGGGTCCGCCAAGGTGAGAGACACAGTGCTTTGCCTTTCCAGTGATCGTGATTGTCCTGCACTTGGCAGTGTAGACCAGTGGCTGACTCCTCATCTCTTCACAGGCGCACAGTCCTTCGCTACGGGCCTCGAAAAGCTCTTGCCTCGGGGCACAGTGCATCTCAAGTCGCCCGTGACCAAGATCACGCAGAACCTCGACGGCGGGTGCATCACGACGACAGACAAAGGAAGCATATTCCACAGCAAAAAGGTCATCATGTCGCTTCCGACGCCGCTGCATAACACGGTGATCTTCGACCCGCCCCTACCCGGCGCGCGGCAAGAGCTCGCGGAGCGCACGGCGCTAGGGTACCACGCCAAGGTGGTGCTAGTGTTTGCGAGCCCGTGGTGGCGCGAGGCGCGGCTGTCGGGGGTGATGGAGTCGACCACAACAGGACCGATCGCGTTCACGCGCGACACCTGCAGCGAGGAGGACGGACAGTACAGCATCACGTGCTTCATGGTGGGCGAGCGCGGGCGCGAGTGGTCGGATCTGAGCGCCGCCGAGCGCGAGGAGCAGGTGCTGGAGCACTTTTACGAAGTGTTCCGCGGCGCGCTGCCCGAGGACGACCTGCCGCGCCCCGTCAACGTCATCGAGAAGGAGTGGACCAAGGACCCCTGGATCCGCGGCGGGCCCACCCCCGTCATGCCCCCCGACTTGTTCGACACGACTGCCGGGGCTGCGCTGTACGTGCCCTTTAGGGACGTGCATTTTGTGGGTGCCGAGATGGCCGATGTTTGGAGGGGCTACATGGAGGGCGCCGTAAGGTCGGGCATCTCGGGGGCTGAGGAGGTCATTGGACGTTTGCAGAATGTAGGATTGGGACTCGACCATGAGATACACTCAAGGCTCTAAAACTGGCCTGAAGATGGGGGCAGAAATAGTTAGGCCGCTTCTAGGTCTTGGCTGTGCAGTACCGATCGGTTAGGGGCGAGATTGAAGTTTGAGAGCGGGCAAAGATTGAAGTGCTTCGGTGCCCCGTGTCTTATTCCTAACGCCTACCCAAGGTACGGTACCTATTGTCTCGCACAGTCAGAGAGAAAGTAGGATAAGCTCCTACACAAATTATCTTGCGTTAGTTAGAAGACCAGTGCGTACTCCCACGAGGGTTGGTCATAAGAAATTGAGAAGTCGCTCACTCGGTTACCAAATGTTTTAGCGAGACACAGGTGCTTTCTGTTCCTCGTGCCAGTCTTTGCCAATTCCCATTGTCAGGCTGGTGGACAAGCACTAGCCGGCATTCGTAGTTCGTTCGCCAAAGATGCGTTTCAGCTCAGCGTCGTACGCCTGACTGTCAGCTGACTTCTTCCGAACCATTGTTTCCACCTTCTCGCATCAGGACTGCGATACGGTTATCTCGGTATCGGTATAATGGAAGCCTTATGAGCAAAGAGCGGCCAGAAATAGGGGGTTGGTAAGGCTCAGCGTCGATCCACGGATAAACCCCACGGGAACTTTTGATACAAGGGATGCCCCTGAGACATACCTACATGACAGTTAGTTGTGAAGCGTGGAAGCAGTTGCTATAACCTAGCGGACCTACCAGCGCGCTGCGAACAGTCGAGGAAGCTATATGCTTCACGAATCTAGACCTAACCAAGATTCTAGATGCTTGTGTACAGTGTATTTTCCCGAAGTTGACAGCCTACCACGCACGCTTTGTGCCAGGCAGCACTCGTGTGGCGGGCGGCCTTGCTTGGCCGGCGCAGCCGTTTGACGCTTAGATAGAATGCTCGGTTTCCCACATCTCGAGTCGATTATCCCACCCCTTTACCAAGCCTCTTCGTTTAGTAGCTGACCTTTGCAGAAATATGGGCCCGCGCCACGCACAAAAGACAAACACGACCTTGAACGATGGCCGACACCGGAGATAAAGGCCAAGGCGGAGGCGGGGGCGATCACTCTTCCGGCGAGTACAGCGGTGTGGTCGAGCAAGCATCTGTTGGCATGAGTGGAAATGCACAAGACTTGGCGATTCCCACTCTGTCGGCTAATGCTGTCGTGCTAGGAGGGCTGGCAAGAAAAAGGAAGAAGAAACCGATAAGAACGAGAAGTCGACGAATGGGTAAAGAGACAATGGGGGCCACGTTCCACTGCCGCTCCCACACTTCCGAACTGCCTTGCTCTATTCGTTTTCCCTCATTCGGCTATTGCAACGAAATTCATTCAATAATGGTCCTTACAAGGCGTCCGCTCATTCGCCAAAGATACGCTTCAGCTCAGCGTCATACTTCTCCCTGTCAACTAGCTTCTTCTGGATCACTTCTTCTTCTCGCACCAGAATTGTGAGACAGCTTTCTCGGTATCGGTGGAGAGGTAGCGATGAAAGGGCCGTGTCGATGGTCTGGTCGGATATACCGGTGCGAAAATACCCGGAGCAGTGTCTTGACAGCCATCTGGCTGCGACAGTCGTTTGCGCTGTAGATGGCGTTCGGCTGGCCGAGGAAGCGACGGTCGTGGAAAGTGAGTATCCCGGACGCGAGGGCGTCAGTGCATTTGAACGTGTCTTCGCGCTGCATTGTCCTCGGGGCGCCGTCGTTTTCTGACAGCACTTTAGTACAGTTGAGGGGGCGGTTTCTCAGGGATGTAGTACCGTCGCTGGCGAACTGAAAGGCTCCAATTTGTAGCTGAGGGAGACGTGCCAGGGAAAGCATTATCTTGGACATGCCGCGGAACAGTCTTTCCCTCCGGGCAGCGTCGCCTATGTATTTGACAGCATCTGCTGCCCCGATTCAGGATCGATGTACTCTAGTAGTAAATACGCAGAGTTTATACTGTGGCGGGTTGGGTTGGGAATGTACTAGGAGAGTGGATATCCGAGCAGGCCGTAGACGAGCGCCAGAACACGCGGGCAATGCGGAACAGGAACGGCCTACGACTAGCATGGGTGAACCAAGTGCACTGGTTTGGTTACAGTACAGTACCTTGTGAGGGAAGCGACAAAGGGGGCTAGAGGTGGCTAGAGGAAAAAAAGGACTGGTGCGGGCGGCCAGGACTTACATGGCGGCCGTCCAAAAAGCCAAAGCCATAGAGACGAGGGATGCGAATGTCAGGGCATTTCTCTTGCATCCACACATATGCCCCGACTTCGCAGCCGAGCTTCTCGTCGACGGTGCCGGGATATCGAGCTTCGGCGAGCTTGTGCGGCATGGCGCAACGAAACACGACCTTGCTGGACTGGCGACCGGACTTCACGTCGACCAAAACACAGATATTGAAGCCGCCTCGGGTCCATTTGTGGCGTTCCAGCACGGTGCACGCGTCGTGCTTGCCCAGTCCGAGGTGCTGCCGCGTGAGGGCCTCGATCGACTTTTTCTGCCGCTAGAGGTCCTCGACCAGCGCCTTGAAGGCCGGACCATGGGCAAGGCGGCTGATGACGTTGAATTCTTCCTTAGAGGCTGACTCAAAGGTCGTGATGGGACCCCGGCCCCGGATTTCCAGTGCAGCCGGCATGGGCGGGCGGCGACGCGATTGAACCGTCGCGTTATAGAGGCCCAGCCCTGTAATTTAGGCACTGTGGGTTCCTGGATGGTAAGGTGGGTGATTGACGAGCCACGTTGGTCGGCGCATGCAATTGTCACGGAAAGGGCGGCCTATTGATGATTTCAAAGTTCAAGAACAAATACCCGGCGGCATCTGCCTGCTGGATTGTTGGTCTTCCCGGGGTGGAGACGGAGACGGAGACGCTCCGAAGTCTGGACGGCGGTGGACCTGGCGGCTGGTGCCCGAAGAAATGGGAAGTAGGACTGGATGCAGTGCGCTGTGGAAATTCGGAGGCTAGGGCAATGGTTTTGAATCCATGGTCTGTGCGCTCTGCCACAATCCCAGCCACCATGGACCGCTGGACTGCGCAGAGGGAGCACGCATTTGCCAGGGGTTGAAAACAGCATCATGCAAACGATTGAAGGGCGCCAAGGCTGTGCGCAAATTTTAATGAACAAATAAGAAATAAAACTGGAAGAATGTTTGGTTCAGCCCCGATTCAACTGTGGTCTGGGGACCCGAACTTTGGGGTGTAATTGCCTTAACTTCCTTCACTTTTAAGGTGCTAAGAAATTCCCTTCTGTTTCCGTTTCCTATTTTGCAGCCCGTGTAATCTTCCCACGTTTACGGTTATGCGGGAAGGAGCAGACCGTCTCCTACAGCCACTTACAACCCCGCGTTACCACCACTGAGCCATGCACGTATCCTCCGGCTCTTTCCACAACTCCAGCTTTAGCTCCAGTTCCAGCACAGCCAACGGCTTCGGCGCCTTTCTCCGATTCTACACAGCAGAGACATGCTTCGTCTCTGGTGCAGACGACGCGCAGCACCAGTTTCCCTCCTCGCACTCAGACATTCTAAACGCAGCGTCCCTCCTCAAATTAAAATGCGACAAAACACAGCAAGAATTCCACGAGACCGCCTTCCCGCAAATCGCCCACGCCAATCAAGAAGCGGCAGCGAGGTTGGTCGTGACTCGTCAAGGTGGCATTCATGATCGAATGCGCCTCCAAGGACGGATTCTCAGCCCGGTACCGAGTCCAGGACGGCGCCAACTTTCCGGTCAAGTGGCAGCCCGTCCAGACATTCGTCGACTTCATCGAGTCAACCTTCCCCCATGACGCCTCGAGCTCAGTGCCCCTACGAGCCTTCACCGGAGACAGAGGCCTCAAGGCGTGGAAGCTGAAGGCGTGGAAGCTGAGGGCGCGATATGCAGCCCGCATCGTGCCGACCAACGACCTCGTCCAGCATCTCCTGTACGACCGCCGCACTGGGACCCTGAGCGTCTTCCACCAGACAGCCTGGCTCAAGGCCAAATTCGGCACTCTGCGGGATAGAGTCTTGCCACGCCCGCCCAGACAGGTATTCAAAGGTTGGTTCAATGGGCGCCTCCTTTCCGAGACCGGTATTTGATTCACGAATCAACCCCAATGTCTCTAACGCCCTGCCCGTCCCCACAGCGGAACGCTGCCCGCGCAGCTGCTGGTGGAGACGCTGCTGTCCATCTACAACGTGCTCTTCCCGCTGTCGGTCGATAAGCGGTCGCTCAAGCTGGCGCGGAGCCTCGTGCACTACCCGGCCGCGAGCGCGCGCTTCGACCCCAACCTGCTCGTCGACGACGGGCTGGTCCGCGATCTGCCCGACCACGCGGACGACTTCCATTTCGTCTACTGGGCCGAGCGCGACGCCCTGACCGTCGCCCTCAACGGTCTGTTTCTTGCAGAACTGTTTGGCCTGCTAGGCGTCGTCGTAGGCATCGCGCAGCTAGTCGTGTCGTATCTGGCGTGGGAGTACCCCACTCCGTTGTAAGAGTAGACAGTTCAGTTGGTCTGTGTGGAAAGATGACAGTCATGCCCGAGTCTGACAAGGACCTTTGACGAGGAAGAATGTAACAAAAGAACCTTTCCTAGAATGGAATGTTTAAATCGGGGGTTTCTAAGAACACAAAGAACAGGATAATAGCCTTTTCATTTGTCTGGGAGCGACCTTCATCTAATTTTCTCGGCCATGAACTGCACAGTGCAGGTATAAAACTCCGCCATGCGACCCTATCCATTACCCAGGCAAACACCCAGAACAGTTTCAACAGGAGAAAACAAAAAAGCTAGAGCCACTATACTTAACCACAACCACCGCTACGATCCCCCGTTAGTTTTCGGAAATCAGCATGAGACTCGCGCAACAATTTTTCTCGCCATCCTCCCCATTGCGTTCCTCTGGAGCGTCCTCTTCACCGCGCGGGCCATATACAAGGCTTTCGTCCAGTCCATGACACTGATCCTCGAGAACACGGCGGTGACGTTTTACTGGCTCAGCCTACTGGTGCCCGTGTTGGCCATTCTGGTATTCTCGTCGACGGTGAGAAACGGCTGGAAACCGCTTGTTTTGGCCGCGCTCGCATCCCTGTGGTGGTACAGCTATTCGAACTTCGAGACGCGCACATACACCTACGTGCACTTCGCCATCACGGTCTTCTGCCTCGACGAGGCCGTCGGGATTGTCGTCACAAACGCCATCGCAGAATACGGCCCGGCGCTCACCGTGGCAAAGGTGTTCCTTGGCTAACCATTGACTTCCCAAGCATCATTATTTGGAAATGGAAGGCTGTCGAATTTATACGCTATAGAATATAATTATATAGATTAGTCTGCAGAACTAATTGGCTAAGGCGATAGTAAGAGTCTGATACTCTAGAAATAGGCACCACTTGCCGCCTGGTGATCACACATCTGATTCTGATTCTGATTCTGCTCCTTTGAACGGACGTGTTCGTGTCACAAACATAGACACTGTGCTGCGCTCGTAACTCCCCCAACAATAATTAACAACATGAAATATTTACCAACTCCTGACTATGACCCATTCACTACCACACAACTGCACCCCACCCGAGGGAAAATCAAGTGACCGTGTCGTTTTCATAATAATTAATTATCCGCAAAAAGGACAAGAAATAATCGAATGCACCTACCACTTGACACTTGTTCAACTGTCCATCGACACGGTCGTGGCCGCCGTGGCGCCGGCGTCGACGGGCAGCACGGCGCCCGTGATCCACCGCGCCTCGTCGCCGGCAAAGAACCGGACTGCGCTGGCAGTGTCCCAGGCGTTGCCCTCCGTCTGCAGCAGGCTGCGGCGGCGGCGCGCCTCGCGCATCTCGCCGCTCATCAGCCCGCCACCACCGCCCGCGTGCATCATCATGGGCGTGTACAACATCCCTGTTCGTTCCCTCATCAGCGTGGCTTCGTTTTCGCTTGGGATATAGTTACACGGTGTCTCTCGCCCGGAGGCATCTTTTGTGGCATCAAACAGGAAACAACGACTCACCCGGACACACGCAATTAACCCGAATCCCATCTCGCCCATGGTGCGCCGCCATGGCGCGCGTCATATTGACCACAGCACCTTTACTCGTCGGATACACGAGATTGTTCGGTGTACCGCCGCGCAGCCCAGCGACAGAACCAATATTGACAATACTGCCGCGGCACCCCTGCGCGCCATCATCGTTCTTGTTGGCGAGCATGGCCGGGATCGCACACCGCGCCATCAGCATCATGCTGGTGACGTTGGCGTGCAGGCCGGCCGTCCACGCCGCGACGTTGACGTCGACGGCCGTCCCGCGCGCCCCCAGCACGCCGACCACGTTGACTAGGATGTCGACGCGCCCGTACGCTGCCAGCGCCGCGGCGATCACGCGCTGGCAGTCCTGCTCGCGCGTCACGTCGCCTTCGACGGCCAGTGCTGCGGCGTGTTGTCTGTCGGTGTTGCTAGTGCTGTTGCCGGAGGAGATCATGGCCACGGTGCGCTCGGCCAGTGGCAGCTGCCTGTCGACGCACACGACCGCTGCGCCGTTCTCGGCTAGCAGCAGGGCTGTTGCGCGCCCGTTGCCAATGTGCGAGCCCTGGCTGCCGGCGCCCGTCACGATGGCTACTTTGCCGCGCAGATGCCGGCATGGCTTGCGTGGTGTGTCGGATGTGCTAGATTGTGGTGGCGAGGATGTGGAGAAGAGGGAGCCAGAGGAGCCGTTGAGTGGTGGTTGCTGCCAGCGCCGAGGTAGGGGATTGTGGAATCTTCTGGGGCCTAAGGGGGCTCTGGAAATTGCGTTTGAAATTTTTAGTGTAGCCATGGTTCGAGGTCTAGCAAGGTGCTCTGATGTCTGTGGAGGGGAGGGGAAGGTTGGTACAAAGAGTTCGACTCGAGCTTCCCCGCCTTTCAACAGTGCGTTCCCCCCTTCATCTTGTGACGGACTCGAGCCACAAGCCACAAGCGTACATATCTGGCAAGCAGCTTTGATTAGTTTCGCGTAGGCTAGCAGCTACTATTTTAATATTTTGCCTCATCTTAGGTTTCTGCCTTGGAGCCAGGAAGCATACACATATTGTATTTTAAGTTACTGTGAATTAGTTTCTGATGCTAATAATTCTTGATTTCGGGCAAGTTCCCGCATCTCCTACGTCAGCTGCGTCGTCAGCCCTTCATTGACCTCTTACTGAAAATCTCTCTGGTCTCTTAAAATTAGTTGTTTGGATGTTATAGTGTTGCCTCTTGCCCAAGCCAGCTTACTTGCCGTGCTATAGGTACCTACCTAGGAAGAAGAGCAAAAGACAGTGAGGTATCCCCTTGGCTGGGGGGGACTACATATCTCCTCTAACCCCTTTTTAAACGTAAGATATCTAAACTTTGGAATATGTGATGCGTCGTATCGATCTATTCTGCAAGCTGCTTGGCTCGTTGACTATCGCGCTCATTGCCGCTACGTCTGTCTCGGTTGCTGTCTATTCGGCTCTCGGGATGAATGCAATCTCAGTCTTGGTAGAATATCTTTGTATCGAGAGGGTACACGACCCAAAATTGCCTTGCTGCTCGGGTTATCGACGTGCGTTTGCGATAGTCGGGTCTGGTTGGACAAGGGAGCAAGGCAGCCGTCGAATCTGCAAACTTGGGCCACTAAGCCAGGCTGTAGAAACCCATCTTAGATCGTTCGGCAGAGGGCCCAGAAGAGATGATTGCTAGGTCTCTGGCAGGACCATGCGCTTGGGTCGATTTAAAGATGTGGTAAGTACTGCGTCCACTCAGTGCTGCTGTAGGCTCCAGAAGGGAGACTTCTCAGGCTAACAAACGCTTCCACGACTAGGTAGATACGAGCCAAGACATAGAAGACGGCGGCGGGAAATGCCAGGAAGAACAAGCCAATCTGAATCCAGGAGATCCAGAACCAGTGATTCCCTGAACAACCGATTTCCCCTTTAATCGTTTCCTTGTCCAGGACAGCATCAGAGAAGAAGACCAGCCAGAGAGTTGCTGCCACAGGTCCGCAGGTCGCGACATATACACAAGATGTCTTCCAGACAACAAGCTCATGTCCTGATGGAAAGTGGTCGTTCCAAGCTGCTGCGTGTATCGCTCCGTAAGCGAGTGCACAGACGACGAGAACGATTAGGAGCTCAAGACCCAAGTTCCGGAGGATACGGGTGGTGTAGTTGTACTGTATATCCTCTACCCCGCACATGCCTGGGCCGCCTGAAACGGTTCTGATATGATCTCGCAGTGCGTGTAACACAGGTCCGGATGGGTCAAGCGGTGGACATATATGCTCCATGGGTGATGTGACTGTAGCGCGCTTGAGGAGAGACGGGAGTTCTGGAAAGTCGCGGATACACTGGCGAAACAGCTCCCATCTTCTCAGGGTAACACGGTCCAGTCTTATGGGATACGGCTTACCCCAATTTCTGGAGTATTTAATCCCGATTCCAACCGAGACCACGACCTCGGAAGCCATGAGTCCTATCCCCACAGGTTTTGTTCCGCTCTCGGCTGCTATGCTGGGGGTGACATATTGCCTTGAAGTGCTGTCATCTGGCAAGAGTTTCCGGTAGAATGCAGAGCCGCGTGATAGATCGAATAGCATGACGTGGTCGGCGCTTACGCTCTGGGATGATGTGTCCTCGTATGAAGCCAGAGGGTGCGGCTGCAAAGTATCTAGTAGTGCTCTGGGATCATCAATCCAGTAGATGTCGTCGCATTCTGCCAAGGGTCTCGACGAGTTTCCGCCCAGTCTTGAGCCAAATCTTTTGCTGCTCAGCCTGCTGAACATCCACATTAGAGCAGCCACAGGTGCTGCCCACTCTCCATCCACGACTGTAGGATCACAAATGTCCAAAGGTTTTTCCCACCACAAGAAATAGGTCGCCAAGGCGCATACTGCATGCGCCATGGTGGTAAGCTCGAGCGGTGTGACAGGCAACTTCATGGCCCACCTCGTCAGCAGTTGGAGCGTGAACCAGCCGCTCTGGGCAACGACGATGAGCTTCGCAAGGCCATCTGCATTGCTCTTGTCTAAAATATAGTCTTTCGACACCGGGGGGAGGAGTCCCATTTTCGCCAGGGCCGCGGTGCCCTCCGGGAGAAGATACAATCTTGGCGAGCCCGGAATATAAGGGTCTTGGCCTTCCTGCGCCGTGTTCAACACGAATCCTCCCATTGTTGCGTAGAAGCTATGCGTCATTGTCCAAAGTCTGTACTGGTCCAAGGTCAGAATAAGTCCCTCGTCCACACTACTCCATACCGACTTACTGTGTCTCCTGGCACCTCCCTCATCTGACCCAAGAGGCGGGTTGCTTGCCGTCTTTGACACCACGCAACAAAGACAACGAGTTCCGGAGCAAAACATCCCATCAACACCCACTTTCCTTTTCGCATGCACGCAGCAAACGCCGTCAGATTGGGTGCGGGGATGTTGAGGTGCAGTGCTGTATAGACACACAAGACTAGGGTCATGATACAACTTCTTAGGATGCCGAATGTTCCACGGCCCTCTGGTTCAGGTCTGTCACAGACGTTCGTTAGTAAATTATCTGTCTATTGCAGCATAATTGGCCATTGATACGTATACGTACACCCATCCCGTCACTATAGTACTGTTCGTCGCCATTCGTGATCCCGTACAGCTAGATAGAAGGGTCCGTTGACAAGCGGGTTTCGAGAATTTGAAATGTTGTGACGTGGGGAAAAGTTGAGCAGGCTCTCATGGCAGTAGCGGGATTTGTGGTGCATTCTGCGGCTGAGCCCCCTCAAGCCAGGCCCCTTGCCTAGCCAATCAGTCGTTACCATCCTCGCCAAAGGGCAAGCTAAAAACTAGCCAAGGCCCTGGCCCCTGTTCCCTGTCGTCTCTATTCCACAGATCGCCAGTGGCTTAAGCATCCGTACACACACACTGTCAAGGCGAGTTCACTGTAGGTCACGAATCCCCCTTGTACTGGTTGGGCTGCACGAAGGTGGGGCAGCCCGGCCAGTACAAGGGGGATTCGTGACACTACTAAGGCTATATTCGTATAGGCCTTTGGGGAGCTCTATATAGAGGTCTACGTCTATCTTGAAGTTAAGGAAGGCTCTGTCACCGCACACAACCACATGAGACAAGGCTGCAATAATGCTGCTGTATTCGTAAAATCAAAGGTAAAGAAAGAAATAGGGAAAGAAGTTTCAAGGCTTGTGCGGGCCGCGGGGCTTTCGGGCTGGGTTGTGGATCACGTGTTGGGCTTGGCACGGGCAAGCCTCGACCCCACTGTCTCCAAATCCTGTGTCCATGGCTCAGCCTGGGTGGCGCTAATCACACTGCCCACCACCTAGTTGTTCTAGCGCCTGCCGTGACAGGCTCCTACGAAGTCGACCTATTAACCCTAACCTAGTGGCACTCAGATATCTCCCAATTCCAGACTGTTGCGAAAACCTCAAAGCGATAATCGGCGGTAGCCCGTTTAACTTGGCAAGATATTTGAATTAGAGGTTCGTGGGCTTGTCGGCGTCTGGAAAACTAGGAATCTGTTGACCGCGAAGAACGTTTTTCCATTCGAGCTGAAAGAGGCTCGAGGCATCTGAATTGATGTACTGTGTTGCTATGGTTTGACAAACATTATTCAGTCTTATTGAAGCGGTGAAAGACACCAAAGCACAACAACCTCCGGTTCGCCTTACAAAGTACTGGTAGAGTAATTAATCCATAGTCGGGAAAAAGGCACCACTGCATGCACATGTGCAGGCATCTCAATTCACGGTATAAGACGTGGTTTCCAATAAAAGGCTAGAAAAAAGAAAAGGGTAAATAGCCATGCTGACGATTCATCAGAGGGAGGTTGGGCCGAGAAAAGAAAAGAAAGAAACCGTGCAGAATTGCATTGGATGAGGGTGTAAACGGATCCCTTGTTATTCCGCCCCCTGAACTCCTAGTCATTATTGGAAAAAAAGCCAACCCCTCTTCTCCGCCTACAAACATGTGTGCCTGAGATATGGCTGCTGTTATGAGTTCACCCTTCCCCTCGTCGTCATCCATCCCAGTGACTAATTAATGAGTGCCTTCTAACTTTACGGCGAGCCTCAAGAATTCCTCCCGCAGTTCGTCCGACACGGCGTGTCTGTGGGCAAAGAATTCTGTCGCCGTGAGCCCCGATTTGTTCTTTACGTACTGATCCACCCCTTCGAGCTTTTGGCTGGCCAGAATGCCCATTGTCTTGGCGTTTCCGGCCATTGCCGCCATATGGAGTATTGTGCCGACGCTCCCGACATGTAAGTAGTTGGCCCCTAACGGGAAAAGTAGACGGATTTATTCGTGAGCGTTCCCGAGAATTGCGTTCTCGAGTGGGTTGTCTCCGTCCCAGTCAAGTTCTTCTATGTCCACTCCTTGCTCAACAAGGTAGCGAGTCATGTGGACGTTGCCGACTGCTCTGCACAACAATGGTGCCTTGATTTCTTTCCGGTTTTTTCCAAGACTACAGCCTCGCTGTGCTAGTCTCCGCACCACATGAAAGCTCCCGAAATCGATCGCGCTGTTGATTGGCCCTTCGTACCAGGCGCAACGGTTTCGGCGTTTATATCCGCTCCAGCCTCGAGCAAGAGATCTACGCAATGACCATAATCTTCGTCTCTTCCCCCGCTTCCCTTGTGCTACGAAGTGGAGCGCTGTATTATATGATCGCTGGTCTGTGATATCAAAGCTGGCGCTGGCGGTGAGCAGTTCTCGAACTGCCACCGGATCCCCTCGAGCCGCCGCATAGTGCAATGCTGTACGACCACTGTCATCTAGGGCGTTCAAAGCTTTGGTGAAACTCTGCATCGCCTAGCGATTTTCTGAGCGATCGCAGGGTTGAGGCGAGGGGAACATGCAGTATCCCAGTCACCACTTTGTGAATAAGGGTCATACCCATATCACCGAGACGACCAAATATTGAAACCAAGTCCATTATTCGGGCAAATTCGGGTGGAATTTCGGTTTCATTGAATTCCACCAGTGTCCTAGCAAAATCTACTCAGAATGACTCACCCCTATCGTTTTTATAGTCAGGGTCCGTGACGCGAGGACGAGTTCCTAGACCCTCGGTGGGCCGCGCAGGCAAAACTGCCTGGAGTTCTGACCGACTGGGCGCGGCCGCTTGCGAATCTGTTGGAATCAACCGTGGCCACGTCCGCATTCGCCGCCTAGGACTCGGCGTGCCCGACTAGATCGCTCCCTTAGCCAACATCTCCGATGTGCTGTCGCACTACTATGGCGCCTTTTTGGCCAATACCACCGAGTAGCAGTCCAAACTCTGGAACATGTCGTCTGGCCTGGCGTCGTAGTACGATGCAGCCGTGAGCCTCTCCGAGTCCATGCTCCCGACCTTGGCGAACGTGTCCCTCACGGGGAACATCGGCCTTGTTGGATGTAGCGTTCAAAGTTCTCGACCTGGAGTCCAAAATCCCAAGCTGGAGAAATATATTTCTCATGGGGGGCCAACTGGTACACAGACCCGATAATGGGCGACATGCACATCACGGACAACGCGGCGAAGAACTGGGGGCAGCTTCCGAGCTAGGATGTCGGCAGCGACGATTTCTTGGTCAGCGACTGGTTGATGAAAGGGCTCGAGGGCGTCGTGGATATCGCGGTGCCTTTGATGGAGTACATCATTCATGATTGAACAAGGTAAGCAGGCCCGGCGGTCATGTTGAGTTCCTTAGAGGCTGCTGGAGCGATTCGAGTCTAGCTCACCAAGGCGAGGTCGACTCACTCTGATGACTTCACGATGGAGGAATGTCTCAGAAACATGGCGCACTGGGTTGGTGGGATTTATGGGGCTGCAACTGCATTCGGTAGCTACGAAAACTGGTAATTTCTCTATAACCTTCTTAAGAAGCAGTGCTTTTCCCCATACCTATGCTTTATCTGACAGGCAGCCATCACGTTAGCAAAGGGGAATTGTACGGTTCTTGGGGGTAGACAGGCCCCCCAATAGAGCTACTCAATAACAACGGGAATTAATGGCAAAAGAATAGCAAGATGTTGTACCCAAAGAGAAAAGAGCAAACACCAATACACCCCGCTGGACGGCTTAAAGGCTCGATTCAAATTATGCCGGGCCTTTCCATATGTAAGCCCCTGGATTGACCCAACCCCTGAGCGAGCTGAGCAAAATCAACAACGCACGCCCATACCACCCGGCACCCATAGCTACCTACCTAATTAACCACCCCTTTAACTGCCTCTGCTAGCAGCCGCCCGTCCTGACTAGACAAAAGGAAACACAAAGCAAATGCTGTCAAAGCCCATCCGCCGCTCCCTTCCACCACGCCCCCTTTGCAAGACCTTTTCCGGCAGGTCAAGCCAGTACACAAGTCCCTCGCACGCCGCCGCCGCCCGGGTAATCGCCACGTCCATATATTACAATCTCGACAGATGGCCTGGTCTTCACCAGCCAGCCAGCCAGCCAGCCAGCCTCAGCGCACCTAGCGCGCACACAGGCAGGCCCAGCCAGCACCAGAAAAAGACCAGCCCTTTCATTATGTACGTAATTATGCATCACCCGTCTCGCTCAGTCAAATAGCAGCAGCAGCGTGCCCCGCGAGTCAGCTGGGGTAGTACGCGGGCGGGCCGTCGGACTCGACGCTGATGACGCTGCGGGGCCGACCACTGCGGACCTGCTGGGTGCGCGAGCGCGCTATGGCGCGGGCCTCGGCGCGCGCCTGCCGCCGCACCGCGGCTGCTTTCGCCTCGGCGTCCTGCGCGTGCTGCGCCTCGGACCGCGCCAGCGCGAGCTCCAGCGCGATCGTCTCGGCGCGCTCGAGGTCTTCAGCCCGGAAGTGGCTGCCGTCTTTCATCTTCCCGCCGCCGCCGCTGCTGTTGCCCTTTTCGTCGTGGTGGTGGTGGCTGCTGCTGCTGCTGCTGCTGCTGCTGCCCTTCTCGGGGATCGGAGACGGCGGCATGTGTGCAAAGCCGCGCGCGAAGCGGGATTTGGCGAGCGATGGCCCGGCCGCTAGTTGGTACGGCCAGGTTGTCTCGCGTTTGGCTGAGGAGGAGGAGGAGGAGGAGGCTACGGGTGGAGAGGGTAGCGGGGATGTAGCTCGGCGCGCGTACCGGGCGGGAGAAGATGGCGGTGGCGGTGGCGGTGGGCTTGAGGAACGGGCTGGGTAGTAATGCCGAGGGAGAGGGCTCGCAGGACTTGCGGGATAGTGACGTCGGGAGGGAGGACTCTGCGGGTAGTAGTGGGAAGGCGGCGAGACCGGGGCCGGCGCGGGGGCTGGCGGCGGATAGTAGTGGGCCGGCGGCGGACGGTAGGCCGGCTGGTATGGATCGTCATAGTGGTCGAAAGGTCGCTTGAAAGGCGGCGGATACGGCGCGGGGTTCATCGTCGAGAGTAAGATCGGAGGTTGCGGCGGCGGGGCTGGCGGGGGCTGGGCCGCGCTCTTGGCTGCGGACTTGCGCCGGGCCAGCGCAAGCACGATGATCAAGTCTACGATCACCACGAGGACCACCAAGACCACCACGATAATCATCTCCATGGACAGGCTCCGCGCGGGAGCCGGCGTAGTGTCGGCTAGGCTGTCTTTGGCCTCGGGGGAGGTTACGGCAATTGTCTGGCCTGCGCTGTTGACGCTGACGATGGTGCTGCCCGCGATGCTGCTGATGCTGACGACTGTGGTTGTTTCGGGAGTCGTGCTTATCAGCGTGGTTGTCGCGGCGGTGGTGCTGACCAGAGTGGTTGTTGCGGCAGACGTGCTGACAACGGTAGTGGTGTCGGGACTGGTGCTGATGATTGATGTGGCGGTAGCGGTGTTGGCAACAGTTGTTGTTGCGGGGGTGGTGGTGAACACGGTCGTTGTGGAGGGAGAATCAGCCGCTGCTCCAGTGATCCAGGTTGTCCATGTAGTATCGATGTCGATATAGACCAGTTCGGTAAGAGAAGTATTTACCGTCGTAACTTCAACAGTGTTTGCGATTGACTTGCCACGCTCATCAATGGATACGACGTAGCTAACTGTTACTGTGACCGACCCATCTGCGACAGTAGATGTATGGCCACCGACGGTGTGGAGAGGCTCTGTGGGAAGTAATGGGTGAACATTCGTTGGACAACTGGTTCCTGTTGGAAACGCAAACATTACAGAGCCCCCCAAAGCCCTCTGGTTGTAGTCGGGGCCTGGGTCGGGGAAGAGTGTGTCTGCGTTCGCCACGGTGTCGCATTCATTGTAGATATTGGCTCTCAACATGTCGGGAAGGGCCACCCAGGCCTCCTGGCCCGACTGCACCGCTGAGCCGGTGTTCTCTTGGTTGGGGTTCTCCAGCGTCACAGGAGCGCAGATCATAAACATGCTGACCAGAGGACCAGCGCGGGGCAGCCTCGGGAAGAATGTCCACGCCAGAGTGCCATTACCTCCCGAGATATTGGCTGGGACTCTAAAGTCAAGAAGGAACTCCTGCGGGTCTGCCGTGTCATCACCGCTGCCGGGGCAGGCCCCTTCGAAGGATTTAAACACCTTGAACAAGCTCTCCGGTTTGGGGTTTCTGTCGTATGTAAAGGATATTTGGCAAGAGCCGCCGCCGTGTACCTTGGAGGCTTGGATTGCGACAGACTGATTTGAGCCAAGTTTGTACGTGTCGGGCACCAAATTTGCGTCCCACACAAATGACGTGTTGCCGTGGCATGGGTAATCACGGCGGACATCGTGAATCCCGTCCTGCCATACTTGGGGATCGACGGAGACGAAAGGGGCCGGCTTGACCATCACAAAGTCCCAGATGGCCGTGGAGCTGGCATCGTCGCGGGGGCTAATGTCTCGTCCGGGAAGGTAAGAGTCGGCGACGTTAGGATCCAAGCTATGGTTGCCCGAGTCTCTAGCAGTAGTTGACGCACCACCCAAAGCGACAGCAAGGGTGATGGCTGTCGTGAGCTGTAGCAGGAGCGCCATGATGTATTTGCTCTCGAAATGCATATCGCGTTGTGGTTCTCTGTGGGCGGCAGTGGTGGGTTAGAATTAGAACCCATGGCATTGGCGGAATGGTGCAGTTGGGTCAGAAAGCAAAGCAAACACGACCACAAATTCTCAGGGAGGTAAAGGCTCTTCTTATTAAGACCGGTGTTTTATAGACGAGTCATGGAGCACTAGAATGTGTCGCCTGCGACTGAGTGAAACACTGTTGCGGTCTTGGTCATGCAGAATATTATCAGACGCCTTCAAACAGGGACGGGGATGGAAAAGGAGGCGAGACGTGGCTTCGAAACAGAACCCAGTGACAGAATTAAGCCATAATTGTGCTGAGAAAGCAGGTGTTTAGGGCTGGTCCGGCTATCGGTGACTTGTCGACAGGGACTCGGAAGCGGAAGGCGCGTCTTGTTTGCTGTTGCGCAGGTAATTACTCGAATATTAGGTATTACCGGCTCCGTGACCCAGACGCTGCGATAGCCTGCACTATAATGAGCTGCAAAGAACTGCAATCAAATAAATTGCAGTAAGTCATCGGCTGTAAATGTAGCTCTGCGGCAGCTGCCACGGTTTGCTTCACTGGGTTTGCGCAGTCCGGCAATCGCTTGAGAAGGTTCATGACCACTTCTAAAACATTAGAATGGGCAAAAAGAAGGTCGTGGTGTGATGTAAGTGAGCGGTTGTATGACTGTTGGTTTAGATCGAATCTTCGTCTTCGCATGGTAGCGGAGAACGCGAGCTTATCCCTCACCCGAAACATTGCTTGAGCACTTGCTGCGCTGGAGATTCAGTTTCCCCAAGCAAGAGGCCAATGAAGCAGTCGCTCGAGGCGATAGTAGCTGGGCGGCAGTGAGATTTGCCCTTGGTTGTTTCTTCCATCATTAAATTTAGCAATTCGCCTAACCCATACCGCCTTGGAAGTTACACAGACAACCAGGTGTCGGCGCCTGGAGTGGTTTGCTCTCGCCAAAGGTTCCGTAATGCTCCAGAGGTTCAGACACACCCCAGACTCGATCACCACAGCACCGCACTTGCGACTAATTTATCAACAGCCAACCATGATATCAAGGTCTCTTGACATCAGCAAACGTAGTCGAAAACTGGCCAATCCTTGTGCGAGAAACTTTCGGCACCTTCACGGTAAAGTAGAAGAGACAGCCTCTCTACGCCACCTCCGGCTCGCAAGCTCGCCTACGGTGGCTCCGTTCAGCTGAATTAAACATCATAGCCAACATCAGCTTCAACATAATCTTCTGACAACTCGAATACATATTCCATCGCCATGGAGCCCCCCCTTGTCTCACCGATTGCACCTCGCACTAAACTCCGCCGCCTCGATGCCTCACCACTTGCTGCAGCGCACAGTCCCAAAATGAACCGCGGGCTGCATTCTTCTAGTACAGCTCTGGCCCGTGATTAAAGTTGACAGTGGCTTGAAGGGTCTTGAATTGTCTGTCCCCCTCCAATCTAATGATACAGGAAAGAAGGCCTTTTATGCTTCCAAGAAAAGGACAAAGGAAACCTAGTTCAACAGTCTGTTCAGTCGTACTACGTAAGGGACTCAGCCGTAGCAAGGGAGAAAAAAGCGGGCATTCGGAAGTCTGGGAGCCCGGAAAAAGGGATCATGGCTGAAAGTCACGAATGAAGGGATATGCAGTGTTTGGAGGGATATGTAGGTATGAGGTTTGACAATGTGGCTCAAAAGTGGCTCAAAAGTGGGCGACAGCAGCCGATTCAAAGTCGTCCTTGTCGAAAGGTGAGAGGGCTGGGAAAGCTTGACGTCGCCCAAAACAGAGTTGGCGAGGGGCGCAAATTCGGAATGTTTTGACGACCAGCGTTGATTGTTCGTCAGCAATGATGAGGCACCGAATCCTTGAAGCCACCTTTTGTTAGTTGACTGACAAAAACTTGGCCTGCCCAAAGCCTGCCCTGTACAAATTGTGTCTAGCGTCACACGTGGTCCCGAGCAGTTAGCCTAGCTCCCCCCTAAAAAAATAACGCGCACTGCAAACCAACCACACCACCATTTCAACTATCCACAACTCTACCAAATTACGCCCAAAATAGATAAAACCAATTGCAATTTAATGCCCTGTCATTGCTCCTTCTAATTCTATGCAGTCTTTAAAGATTTGAGGTATCTGGCTGATCCAGGCGTTAATTGTTTGTTGTTTGAGGTTTTCCAACCTTCTTCGACCAGCTCTTTAATAATATTATCCTCTCAACAAGGCCTTTTCTTGACATACTCCTTCGGCGCCTGCCACGCCTTCTCTATCGGTGAAAAGTCAGGTGACTAACTACAATTAAAGAAGCTTGTTAACCCGGCCTTTGTTTTCCACTCTTTGAAGATGTTGGCCTTTCCTGTGCCATGCCCAGAGTCATTATCTTCCTCAAGCACAAAGGAATACCCTGCTCGGAGCCACGAGCCAACAACAGGTTCCAGAATGGTATCTCGGTATACCTTCATTGTCATCTTCCCATTCGTATTAGTAGGAACATCATACCAAACTAATGGGCTCTTGAAATCGTAGCCAACGGCTCCCCAACAATGAAGCCTCTTTTGATTCTGTTCGGCCGGCTCCTCCTTTTCAAGTAAACAATCTGGGCAATAACGTTCCCAAGGACGGCGTATAACATGAACCTTTCCTTGAGACCCCAACCAAAGTGCGTTTCGTCAGAGAATCTAATGTGGTACCAGTCTTTTGGATCGGGGTACCGTTCGAGCATTGTGCGGGCGTAATCCAGCCTTCTTTCTTTGAGTCGAGGTGATGTGTACTTTTTCTCGCAAGCAATACACATCCAGAGATTAAAACCCTTGACGGCCTGCCTGACTATCTCCCCACAAATGTCGATATCGAGACCTGCTGCGGCAGGGAGAGCTGCCCAAGAGATGGTGCGTCCGTCAAAGCCGTTGTTGTCGATAAAGCTCTCAATCGTAGCCAAATGCTCGGCAGAAAGCTTCTTTTTCTGGCCCCGGGTATCTGGATAGGTAGAATGAAAGGTCTGAGCATCGTGTTCTCTGGGCTCCTTAAGGTATTTCCACCCAGCGGACTTGCCAATGCGGTGAAAGCGAAAGACATCTATATGGCTGTATTTGATGCCTTTTCGGTCGAGAAAATCGCAGGCGCCTTGAACTCTGGCCTTCTTTGGCGTCATGGCATGTGGAGCAGCCATCGCGCCGTTGTAAAGCTTCAATTTGCAATAGAATTCGAGCTAGAATGGCAATGCAAAGTTAAAATGTGTGATATTGAGATACTAGGAAATGGGGGCTTATTTTAGTGTGGGTGGGGCAGATAGGATTTGCAGTGCGCGTTATTTTTTTTTTGGGGGGGGGGGGGGAGCCTAGGCACTAGCTGGACCCACTTACGCCGCCCAGCTAGATCAGCCCCAGGCAATCGCCAATTGCCCAGTGCCAACGAGCCAACCTCAACGCGTGCCCTGCGCTCCGTTGGGCGACACTTTAAAGTCGCATCAGAACAGAGCTACGGATCCATACAGCCGAATACCACCTGGATGATTGCCGTTGGGCGTATTGGAGATGCCTCCTCTCTCTCCAGCAATGGCTGGACTGAATAAGCTCTCGGCGCCGTCGCCATCGTCTGCAGCGGCACAGCCAACGGTCCCGACAAATAGGCCAGGACGGAACGTCGGCATAAACAGCGGCACTGGCATGGCTCAGGCGAAACCCGGACAGCCAACGGTCTCGACAAATAGGCCAGGACGGAACGTCGGCATAAACAGCGGCACTGGCATGGCTCAGGCGAAACCCGGACAGCCAACGGTCCCGACAAAAAGGCCAGGACGGAACGTCGGCATAAACAGGGGCACTGGCATGGCTCAGGCGAAACCCGGACAGCCCTCGAAACTCGCAAAGGACCTACGTCCCGTCCTCACAATGAAAAACACCGGAGTCAGCCGCCCGTGGTTTCCCTTCTCCGCCCGCTCGCCGACGGAAGCGCAGCCAGGAAAGACACCCACCTCACGTTCAGGCACAGCCACAGCCACAGCCACAGCCACAGCCACAGCCACAGCCACAGCCACAGCCACGAGGAGCATGGACCCACAGCACTCGGCCCAGGCGACGACCCAAAATGGAAAGTCGTTCCACATGTCGTCAGACCCAAGTCGTGGATCGGGCCCGTCCACAGCGCGACTGCCGTCTCACTCGCAACAGGCGAGAGATTCTGGCTCAAAACCGAAACTTAGCATAAGCGAGACATATTGTCGAGTTAATAAGGCTACCGTTCGGACGTTAGAGGGCTTCTATTCCCCGCCTGCGCTCACAATCCCAGGCCAGACTCAGAGCACGGTTCGTTTGATCGACAATAATTCGGATTCTACTTTGTCTGGCCAGACTAAGATGGATGAATCCCATCCTAAAGCGGCTGCGCCCATCAGCCTTCCCGAATTACGCACGAACAGACCCAAGCCATCCGCCAGATTCAAAGATGGTGGCCTTAGAATTTGGAGTGATGACGATGACAGCTCTGCAAACCCCGAAGCCTCTGACCAAAACCCCAAGGCCTCTGACAAAGAGATTATTTCCATCACCATGGCTAACCCTAATCGTCCATACACGATGTGGCCTGGTAAGTCTTCGAGCTCCAAGCTAACCACTTCACCCTGCTTACCAGTCATTAGATCCCACGGGAACACTCACAGATACGTGCGGTACCCTGATTCCCGACGGCTACACTTTGGACGAAATGGTGGAAGATCGCCAGTGGATATGCCCCATCCGATCCTGTCGTCGGCTATACAGCTCGAGGCGCTACCTCGGTGGTCACTTCACGGTAGTTATGACCAATCCATCTCGCTTTCCTGTCCAGGCCAAATTCCTAACTGTCTGAGCGGAACAGATGCACCACTTAGACTGTCACTTAAACGATAATCTGGATGGTACATTTTCCATATTACCCCCCGTCAGCACGTCGACCAAAAAACATGCCCTTCCCAAGGTAGTCTCGCGTGATCCTTTAAACCAAGAGTCTCTGGCTAGCCCTAAGGTGCCCGTTCATCCAAAGGGGCGCAGGATTACCTGGATTAGCGTCACGCCGGATGCCACTACGCCAGATGCTGTCGAACCTGAAGAACCTGAGACGTCAAGCCTTTCGCCAGGCGAGAGTCCTCATGGTAAAGACATTGTGAAATGGATCCCACCGCCAATTCAAACCAACCAGCACTCTAACGATGAAGCAAGGGTGCAACAACCAAAGCAAGCCGCCAAGCACCTCGATGGTAAAGCAAGTGTAAAACCAGCCGCTGCCTCAATGCAAGCAACCACCGTGGTTCGCCCTGAATTGGTTGATCGCGAGGCCGATCTATGGACGTACTTATGTTGCTGCGTCGGCAGGATATTACCGATACCTGGCAATGAAAACATGAGGTGTCTTCTCAGCCACCCACGAGTCCGTGATATTCATCAAAACTTGCAACAAGGCCGACTGAGAGATCTCGACATCAAGCAGCTCATGGCTCTAGCTATACAGGCCACGGGTACTGAGGTCAAGAGGGCGTGCACACATTGCCGTCGCAAGGGTGGAACATGGGACATCTGTGTAAATGCACCCCCAGGCGTCGACCTGAGGGAAACACTGTCGACCTCTTGCCGTTGCTGCGCAAACTGCCTTTTAAATGCCATACCGAGCCAATGCAGCGTCAAGAATGTAAGCAAGGGCTTGCTCGTCTCAGTTTCGGACCAACGGAGTAGGCGGCCTCGTCGCCCTGACGCCACAGTCTATGACGAAGAAGGGGAGGATGAAATCTCGCAATTATTGCCCGACGCTACCGAGGACGAGAACGACGGTGATAATGAATACGACGGCATGTTACTGCGGCGATCCAAGAGACGGGCCTCGAGAGAAGGCATGGGACCACCGACTAAGCGGAAGGCGGCCGCATTGATGACTCCCAGCCGCCGTAGAGAGGCTCGGTCATCGATGAATGCGAACGCAAAAACCCGTCGCGAACTTCGGCGAGCATCAAAGGCAGACAGCAGCCAGTCCTTGGTCACGTTGCCCGTGAGAGTACCGGTGATATCGCAAGACGTCCTTGAGATGGAGGACTGGGAGACCGGTGCCGGACGGATCGCAGACAAGGCACAAACCAGTACGTTGGCTATTTGGCAGTTCCCGCTTGAAACCCGATGCGGAATTCTCAGCTAACAATTCGTTCCAGATGTCGCCTTTTCCACCGCATACCTGTCTACAAACCAGGTCGTTCGAGTTGCCGATAACGTGACGTTCCTGACGGCCATCGTGGCGTCTGGCACCACACACCGCTTCACGGCGGACGCGGGCAAGATCCGCGTCTGCACCGTGGCCAAGGGCAAGGTTCGAGTCGAAGTCGCCGGCGAGCCGCAGTTTACCGTTGGCCCGCGCGGCATGTTCCGCATCAACCGCGGCACGGCGTGCTCTGTGCAGAACTGGTGTTATGTTGATGCTATCCTACAGGTCACGGCCGTGAAGCAGCCCTGACGCGTATGTCATGCCATATCTGTGCTGTTTTTGACGGAGGAGTGCGTGTTAGAGTAGAGGAGATGATTGCGGGAATGGGAATAACTGGTGAGTAGTGCGGGATCATTTGGGGAAAATATGGAGTTGTAATGTTAATAAATCTCGTCTTAGCAATGTATGTCTATGGCTTTATAGTCGTCGGGGCAACCTGCACTGCGTACAATCCTCAATCCTATCCATGGGCCGGGATGTTTGTCAATTAGCGGGGGACTTTCCAAGATTTGCCAGGCCCCGCTATTTATTTGGTGGGATACTATAGCATTCAATCTGCCGAAGTACCACGCCAACAAACATTCAGGGATTGGAGAGTACTGAATGGAACAGTGTGTTCATTTTAAACCACCATGACTTGTTTCTCTGTGGATAACGTGTGTGATAAGCGAGATGAACAGACAAGCGAGTTGAACAATTTCCACAACCTCACCACAACTACCCTCAATTACACAACCACAACACTAGGAAATAACAATAACTGAATCGGAAACAGATGAATCAGACGATTCTGCAGCCTCCTTGCACGTACGTGCATTATGGCCAGGCTTGCCGCATACGCCACAGCATCGAATCTTCGTACGAGACCCCCCTGCACCACCACCATTTTGTCGTGTTTCCTGGACCAACTGCCCACCCACAGCCTTCTGATCCAGTAGATCCTGTGCCTCTTGTACAGTAAGTGATCCTCCAAGCCGAACACGTGTTTTCTTGGCTCTCCGTCGCTTACTAAGCCCCTCATTGGCCTTCCGAAGTGCTGAGACCTCTGTACGCAAAAGAGCCACCTCGTGCATCATAGCCATCGTACCTTTAGCTAATCGATCCACAGCAGTCAGCATTGGTGTTGGAGAGCTGCCCTGATGGTTGGAAATTCGAGTTTTGATGAACGCTGACTGTGAGGCAGCCTCTCTCGGGTTTTGTGGCGTTTGGGAGACCCAAGGTAGCGATGTAGTTGGGCTTGTAGCTGGGGGTGTTGGAGTCCGAATACGCACATCCAGCTTGGATATCACCCTCTCTGGATCGTACGGCACAAGGCCGGCTCCAGCAAACCCCCCCTGGATATTCCTTTCCGTAACCGAAGCAAAAAACGCCTCTCTAAACCCACAAAGAAACTCCAGCTTGCTAATATGTGTGATGTTCATCCGCATCAGCTGCTCAATCTGACAGCCGTACGCCTTCTTCAACGGCCCAAAGCAACCAACATCCAATGGCTGAAGTAGGTGTGAAGAGTGCGGAGGCATACAGAGTGTGATGATGTTGTGCTCCCGGCAGTAAGTCTCGAATTCTTCGGAGTGGTGGCTATCGTGGCCGTCGAGAATTAACAGTCGGTATATTCCCTTCGTACGAGATGCTGTGTGGAAATCGAAGTGCCGAATCCAATCCATGCCTTTCTCATTAGTAGTCCAGCCATTGTCGGTTGTTGCGATACGCCAGGTACCCGGAAGGTTGCACTCTTGATACCAGTTAGCAAGGTGATATTGCCCAGCTAAGATAATGAATGGTGGGATAGTCCAGCCTAGAGCATTCACTCCTTGGATGACTGTAGCCCACTCTCGATTACCAGGCTGGGCTTGCTTAGCCCTACCACGGCCATCAGAGGTAGTAACTACCATAGCGGGGATGATAATGCCCATCATAAAGCCGGTCTCGTCGAAATTGTACAAATCTTCGTCAAGGATACCGTACTTGGCCTTCGTGTTGTGCACAAGCGCAAACCACTCGCGAATAACTTTTGGATCTTCGCATTTGGCCCTCTGGTAGTCGTATTTACGCGTAAAACGCGTCCGAAGTTCTGGCTGGCGCTTGACGAAGTTGTGAGCCCAGCGTGTACCGACAGAGGGCGCGTCGCGTTCGCGTAGCAATCGATTGGCCATATCTTCTACGTACGAAAGCCGGGGATGAAATGCGCGTGCACATAGCTCAATGATGTACTGAACAATCGTTTTCTCTTCCAAATTCGTAAGCTTACGCGAATTGGCTGGAGTATCACGTCGTGCAGGTTTGCCGTCGCGTCGGTTGCGTATAGTATTTACCGTGACTTGATATGTTGTTGCTGCAGCTCGAATACTGAGTTTTGGGTCGTTTTGAATAGCCCTGAGGGCCAAATTCACCCTAGCTTCGTATGAAGGAAGAGACATTTGAGTTTGTTGAGGAATTTGGTGTTTTGTAGAGAGGAGGCGCGTCGCGTCAAAAGTGTTCAACTCGCTTGTCTGTTCATCTCGCTTATCACACACGTTAGAGTATATAGACTTTTCAGAGAATTATCCTTGGGATTGGACAGCAGCTATTGGTAAGGGATTTCTGTGCAGGCCCATCTGGCATGCTTTTGGGACGGGACTACACGCACGAGGGAACGATCAACCCTGACTACGAGAACTGCATCTTCACCACTGTCGGACATGATTAGAGCTGTTGAAGCCTTGTAACTTGATATCCTGTTTGATGAGAGGAAGGTTTGCCAGATCAGACCCGTGACTCAAACGCTCTTGAGCAAATAGGAATTAGCTTTGAATATCATGTGTCTTATCGCAAGAAGGACTTCATCACGACGTTGATGAGTCCAGAGCAATGACTCCTGAAATTCTAGAAGAACGCAGGCTACGACGTGTTTTATTTAGGCGCTGAGTTTAGTCTTGTGAAGTTTCCTTTCGCTTTCAGGTTGCAGGATGAGCAGACTTGTATCTAGTAGGCTGCTGCGGCCAAGGAAAGTATTTGGGCAATTTGGGAATTGAATGGGAACTGGAAACAAAGAGCCGACGAGATAATTAATTACTTGGTTGTACCGTGTCATTTGCAGGCAATTAATAGAGGACCCAAGAAGAGCCAGGCAAGTAGTGGTGGTTTCGGGGAGTCGGGCCCCTCTGTCTCTACATTAGTCGGTGGTTCTGACTTGTTGTTGTCTGTAATGAGGCGGTAATGTGCGTGGCAAAGTTCCAGTTGCAAAAGTCCCGGATGCGGGGACATGCCGATCAAAAGAACTGTGCGCAAAAGGCCGAAGTGTCTCCTCCAATGCGTAATTCGAGCGTCTTCTGGCATTACGTATTTCGCTCCAGTTGCCAGCACAGCTTAGTAGGTGGCGTCGGTACCCGTGCCCCGCCCCTCTCCAAGTCCTGGTGAAGGTTATGGCCTCCGAAACCACGTACTCGCGCATCCTCCGTAACTTAGAGATATTGGAGTGCCTCTGATCATGTAGCCTGGTTAACCTGACTATATCGAGAAGTGTAGCCTCTGAAACATAAACGTATAGACTTATGTAGCCTGCACATGCACAACCTGAGATTTACGTGTGTACTGTACTTCGTGCATGCACAATTCCGAATAGGGGTGGGGCGTGGCGCTTTTCGGCCGTGTTGATTGGCTCCTTGGCGCTCGCACAGATTGCTCTTCTGGAGTGGCTTATGAAAATTATGCCCCGATTGGGACCAGCTTCATGCTGGGCTTTCATCTGCCATCCCTCTGTTCCAGCTGCATTGCAAATTCCCTCTTGCGTGGCCAAGCGCTTTAGGGCCTTGGGATTTTCTAGTTCATCATCGCTGTTGACTAGCGAATGCCATGCGGTCGGTTAGGTATCGGTCACATTCATTGGTGATTCCCCGAACCGAACTCTCTGCAAAAAAGCGCACGCCTGGGCTCTGGGGACAGTGGAGAGCAGTGGAGAGAGCAGTGCGTTCCAACTCGCTGGGATTAAGCCAAGGCCAACTATCAATCTTGGCGTCTTCAGCCCTCGGAGTGCCAAGGCACTTCCAATTGTTTGCCAGCCTCGACGTCCAATTGGAACGGCCGATGACTGCTTCTTTTCAGATCAGCAGAGCTGCGAGAATCCAGACCTCAAAGGCCACCGCTGCCCATATCTGCGTGCCAACCGCCTTTGTTGATGGCGCCTTTCAGGGCCTTGACGTGCTCCTGCACGGGTGCACACCACTTTCGAAAGCATCGGCCCCGGGCCCTGGAGAGGAGGTGGAACAAAGGATTGCCACCTCTCCCTCGTCTTGCCCCCAAAGTTCAAATCCCAAAACGGCGGGACGGCAAAGTGCGACAGTTCGGTCGATGTTGGTGCAAGATGAGGGCCGTGGCGCCGATGGCTGAAGCTCTGATGCAGACAGCCCTTGCACCCACCAGCAGCTCCAAGGCAAGGCACAGCAGGGCACCGTGGACGCCTCTGGACTCGGCGGGAGGGGGTCGATGTATGCTGAATGGATGCTGGGCGCACCCAATCCAATCTGGGCTGTGCCAAGCTAAGTGATGAGCTGGGAGGCGCCCTGTTATAACGAGTCAGACCGCACCCCGCGTGCGCGCAGCTGCCTGCATTCCTCCCCTTTGGTCTTGTTCGAGCTCTCCCGTTCTGTACCTGCCATCGCCGTCTAACTGCCGCAGAGCAGACCATCGGCGCAATGTTGCTCTCAGGTCAGAAGCACGGCTTCGCAACCGTCGTCGCCTGCATTCTCTGCTTCCTGGCTGGAACCGGTCTCGGCCAGCGGCCAGCAAACGCGTCGGTGTGTGACTATTACGCACAGAAACGGTCCGGCACAAACACCAGCGACTCGCAGCATGCCCTGGTCCGCCGCATCGTGTCGCTCGCCTTCGAGGGCGGATCCAAGCTCGAGGGCCTCCCGACACTGCTCACCGGCATCCTGAGGCCCGGCCGGATCAACGACGTCGACATCTCCTTGCAAACATACTTCAACGGGTCCAGGCCGTCCACCAACGTCAACAATGCCGGGATTGGCGTCAACTGGCTCGACGATGGAGGGACTGAGAAGCTGGCCACGTACCTCGCCGGCGATCAGGAGGATCTCGTCTTCAGCAACAGCACTAACCAATTGTACAGCCTCTTTCCCCTTAGTCTTTTGAGGTCGTGTGACTGACATGAGAAATCTGTAGCAAGCTATTTGGAAATTTTTTTGTCGTCTTCAGTCGTGTCTTTGGCTGCACTATCCCGTTCCAGTCTCTCCCAAACACGTCCGGCCCGGTGAGCTTTTTTTTTTCTTCTTTTCATCACTCATGCGTTTCGACTCCAATCTAAGGACCGCATGTTCGAAGAACAGACTCTAACCAAGTCACATTAGATATCACTTGCATACGCTCACAAATTCATGAACCTCGACTACAACCAGCTAAGCTACTTCATCACGCAGCTCACGCAAGCTGGCATGTTCTACGGCTTCTCGGCCCAGGATGCCGAGACGATCAAGACGAGCCTGAACGCGCGGTACAACGTGCGGTGCGCACCCGCCGTGACCTTCTCCCAGGGCGGCACACCCCAGCTCCTCAGTCTGTGCCAGAACCCGACGTGTCCGCTGGCGGCGCCCGTGAGTGACTGCGACGCCTACAACAACCTGACGGCAAACGGGGTGCAGAACAGCAACCCCACCAGCATTACGACATCCGCGACATCGTCGGCAACGAGCTCGACCTCGACCTCTTCCACACTAACCTCGTCGACCTCCACAGCTTCTACGACTGCGCCAGCTGCCGAGGCAAGCAAGAGCGACAGTAGTAGCAGCCTGAGTACAGGCACCATCGCGGGCGTCGCCGTCGGGGGTGCCGCGGTTCTCGTGCTCGCCTTGGCAGTACTGCTCTTCTTCTTCAAGCGGCGGCGCGGCAAGACACCGCCGTCAACTCCAGCCGCGCCTGCGAGCAGCACCGCGGACTGGGCAGCGGGTCAGCAGGCGTTCTCGACGCCAACGCTGCAGCCGGGATCGCCGTACTCTCAAAAGGGCCAGCACTTGTCGTACTACTCGCAAGGGACGGGCCCACCGCCGTCGCAGCAGGGCGACATCAGCCGCATCGGCAGCCCGCAGATGGTCCAGCACGGCAGCTGGCAGCACCCAGTGGAGATCGACACGTCGGACCACCACTTCACCGGGCCGCCTGTTGAGATAGACAGCAGCGCAAAAGCACCCACCCCGCAGCCGAGCCCGGGGCCCGATGGAGGACACCAACTTGGATATGGTGGAGGTCAAGGACCTGCGGCGCCGCAACAACCACAACAGGGGTATGGAGGACAACAGGGGTATGGAGGACACCAGGGAGAGGGCTACGGGTCCCAGTACCAGGCGTACCGCCCGCAGTAGTGGTAAACCACTAAGAAGTTGGCTGAGGATACATACCCCGGGGAGACTGAGCCGGATCAAAGACGGTGAAACGTTTTGTTATTTAGTTGTGGTTTTTAATTGGCGTGGCGTGGCGTGGCGTGGGCGCATGGCATCATCTCTCAGACTCTTCTTTTTTACCTTACCTGTCCTGCGGCTAGCAGCTTAAAGTATACAAAGATCTTCGCGTAATTATTATTTAGAAGCCTTCAATTCTTTTGCTCCGCTTCGCTTTCTGGCATTTATTTCTAGGCGTGTCGTCTGCTTGCTTACGGCGAGCTTAGTCAACATGAGTCCCAAAAGCAGGCGCAAGGTGGTATTTTCCGGAGAGCCGGGAATTAATGTATTATTTTCTGGCGAGCGGGTGTCACAAGACATTTAACCACGCTCGGCGGGAGCCTCGTGTGTACCCGCATGGGGTGGAGCGTGAATGCATGGGTGGGATTGCCGTAGCGGGCAGCCTGATATGACATGACCCAAACCCGAACCCGGTAGAGTGGCTCGGCCGTTGAGCGGTTGAGAAAAATAAATACGGAGATATAAAAACTGGTTATTGCGTTTGCAGTTTTAAAATAAGAACAACGATGCACTCGCTGTATCAGCGTTTAGCTGGCGGCCAGGGTGTTACCCATTACCCCCCCCACTGGTTGTCTGAGCTGCTCGCGTAATTGGATTCGCGCAGGTGTTTGGGCACTCTTCATAATATCGCAAATAAAATAGCAAGACACAGGTTTCCATCTGCCTTTTTAAGATACAGATATATCAAGGTAGCGACTCCGAAGACACAAGAATTGAAGAAAAGGCTCCGCTTGCGGTTTAGCCCTCCAGGTTGTTAAGAAAAAAAATGTTGGTTTAATCGCGCCAACTCTTGTCCCAAATACCATCTTAGGCTCCAACGACGTGATTGTGCACAACGTGAGGGACGGGCAGTCCATGTTCAAATATTCGAGTCTGGAATTTACCAGCATTCCATGGTGCTGTGGGAAAACGAACCCGTCACCGCGATACAGGCTTCTGGCGGTCAGCGGTTGGGCTGTGGGGAAGGAAAGATCAGACCGCCACCAGGCCGGCGCCAGCGTGGCGGCTAGCGCGCAGCTGCAGCTGCAGCACCCCGCCAATTCTTTTTGGCGGGGGGCTGTTCCAGGCCGTCGAGTCGACTCTGTCGGGTGGCCGAACCATTGGACCACAGGGCAACACGAGAGCGGACGGACGGGCTGTGCTACCGCCCTTCTGGACTGCCGGAGAAACGAAAAACAGGCGTCGCCAGAAACAGCTAAAGCGCTGGCGCTTGCATTGGGTCGGGGCGGTGTCGCGCGAATCAGCCGCGCAGGAATCGGGGTCATGACGCAGAGTCGCAGAGACGCCAGAGAAGATGGATGGGCTCGTCTCGTCGTATAAATAGTCACCTGGCCCCAAGAAATCGTTTGCCGCCTTGGCAAGAACCTCCATGTCGCTTTCTTCCCCTCCTTTGCTGTCGCTCGCCGTTTGAGGCCGCAAAAGAATTGATGCAGAGCGGCCTGGGATTGATCGTTGTTGTCGTTATTCCCCAGTTGAGAGAGAGAGAGAGAGAAAGCTCTCATCACGAGGCTTCTGAAGCTGTGCCCTCTGAGAGCCAGGGAATCAGCATTCAGAACCCTAACCCTTCGGCACCAAAAGCTCAGCTGGCACTGGGCTTGAGAACCACGACGCACGGCAACTGCAAGTTCTGGTGATCACTTTATGATGCATCTTGGCTACCTCATAGCCGCGGCGGCCTTGGTCGCGGGGTCTGCCGCCGAGACGATCCGCATTGACGTCGGCGCCAATAACCTTCTCGACTTCTCTCCCGAGTCGACGACGGCGGCCGTCGGCGACGTCCTCGAGTTTCACTTTTTCCGTTATTTCCCGAGCCACGACGTCGCCATGGGCGACTTTGACAGCCCGTGCACGCCGGCCAAAACCGGCGGTTTTTACTCGGGCATCTTTGAGACAACGGGCTCCGGAGAGAATGTGAGCATTATTTCTTTTTTTGCGCATCCGGAACAAAAGGACACATATTCTGACGTGGTACTCTAGGCCAACGTCTTCAGCGTCGTCGTCAACTCGACGGACCCTATCTTCTTCTACTGCACCGTGGCCCGCCACTGCGCGTCGGGCATGGTTGGCGTGGTGAACCCCAGCGGCAGCCAGACGCTGGCCACATACAAGTCCAACGCCCGGTCCGCCAGGTCGTCAGCCCCCCCGGCCGTGTTCGGCGGCCAGATCGTGCCCGCTAGTAGCTCCCACAGCACGCCCCGCCCATCGGTCGTGCCCAGCGAGTTGAGCTCCAAGTCTTCTGGCTCGACTACTACGCCGTCTACTGCGAGCTCGTCCTCTGGCTCGTCCACCTCGCCCGCAACTACCGGCTCGTCCACCTCGCCCGCAACTACCGGCTCGTCTACCTCGCCCGCAACTACCGGCTCGTCTACCTCGCCCGCCACTACCGGCTCGTCAAGCTTCTCTTCTTCGTCGACAACCACATCACCGACGACGACTGGAACCGCGAGCCCGGGTGGCGGCGGCAGTGGCGCTCCGTCTCTGACATTTTCGATCATTGCTACCGCTCTGGGCGCCATATGCGTGGCCCTCTTGCTGTCTTGAGCACTGCGGAGTAACCGCCTGTTGCGGACGAGCATTTGGGCAACGACTGTGGAATAATACCTCATAACCCGGGGCCAACAGTGCTCATTATTGCAGCTCTACACTGCTTAATAACCATACTCGTCTGCTTCGGCATGAGCCGTGGTTGACCGGAAGCCCCAGCCCGACATCCACGAGCACCCAAAATCAGGTCGGCCGCCAGACCATTGACCAGACAGTCACGCCCGGCCCGCCCTTTTCGCGCAGCCCGCCCACGCCCGTGGTGCCTTTGCCCAGGACGACCTCGCCGACGGTCGTGAAGCCGTGTTTCTTGTACAGATCCCGCGACAGGGGCGTCGTGGCCTCGAGCCAGAGCGGGCGGCCGTCGCCGCGGGCGCGCTCCTTCATCTCCCCCAGCAGCGCGCCTGCAAGCCCCCGCCGCCGCCGCCCCTCCAGAGTCCCCATGATAAACACGTACCAGTGCTTCTTCTGCTCCTCTTTGTTCAGCGCCTTGGCGTACATGTCTTGCGCGGCGCTGTAGTCGAAGATGGCGCGCTGCGAGGATCAAACACGAACATCAGAATCATCACGGTGAACCGACCACACGGAATCAAAGAGAATCTGGTAAAACTGGGAGGACCCTTGACTTATTAGCGCATCTCTCTCACCTTCACAGCCCCCCAGCCAATGGTGAAGAGCCCCTGCACGACGCCCGCGGGGATCATGGTCCACGGGTTGTTGGCCTTGCGGCCCGGTGGCATCAGGACCGCGCAGCAGCCGAAGCCGTCGGCCTCGAGGAACAGGCCGTGGTTGAGCGCGCACGCCGTCAGGAATGCCGTCAGCAGCCGGAACAGCACCGGCTCCTGCTTGTCCGCCGCGTGCGACTGCAGCAGCCACATGTACAGCGGGTCGCCTAGGAACGTCTGCGTCATGACCTCGGTCGTCTTGCCGAGGTACTCTGGCGGTTTGAAACTGCGTGTTAGTCGCAGCTTTGGCCTGTTTTGTCGAGGATCGGTGAACGCACCTTTGCCTTTGCACGTGGTCTTGTATGGTTTCTGCGACATTTTGGCTGACGGATGATGCGATGTGTTATGATGTGGTGGTGCAAACAGCACAAACTTTTGCCGGCTAGATTTAAAACAAAAAACCAGAGGCGAGGTGGTATGACGCGTCGGAGTATTCGCTTGTAAGTGGAGAATTGAAACCCAGGCGAAGGATCGCAAAGAACACCGTTGGTCGCTTGCTTATTACTTGGCGGCGAGAACGAACGAGGATAAATAATTACGGGAGGGGATACGGATTCTGGGGCATTAATACGTGGAAAGCGAGGGAGGGGGTGTTGGGCTAATTGACCATTAGCCTCACCCTCCCTGTCTGTATGACCACCAGGGTCCCATTTCCAAGGCTCCATCGTTCAAGTTGACATCTAGAACTAGAGATGCATTATCGCATCAAGACAACTAATTCGTATCTGAGATTCGGCAGTGATATGCGCGACTCCGTGCATTGAGATTCAAGAGCGTGGTGTTGTTTTGACAGCTTCAAATTACACGGGCCATACAAGAGGCATGTGTTTTGCGGACGAGTAAGGGTGTCTAAAGACTCATCACAGCCCGAACAACACTGGTAATTGACGCCAATCAATATTTCAACCTTTGCAAGTGGTTCACAAGGATAATTACTTAGCTACCCCGTAGGTAATTACCCCAATTTCCGCAACCCCTCCCGATAGCGTATTCGCATCTCGATTGAAGAGGGTGCTCGGGCTGTGTGTGATACGGTAATTCGGGCAGTCTAAACCATGGTGTGGCTGTAAATCCGAAACCCAAGTCCGAGCCGGAATGACAAACTCCCGACTCGACGCTTGCATGTCGTGAGTGGACTGGTCGGTAGGTTTCCTCCATCGTGGTGCGTGCCCTGGCCCTGTTTAACTTAATTACAGTTAGAAGCTCTGCCTCACTCGTGTCGACGAATTCAACACCTGGGAGGAGTGACTTCCCTTTGTAATTAAGGTGTACCTACTTACTCAGCGAAGAGGAGAAGGCTAATACAACGCTGGACCGAATATTCCCGCCCAGCTCATTCGCGCCGCTCCATTTGTTATTCTGCTTGCGGATTGGGATTGCATGCCGTACTATTACTCGGAGGACACGGCCGTGCGGAGGGAGGGGATTCGTAAGGAACAATTGTACAAGGCAGATCTGGGGAGGTTCGGTTAGTCTAGTCTCTAAACTACCTATCTAAGCGAGTCTTGAGATAGCTCAAGTAGATCCTCAGATAATTCAAGTGCCTACAGTTGACTGCGTCTTCCGACATCTCAACGGGGGCTCTTGGATAGCTTATATAGGTAGAAGTCTGGTCCTTGAATAATTTTGTGGCGTGGTATATAAAGAAAGTCATAATATGGAGTGCTGATTCTAATAAGCAGAATTGGCCTGGTAATTAATGGTTCTTGCTAAATGAATAACGAAGGAGATACGGCTTCACAGTGCTATGTGAGTGTTTCAAACAGCCACATACCTTCGACGGAGACACACGTTCAGGACTATCGAGTTCAGTGAACAGATACTCTAACCGTAACTGCGTAGCCCTGTTGACTTGGATCTGTGTCCGCGAGCCCGAGGCACCTTATAAGTCCCCGAGAAGCTTCAATCTGACCGCATTCTCTCTAGATTTTAGTAGAATCGGATTACAGAAGTAGATAACCTAAGTCCGAAGTAAATAATCACGCTTGTCCACGAGAAACATTTCCAAGTATTTGTTATACTAGACTTCGGTAGATTTGCATGCTTTGGTATGTGGGTCTCTCTTAGCCATCCGGCTTCAAGCAATTTATTACCCTAAATGGCTCTATCTAATTGGTCACGCCTACCATTGGAGCAGGGCAATCTGGGACTCCGGTGGGAGGCCATCCTCCCGTCTCAACGCAACTTCTCACACCGGGCTCACTTTCGCGATGCAATCTGCAGATGAATCCAACGCTCAGAGCGCCACTCTTGGGGGCTACCATGTCGGCAACATTTTGACACTGAGACTGACTGGCATACACGGTCATATGCTGGACACGTCCGAGTCTGGAACCACGATCCGCGTCCGCATCGACACAGAAGAGGACTGGGACGATGCCGAGAATGAATCATTTCTCGCCGACGAGTCTCTCCGGCTCTTCACCACCGAGTACACCGCCTATGACAGACTCTCAAACCACCAAGGCCGCTCGATCCCCAGGCTGCTTGCAGCCGTTGATATCGACATCGCGCCGCCCCCTCCAGGGCTCGCACCGGCTGCCGAGGGTGATTTCGAGCCCTTCAAAGTCCAAGGTATCATCCTCCAGTACCTCGAAGGCATCGAGCTCTGGGACATTGTGAAGCACTGCCCGCGATCGAGCTGGCAGGGCATCGTTGACCAGGCCGTCGACGTTTTCATGGTAAATCTTGCATCGTACGGAATCCTAAACCGAGATGTGCGGCCGGAAAACTTTATTGTCGTGCCTGCTGCACCTGCCACCCATGAACAGAACCAGGAGGCACACAATATCGAGTTTTCATGGTGGATCTTGCATTGTGCAAGTTTCGAGAGGAATACGAGTCGTTTGCCCAGTGGGGCATGGCCAAGGAAACCAAGAACGAGGACGGTGCGGTGGGGCTCAGGATGCAGAAGATGCTGAAGATGGACCCTCGCTGGAATGGAGGACTGGGCCTGAGAATAGCCAGACAACCCTCACTTTAACTAATCAATTGCCCACTCTTGTTGGAATACACGAGTCTAAGCAAATTTGAACGCCACCCGCGTAGGTGCCATGTCATGCAGCCGGAACAGGGCGCTAAGTGCAGAACCATGCCTGGCGTCCGTTTTGTTTTCGTGCCCGCATGAAATACCATCAACCTAAACATTTTCGTTTTCCTCCCACGCACACCGGCTGGGAGAGAGAGGCACGGGGCGTTGGAACGGCGCCCGACGTTGCTTAGCATTCCACGCTGCGGACGCACTATTTAGACCCTCACCGCCCGCCCCAGGTCCCGAGAGAACGGATCCAGGGGGCTGACGGAATGGAGGCTAAGGCAGGTACTAGTGAAACCTTGAAACCGTTACGTGCTTCGCTGCCGGGAGCGTAACGATTGGGGGTAGGGGGGATTATGTTTGCACAGGCAAGATCCCTAGGCTCGACAGGTCTCTCTGCAAACAAAAAGTCTCGTACCCCCAATCCCGCCCGATAGCCCGCTCGCCCATGCCAGACGGCCACGCTTAGTGTTAGTGTTGACGCTAGGGCACCGCACCCGCACGCGTGTGTTGTGTACGACGCGGATGGCAAAAATCCGCCACTGGGGCGTGTGGGAGGATATATCCAAGTCGTCGCCAGCGTCACCACTCTTTCTTTCTTATTTATCGAAGTCTAGTCACCAATCCGTCCTTTACGCTGCATCTACCAGCGAGTCTTCTTAGTAAAATAGTGCCAAGTCAGGGATACGCAGAAGAACAAACCCTCAAATATATCCCGTTCATTTATTGAGGGCACGGCACGGCCCGACCACAAGAAAGAAGATGCAGCCCTTCCTGAGCGGCGAGAGGACACTCTTCATCCTCCTCAGCGTGCTCACCGTCTGCTTCCTGCTCGCGGCCGGCTTCGACGTGCCCCCGCCAAGCGTCGAGGCGCAGCTGCTTCGCGCCGCCATTGCTATTGCCGACGACGGGCCATGCCTGGAACTCAGAAGCGCGTCTAACAAGCAATGGGTTGCAAAAACAGAGCTCACAACGCTGCCCACCACTGCCACCACCTCATCTAAATCACATCCGCACGTCCGCGCCCTGCAGCGAATAAAAACCGCAACCGCAACCGCAAAAGCCACGACAACCGCCCACGCAGCAGCAGCAGCCGCCCGGCTCGCCGGCGCCGCCTCCCTCGCGACCACCGCGCTGCAGATGCTGCTGCTGCTGCTCCGCCCCGCCGCCCGCGAGCGCTGGCACTCGCAGTACCTCTCGCACTACCATTCCCATCTCCTCGGCCGCGGCCGCCGCGGCTTGGCGGCCGTGGCGCGTGCGAAGAAGCAGGAGGAAAGGCAGCAGCGCAGGCCGAGGGCGAGGAGTTTCGTTGTTGTTGCTGCTGCTTCCTTCTGCGGGGATTTGGAATCCTGAATCTCTGGGTCTTGAAGCTGATCTTTGATGGCAATTGGTTGGGGTTTTGTATGATTCGCTTATGATTTGTGGTAGGCGGTGTGAACCAAGTCAGTGTAATATTTGTGTCTGTGTTTGAGTCTGTGTTTGTGTCCGTGAGCGGCGGAAGAGATGTTCTTTCGGCGGGGGGAATGTGTTGATTAGGAGTTTATATCGGGCCTTTTCATTTAGTCAGGTTGGTTTTTGGTTGGAGCCGGCGTAAGGCGGTGGTTGTGTTGGTGGCGTCTGGTCGGAAAAGATGTCATTTTAGTTGTCCTCAGGTCTCGAGGTACTTGTTTTTGTTTTGTGGGTGTGTAGATATGTACGATTGGCAGTTCTTCTTGTCTCTGCATTGCTGGTGGTCTGGGCTTTTCTTGTTCTATTTCCTCTCCCCGAGTCTTTTTTAGCTTGAAGCGAAATCCCATATAATGTCTATTCGCATTAGTCCATCGCCTGAATAGTATTTTGGGTCGCCAGCTGCGCCTCTGGTTGTGGTGTTGTTGCGTGCTGATTACTCTTTGAGAGCGAGAAGAAACGAAGTTACTGGAATGAACCATTTTCCTCCTAGGCAGGTTGTTAGACCACGTTGACCTAGTTCTCCTTCGCTAGCTTCTCCTCAGGACCTTAGAGTGGTTAGGCCATTAACAGTCAACACCAATCTGAAAATAGATATCTGTTGACATAGCGGTCGATCCCAAGCAAGTTGGCCGTTGGAGGGCAGCCTGGTTGATGCGAGGTATAAAAAGTTGTCTTGAGCATCTTACTCTCAGACAGAAAATGTCGGCAGTCTTCTACTCTGTAACACGAAACAACCGGTCAGTCCTCAAGAGTCCACCAGCCAGTTCCCCGTTGGCACTCTCAGACATGTAGTTCTGTGAAACGTTAGCCCAGACCAGCCTAAGACGTCTCTTCTAACGACGAGCACGGTGTTTTGTTTCGATTTGTAAATGTTTTTGTTTGTTCTCTTCCTATGAACGTGCTGGATTCCGCCAGTCAGCCAACCCTCGATGTTGTTTATATGACATGTATATATATGTGTGTGGGCGTGTGTCTGTGCGATGCGCCTCTTATATGCTACCAGTTCCGCCTGGGCACCACCGAGTCAAAAGCAACTCGGGTTCAAAGACTCTTCGGAAACAAATACACCACCGCCCCTCCGCCTCCCCCACCCCAAAAGAAAAATAAAACACCTGGCTCCGGGTCATCGTGTGCCACATTATGTCCGGCAAGCAGAAGAAGAAGAAATATATAAAAAGGATACAAAAGGGGGTCTAAAAGGCTCGAGCCGTGTCATGTTTGTAGGACGGCGTACTCGTAGCCGACCGTGGCCGTTTTGTAATAGACAAACTCCTTGAGGTAGCACGAGGGCGTGGAGTTGAAGACGACGGCGACGCACTTAGTCTGCTGAGCGCACGCGTCGATGCACGACGCCATGTTGAGGAAGGTGCCCTTCGCCAGGCCTAGGTCGCCGTCGCCGTCGTTGAGCATCCAATCGCACGTCTTGAGGAACGTCTTGGGCTGGCTCCCCTTCGTCGACGTGTACGTGGTCCCGTTGGCTGCGGGACACTCGAGCGTCACTTGGCCTGATGGCGTGTTGACCGTCGTGGCTGTCGCTGCCGTGCCGCTGGTTCCCGTCCCTCCCGACCCGTTGCCTGATGTGGCGTCTGTGGCATATGTGCTGTGGGGGTCATGTGTGTCAGTTTGGGAAGCCCATGTTCAAGTCAACGAGCGATGGGTCCAGGCTCCATTAACCTCCTCCTTATCCATGACGACGGGGGAAGGTATCTGCGAGGGGGGTACCGGAGCCGAGGACCGGAGCCAAAGACGGGAGCTAGACGACAGGTGAAGCTGGAAACTCACCTCGCAAGCGACGCTATCTTAATCTTCCCCGAGGCGACGGCGCCGAGAATGCCGGCGAGCACGACGATTATTATGGCGGCCACGACAACGACCCAGACGATGGGCCGCTTCCAGAACAGGGCGGCCCGGTGCCGGCGCTTCTCGATGGGATGTAAGCCGGTGTCCCAGTCGCGGCCGTTGGGTTGTGATGCGCGACTGGCGATGGGCGCTTGAGAGGCGGGGCTATCATGGTGGACTCGTGGTGGAGGCGTGGGCACAAGCTCGGGGTAGATCTTTAATGCCTCTTCGTTTAGGATCAGGCCGTCATGGTACCGGGGCGGAGGCGGCGACTGCGGCGAACGTTTAGAGCTCATTTTCCTTCTCTGCGCCCGCGGCTTTACGCTCCCGAAAGAGCGCGGGAAAGGGCAGTCGGTAACAAGGCGAAGCGAAGCAAGCCCAGCCCGATCAAAAACAAAATAAAATAATAATAGTGGTGGGCAGAAAAGGAGAAAGGAAACACCACGGCGAGTGGTGTGTGAGAGAGAGGGGACGCAGGTAGGAACCGGCGAATGGAAATCGTGGCGCTCAAAGCCTCTTGGCTCCCCCCCCCCAGATTGAACCCGCCATCCCGTCATTCCGGCATGTTGGGAGTTCAGAGCTTGGTCTGATTCTGTCGTGGTGCGGCGCAGCGGCATGCCGCTTTGCCTGCTCTGGCTTGGACCGTTGGGGGTCGGATGGACTAAAGTGGACGGCAGGAGCCTGTGATTGGCCTGCGATTGGCTTGGGGCAGGAAACAAGTTGCAACATCCGCGCGACCAGGTGCAAGAACGACAGGTAGGTGCTGTGCCGTGGGCGCCCTAGCCTGTTCTCAGGCTCTGGCCCTGCAAGAGTTTGTTTCGCTGAGGCCTGGCAGGGAAGGAAGTTGGGAAGGTGCCAATCACGGTGGCTGCGCTGGCTCCACAAGATCCTTCTGGGGCGGGAAAGGCAACCCTGGAGTCTTGGACAGGCACTAACAACGCAAGCGCCAGCGCCAGCTGCTGGCGACCGTAACATCGGCTTACCGTATTTGCCGAAGGGCTCGCGCAGTTCTGAATCTGCACCCTCCGACGATCCGCCGTGGGATGGGGGGGAGTCCGAGCAAGCAAGAGCATGGCGTGCGTGCGTCGCGTCGTGCAACCTGAGCAAAGGATATTTTAAGGAAAGGATTCCAGAAGAGGCGCTCCAATCAATCCAGGCGTTCCTGATGCGGAGCAAGCCACGAACAGCCACCAGATAGCCTGCACGTGCCGTGGGCCGATAAGATATTCCGTAATGTGAAAATCAATTAACGTCTCGGATGTCGTCGCTTCCTTGCTCGCTAGTTCAGCAATACATCCGCGTATCGATATCGTCAGCTGCACCCGTTTTGGAGGATTGCAATTGCGAAACATAACGAGGTTCGCGCCGCTCCCTTCCACGCGTTGGTTGGCGGTCCGAATCCAATGCATGATCCATGGCATCCATGGGATGTTAACACGCTGAATGGAGCTAAGATCCATGAGGTAGGCTACCGCAAGGTAGCGCTTGATGTGGGTTCGTCATTTTAGATCTCACTCATTTTTCCCCAAAAGGGGGGCAGAATGGAGCGGGTCAAGGCCTAATGTCCGATGTGAGACGGCGACAAATCCTTGTCAGCTCTTTACTTTATCTCAGACGCGGGGTTAAGCCAACAGACGCTGTTGGACAGTTGTTGGAAGAGAGAAAGGTGTCGGGTCTGGGGTGAGTCAGGTTGTTATCTCAAAAGACTGCACTCTTGATGACTTGCTGCCTCTTCTTATTAATATCTGATTGCTCCGGATTATTCCCAATTCCGCACCCATCACAACAACTTCCCCCTTCATAACCCCGCCGAGATTGTGTCAAATTCCCCCATCAACCTAATTACTCCTTCGACTCGTAGTCTCCTTGCTAGAGCTAAGGCAGGTACGAGTTAGACTTAACCTTTTCTGCTTCGCCTTAGTAGTAGTCAGTGGAGCGTCTCTTCTGATCCTTTAGATGCAGATGCGGGAGTCCCACAAATGCTGCGGATTTCGGATTTCGGATTTCGGAGCGACTCAGCCCAATCAAGCTAGCAAAGCCACAACACAGCACTTGACAATGCGACGGGCCCCAAGTTTCTTGTTCAGTTTAGGTTTAGAGCTCAATCTTTGTCTTGACAATAGCAACAAAGTCCTCGAGATCCTGCAAAAACGCAACGGGCTGTTCGAGGGCTGCGAGATGTCCGCCCTGAAAGTCGTTTCACCAGCCACGTCAGCAACTCTCAACACGTCCGAGGTACAAGGTCAAAATCCGGAAAAAAAAAGAAGAACAAAGAAAAAGAAAAAAAGAGAAAAAACACTGCTCACCGCTTCATGAGCCTTGAAGAAGACCAAGTTGTCGGGGAACCAATGCTCGACCCACGACTGCGCAGCCGCCAGCACCTCGCGCGGGTACCACGAGTAGCCAATTGGCTTGGCCTTGATGGCGAGCGGCGACGGCAGCCTCTCGCTGTGTGTATCCCGCAGAAACGGAGCCCACACCGCGCGGTACGCCCACAGCCCACTGCCGTACGATTTGGTGTGCCAGTACCACGAAACCTGCTCGAGGATGGTGGCCAGGGGCGCGCCGTTGACGCCGTCCGTGTACATGGAGCCGATCCTGTTTTGTTTGTCTGGATTCAGCCGCCATGATCATTATCCGGCAAGAGGAGACCGGCATTTCACCCACCATTCCAGCATTGCGACCGGGTTCGACATCAGCACCAGCGAGATGAGCCCCGGCCGCGTGCCTTGCTCGAGCATGTACCCCGTGCCCGAATCGGTGAACTCCTGCGCACTAACGAGCGTGGCGTTCTCGGCGGGGCTGACTGGCAGGTTTGCCACTGCTGCCTTCTCTGACGGGGTGAGGATGAAGTTGTTAACTGCAGTAAGTCAATACCAGTCCATTTTTACATAAAAATATCTAGGCCGTTGGAGGACTAGGGCGCCATACAGTGGACAGCCTTGCACTCGTCGTGGACAGCGCCGAGCGCAGCCGTCAAGCCAGAGCCGACATCTCCGCCCTGGGCGACGTACGCGTTGAAGCCGAGGCCCTTCATAAGCTCGTTGAGGGCCTCGGCCGCCGAGTAGAAGTTGAGCTCTGTCGTGGTGGCGTTGCTGCGGGTCGAGAGGCCGTAGTCGGGGATGGACGGAGCGACGACGTGGTACGGCAGCGTGTCGGGTGTGTACTTTGCGGCCAGCAGCTCCAGGATGGCGACACAGTCGAACCACGAGCTGGGCCAGCCGTGCGACAGGATCACGGGCACGGCGTCGGCCCGCCGCGAGAACAGCGCCGCGAAGTGCAGGTCGAACACCTGCCCGTCCGACGGCGCCGTCACGTCCATCTTGAACTGCGGGATCGTGTTCCAGTGCGCCTCGCGCGCCCGCCAGTCGAAGTCGCCGGCCCACACGCCCGTCGCGTTGGCCAGCCAGTCCCGCGGCGCCCCGAACGTGTGGTCTGGGTTGTCGCTGGCGCTATGCGTGTTGTAGAAGGACGGTGCTGCCACGACGGCCGTCTCGATGAGGACTGAGAGCTTGTTGAGCTCGGGCTGCGGGACGTGCAGAGTGAATGGCGCCGGCGTGCCCGGGATGCCGAGCGGCACGACTCCAAAGCCATCCATTTTGCGGTTGCGCTGCGGTTTTCGGGCGGTGTTCTGGGAAGATGACGATGCTGCTGCTGCTGCTACTGAAGTCCGAAAGTCCTTATCTTGTCGAGAAAGCTTCCGTCGGGAGAAAAGGGGTATTTATACGTGTAGGCGCGAATGACAAGCCATCGTCACGGTGCACGTGCACCACTCCTCGCTCGCGCGTGGCTTTCCAATTCGGGCATGGCCCACGGTGTTCGGTTGTCGTCGCGACACAATAATCCTGCAACGGAGCGATATTTTCCGGCCAGACGCAGTGCGTTATGACGGACCGCCCACAGAGTCGCGGCTCCGTTGGTAAGCGGGACGGACGGAGCGCGGAGGACCTGTGTTGATTTGTCAGAAACCGAAAGAAGCCCGCCTGTGGGATGACGCCAAGAGTGCGCCGTAGTGTCGCGCGTGATGTACGTGATTTCCGTCCAGTCCTGGCAGTCACGGTCTTGTGTCCACTTCCGCAGAATCCGAGCCGCCGTAGCGGTGTGACTCTCGATTGGTAATGCTCACCCCTTTTACAAGTGATCACTAATATCGCCGTTGTCCCGGAACCCTTGGAACGGTTTCTGAAAATTTCCGTTGGGCCCGGAAACTACGCCGAAGCCATCTCCAAGATATGCTCTGGGCGAAAGCTTTGATCCTACACGGCGGTTGGCCGTAATGTTCGTGAGTCAGCCGGTATGGCCCCATCAGGAGCCGCTCAATTGTTTGACTTTTTGCTGTACCGCGGCAAATGCCTGTGTTTACTTTTAGTGTGTACCTAGTGGTGGGTATAAGCCATCTATTATTTCACTTTAGTGAATAGATCTGACTGTGGAAGTCCCCCCTTAAGCAGAGCCTCTTGAGTAGACGAGATGTTAAATGTTTTTTGGAAGTCGCTCTTTGAGTAATAGACGAATGAAACAAATGTCTGGCTTCAAGTCTTGAACCCTAATAGCATACGGCGTCATAGAAAACGTCCGCCTCAGGCTCTGGAGAAACTTCGTATCCGCTCTCCTTGAAAACCCCAACAACTTCCTTGTACCAGGCATCCGTGTGAGCGCGACGTACTGATCCCCCAAAACCGGAAGTATTATAGATCCCACAGAGCTCCATAGCCGTGAACCGGGTTTCGTCGGTGGCGTCTGGGTTATACATCTTGACGTTGACGGCGGATTTGATGGTTGGATCAGATCCGTGCCGGAGCAGATAGCGCACATTGCCTATACCCTGGGAGAACTCGACGAAACTGTGGAAGCTCGACCTAATGGCGTAGTGCAGGGGCGTCCAGCCGCCGATGTCCTGTCTATTGACGTACGACGTATGGCACGACGCGAACACGAAGTCCATGGTGCCAGCCTCGATCGAGTAATCGGCTGCCAGGTGCAGAAGGCACTTTTGATTATCGGTAGCCAGCCGCGAGAAGTCGGCTCCAGCGGCCTTGAGGAACTTCAGACAGTCCACACTTGACTCTCCAGACCTGAGCGCGTTGGCAAAGGCAGACTAGAGGTTGAGATCTCCTGACTGGAAGTCGTTGTACAGCTCGTTCTGCAAGAGATAGAAGAGTTCTAGATTTCGTGGCCGCGTGGTTGGGTAGATAACGGTAAGCATAGTCAACGACTTCCCGCAGACGACCTCGTGGACGGATGCGTTGTGCTTGACTAGGAGGCGGACAATGTCCAGCCAGTTGTCTTGTTTCGGAGGCAGCTGCACAAAGGCAGCTGCACAAAGTACCTGTTCTTTCGAGGATTCAATCCCATTGCCAAGAATATCGGGAGACTTGACGCAAATGACTAAATTAGCAGCTGTTGAAAATGCGAGCGGAGCGGGGCCGCAGAGGAAAATGGGAAGCTCTCACACTCTGTCATCGTCGCCCATGCTGGGATCTGCGCCATTTTCCAACAGGTACGCAACCGCGTCCAAGTGGCCGCCTTCGATTGCCACCTGGAATTTTCAAGCCGACGGCGGTTGGTGGTTAGTTAGACATGGCCGCGGACGATAGCCCTATAATAGAAGCTTGGGAAAGCACTCACCATCAGAGGTGTTCTGCCGGCACAGGTTGAGCGATCTCCAAGCGCGCCCACGCCATCACGGAGATGTTGTCGGATTTGCGGAACGTCCCCGTCAAGACACGCTACCATTAAAGGGCTGTAGATGGGTACTCGGTTCTGCGCACGAACTAAGCCGAGAATCAAGACCCGGAACTCGAAATTGAAGCTTTTTGCCCACAGCCAGGCGGGAAACTTGAACCCCAGAAAGACTGAAGCGGCAAGAAATGCCCGTGGTCTGGATATTAGAGCCACCTTGCCGTAGAACCCCAGCCATTGCATCAACGAGTTTGGGCTAAACTCGCTGCTTTGAGACCGAGAATAGGCGGCACGGTATTGTAGGATGGACGGCAAGTGATATCCGGCGCTAGGTGCGTAGCTCTGCGCTTCAGAAGTCTCCGGGGCAGGGGAGACTGTTTTGTTGCCGGCAAGAATCGCCCTCCTTTGAAAAGTCAGAGTGAGACAAAATAACTCTAATACCCAAGGAATATCTGGGCAAGTTATGATCACCCATGCAATAATGGGGAGATGGGCCCGGTCTTACAGAGTAGCAAGCTGGATGACGAGCGAAAGGAGGCTGTCGAACTCGTCCAACTCCCCAAGCAGCTCTTTAAGTGCGGCACTATCTCGGAGAGCCCATTTGATCCGCCGACTTGTTTTTGTAATCCCACCCTCGGTGATTTTCTGGCACTTGTCCTGCGCTCCTCTGAGAACGCTTTGTACTTGAGAAGCAGCAGCGTAAAGAATCCACCGAGTTTCCGATGGGAGTACTGCGTCGTCGCCGTCAGACTCAGATTCTCCGACACAGGCCTGAATTCCCACCAAAACCTCTCGAAGAACCGAGAGCTTGCCCTGGACCTGGTGCAGGGCTCTTGGCGCGTTCGCCACCTCGCTGTAAAACTGGACGATGTTGACTGTCGTGTCGGCAAGAATGGACAGAATCTGGGCGGCTGACACAATGCCGCCTACAGCGGCGGCGACCTCGGCCATGATGCAAAGTCGGGCTCTTGACCAGTAAAAGACTGGATGACTGGATGGATCATCAAGAAATGCTCAAGATTCCCGCCTAGGCCCACAGGCTCTCTCCTAACTCCAAGAAGATATCATAACCCCCCGCACAGCCACCAGTTGTGCCACCCGACAGCGTCGACTTTGGATTACGAAGTTACGGGTAATTAATTGGGCTATTAATTAGCAATTAGTAGCTCGATACGGGCAATATTCGTTTATAGTCTGCTGCCTAACTTGGCTCCTATCTTTGCCTTATCGTTGCCAGAGCCTTGCACTTCCGAGGGGGCGGTGCAATCGCGCGGCACCTCTTTCCGGGCAGTGCACAGCCCCGATGCTGGGGCACTCTCACCCTCACCCCCTGTTGAGGTTGGACTTGGGACCAATTAAGGGGCGATGAGTGGGAGCCCTAAGAATTTCCGCGATTTAAGCCCCCAAGTCACCTTTTCTCCTCCTCACGCCCTCAAAGAACCTCCACAGAAACACACAATCTCGTTACCAACATCCGTTTCATCTCGACACAAAAACGCTGTCGACGTACACCGAGCTGTTCCGAGTCAATAGTCAAGTCTTGATTGAACGCCGCTGGAAAAATGGAGTCACCGACCGCCGAACAGCAGCCCAAACCGTCTCCCAAGGCCAAGGCACCGCGGAGCCCAAACGGTCCCCACGGCGACAAGTCGGTGCCCCAGGGGCCACAGTTCAAGGGCAAGAACGTGAACTGGCTACTCCGTGAGCAATAATAGCCGGTCCTTTGATCGATGATTGAAAGGAGTTATTGCTGACAATTAGTCAACGTCTGCCAAAACAGTGCTTTGCTGCTCTTCTGGCTCTCACTGAAGGAAGGAAAGATGTCCATGGTTCGAACATTGGCAGTTAATTTACCTCCATTTTCCATACGCAGCTATGACGAAAGATGACTGTCGCGTTTCGTGCCAGAGAATATGTGTATTTCAGAGGCCTGTCGTACTTCGATCCCGAGGCATGGCATTTGAAATCAGGGTCGGTAGCGGCAAGACCAGCAAAAGATTATCTGCCAACCTCCCACAGCTAGGTTGGACGGTGGCTTTCCGTGGCGCTGGGTATCTTTGTCTGTTCTCGATTGGCAGAGAAAACGAGGAAGTGTTTATTCCACGAACAGATGGCTGCAGCGGCGGGCAGATGTCCCGTTTGAGAAAACTACAGAGAATAAATCGGATGGGAATTTGACGGACGGATTGCGTGCATTTCTTGATGGCTCTAGCGGCAGGCTTGACAAGCAATCGGCCCATGGCTGGCCCCCAGTAAAACTGTCAAACAGGATGCTATATTATCTGCATGCAACCTTATTTTGCTGTTGGTGGCGTTGCTACGGCCAGCCGTGACAGTCCGGCCTGGCATCGACGCCCCCACGCCGCCGTGAGTGACATGTGTCATGTATTATCGATGGCCGTGCTCTGTTCGACTCTAGACAACATGTCAAATCGCTGATTCGGCCACCTGTGACGGGCGAAGACGGTAGTCCTTCCCGCGGATCACCCCCTAGATGCCGTCCTTCAGATGTCGTGTCCCGAGTTGGTTTACTAACTAGGTACCTAGGTATTGGCCAATGCAGGATGGTGATCTCTGTCGCCCACACCAGCGGGGCACGATCAAGAGGCAATTTTGATTCCAGCTAGGACGGGAAGCTGGAAAAGACGGTCAACGAATGGGACAGGGGCCAAGTAATTCGATGAGCAAGAAAGGGGGGTGGGAAGGCGCAGAAAATGCGTGAGTGTGGCAACAAAAGCTATGAGCCAATGTCACATGTGGCGGGAGAAAGGAGCGGTGATGGACGAATCCGGGCTCGACCACACGCACGGGCCGAGGTCGGAGCGCCCCGGGAGTCGGAACGGTGTGCTGGTATTGGTTACCGACAGCGTGGTAGGAGTCGCCGGCATGCCATGTCACAGAGGCCACGCGAATCCCCCACCGGGCTGCCGGCCTACCAGGGGGGGCGGTGGTTGGGAGTTGAGACGGCTTGGCCGTGCATCATCCTTTTCTCTGCACGTTGCTTTGATATTCTGGCCCCGGTCCACTGCTGCGCCCTGGACTGGAGACTGGCCCTCGCCGGTCGGCTGAAGAAGCTGCAAGATACGCCGTCATACCCAATAGGAAAACGCCCATGGCGATAACCCAGTGCCATCCATCCCGGTCCCCGCAACTTGGCAGGGGGCTATATGAATGGGAATCAAGTCCGAAAGCGCTACCGAACAATACGCACATTGGGCTATTATCAAGCGAAGCGCGTGAGACGACACCTCGCCCAACATTGCGCTCCGCCCTGGCATTGTGCAACACCGCTGCGGAAAGGGGCATACTTACTAGGTTTTAGGCAGTGGCTAATTAGACATCGGTAAACACCATGACGGCGCATGACGACGCCATGACGGGAGTCTGGAAGCTGGTTGAAGATTCTAGAAAACCGACGTGGCTAACATGGCTGACGGCAGGCGCCACCGCGTCCTTCGATTGGCGTGCTCAGACTCGCCGCCAGTAGACGGGGCCAAATACCTGTATTCCGCCTCGGTGCAGCTCAGCTCTAGTGCACACTAATTAATTACACACAGCGGCTGCATCGTGGAACCACCTCAGGCACCCCAGGTGGCAGGGGAAGAGCCCTTCCGATAGGATGACAGTCCCATGCAGCTACGATTCTAACTGACCCAGAACGGGAATGTCTCGCAGGCAAACCTTAGCTAGCGTGGGTGTAGCGCAACCAAATGTAACCAACCCCTTCACCACCGCCAGTCTGTTTGTCTCACCATGCATGTCTGGCCTGCAACTCGGGCGATATCAACCGATGTGAAAAGGTCAAGAGCCTGCTACGCGTGATTTTAAATCGGCCAATTAATTAGTAACAGGTCACTTCTTGCCAGGGCCGGATCTCAGATTCAATACATTAGATTCTAGGCCTAGCACACACACCTTCACACCTTCCCAGATATCCCGAGAGCGGTGGAACTTCGTCGGCATGCCAGATCCCACCAGGACTTTGATACTGTGCAGGAGCGAGGGAGACCTGCTTCCCCAATTCTCACAGACAACCCCACTGATTAGTTCCCGAAGACGCAATCATGGAAGGCACGTCTCTGAGGGCTCTTTGTGGAGCCTACAAGAGCAGTCACTTCCTGCGTGTGCTCGGCAAAGGTTCTATGTTTGTTGTGGAGGAGAAAGATGAAAAGGCACACAATGGCATGCCCACCGTCACTCTTTTAGACAAACGTCCGCTTCCAGAAGACCCAATCACTTTTCTAGAGCCCAGCACCGACAGCATGAGCGACGCCGAAGTTGACCGTGTGCTGGCAGGCACAAAGAGCACGATCAAGGCTCTGTTCAGAGACTACGGCAGCGTCGGGGGCTCAGTTGGCATTCTCAGGAACGGGAAACACACCTTCATCGAGTTCGGCTCACAGGACCCCACCACCAACGAGCCCGTCGACCGCGACACCATCTACCTCATCTCTTCCATGGCGAAGCCCTTCACAGCCCTGGCCGTAGCCATGCTGGTGAACGACAGTAAGATTGACATCAGCCTCACGAGCCCAGTCAGGAACTTCCTCCCCGAGCTGCAAGGCAACGATTTTCTCGCCCACACCGGCCAGCCCATCACCATCGCGGACCTGCTCGACCACCAGTCCGACTTCCTCCGGTGCACAAACCTCTGGGAGAGCCCAAACGGGTTCATCCCATGGCAAGACGTCGCGCCTCTGCTGTCCCTCTTCCAGACCCTGCCGAGGAATCCAAAGTTCCGCCACCCGCACAACTTTCGCCATGCCCGGAACTACTCCAACGAGAGCTACGCGCTGCTCGCCGAGATGGTCGAGAGGCTGACGGGGAAGCCGTGGACGCGCTTCATTCGCGACAGGATCCTGCGCCCCCTTGGTCTCACGAGCACTGTCGTCAGCCTGACGGAGCCCGAGCACGCAGAGCGGGGCCAGCGGGGAAGCAGCAAGATTGCGCTGTCATTTGCAGTTCCCGTCTCCGAAACCCTGAGCAGACTGTCTGCGGCTCACGGAGATGCTGCGGCGTACGATGTGGTTCACCCGTGGGTCGTCAACAACCTGCCTCAGCTCACAGCCCAATGCGTCTCGCCTTCACAAGCTCGCCACGCCGCTGCCGGAACGCTCAGCTCGACGCCGATCGGTGCCGCGGCCGGAATCATGTCGTCAGCGCGAGACCTCTTGAGATTCTACGAACTCTTCATGGAAGTTTACAACGACGCTGAGAAGGGGCGAGATAGGGTCCAAGCAGCCACAAACGGAACTGGGCAGCCCACAGACATGGACAGGATCCGACAAGGCATGGCGACGCTATACGGGCACATCAAGGACATGATGGCCGCTGATGAAAGCCGCACGTATGCTGCCGGCTGGTACGTAGCTGGAAAACATCAGCTGTGACGTATGAGACGAAACTAATGACCCAGCACCGTTGAATAGGAACACAGTCAACGTGCCCTGGGACCCAAAGTCAGCAACTCGCTGGCCCGGCGCAGACGGTGACAACTCGCGACGCATCGAAAAATCGACCAGAGAAATGGGGCAGCCGAGCAGCGCCGCCGCGGAGGCGTGGCACTTCCTCCAGCAGCAACACGACCCCGACACCACAGCACCCACCACCCAAAAAGAAACAGAACTGGCCCTGTTCCACGGCGGCAACATGGTCGGCGCGACGTCCTTCTGCCTGCTGCTGCCGGCGCGGCAGACGGCCGTCGTGGTGCTGTGCAACACGCGGGGCTTCTTCGTCGACGCGGCCAACCTCGCCGGCATGCTCCTATCGGAATGCCTGTTCCGCAACCTACCGTCGTCACCGAGCGACATGGCCGCGCTGTGCGCACGCGCCGCCGCCACTGCGGCGCACTTGGCCGCCAGCTACGTGCGCGACTTACAGCGGTATGAACTCGCGCTCGCCCGCGACTATCACAGCCTGACAGTACTCGACACCGGCGGTGATGGGGAGGACTATTATGCGCCGTGCTGTGGTACGTTCCAGCTCGTGCCGGGCGTCGTGGCGCGCGTCGCCTGGACTGCAGCAGACAATGGCAATTGCGATACCAAAACAGGGGGCAGCCACCACCAGCTCACGCTCGCGCTGAACGGCCAGGCGGCGTGGGCATACCCGCTGCGGCTCAAAACGGGATGCAGCCCACACCACAAATCGTGCACCATGACCTTTGCCATGCCCATGGGCGAGCTGGTGCGTGCGGGCGTCGGCGGCAATAACCGGTTGGAGGCCAGGGATTTTGAGGTCACGTTTCGGAACAGGACGGCAACAGCAGCGGGTGGGCTGCCGACGCAGTTCCAGGGGCTGGTCTGGGTGTTTGACCGCAGCTGGCTGGCGGATCCGCACAGTCTAGAAGGAGTAGATCTGGGCGCTTTTACGTTCAGGAGACTGAGCCCGGGAAGTCCTGCGGTTTAAACGGGCGGGAGCGGGTGGCGTGGTTGGGCTTGAACTTGAGGTGGGTGTGAGATGAGAGAGATAAGGAAGGAATGTTCAAGGGCTGCTCCTTCCAAAACAGAGAAAGGTGGAAATTCCTTTTACGAAACTCTCTCTGCCTGTTCAAACTCGTAGACAGCATTCACTTCTACAAACAGGCCCAGTGCTAATTTCTCTACATTTGCATCGAGGTCGAGGCCTGCCTTCCGCTGCTCCGAAGAAGTTGCTACCGATGGGTCGTGCCTAGGTAGGTAGTTATATTGTCTCGGATTGATGCTAACTAATTATTCAGAAATGGAACTTGCCGAAATCCGCAGGCGTCGGCCAATAATAGGATGCTCGTGGGCGAACATACATGAAGAAGGTGGGGTGGACGGAGCCTCGTGCACAGTTTCAGCTCTTTAGCTCTTCAGCTCTTCAGCTCTTCACCTTGGCTTCTACGCAACACCACCACCACAGTCTCAATTACTTGCCTCTTACATCGATCTGCTCTTATAGCCGTGTCAAAAGTTGCAGTTTAGCAAAACACAAAACTCTCAACAGACAAAGCATGGCAGCGAACTCGGCCCCAGCCCGCGGCGCCGGCGCCGGCACGGAAGACGGCGTCTTCTGGGGCTGGCTCGACGGCTACCTGAACGGCATCATCGGCATCGCGATCCTCGGCTCGCAGATTACCTTCACAGTCCTGGTGTCGGAGATAGCCGACCCGGCCGCCGTGCTGCAGCCAGCGACGCCAGCGTTTGGCCGCGAGACGGTGCGCGCGTTTATCGGTGTGAGCTGGCTGCTCTTCATCGCGTCGCTGGGAATCTCGTCTTTCACCAAGGTCGTGCTGTCGGACCCCCACGAGCGTGCCTGGCTGATCGCCCGCATGGGCGTGCGCCGCTTCCGCTCGCTGTATTCGGTGCTTACGCTTGTGCTCGACGCCCTCTCTGTCGTGCCCTTCCTGTTCCTCGCCCTTGCCACCACGGCGTACCTACCCGTCATCGGCTGGATTGGGACCGCGTTTGTGTCGCTCTTCTCTTTGGTGGTCGCCGTGTCCTGGTTCTTGCTCGACTGGAGGGCGTCGCTCGTCTGAGAGCGACGTAGCTCTTCAGGGCTAAACTATGAGCATGTGGACGCAGGAAATTCTAGTCGGACTGGGCTTGTCCAGAAGCTGTCACGCGTGATTAGTCAAGACGGCGATTTCGCCGCATTGGAAACAGGTGGTGTGGCGGACCATTATGGACTATAGGCAGAATCGGTGGGGGCAATCAAGATCGATATATCTAGCGGCCTCTATTGGCGTATGCGGCTAATGCTGCTTGAACTGCTTGCCGTGCCACCGCACCCGCACCCCCTTTCAGGTAGGTCCCCCGCATATTACAAGTCATAACGGCCTATATAACCCGGGGATATCTGAGGCCCGGCCGTCTAAGAATAGACCAGAGCAGCGGGCGATATGCACCAACCCGTCACGTCACGCGTCACAACTTTAGTCTCTCGCCATCTTACACACAACAACCTAGAGACGGGACAAGGATTGAACAAGGCCCGTGTGGGCTGCCACGAGCCACAACATGCAGGGACTCGACGAGGCCAGTTCGGAGTTCCGGGCACTGACAGCTCCACGGGAGAGAGCCAGTATTATCAGGTTCTGCCAAGGCGGCTCGCAGCAGTAGAGCACCTCGACGCGGATAGGCTGAAGTCGACCCCGTTATATCGTACCGTCCGGGCACACGAAAGCTCCTCCCGAGCCAATCTCAGCCGGTTCCGGCCTCCCAAAAATCCCATGACCCGGTCTTTGGGAGATTGATCATGGAGGGGGGATTGTTATTGTTATTGTTATTATTAGTCTGGCGAGTCGGAGAATCGTGTCATGTCGTGACCGGGCCGGCCGTGCATATGAGGCGGTCGTCTATATTTGTACCTCGTTACCCCGGACTTTTTCGACCCTTGGACGTCGCCTCCCCAAGCTCGTGCACTGACAGACGATTTCTGGCCCGAGGGGTGTCTGAGTCCGAATAATGTCCTCTCTCGTCGGTGCCCTCTGGGCGCTGGTGCTTGCCCTGCACCTCTTTGTCTGCCGCGTGAATGCCCAGGCAGACGGCTCCGGGGCCGCGCCAGATCAGTGCAGCTGCTCGGGTCTCGACTACACGAATGGAGGCTCGTACCTGATCGATGGCACCTCCGACCGGGACTTTACGTTCACTTCGGTCTTCACTGGCGAGTCTTGCTCTTCGGGGTACTCGAACATTGCTAACGTTTAGACAGGGGCATGCTTCGCCTCGACCATCACGCCGATCCTGATCTCGCCTGACGGATTTGGCTACCAGTGCTCGCCCATTGCGTCCAACGACGGCGACGAGCAGCCGTCAGAATGGTACGAGGGCCAAAAGCTAGACCCTGTACTGTGCCACATGACGACTAACATGTTTTTTCCAGCGGCGTGGCGTACTACCAGATGAAGACGGGCACGTGGTCTATCATCATCCAGGCTCCCGACTTTGATTTCACCGTGCAGCGGCAGTTCAACCTCACCGTGGGCGGGGCCGTCAACACGGTTGTCGTGACGGTGACCCCCACTGTCACGGTCGGCGTGACAAGCACCCTCGGCGGGACAAGTAAGCTAGCGCCGCCCCCTATCATAACACCAAACACGCAGATTAACAACCCTCACAGCCATCACCAACTGGATCGCAGACGTCACCACCGAGTACGCCGAGCCCGACCTCGTGACGTCGGACTGCTACCTGCCGACGGACACCGTCATCTACTACGTCCCAGGGCCGACCTCGCACATCGTCAACACCATCTCGCGGTGGTCGACGCTGGGGCCAGCCACGCAGTACTACACGTCAACCATTGTCGACTATGCATACTGCCACTGGCCGGCCGCGCCAACGTACGACCAGCCGCCGCCGCCCACAACCGCGCGGCCGCCGGCGTCGTGCACGACGAGCTGCCGGCCGTGGTACAACACGGGCGGCGGCGGGTGGACGTGGACTCGGCAACCAAGCACAACACAGCGCGCACCAACCACGACCTTCCAGCCCACGGCGACGTGGCGCCCGACCACGCGCTCCACGCCCCCCGTCGTCACGTCCGTCACCACCCGCCGTCCGCCCGGCGACACGCCCACCCCTGGAATCACTACTATCACGCGCCGCCGCACCACGACCCAGCCGACAGGGCGCCCGACGTCGAATATCCCCACCCCGGGGATCACGACTATCACGTCGCGTCGCGGATCGACCACGCGCGTGCCCCCGAGCTTCACCATCATCACCACGCAGACGTCTCGCGGCGGCGGGGGCGGTGGAGGGGGCGGGCAGCAACCGACCACGTCGCGGGGCGGTGGAGGTGGCGGAGAGCGGCCTACCACCTCTCTACCACCCGGGGGGATCTACACCACGACCATCAGGGGCGGCGGCGGAGGAGGAGGAGGAGGAGGAGGAGGTGGTGGTGGTGGTAGTGGTCAGCAACCGACTACATCCCGACAAGGTGGTGGTGGAGGGGGAGGGGGACAGCAGCCGACTACTTCCCGACAGGGCGGTGGTGGGGGCGGAGGCGGAGGCGGAGGCGGACAGCAGCCCACGACGCGGCAGCCAACCCCAACTCTGCCGCCGGGTGGGATCTACACTACCACCATCAGGGGCGGTGGTGGCGGTGGAGGAGGAGGACAGCAGCCGACTACTTCCCGACAGGGAGGCGGTGGTGGTGGACAGCAACCGACTACGTCTCGTCAGGGAGGTGGTGGTGGTGGCGGGCAGCAGCCGACGTCCAGGCAGGGTGGAGGCGGCGAGGGTGGGATTTTCACTACCACGATCCGTGGTGGTGGTGGTGGCGGTGGCGGTGGACAGCAGCCGACTACGTCTCGTCAAGGAGGCGGTGGCGGGCAACAGCCTACCTCCAGACAGGGCGGCGGCGGCAGCCAGCAACCCACTTCCCGACAGGGAGGAGGCGGCGAGGGTGGGATTTTCACCACGACAATTCGGGGCGGCGGCGGTGGTGGCCAGCAGCCTACCTCCAGACAAGGAGGCGGTGGCAGCCAGCAGCCGACTTCTCGGCAAGGAGGTGGCGGCAATCAACAACCAACTTCCCGTCAAGGTGGTGGCGGTAGTCAACAACCAACCTCTCGCCAAGGTGGAGGTGGCAGTCAACAGCCAACTTCTCGCCAAGGCGGCGGCGGTGGCCAGCAACCCACATCTAGACAAGGCGGTGGCGGTAATCAGCAGCCGACATCTCGCCAAGGCGGCGGCGGCAACGGAGGTGGAAGCCAGCAGCCGACCTCGCGAGGAGGAGGCAGTGGCGGTGGTGGTGGCGGCGGCGGAAGCGGCGGCGGAAGCGGCGGCGGCGGCGGCGGCGGCACGCAGCCCACGTCTCGGCGCAGGCCGCCAGCAGCCGTCACCGAAGCCCCTGACGCAGCGGCGCTCGGTATGTTTTACCGAACCACAGTCCCTCAATTCTTCTTTCCCACCCAACCTAGCCCTGCTAACACAATACCCCAATCTCCAGCACGGCGCGGCCTGGCTGCTGCGGCAGACTACACTAGTACAGTAACAGAGACGACGTTTACCTTTACGCAGACAGTGGTCGAGGTGGTCGAGGGCGAGACGGTGACCGAGATTGGTGAGGCACACCCATTTCCCTGGTCACATCCTATCCTTTTCCACGGACAGCAGCACTAACAGCTCTTTTTCCTCGGGCGGTCAGATTACACGACATCCACGACGACATTGTGAGTTTTCCTTTCCCACCCTCCCTTCCTCAAATTACCAAAGATGATATCTAACTACCGACAACACAGCTTCCCGCCCGAGCAGACGGTGTGCGAGGCCGAGGACACAGTGACATACTACTACCAGGGCCCGGCCGTGACCGACTACCAGGTCAACTACGTGACGTACTACACATTTGCGACGGTCTGGATTGGGTGAGTGTTTCCCCCCTTTGTGTATCATGGCCATGTTTTACTGACTCTGCCTGCGCCGCAGCCAAACACAGCACGTCACGTCGACAGACTACAACGCCTACACCAGGTGTTGGCAGGGCGGCGGCTGGTACGGGTCGTGAGGCCGGCGCCTGTCGTGATTTCCTCTGTAACTGTCACGGCACAGCCGTGCGGCGGCAGGTTCGGGCCAAAAAGAAATGGACTCCTCCAGAATCTACCTTAAGTACTTACGGAAGGACAGTGTTTGACAAGTAGCGTCTTATTGCTGCACGTGCTGTGTTGGCAGCTCGCTAAATCTCAAGGGCGTTAACGCTCAAGACACTATTAGTTCGCGAGATCAGCACTAATCTGTAGCGAATAGATTCCGCAATACAGGTCGAGTTATACTACGCTTTGGCCGGTTAGGATCTCCTCCTCGTGATAGTAATGTGAGACGACTCTAGGCTTATAAAACTTTCCATTCATAGACCTCGTGAACGTTTAGGAATTCTTAATAATTATAAAACAATATCATAACCTTTAACGCCTGGTTAATAATACGGGTTCTTAGATATAGCTACCAAGGTTGATTGGTAGGATTTCGATCGGCTGAAAAACCAAGTAGTCATGATTCTTGGGCGTCGGCTGGGCGCGCAGGCTACGCTGGAAGAGGTCATCAGGGCAACAATGGCACACTCGATATCGGGCTGGCTTGGTTACGCGGGCGACTTCGCAGCCAGCGACCCACGGGATAAGATCTACGCAGTCTTGGCGCTGCGAATATGGCCTGACAAGAAGGCCCAAGAGGCCGTCCCATTCCTCGCATGGACGGTCTCCTCCGACGATGCTGCGCCAGAGCCATCAAAGTGTGTGCCGCAGGAACTCCAGTCGATGGTGTAGGAATGGGCGGCTCGGGCGAAAGCTACTAGAGATTGCGACTTGTCGATATTCTTACTAAGATGGAGAGATTAGGAGTTGCAAAGAAGATCTTGTTTACACAGAAAAGGGTCATTGAATAAATATTGTAGCATGAAGCGGCTAGAAAAAGTCTTGGACAGGTGTTTCTAATTAAGCCAATGGGATTCTAAAATAGAGATCTTGATGGCCATTGCCTTACTCGGCGAGAATCCTTGTGGTCGAGCCGTAAAGCCATGGGGCCTCCCAGAGCTTGAAGAATCTTCCGGTAACAACCACTTAAACCTAGGGACTAGACTGTCAGGCATATGATATAACCCAAAGCGCTGCATTGGGAGATAAGAGTGCTAAGATTTCTGCATAATGTGCTTGATTACTGTACAAATACTGACTATTGTGTGTCTCCGTGCAAGACGGCCTCCGCTATGTCCTTTGCCTTCTGGCTCTGCGTAGCCGTGACTTGCCAATACTTGGTGTACAAACTAACTTGACCCCCGCCTGATCTATCCTAAGTGTAGTTGAGGTTCGAGTTGATGACGTCTCTATCGGCGGCGTAGCGCGATTTTGTGGAAGTCTGGGTGGTCGCGAATTTAATGAGATAGTCCGAATTGGTGGCGATATAGATCTTCCGCAACTGCGCAAAGTGGTCTTTAGGCGCGCCGCCGATGATATGCCAAGCGACCCAATCCGAGGCCCGCGATAGTCCCTCGACAAGTGCACCTTGGTGTGACTGGGTGACATTGGGGTCGAGCCGGTCACCGCCATTGTGTTGCGAATCCGGACCGAAATAGACCCCCCACGCGGCCTGCTTCAGACGCACGCCACGAGAGGCAGCGGCGACGTGGATGACTAGACTGGAGTAGTCGGTCTGGACATTCCCGGATTCATCGACGTAATTGAGGTGGGATACCTGACTTGACGGATTGTACGCAATCAGGTCCGAGTATGAGAGATTGCTGCTGGCAGGTTTGAATATCAAGTCTCGAGGAGCAGGAGGCATGGTGCTAGTGTCCGCGGCGATGGTGCCGATCCAGATTTGGAGCGCACTGGTTGACTGATTGATGCTTTGGGTTGATGCAAATGTTGACCAACGGGAATGCTGCTAGAAAGAGATTCCTGGGGGTGGTTCAAGTTTTTGTGCGAGGGCAGCGAATCTGGGAGAGCTCGCAGGAGCGGAATTTGAGAAGGCGATCCAAATTGTTGGCAGCAGGCGCTCCTTCCTCTGGCGGAATGATGGGATGGGCAAGCTAGGCAATCGCTGGTGGCAACTTCTTTGGAGTAGCAGAAGCCCTCAACATCAATCCAAATTCGACGATGATTGCTCGAGGAATCAGGGAACAAGCCTGCGCAAAGGAATTCCTGCGGGAGAGAAATTAGAGCACTGGACCTGCTTGTGGAGGGTGGAGGCTGTGAGACACAAAAACGAGCAGGTCGAGAGACTTTCGTGCTATTCGGGAAGGAGCAGCGCTTGAACATGACGTAGGCCCTTATCTTCTTCATGTATGTAAGGCACAACCAGAGCAAGCCATTCGCAGGCCGCGCGAGACGGTTGCGGGGTTTGGGCAAGCTCCATTTCTGAACAGCTGGCCAATAATTACCAGTTCAAGGCAGGGGAGCACTTGTTCAAGCAGTGAAAAGGCACCACAACATAACAACTACAAAAACAACACGAAGGCGAGCCGCAGGCGAGCCTTAAAAGAAGAAAGAAAAAAAATCATTACTGTGTGCACTGGTCCGGAGATCTCAATTCATGGTAAAAGGACGTGATTTCTGAAGAATGGTTACAAAAGAAGGTAAAGGGCGATGCTGGCCGTCTGATCAGAGTGAGGGCGGGCTGCCGATCTTAAACGGGGTGCGCAGGCTAAGAAAATAGGAAAAACAAGTACACTAGATTACTCGTCAGGGCTACAAACGCCCTGACCACGGGGTAAGCACGCCTTTTTTGTGTGAATCAACCGACCTGACGAAGGACTTTGCTCCGCAGTTAGGGTGTTTTTGTAACCCTGACTAGGATATTGGGTAAGCGTGTAAACAAGCCCCCTGTCACCCGGCCCTGAACCCCTGATCATTACGAGTCCAGGAACATATCTTCTGAACGATCGGCCCAAATGCTTCAGAGACTCGGGTCATTGGGACAATCCCAACTATCTATCGCCTGAAGAGAATACGACTACAGCACCTGCCACGACCGCACATCCCATCCAAATTGCCATGCTTTCCAACAGCCCATGAATGGCTGTAAGCATAGAAGTTTCTAAATATTTCACCTCGCTCCCATACACGATAATTACGTGGTTGCTTATTTAGTTTCTTGTCTTTCCTTTCTTGGCCTTTGGTACCCTGGTTTCGGGCTCTACACTGTCACGCTTCCTTTTGGAACTCGTGCTCCTCAAAGAATGGAACGACACAAATGAGTCCCCCAGACCGACAGGAGAGCCGAACGGGAACCTGCCGGCTGTCTGTTGCGAAGCATACACGGCGTCTGAATCAGCTACGCTGTCATATGTCATAACTGTTGTACAAGGCGACGCCCGGTCCGTTGCGGCCACGGTGCTCGCAGCTGGTGTTTCCGCCTGCGTGGGTGGAGTAGGCTCTGCTACTGCTCTGCCTAGCCCGGCCAGCTTCTCGTCTTGGAGGGGATCATACGCCGTCTGGATGGACCGGTTGTTGGCCGCAAGGAGATGGAGCCACCAGATGGCCAGGTTCTCCGTCAGCCTCTTCTCGCCGCCCTGGCTCTGCGTCGAGTCGTAGATGGCCGCGTACTCGATCGTGCCGCCGTCTTTTGGCCGCACGAGCTTGCGTCCCCCCAACTTGCTCACCTGCAGCCGTTCCTGGGGCACCCGCACACGGAACGCCACGACCTCCTCGTCCGTGACGATGTAGCCGTACCGCGTCCCGAAGTTCATGCAGTACGTGAAGATCTGCCTGAGGGGCCAGAACCAGTTTTGGACTAGATCATTCGCGCCGACTTCTTTGGCGACGATCTCGGTGCTCCTCCACTTGTAGCTGACTTTGGTATCTCCGGGGAGAATATTGACGGGCAGGATATTGATGGCCACATTGGGGTCGTCGTAGGGCGCCGCCGCCGCCGCCGCCGCCGCCGCCCGCGTGCCCGCCCAGTCTGGCTTGTTCCGGGCAATTCTCTGGGCATTCCCGCCGGCAACCATGTCTACAAAGGGCGGCCGGAGCCCGCGGTCGCTAGACTGGAGCTGGGCGTGGGACAGCGCGGTTGAAACGATAGGGTGCGTCCACTGCGATATGAAGTGCTTCTGTAGGGCGTCTTCGTCGGCGAACGTGACCGCGCCCTTCTCGAGGAGGGGGAACTTGAGCGGTTCGATGGCGTGCTGGAGCATGTCGCGGAAGAGGCCGCCGCAGCACTTCATCAGGCTGGCGCAGTCGAAGTCTTCCCACTTTGCTATCCTGGATGGCCGTCGCCATGACTGGTTGGACGTGTTTGTTCTGCTCTTGCTCTGCGGTGTGGCCTGCAGCTTTGGCTTTGGCGACGAGAGGTGATGGAGCAGGCTGTGCTCGGCTTCGGGAGCCTTGCTATATTTAGATGTCTTTGGTGGCATGGCTTATGGTTTATGAAACTAGTGGAAAGTAGCTGAGGTACTCAAGTATTGAAGAAGGCGTCACCATAGTTTTCTAGACTTACTCAAGACTTGGTCCAGAAAAGGTAATTCAAAAGCAGTTGAAAGATTGGACAAGCGAAGAAGAGGACCAAAACTGAACCACCCAGTGTTCCATTTCACCCCCATCGCCTGTTGCCGAGAAATCGATCAAAAGCCACAGATTAGTTATCGTCGCAATGGAGCAAAAAATACCGCAATATCAGGTGGCGTGTGGTGGCACAACATCAAAGACACCCTCCGTCGTCTCCATTGGCTAACTCTGCCAACCAACACGGAAATTTCAGTGCTCGGCCGCCCCTTTCCATGTTCCAATCGTCCATCGCAGGCGGCTTATCCCCTCTGATAAGGGGCTCCCCCGCTCCCCCTGTGGGCGCTGCCCGACGGCATCCCATGACCTTCCAGAAACGGCGAGCTGCAGGTCCATCTACGGCGTCCACGATAATTACCATTCTTGATGCCCAAAGAAGCTCTTCCAGCAGCATCTCTGCTTCGTACAAGAAACCGAAAATTAATTACCACAAGGCATCCGAATGATTGAAGTGAACTACTAATCCAGGAGCATGGAAATTGCTGCGATTGACCAATTTGACGAACTGCCGAGGATCAGGGGCGACAAGCTCCGGCGCTTCAAGAACGGCCAATTCAAGAAAATCGACTACCTCGAATTGCTAGGCAGGTCTGACGACGACGACGCATTGCCAGACGGGGACCACGGCTACGTCTTCCGAGTCCTGATTGACGGCGACCTCTACGCGCTGAAGATTGTACGTTCCAATTACCCCTATTTCAGCACTAATTAGATCTGATTCGAACACCGACAACAATTAACAACGCGAACAACACTAGTTTCGATTCTTCGACGTGGAAGAAGCGCTCGCCATGCTCGATCCCGCGGGCAGGAGCTGCGTGTCCGCCGAGGACGTTGAGGGCCAGAAGGACCCGTTCTACGCCGAGTGCCGGGCGTACGCGCGCATCGCGTCCAAGAAGCGAAAGCGGCCCATCGCCGTCGCCTGCCACGGCTTCGTCAGCATCCCGGCCAAGCAAGAAGCCGTCCTCGCCTGGCGGTTCGGCATTGCCGACTGGAGCCGGCCCGAAGAGCAGCTCTCCCTGCCCCCGGCGCAGCAGCAGCCGCTCCGCGGGCTGGTCAAGGACCTAGTCGAGGCAGATCCTGAGGTCACGGAGGCATTGGTCAAGGCGATGCGCCGCGAGCTCAAGGCGCTGAATAGCCTGCGGATATATGTCATGGATGTCAGGTGGGACAACTACAAGGGCGGCCATCTGGTGGATTTCAGCTCGGCCTGGACCGAGCCGCATTTCGAGTTCCGCAGGGACGTCAACTCCAAGGAGGACATCGAGCTCAACCGGCAGGTTGACCTGCAAGCTTTTGACAAGATGGTGGGCGAGCTGGGTATGGAGGGATTAGCCAGGGCCAAACCAGACTCTGCCGTGAGTTCACGGCTGCGGCATCGACGGGGCAGAGAAGGGTGATAAACAAGCTCAATGAACGACAGGTGGCACTAACTAGGTGCATTCCCCTTGACCTCTGTGCGTCGTATATATGTCTCAGTAAGTAATTACTATTATATGCAGTCACTTAACCCCCATTAGTCGCCCCCTTATGAGTTAGCGCCAGGTAACAACAATTGGGCCACGGACCAAGTGGAACAGCGTATCCATGGCCGTCATAGACCAGAATAAACCCATGGCGACTTCGCCATGAGGATAACGCTAATGGGAACTATGTACCGAAGCAGAGATCAAATAGCGGAGAATAGAGTGCTGCAACGGAAACGTGCGTTTACGTGTTCTAGTAAAAGGTAGTAAAAGGAGCAAAGACAAAAGAATAATAGTGTTATCCGCCAACCCTCTAAAATGAAGCCACTGGGCTTCATCGGCCATTGGGGCTTCTCCGTTGCTGTGTTATGCAGAGAGTAGGCCACGGATCACGTGTCACATGCATTTGACTGCCCATGCATGGTGTGCCTAGACTTGGACCATGGTCTAAGAATGCGGGGGTGGGAGCGGGAGCCTGGCTTCGTCAGAAGTTGGTATCGCGTTGCCAGCCAGGTTACAGCCCGTGCTTGAGCCGCCGTTCTCTACAGACCACATTCTTATACCCGCTACTGCCGAGCGAACTATGAGCGACACATCACAGCGAAAAGCACAGGTAGTGCTTGCACCATCCCGTCCGGCTGTCACGGGGAAAAAGTCCGTGTTCCTTGCCGGGACGACGAGCAGAACGGGCGGGCCGGAATGGCGGGATGTCCTCGCTGATGCACTGGCTCACCTTCCCGTGACCATCTTCAACCCCCTCCGGCACGACTGGGACAGCACGTGGCGGGAAGATATCGACTTTGCACCCTTTCGAGAGCAGGTCGAGTGGGAGCTGGACATGCAGGAACGGGCCGACGTGGTTGTCGTCTACTATGGGCCAGCAACAGACGCACCTATCAGTCTCCTGGAGCTGGGGCTCTGCGCACGCTCAGCCAAGGCCATTGTTGCTTGCCACAAGGACTACAGGAAGAGGGGCAACGTCTATATTGTGTCCCAGAGGTTGGGAATAGAGTTCCTGGACGCCGAAGACGACCTCGCAGCCTCGGTCATTAACAGGCTCAAGCTACTCCTGGCCCAAGGTGACAGCGCTTGAGTCGCCTCGGGGCCATTTCACCGGCCGGGTAAGAAGACTTGCACCCAGTGTCCAAAACCGAGCATCCACATCTGATTCAAAGGCGAGGTGGAAAGACCCAGAGCATTTGTGCCAGATGTGAGCAGCGCCACGAGCCAGAAGGTCCCGTCAGCGGCCCAATCTTAACCCGAAGTCTCGCATGCTACCAGTCGCGAGCGAAACCGCGATTGGGACACCTTGTACACTGTAATATGGGGGAGAAGGTTTTTGCGAATTTATCTTTGCGGCCCGGCACTCGTCGGTTCCCTGCGTCGGGCGCGTTGGAGGGTGGACTCGGCATCGTCAGGCAGATCGAATCGGAAAATAGGGTATTTGGGAGTCGAGGCAAAATAGAACAGGTTCGATGACACCAAACGTTACGTTTGTGCTGCTCTGACACCGTGGCGCTGTTTCGAGACGTTGGGGTCAGCAGGGTCAGCACAGAAGAGTCACGTCCGCAATCAGCGCCGCAGCGCTCTGTCATTGTCATCGCAATTGCGACGCGACGGGGCAGTTGACTCGATCAATTGTTTGCGCTTCGGGTCAAAAACTGGCTTCCTGTAATATCCGCAGCAGATCTTGGCAATTCGAATCTTTGGCAATTGCAAACGAGCGAAAGGTAATTCGGACCGGGCGGCGGCGCGTGTCGCGAGAACGAGATTGAAAGGCTGCAAAACTCGAACAGGAGCTTCAGGACGCGCGACAGACGATGCAGCTCCGATTGACCCCAAATTGAGGCTTGACGGCAGGGCTTGCGCCACAGTGTGGTGGGGAATATCGGTTGAGTGCGACAAGCTTTGACTCTGCTGTGCCGCCCCGCCTCTGAGCAATTCATTGGAGCAAAATTGCGAAACCAACGTTCCTTGACTCATCTCCAAACGGCCACGCTGACCTCTATATACAGCGGCAGCTCTCTAAACTGTGGCCCGCGGCTGAATGCGCTCCTTTAATAGTGTCCGCCGCTTCTTCTTCTTCCATTCTTTCACTGCCAGGCCAGTTTTGCACCAGACCCCGCTCCAGCTCCAGCTGCCGCGGGCTTGCTCCTCAATGGCGCCCATCGTCGTCCACAACTCGCTGAAGCCCGGCGCGCCGGTGCCCTTTGTGCCCAAAGACGAAGGCAAGGTGTCCTGGTACGCTTGCGGCCCCACCACGTACGACCTGAGCCATCTCGGCCACGCCCGCAACTATGTCTCGACCGACATCATACGCCGAGGTGAACCATCAACCCAAGGCGCATGTCTTGGTCTGTCAGCTGGCTAACAACTGACCTCCCATCCGCACAGTCCTGATGCACCACTTTGGGTTTAAAGTCAACTTTGTTGTAAGTGACTGCCGCCATTCATCTCAAAATCAAGAACAGCGCTGACCCCCAGGCGTAGATGAACTACACCGATATAGATGACAAGGTTCGTTTTCAACTGCGTGACAGGTGCTGTTCTCGATTGCCTTGGCTTAAACTTGTCCCAGATTATCATCAAGGCTCGGAGGAATCGGCTGCTCGAGCTCGAGAAAGACAAGCCCTACAGCCCTGAGCAGATTCGCGGTCTCGTATTCAAGACTTTCGTGGCGTATGCGGACAGCAACTTGCCTCTCCTGCTATCCGCAGGTGATGCGGCAGGACTGGACGAGAACAACTACCAAGAACGAAAAGAGACGGCCTATGGCCATGTCCTGGCAGGCGGCACCCTCTCGGGGGAGGGCAAGCCCAGCGATCCCGAGGCAAAGGTGAAGATGCATCTCAACAACATGGATTCCGCAGCCCAGTCTCTGAAAGCGGGAAGCTCATTTGAAGGCGCCGAAGAGATCCTCCTCCCGTACCTCGACTCGCTCTACAAGGAGACACTCGACACCAGTGACCAGACCATCTTCACCAATCTTACGCAAGCCATGGAGAGAGCCTTTCGCGATGACATGGAGGCCTTGAATGTTCTGCCGCCGGATGCCGTGACTCGCGTGACCGAATATGTGCCGCGGATTGTCACTTTCGTCGAGCAGGTTATCAAGAAGGGGTTTGCGTACGAGGCCAGTGGCTCGGTTTACTTCGATATCGCGGCATTTGAGAAGGCCGGCAATACATACGCCCGGTTGCGCCCAGAGAGCAAGAATGACAAGTCGCTGCAGGAGGAGGGCGAGGGCTCCTTGTCAAAGACGCTTGAAGGGAAAAAGCGGTCGGGCGATTTTGCGCTGTACGTTGAATTCCGTGACCGCGTTAGGGGTAATACTGACTGAGCCGCAACATAGTTGGAAAAGATCAAAACCCGGCGAGCCCTGCTGGCCGAGTCCCTGGGGCGCGGGTCGGCCTGGCTGGCACATTGAGTGCTCTGTCATGGCGTCCGATAAGCTTGGTGACCAAATGGATATCCATTCTGGCGGTATCGACTTGGCTTTCCCCCACCACGACAACGAGCTGGCGCAGAGCGAGGCCTACTTCCACGAATGCGACAAGGGCGAGCACACGTGGGTCAAGTACTTTTTGGTAAATCCAACTTCTTCGGTTGAGAATTCGCGGCGTGGATGACAGCTAACTCGTCGTTCCAGCACATGGGCCACCTCTCCATTTTAGGTACGTGTTGAATTGTTTCCTCGCAATTAATCTGGACCGGCTCTGACCTTTCAAAAGGGAGTAAAATGTCGAAGAGTTTGAAGAATTTCCAGACGATTCAAGACGCACTTGCCACGACGTACACGTCGCGGAATATGAGGATCGTGTTCCTAATGGGCCGGTGGAACGACGGCGTGGAGATATCGCCCGACATGCGGAAGCAGGCCGATAACTGGGAGACCACGCTTGATGTGAGTGTTTGATCACAGAGTCGCGCGGAACATCGCTAACAAAATCTAGAATTTCTTCACTAATATCAAGGCGAAGCTGTCTGAGGCGGCCGGGATGCTAACGGACGGGGTCAAGGATCTCTCATTGGCTGCCACTAAAGGGGGTTTGTTCGAGGAACTGAAGCAGGCCAAAACCGACGTGGATGCGGCGCTCAGGAACTCTTTTGACACTTTCACCGCCATGCAGATCATCCTCAGGCTTGTCCGTGATGCCAACATCCACATGAACGACAGGGCTGCAGAGCCCAACCTGCAGGCGGTCGAGGCGGTTGCGCGATGGGTGACCAAGATTGTGGGTGTATTTGGACTTGACGCCGGCGCTGCGCCGCCCTACGAAGGTCTTGGATGGACTTCTGCCAGCTCGGCGGCTGCTGCCAATGTGGACCCGCAAACTGCCGTTAAGCCGTACGCCACCGTATTCTCCAAAGTCAAGGGGGAAGTAGAAGCCTTCGGCCTTTCAGACACCTCGGTCCAGACCCTTCTCGAGCAGCAGGCGCCGGAGAGCGAATTCACAGAGCTGGAGAAAGCCGGCGAGCGGGATACGGAGAGGCTGGCCCTGCCGTTTATCCGAGCGACGTCGCGTCTGCGCGATGAACTGCGGGCAATTGTTTCGTCTGCAACCCCCCTCGAGCCCAAAACCAAGCAGGCCGTCCTCGCCCTCAGCGACCGCATCCGTGACTATGACCTCACTGACCTCGGCGTCCAGCTAGACGACCAGACAGACAAGCCGAGCTTGGTCAAGTTCGTGCCGGCCGCTAAGCTCATTGCGGCGCGCGAAGAAAAGGCGGCGCTGTTGGCCGAAAAGGCGAGACAGAAAGAAGAGGGTAAGTTGCATCCTCTCTCACTCCCCCCACCCAAGGTAACCCAAAGTGAGGTCATTGCTAACTGTCTGATTCTTCCTTTTCTCCAAACAGCGCGGAAAGCCAGAGAGAAGGCTGACGAGGAGAAGTGGGCCAAGGCCAAAGTGACCGCGCAAGACTTGTTCCGGAGCGATGCGAAATACCAGGAGTGGGATACTCAAGGGCTGCCGACCAAGCTGGCCGACGGCAATGCGGTGCCCAAGAGCCAGCTCAAAAAGCTGACCAAGGAATGGGAGAAACAGAAGAAGCTGCATGAGGAGTATCTCACCAAGTTCGGCCCCGGGGCTTAATTCGAGCTTTTTTTTCTTACTCCTGAGTGCAGCTTTTAGAGTGGTTTGATTAAACGGCGGATGGGCTTGCACCATCACGTTTTGGACTTGAATATCCTTAACAAACAGTTTTTACAAGAGTTTTCCCTCTGGGCCCTTGTCTTTATTGCTTGTAGTTTTGGTGGAATTTTGATTCTTGTGATGGACATGATAGATGTGGGAAAAGCTTGAATAGTTCAAATACTTGCGTGTGTACCAATAATGAGTCCTATAATTGTGAAATACTTAGGTAGTCTTTGATCCAAGTGTTGCAAGTGGTCAGGGTTAGAGAGAGCTCGAATTGAAATGGCTAAAGTACTGATGGATATCAAAATTCGCACTAGTTCCAACTGAATGAACGACTACTTTCCTTTTCTTCCTTTTTGTTCCCATTCTCTTCCTCGGAAACAGCAGCGTGTTTTACAATCTTCTCGCATCCGGCAAGTAATTACTGATGGGACAGGCAGCAGTCCCTTTCACCACACAAGAACCTCTTACGCACGGGAAGCAGGACAGAACAAGACGGTGGGCATATTGAGAAGGGGCAGACAAGGCAGGGGCAGGGGGGGGGTATGGTGATGGTTACATAATTTGGTAAACACACACAACAGCCAAACAAGCAAGCGACAGACTGCGACATGGCCAAAGAGGAAGACGAGGCAACTACTTGGGCGCAGGCCCCTGCAGCAGCGGCTCGAAGCTGGCGTCGCGCGGCAGGGCCGGCAGGATCTGGCTGACCCAGGCGATGATCTGCGGGGCGCCAAAGGTGATCTTGCAGCCAGTGGCCGTGGTGGTCATGCTGAAGTCGGACGACGACGACGACGAGTGGAAGCTGGCCGAGGCGCTAAAGGGGCCCCAGCCAACGCTGGCGCGCGACGACGTGCTGCTCGAGTGGAAGTGCTGCTCGATGTGGCTCGTGTCGCCCGTGAACTCGATCTCGGTGTTGCACGCCAGGATGAACGCCGTCGGGTACGACGGGAATACGTTGTACATGGCCAGCGACTTGATGTTCTTGGGGTCCTTGCCCTGCGCCTCCATCCACGCGTGCAGGAGTTCGGGGCCGGGGGAGAGACGTGCGTCGCCGCCAATGTCGATCTCGAAGTCGTTGAACAGCTCGCCGTACAGCCACGGCCGGTCGATGTTGACGACCATGGCCGAGAAGTTGAGCGACACGGCGCAGTTCGACATGTCCTGCCGCATGTTGGACGTGCTCTCGTCGTGCGAGTACGACCCGCCGCCCGAGAACAGGCCCCACCCGCCGCCGCCGCTGACGCTGAAGCCCCACGAGGACTCGTCCGTGTGCTTCTTCTGGTCGGCCGACGAGAAGGACAGGCTGATGTTGGTCCACGGGTCGAGCGGCGCTTTGACGGGCGGCGTGGTGCTGCCCGGCAGCGGCAGGTTGAAGATGGGCAGCGCCAGCTCCGCGTCCTTGGCCGGCACGTTGTTGCCCGACGTCGGTTCGGTGTTGGGGTCGGCGTTGGGGTCGGTCGCCGTCGGCGTGCTCGTCGCGCTGATGATGGGCACGATGGCCCCCTGGTTCAGCAGCGGGTCTTTGAGCAGCGCCTGCAGCTTGGTCAGCTGGTCGGCCACGCGGTCGAGCAGCGTCTGGATCGTGCCCTGGGCGTCTGTTTCAGAGAGGGTTTAGTTAGCTTTGCCACCAATTATTGCGGGATCAAGCGAGACGAGACAAAACTTGCCTGTCTCGGGCTGCGACAGCTCCCACTTGACAATCTCGGAAGACTTGGCCTCCCACTTGGCAATCGCCTGGGTGAGTTTGTCGCGCTTGTCGTTGAGGTCGACGCTGTTGTCGCCGCCGTTGGCCTTGCCTTGGGCCTGGTACAGGTCCGAGTAGGCTGTGGTCAGGCCAGCCTGCTCCGTGGTGATGTCGGGCTTGGAGCCGACGTTGTCCTTGGGATACGTGGGTGGCGAGGCCGTGACTTCCTGGATTTGTTATGAGCCCCTGACACTACGAAACGAGAATCGTTGGAATCTGGGCTTCCACTGACCGTCTTGAGCGCGTTCAGCGACGCCTCGAACTCGGTGAGCCGCGAAATCTCCGACGTGACCTGGTCCCGCGTGAACGCCGGCCGGCCCGTCTTGAAGCCCTCGACCTTGTCCCTGCAAAGACTCGCCCTGTGCACGCGGTAAGCGACTGGGCTCTTGTCCCCGCGCTGCGGCTTTGCTTACCAGGTCTTGGGAGTGAGGTTGACCTCCTGCAGCTCATTGGCGCCATCGGCGTCGACGATGGTAGAATTTCTCATCGATTGCTGGTTCGACAGCTTGTCAGCCCCTGTTTCAAACTGCACAAGAGGCTGCAGGCCAAAATCCTTTGGCGCTGTTCACTTACCTTGCTGCTTTCAATGCGGCCCATGATCGAGTCGACGTCTACTAGTCCTGATTGCGGCTGCAACATTAGAGGCGAGGCTTTCACACAACAGACAAGGTGTCTCAGCTGCGAGAGTGGGGCGACGTACCAAAGTTGTACTCGACATTGTACTTGTTTCCGTTGGTGACCCAGTCCATCCAACGGGCTTGGGTGTCCTCTTTGAACTAATTGATTACCGCCGTGTGTAAGCAGGAAACTTACAAGGTAGTCCGAATTCAAGCACAGCGGGTCAGGGTAGGTACTTACCCGTCGGTAATGGGTCTGGGCCCAGTCATTGTACTGTTGCACGGCAGCGGTATTGTCGTTCTTGTTCTGGTCAGTGGCGTCCTCTGGCAATGCTGGTCAGCCTCACACAATCTTGCATGATAATGCCGCATTGGATTTGAAGAAACAAGTGTCAGAGGAGAGTGCATCTTACGTCTGGCCTTGGCCTTGGCCTCGTCCCAGGCGTCCTGGGCGGTGGCCCAGGCGATCTGCTTCTCAATATACACCTCGACGGGGGTCTTGCCCGTCTTGGTGTCGGGCTTGGTCAGGTACTTCATGGCGTCGTCGTACGACTTGTCGCCGGGGCTGCGGATGCGGTTGCCCTCGGTGCTGACGGTCGCCTTCTTGGGCACTAGGTAGTCGAGGGCCGACGCGTAGCTGCGCGCGACGCTCTTGCCCGTGTTGCCGATCTGCGTCGCCACGTTTAGTCGAGGCTTTTGTTTCCTCTCGCCTTCAGAGATAGATAGACAGAAACACGTACCATGATGCTGGCGAGCGGCATCATCGAGTCGACAAGCTTGGCCTCGGCCTGGCGGACCTGCGTGGGCGTGAACGGGTTGGTGACGGGGTCGTAGACATAGCTGCCGCCCTTGGCGATGTCGGCAACGTCGATGACAGTTCCCGGCAGCGACAGCGTCATGTACTGCTCGGGGGCCACGGGGAGCGCGTTGACCAGCGCCTGCCGGACGAGCGTCGACACGGCAGCCGTCTCCTCGAGCGCCTGCTTCCGCTGGGCCGCCTGAGTGTCCTGGACGTTTCCGCCGCCTGTGTCGGCCATATTGTCAAGTGTTGATGGTGCTAGGGCCTGAGGTAGTATCAGAGGCTCTGGGACCTGAGGGACCAAAAGCTCTCGCACTTGAGGTGGAAGAGACTCTGGTATGTGGGGAAGCTGGGGTTCCGGCACTTGTGGTGTCAGAGGCTCCGCTATTTGAGGTAGCAAGGGTTCTGGCACCTGAGGTGCTGGGATCTTAGGCTCTGGGGGTGTCAGAGGCTCTGCTGCCGGGGATATCAAAGGGCCTGACACAGAAGGGACGGTTGAGGTCTCAGGCTCTTGGGGCGTAAGGGGCGGCTGCTGCACGTGTGATGCTGGGGGTTCAGGCACTTGGGGAGGCGTGAGAGGTTCTAGAACCTGCGGCAACAGAGGCTCTGATTCTTGAGGCGTCGGGGGCTCCAGGACGAGAGAGGCCCGAGGTTCCGGCACTTGGTGTGACGGAGGTTCGGGGGTTTGAAAAAGACGGGAGACGGAAGTCACTAGTCAACAAGAGTCAAGGAGTTCAGAAAAGGTGTTTGGGGCGGTCATGGTTTCTCTCGAGAGCTATCCAAGGGGCCGTGACAAAACGACGTCGAGGGCCCGGGGCGGCAATATGTACTGGGTCGATGAAGCGCCGGTGCGCGCCCTGGCGCCCCCTATTCCTGTTCTCACCATCTGCAGTCAACAGCTCGTCTCGCTAAAAGGCAAGCAAGGCCACGATTCCCGGCTAGCCCTGCCAGGCCGGATCCAGCTAGCCCTACCAGGCCGGATCCAGCTAGCCACCTTGCTCCGACCGAGCTGAAGATGGAGCCCGGAGGCCGTCTAGCAACGTTGGGCCTGGCTCAGTGGCTCGCAGGTCTGGATGGCGGCCGCTAGAGACGCTGTCCAGGGCCCAGCCCAGACATGTTGCATGGTGGCGTCTGGCCAGACTGCAGCGGCTGAGCCACGCGCTGCCGTTTCTGGGTCGTGTATCGATAGTCTCGCCGGGCTTTCCCCGCAGGCAGCCGGGGTTTTTGGTGGCCTGCAGGGCCGTAAGGCTGAGGACGGGGAGGGGGTGCGTGCTCCTGCAGTTCTGATTCGTCTGCTCGGCCCAATCTCACGGGTAGAGTCTAGTGTGGTCGACGAGCCACGAAACTAGCAAATGAAAGGGCGGCCAGACGCGGGGGGCTTCTCTCTTCTGTCTCTCAAGTCTCAGCCAGTCCAACCAATTACCTCGAGCCACAGCACTCTGGGGAGGAAAACCGTTGATGTGGGCGGGGATATGATGTTGTCATTTTGTGCCGTCTGACTGGGCGAACCACAGACTCGGAATGCTACCCTGGCCCAGTCTTTCTGCCGACTAGCAAATAAGGCGTTCAATACACTTGGCGAGACGGGCGAGACGGGCGAGACGGGCGAGACAGACGGAAGCAATGGTCCTGCCGGCCCTGCACTCGCCTGTCTCTGCCCCATCTGCAACGCAAGCAGCACACGCCGTCACACCTAATTCGAAGGGCTCACCGGTTCACAGCGGCTAGTAGGTGCAAAGAGAATGGTTGGAAAGGAAAGAGAAATAGCCAATGGGAATTGCCCTAGCTAGCATGTGTGGTTACCTGGTAAGACTTTCTTCTGCTCTGGCGCAGTTCATGTGAGGGAACCTAGAGTGGCACCGGCAGGGCGCCGTGCGCAGGTGCGGGATTCGTTTTGCTCGCCTTTTCTCTCCTGCCTCTCTTTACTCCTCACCGGCGGCCGGAGTAGCAGCAGCAAAGAAGGCGTCGGGGAGCTGCCAAGCGGGGTCAAAGTCTTGCATGACCTGCACCGTCCGCATTACCACGTCTGGGGCATACGCAATCTGCAGCATTTCCTTTGTCGATTCTGAGGAGGCGTAATTACACCAGTCTGTTAGTCTGCCTTGCTGTCGCCACCAAAAAGCGCCCGGCTTGCGGGTGCAACTGCAAAGACGGAGGTTGCAAAGACGGAGCACGTACTGGGAATCGGCTGCCCCTCCAAAAAGTCGAGCAGCTCTTCGGGCGCCTCCTCGTCGAAGCCGTAGTTGCTCATGATCTGGATGGCCGACGCCCTGCCCCTGCGGATCGTCTCGTAGAGCACGAGGCGTTCTCCAATCTGCGACGCGTCCGTGACGCCGTGCAGAGCAAGCCCGAGGGCCAAGCCGTCCTCAATCCCTTGGGCTCCGCCTTGGGCGTGGTCTGCAGCCAGCGAAGACGGTCAGCAGCGGCTTCTGCCTCCCTCCGGTTTCTTTTTCCTATATCGGGCAAACCTACGGGGTAGCATTGGGTGTGCAGCGTCGCCCGCGAGCACCATCCGGTCCTTGTGCCAAGTCGAGATGGGCGGCCTGTAGAGCAGCGGCCAGCGCTTCACCTCGGTGGCCTTGCTGTTTGGCGAGCGGCCGGCGATGGCGCTGTGTCAGCCAGCCATACCATTCGGAAGATGGATTGTGGCGCGACTCACTTCATCACGGCCAACAGCTTGGGGTGGAAGTTGGACCACTTGTCCAACACCTCTGACTTGTCGACCGACGCAAGCCAGTCTGAGATAACGTGTGCGCGAATCAGCGAGTGTCATGGAAATTGCCTGCGAGCAGCTGCGTGCATACCTTCTTGGCTCGACACCACCTGCTCATCGCGGATGATGTTGATGAAGTTCAAGACCTCGTAGCTGCACAGGTTTGCTGTCAGACTTCCGAAACATGCATGATAACGGGGCAAAACATACTTTCGGCAAGGATAAGAGATGACCCTCTTCTTCCCCGCGATGTCAACCCATAGCCTGCAGCCGCGGGACCGCCAGTCTTCGTTGAAGAAGCGCGTGTCGGGGTCGTCGTCGACGCTCGTCTTTGGGATCAGGAAGCGGTAGCAGAGATTGACTTTTGGAAACGACGGCACCTCGGAAGAGTTAGGGCGGCCGAGGACGTGCTCGACGCCGATCGAGTGCACACCGTCGGCCGCGACAACGAGGTCGGCTTTTACGATGGCTCCGCTGGCGAGGGTGATGGATGGTGTTTCCGTGTCCTTTTACAAGAAGTTAAGGAAGCCGGACGTCAGCGAAACAAGCTCATCGCAGTTTGCTTGGCGCGAACATTGGCAAGCCACTCCCGTTGGCAAACTATGCTGACTGCGGAAGGAGCTTGCCCGCCTGCTCGCCTGCGTGCTTACATAGCTGCGGACCTCGGACCTGAGGTGGATCTCTGCCGGGAGGCCCGGCCCGCTGGGATCGGTGGCCAGCTCTCGCAGAGCCTCGACCAAGTCCACTCGGTGCGCGTAAAACAGGGGTGCCCCGAACAGCTCCGTGTTCCGCGAGTGGTCCGTAACTGCGGGCAGCGGTTCCAGTGTCTCATGCGACATAAAGTACATGCCCGGCGTCTTTACAAAGCGGTGCCGCACGGGGTCGAGGCCCCACGGAATCAGGAAGCGGGCAACATTGGGAGGCACATTGATGGCCGCCCCGACCTCGTTGGCGAGGGACGACCGCTCGTAGATGGTCACCCGGTGTCCGCTACGCCGAAGGGAGATGGCGGCCGCCAGCCCGGTTATGCCGGCACCTACGATGGCGATATCCATGTCGGCGAAGGCTTGGTGTTCTGGCCGTGTTACATGACTGAGGGGCGGGGTCGGAAGCAATTGTAGATGCCGCGTGGGACCAGACCACGTTTGGAGTGAGGCCCAATCATGTGCAACAGCAGACAGCGGAGGCCTTGCTGTAACAGCGCCGAGAGGGAGCCCAAGCCACAAACACGATAAGAGGGCAATTGGAAGCGCGTCGGCCGTCAAGGCAGAAGCGAAGGGGATAAATCCCAAAGCCACACTGATATGCATTGCAACACCTGATATGTACCCATGAAATATGGCAGTTTCTAAACCACTTATTCCTTTTACAACATGCAAAACCATCCCTCAAACTTCATTGGGGCGCGGGCGCTGGCTGCTTCTCAGCCACTACCCCGGCCCTCTTGTTCCGGAGTCTCTCAAATAGGGTAGCGAGTCGGCCTTTAAGCCTCTGCCCGGCAGCCTTTAGGTTGCTCTCGGGCCCCTCGTCGGCAGCGACAAACCTTCTCACTAAAATGTTAAACATGCCACCGAATGCCAGGGCGATAGCCGTCGACGTGAAGATGATGACGTTGTACGGCATACTGAAGTCGGGTGTGGGCAGGCTGCACAACAGCGACGTTGTACGGAGGTTGTACGCTGCAAAGCGCGGGCTGCTCTTGTCGCTGTTGAGAATAGTGATTACTGCAGCGGCCACGTCGAACCCGCGGTTTGCGTCGGGTGGGTACTCCGTGTACCGCAAAATGGACTTCTCAAAGTCGTAGGTAAGGAAGACGGTCGACGCAGGCGGGATGCGCATGCGCACCTCGAGCTGCGTCCCCCGCGCGCGGTCCAGCGCCGGGCGGTAGTAGACTTCTTCGATTAGAGAGTTGCTGCTGTTGTGCCCGTAGCTGCCCTCGATGCGCGCATCCATGGTGTGCAGGTAGATACGCATGAACCACGGCAGCGACTCCATGTAGATAAACTCCACCTCGTTGTCTGGGCTTGGATTCCGCAGCATTGTCTGGACGCCACCGCGCTCCTGCCCATGGCCCGTAAAACTGCGCTCGGCATACAGTAGAGGCGTCTTAGACTTGACGAGATCCGACGTCACTTCGATTTGGCCGTTACCCTCTTCTCCCTCCTTTTGTTCAGGACCCGGAAGGCTGAGGTTAAAGTCGACCTCGGGCGGAATATCGAAGCACCGGGACATACCGTCCGGGTTCTTCTTCTCCACCACGCCATGCGAAACGAAGACAGTGCGGGAGTCGGGGACGTTGAGGCATACAGGAGGAACGCCCGGGTCTGTGAGGGGGCAGGGCCTCTCGATGGTCTTGCCAAAGAGCTGGGAAAGCGACCAGTCTTGGCTGGTGCTATAATCGGCAGGAAAGCACGTGTCATCTGCGTGGTAGGGCTTGGATGTATCGCACTTGAGTTCGTGGCCAGGGGCCGGCCTAGGGATGGGGTTGTCTGGGACGGGAGTAAGTATCTGTCAACTTGCGTTGTTGGGGAGGGCCAGTATTACCCCTTGGTCTCTTGGATCTTTCAATGTCGAGGACCATGTCAATAGTCTGCTCAATCTCCAGCCTACATCCCTGTCCGTCAGGACACACTGGCCGGACGTCGATGGCCATGCTCTGCCAGGAAGCATCAAACAGCTTGTGGCCGTCGAGCAGTGTTGCAATGCCCGCCTTGCTCTTGCAGGGCAGGAGCTTCAAGAAGGGCGTCAGGTTCTCAGTGCACACGACCTCGTGGGGAAGCACGCCGTAGAGCAGATGCATATTATTTACGGTCGAATTAGGGTGGTCGCCCTCGGGCTGAAAGGACATGACGGGTCGCGTGGTTCGGGTGCCATCGATGAAGTTGAGCGAGGCGCAAAAGAGGCCCGACAGGGCGTTCGTGAGCGTCAGCCATTTTTGGTCTGCCCTGTTACCCAGATTCAATCATCAGCACATCAATATTTAGGCGTGCCACCTTCTCGTAGGGGGTCCATACTCTTCGTCCGTCTCGGCCTCGAGCCAAGCCCACAGCTCGACGCCAGTGCCGCCCTCGCGAGCACCATCCCACGGCCGGGCGCCCCAGCTCTCGGCATCCCAACGTCCCAGAGTAAACCTCAGGTGCAGCTCGCGTGTGTCGGCATGTTGCAAGATCTGGCCGAGCGATCGGGGGAAGAAGCGGAAGTTGTGCGCCTCGAAGGCCGAGAGGGCGGTGCTGGAGCGGAAGTTGAAGCTGGCGAGGAGGGCTGACAGAGGCAACGGTTGGAGCACGAGCTGCTCGTGGTATACGGACGACGCGGAAGCAAAGTTCAAAGAGAGTAAAGCGAACAGGAAAAAGGAAAAAATTCGATGCATGGTTCCCCCTCCGTCACCGCGATCTGTCCATTGGGATGAGTCTGGTTGTCTCGACTGGGACTGGCGATCGTGACAGGAGATGGAACTGTGAAACTCCAGCGCATTTCGAGGCTGCGCTGCGGCCAGAACCAGAACCCCGTATCCAGGGCCGCCCGTACCTAGCCACTTCAGTCTCCACTTCTGTTCTTTCCAGGGTACCAGGCCTACAGGCAGCATCCAGCACCCTAGACATTTATGGGCCCAAAAACGCTACTTGTGTCTTGTCGATCTTGATGTTCCTGGCCCGTGCGTACAGTGCCTTGGCGGAAATCTTGGGCAATCACTCTACCCTCAGATTTTGCTCACCTTGCCAGGACAGTGCGAAGTAACTTTATGCTTTTAGCGCACTACTCAAGGACTTTGCAGGCATAAATATTTTGTACCCCTCCAAATCCGCACCTTCTCCACCCCACCTTGCAACCTGCAACCTTTCGTCCCGCAAGGTTCCTTCCCCGAGACCCTGACCTTCTCTGCAAAGTAGCCTGGCACAACGCGCGCGCGGCTTTGATCGCGAATAATTTCACGTCGTCCAACCAAAGCTTCACTCCCGACAAGGCACATTCCCTACACACTCTCCCCCCCAAATTCACAAGGAATCACATCAATCATGGCGGCCGAGCAACGAAAGTTATTGGGTAACCAAGCCTTCTCTCTCCTCTCCCCCCACCTCTCCCAACTCCCCAGAGAATGATGATGCTGACGGCGCTGCTGCTGAAGAGCAGCTCATGGGCGGAGGAATGGCGTCGCGCAGCGCGCAGCTGTCGCTGACCGACCAGAAGGTCTGCCGTTCGTACCTGGCGGGCACCTGCCCGCATGACCTCTTCACGAACACGAAGCAGGATCTGGGCGCGTGCCCCAAAGTTCACTCGGAGGCGCTCAAGGCCGAGTACGAGGGCCTGCCCGAGGCGGAGCGCAAGCGCATGGGGTTCGACTTCGACTACTGCAAGGACCTGCAAAAGTACATTGACGACTGCAACCGGCGGATCGAGGCGGCGCAGCGGCGCCTGGAGATGTCGCCCGAGGAGATCCGGCAGACGAACGAGCTGCTCGCGTCGATCTCGGACCTCGGCACGTCGATCGCAGTCGGGCTGATGGAGGTCGAGATCCTGGGCGAGATGGGCGAGGTCGGCCGCGCGTACGACGACTTCTTCCGCATCAAGCAAATGCAGGTGCTCAAGGCGGACAAGGAGCGCGAGCTCAAGGCGCTGACCGACACGTCGGGCCCGTCGGGCCACCAGAAGCTGCAGGTGTGCGACGTGTGCGGCGCCTACCTCAGCCGCCTCGACAATGACCGCCGCCTGGCCGACCACTTCTTCGGCAAGATGCATCTCGGCTACGCCCAGATGCGCAAGACGTACGACGCCTTCCCCAAGGAGGTGCGCGGCGGTGGAGGCGGACGCCAGCGGCCCCCCCTCGCCATGAACGACCGCGACGAGGACATGGGAGGCGTGCCCACTGGCCCCGGCGGATACAATGACGGCGGATGGGGCAAGGGCCCACGAGGCCCACGCAGCGGCGGCGGCTTCCGTGGAGGACGCGGCGGCGGCCGACGCGGCGGATGGTAAGCGGCACACATTCTGGGAGGATATAGCTCTAGCATTGGTACAAGGCGTTCTAGGAGTTTTGGCGTGGCACACGGGAAAGGAAGGAAAATTTACACTGAAATGGGAATCACGGCTTGGGATTATTGGTCTTGGGGGCGTTGTACAAAAGACTGCTTTCACTGCTCGTCTTCATTTTCACGAGAACCACCTACTTTAGTGATGCCTCAAGGGGCCAATTAAGACAATGAGAACCGCGTCTTCTGGCGCCGACCGTATTACGGAACATTATGGGCCTCTCCAACAACAGGTGTGCTAGGAAAGTGGAAGTCCTGAATGTATTCGCTGCTGGCTGTTGCTATGTAACACGCCTCCACAAATTAGAGCACGAGAAGATAACGGAAACAACGCTAGGGACCTACAGCCCATATTCCCCTCCACTAACGCCACCTTATTCTTCGACAGATTCCAGAAGGGAAGCCCAAGCCGAGCACGCCACACGAAGCTTGTGCACAGTTACAGCAAAGACAGACCAAACTCTGCAGTATCCGAGTTAGAAGCATCCTCCATTGTAACGTCCTCGAACACGCGATCCTCGACCTCCGGGGTAGGGGCATCCCTAGGGACGCCGCCCCGACCTCAGAGATGCGCTAGACAACGGGCCGGAAGATGCGCATACAACGCGGCGTTAGGAACAAAAAGCAACACGGAAGGGTAGAAAGGACATGTATATGCTAGATTTGTCAAGTAGGCGTTGATAGCAGACGACGGCCTAAAGGCGTCGAGCGGAGGTGGTGGACATGGACCGGCGAGTTGGTTCGCGGATCCCTTCACCGATTCCACATCGAACTGTTGCGAAGGTCCTGGGGATGGCGAAGCGAAACTCGGACCAAGCGTCTTGTATTCCAGGACAAACTTCTCACCGCCTACGTCCATGTTCTGGCCCAGGTCCTTTGTAAAACTCTTGAACTCGTGGAGGCGCAAAGGATTGTGTCCTCTCATCCTTTTAACACTGTTGTCTATTTTTTGATACCCTTCTAGTACTCAGATATTGCATATTCCGCTTGACTTCTCAGGAACTGCCTTTCCTCTTCTTCAGAGTCCACTTCGTCCTCAGAGCCCACCTCCTCTTCAGAGTCCACTTCGTCCTCAGAGCCCACCTCCTCTTCAGAGTCCACTTCGTCCTCAGAGCCCACCTCCTCCTCAGAGTCCACTATAGTTCGCTAGACAATTCACATTCTTCGGCATCGTCTTGAATTTCCATTAGCCATGGTTCAACTATCATTCTTGTAAACCCCACCATGACTTCCTGTGCTTCGCGTAAAGGTTTTGATATTCCCCCTTTTCGCGTTGTCGTACTTCCCGTTGTCGTGCTTCGTGTTTCTCTGCTTCGTGTTTCTCTGCTTCGCGTTATAGTGCTTCCAGATCCTCTTTTTCACATGTCGCTGCTTCGCATTCCTCTGGTTCGCGTTCCTGGGCTTCACCGAACTCTTCTTCATGTTGCAAGATGTCGGCCCGGCGTTTGCAAGGGCTTTCGTCCTTATTGAAGATAGCCCGGCGTTCGATCTCAAGATCATCTCGGAGGGGTGACCAGGTTCTATATGAAACCTGCGTTTCTGAAGTGATACCGACAGCTTGTGTAACGAACCGGTGAGGAAATTTCCGGGTGGGAACAAAAGTGTCGGATGCCATCTTATTATCAATAAAACCCAAGCCATGCACCGAAGGGCCCCTCGAGCTAGTACTCTTCTATGAGACTGTGTCCGCGGCCGCTACCTCGTCAGCCCACCGGCCTGGCGCTGGAGACAGTGGAATTTCTTCATCGATATTGTTACCAACTTTGGTGGTATCGAGCTGCTTCGGGATGGGTTGAGGCAGTGTGGGGAAGTCTTCGGGCTTTGGGACCGAGCCGGTGGCAGGAGCTTGCGCCTTGCTTTGGTCTTGCAACCCATTGGCTGCATTAGCCCCGAGGCCAGAAGCACCACGGCCGCCTCGCTGGCCAACCCGCCCACCGCGCTCACCGCGGGGTCTACGGTCTCGCGGAGCTCTACCACGCAAGGACACAAGGTCGCCGTCCGGAAAGGAGCTGCCCTCTGTGCTGCCATCAAGTGCGTCCGGAACGGCGTACCGGCTCCCAGCAAGGCCGGAGTTGCGGGTGCCCCGCACGCCTCCATGGGCGCTCCTGAAGCCCCTCTGGTCCTCTTCTCGGATTCTCTCTTCCTTGCCCTCATCCCACCCGCCCTCTTTCATGCCCATAGCATGGAGCTTGCGCTCGCGGTTCTTGGCTCTTTCATTTTCCATGCGGCGCTTATCCTCGTCGGCAAGGCGACGCTTCTGAGCCTCCTCGGCACGGCGTCGTCTTGCCTCCTCCATGCCCTTGGCTAGAGCCACAGCGTGCTCGCTCTCGTCGCGCTGCGTCAGCTCGAAGCGTCGAGTCTTCTCGGCCGACAAGATTCGCATCTGCTCCATCTTAGCAGCTAGCTCCGTCTCCGTGAGCTTAGTGCGAGGGTTCGCGCCGGAGCCTAGCCGCGCGTCTGATGTGGCACTGGCGGTATTCTTGCCGCCGCTATCCTTGTCTTTGTCTCTGTTTGCTGGAGCAGGTTCGTTCGTGGTTACGGGTGATGTTGTCGCTGGAGGCTGTGGTGCGGACACGTTGGCATTAGCGGTGGCCTTGGGCTTCGCTTTGTCGGACGCGGAGGATCTCGGGGGTCTATCGGGACGTTTGTGTCGAGACTGTGCTAGAAACTTGGTTGCTTGGGGTGCAGCCTGGATTGGCTGAGCTGGCTGGGCAGCCGGGGCTTGTTGGGCAGCCGGGACTTGTTGGGGAGCCTTTGTTTCCTGGGTTGTGGACGGAGCGATCGCTTCAGCTTCTGAGCTCACGGAGGTGTCGGCGGCAGCATCAGGAACGGAGGGCTCCACAGCCGCAGCGACAACGGTGACAACCTCCCCAGCAGTCGCAGGCTCAAAGTCGTCCGAGAAGAGGTCGTCATCGGTGCGGCCGCCAAACTGGTCGACGTCCATTGTGGAGATCGGAGATGCGTCGAGCTGAGATGCTAGTGGAACTGCCGTTGGGATATTCTTGGGAATGCTACTCAGACTGAAGCGACAGTAGTGCAGCACCTAAACGAGCGAGTGTAGATGCAAGAATGGGGTGTGGTTTGCGAGACGGAAAAATGATTGTCGGGCAAAAGGGTGAGTTCGTCGCTCGATTCACGAGTGGGGGAGACGCCGTTTCTGGTGAACCGAGTCTGCAGCCGAGAAGGGATTGGCCGCGTCAATGGGGAAGACGCGATCAAGGTGAGCTGACCCCTGTCGCTTTGCGGTAGCGCGATGGTGCCAGCTGTGACCAGCTGCAGTACTTGCTCTCGACAGCTGTTCGCCTAAGTGGGTTAGGCTGAGCCGCGAGAGTTCGGATTGGCCCACCTTACATCATACGCCATCTGCTCATCCGCCTGAGCCAATCACCTTTTGGAGGTTTCCGTTTCTTGGGCTTCCAGGCTCTTTCTTCATCATGCCGTCCAGTCGCAAATGCCATTGTTGATGGAACGGATGTTTTGTTTGAAGGGATTTAAACCTAACCCATGTGAGGACGAAAGAACGTGGTGTAAGGTATCTGCACCTAGCCTGAGGTTTCGGCGACTGAGCTCTCTCGCAACATGACTTCTGACGGGCGAAATGGACGGCGTCAGTGCCAGTGGCGCGCCAACATCGCAGAAGCCAAACGCTGTGCGAGTCAAGTTATCTCTACACTATAACCACAACCTCTTTTCGGACGGACCCTAGACACAAGACACAATTAGTGGGGTTTTATTCGGAGCTGCCTGCTCTTCACCATCCTCACCTTGGGTACTGTACATAGTACGCCGCACCTAGCGCGCCGAGGACGCCCAGCAGACGTGCCGTGGGGCCCCGGCGGTGCTCGTCACCGACCTAACGATAGGAGACCAAGCCGCGTGGATACATGTTTCTGTCGAGCGGGCTGCACTGGTCCGGCCGCGCGGACCTGTCGCCAAGGCTGCGGGATTTGTCGCCAAACAGGACGGCAATGTCAGCAGTTGAACGCCAGATTTCATGAGGAGATACGGAGTAGAAATTGAGCTATTTATCTCGGATAGGTCTTAATTAGCGATGAGGTTTGGTGGCTTGCAGCGGCAGTTCAGCTCTAGCCTAGCGGCTGCCAGCTTTCTTTTAGTCACTTAATGAGTCAGTGGGCACGAAAGTCTCTTCTCTCCTGAGGTCGTGTCCCACTTAACTCGCGAACCCGTGCAACTACAACAAGCTCAACTACGGGTGAACGCATCACTCTCTGCCTAGTCATTACTGCTTTTCACTGCCTGGATTAGGTGCACTGAGCTCGAAGCTCATGCGCCAAAGCTATTATGGCGAAGTGGGAAGGAAATCCGGATCTTTCTAGAATCGGGGTGGGTTCTGGTTGATTACAGCTACAGCTCAAAAGGTAGTAAAATTATCAGCTAATTCATTCTAGGTTCTGACAGCATATATATTACAATGCGCAGTGACGACTCTCTTTTGCGCTGTTGGCGTAACCATGGACCTTCATACCAGCTACGAATACAAAGCCCCGAAAGTCGCCGGTACTATGGGCCACGATCCCCCAGATCAGTAGTCTACACTGTGGCTATACGGCTCCGGCATCACCCCCAAGATGAAAGCCTTCAGAGCGTGCCTCGAGGCATTCTAGCTCTCATCCTTCTATTTCGGTCTAGGGTTCCATTTCGGTCTAGGGATTATCATTGCCGGACTCTCAGTTAACGTCATGGAGGGCATGTCCCAACATACCTTGTACTTCTCCATCCTTGGTGCCCAACTATCGACAGTAGTGCTCACGTGCTTCCGCCAATGGTATCACCTGATCACAAACACATCGCTAACACCTTTCTTCTTGTAATGGGTATCTTCTGGTTTGGAGCATTCTCGCCAGCAAAGTCTATTCCTGGTCGACCGGATGCGAGCTTTTCTGCTTCTACGAGTTGCCATCTCGTCAGAAGGCCTTGTTCTTCGTCCTCCTACCAATGATTACTACGCCTGTCATTCTCATCATTGTTGTAGCCAAATTTGTCTTCAAAAGGTATAGGCCCCAACCGACGAAGCAACAAGGGGTAGGGAAAACAGTTCTCACAATCTATTCCTTCTTAATCATGTGGATTTCGCTCGGCTTCTTCGTTCAGCTTCGCTTAGAGGTTATTGACGTGGTCGGAGGCTCCTATGCAGAGAACGAATGGGGCTTCGGACAAGTTCTAGCAATACTTGCATTGGTCCTAATGTTTGTGGAGTTTGGCAAAATTTGGATGTCTAAGTTGACGTCCTGTGGCTGTTACCGCAACGGTCTGCTGTCAATGACTGACTGGATGGGAGGGGATAAAATCAAGGCGACTCTAATTCTAAGCGTGAAGATTCTTGGACTGGAACCAAAGCAGACTTATGTCTGTGTCCACGAAGCCGAGACGGAGATGGCCCCGGTGTCAAGCCCCGGGCTGGCAATCAGGGATCAGGAAGAAAGAAGAATCAGGTATATGTAGTGGGAAACTTGCCGCGGTCTCCTAGGTGGGTGCTTTCGAAACGTTGCCGTGCGTGTTCGTTGACTGCACAACACTTGTTACTTTCAACCCTTGCTACTTTCAACACTTGCTACTTTCAACACTTGCTACTTTCAACACTTGCTACTTTCAACACTTGCTACTTTCAACACTTGCTACTTTGAAATAACGGGCATGACTTATTCTAAGTGTGACCCAGCGATCGAACCAACTCTATAGTATTTCGTCTGCTCAAGGAGGGACTTCCACAGTTAGATTTATCACAAATGTGAAATGGCTTATACCCATCGCCACGTGCACGCTAAAAGTAACCACAGGTGTTTGCCGCGGAAATTATCAAAAAGTCAAACGATTGAACGGCACTGCTCCGACAGAATCATACCGGCTCAAAACAACCATACTATCGAACACCCTCCACCTCGGGATTTCCCAGCCTTAGCCAGATAGCGACAACGTGTGTTGCCGTGGGCCCGGCAAAACCAGACATTGCCGGCCTCAGTGTAAGTGCAATCTCCGTTTTTGTTTCTTATCCAATATTGCCTTACCTATCTGGTTCCCGGATCGCAGCGTGAAAGCCATGTGCTCACATTCTTGCACAGATCATTCCCGCCCTGGCATTTCAGGGCGGGACTTCGATATTGCTCACTATCGACCTAGATCTCAATATGGATTTTAAGAAGTAGCTTGGCAGCCCATAAAACAAGCAGCCACGCAAGGGAAAGCCTCCGCGCGGTCTGCAGTCTCGCGGCTCTATCGGCAGTGGTGACTTGGTAGTCCCTCGGGGAGACGGCTGGCTACCGACGCTCGCCGAGCTCGAAGAGCGCTAGGCTGGCATTCGGGAATGTCTGACGTTTATTAGGGACTCTCAGATTCTGACGGGAAGGTGAATTTAATTGGAAGTAAGCCTCAGTGGCATTTTAACGCTAATAACAATTGTTGTTTGTCTCTATCTATAGGCAGCGGGCTACTAATAGCTACCCTCGCGACTCGGGATTGTCTGAGCTTATATCACTTTCACATCATATACGACATCACCACCAGACTTGGGGCGTGAGTTTCAAGTTCAGATCATTCCGTTGTTGTTGCCAACCACTAGAATATCTACTAACTTTTTATTGGTTCGCAGGGTGTCGTTTTGCGCGGCCTTGGCACACTCGCTCGACTTCTCTCGCGATGGCCACATGATCGAGGGTTCCTTGCCTGTGTATTTGCGATTCTGTATCTAGCCTACGGTGTCATGTTTGCGAATGCACTCCATGGATGGGACTATGACGTTCCCGGCGGCTGCTACCACACCCGCCTCGTCGCGCCTGACGCAGCCGTCCACCCCTACGTCGATCGCATCTATCTCGCCGTCACTTGCTTCTACACGTTCATAGTCATCATTCTCTCGTTCCCTCCGGCCTTGATGGCCAACCACCCGTTAGTATACATCTCGCATGAAGACACGTTTCCCCGTTCACGATATGTGCGGGCTACGCTGGCGCAGATGCCGTGGCCAACCTGGGCGAGAAAGGAGATGTATCGGTGCCACATCGTGGTTTTTACCTTCATCTAGTCTCCTCTCCATATCTACTCGGCTGTGGCGTTACGGCTCTCCAACGAGAATTTCCTCGACGGCAACTCGGAGAGGGAGGGACAGGTCATGGCTCTCATGCTGGTGGCGGACACCATCATCCGATGTGGAAAGGCCATCAATGGTAAGTGGATGTCTGACTTATTATCCTCGAAGCACCGCCACTGGATTCGAGACGAACATGACGGCGTACTGAAACCATCTCTAGGATATGCGATAGAAGAGCGGACCACCCCCTCCCCCCCCTAAACGCTTAGCATCTTTAAGAACTCTCTATCCAATTTCGACTAGCCACCGCTTACGGGCTAGCGACTCCTGTTGAGGCCGATCCTATGCCGCTCACCAAACTTGAAGTCGGAAACGCGTCCAAGGCGGTAGCTCCTCTCACTAACCTTCCACAGGGGATTGGCCAGTCGGGTGCTACAGGTTCTTCTAGCGTGCACTCTTCAGATATATGACGTACTGGAACTGTTTCGGGAACAAGCCTTTTATTGGAAAACTCCTGTCCACAAGTGAGCCCGGCTGTCTTCAAATTAAAATCGTTCAGTGCTCAGTCAGACACGGCAATCTTGTTAATCCTCGTCACACGGACTCGTACCCAAAACGCAAATCTACCGGTTCCTGTGCACTCGTCATACCCACCACGCACTCGTACATGCATGCATACTCATACTCGGTACACCGGCGGGAGCCCTAGTCAACAACGCGGGGTTCAGGGGTTCATAAAGGAAGCAGACTAGTAACAATAGGTCCGAGAGGAAAGCCACGCCGTTGGAGTCCAGCCTTAGAGAGCGTACTTGGGTACTTGGCCATTTCATTTTAGCGTCTTGAAATTTTAGTGAACCGTGAATGGGCTAAAAGCGCCCGTCATTCGTCTGTAAGTTCGTGGGAAAGAGCGACAAAGGTATCCCTCCCTCATAGGACCGTCAAGGGCCCCTGCAAAAAGAGCCGCGACAGCTCCAAAGAGAGTTGGTTCTTTTTTGTTCCCTGACAGACGTCATCCCGCTATTGTTGAATAGTACAATAGTCTAGATCCCGCACTTAGATTCATTGTTCTCTTGTCCTATGTCCACACATTGGTTGATTTACTTTGGCCTCGAATAAAGAAGACGAGCCAACAAAGAGTCGGATTCCTTGTCCGCTTCTAACTGTCCTGTGCACAAATTTAGCCCTAGAAAGGCCAGGTCTGTCAGACCCCTGCCTGCCCCGTGTATGAGTATAACTGGTAAGATCAGGGACCGTCCACCGATTTCGACGAAGGGTATAAGAAGGACCTTAAGACTCATCCTCCCACCAAGAGTGGTAAACCAAAACAGCACAACAGGACATCAACCAAACGACCAACATGATCAGCAAAATCCAGTCCATCGTTGCCAGCGCCGCCCTCTTGGGCGTCGCCAGCGGCCACATGATCATGAACACACCTACGCCATACAACCTCCACCACAGCACCCCCCTCGTCCAGGTCAGCCCCCTCGGGCCAGGCCTTCCCTTCCCCTGCCAAGGGAACCAGGACATCGAGCAGGTGACCACCATCACAGCGGGCGCGACCCAGCTGGTGAACTTCACCGGCGGTGCCCAGCACGGCGGCGGCTCGTGCCAGTTTTCTCTGACGTACGAGTACCCGCCGCCAGCCGACAAGTCCAAGTGGAAGACCATCTACACACTGATCGGCGGGTGCCCAGTCTCCGCGGCAGGAAACCTGCCAACAGCTGGCACTGACGCTGACGGGCGCGCCGACTCGGTGCACTGCGGAAACGACTCTGGCACTGAGTGCATCCGGCAGTTCGAGATCCCCATCCCCAAGGGCGTGCCTAGCGGAAATGCTACGTTTGCGTGGACCTGGTACAACAAGATCGGAAATCGTGAGCTGTACATGAACTGCGCACCTGTTAGCATCACGGGCGGCGCGAGCGACACGACCTTCTTCGACGCGCTGCCGCAGATGTTCGTGGCCAACATCCCCGGCGAGTGCACGACCAACAACGGCGTGCTCAACATCCCCAACCCCGGCAGCTTTGGCAAGATCCTCGAGCAGCCCGCCCCCGACAGCGAGGGCACCTGCGAGAAGGCCGCCGGCATCCCCACCTTTGACGGTGCCCCTGGCAGTGGCAGTGCGCCCCCTCCTTCCCCTCCCGCCACCACCTCGGGCAGCGACACCACGCCTCCCGCGGCCACTGCCACTGCCACTGCCACTGCCACTGCCACTGCCACCCCGCTGCCTCCCACTGCCACTGAGACGCCCGCGGGCGGCTCTGGGTCCTGCTCCCCCGACGGCGCCATCGTGTGCCTCGAGCCCGGCTTCTTCGGCATCTGCGACCACGGCTTCGCCGTCAAGCAGGCCCTGGCCCCCGGCACCACGTGCGCCGGCGGCCAGATCTCGCGCCGCAGCGTGCGCTTCTTCCGCGCCTAGCTAGGTAATTAGCGACTGGAACGGCGGCAGAGCCCTGCCATGACTATCTGATCTGGTCTCGATGGCCATAGGGTATAGCGGGGTCTCATTTTCGTTTCTTTTCTGATTTTTAAAGCGATATGTTTGTGTTGCTTGCTTTTCTGCTGCGGAGCGACATCATTAGACAGATAAATTTATATTTTATATCTACCTAGAACTGTGCCTTTGTATGTATGTCTGGTTGTTTGTGTGCCTGTGCATTGTTTGTGAATCTTGGCTAACGTTTCTGCATTTCCGTTAACCTTGTGCCTTTCCTATCATGTCCCCTCCTCACCATCTCGAACGCCTCTGGCTGCTACACAGTTTCTCAACTACAGTCCTAAGGTCCAAGACACTCTCGCCCTCTGGATTGGTTTAGGTCAAGTCCATGCTTCTCATTTTTTGGAACTACAACTTTCAGGCCGGCTCTCCAAGAGAGTCCTGCTCCTTGGGGTTAAACCCGGTAGTAAATAAGAAGAACCAGGTTATCTTTGAATACTATCCGGTACTATCCGGGAGGCCGGCGAGGCAAGGAAGATGCAGTCGCTGCGAGTGACACCGGTCCTGGCATCCTGTCACTGGTGGGACTCACATACAAGCAACACAATAGGCTCGTTGGGCGTAGTTATTCTTTCAAAAAAGAAAACACACCCGCTCGGTATTAATTACTAATATTAATTATGGTAAGATCTTAAACGGACGCTGAGTAATTGGAGTCCTAATGAATCTTACCATAATTGATAGTAGTTTACGATCTTACCATACTTTTTAGTAGTAATTGATGGCGACAGAGATTTAAAAGATAATAGCAGCTGAATCACAGCTTCTTCCCTCAATATGAGCCACACCGACCGCGGCAATGCGCAGCAGTGTTAATATCTGCAGGAGAGTCAATGGCCAGTGCCCCATTGCCAGACGGGCCACACCTGCGGCCAGCAGCTTTCTCCGTATTTCACGCGCGATCATCGAATGGCGTCGGCCGTTCCCGCCTCGCCAAGATCTTTAGCTGTAGGGCTGATGGCTGACCCCTGATCGGCTTTCGCCCAGAAAGACCAAGACCAACCTTGGCACGGCCACAACTTGAAAACTAGCGCTTTGGTTTGCCAACCCGGCCGTGCAGCATGGAGAAGCCCCGGCCTCTCGGTCTTGGCCTCAGGAGGAGATAAACCCCGTGCGTGTAATTGGCGTAAGAGTGATATTATTTGCCCCCGAAGGTCTAGACTCCTGCTTGGGTTAGGAATGAACCAGGAATTCAGGATAGGTAAGGACTGCGGGAGAGGGCGATCGAGGTTCGATCGTTGATCCCAAGGCATAGATATATATTTAGAGACCTGGGCAGCCCGTGGCCTGCACTGGCAATCAACAACCTCGGCCCTCGCTCGCCGTCCACTTCCTCTCACCACTTCCACCTCAGCAGCATACAAGATGTCTCGATCCCTTTTCCTCGCCGCCGCAGTCCTGATACTTGCGAGCGTCGCTTCGGCCGCGGTTGGGACCATCTGCCGCAACCAAGAGTATCGCCCCCCCGCCCCCCCCAAATAATTAACCCTCGAGCTTTTCAGTGCTGACGACACTCGCTTCTTGCAGTCCGTACATATCGTGCACTGTCTCAATCGTGCAGGCCGTGACTCCGCCGTGCGAGGCGAATAGCGACAAGGTCGCCGCGACGTCGTGCTGGTGCAGCACCCTGAGCCAGCACAAGAGGTAATAACACCTCCCCTCTCGGCATCATACTCGATAAATCAGGGTGCGCTGACGTATTCTTGCTAGCTGCTACGAGAAACTCTGCACGACAAGCGACAGCTTCATCGACATCTTCAACACCATGTTCAACTCCAAGGGCTGTCCTAACGCGCCCGCGCTCAAGACGCCCGTCTACACGACGCGCCCGCTGCAGACCAACGCGCCCGCCGCCACCACACCGGCAGCGACCGGGCAGACCCCAGCCGGAACGTCTGCCGGCGCGGCGAGCACGACCACGAGCAAGAGCGGCGCGGGAGCCCAGGGCGGGTCTGTCGTCTTCCGTGGAGCGGTGGGTGGTAACTTGGTGTTTCTAGCTGTTGCTGGCGTTGTTGGGAGCGTTGCGCTGTTTGGCGCCCTTCTTTGAGGTTGCTGCAGTCGTCGGGGGGCTGGAAGGACGGGTGAGGGGGGTTGCGTGAGAACGGGGGGGTTGCATGAGAACGGGGGGGGTTGCGTGAGAACGGGGGGGGTTGCGTGAGAACGGGGGGGGGGTTGCATGAGACTTTACATGTAACTAGGGAGTCAGTTGTTTGGTGGGAAAGTTGGTTGTAGAGAAATACATGTAACTAGGGAGTCAGTTGCTTGGTGGGAGAGTTGGTTGTAGAGAAAATAGAAAGCATATTCAGTTGAACTTTGAGTGTTGTTTCTCGGGCAACCTGCGTAACGAAGACCTGCTTCGTTAACGATGCATCGGGTCACTCATATCTTGACGGCCACTACTAACAGCGGATGACGACAAGAGATGCCCATGCGGTGTTACACGACATGGCAGCAGATCTCCACGTGACTCGATCTCTGCGGCGGCATATGTGGTGGCTGAGCAATGAGCACAGAGTGCCTGCATGACTGCCTTGCCACGTCTTTGGATGAACCGCATCTCTCGCTGACTGCGGCAATTCGGCCCATCTCCCAAACAAGAATAGTCCCGTCATTCTCGCCAAACCTCGATCTCATCCCCCTAAATTCTCGAGCAGGGGGCAGCACAGTGATACCCAACCCAGCAGCCAAGAGTCCCCAATCCCACCAACCCTCGCCATGACCACAGCGCGGGCAGAAGTCCTCGACGCCTTCTGCGTCCCAGACGATCCCATCTACAGCGCCAGCGCCAGCGCCAGCGCCAACGCGAGCGAGCCGGCGGCCGCACGGGACTGGTCACTGCGGCTCCGCGCGCCACTCAAGCCCGCTCTGCTGTGCCGCGACCCTGGCTTCGCCGAGTGGCGCGTCAACGCGCGCACCTACGGCCGCGCGGCCGCGCCCGGCGACTCCAGGTTCAGCTCCACCGTCCGCACGCTCGTCGGCGTGCACCCGCGCTTCCCGGCGCTGCTGCTCGACCCCGGCGGCACGGCGGAAGGCGACAAGCGCGTCCTGGGAGAGGCCGCGCTCGACTCGGACTCGCTGCCGGGCGGGGGTGCGGCGGGCGGTGCTGGGGGGCCTCTGCTGGATGCGGTGGAAGTCTTTTGTCTGCCGCTGCGCGACCAAGTGGATGCCGGCTTGGGGGGAGGTCAGGGAGGTGGACATGTCGTGTGTCTGCTGCTTGCCCCGCAGCACCCGGGCTCCACGTTGTATGTGCGCGTTGGGCTGGGGTTTGTCCAGGACACGGGGTGGTTTGGCGAGAAGGGAGACGGGTATGATGGGCAGCCGGTCGATTGTGACATTGTTTGAGGGAGGGGTGATTGGTTTGTTGGTTTTTCGGCTTTACTGGCATCGGCATCGCTGCTTTCTTTGTCCTCTGTGGTTGTTGTCCTGCCAAACATGGTGCTGCGTGGAAATCAAGGCTCGCAACAGTGTAAACAAATCAAACCGTGAGGTCCTATTTGCCTTACTTACCAAAAATGAGGGCATATTTGAATATAAAAAAGGCTGATTTGGCTTGACTTGTATATTTGACTTGGTTTGACTCGGAGCTGGAAAATATTAATTCGCTGCTAATTTAACAGGCAAAGCGGCTTGTTAATGGTGTCACTGGCTAAGCCCTGTCTCTGCAGGCCAATGACCAATTTGGCCATACTGAACAGCCTCTCGCAGTCCGCTGATATCGCCGGGGCCGCGAGAAGGTCGAAGGCCATTCGCGGTTACCTCGGAAAGCGGTCTTTGTTGTCAATCCACCAAGCTAGAATATCATCAACAGGCTTGACAGGCTCCTGAAGGTATTCCTGAAGCTCGTGTCTATTGTGTATGGCGCCGGGGGGTCATAGTAGTCGTGACCGGTAAGGTAGTCATTTGGCCGGTCGGGATTCCCGGCCGCTGGCTGCTCGGCGGCAACGTTGATATGGGTTAATGCGAGTCGAAGAACGCAGTTACTATAGCTACTATACTAGTGCCCTATTCTTCGGGAAGGTATTTATCAATCCACTTCTTCCTATGGCCAATCTAGTTAGTGACCGCTCCCTTAAATTCCTCGGCTAACGGCCTCAAAATAGGGACAACGCTTTGCGCCCGGGCGAAAGCAATAGTACGGAGGATTTCGAGCACATTCGAAAAAAAGCATATCCACTTCCTTCTTCGGGTTCAGTTTTTTATGAAGCTTGGGATACGAGAAAGGCGACGATGTGGCTGCCGAATTGTTCAGGGGACAGTCAGGGTAAAGGGAGCATATCCAGAAAAGCCCTTGGTCTGCTGCCCAGTCGTGCTCATCAACATAATAATACAGGTGCCGTACTCAGCGATCCACGACGACCTCTTCCCTTTCTTGTACAGCCACTTCTCCAGTATATATCGCGTGCCCCAAATAGTTACGTGAGGCTAGACATCGTATTGGTAGGTCGGGATCTTCGAATTTGACTGAGAAAATCGCTTTTCCGTACAGGGCTTTTTCGGGTTGACTTTTTCAGAGTTTTAGTGGTTGCAAGCTTTGCATTGGACCTTTTTTCCGGGCCTGTCAGGCAAATGCAGACTTTTCGCCCTGAAGATCCACTTTTCCAGAGAGCCGAACATTCTGTAGGGCCATATTCCAGGAAAAATGGCCTAATTACCAAGGCCCCACGTTAGCCAAATAAAAAAGGCATGCAAATCAAATGTGAAGCCTCGTGCAAAACATCGGCTTCTCTTTCAGACACAGCACAACCGTTCGGCTTCTCTTACAGACACAGCACGAACATTCGGCCTCTCTTCCAGACACAGCACGACCATTCGGTCGTTGTAATTATTCAGTCGATACGTTCCGCCAAGGACTCCCGAGGCGCCAGGACTATTTAAACCGAGTCTCCTACCGGTCTTTTTCATTTTCCACACGCGCGCCAGGAGTTTTTTCGGTACCAAACTTGCCAGGACTTTTACTAAAAGTCATTGCCATTTTTGTGGTAAGCATATTCCAATTTCCCTAAGCTGCCCTTAACGCTAAAGCCAACATGGCCTCGACCAACGCCACCTCCGCCGCCGACGCCACCCCCGCCGCCGACGCCGCCGACGCTGCCGACGCCAACAAGCCTTCTGAGCCTGTTGCGCGCGATGTTGCCCAATACCGGGACGACACCAAAACCTTCGAGCAGTGGCTCTTTTTGGTTACTGACGAGATTATCCGTGCGAACCCTACCAAAATGAAGCCTACGGGTCCCCATATCGGTGACCACACCACCCGTGACTGGGCTCCCCGGTCCCGTCTGGTTGTTCAGTTTCGGGAATCGGTGCCTTCGTACATCCTGCCGACCATCAACTCGGCTATCGAGACCCGAAAGAAGGTCTACGATTTATACAAGGCGACGGAGGGTAACACGACGCATGAGGACAGGCAACATCTGTTCTTCATTCAGTCCCTGACCACGAGCTTCAATATTCTCGGTGGACGCGAGTGGGTTAGGAAGCGGGAGGCTCGCAGGCAAGCTGCTGCTGCTGCTGCTGCTGCTTCCCAGGATGACGGCTGGACTGATGCCAGCATGGCCACAAAGAAGAGCCGGCACCACACCGGTGTGGGTCGTAAGTAACTCCTCATCGCCCCCACCCCAACATACCGCCTGACATGGAAGCACCCGTTCGCTAATCATTGCAGTATCAGCAGATGTCTTTTTCCTCTGTATCATCATTCCCCTACTTAGACTAGGAAAATACACGCACCTTCCTCCTGCACGAGAGGGAAGGGTGACCAAACAAAACTTGTCCTTATTTTCCCTTGGCTATGTGACTGATATGCGACTTGCATGAAATAATTAGAATTTTTCTAATTATGACTGGTATGGATAAAGAACTGGTCGTCTACTAAGAATAGTTGTCCTTGTAGCCGCTGGACTAAATTTGATCAACAAGATTCCCTCGCGGCAAATTGGCATGTGAACAATGTCGACGCACTTGATCGATGTCCACCGCTACGTCACAAAAATTATGGCATTGATGCCACCCTACTATGCTATGCTCCTACAACTAACCGTTTGGAGGGTGTTATAGGTTTGGAGGGTGCCTATAACACGACTTGTGTGTGTGTGTGTGTGTGTGTGTGTTCACCCCCAAACTTCCCAGAAGAACGTTCGAGAGTGACATTGACCAGAGGGCGCGTAGTAAGGGAGTAATTAATCACGCGGCGTGCAGAAACTCGGCCCCTTGCCAATCACAAGGGTAATGAAGGTCTTGGATCTTGAACACCATGCAATTATTAGTCTTTTTTCATTTATTTCTTCTCTTTGTCCATCAAAAAATAAAGGGGCAGTCTATTCGAACAGGAACAGCCGTCTTTTCGGATAGTAGTGTATAAAAGTGACTTTGCAGCTAAGGCGCTAAGCCATAGGCCTAGCTAAAATTGGATTTTTACATCTAAAAAGTCTAATTCTAATGGATGGCACGCTTCTTCAGATAGCCTGGCCGGCACTGAGCCCGTAATTGAAACTATCGCCAAATCTACTAAAAACTTCCAACTTCAACTATATTACCGTCTATATATCTACTTCTTGGGCTTCATCCTGGGCCCGGCCTTCAACGCCCACGGCGCGCAGGGCCCGAGGAGGCATTACAAAGGCTTCTACACGTGGTCCGGGAACCCGTCGCCCTAACCATGGCTTTGGCTATAGCTTCGAAACTCAAGAAAGCAGCGCTCTTAAAGATACACAGCCTACGCGGCCTACCCTATATACAAATGATGTTAAATGTGGTGCGTATACTGTATGCGGCTAATTGATCTGAAGTTGGTTGCGCTGGCTTCGTCCCAGGAATTCATGCTCTTAGTGCGAAAAGTGATTTTTCATGGGCAGATCCCTACCGCTTTGTACACTACTGTCCGGAAAGACGGTTGTTACTGTCCGAATAGACTGCCTCAAAATAAAAGAGGGATAAAAGAGGAACAAAGAAACATTTCCGAACGGCATAGGCAGCCTACGGTGCGCAATGTGACAGACACCGTGTGTCGGTCCAGCAGTGAAGTTAGATGGACCACAGATGCCACATTGCCTCTCGATGGAGTTCCAGTCTCCTCCTCTTCAGCCGGCTGTGTTCCTCGCAACAGACAGCTGGGAGCTGATGTGGTCCCTCCTCTTTCGTCGTAGCAACCCTGCAATAATTCAAGCGCGGCAGCTCCAAGGAGATAAGTTTCAGCCAGCCCGATATTTGGGAAGTAATTAAACTGAACTGTGATATCAAGTCGCAATAGGTTAGAAGGGGTGTTATTTCGGCCATCTGCCTCCTTCCTTGTCCATGCCCATGCGTCAGCACTGAAAATTACAGAGAGCCACCCATATGGGGCCATATCTACGGTGGCAGTCCTATCACCATGATAGGGGTTAGGAAGAATGTGCCGGCTATCTGGACTAGGGACGTTATGGTCAAGGACATTTGAAGGCTTGGAATGAGAGCCCGCGGAGTTTAGTTTCTCAATCTGGAAACTACGTTAAGCTTCACGGATGAGTTTCAATTTGGCAGCCAAGCATTTGAATAGCAACCAACCGGGTGGGGTTGTTGATGTCGTGATGTGTTGGCCGCGGGGGTGGCTAGCTGAGTTTCCAACAACAGCACGCCAAGCCTAGATATCTCACAGTGCCTCCGTTCGAGTGCAACATGGAGGCGTTGGATTTGTCTTGAAATGTGGAGGTGGTGACATTTTAGTGTCGTATTCCGCATTCGTGGCTAGCTGAATTCCCGCCAAGAGGAAGTCCGACTGGTTGAAGATGTCCAAGTCTGATTGGCTCGCCGCAACGGACTGCTCGAGGCAAGGCCGGCCGCAGAGCAGCGATGCTTGAACTTGCAAGGAGTGTTTGTGCGCTCAAAATGGCTTCAGGACTTGGCTCAGGGGCTCTCGCTGCTCGCTGGAAGCGGCTATATAAGATCTGTCTTGCCCAGTTGCACATTGTCTCGATCAACACACAAACACACCCGCACAAACTTCTGCACTTGACACCCAATTCACATTCCAAACCTTGACAGCTCACGTTCCCCGACACTCAACAACAGCCACAATGTTCAAGCTCGTGTCGAGTCGCGTGACGCCCTCGTACCGCGGCGTGGGGCCGCCCTTATCGCAGGTTGCATCGTACCCGCTGCTGCCAGCCGGAACGAAGCCCATCTTCAAGCTCAAAGAGGCGAGGGACTCGTTTGACGCTGACCGGGCCAAGCAGTTGTGAGTAGCCAATCCAGCGCTATAGGTAATTATTCCAACACTAACCACTGGCCAACGCAGCAAAGTTATCACGGCCCTCTTCAACTCCAAGGAGGCCGGCGAGTCGTGGCTCAAGATGCGCGACAACCCCGTGTTTGTGCACCTCGCGCGGTTCCCCGACGTCGCCAAGAACCTGTCGGTCCTGAAGGAGTACATGAAGGTCCGTACCCACCTTACGGCCCAGACTAAACCCCCAGCGAAGAGTCTTGTGAAACTGACTTGCCGCCGCGCCTGACTAACAGAACAACTACTTTTGGGTGCGCGAAGAGATCGAGGGCCGGCAGGGGCGCATCGAAACCATCCCGGCCGACGAGCTGGGCACCAAGCTGTACGAGCAGCAGCGGCTCGACAAGTACAAGTCGTACATCTCGGGGCCCTACGCCGACTACCTGCGCAAGCTCGAACTCGACCCCATGGCACCGTCGCAGCCCGACGAGGCCACCAAGGCCTACGCCGCGCTGCTCAAGGAGCCGAAGACTTACATCGAGGCCACCGTGGTCCGCGCCGCGTGCGCCGTGGTGAGTTGTCACTGTTAATTACCCAGAGGGCCCCGGAAATGTGCTCATGCGTGGCAGGGCTGGTCGATGGCGCTCCGCCGCATCCTCGACGACAACTACACGGTCAAGAAAGGTGCGCCCCCTCGCCCCCTCGCCCCTGTTCTCAAAACACCCCACTGACTCCCTCCCAGGCCCCTTCTACGAGGGAATCATGCTCGAGAACGTGACCGACTCGTTCACGTACTTCAAGGACACCGGCGAGGAGGCCGTTGAGTACGTCACCACGGGCTACTCGGGCACCGCGCGCCGACTCTCTGGTACGTCGCTGACAAGAACCACTGGCTGGCTCAATGGGCTGATCACTCCTGGGATAGAACAAATCGACGGCCGCCTCCTCGGCCCCGACGGCGTCATTGTCTGGGACGAGCCCACGCGCAAGCGCCTCGCCGACCTGACGCGCCGCGCCCTCGACGCTGAGTACAACATGTTCCTGGCCTCGTGGGTCAAGGTCTATGGCGCCGTCCCTGTGCCTCCCAAGGTTTAAAGTGTGGGTTTGTTGGCTCTTGCTTGTCTGGTTCTTTCGTTCTGCCTAGTTTGGTGCAACGATCTCAGTGCGTCGATCCCAGTGCGTTGATCTCAGCGCGTTGGTCTCAGTATGTCCCGCTCAGTTCGTTGATCTCCGTTTGATCATCTCAGTTTATTGATCTCGGTTTGTTGATCTCAGCTCGGTGGCCTCAATTGGTCGATCTCAGTTCTCAGTTGAGTTGCTTTTGTCTTGTTCGATCTCATCTTTCTTCAAAGTATCTTCCTTCAAAGTATCTCGGTAGTCGATGGCAGCTGCCCAGTTTCCAGCCAAGTTAGCTCTATCCATTCACTCGTTACGACTTTCCAGACCGTAGCACGTGAGTGCACGCTACATTGAAGTGAAAGTCTAGAAGGTCTGTTTCGAGTACAGAGAGCGTCTAGCACCCGGCAATACTAACAGCGTAACTGTCCCACAACACCACACGTCAAGAACTCGCCGGCTGGTGCGGCTCCCTCAAGGTGGGCACATATCGCACGCGGACCTTACCGACCGACGCCCAGCTCCACGACGGCGCGACGCGGCGCCGCGTGTCAGCATCATTGACCTCGCGCTTGTCATTGACGGCCACGTACCACGCCAGCCCGGACACCAGGTCCTCCCTCCACAGGCCCGCTAGGTACGAGGTGCCGTGGCCCTGCGCGAACATGGCCGACAGCCGGCCCAGCGCCTGCAGCGTGTCGCCGGCGTTGGTCAGCTGCTTGTCGCTGTACTCCTCGACCAGCGCGTACCACGCGTCGAAGTGATTGGCGCGCTGCCGCGGCAGCCTCCCACCATCTGCAGACTCAGACGCCAGCATCTCCTGCGGCGCGAACAGCCGCATGCGCATGGCCTCGACGTTGCCCATGACCCTGCCGCGCTCGCGTGCCAGCGCGCCATCGCTCGCCAGCGCGGCAAAAGCCAGGGGCACACGCCGCGGCCGCGGGACCGGCAGCGTCTCGCGCGCCGTCATCTGCATGCACTCCCAGGCGATCTGGGCGCCGGCGAACACGAGCGCGCGCGACGACAGCACCTCCTCCTGGAGGACCCAGCCGCGCGCAGCAAGAAAATCGGGCCCGTTGGCGACGCCGGCGAGGGTCGCGGCGCGAGCGACAGTAAAGCCAGGCCCCGACACGACGATGCTTACCTTGCACGGCCGCAGCACACCCCCACTCCCAGCCGAGGGCAAGGCAAACAGCCCGGCGTGTGCGCTGGCGGCGCCCTGCGCGGCCAGCGTCATCTCGGCGCAGCGGTACACGTCGCCCATGCGGGCCAGCTCGCGCGCCACGTCGGCGCCGTCGTCCTGCACGATGCACAGCGCGTCGATCCACAGCCACCCGTACCCCAGCGCGCGCGCCGCGTGCGCCGCGTCGCGGAACGTGCGGGGCAGGGCCGATGCTGAGATTCCGGCTGCCCGGTGCGCCGCCACGTTGTCGCGCAGCGTCAGGAAGCGCGCGCCCGCGCCCCACGCGTAGCTCAGCGCCACGTACGGCGTGGTGGATGTGCGGGTCGTTGCAGTAGCGGCAGCTGCTCCTGTAGGGCTGGTTTCGACCAGCAACAGCCGGTCGGGGTCTGTCACGTCCAGCAAGCGCGTGGGCAGCGAGGCTGGTGGCGACGAGCCTGCGCTGGCGAGCCTGCACGCGCTGTGGCTGCGCAGGCACTCGTCCCGCCAGAGCCGAGCGAGTTGGGTGTTGACTACGGGGCTGTAGATGGTGACACCTGATTGCTGCGCGGCCGACTGGCAGGCGCGGGCATGCTCTTCAAGCGCAGTGGCATACGCCTCTGTTGTTTGCACACGTTGAGGTTAGTAGGCAGATTTCACGACACGGCATGTGGTTGAAGTGCCGCACCTGGAAGCTCCCGAATCTCATCCAAGATGGCGTTGCCGAGCCTGCTGATGATGCCGACGGACCGCAGGCCATTGGCCACGGCAGCCCGTCCGCCAGAGACGCTGAACCGCAGCACGACATATGCGCCGAGCTCGTCGCAAACGTGGCTGGCCGTCTCGACGTCGCCCAGCTGCGAGCGCACCAGGCTGCAGAAGCGGCATCCGTCGGCGATTGCGTCAAGCAGCGATTGTCTCGTTGTGTGGAGAATGTATGTCGTTGCCCTGGCCAGCAGCGGGTGCGACGAGGCGGGTGTTTGGAAATGAATGCCCTGGCAGCTGGCGCAGAGCATCGTGGCGTTTGCCGCCGCTTGAGCCTCATATGGCGTGACGAGTTTCCGGGGTAGGTCTGAGTAATTACATAGAATCTAAGAAGTGAAGTGAAGGTGGGTGCAGCACTATAATTACATTTGCACTGCAATTTTAGGTTCATGGAGCCTGAGGCATCAACTTTCCGGGTGCGTGACCTTTGTGGCTAACAGCATATCTGTACGAACCCTTAACATGTTGCCCAAAATGGTGTTATAGTCCTAGGTAGATACAAACCCCTCTTCAGACGAGCGGTTGGACATGGATGTTCAGCACCTGGCGAAGAGCACTTTATTCTTGGCGTTTGCCCCCACTTGCCTAGTTGAGGAACATCCCCCGAGGGCTGCCGCCTTCGTTGACGCTAAAATTGCAGTGCAAGTGCAGAGCCGCCACACTGGGCAAGCCGCAGTGCATGCAACGCTACCTAGGATTGTTTGGGAAATGCGGTGAACATACGAGAACACTAGGAAGGCAGCATCTGCAGCATCTGCAGCTCCAGCTCCTGTATTTACACTACAATTTTAGCATCCACGAAGGGTAGGTAGCTAAGTACGTACAGAAGAGCCTCAGGCATCAAACTTTCTACACTTTACTCACACAGCAAGAGGCGCGCATCCACGAAGTCACCAACGACGAGACATCGGCAAAGCAAGCCGAGTCCGCTGCCGACGACGTGACGCCAGCTAAACAGACGCAACAAAAGCCGGCCTCGACAGATGGAGTTACCTTTTGTATCCAGTTCCAGAATCTCAGCTGGTCTCAATAATTAGCAACGCGCTTCTCTTCGGTCGGCCTGAAAGTCGGTCTTCTGTTTGTGCACAGGTGCTCATGTTGCACAAAGAACTTCATCACGTCCGATGTTATTGAGCGTCTTTCACCTTGTATCACCCACTTTCGTTTCTAGGTTGGAAGGTGGCAGGATCAAAAAAATTAGTGGCAAGAATGACTGGCTGTAAACCATCACATTCTGCCTCACTTGTGACTGCTGCCCAATACCTGGCTCGGTCAGGCTGGCGGCCTGGCCTTCCCGACTAGCTCAAAATGCAAGTGCCTTGCCCGCTTCTCTCCGCAACAGCCGGCGAAACATAACTCTTTCATTGGGCATATGATGGGCAAAATAGCCGAGCCCAACCGCAGAGCGGTCCGCCCACCAACGAAACGTAGGACGCCTCCGTTCAGCGCAGCATGTCTTGCTATTGGCAAACTTAATGAAGACGTAGGTTCTCAGTTTGCTCCTCATTTTTGGCTCCTCACCGCCTCCCTTATCCAAGGGGGTTGCAAATAGCCAAGGCAGAGAGCTGAGTAGACCAATGCAGATTTCTTTGCACCAACTCCAAATTTAGCGGAAGACTAGGAAAAGCCGCACACAGAAGCACCTGGTTATGAGACATGAATCCCGCATTTGGATCGCACAATAGCGATCAGCCGACCATAAAGGCATACTCCCCCACTTTTAGCCCTTCTTGAAGCAGTCTATATTACTTCCCCGGCCACCATTTACGGGCATGGCTTCCGCCACCACTGGACCGAAAGACAGCTATGCCAAACCCGCATCAGCCGGGAGCGCCTACACACCTCTCGACGCAGCCGAAAAACAGATTCGGGTTCTGCGCATCTTTCCCGCGCTTCAGTTCGAGTCCGACATCCACGCCACCCTGCACATCGTCTCCCTTGGCGGCACATAGCTCCCCTTCTACACGGCTCTCTCATACTGCTGGGGCGACCCGGGCATCACTCGACCCATCGCGCTCGACGGAAAAGAGCGGCATGTCACCGTCAGCCTCGAGACGGCCGTCCGGCATCTCCGAAAGACGGACAGCGAGTTCATCGTCTGGGCGGATGCAGTATGCATCAACCAGGAGGATGCCGCGGAGCGAGCCTCGCAGGTGCAGATGATGGCCGACATTTACCGGAGCGCGTCGTCGGTCGTCGTGTGGCTCGGCGAAGCGGGCGACAACAGTGACGTGGCCATGGACACGTGCGTGAAGTGGGGTGGCGGCAGCAAAGACGACCCCGCCGCCTCCCACCGCATCTTCGAGAACGTGATCGAGCCGGTCGACCGGCAGACCTGGCAGGCCGTCCGCAGCCTCTTCCAGCGGCCGTACTGGCGCCGGCTGTGGATCTACCAGGAAGTCAAGCTCGCGCGCGCCATCGTCGTCAAGTGCGGGCCGAAGGAGATGTCCTGGGACAGCTTCGCGGGGCTGATCGAGGCCGACTACCAGATCCACCGCAAGGGCGTCATCCTCGAGCAGTCGCTGACGCGCGAGAGCTGGGACCTTGTGAGCAGCCGCGGGCTGAACGTCTTGAGCCTCTTCTTCAGCAGAGAGCGGGAGACCAAGCAGGACCGAGACTTTTTCGTTCTCCTACGCGACACGGCCGACCAGGACTGCAGCGAGCCCAAGGACCGCATGTACGCCATCTTGAGCCTCGCTGAGGATGCACATCGCTACCCTGCGCCCGACTACCGCCCCTCGGTCGGTTTTGCTGACGTGTATATGGAGTACGCTAGGATCTACATCCGCACGACGGGCTGCTTGGACGTGTTGAACGAGGCGGCAAGTCGGCTGTACGACCAGAAGCCCAACTGGGGCGACTTGCCTTCCTGGGCCCCGGACTGGAGGGTCAAGAGACGGTGCGAGATGCTCCGACGCAACACAAAAGGGGTAGTCGACTTTTATCACGCCTCGAGACTCTACAGGATCGGCCTCGGAAATAAGGCCATACCGGGAACCGATGGGGACGATCGTGTTGCGCCGGAAATACCCGTGCCCCAGCACATGCCCGTCATCCGCCCGCTCGGCGTCAAGTGCGACCAGATATCCAAAGTGGCGCAGCTTCCGCTCTTGGACATGGACTATGTCAGCATCATCGAGTTCATCGGGAGGGGGGTCGGCGGGGCCCATCCGACCGGCCTACCCATCTTCAACGTCTTGTTCCGAACTTCCCTCCTCGGGCTGTCGCCAACCACGCACAAGCAGTTGACTACCGTGGATTTTACCGCCAGCTTCGGAAAGGGTTTTCTACTGCAAGTGGCATGTGACTTTGTCTTTCTGCGTGAGGTACCCTCCCAGGACATACAGCCGGCCGCCGATTCGGGATTCGGCCTAATGAAGATCGAGCAGTACGAGCTCTCCAACCCCGGATTCAACCTGGACTTTGACTTTCTGGGCCCCCAAGAGGATGTAGCCGACGAGAAGGACCAGAGCTTCGCTACCTTCCGCGCTTTCATGGCGGCCACGGCAGACGAAATGCGCAGCCAGCTGCGGGCCTGGGGCTGTGGTTTCCAGCTGGACCAGTGGCGGAAGCTGGCCCGCGATAGCGTGGCCGGCCGCACCCTGTTCGTCACCAGGTATGGGTACATTGGCCTCGCCACGAACGCCGGCGTCAGGGCCAGCGACACCGTGGCCGTGCTGTACGGCGGCAAGACGCCCTTCGTTCTGCGACCGGCGGGCCCGACGGGAGCGTCGGATGAGACCGAGGCCAGGGAGAGACACCGTCTAGTGAGCGATGCGTACGTTGACGGCTTGATGCGGGGCGAGGCGGTCGAGAGGCAGGACTGCTGGATGCGCGATAATCCCGATGAACCTGCCCTCAGAGAATTTTGCATATTAATGAGTATGAAGTGCTAACTGCAGGTTTGGAGATTTGAGACACAGACTTGGGACATTGCTCATCTCGCGCACTTGCGGCTCATCATGGCGAGGGTATCGAACCGGGGTTAAAGCATTATGAACGACTAGGAAGCGATTTCTACCTGTCGACCATCTCAGGATGCAAGTGGTGCACAGTTATCAGCAATGGTGTCTTGACGAGCCTGCATCTGGACTACTGGTATGACCGCTGGAATGGGAGCCAATCTGATACTGTGGACGGGGACACTAGCCATGCTGGCACAGAGGAGAGTTCTAGAAGCAGCGGGTCTAGTGAAGAAGTTAATCTTGACCCGGGGCTTCTCACTCTTGATGCTCTAAATTGCCAGGTGGTTCTCAAGGTTCGAGTTCAATTTCCCAGTACCAGCAATCATCCAATGCACCCTGCCACATTTGACCTCGTTACTGTCTCAGTTGAGGTTACTCTCAACGGAGAGAGTGATGACAAAAGAAACAGCCAAATCAGTGAACTATCAGGAAATGAAGCGGTGGATCTAACTTTCGAAATTCTGGACCCAACTTGTAGGTTCCGTATTCGGTTCTTGGTATAGTTGTGCTGACATCAGTAGCATGCCAAAAGCACGATGCAGCGCACCAGGCCGCGTTTCCGCCCAAAGCACATGCCATCTCAGACATGGAACTGAAGTCCTGGGTTACGGAAGCCGGCGAGTGGCTAGGAGGCTGCAGGGAGAGCCACGAGTTGTGTAGAGACCACCAACGACCGTTCATGCCAACTCGGCTTCTGGAGCTCGACGGTCCCTTGCGTCTGTTTACGGGCGAGATTTCCACTGTAGCACTCCCATACGCAGCGTTGAGCTACGTGTGGGGTTTTACTCAAAGCCACGTCCTAACAGCCAGCACGCTAGCAGCGAAGACAGCGGGTATTGATCAGACTCAGCTGCCCAAGACAATCCAGGACGCCATCGAAATAGCACGGAAGTTAGGATTTTCTTATCTTTGGGTTGACTCTCTGTGCATCCTACTGGACACTCCAGGAGCGCGCGCTATCAACTCGAGCCCTGATTTTCGCGCACGACGGGCCGAAGTGGGCCTACCACGAGGCACAAACTAACCCGAGCACCAGTTTCTCCGCCGATCCCTCACCGTCGCTTGCCGTCCTCTCGTTTACGCCACCACCCGAAGCCCTCGACCTACAAGACACCGCCCTGTGGCACCGACGCACCTGGCTTGAATTGCGGAATGAATACACGGGCCGCATGCTGAGTGTGGCGTCGGACAGGCTGCCTGCGATCCAGGGCATTGCAGACGAGATTGCAGCGCACGCCGGGTGGCGATATCTAGCGCGTGCCGGGCTCTGGAAAGAATATCTGTTTTTGGATTTGCATTGGCATCGAGACCTGGCTTCTCGCGGTAATGGGCAACTTGGTGCCGCGAGTCCAGACCCCGAACTGAGCGCGCCACTGAATGCGCTGCTACCACGGCCAGATTATAAGAACGCGTGTCCTCCGCCGACCTGGAGTTGGGCGAGCGTGGGCGGTGCCGTAGTGGATGCCGACGACGAGGGTGATTTAAGGAGGCCGTTTTATTTTCGGATCATCCGTTGTGATGAGGGTGCTAAGAACTTGGTAGTCGAAGGGTTGATAAAGGATTTAACGTGGAGGGATGCTGGTAGTGAGGACTTGACTGATGGGTTTCTGTTGAATGTTCAGGGCCCAATGGAGCCTAGCGAGGAGAAAATCAGGCAAGAGTGGATTGTGGGGGAGGCAACACTCGACGCCTCGGACACTGGTGTTCTCTTTGGTTCCAAGGTCAAGTGCCTGACCATGAGCCGGCTAGAGTATGAGAATCGCACGACGCTACCCGTGGAGGGCTTACTACTGCAGCCTCGCAAAGATAGTCGCTGGGAGAGCGGGCCATATTGTAGGGTTGGTTTTTTTTCGCGTTTATAGCTCCACGCTCGTTGATGGTTTAGAGATGCAGGCTATCGCCATCATCTAACATATCACAAACTTCACATTCACCGAATTCGGGGAATAATTATCTAGGTGTCTTTGATCTTTGCTGTCTTATGACCCACCCGAGATTGGTGACAACCACTCACTATTACTGATTAGCAGACTCTGAGGGAGTAGAGGGGTTCTCGTGGCCTGTGTGCCTACTCCCCTCGTTGCGCTCCAATCGTACCCGGCAAAAGTTGCAGAAATTGTCCATCATTTTTTTGTGGTAATATGGCTGAGCAGAACATTCAGGTTAGTATCCTGCGCAGGTAGTATGAGATTTACCTGACACAATCGCAGTGATGCTTCGACTAAAGGGGCTGAAGCCATCCTTCACAGCCCAGGCGATGCAGACTCTGCAGCAACCTCATAATTGATGAGGACGAGCCACTCGGCATAGGACTCCACGGAGCGCGCTATATCTCGTACCTTGAGGAGAGTCATAAGAGTAGGTATCGGTTCTGCGGCTTCCTACCAGAGATTTAGTACCTTCTCGGCACCTTTATACGGTGGACTTCATCGGTAATAGTTACTCAGGCTACTACGAACACCTGACCTTTGAAAGCCTCAAGATCAGTAATTCCACTTATCCGACGTCCAAGGGGAAGTGTATCGTCGTCCGGCCGTTCCAAGTATGGCATAAGTCGCTCGAGATATATCGAGAGCAGTATTTGGCAAGGACTTTTGTATGAACTGCTTACGTTTTCGAAGGACTGCCGTAGGAATCGATACCTAATCTCGTTAACTCGTATTCATCTCACCGCATCCTCACCACCACCTCGGTTCATCGCCTCCTCCACCGATCGTCTTATGACGACATCATGATCCGACTTTGGGCTCCATCCCAGCCTCTTCCTTGCCTTGTCCGTGCTATACGTATGATCCTCCGTCGTCCAGGTGAGGGTGGTATAGCTCAAACTCACCGGGAGCTGGGCCTGACCCGCGGTGCACAGCCAAAACCCCCAGGCGATCAATCCGTACACGATCCTGACCAGCCACGTGGGAACCGTCCACACCTCGTCCGTAACTGGGCGCCCGCGGGCTGCGGCCCAGAACAGCATGGTGTGGTACCAGAACAACACTGGCTCCGGCTCGGCAATGTTAAACGCCTCGCCATGTATTTTCCCGTTGGCGCGGGCGGGGTCCAACAGGGCTTTGGCGGCGAGAATATGGGCCGCAGCGGCATTGTCGCTCGACACCACTGAGCAGAGGTTCGTGCCGTTGCCGAGGCGCACGAGCGGGCCGCCGCCGGCGCTGAGAGCAAGTAGCGCGGGCAGCTGCTGGCTGCATCGGGAACCGTACATGTGCGCGATGCGCAGGGAGACGATGCGGAGTCCGCGGGGGTCGTTGCTGCGCGCCGCAGCGTCAAGCACGGCGGTGTCGGCAATGGCTTTGGTGCGCGCGTATTCCTCGAAAGAGCTGGGCGGGAACAACGGGTGCGTCTCGGGGGTATTGACGTGTGGCGGGCCCTCGTAGATGTCGACAGTGGAGCAGTGCACGAAGGCCTTCACCGAGGGGGAGGCGGCGGCGAGAGCCAGAAGGGAGCGCGTGCCCTCGACATTGGTGTGGTAGAAATCGGACCGCGGGCCGGTAGGGAAGGACGCGTTTGGAGACGCGAGGTGGAATACGACAGTGGGCGTGATTTGCTTGAGCAGCTGTTCCAGGAGGCTGTGATCGGTGATGGTGCCGACCGTGTAGTGCGCGCCACTGTGACGGTTCTTGTCGACGACGCGGTCCACCACGTGGACTTCACCCACTTCGAAATCGTCCAAGAGCTGACGGACGAGGGCATATCCTAGGAATCCGCACCCACCAGTGACGAGGACGGTGCCCAGAAGCGGCAACTTTACATCCGCTGGCATTGCTGTTTTACCATGGAGATACTTTCGCGGCTACGTCGGGATATGAAAGCCGTGGGGAAACAGGAAAGTTGAGATAAACCCAGTGTTGGGCCTGGATGAGCTTTTGAGTCCAAGTGCGGATTACAGTACATACCTGGCAAATTGATGCCTGTCAGTGCCCAGCGGCTCGAGTCCGAGCTGGCTCCGAAGCAACCAATCGGCGTCAAGGTGCGTCGCAAGGCCCCTGTAAAATGGATCCGCCCGTCCAAGCTTGGATTAGAATTGAATGAATTCTTTACAACTCAGCCCCTGTTCGTTTTTTTAGCGTTCAATTTCTCGCTGTATGGTAGGGGTTAGCTCCGCCGAAACTATGACGAAGCGATAAGTATGCCTGACAAGAAACAAATAGAATTTCCGGGCCAATATGTTCCGGGCCAATATGTCCTAGAAAACTAGCCTTTAACTCCTTTTCAATCGACTCCTCGTTTTCGGACTCTAACTATTCAGACCACAGAAGCCGTCGCCAACTTGAAAGCATCCACAGATACCTGGAGGTTGTCAAGTAACTCAGTCCAATTCTAGCCCCGAATTTGTCCAACTTCAAACACAACCCACGCTCCCATTCTTGCCGTCTCCCGCAAGTTTGTCAGATGCTACCACACAGGCATGCCCCCGGGCCGACAATCCGTTGCAGGGTGAGTGAATCACCAGGATAAATGGCGCACAATATTACTAACTTGTGCGGTTATACAGCGACCATTGATACCTGGAAGCGACCAATTCTCTGGCCCAACGTACCGAGATATCCACCAGCACGCCTAGTAATTGTCCTCCAGAACGTCCAGAGCAGTTATTATTGTTGAACTGCGTGCCTGGCAGGCCCGTGAGAGAGCACCTGTACAGGGTGCTACAGTAGGCTCGGTACTGTAGCTGACGGAGCGGAAGCGGTAGCGAAGGCGGGGAGCCAAGTGCAGGGTAGGTTGACGGGTTCTGCAGGGCAGACTGTAGGGAACTGTGCCCTGTAGAACTGTGCCCTGTAGTCCAGTACAACAGTGGCTTGTGTAAGGCACCGAGTGAAGCAGGTTGAATGCTACAGGCCTGCTACTTAGACTGTGAGGACTCTGCTCAGCGGTCTACCTCGTGGGCTGCAGGGAACTCTGCCCTGCAGTCAGGGTCTTCGGGGGGCAACAGAAGGTGCTGGATAAGACTGAGAAGAGCTGTATTATAGAGAGACTATAGTACAAAGAGTGGTGAGTGCGTTGCTTGCTTGCTTGCTTGCTTGGAAGAATATCTATCCAAGGGAAAGGACAGGCCTTAATATAGACCTAAGGCAGGCCCTCTAGAAGGTTCTAGAGGTCTACAAGCTACGTAAGTGGCCCTGTACTCGACAGTCTTCTAGTGGGCTTGTCTTACGTACGCCTAGGCTTGTAGGAGGTTCGAAAACGAGCTGTGGAGCTTAGTTAACAATTTGGGCATGTGCTCATAACACTAACCACAACAACACAGCCACTATAGTGTCTTACACCTTAGGACCCTACAACCCCGGTAACTAGCCATACTTTAACAAAAGACAAGACGGGAGTTATAGATAGGGATCCTAAAACTGGGATTAGTTCAGATACGGTAAGTATAGCCAGGACATCCCTGGGACTCACTTCGGCGCAGGGTAATTTCAGTACGCCTCAGCTTTTGCTCAGGTTCCAAGCCCAATACGGATTTGGCCAAAAAACGTTGTCGGGATGACTGTAGAGGTACGGTACAAGGTATACGTACGAATAGGGTGGGCGCCCCGATCAATTTCCTCGAAAAAGGATGATACCAGGTACCCGGGCGCTTCGGGGCGCTTCGGGCTGTACTGCAATTTTAACATCCAAGGAGGGTACTGAGGAGCCTGAGGCATCAAGATTTTGGGTAGGTATCCCAAAAGACTGTCACTGGCACACTGCTCACCATTGTCATGGCCGTTTCTAGCTCTCGGCAGCCGCCGCCAAGGCGCTTGCCAATAGTCTTGGCCGCTCTTGCCTGCGCGCCAGCCCAACGACTGCAATACGTTGGACACTCCAGCACTGGTAAAAGCCACTTTCTGCACCTCGGCTTTCAGCTGGCTTGTTTGGGCAATCCTCTTCATGTGCCCGCAGAACAACCCGCTTCAGGCCTAAGTCTCAGCCTGAACTCGATGCGTTACTAACATGGAACTGCCGCGATTCCTCGTCTCTCGCGACCTTTATCCTGCCACTGCTGTGTGTGGTTATTGTTTGACTTTTGACAAAGAAGTTGTTCACCATGTGCGACACGGTTTTCGGCTTTGGCGAGGGCTACGGCTACTATCTTGAACGTCCCAGCCGGCGTTGTTTGTACGTTCGGAATCTCCCAATCAGGTGTCAGCTGCATCGGGTCTTGAACCCAGTGGCGTCCTTGGTACATCTGAGCCTGAAACAATCACATCCCCGACCATTGGCCTTGTCGGCGCTTACGCTCGGCTCTGGCTCAACTAAGCTCCGCGGCCTAGGCTCAGCCGTAGAAGAAGAGTCTCTCCGACGCGACCAGAGCCTCGTCCTCGACAACCGCCCATGCGCGATTTTCGTCAGATATCTCGGTTTGTTGTCTTTGCTATCGAAATATTCACTTCGAGCCGCGCCTTTGCAATGGTAAGAAACCCCGTAGCCTGATGTATCTTGAGGGAGGGCGGAAGGCAGCGCAGCGCGACTGCATGCTAAGATGCCGCAAACTCTAACCGAAGTTGCTGCTGGGACGGGGAAGGATGGTAATGGGACCCCCGCGATCGAGTAGGTTCAAATCTGTTCAGTCCCCTCCCATCCTGACGGCGAGATTCTAAAGTACTGTCTGACGCCAAGTCGCCTAATAGCATTGTCGCGGTCCATGGTCTGAATCCGAAAGCGAAGTCCAACCACGCGTGGCGGACCTGGACGACGAATTCTGATCGGCTGTGGCTTCGGGATGATTTACCGGAAGCCTTCCCCGACGCTCGCGCTCTCATATACCAGTACGACTCCGTACCGGTTCTCATGAGCACGAAGACCCGGCTGGTGCAGCAAGCTACCGATCTGCTATACTGCATAGATATGGAGCGGGATACTGTCAGTCACCATCTCTTGGCGACGCGAGGGCTCGGTCATGGTCCGCTTACTTGTGCCTAGTGCCCTACCAGGCCGCTCATTTTCGTGGCGCACAGCTTGGGTGGAATACTGGTAAAGCATGTCAGGGGCTACCTTAACTACCCAGGTACTTAGGGTACCTGGGCACTGCGTGCTGCATTACGTGAGGATCAAGACTAAGAGTAGAGCTAGGCCTTGGTGAACGCCGCCAACAACCCCGAGTACACGGCCATAAAGCAATCAACGTAAGAACTTGTGTCTTCAACCGAATTGGGCAAACTATTATAGCAATTTACCCGGGCTCACATCCAGCTAGGCGCGGTCTTGCTTTCTTTGGCACGCCCCACGCAGGCGGCAACGAGACGCTGGTCTCTTTTGGGAGCAAATGCGCCGTCGTTGTCAACTTCGTCAATCACTCGAGCGCTAACGACCTCGTGGGTGCCGTCAAGCGCGGCTCCCAATATGCTGACACGCTAGCTGAGAGCTGGAAGCATCAGCTGACCGACTACCGCATCGTCTCCTTTTATGAAGGCATCGGAAATGTCAGTGCAAACGCCCCGTCCTGAACGCCCTCACCAGCTTTTAGCCCTCCCGTACTAAAAGTCCTTGCCAAGATTGTTCCCCGGGACTCGGCCGTCCTTGGAATGCCCGGTCTCGTCGAGACGGTGGCCCGCATTGATGCGGATCACTCCAACATCTGTCGCTTTGACACGAGCGTCCCGGAGGATATGAATAATTACAAGAAGGTCCAGCACGGACTCGGCAAAATTTGCCAGGCCGCTCTAAGGCTGCCGCCGTTTACACCGGCTGCTCAGGCATCTAATACTCAGACAAGTGAGTGAGGTAGAGGAGGGATGCGGGAGGGGAGGTGACTGTACTGTTACAGTATCTGGATCCAGGGATCCCACTTCTGGCGATATCTATTCCATGACGCTCAACTGACCATTGGTTTCGCTCAGATAATGTGGCACGGGATGATATCATGGTCGCTTCAATGGACCTTCGGCATCGTAGCACAAACGGCAGTGAAACCGAGGAGCAAATCCCCAAACTGCTCAACGCCATGTCTGTGCTTCGGCTCGTGGCAAGACACAGCACCGGCGATGATGCCATGCCCAGACCAGACCAGCAGCTTTTTGACTAATCTCAGATGCTACCTCAGTTCCTTCGTTCCTTTAACCACTTCGACTACAAAGCAGCGTTTGAGGAAATCAGCCAGTTGAAATACCCTTATACATGTGTTGGAATTTGTCAAGCAGAAGGGCCTCGAAGGTTCTAGATAGAGACTTCGCCACCCACTTCGCCACCACAATAGTAGTATAAGAACGGGCTTTCTGGCACTGCCAGAAAGCTAGAGAGAAGAACACACAACGAATCCATCACTTGAACCACCAGTTTACGGCGCGCAGCGCGCCCTGTTGTTTCCAGTACCGGTACCCTGGTGAATCCAACAACATGCGACTAGATTTTCGGCACTAGCGAGGTTGCTTGGTGGGCAAGAGGCCGCGAGTCACGCCTTCTATGGTTCAGCGGCTACCCCGGGATTGGGAAGTCTATGCTAGCCACGCACTTGGTTCAGGAGCTCTCATCACCGGAAAAGGATCGCCGCGAGCTTCTTTAAATCCCCTTCAAGTCGACAGTCCTCTATGGGATGTGTCACCACCAGAAGAATTACTCAGCGAGCATGGTCATATCGACGCTCATCCATCAGCTGCTCAGGCAGTATCACACTCTCCAGGCCTTCGCTTACGAGACCGATAAGCTGGATTGCTTGGGGAGCAACAAGTCCAGCATCATGAAGGGAAAGCACAGGTCAGCATCCATACTCTGGCATCTCCTGTTCGAGATGATCCAGAACTCCGGAATGAACATGATATACATCATCATCGATGCCCTGAACGAGTGCCAGGAAGGCTCGGCAAATGAGCTCGTCCGGCTATTCAGCTTGGGATTTCAACGGGGCAACTCGGCCAAGACGCCTGATCACAGGCCGGCCGGGAAACTCCGCGGCCACTATCCAGTCTCAGTGGAACACCAAGTATCCCGGAACCTTTCTGCACATGTCAGCACTAGACTTTGATAACCAGATCAACGGGGACATCAAAAACTTTGTGCGCATGGAGATGAAGAGGATACGGCGCCTCCGCGGCTATTCCGGCTCGGAGGTGGAGCGCATCGAGAAGCAGCTGGCCGAGAACGAGAGCAAGAACTTCCTCGCCGTCTCTCTGATCTTCAAGCAACTCGAAAAGGTAGCGCCCTCCCAGCTCGATGGCGTCCTTGATGGGGTCTCCAATGACCTCGGCGAATTTTACCGCAGCCTGGTGTCGAAGCTTCCGGCACATCTCCGGTCCGAGCCCTCTTCACTTGTGACCCGTGTCATGTACAGCCGCCGGCCCTTCACGCTCGCAGAGCTAGCATACGCGATCGACGGACAACAGCGCGGAGCGGGGAGCCAAAAGGTGGTGGCCGATGACGATATCTCCCGTGCGAGATCTAGAATCGAGATGTTTTTCCCCGCCCTTAAGATCCACCAAAACAACACACTGTCTTTTTTCCACTACACTATCCGCGACTTCATCCTCAAGCAAGCCTCATTTGGCAGGACCAATTTTTTCGTTTCGAGCGGCAAGACTGGCCATCGAGACTTGGCCATCCTCTGCCTGCGTGAGATTATCATCCGATGCGGCATGGAGGTCGCGCCATGTTACACGAGCCCTCGCCTCCAGGAGAGCGTCGTCTCCAGCCACACGTTCCTCTCCTACGCCATACATTTCTGGCATATGCACCTGAGAGAGGCGGTTCCGCCGGATACCCCTGTCGACCAGATCTATAGTGAGGCGGTCGTGAGCGTGAAGGATCTCGTAGAGCTCTGGAAGGACCCGAAGACCAAGAACTACCGCCAACTCATGATCTCGTGCTGCGGGCTCAAGACACTCGAGCATCGGGACTCGGACCCCGTGCCCCTCGAGATCCTCAGCGCCATTGGCGCCGAACCTATGCTGCGCCTGTACCTGAGAAAGTGCGAGGAAGCCGCCACCATTCCGGTGGTACGCCCTTACGCCGCAAGGGTGATCGGGGTGGCCATCAAGGAGGGCAACGAGGACGTCCTGGCCACCCTCCTCGACGCGTTCGAGATCAGCTCGCTCGATGGTGAGGAGTACGCCACCGCCCTGCAGGATTCGGCCTGGAGCGGCAAGCCCCGGATCGTCGAGAGGGTGCGCAAGCTGCGCCGCAACCGCACCCGCCAGGTCATCTCAGCCCTCATTGCCGCCTTCATCCAGGGCGAGCAGGCCAGCCTGGACCACCTGGCCGAGGACGGCTCCCTCTTCGTAGACCGCAACCACTTCGGCATGACAGCGCTGCACGCACTCTTCGCCTACGATAAGACCGACAGCAACCCCATAGGCCAGCAGAATTACGCCAAGGCCATGGGCATCGTCAGGGCCATCGCCTCGTACTTGCTCCAGCACGGTGTCGATATCGCCGCGCGAGACCACTTCGGCTTCACCGCCCTGCACTGGGCCTTCAAGACCACCTACTTCTGCGACCGGCATATCATCTAGTTCCTCGTCTCGCGCGGTGCTGAGCCCCACCACCAGAACATCACAGGTCTCACCCCCCTGCACCTGGCGGCCTACCGCACGCGCAACGCCGACGCTATCAAGTGTCTCCTTGAGCTCGGCGGCAGTAGCCTCATCAGCAAGGTCTCGCACGGCGTGATGACCCCGCTGCACTGGGCTATGACACGCCGTAGCCCGGTGATGGTTCTCCACGATGGGTGGGAAGCCGAGTACACGTATGAGATCATCAGGACGCTGCTGCGCGCCGGTGCAAACCCACTCGCGGTAAACCGCTGGGGCCTGACGGCGGTCGAGTACGCACGCATGTGCCGGTACGACTGGCAGTGGATCTTCGCCGGTCTAGACGGCGTCGACTACATCAGCATCACGTACTCTGCGAGCCCGCAGGAGCTCATGTGGCAAGCCTGGCACCGCGTCGACGACGTGGTGGCGGTCAGCATCGCGGCGAGGGGCCCGCGAAACCACGGGGCTCTCGAGAGCGCCGAAGGGGACCGCCAACAACAACAACAACAATTACAGCCTATCGGGCTTGTACATGCCCTTGAGGTGGACGCGGTGAATCTGGACGAAATTTCCGAAGACGAAGCCATACAGGGGCGCGTGGAGGTCCAGATGCCAGTATCGCTCGTCGATCCCAGAACCGGAGCGTGGGGGCGACTCATTCGGCTACGGCTTGGTCGAGCCGCTCAATATGACAGCCGCGCCGAGCGAGGTCAGGGTACATGGCTTCTTCGGAAGCTACGACGCCGTCATTAGGAGCCTGGCCAAGCTGCGCCGCAACCGCAGCGGGCTGGTATACGGTAGTGGGGTGCAGCGGGACCTGCAGACGGGGTTGGTGGACGGGTTTAGGGGGGCGTCGCCAGCCCAGTTGGGGAAGCTGGCATCTGTTAGCAACCCTCCGTGGAACCATTGGGCCGGCCGAGAGACCCCGAGTATGCAGCCGAGACCCAACTTCGTCTCTTGCGGTCAAAGTGGTATGTCAAGTTTTCTATTCCTTTCCCTCCCCCTGACGGTGGCGCCCGACCTTTATTTACTGGATACTGTCTGTAGCATTGCAAGCCTTGGACTATTTCATCCCCATTTCCCCACAAAAAGGTAAAATTACTTACTGGTTGATTCGGAGGCTGAACCATCGCGTTCGTCTACAATAAGAACGGATGTGCCAACCTTACGCAAAACCTGCAAGTTTGTTGTTACTAGAGATGGAGCTAGACTAGGGGGGAGGTATTAACGGCTGGGGGGTTGACGATAAGCAGATTACTGTCGGAAGAAGGTGCGCCACGTGACGTAATTGACCATTTCCGGCCACAATGTAGCCTGATCTACATTTTCGAACAAAGGCTCCATTTTCATCTAAGTAGCAGCGCACCTAGGCTATACAGGCCGCTCTTCTTCTTCCTAATACAAGCACTCTTTTGACGACGTTTTCTTGCACCGTTGTATGCGACAATTACTTGCCCTGTGGAGCCGGAGAACAAGTCAGGGGGGGCTCACCTCATCACGCCGAGCCTGAGTCAAGTGAAATCCCCGCGGTGAGAGGGGGAGAGCGAAGTTTCTGCTTCATCTTTCGAAAGGATTTTTTTCAGCGTGTTATGAGCTCTGCGGCAGATTGTGGATGAAACTGACGATAGCCTTTATTTCGGTTCTGTATGTATCAAGTGGGCGTAGTTGAAGTTTCCAAATCAACCGCTCTATGTCCACCGCAATTATGCAATAAACACTATCGCTGATTGATGAATAAAATCGTAGGGCTTTACTGTAGCTGACGCGGTGGGATGCAAGGAAAAACCTTGCAGCGGGTCAACGCTCTGTCGTGGGCATCTTAGCCTCAACCGAGGATAATCATCTTCCTTGTGAACCCTCCAAATGCAACGGAAATACCACTAAATTCGGCAAGACCAGGATAGATGAGCAATTTAAGGAAGGATGAAGTGGGGTTACAAGGAGTCTGTAAATGGTACTTCACTAGGTGGATATCCGCAGGCGGAACAAGACGCTTCTCAGTTCACTTGGTTGCAAAAGCCACCAAATCCTTTGAGTCAATCCCGCTAGGCATCTTCTATGTCTAATCATACCGTTTCGCCCTTCTCTATACTATCAGCCCACCTACTTATCGTTTTCACCTGTAGCCCCTCACATCCCGAGATTGCCTGGAACAGGTCAATCTCGGCGTGACTTTTTTCACGTGGCTACTCTAGCCACCTCAGCTTTTCCTTCATTATCCAAGTCGGCCTTCCCTGCCGCGACGACAGACTTGTTAGATAACTGATCCGCATCGAGGGATCTATCCCGCCGCGGCTCCTCATGAAACTTAGGTAACTTAGTCAGCATCCACAGAGGCACTGCCGAGACGCACCCCAGTCCAGGATGGCCGTGATCCCCCCTTGTTCATTCGCTGGAATGTTTTTTAGATGAAGGTCGTGGTGGTAGAGTGCTGTCGTCTTTGGCTCTTCTAGGGCTGGAAGGAAGAACTTGGGAACAAGAGCGAGTAGCTTCCACGCCACAGACAATACGTTCTTGGCGTCTTCTCCGTCATCTTCGTCTTCCGAGTTCTCCAGGACGGCGGTTTGGTGTCGCAGGATAATGTCCAGCTCGACGTTCAGCTAGTCATGGCTAGGACAGAAGGTACCCCGCGGAATATTGTAAGAAACGTGGTCGCCTATTCAGAATTCGCTGGGCACCAGTACACCGGGAGCGACCTTTTCCGAATCTTCAGCGCCGCGATTGTAGATATCTGATGTCCCTATGCTCCTGAATATGGCTTCTGGCTTCTTGAGTCCTAACATCTCTGCTTACGGAGCGTTCTGCACCCCTGAGCCAGGATCGTAACATTCTCCTCTCCCTAGCTATTTTTTTCTTCATTATCTTCGGTAGTTGTTTTCAGTAACACGAGTAAAAGAGGAAATCAGTTTGAAGTTTCCCAATATAATAAGTTATCGATGTATCTATATCAACTAGCTAGAGAATTGAGATCTAATATAGACGATTGTTGGAATGACAAGGTCATTCGTTCCATAGTCACTGCAGTAACCGATGCGAATGGGGTGGTTGTGGTGGTTGTATTCTGGTCTGCTCTATGTAGAAGGATCACGAACTACGGTAACAGGGTACGCATTGGATTTGGCGATGCCCGGAGGCTACGTGATGGTTGCGCCTCGGACACGTACCGCATAGCGGCCCGTGTGCTGGTCAGCCACTGAGGCTGTGCATCCACCCCGTTGACTGGTAGTTCCCACAACGATCTACTTAAGATGGATAGAAATAATTGAGAAATTTCTTAAAAAGGCTAAAAAGCTAATAATAGAGATAATAGAGATAACTATAAACTAGGCTCGAACGAATAGATTCTTAAAATGGGCGGGTAAGTACTTATACGCTCCTCGGCGGTCCTAGTTTTGGGCCTAGCTATAGTATAAGTGCTTGCCTCGCGAAAAGTTACCGATTCTCATCTTCTGGGCCTAGAATACTACTTATCTAGTCTAAACTAATTTCAGTTACCTCTCTAATGGTTTTGTGAGTGTCGCCTGCGCAAAAGCTGCCAGGGGTGTTGTGGTCTGGAAGGGTTGAGGAGAGCAAGATTCGGGAAATGTAACAGCAGCAGCAACAACCCGGCCCGGAGATAGGCACAGGCGATGTGGGGTATCAACTACAACAACTCCTTTAGCATGACACGCGACGTGTGCACGATCTGCGCTAGAGAGAGCGGGCTCTGCGACTGTGCCTTTGCCAACTACCGGCAGGAATACAAGCTCCCGTGATGCGGTACCTGCGAAGCAGCGCAGGTCGTGACTATTAAATTGAGTTCCAACCCCTCAAGCTGCTAGGTATGCAACGTAGCTCTCCATCTCTGAGAAAATTACTATGACTCTGTCCCATCTGTCCCATCTGTCTTATAGCCATACTCATAGTCATGTACGCTTCGATTAGGCACGCATGCGAAAAGTACCACATCGCAGCATCATGATACTAACAGTCACCAACAACGCCAGTCAAGTTCCATCAGGCTCCCGCGTCACAGCGCACACTCACAAGCCGTACAACACCTCGCAGTCTCGGCATATCCCAATGTTCTCGCGATACGTCTTCTTGGCGTGGCCGTCCTCGTCTCTGTCCGCGCAGTACGTCCAGCCTGTGTAGTACCCGCCGTGCCCGCAGTAGTACCCCCACACGCGGCGGTGGCACATTTTGCTTGCCAAAAGGGCAGAGCGCTGGCAAGTAGGTAACTGGAGGGGAAATAGAAGGTTGATGATTATGTGAGTTCTCAGAATAAAAATGCAATGTTCTGTCCAGGGAAATTCTTTGGCGAGAATTGGAGTGAGATGGACGGATAGAAACTTTAAAGAGCTTTCTCAAACAGAATCTACACTGCTATATTATATGTCTTGACAAGTGGCGATGGGTAATTATAAGTGACCTAACTGTGGAAGTCGCACCTTCACCAGACGAAATAAAACAAACACATGCAAACAGGTCTCGTGAGTTCCGGCTATTACTTGAGCTGGTGTTGAAACGAGAGACACAGGAAGTTTCAACAAGTATTGTTCTTCTTGTAACCACGATGACTGTTTCGGAACAAAATAGCCAGATGCCGGACGACCTATTATCGTATTACTCGAATAGGTGATGAAGTCTGGTGAATCAGACCGGCTAGAAAAAGCACGACAAAGTCGCCTGTCAGGAAAGATACGAGTATAGGCAGAGAATGAAACCTACCAAGGACCTACCTAGCTGTCAACGTGAGTTACGTGATGGAGTGGTACTGACGGTTTTCGCATCATAGACAGCATCAGAAAGTGCAATGCCGCAGAGAATTTAAAACAATCATCCAGAATTCCAGAATTCCCTCGTCGAGAAGAACCGAAGAGATTCCTACGGCAGCGTACTTTAATTAGATGTTTTCTCCCAGTTCAAACTTTTCCAACGTTATAGTCTGTCCCTTCGTTTGTGCAAGGTTTACGGAGTATCGCCGATAACTTTTATTAGTAGCAAGGCGCGAAAGAAAGTGATTGTTTTCCAGAAAAGGCAATCCTTCCCTTTCGAACCACCACCCATGTCATTCACCCCCTGCAACTCCGTTTTCCCTGGCGTTTTTAAGCATAACAAGGGGGCGATCTAGCAAATTTCGGTAATGTTCATTATCCCTGTAAATCTTGGGGACATGATATTGTTTGTTTGTTTCAGCACCAGGGGCAGGCAGGCAGGGCGGCAGCGAACGCGATCCTTCCTTCCAATTACTGACGCAGATACCGTCTAGAACTCGTGAGTATACGAGGCGGCGAATCATGGCCCGTTTGGTTTCTCCACTGGTTCAGTCAGTCACTCAAATCATCGCCGCCGCCGTCATCGGCGCCTTCGCACATATGCACACACCACACACGCACTTGCAGCAAACTTGTCATCGACTGCTGCGTCGTTTCACCGCTGAAACTGCAAACTCCAATCCATGGCTCAAACGACGTCCTTTTGTGGTCAATTGTAGCCATTAATTACAGTACTTTTTTTGGCCCCGACAAATAAAACCAATGGCAGTCAAAGTTCAAAACACGCTTGCTGGGATCGCTTAATAGACGCGCTGCTAGTAGGAACAGATGGGTGATGAAGGAAATATGTAGTGCGCTATGCAAGATGGATAGATAGACATCATTATGTGTGTAAAATAAATCGAAGAAAAGAATGCGTGCCAGGCGAGCTTTTTGAAGCAGTCACTAGTAGTCAAGGAGTGTTCCCAGGCCGCTCACCCCCTAAAGTGCGGCAGGGTCCTCAAGCCGGTGCTGTTGCCAGCGTCGACGCCCGTGCTCACCGCCGCGTTGGGCGCAGAGCGCAGGGGCGGGCCCTTGCGCGCGACGGGGGGCATCTTGCCGAGGGCGGCCATGGCTTTTTGCTCTTCGGCGGCGCGGGCGGCGTCGGATGGCGGAGGGTTCTCGGCGTCGATGCGGGCGGCGGCCTTGTCGGCGGCGAGGCCGGCGAGGCGGTCGTTGGCCTCTTGCTCGGACATCATGACGTTGAACAGCGGGCGGCCCTCCTGGCCGAGCGGGCCGCCGTCGGGGCGGGCGATGGGGACCTTGCGCAGGGCGGCGACGAGGGCGCACATGAACTTCATGCTGCGGGCGGCGCGCAGCGGCTCGTTGGCGAAGTTGGTGCGGTGCGTGAAGACTACCTTGAGCTCGAGTTTGTTGAGCTCGTGCACGTTGACGATGGCCATGGCTAGGTTGGGCAGGTAGTCGCGCTTGTTGTCGGGGTGCTTGAGGAAGGCCTCGAGCTCGGCGCGCAAAAAGGTCAGGTCCCTGAAGGACGTGCGGATGTCGATCATCATGGACACGTGCTGCCGGTTGGACCCGCTCCGCGTCACGTTCTCGATGCGGCACTGCTGCAGGAACTCGTTGGCCACCTGCATCTCGGTCCAGTTGTCGACGCGCCGGAACACGGTGTAGAGCAGCGACGTGCGCTCGACGAACAGCGACACGGACTGCGGGTTCTGGTTGCTCCACAGCTCGACGCGGTCGCCAATGTCGTACGGGTGGTCGAACAGGATGAAGACGCAGCCCGACAAGAAGTGGTGCACGGTGCGGCCGACGGCAAAGGATAGGCCCACGACGAAGAACTGGATGGTGGCCTGGATGTCCTTGATGGTCGGCACCCAGAAGACAAGAATGAAAATGGTCATGATCGTGGCCAGGAACCCGCAGCCGATCCAGTCGAACGTGTTGATGTTGTGCTCGGACGCATGCATGCTGCGGTAGATGGCGTTGCGGACCTTGCCAGCCTCGACCACGGCCCACTCCATCTCGTCGAGGCGGATGTCGCCCATGTCGCCCTGGTCGAGGGCCTTGAAGTAGGCGGCGGCGTCGTCCTTGCGGAAGGGGCCCAGCACCTCGGCAATGTCCTGCGCCGTCAGCACGTCCTTGCCCAGCGGCACCATGGACATCCAGATGCGCCTCGCCAGCGCGGCGGCCGACTTGGGGTTGGCCACGGCGCGCTCGACGATGGCGTAGCTCGAGGCCGGTCGCAGCCAGTGCGACTTGCCGTCGCTCGACAGGAAGTTGCCGAAGAAGGATGTCATGGCGTAGCTGTCGATGCCCAGCCGCGCCAGGTACCGCGTCACGCGTACCCGGTACTCGCCGTGCTCGGCCCCGGTGGCGTTGCCGATCATGACATCCTCGTCAGCGAACTCGGGCGTTCCCACCGGGTACAGGTACGTCGAGGCCTCGTAGAGCGCCATGAGGGCGTTCTGCGTGTCTTTAGAGTGCGAGATGCGTTTCAGGTCGGACCGGAAGTGGTAGTGAATTGTGATATACAGGATGATAATCTTCTCGACCACGTAGAAGCCGGCCCAGAGCAGGCCCTGCTGGAGGAAGTCGTCAAAGAGAGAAGCCCAGAGCAGCTGGCCATCGGACAGGTTGTAGGCAACAGCTAGATCATCATTGAAGACGATGAACTGGAAGCCGACAAATGAGGCAACGTGTTAGTTTACAACCGCACGACGTAGCAAACCCAAAACACCGCAGGTGCTACATACCTTTTCGAATGTGGCGTACGAGGCAACTACAAAGCCAATGACGGTGATGGGCTTCCGCATGACGCGGATAATCCTCCAGTACCGGGCGTGGGCCGGGTTCACGTATCTGGCAACAAAGCGGAAAATGTAAGGCAGGGCACAGCCAATGCCGTAGGCAACGCAGCCGCCGAGCCATGAGACCTCAAGCCACAGGAAGAGCCAAAAGACGAGCTGGCGGGTCTGGCGCTGGTCGGCGGCATCGATAGCGTCGTCGTCGAGGTCCTTGTTGTTCATCGTAACAAAGATAGGGATGGCTAGGAGCAGGCCTGGGACAGCCATGATGATCAAGTACTTGAGGGCCCACGACACATACTTCCACAAGTATGCACGGTACGAGCCGAAGGCGGTCCGGTGGTCGTCGGACACGGGCTTGTCGTTTGGCAGCGAGTTGCTGTCCTTGCCATTGGCTATCGGCATGGTGCCGAAGACGTCGCCGCCACCGACCGTGGAGGCGCTCTTCTCCATGTTGTTTGCGCCGACCGGGCGGCGGGTTCCGGAGCGGGTGGTACTGCACAGAACTAGGCCAGAGCCAAAAGGGGGCCGATGTGTTGCAGCACAGTCAGCCGGGAGGAACTTGCTCCCAGAATCGAATGGCCAGCACGCAACGCAGCTGCTGATGCTGGAGCAAAGGTTGGATGATGACGAAGGAAGTGAGAAAGAAAAACCGCTAAACGTGACGGGCCTGTCTGCAATTATGAGCGAAGAAGGGATGTCGAGCCTCATACGCCGTAAGCGGCACACCTCTTTTGGGGCAAGGCCCATCCAACGCATCGGTGTGGGCTGATGGCAATGGCAGGGGAGGGGAGGTGCGGGTGCAGATGCAGATGCAGATGAGCTCTGGGATCGGGGAGGCCCCAAACCTAGCACCAATCCAAGCCATGACTTTGCAGGCGAGAAAACGGCACCGTTAGACTTGGCAGAGAGAGTTCTCCAGTGCGGCCGTACCGGTTGGACGGAGCCGTGTTCTGTGATTACTATTCATCAGTATCCGGAGTGGACAGCTCAGGGGTTTGTTAGCGCTGTCTGCACGCGGGACGACTACCTCGAAGAAATCCAAGCGAACATCGGCCGAATGGTCATTTTCAGTGTGAATAGGCCTCGAAGAGCCACCACTTCTTGAGAAACACCTTTCATGGCGAACCGTAATCGAGGGCCGTCTCTCGTCTTTCCGCGGATTTGAAACTCAGCAATGGCAAACGGTTGCCAGCTGACGTTGCCGGACTGAGGCAGAGGCGCGATCCAAGTGCCTATTCTGGAACGCACACGCGAAAGCTTATCGTGATTTGACGAGCGCCACAGGGGTTGCAACCAAACAATTGGCTGAGGTAGGGTGCTGTGGGCGATCGCGCCAAGCCATCCAACCGACAGCTTAAATTCTTCCATCTCTTCCCCTGTCGTTGTCAGCACAGCCCGACCAAGAATCCTGCTGCCTGCCCGCTAGAGACTTGCCAAGCAAGTTTCAGCGAGTGATCCCTGGATCGGGCTTGTCTCGTTGGTAATCGAGCCCTGAATTCGGGAGCTGAATAGCTGCTAACAAGCGTCGAGAGACTCGGGGCGGGTACACACGCCAAAGTGAAGTGTACCTGGAGACTTGAAGTATTGATGACGGTTTCCCAGAAGTCGTCAATTGCTCAGGCAGCTGTGCGCAGTGCACAGTTGGTGGTTTGTGGGGCCGTGGCTAAGCGGCTGATGGTACTGATGACAAGCCTGCTGACAGAGAAGACGATATTTTGGGGGGCCAATCAGCACGTGCTTGGCAGTGCTTTGTCTCTCCTGCAATCTTTGCTCTCCACTCGGCCCGCACGCCCGCCGAGTTTCGGCGTGCGCCTCAATTTCCTCTCCCCGCATTTCTCCTAGACGGGGCTTGTTCAAGATTTGAAGGTGAGGGATCCAAATTCAACAGCTACGAACCCAAGACTATTTATCGCCACCAGCATGCAATACAGTGCTACCGCATCTGTTGCAGAGGAAAATAATAGAGGAAATCGGGTGCATCAAACTCAAATCACCCCCTCACCGCTCTGGAAGTCTCCAAAAAGGGTATCTTCAGCTACGGATCCGTAGTTACATCGTTAACTAACTTTCATACTCCCCCCAGCAATGTCAGATTTTAGTACCATCACACTTCCCGCGGACGGCAAGCACTCCATCCTCCTCTCGCGCGTTCTCGGGCGAATGAGTACTAGGTTAAGGCCTGTGCGACGTGCCGCAGTTTGGGTTCGTCACATGACAGAATAATAATGAGAGCCTCGAGTTTCTATGAACTAGACAAAAACTGAAACTAGGCAAGGCCAAGAAGACTTGGTTCGCACGTGCCGTTGTCTGGACAATCCTCTTGCTGCATAGAACCCCTTGTCTGCCTACCTCATTTTTCAGGAGGATCTTGAACAACATCAAAAACAGACAACAGGAAATTCGGTTTCCCGTTTCTGGTTCTAGTCAGTCTCAAAGCTTTGAAGTTCCTTCGTAGTATTAGACTGGTAATTGAGGTGGCGTATGGGCCCTTGTGCAGTCTTCGTTTTTGCGAAAGGCGTGACAGAGGCCGCGGCAATAATATTCCTCTCTATATTCCCGCTCAATTTAACGGTCGCTTGATGCAAAACCAAAAAACATGTTGTCCCTGTCCTTTGGGCCCAGGTCTCCGAGATTGAGCTTGTGGATGGGACCAAGGACGGTTAGTTGATTAATAATCGTTGCGCGAGTGCGATAGATTATTGTACCTGAAACAGTGAAACTACGATTATCTGCGTACCTATTCACATATTGTGTTATGTTTGGTCCTATCTCCACTTGCACTTGGGGCACCTAGATACCTCTACCTCGGTTAACAGACGAATCTATTCTCATATACTTTGCTTCGACCGCCCCCTCTTAGTTCCGACATGCCACAGTTTCGTTGCCGACCGCCGACACATTGTGGTGGCGCTAATGCGCTACGGAGATCGGCCGCGTCATGTTCCGGGAGGCGAAGAACGGCGTGTGAGGACGGGGTAAGGTGAGCAGAGGGGTCATGGCCCGAATTCATGCCTTTATGTATTAAGCTCAATGCGGCTTGGCGAACACTCTTTGAGAATTGGAATCTTGTTGCGGTTAAGGAATTGGCGAGAGGAGTTCGTACAGAAGCAGGCGACTTTTTCATATTACTGTGTCATGGTTACGCACATTCTTTTGGAAAGACATTTGCAATTCGAAGTAATTAGCGAAGAAACTCGATAATAGGCCTTCCCCAAAGAGGTAAAAGACGTTGGAGACTTCTTCAAATACCTCAAAACAATGGAGCGGAGAACTCACATCATGGCGATGTGGTTTTGCAATGTCAACGGTGTGGTATAAAATGAGACGCAAGTCGTCAATTTCCGCCGGATGCTCGAGCGGCCATATTTGTGTGTCACACAGAATTCGGTTTGGTTTTAAGATTTGCAATGTCTTTGCTTTGCTCCGCAAGAATCCAGACAGAGAATCTAAGGGCTGTCCCTCCTCGGTAATACAATAATTAATGAGGGTGGTGTCGGAAAACGAGACCCATCTGGTGGCTCTGAGAGGAGAAAGAACAAAGGTTCGTCCAAGAGGTAGTGCAAGAAAAAGAGCGATTGAGGGAAGGAAAGAGAGTACTAGCAGAGGAAGGAGATTTCTGAGAAGAAAAGGAAGGCGCAGACTACCAACCAAGATCACGTCATAGCAAGGAGAGGAGATGCACGCACTATCGACTTTGTCAATCCCAAGGATGTTGTTAGCCTCGAGATGAATAGATAACTACTCGCAAGTTCTTTCCTTTTCCTTGTCCTGCAAAAACCTGATGCTCGCAGCTCGACTAGGAAGTGACGGGTTGTTGACTACCCTACGGTCGGCCACTGAGCTTGCTTTGTAGGTTGCTTGCGTTGGCGAACTGGCCCAGAAAAAAACCTTCGAGTGAGCCGCGGGTTAGAATGCCAGAATCCGATGGAAACATTTTGGAAGCAGGATGGACAGAATCGGCAGGACCTATTCATTGGTCTTGGATTTCTAGGAAAACATCAGACCACTCAGGACGGATGATGCGTTCTATCTCCACTGTCGATCACCTGGCCTGCTCTCGGTCGTTCCTGCCGTTAAAAGGTGGCAGTAGCCACTGCACAAGCACGTGGTGATGGGTGGTGGTGATGCTAGAGGATTCAGGCATGTAACGTGGCGGAGTTGCGTCGGACCGTTTTCTTTAAGGAAACGGACGCAGCGCGCCTGTCTGTTTATGTGTGTGTGGCTCGAGCTTTGGGGGCAACTAATTGATTGCTGTTTAACTGTTCTACTTCCTACTTTTTGAGAAACTCGATCGATGATTTTGTCTTGTTTTGTTCTGTTTTTTTCTTTTTTCCTTTGCACGCATACCCTCCACATGGCTTGCTGTTGTGTCGTTGGAAGGGTCAACTTTAAAACCCGACGAGGTTGAATCCTTGATGAGGCCTTCAAGTGACTTTGTAAGCAGCCGTGATTATTCAATATAAGAGACTGTGATGCTCGATCACGCATTCGAATCACTAGAATAGCCGTGACTCTTCGAGTATGACGAGGCTGAACACTCCAGCAAAACATTTGCATAGCTCGAGTTAAGTTGGAAATTCAGCTACCTATCTCCTGCAGGCAATCGCACAGCCGTCAAATGGAAAAGCAAACAGATAACAAGGTAATCTGGTTAGATCTAAAAGTCCTGGTTGAAAGACAAGGTGCCTGACCTTGCACCCAGGAGAGCGGAGTCTACACAACATATCTAGGTCGGGGTCTAATTATAGGCAATATTCACAAGAGGTTCTCTCGATGCCTTTTTCTCCGGGGTGAGAGAATCACCTGGCGCCGCTGGTGTCGGGAAAGTCGCTCACGTTCCAGCTCATCTCCCACATGTCCGTAATCCACCCGTTGAAGCCCTCAACAAAGTCGCCGCTGAAGCCCTCCCAGCCGGTGCTCGCCGCCGCCGCGGCTTCCGCTGCCGCCGTGTCAAAGTTCTCTGGGCCGCCCGGGGCGTCTGAGGGGTCGACGTCGCTGCTGATCTTTGGGCGGAAGATGGGCTCCCACGAGGCGCGGATGGTCTCAGTGGCGCGGGCGGTGTGGGTCCATAGGTTGCTGCCGTCGGGGCGGTCATTGAGGATGCCGGTGTCGGCGGCGACGCGCTCGAACTGGGCGGCGACGCGGTCCATGACGTCGAGGATATCGATGGTGCTGCGCACCATGTCGCGGTCCCAGTCCGGGTCGTCGATCATGCTGAGCCGGTACACGGACGAGATGAAGTGCGACATTTGCGTGTAGATGCAGAAGCCGAAGCCGCGATATTCTGCCGGCTCGATGGTGAAGATATAGTCGAAAAAGGTCCGCGCCGTCCGCAGGCAGTCGGCCAGCAGTGTCAGCCGCTCCGCGTCGGGTACCACCCCCTGCCGCGACTCCTGCCAGATGCCCACCTCGCTGATGTCAAGGTCCGTATTGAGAAGTTTGAACTGGACTACGTCTGTAACAAACCAGCCGACGAGCCAAAGAATGGTTAGCACATCATGGTCAGGACCTCATGGCCTGGGTTGGGTTCGTCACTCGGCTAAAAGCGCGTCGAGGGGCTGGGAGAGCGTGGGCAGGGCTAGGAATGGGAGGAGTGCATCCTACAGTCGTTTGCCATCTCGGGCGGCAGCGATTGCTTAACGTCAAACAAGCGGCCCCGTAGGGCTTTTGTCTGGAACACTTGCGCGAGGCTCAGGGGCTCCGTTGGCTCAGCAGTGATGTACGATTGCCGCATCTCTTCCCCTATGATGCGGAGCTTGACCAGGTAGGCGAGCTTGAGGTCCGTTGGGCACTCTTGTTTTTCTTCCAAGACATGCAAGCATTCCTCCATGTGGCTTGTCCACCGAAGCGCGTCAATCTTTCTCGTCACCGTAAAAGAGGAAATTCTGCAAGACAGGTGTCAGATCAGGGGAGCAGGTTCTTACGGCCTTGGCATTCAATACGTACTCTGAAGAGATGAGATAGGCAGCCAGCACTGCGCGGCGCTCCTCCATTGTGCGGGCTGAGTTGGAAGAGAAGCGTGTGATGAGGCTCTGTCCCTTGAGCGCGGCCATGGGATGGTTCTCGTCGTTCTTGTGGGGCGGCTTATCGAGCCCCAGGTCCTGCACAAGGCCGGCAAGCAAGTGGCTGTACATGCACAGAAACGGCTGCGGCCCTAGATGGAAATTGGCCCAGCCTAAGAAGACGAGAAGGGCGAGAAGCGTGTCAAAGCTCCTCTCGTGATGGACGACTAGCCTCTCGGCGAGGACGCGGCGGACTTTTGTGCTGAGAGCCAGCTGTCTCGCCATTGACCTGGTGCTGACGGCAAGAATCGAGGTCCAAAAAAAAGGATGGCTATGGCGCAACTGGGCAGCCGTCACATGGGCAGGTATGTGCACAAAGGGGAAATACTTCAATTTCTGAGTGCGGAAGTTCTCAAGACACTCGTCAGCCTCGTGGGCCGGAATGTCCTCGGGCTCGCCGCCGCCCCTGTGGGCTTCGGGTGAGGTGTGACTAGTGCGCGAGTCGTGATTGGAGCGGGTATCGTGGCTCGTGTAACTACTCGACGCCGCGGGTGAAGGAAGCAGCGGCTCGGCGTGGGCGTGGTTTGAAGATGGGCCGAAACTGGACGTGCCAAGGCCGTGGGGCTGGGGCGAGAAGAGAAAGAAGAAATAGCTGTCAGTGAGCGAAACCTGAAATTTGGACCGACTTGAAATTGAGTTCTCACTGAAGGGCCGTGTATGCTAGGCTGGAGGTGGCCCTGGCTGTGCCGTTGTTGCTGCAGCAACTGCTGCTCTCTTACTGCTAGCGGGCGAAAGGGCAGATCGGGGGGCGGGTTTGTTTTAGTGGCGGAGACGGGAGCCATGTCCATGGCATCACCAGCAGAGCCGCTGGCCGGAATGGAGCCGCGCGAGGACAACTTTATCAGTGTAACGAGGCCGTCGAGCTTTTCCTCGAGCTGAGCCACAGTCCGAGAGGAGGTGCGTTTGGCGATTTTGCCGCGCGCCTGGCTCGGCTGCTGGATGCAGTCCTTCTCGAGCCGTAGACACCGCTCACAGGCACCAACGCCATGTGGGCGCCGCATGCACTTGCACTTTGCGCGTGAGCAGTTGCTGCAGGCGCGGCCGTAGGGAGCTGGGCTGGTAAAGTCCGAGCCATTGCTAATGGAGCTCGAGACCGAGTCCATAGGCACTGGCAGCGGCATGGCGGCGGAGGGCCGCCAGCAGGTAGCAACGGGGTTCGAGGCGGTCGGTGTTTCCTTTTTTCCTGCCTACTAGGTACGGAGTATCGAGTAAGCCGCTTGTTGGTGGTGTGGTGGTATGGGCGCGATTTGGTGCGTGGTCCACTGGTCCACCCGTCCGCACTCCGTCCGTATTCCGTAGGGTATGAGTCCGTATGTGGGCAGCAGTGTCGGTCGGCGGCGCGCCGTAGTCAAAAAGTCCCGTACATAAGGTAAGGTAGGCTGTAGGTAGTCCCCAGGCTAGTCGCAGGCATCGGAGGTGAGCCTCTAAGGGGCTTTGTGTTACGCGTGCACACGAAATAAGAGTACACGTAAATCCCGATCAGCACTCAATTGAGCGTCGTCGTCTTTGCCCAGGGGATTACGTGTTGGGGCGGCCTGAGCATAGCAACCGCAAACGGGATTCCGTAATCCCGTCCCCGTCGCTGTAGCGAGGGATGCTCTTCCCTGCTTGGGCATGATTGGCCGCCGCAGAACATTAACAGGAGCGAACGGCGGTCCACTTCTCTTCTCCGTGCAGAACACAGTACGTGCACATACCAACAGAAACCTGACCGACCTGACCGTGACCGACTAGGGAAGGAAGCAGCAGCCCTAAGGTAATCCCGTTTGATGGGGCCCATCCCGTCCCATCCCACTCCATCCCATCCCCTCCATCCATCCCACTCCATCCCATCCCACTCCATCCATCCACTCCATCCCAACTCATCCCCTCAGGTGCTCCGGATTTCTCATTGCCCAAGGCACGGATGGATGCTCTAGACGAGAACTTGATCCATGGTCGCCTAATAATTGCGCCTATGTTACTGTGGACTATCGTTGAGAGATCTAATCCAAAGGATTATCCCAAAACCAAAAAGGGCACAATAGAACTGTCTGATGGAACTGCAAATTTGGAACCAACCACCTCGACCGCGGGATTCGATTAGGTCATTTGCATGCTGGCACCCCTGCTACTCTTCGGCCCCCACAACCGAAACCCGGCCCTTCTGCCCCGAATTCCTTTGGGCTTGGTCGGTATCGGAGTGGCCCCAAGCCCGCTGTCGCCAACAAATAGGTTGCTGCCCAGCTTCAACCTTTTTAAATACCAAGACCAACGTTTGACCGCCAAACGACCACGCTCAGTTTCACCTGCTATTCGGCAAACGACGCTAAGATCTCCCAGGCAAGGATCAACAATCAATTCCCAGAACGACCAACTGGCAGCTGCCATTTCTTCACAGAGCGCAGCACCGAATTAGCTCGTACACACGCGGCCTGCCAGGGCCCATCACACTCCACAGCGCACCACTCCACAGCGCACCACTCCACCAATCGCCAATCCACTACAATGGCAATGTCAGCCACGGACGAGAAACAAGACCCAAACCGTCGCCCCGCCTCGCCCTCACCCTCGGTAGCCGCGCCAGACGCGGACGCAGGGGCGGCTAATAAGACAAATGCAAACATAGCATCGTCAGATGGCGGCGACGAGAAACAACAAGGCCCGGCCCTGGACACCAGTGGCAGCGACATTGATGGCCTCAAGCCGGACCCCGCCACTTCCGAAGACACTCACACCCCGGCCGAGCATGAGTACATTGATGGCTGGAGGCTGTTCGCTGTCCTGACCGCGCTCACCCTGACGTGCTTCTTGATGCTGTTGGACATGTCCATCGTCGCAACGGTAATTACCTACCTTACCTACCTTACCTGCAATTTCTGTCGTCCAATGCGCCTCTCCGAGTTTTCATGGTGCCCGCCCTCCTCCCCCCGGCTTAGTCCACTTCAGTCCTCCTCCCTCCTTCTCCCGGCCGGCTAAAATTGCCCGCCGCCGCAATGCCGCCGCCGCAATGCCCGCTGCCGCAATACCCGCCGTCGCACAGCAGCAAGATGCCCAAACACATGCACACACTACCAGGGATATAATAACGTTGACTCTCTATTAGGCCATCCCGCGCATCACAACAGAGTTCCACTCGTTGGAAGATGTTGGCTGGTACGGAGCCGCATACAACCTGGCTAGGTGGGTGCCGTGTAGCGTCTTTCTTCCCCCTCCTATGCTTCTGCCTAGGCCTGCAACTTCCAAACATCGACTAGGTCTCTCAACTAACTGCTTCCGCAGCGGCGCCCTCCAACCCCTGGCCGGCAAGTTTTACACCTACTTCAAGTCCAAGGTGCGTGCGTGACAAATACCTTGATAATACCCGTGCCCATATGTCCACGCTCCACCTCTCCCCACCCACCAGGCGATGCGACACAACCACGCGCCAACGACTGCGTGCGGAATGCGGAATGGAAGCGCCTAGAGCATTAGGTGCCTTTGGCGGACGCTAACCCAAATAACCACAGTGGACCTTCCTCATCTTCGTCTTCATCTTCACGCTGGGCTCGCTGCTCTGCGGCGTAGCTACGTCATCCAATATGCTCATTGTGGGCCGCGCCGTGGCCGGCATGGGCACCTCGGGCATCCAGAACGGTGCCATGACCATCATTTCCAACTCGCTGCCCCTGGAGAAGCGTCCTAGTACGTGCATGGCCTCCCTTTCTGCCGTCTCATCCTGCCCTCCATTCCATCGTCCCATCTCCATTCCCGCCCCTCAGCCCCGTTGCCGTTGGCTGACCTCGGTTGCAACAAAATAGTGCACCTGGGAATCCTACTTGGATGTAAGTCTGTGTTCCTCCTCGTCTCTTGGCCCCACAATTCCAAACCCTAGCGTCGTGGTGGAGAAGGCGGTTAGCAGCTACGGCCGTACAGTGTGAAGTGGAGGAGGGCTAGCTTGTGCGGACCCTAGGCCAGGTCGGCACCGACCGTCTGCCCAGACCAGACCGGCACCGATGGCCCGTCTAAATCCTGTTTGGAACCGTCCCAAGAGAGTTGCTTTGCTAACCAATGCCGTCTTTAATCAGTTGGCCAACTCGGTATTGTCATCGGACCGCTTCTGGGCGGCGCTATCACAGAGTACTCGACGTGGCGGTGGTGCTTCTACCTCAACCTCCCCTGCACGGCCGCCGTCGGGCTGGTGCTGTGGTTCACGCATATCCCCGAGCGCGTTGCCGTCGTAGACCACTCAGCATGGGAGACGGTGCGCACTAAGCTCGACCTGTCGGGCTTCGTCATGTTCGCCCCCGCTGCCGTCATGTTTCTGCTGGGCCTTGAGTACGGCGGTGGCAAGTACTCGTGGAGCTCGGCCACGGTGCTGGGCTTGTTGATCGGCTCCGTGGCGCTGTTTGCCATCTTCTTCTTCTGGGAAAGGAAACAGGGTGACACCGCCATGTTCCCCTTCTCCATGCTCCGCCGTCGGGAGGTCTGGACGAGCATGCTGACTGGCATGTTCATACTGGGCGGCGTCATCTTCATCCCGGCCTTCTACCTCCCAATCTACTTCCAGTCCGTCAAGGGCGACTCGCCCTTCACCAGCGGGATCCACGTGCTACCCAACATCCTGATGTCGACCTTCTTTGCCGTCTTGAGCGGAGCTCTTGGTATGTGTTACGTTCTTCCCCCGTGAGAAGCGCGTGGCCCGCTAACAACAGGCACTCAGTTACCCGGCTCGGCTACTATATTCCATGGGTGCTCTTCAGTGCCGCCGCTGCCAGCATCGCCTGCGGCTTGCTCTCAACACTGGGTCCGGACTCGACGACAGCTCAGTGGGTTGGATACCAAATACTGTTGGGGTCGCGCGGAGCATCGCTGCAGATGGCAAGCATCCCCCGAAACCGACATTTAACCGAACGCGTTACTAACAAGTCTTGTCCCTGCCGTGTAGCCCATGATCGCGATCCAAAAAGTTCTCCCGCAGTCGAAGATCTCAGTTGCTATGGCGCTGCTCGTCTTTGCGCAGACATTTGGCAGCGCCGTGTTTCTGACCATCTCCCAGACCATCTTCAGTAACAGCCTGTCAAAGTACGTGGCCGAGTACGCGCCCAACGTCAACTTTGGCAAGTTGCTGGCTGCCGGCGCTACGGGCGTCCACGGGGTCGTGTCCGACGCCGATCTACCGGGTGTCCTCCTCGCCTACGCCAACTCGGTTGACCGCGTCTTCTACTTCTGTGTCGCTGCCGCCGTGGCCGCGTTCTGCGCCGCCTGGGGCATGGGTTGGCATGATTTGCGGGTCAAGCACGAGTCTGAGAGCCACGCATAAGTTGGTAATGGATGTGTCCGCGTTTGGATGTGTCGCATATACAACTGGGGGGCGGGGATCAAAATCGTTTTTTGTCGACCTTGCATCAGCACCATGCATCTTGCATACGATTTTGAATTTGGCAGGGGCGGGAAAGAACATGGAGGAAATCATCTGCCAGGCGCGCGCGGCTGTTGAGATGTCTTTGTTTTCGTGGCTTTTTTTTGCCGCGGTGGTCCAAGACCCCAAGAGGGTTTCACTCTAGACGCTGCTCATTTTTGTAACATTCACTTATTCTTTGTTGTCTTGTATTTCATTTGTTGTTATCTACCTCAGGATTTGGAGGTGAACTTGGAAACAGAGCTTGAGGAGTTGGGAGCAGGAAATGAATGATTAGATTGGGCGGACTTGCTGATACACAAAACGGAAAGAATACCCCTCAATATATAGAGATACTTGTCTAGCTGCCTGCATCGTCACGCGCTCAACGACAAGGTGATGTGCAACGCCGATTTCCATGCATTATAACAAGAGTATGGCGTCACGCTGGGGACCTAGATCCACGCCAACGAGCCGCGTCCAGACCAGTTGCAGAAGGCGCTTGTTTGGAGATGCAGAGAACGGACTCAACAGCAGCGGCTGCTTCCTTGGGAGCCGGTGGCCCCGCTGTGCTGTCGAGGTGACCCTTTTCCCGGCCGGCCCAGACAGATCCGTGCGCAAGGGGCCCTGTGAAGATGCCTGTCTGCCTGCCTGACTACTCGGCTGCCGGGCAGCGGGGAAATAGCCTAGCCCCCAGCGGGCTCCTGTCTTGGGCCTGCCGTGGCCCGTGGGACTGGGTGGTTTCAATGTTCATGGGCCCGGTCACGGTAACATCTCGCGCCTGCGGCGCCCTGTCACTTGCTGATTCGGGAAAACGTTAGTGGGGACTGGGTAAGGCCGGTAGGGCGGCTGGCTGGGTAGGCTGGGTAGGCTGGGCAACCTTGGGTAGGGCAGGTATATGCGGCACGACGAGACTAGTGTCATAGGCCGCCGACTCAGTGTCCTTGCACACGCACACACTTGACCTCGACCTATAAGGCTATTGGCCGGTTCCCGGCTGCCGCTGCTGGCCTGCTCAGGCCCCTGTGCAGGGACTGGGCAAGTGCAGGCCCCTTTGCCCTTGGGCGATTCGAGGACGGATTCGAGTCTTGTGCCTTGCTGTGTAGTTGCTGCTGCGAAACGCGGCTAATTGCAGTCAATCAGCCAATTGTGTCAAGGTAGTATTTTCCGCAATTATCTAGCCGGGCGCTTTGAAATGGGACACACCGTTTCATCAATGGTGATTGACGATATGGTGTGCCGTTTGCTCGTTGTGGATGAACACTAGACCACCGGTGCCCTAGTACGACGAGGGCGACCTCGATGTCACCTGAAAGAGATTCGCTCAAAACTATTAGTCCTGCTGACAGCATGGTGGTATCGATGCTACGAGACGGCCTAGCCCTAGCATGCAACGCTAAACGGAAGCTGAAAGGAACCTAGAAGTTACATTTCAGCTGGCCTCACCCGAACTGAACTAGTGACGTAAAACCTTGGCAACCCAATTGTCACCTAGGAATACGACATGCAAGGTCGCTCTAGGTGTGCCAAGAGGAAGCGTGTTTACCATTAGTCTTCGTCAGCTTATGTCAATGGCCTTTTTGAGTCATTCTCCGAAAAAAAGTGCGTCACGAACAAGCTGAAGAGGTATCTATGAAAAAGACGTAAGCCGAGATGGTTTATGGACGTCAAGCGCTTGGCGCTTCTAATGTCGTATAAGAAGCCAAAGCCCTCGCCATCTCGTTCGGCGTATATCATCGACAGTATCTTTTCGCGCTTCTTGCTTCCTGCTCATTGCTCTCCGTCTGGCCAGCTTATTCGTTCGGCACATACATACAACTTCGCCATGAGGATTTTCAACCTAGTCCTCTCTCTCGCCGCAGTTCGCTGCTCGGTTGCGTATTTGTACACGTTCGATCAGTCATGTGATGCTGCACAGCAAGACGTGTTGAAGAATCTCTTTGAGGATGCCGCGATTATTGCAACTACGGCCAAGAATGCATGGGTTGAAGACTTCACGCAGGCAGATCCGCTGTGAGTACCTGTGCGAAGCATAAACTCTGCCGCTATGATTTCCAGGAACCTGTCTCCTAGTCGTTGTTACTAACAAATAGTGTCATAGTGTCGCTCAGATATTCGGCTCTATGAAGAGCCTCGAGTACTGTACCGTCGGCCTCGCTTACGAAGCAGCTTACACGATTGCGACCGACGACGAAACCTCGGTGAATTTCATCGTCTCCTGCCCTACCCAGGCTTGCAAGGATTCGTCGGCAGTTTTCAGCGTTGACGGTTCCGAGCCAACGGATGTCCCTCTCACTGCTTGTCCCAGATTTTGGGAGCTCTTCGCTAAGGAAAAGTACTATAACTACCGCCTAAACAGTCAGGAGTGGAAGAAAATTGCTTGCGCAACTACACCGGATGCTCTCACTTTTAAATTTGATGGTGAGCGTTTTATTCATGCGATGAGAGATCATGAGATGGATGGATGGAACATACTGACTAGCTCTTGCGTAGCCACCCTCTTGTTCCATGAAACCATGCACGTCCAATTCATCAGATCCTTCACAAAGTCACGGACGAGACAGCAATGCGGAGAGACGTGGCTGTGAGCATCTTCTTTCCTCTCTGCCCTAGAGCCATGTTGATCGACCTGACTAATAATCACTCGAACGCACGCTCAGCGTCGAACCAGTCGACCACGGCTACGGTGCCGGCTACCAAGGCGGTGACGACGGGGGATCCAAAGTGTATCCCCAGATCACCGAGCTGCAGCAGACCTTGATCTCAACCAACAACGCCGACACTTATGCCTACTACCCCCAGCGTGTGTCTACCTAGCTATTGGTTTGCCGATAGGACAATGAATGACTAACATGATGCCTACCAGTAATCTACCGGCGAGACAGTTGCGCGTGGCCACCGTCCAACGACCTTACCCCGCAGAAAACGACAAAGGACTTTCCGAACTCATTCTTGACCTGCACTATCGCCTGCGACGGAGCTTGCGTGGCGGGCAAGTGTACACAGTGTCCCAGCGACACAGTGCCAACCATTGACACGATCCCGGCTGACAGCGCGAACGGCGCATCGCTGTCGCTCGATGTACTGTACTGTCGGTTGCCAGACGAAGCTAAAGGCTGTGGCGCTAACTTCGAGCTGAAGCATATCATGGTCTGGTGGGAGGAGAAGCTGACATCACGCGCTGGGTGCTATCCTAGGGCTTAGAGTCCGGGAGGTTTTTGCTCCCTGCTAGGTGTCGATATTCGCGGTAGAAATTGCTTACAAGGATGAGGAGTCTCAGAAGAAATATATTCCATGGCATGCGATGAAAGCTTTTATGTATGTCGAGGCGGAGTGCTGTCCTCGGCCTGGTCTGACGGGCCGACCACCAAGTCGAGTCCCATCCGCGCGGGAGAACGATGTGGTCTGCCTATTCGGGGGCTCGCCGGCGCCCGTCATCATCAGGGCGTGCCGCGACTGCTGGTGGTGCTCCTGGGCCGCGAGGGGACTGATGTCGCCGTCACCGAGGAGGCTTTCTGCGCGGTTGCTGGCCGTGCTTCGCTCGAGATGGTGACACTGCTCTTCGACCGGTTCGGACCGTGTCACCGCCACCGCGTCACCGTCACCGCGTCACCGTCACCGCGTCGCCGTCACCGCGTCGCCGCCACCGCGTCGCCGTCACCGCGTCACCGTCACCGCGGTCGTGTTGGAGGCCGCCGCCGGCAATCTCCTTGGATCAAGAGAAATGATACCTCTCCTACTGAACCACCCGCACCAGAGTTTTGAGATTAATCTGCCATTGCCGGAGACTTTCGCGGAAAATGTGTTCGGGGGCATTCTGTTGAATGTGTTATTTGATCGCTTTGGCGCTGACGCTATGTTTGCTGGTGGAGTCGTTAAGGCGGTTGCGGCTGCTGGCTCGGTACACTTGATGAAGTTTCTGCTCGAGCAGCGCCCCGCCGGGATCTAGATGACGGAGCACCTGCCCGAAGCCGCCGCAGCCAACACCAACTGCAACGCCGAAATGTTCGAGTTTGTGCTTGCACGCTGGGGCGCCGAGGCTAAAGTCACCGACGCCGTGGTCAAGGTAGTCGTCACGGCCGGCGATGGCCGTCTTGAAGCGCTCTTTAACTTACGAGACCATGAAGTCAAGATCTCGGACGACGTCGTCCTGGCGGCTGCCGAACACCGGCGCCTTTCCCACCGCTTGATGGAGCTGCTCTTTCAGCGGCGCGGCCCTGGAGTCGTCATCGCGCAAATCATCGGCAAGGCAGCGGCCCGGGACAGACGGCATGCCAAGGACGGCATGCCAAGGACCTGGTGGAAACGTTGCTTGCCGAACGCGGAAACGGATGGGTGGCCGAGGAGATTTTGGAAGCGGCGGTGGAAAAAAAGGCGGACGACGGCGTCCGGGAGATTGGCATCTTCTTTGAAGAGTCGCAGATCAGGGAGGCGCTCGGGGTGTTCTTCGAGAAGACGGACGTCAAAGCCACGCCGCGCATGATACAGGTCGCCGGTCAGGACCAGGGGCGGGGCCACGAGGTCGTTGTCCTGCTGCTGGAGAATCTACCCCCCGATGAGCTGAGCGGTGCCGTCCTTGAGGGTGTCTTGCTGGGCGAGTCTGGCCTGCCCATCGTGGATACGCTTGTCGGAAGACAAAGGAATGAATTTGAAGCTGCCAAGCGGTTGCTCGAAGCTATCACGACGAGTGGTGTGCCAGCTCAAACCTTGACTGGATATAAATACCATCCATGTCAACGTAGCCAGTGACGGTTCTGAGAATACAATCCGTGGCCCTAAAGGTGGGTCATATCGCCGTAGCCAGCCGGCGCGCCGCATACCGTCGGGTATCGTGAGCCAGTCGCTACTTGCCGAGTCCGGGGGAGGTACTTTGAAGCGGGTTTGCGGTGTCGCCTGGGTCTTGCAGTCAACCCGGCAAATGGCCTGCGATGCAGAGTTGACTGCAACCCAGGCGATTTATGTAGCTGATTAGCTGATAGCTAATTAGTCTAAAGTTGACTGCTGGTATGAAGATGATGATGTGGGAGCAAGGACTAATATTTTCCCCATTCACCTTGAGCTCTCATTCACCTTGAGCTCATCGCAGGTCGCACGTATCACATAGTGATACCGTAAGAGGGAGAGAAACAAGAAAGCAGACATGGAGCTGGAAGACTTTGTAAGCAGCAAGGAGCGTGTGTAAGTAATTGCATAACAGGCTAGTTCAACTCGCTCTTTATTAATCTCTTTAGGGCCTAATTATGGGACTGACCAGCGTTGTCCTAAAACGTTTTAGCTGGGGGTGGCCCTGCCTGCGCTAGCCCCAGTTCTTCATCCACTAACGTTCTCGTCGGGCCTGACAAGGGAGAGATTGGCGTTGTGGTGACATGCGTCTGCGGGTCGGCCTTTGTGCCGGGCCCGTTCATCTCGAGCCCGAGGACTGGCTGTCCGCTGGACGGGACGGTTCTCTTGAGATGCAGGGCCTGGCGCGCCTTGAAGACACTGTGGGCCTTGATCCAGTCCCCTAACAGCAAATTCACTCGGTCAGCTTCATCACGAGGATGGGAACATACGAGAACATGGACTCACAGGCCCAAATGCGAAAGAACTCGACGTGCATGGGCACCCACGCGACAATGGCCAAGATCTGGCCAAAGCCCCACTTGTTCTCGGCAAAGTCGGCCTCGAGCAGCTCATCCATCTCGACGCGGAACATGGCAAGCAGGCCGAGCGAGGCCCAGAGCAGGCCGAACGCCACCAGGCTGATGGACCAGCGGGCGACGCTCAGCACGGGGCGCATGCTCTCGTAGCGGACCGGGTAGTGGGCGCGCAGGGCCCACATGGCGACGACCATGGCGAAGCCGCCGGGCACGGCGCCGAGCGGGAAGAAGAGCAGGTAGTAGACGGCGGCGTGGGACGAGACGGAGACGAAGCAGAACAGCTCGAACGTGTTCCACCGCTGCACGAACTGCGCGCGGTACGTGCTGCTGATGACTAGCAGCAGCACCGCTAGCACCGACAGGCTCGCCAGCGCCAGATGCGGGTGCGTGCAGCTGCGCCGGTACCACGGCCACAGCACCACGAGCACCGACGCCGAGAACTGCGCGCCCAGGAACGAGAAGAAGGTCGTGTACTCGTACCCGTCCTCGAGGTGCACGATGGCCAGCGCCGCCACGGCCATGGCCACGCCGAAGTAGAACGACGACACCCAGAACGCCGCGACGCACCGGTCGAGCCGGGTGGGGTGGTATGGCTGCGGTGGTGATAGTGGCAGCTGGGCGGGTGCCGGGCCGTGGAAGGGGATGGAATTGCTGCCCACGGCGGCGAAAGCGCGCTTTCGGTCTGTCTGGCGGCGGTGCCACTCGGACACGGCGAGGACGATGTACACGAGCATAAACAGGGTCGTGAAGATGGCCTGGATCACGTACGCGGCGAAGACCTGCATCGACTCAGCAAACCCGTCCTTCCAAGTTCCCACCTCAAAACATGGCCAGCCTTCCAAGTTCCCACTCAAAACATGGCCAGCCCAAACCAAAAAGAGCGATACCACCGAAATATAGTCACCAACCAGGCCACAAGATCACCAGACATAAAAATCACTCACCCCAACACCCGACAAATCCGGATTACCAGGCCACTTGAGATTCCTGCAGAAATCTGCATGGCACGCGCCATCCACCTCGATCGTAATGTCAACGAGCGACACGTTGCGGTACAGCAAGTTGTAGGCGTCCCAGTCGACCACGTCGCCGGGCGTGACGCCAGGCAGCCCGGCGGCGGCGGGCGGCGCGCACGTGCGCGCGAACAGGAACAGGTATCTGCTTTTATCATCAATCAGAAATTTACCATCAATCAGAAACACAAAAAACTCAAAGGACGGGGGGTTGGAATCAAAATTGGTTGGTTAGTTACCCGGCTGACAGCTCTTCAATCCCGTCGTCGCGCCAGAACTGGCCCAGCAGCCGGCCCGCCCACGTGCAGTTGCGCGCCGGGTCGAAGTCGAGCCAGGTCAGGTTCTGCAGGACGGCCGGGATCCTAGACAGGAGCGCTTCGCCCGACATTGTGGTGGTTTGTATTCAGTGTTGTTTGTGTTTGTGTTTGTGTGTAACCGTGTAATTATGTTGGTGAGGGGAAAGGTGGTGAAACCCTTTCACAGCGACCAGGCTCCGAGGAAATAGGACACTGCTCACGAAATGGGAGGGGGGGTGGTATTCGCAATCGATATTGGCTTGGCGATAAGGAGGGGGGCATGCATGCATGCAAGCCTCGTTGTGTGCCTGGCTCCCCTTTGTGCCTGGCTCCCCTGTGTGCCTAGCCAACGTCCCGCTGCTTCTTTCTTGGCGCGAGGCAGAGCGTGGTTGCTTGGGAGCCTTACTTTTGAGTTGGCCGTTGACATGAGATGAGAACTCTACAACACTCTGCGCTTGGCTTTGGCTGTTTGTTTTGTTTTAGGGTAGCTGTCTCGGGTTTTTGTTGACAGTGTTGTGGCGTGTAATCATGTGGGTAATTATGAAGCAGGGTAAAGGAGTTTTCATGGTGGCGCCTTTGCTGTTTGAGACTTTGAGTTCTATAGTGACCTCAATCAAGGGATTGAAGGCCTTCCGTGAGATAAAGAGATTTGTCTCTTGATAGTCCTGTGCTCCTTCCCGTTATGTTTTTTCTCTCGTTAGGCATCCCCGTTGACACTTTAGGTTTATTAGTCATTCATAGTCAATACTGCAGGCTCTCTCAGAGACGCTTTCTGTAGCCTTTTACACGAGTACCTCATTCATTGTGACTACATCCGCTTCCATCTGCTACTTGAATCTCCCACCGCTCCTGACATGACAGTTGAGCTTTCCCCCCTATTTATACACGTCGCTCTGCGTCCGCTTCAGCCGTCCATTTGGCCCATCAACCCAACCATCCTCCAGAGTCCGAAGAAATCCTACATAACTCCTCACGTACCCGACCTACCAATCACACTATGGAGCTGGATACGGTCGACTTCAACCTCCGCCTCGTGCCGGCCGACAACGGCGCAGGGTCCGTCCTCTACCACGTCACCATGGAGGCGACGCGCAGCCTGCGCAGCCTCGAGCTCATCGCGTGTGAGGTAAGCGAGGCCGTCGCGACCTCGCACAATTTAGAGCCCGTCTTGTGGCGGGGCGACCAATTGGTGCTGAACACGTGGGGCCGCTGGGACGTGCGGGCCGGCAAGGAGGAGGAGAAGGGCGTGACGGTGATTACGGCGCCGCGCTGGTCCGTCGTGCTTCCTCTGCTGGCCAGCGGCATGTACCGCGGCGAGGTGGATGTGCACCTTTTTCTGCAGCTTATCGGTCTCGAGGAGCTCGTCCCGCTGCGTCTCGACACGACGCTGCGTTCGCGGTTCGGCGGCTTGGAGTTCGCGGCGTGCGACCCTGTGTTTGCGGCTCTGGCGGACATGTCGATTGAGACCATGGGCTGGGAGAAAGATTCCCTGGTGAAGGCCACTGGGTTGCCGGGCGCTACAAGACCGGGGGCCGACGGCGACGACGACGACGACGACGACGACACAACGGAGTTTGACGAGGACGGGCTGGCTAACAGAATGAGAGCCTTGCAAATTGACGGTGACGCTCCCGTCCCGCTAGATGATGCCTTCCTCTTCTCTAATTCTTCGCCGGATGCCATGTACTCGGCCGTTGCATGTGCCCTCGTCCGCTACAGCGAGCGCCGCGATGGCGACGTGCTGGTCATCGGCCACGACTCCGCCCGCCTGGGTTCCGAGATTGCGTATCTCGGCGTACCCGTGCATGAGTGGGAGCACGAGACGCTAAGCTACGGGGATGTGGACACGCTTTGTTTGACTGAGTGGCGCGCTGTCGTCATCGATGCCGCGGCGAAGGGCGAGGACGAGGAATCTACCACGACGCGCAATCTTCAGTACGCGCTTGCTTTCGTCGAAAGGAACCCAGACACACCGGTCCTGACTAGGCTCCACGATGATCTGCGAATGCCTTGCACCCTGTCCATCCTCCGCGTGCCGGGTCTCAGTCTGGCCAACCCGTTCAAGGCTTGGGTCTGGGTTGGAGATGCGAGGAGCTGGCAGAAAACGTCGAGCCTGCATGTAGCTCAGGCATGCTGGGCGTATGTTTGCTACGATGGCAATCAAGACGTCGTTTTGGATTTCGAGCTTGCGCCAGCCGACTACGGCAACTTCTTCTCTGACTGCTGCCACTTTAAACAGAGCAAATATTCGACCGAGTCTGGAGGGCCGCGCTATCGCGTGGACTGTATGGACTTCTGCCATCTCCTTTCCTCACGTTTCTGGCTAGAAGCAAAGGCCCACGCCCAGACGTCGGCGTTCGCGGCCCACGTCAGGGCGGCACGGAACCCGACCATGCTCTACTCGGCTCTCAGGATCCATCACTTCTGGAACACAACCCCGGCAGCGCGCCGCGAGCTGTTGAGCAATCTGTTCCGCCCTCGCCGCGTCGCCGCAGTCGTGGGCGTCAACCGCGAACTCGCCGATCGCGTGCCAGGCACGGCGTGCCTCATTACGGCAAGGTACGACGCGCTTGCGGGCCTCTGTGTGCCGACGAGCAGGCCGGTAGATGCAGCCTTGGTCGAGCTCTTCAGTGACCCCAGCGCTGGCGTCCTCCTAAACATGCTCCACCAGGCGAAGCGCGAGCTTGGAGTCATGCCCGTCGTCGCACAGCACCATCGCGTGCTGCCGTTCGAGTCGCTCGCCGTGCTTGCGTCGCGCGAGCTCTACAAGCTGCTTGCCGGCTATGTGGTCCTGGCGCGCCGGGCCCGGCGGAACCCGCTGCACAAGTGGGAGCTGCAGTTCCTGCTGTGGGCGCTGACCGTCTTCGGCACCTACGACGACAAGATCGAGTACATGGAAATGCTGTATAACGACATGGCGGAAACCCGTGGGCTCCGGTTTGACGACTCTCCACCGCCGCGCATCCTCCATACCAAGACGGTACGGCCCGAAAGCGACATTGTGCATACCGAAGGGCCCGCCGCTGGGAATTTTATTGCTTCTCTCTCGGCATTGCATATCAATACCCAGTATCTGGCACTCGATGGCGACTTGGACAACTGCTATGCCATAGCAGTTGGACTACAGAATGCCGAGCGTGGAGATCGGGCGGGCATATACATGTAAATTACTAGAGGTCTGATCCAGATAGCTGGTTTGTCTCTTAATTGCTTGCCAATACTTGGCCTTCAGCATCTATTTGGCTGATTTGCCCACTAATGAAACTGGTCACGGAAGTTACTGATGTCGTCGTAACGGCCGAACTTGCCGTCCTCAATCGACTTGATCCACCTGTGAATATGCTTCAGGAACAACCAGCAGCTGCAGCTGCTGACGGCGGCCTGGAAGTCCAGCTTCAGGGCACTGGACGCGGCCTCAACCATCCACTGCGACCACAGGCGCTTCATCCTCGCGTCGTAGACCTTGCGCAGCTGTGTTTTGTCGTACTTCATCAGCTCCGACCAGGGTGGGCGGCGATATATTCGTTCGCTGACAAATCAAATATCGCATATTCGTCAATATTTGCTGACACATCAACGAATATTCGTCAAATCTGCTTAGTAATCATTTCAATATTCGCCAAGCCCACCAAATCCACTTAGTCATCAAGATCCATCTCCTCCAAGCCACTATTTACAAGCCCTGACTTCATCCAATGCTTCAAGCACTCAAGAAACTCAATAGTATCTTCACCTAGTTGCATTCTTTCCCAAGAGATTGTACGACGAGCCCCAGAAAACACTCGCTCTGGCTCAGCACTCATTGCCGGAATGGATAAAATGTTGATTGCCAGTTGAGATAGCCTTGGCCAGCGTTGTTGTTGTTGTGTATTCAGCCACCAGGATAATGCTGAAGTTTGGATCGAAATTGCAGCTTCTGAGATATAATCTTCGAATTCATCCTTTATTTGTTGTTGTGGAAGAACATCAAGGTTTTGAGCAAGGATGTCGAATTCATCAAGATCATCAACCTGCATTGATGGCGGTGTTGGAGAGGCGTTTGCTGAGTGATCTTTATGCCTTTCCCAGAGATCTCTGACAGAGTTGATTGTTGGCCGTATCCATTTCTTATCCCAGTTTTGTTTGAGATATAAGGTTCGCCGTGATGGATGGAAAATTACTGCTGCTGCGTAATATGGAGAGTCCTCTGTCTTTAAATAATATTTGTCGAATATAGCCCAGCTATTTTCGATCCGAGAAGATAGAAGACTGTTTGACTGATGTGTTAAAAGGCTTTTCTTGAAATGCTGAATAAGGATGTCCATTGTGAATAGAACTCGGTCAATTGTCGCTTGATCTCCCTCTGTAGCCTTTGTTGCTCGATAAAACGGATGTAAGAAAGTCGATATCGCTCGAAGATATTCCCATTCTTCCGGAAAAAGAAAATCCTTCTGAAGATATTCATACCAGGACTTGGTATATGAATAAATTGAACCCTCATGCTCAATAGCAACTTGAACCATTAAATACCAACTGTTCCATCGTGTTGAATTACCTGAAGGGATCATTCGACCAGCAAGCTGAGTAAATTGGCGGATTCGAGCAGGAGATCCTCGGATATGGCGGACAATATTATGGAGTTTAATCAGAGGGTTTAGATCATCAGAGATCTGAGCCTCCTTATCTGCCCCTTTGTTGTTTTCATCGACTGCTTGAAATAGAAATGCCTGGATAGCAAGATTGATAATATGCCCATTACATCGGATTCGATTATCTGATGATAACCAAGGGACTGCCATTTCGCTGAAGGTTGCTTCGAGAATTTTGCAAAGACTGTCGTTGGTAGAAGCGTTATCGCTAATAATTGCCCCAGCTTTTGAACAGATATTGTAATCCTTAAGAATACAGATGAGGGCTTCGTATTGTGTTGCTGCATGATGTGACTGGATAGATGGAAGGCCGATAAGTGCTTTTGAAGGGTTTCTGATTCGAAATCCACAAAATGAGCACAAACTGCAAGGAACAGTTTCTGGTTTGGAGAAGTCCAAACATCGAGGGAGAGGTGGATTGTTGAGCGGGATGATTGAAGTTTCTTCCGAATAAGATCCTTATTAAAAAGCCAGGATTTTCTGATATGCTCTCTGATAGTCGAATGTGATGAAAGGATCTCGTTTGATGCCGTTGGATTAAGAGCTTTGCAAAGGGTGTGAAAATAGGGGCTTTCGACGATCCGGAAAGAAAGATTCTCAACAACAATAAGCGAAATAATCGCCTGTGTGATAACCTCTTTATTTAACGCTCGTTTCAAGATTTGAGCATCAAACTCAGAGGTCTGATTGATCACCATTGCTTTCTCATATAGAGATTGCAGTGTTGTATGGCTGGAATCGTCGGCTTTCCTCGATTGGCTGATAATTGCAATACCATGCTTGGATTGAATGTGTTGCCGGAAGTTCGATGTGTTTTGAGCACTCCATGATGGGCAATATTTGCAATAATACATGCGGTTTTTGCCTTTTCGTGCCGGTTCTTCGTCTTGGGGTGGTCGTGTGTGCTCTGTGATTGGGCTCAGAATTCGGCCCGTATCTCTGGATATTGAAGAATCCTCAGAGATGAAAGACATCTTTCCTGATGTGAATTGGAAGGATTTGGTAGAATTTGTGGTGGTTAGGTTAGGTTGGGCAGCCAAATATTTGTTGGCTGTGCTGGCAGATTAGGTAAGCAGACGAATATTCGTTGGCTGTTTTTGGGCACTTCTGGCAGGCTGACTAAGCGGACGAATATTCGTCAATATTTGCGATATTCCAAATACGGAATTATCCGCTGACAAATACGCCAATATTGTTATTCGTCGCCCACCCTGGCTCCGACCAGTAACACGGCGTCTTGCCTTCGCCGTCTAGCCTCGCCTCGTCTTCTATGCCGCTGGCCGCTGGGTCGTCTGCGTCGGGATACTGGTCCTTGTCCGGCTCGTCCTCTCTCTCCTCGCCCTGGACGTTCAGGAACGACGGCGCCGCCGTGGCTACCCACAGCGGCTCTGCAGAGACGCACTCCCAGTCGATGATGGCCGTGTCTTGCCGTCGTCGTCGATGAGCATGTTGTTCAGCGAGAGGTCGTTGTGGCAGAGTACGGTGCACTCGGGCGGGTGCTGCAGCGCGGGGAAGATCTTGGGGAGCAGTGCTGATAGTCTCTCGACGAACTTGAGGATATCCTCGCTGTCTTCCTTCTTGTCCTCGTCTGGGTTCGTCGCTAGTACTTTGATGTGGTCTTCGCGTAGAGCGGCGAGCTGCGCGCTCAGCCAGTCGTGGCTCGACCGGAAGGGCCCGCGCGGGATGTCGTAGGTGACGCGCTCTCCCTCAAAGTGTGCGATCGACACGACACGGCCGGGAGCAGGCCCTTGATTCTTCCCCTGGGCGCCAAGATTGTGTCCGCCTAGTTCCGGGGTGCACAAAGTGCCGATGGATCGGAAGTTGGCGTCGTCGAAGCTGCGCTGGAACAGCTGGCTCTGGAAGTCGGCGACCTGCTCGACGATCCACGTCTTGGTGGCCGTGGTCAGCTGGCGCCACAGCCTGTTGGCCGACACCCCGGGCATAAACTGCATGAGGATCCACTCGAAGCCGATGGCGTTGTCACTGGTGTCGTCAAAGGCCAGAACTTTGGGGACGGGCACGTGGGTGTTGCGCCTGACCCAGGCCAGCGTAGCCACTTCGCCCCGCGTCTTGTGCCTAGGATCGACGGGCAGCGTGACGCGCATCAGAAACTTGCCCTGGGCCGTCTGCACCGCGTAGACCTTGTTGAAGCCGCCCTCGGCCAGGAAGCTAATGGCGCAGCCGTCCTCCGGTGAGAGTGCCAGTGTCGATCGACACGCTTTCTCGATGGCATCGGCCTGGGGCTCTCTCGTCCAAAGAGGCTCACACATTCCGACGTCCTGCTTCCATTCGACGCCTTCACGATCGTCGGGCTCCATTTTCGATGCCCTGCTGCGAAACCTAGATCAATAACGGTAGGTTGCTTAGGGAAGCAAATATCTAGTTCTAGCGTCGATTAGCGTTTCTTGGTCTCAGATTTATAGTCATGGATATCAATAACAAGCGATATTGTGATACCGAGTGGGTTTGATCCGTGTCCCAGTCAATCAGAAATGTAATGGGGCAATTTCGAAATAACGAAGCAAACAAGAACGCGCCGAACATTACACAAACGTGGTGTTACGGCTTCTGTTTTACGTAAACCAAACTGTCTGATGGTGACAAGAGGTGGAAGGGTGAAATATTAGGTAGTCTGGGGCCATGGAGTTGATCGATGATTACATGCGTAATGTGTAGCCGTTCTTGAGTTACGTGAATTGGTAAGTCGGTGGCACTAATTTGTTACATCATGCAGCCATCCACTGTCGGTACGCTCTACGTACTCTCTTTGAGCACAAGATATTTCCAGATGGCTCTGTATTGACGCACAGAATGAGGTCAGTCATAAGAGAGTTTGCCAAGATTGTTGATTTGCAGTGTAGTTGACGTAGCCAGAGAAGAACAGAGCGAGAAGGGAAATGGTTTCTCTTTATAAGCGGTATGGATCAAGGCTTCCAAAGGCGGCACCGCCAGACCTGAGTGTACCAGGTGATTTTAATACCTGGAACTTGTGCCATTTTTGCGGAGCCTGAATAACGGTATGCTATGAAGTCTGCACGTACCACTCCGCCTAAATGAAATATATCATAGGGCATTGGACAGGTTGAGTGAGAATTTAAAAATATGGTAGGGTGGTAAAGAAAACCGGGCCCCTAAGTGATTAGCTAGCTATTGAGAGACCTGGTTAATCTAGGAAGCCAGCTGTACCCCGTGCAAGTTTCCAGAAGTCCGTGCTAACTCTATGTCCCTACAATTACCTACCTAGGTTCTGGTAGCTAACCCATATGAAGCCCTCTCTCGCTCTGACTATTATGTAAACATAAGTTTGCCTGCAAAGCTACACGAGCCAATCCACGTTTCGTATTTTAATATCTAATTGCAACATTACAAACATGCGTACGCATCTTCTTGGCCTCTCAAATCCGCCACCAAATGCTGAGAGATATGTTGTTAGCTTACTTAGGTAGCTTACTTAGGTAGCTACGGTTTTTTTTCCCTTTTTCTGTATCTTTAAAGGCTACTAGTATACACAATCCTACACCTATAAATATGGGGCAGAAGAAAGAAATCAGATTCTCACCTTCTTTCTCCATAGTTTTACATCCCGAACAAGCCTTATCGGCCGATAGCTATTATCATCGTCTCCTCAGATGTCTATTGAAACCGAAACGAATTAATTTACCTATTAAGGTACGCATCCTCCCCAGTATGGCGGCTAAAAAGGGCGTCCTAGCATTCATAAACGATATTCCAGACTCTAAGCTTGAATATTTCAGGAACGGCTCCGGCATTGAATTGCATCAAGACGGTAATTATGTGCTGGAAATACAAGGCGTTCGTGGCTCAGATTCTTCCTCACTGAAATATTTCCATTTGCTAATAGCGACCTTCCTAGCGCACTACCAAAAACAAGGAATACATCCTGGTAGTTAGATTCCAGAAGTATCCCGAAAATAGGACCTGGCGGGGTCAGGGAGGCAACAGAGTTGCGGGTCCCGTTTTCGTATCTGAGGATACGCCAAAGCCGCCTAACGAGGTTAGAGCGGTACTCAGAGCAACTAACATTTTCAAACCCTAAAATTCCTCCTCTATGCCTAGACGGCCGCACGAGATTGATTGTATTAGAAGTGGGGATTTGGCAATGGCTGTGTGGATCTTTACCTTCTAGCCTTGTTAAAATTTGACTTGAAGGAACTGGGCTTTCCCCGATGCAAGCAAGACCGTTATTTGCCCCATGCACTGAGATTGCTATTCATTCATTTGGGTTGTGTACCCAACAAGCTCTCTAGTCGTTTGAGAACATTTTACCTCCACTTTGTGTACCTTAGCTTATCTGAACGAATTCTAATAGCGCTATTATTTCCAATCCGTACCTCAGATACTAAATTCCCTTCCAATAGGTAAAGAATATTTTTCTGAATATTTTTCTTTTCGCTTGAAAGAGTCTCTTATAATCCTTTTCGACTTAATAAGACTTTTTTAAATACCTTAGAACGATAACGTTTGGACATTAAATCAAAGTTTAAATATTACTCTAGAAACAGAGAATGCGGTGTTCTGACAGGCTGGTGCGTGTCGCCATTTTCGGCTTCGACACCAAGCGCACAAGTCTCTTACAAGTACCGTGTGGGTACCTAATACCTGTGTCATAGTAGCCTTTCTCCCTACTCTCGTCTCCAACGCTAGTGTAGTGAGAGCTTACCGAGGCAAGTGGGAGAAACGGAGCTAGAAGCTATGGAGACGACACTCTCTCTCTGCTAATTATACTAACCTACAAGGCTATCTCCCTGCCGACAACACCTTTAGATCGTAGTACTTAGCGAGGGCGTTTATTAGAGGGAAGATACTATAGGTCGGGGAGGCGGGGGGATTCTTTAACGACGTCGTAGACGCTTTTCCAAATAACGGTATTATTAGAGTAGCTATTGAGAGCTGAAATAAGGAGAGGTTTGATACGGTCTAGGTCGAAATCGTTGGAACTAATAGCGAGATTGAGTCTCAATATGTCGCTCAAGAGGGTTTTACTACTGCTATTGGAGGGGAGTAGACAAGAGGCCTTGAGGCCTTACAATGCCGAAATAAGGTCAACAGCGAATTGTAAGAGAAGGCAGGTACGCCTGATCAAGGTGGTCACAATAGGAGCAACAAGCAGGGCGAGTAATGACTGGTATTGGCGTAAGACTTCAACCTGGCCTGAGCTAAAGAGGTGTGCGAAGGCCATGGTCTATAAGTTAGGTGGGGGAGTAAGCGAACGCCACTGATCCAGAACATTCTAGATAAGCGAGGAACACAACCAACCCTCTTATATAAAAAGCCCATAACTCAACCAATTCTTTTCCAATTCTCTTCATCTTCAATTCGTTTTATTCTTCTCTTGACAATGGTTTCATATACAGAAGAAGACCTCCGCAAGACTTGCGAGGAAGCCGTCAGAACACATCAATTACGCAAAGTCGCGCGAAAATGGAACGTTCCACCCTCCACCCTTTATGGCCGTCTACATGGCTCCCTACCTCGAAATGTTGCTCATCAAGATGAGCAAAGGCTTACACAGACCCAAGAGGATCGTTTAGTCGAATGGATTCTTCTTTAACAAGATTTAGGATTGCCCCCTACACATGCACAGATCAGGGAGCTTGCACGCCGTATTCTAGCTGAAAGGGGGGACTCCTTACCACTTGGAAAGGGGTGGTGCCGTGCCTTTCTTAACCGCAATCGAATTTTGAAGACTCAGAGGGCCAAGAGAGTCGATTCGGTCCGCGTCAACTGCGCTACAGAGTCAACAATTCGACCTTGGTTCAACCATTTCCAAACACCAGCTATCAAGGCGATTAAGCCAGAGAATCGCTGGAACAAGGACGAATCTGGTATTATGGAAGGCAGAGGAACTAACGGCCTTGTCATTGGAAGCCGTGCCTTTAAGGCGCTTCAAAAAAAACAGCCTGGAACCCGCACTTGGACCACTTTTGTCGAATGCATCTCAGCAGCTGGCCGTTGCCTTCCTCCTTTGGTCATTTTTAAGGGGAAAAGCGTTCAACAACAATGGTTTCCTTTGGATATGAAGCCATTTCAGGATTGGTTCTTTACAGCAACTGAGAAAGGATGGACTACCGATGAGACAAGCCTCAAATGGTTAAAAAATGTGTTCATTCCTCTCACCAAGCCAGCAAACTCCTCTGAGAAACGACTGCTTATTATTGATGGCCATGGCAGCCACACAACTGCCGATTATATGTGGGAGGCATTCAAAAACAATATTCACATTATTTATCTGCCTCCCCATACTTCCCATGTCCTCCAACCCCTAGATTTGGCCATATTTGGCCCCCTAAAACGACTTTATCGCAGATGGCTTGAGGACCTTCTTGCTAACGCCTTTGACGACTCTTCTGTAGCCGGAAAACGTGCGTTTCTGGAATGCTACCAGATTTCACGCACAGAGGCAATTACTAAGAGTAATGCTAAGTCAGGATGGAAGGCATCAGGCCTTTGGCCCTTGAATGTCAACAAACCGCTAAGAAGCCCACTCCTCCTCAAGAATTCTAATACTTCACGCCCCTTAAGAACTACTATAGTTACCCCAGAGGTTCGCACACTCCGTATGCCAATCCTGGAGGATTATGGAGACGATCGGGTGCAGTGGAGGACTCCTAGAAAGGCACGTGATTACGTTGAGCAGGCAAAGAAGTTCGCACGCATCATCAAAGCAATGCCAGCGGATAAGCTCTTCCTCAGAAAGATTGGTAAGGCTTTTGATGAACAGGCCTTTGAACTGGCTATTAGGAAGCGAAAGATTGAAGGTCTAGAACACACTCTCGAATCAATAAGAGCCAGAAAGAAGAAGAAGGTTAAAGAAGATCCAAATACCACCTTTGCGAATATTCAGACTATTCGTGAGGCCCAGAGAGCTGTAGGGCGTGCAGCAGAGGTTTTAGAAGATGCGGAAGAAGCGGATGATTCAGAGGATATCAAAGATTGTATTGAAGTTTTGTAAATAAAAAGATCACCCTTTCTTTTGTTGGAGGGTTAGTTGGGACTCCTGCTTATACAGAATGTTCTAAATCAGTAGTGTTCGCTTACCCCCCCACCTAACTTATACACGTGAAAGGGGTTACGAGTCATCCTTGCGTGGCCAGGGTGGTAGTGGCGATAGTGCGTGGCCCTGTTAGCGGTGGCGATAGTGGCGATGGTGGCGAGGGTGGCCCTGGTGGCGGTGGCCATGGTGGCTACGAGGGTGGTTTCCTTACACGAATTTCCGGAGGTCTATAGTATAATTAGAGAGACCTAAAAGAATAAAGCTGCGGTGACTTTCTCAACTTCCTAGCCAAGCTGCTACAACGCATCTGGGGTGTAGGGGATAGCGGCTCCTTCGCAAATCGAAGTGAACGACGTGCAGAAGGCATCGAGACCTTTCCCGATGGGGTTATCATTAATGATCTTAAACCGCGATTGTTGATCTGCCATTGCGGACGGGGTCTCGAGATAGAGAGTACAAGACCGCCGCCGTGTTGAATGCTGGTGCAATTGCGAATAATGTGAGAAGAAAGGGCAAAAGGTCAAGAATATAAGAAAGAAACGCCGGGGGGAAGGGTTCGTATTTAGGACGTAGAGTTGTGGGGTTAATGGAAGGGCCGCGCTAAACTAGATGAGGAGAGTTGGGGGAGAGCGCTATTCCCGGAGAGTGCAGCACCGTGTTCTCGAATACTAAGAAAGCGCTACTATATGGTCTTAATAATATGCTACTGATATTGAAGACGATGAAATACATGTATTTACCTCGTTGGAGGGCATCCTTGACGAAGAAAGTAATTCAGAAGGCGGAGATGAGGTATTTTATTTTCTAATAGTTATATAAAATAGTTTAGAACTAATTCAGAACTGGTTTAGAACCCGTTGGCCCCCCCTATTCTTGTCCCTGCCCAAACCCATACCGGCCAGGTCGCAAGCTTAGTTATTACAAACCACTCGACTGTTTGGGTCGTCTGTCTGTAAGGGAGCACGGGCTCCACAGAATGCTGGGGTTAGTAATTATGAAGATAGAACAAAGGGCAAGCTCCTATCGCACGGGTAATACAGTCAAATCGGAATACCACTCAAACCATAGTGGAATATACCGAACTACGGGGTGGCGAGTGCGGTTCGAGGCCGGAATCGCCTCGAACAGACTCTCGCGCTGCTACTACAAGGGGCACTCTCGTCATCTATCTGGGCGGTAGGGGAGACAACCGGGCGGTCATAACTGTGGCCGAAGAGCAGGATAGCTTAGAGACGACTTTCGAAAAGTTTGTTATAACTGGTGATGACAGGAATATCTCCAAAGTGTTTGTTTAGGGGCTGCAGGTTAAAGGGGGCGACGGTGCCTAATTAGATTTTAGTTTTGTTCGCTCCGTGAGAGGGTCCATGTACACACCCCCTCTTAGCATATGATCGATAATTGGTAAGAATGACAAGTCCACAAGGAAGTTACAAATTCACCATCATGTCGAAATACGCCGCTGAGCTCCTGTGCTGGGGTAAGTTTCAGATTATTTTTTTCGTGTCTTTCCTTGGATGCTGACTATCAACAGCTTGGGGGCGGTGGGTGAGGCTGGAATGAAGAAGATGGCCCCCAGTGGCGCCAAGATCCTGGCGGCCTTCTCAGTTTCGCGGAGCGTTTCTCCTGCCTCTGTGAGGAGCTTTGGGAAGTCCCGGCTTGTTCGCAAAATCTCTACTGTTTGAGCAGCTCCTGCCGCCTCTGGCCTGGTTACCCTATCCGAGGTGTAAAGGCAGCTTGTTGTATCTGCCCATAATTCCTAGCTAGAGAGAATGGAACTGCCGTCCCGCGGGAACAGCACCTAACTGCGATATTTCTTCTGCACTTTTTTTAGCAGCACCAAAAAGACCATAACTAACCCCTCCTATTCCACGTCAGTAAAATCATCTAAGACCATAGATGATTCCTGGCCCACAATGAAAGACCAGATTGAGCGAGCGGCCACGGCCTTGGCCGTCTTCATCGGCGCTGCGGCGTCACTATTTATCGCCTCAAGCATCTCCGGAATCAAGGAGAAAGAGCCCGACAATGCAACGGACGACGTCAATGGCCTTATTTTTCTTGCCTTCTTTATTGCAATAATTGGTTACGCCCACGGATACGCGATCCTTACCTACACCGCTATCACTAATCGAAACGAGGTGGATTTACGCGCCGTGGACAGGTTCCTGTTTTGCTGGGGATATTTTTTGTCGAGCGGAAGCTTCTTGGTCGTGGCAATGGTACGATTGATGTTTGGCAAGGTTCTGCGATCTCATCACTCTTTCGCCTGGGCCATTGCCGGCTCTGCTGTCATTGGCGTTACCAGACTCAAGTTCGGATGGTAAGGCATTGCCTGGAAATTGAAACGGCCGATCCCTAAAATTCAACGACTAAATCGGGTGGCAAACCCAAACAGCCAGATGCGATCAAGAAAATTAACCCCCGAGTCAGTTCATTCAGTTTCCAGCCTCCTGGGTCGCCGCAGCCCGTGGACCGGAGACGAGTCTCCGGAAAGAGCCACGACTCCGGAGAGGGCTTGAAGGGACTTCAACCCAGCAACAAGCCGGCGCCATGGGTAAAGGAGAACCGAGAACCGGGAAGTTCTCACCGATTCCAGAAATGATTGGTGAAATTGTGGGTAAAGGTCAAGGGAGGGAAAATCAATCAGTATTCAGTTAGGCTTAGTTTATGGGAGTGTGTGTGCTACTGCCGTCGAGCCCGACTTTGTCATTTTGCAGAAAACTTGCTCCCAGGTTCTTGAGGACACAAGAAAGGCGATCGAGGAGGTTATACGCCTCGCTAACGCAAATTCGTGCAAATCACTCAAGCTTTCGAGCCTGGGTTTGAGTAGTGAGTTGACCTTCTCTCCACACCTTGATCTATAGTATACTAATGAAGCATTGTATCCTAGATGATTGAACGCGAAGCGATTGGGGAGGGCGGCAACAAGACTTCTCTAGACTTACGGTAGCTAGTAGATCGTCTTGGGAGGAAGGCTTTACCCTAGGTATCGAGGTATATAGTCCGCCCTTGGCCTCCGAATATCAGCAGAAATGCACACCCCTTAATGGACACCCTCCCTTGCTTTAGATTCGCCGTGTCCACCACGGCCGATAATGACAGGTGGCACAAGTGGGCGAGAATGCCCAAAATAGTCCCCATTTCCTTGAGAAGGCGGGTGTCCCCTTCATACTCATAGACATCTCCGTAGAATGTTTGTAAATATTCAATCCTTCAGACATGAACAAAGTCTCTGCAACATTATTCACTAACATATGTAGGATTGACATATTCGGAGAAGACGGACTCAAAATCGCCGCGATTTTAGAACAGAACGTCAAATAACGGAGATCGAACCAAGCCCTTTATAGATCGCTAGAGCTTGTGACCGTATCTCCAGAAAAAAGAACTTTAACACAACCAAGTTATTATCGCCGGCCCAGGACTTCAACAGCTCGTCTATCTGAGAGGCTGTCCCTGGCCGGGTTCCGCTGGGTACCCTCGGCCAGGTCCTTTGCTTTAGCCGTGACCTCATCGACGGTTTTGTAATCAAACTGTGCATCCGTCCCTTTGCCATGAATGGAGAGCGCCAGAGCAAAAACCTGCTGGGTGAAACCAATGAATGAGATGATACCGCTGGTAACCCCAAGGATGGTTATTGGATCCATGGCGTCGATGTGCTTGCGTGAAAGACTGCAGTGATGCGTGTCTGGTTTGGGAGTCTGGTTAGGGCGGTGTGGAAGAGAACTGGGAGAGATCGGGCGGAGGGCACGAAATACATAATTGTGTTATCGTGCGTGCTGGAGCTTGACTGCCGTTGTGTGGCCCAAAATTGACACACTTTTCACCGGAATGGTGTTTTTCTTGAGGAATACTCAGCGCACCCACCCCCCCCCCCCCCCCCCTTGCCTTGGCAGCTGTATCCGGAACTTGGTTTTAAGTGGTAAAATCGATACTTCTTGATACTGGCCCACATATGTAGGTTTTTCGCCTTCCATATGCCGGCCAAATACGATAATTGTAGTATTCCTGGGTCTCGCCGCTCATCACAGCTTGGAAGATCGGCATTGCGGAGTCATCAAAACACCAAAGACCAACGGCATTCCTAGGTTATTGACCCTGTATGTGGCGTCAATCATGATGCAGTCCCCGGACCGGACCCACGCCAGCTGTTGGCACCGGGTAACCCAGAATGTGCTCGTGACCTTCGTCTCTACCTCATCGGCATAGCCGATGTGCGCATATGCCGTATTGTTAGGAATTGGTGGTTCAAGGAGCTGCTTGACGAAGGCTTATATGCGAGGGCACCGATAGGTATGAAGGTGATTAAATGGCTTGTGGTCACTAACGCTATCCGCCCGCAGGCGGGAAATCTATGTGTGGGGGATAGGCTGGATGTGCAGGGGCCAACTGGTGGACCCAGCTGGGCCAGGCTTGGCCTGTGCCTAGCACAGCTTATATGTCGGTATGTACATCGATCTTTTTGACTTTTATCTTCCTTCGCCAGTTGTAAACGTCTTGCTTATTAAAGACGGCGCGAGGGAATTGGTTATGCAACAGGAAATCCATAGATCTTGCACCAATCTATCGGTCAATGGCCATTTCCTCCAGATAGTCGTAAAACTCTTGAGGCTTCACTTGTATACGGAACATCAAATAATCGACATATGCCGAGGATTGGCCATAGCCCATATGCTTAAGATCGATTAGGCGCATAACCCAGCTAGTTGAGCCGGCTAGCTATTGTGTAACTATTCGGAAAGGGCAATGAGCCGCCTTCTTTTTACTATATGTCTTGCGTTTTCCTATTAACCTTCAAGGGCGTGGATTGTGGTTAGCTTGGTCGCATTGGAAGATGATCTTGTTAGTAACTTTCGTCTTCTTGTGCTTGTAGCTCCTCTGCTTCACCAGACCGAAGCCGTAGGTTTTGCACCAACGAATAAGCTCCTTCGTGAAGACTTCGGGCTCGCGGGCATGCGGGCCGAAAAGACCGTCGGGCGGGATTTCGAAGGTATCGTAGGTTTGATGTCAGGGCGGGAGTCAAAGGTTCCGGCGGAGCTTGCGCACGACGTCGCAGTCGATACAGCGAGCGAGGGGCTCGGGAAGACATCTAGACAATAGAGATTAGTATACCTCGGTATGCTAGAATGCGGCTGTTGATTTACCTGATTGATGAAGCGAATGAGTGGTTTTTTTGAGGTAGGTGGTGATCTTTTTTGATTGTGTTGTGGTGGACTACAATTTGGCCCGAAGGAAAAGAATGTAGGCCTGCAGGGCAGGGCATGCCGGGCGCAGGCAGGTTGACGTAATTACCTACCTGCCGAGGTTGAATGCGAATAATCTACTGTTGCACAGAACTTGGAGCTAGGGAACTGCATTGAGAAAAGGATGGAGAATTAATCTAGTACAAAGGAAAGATCTAAGGCTATATACAAAAGAGAGAGCAGGGGAATGCCCTGCGTAGTGTAGTAGCGAGCACGGCAGTGTAATCGTGAGCACAGTAGCAGTGTGGCGCCCGATACACTGCTGCGCCTTGACAGGGGTTTATTTACCGTGTCACATCTACATAGGGGGGGCAGTATCCAGAAATACTGATTTTACCGCTAAAAACGCCGTCAGTTGATACCAGCTGCCATGGCGGATTTTCTATGGGGGGATGGGTGGCATTACAATTAGGGGTGGGTGCGCCGAGTATTCCTCTTTTTCTTTCCCTTGCTTACGCAAATGCCTGTTTTTCTTCCCTTCCTTGCGCAACGGCCTGTTTCCCTCTCCCTTACGCTCGGAATGCCCTCAATCTACGGCATTCCTTGCACCCGGAATACCTCCCTAATTACGGACTGCAGTGGAGGATTACAGCGGTCTTGTTGGCTATAAGGAGGCACCTTTTCACCTGTATTTTAGACCGATCTAAGCAGACAATTCAATGCTCAGTTAATCCAGATCACGTGCAACAGATCCAACTCATTGGATCGGTCCAGTTCCACAAGGCTTGGCGTACTTCCGATCCGAAGTGAAAACACACAAGTTCTCTGCATGCTACGAGCAACCTGTTGGATTCGACACACAGATGGATTATATTGATGAGAATTTTTTTGAATTCATTCTCCCCCTGCTCTCTGGCTTCGCCAGAGAGCCATTATTATAGATGGACATAGTGGCGAAGTAGGTGGCAAATAATAATGCCCTTTCGATCAAACTTGCCACTCATTAGGCCACCAACGATGATCGGCCCGTATGTAGGCCTTGATGCCTACACATCTTTTTAGGCTCCATTCAGCTGGTACGATGTAGCCAATCCAACACAACCCTACCTAGAAACATAATACCTTACCCACCTGCCTCCAGTCAGAATGGTCATGTTGCCACCCAGGTGCATAGGAAAAGCACCCAGCCCTTCGATTTCAAGGCAGGAGCTATCGAGCATTGAGAGCTGAAGAACCGGGATCGCCTTGTCACACCCCTACCACCACAAGCGGCGTGGCACTCTTTTACAAAAACGTCAATTGCAGTCAAAGCAAGAGCGCCATTTTAAACTTTCAAATCTGATTAATTATCGATACAATGACCGCCACAGCCCACGATGCTCAGCTTCCCGTCGCCTTCTGCCACACGCTGAGGAAGAAGTCGCCGCCGCAGATCTCCTGCCGCACGCCGAAGCGCCCGGCGCACTGCGTGTTGCAGTTCTAATCGTTGGCTCGCACCGCTTGATGTAGGGCATTAGTGGTGGGGGTTATTGGTACGACTGTTGGTAGGGTTGCTGGTAGGGTTGCTGGCCCGAGGGTTAAACTTCCAATCCGCCCCCGTCGCTCTGGGCCATGTTCAGGATGGGCGCCTGCGTGTCAAGGCATTAGTGCGATACCCCGGTCATTGTGTGCATGCAGGTTGGATGGAGCCCAATTATCTCGGTCGGGCTCGTCATTCTCGTCCTGTACGGTTCCATTTACGTATGATCTGTCGGGAATTGCTCGATATTGGAGTTTCGAGAAAAACGGCTGCAAGTGGGCGGGGCCACGAAGTGGACAGGGTGATGTGCTGCTATATTAACCATCCCGTATAACCATGGCTAACCTCCTCGGTAAAGCTCGCATTCCGTCGTGGCGCAGGAGTCAGGCACTCGCACTTGTCACCTTGGGAAAGTGGAGGAAAGGTACCTAGCGCAAGGCAAAAGTCCGAGCTGATTGAATCACGGATGGTCTTTGCTGTCGTGGGCATTGTTGCCGCATTACCAAGCGGCATCTAGCTCCTCAGTGAGCAATAGGTAGTAGGCTGCCAAGCAATTTAGATCAGATCGATCTCAGTTCCCTCTCGGGGTCGTTTTCTTTTCTCTTTCTACCTGACTGCCTCCCTACCAAGTACAAAGGATCCGACCACCTATAGAGACGCCATGTCACACACTCCATTCCTCGCTCGTCCTAGCAACTACCTACGGCTAATGCTGTTTCGTTGGCACCGCCATGAGATGTTGGACCTGACGTCACAGCACGAAGAGCCATCAAAGAAAACCCTTCCGTCCCTCCCCGTTACTCGGACTTCAAAAGCAAAATGATTGTCCTCCGGCGGCCAATTTATCACGTCGGTATCAACGACTAATAGATGCTGGCCGGGGTAATACGCAGGCCAGGCGTAGCAGAGATCAAGGAAACGGCCTGGGAAGAGCCTAATTAACAAATTGGTCAGCTGAGCCATTCCTGTCGTGCCGGAAGTAAAATAGTACAAGCCTCTTCTTTGAACACCTCCCTTCAGACAAGTACATAGCGAAGGGGAGTATCCCTAATAACCCCCTATATTTTTTATCAAGCGCCTGCTTGCGCTTTTTGTACGTCGTCTGTAAGGATCCCCATGACCTCGTTAGGCGATAAGTCCCGCCGATGACTCTCCTTCTCCGAATCCACACGTCCTAGCACGATCGTGTCGAAAGTTCACCAGTAATGATACCCTGGAGAGATGCTAATGTCCCCATATAACGAGTATTGGCGGTTCCGTCTGCGTAATGTCTAAAGACTTCTGACGCCCAGTCGTCGCGTAGTACATCCAACTGGTAAAAATATTCGTCGAGCGTATTCCTCCAATCTGAGGGAATACCGGCTACGGTCCTCGGGCGCTCGGCCGCGTATGGTGGAGGTGGTGGGTGTTGGAATAGCGATACTGGTGACCGCACACTAGCAGGGAGGAAGCAGAGATCGCGCGAGTACGCACGTGCAAGTGTGCAAGTAGGCATGTGCGGCGCGCGGACCCCTCACACACACAAAAACCCCGGTCGCAAGCAGAACCTACCTTAGTTCCAGAGAGAGAGAAGAGGAATAAGAACAACTTTACACCCCCCCCCCCCCGGTAGTACTACCACTTTTTGACCCGTTGGAACACCTACGTGGTTGGAATACCACGAACAGTGGGAATTGCGTCTCAGACTCTGACTCTGACGCTGTGCTGACCTGGATCTGAGCGCTGATCTCACCAGCAGCGCGGGTGGAAGCCCTGTCATTGGCCATTTGATGGGTGTCGACCGGAGTAAAGAATTTTGTTATTGTACGAGGAGAGGGTGGGAGATGTAGTAATTAATCATGTGTGCGCCCTTTTATGTAGATGTGTCCCGCAAACCTTCAGACGCTCACGGGGTGGCGCCATGGCTCAAACTTCGAGTCAAATAGTGGAGAATCCCCCAAGAGCTTTATCTCTGGAAGCACAGCCTCTATTTCGACGGGGTGGTGATACGGCGCCACCTAACCGAAGGCCTACGGCCTTCTATTGGCTGCATCCGATTTAGGCCTTATACTGTGGGTCAATGTGGGTCCGCGTAACTTTTTCTTCCTTGCTGAGACCTAGCGCCTGTAGTACTCTCGCATCCGAAATGCGAACCAGGAGCTGGGGACCGGAAGAGCATCATACGTGGACCAACCAGGATCATACCCGCCCAATCCCTTATAATCTTGGCGGTACAATTTGCCTTGTCTTCTCAAACTCGGCTTCGATGACTTTGATGAGACGGATCACCTTAGATTTTGTAGTTTAGTGTGTGTAGAAGATAATTCTGTCTACATCCACGAGTATTGATTGCACAGAGAACTGCTCCACGAGAATGCAAGTTGACAACAGGAGGAAGGAAGTGCACGTGCTACAATGGTACGTTGACAAAAATTATTAGGGGCCCCACCACTCACTCGTAACCTTGATAAACGCGGTCTTAACCCTGTTTAACCCGGTGCGACCAACCCTCCCAGAGTGTCCGATCAACCCAAAAGCGCAATCCAAAGGTGCCGTGCTTCTAACAGGTGGCAAGGTGTGTGGCAACTTTGACCTTGGCCACGACCTGGCCACGACCTTGTGCCTGGCCAGGACCCCTTTTCTCAACCATACCCCTTGAGCTGCCTGGACCAGCCTCTCCATTTGACAGCTACAATAGTTCAACTAGTGTACCAAACTGCCATACACCTCGCTATTATCCATATATATAATACGGTCTCCTTAATAAAGCTGGAGAGGATAAGGACGATTAAATTAAATGTATTTAATCTTCAACTTACAAGTCGTACGTGTGCATCGGCCACGGTATTTTTACTACTCGTTACGACCCTCAATCTTAACCTCGATAGACCGGCCCCAACCCGGTGCGGCCAACTCTCCTAGAGGCCAATTAACCTTATAGTTCCAATCCCAAGTGCCGTGCTTTCTGATAGAGGCTTTCATATTCTATTCAACGGCTTGGCTTGCTCAGTTGTTCACGCGAGCGTATCCCGGGTCGTAATCATTTGAGCCACATCCGAGCCATAACCGAGTTGAACCTTAAAAGGCCCTCTATGACACTCACTTCCTAGTATCACGAGATTTCCTTTGTTTACTTTATGGGTATAAGTAGGGGCCTCTTTTCCTGAATCTCTAGACCTTTCTTAGACAGACAACTCAGACAACTCAATGCGCTGTCAACTACGATCACGTACAAGAAATAACAAATATCAAACTTTAAGAAGCTTGAAAACCGCCTTGTATGCTTTCATATCCTAAATAACAATGTAAGCGAAAAGTGAGAGTTACTTTTAAGCAAAGAGTCCTAGCCTAGTTACATAATCGCGGGAGAAGACAAGTAAACTTGGACGGACGAAGGGCACCGATACCGCAAGTGGTGGGCAAGCTGTATCACGAGAAGGACCGAGATAAGGAAATAACCCAATTCTGATACGCCCCGAACGTGTTTGCCCCATGCAAACCCTTCCATCATTCTTCTAGCTGTCTGGGTGCAAGAGTGGCTACCATGCTGCTATTACTTGTATTAAGTGTTACAAACAAATTGTCTCCTGGGTGCAAACGACTCCTCATTGAAGTCGATCACCGGCCTAGCCATTTACGCTTAGGAAATATAAATGCCGCGCACCTACCTAGTTACCGATGCCTATTCAGCGACAAACATCTGCAACTCTCCGGATATGTAGGTCCATGTTTCAAAAGTCTTTTTTGCGTGCTAGCAATCAACAAACGCGGCATAATTAACCTCTTGGCCTAGTGGTTGCAAGCAGACAAACAACAAACGTAAGCAGACAACAATTATACCGCGATACGTCAGTCACAGCCCCAGTTCCGCCACGCCGCCCCCCTCCTCAATCCAGATAGGGCACTGCCTGATGCTCTCGTCACGCATCCACCCGGGCAGCGGACGGCTCGCATTGTTGACATACTGCCACCAGATGTACACGCCGCTGACTGCCGCGCGGATCGCCTCCTCCAAGACACGGTCCGCGCGCTCGCGGTCCCGGCCAGTAGCGATATTGATGATAAGCGGCCCGTCGCCAAAGTCCCTGAACAAGTCCATGGCAAAAGCCACGTCGGGCGCGCTCAGCGTGGCCCCGATGCCGGCGTTGTCCTCGCAGCCCTGCAGCGCAGTGCCGGCCGTGACGGTCGGCAGCCCGCTGCCGGACGTGTTGGCGTTCATGCGCGCGACGCCGCGGACCGCCGCGTCTAGGGTGGTGCTCAAGCCGACGTGGTCATGGTATGCCGTTTGCAGCCGCTGCAGCGTGTGCAGCACGCGGCCGCACGCCCCGCGGTACGCGCCCATCTGCCCGCCGTGGTACAGGCCCAGCGGCTCGAGGTACGCGCGCGAGAAGCCGATGGCCACCAACCACGCGCCGCGGTGGATGTCGCGCACGGTGCGGATCGGGTGCGCGACGGGCGCGCCCGAGTTGCACATGACGGTTCGCCGGTAGAAGGGCGGGTAGCCCGCCGCGATGGCTTTTAGGTCGTTCTTGGTTATGCCGCGCGCGTGCCGCCGGATGCCTTCGTGCTGCGGGAAGCCGGTCAGCCGCCCGATGATGTACGGGTCGGGCACCGTGTTTTCGGCCGTGGTGCTGGGTGCTGCCCCAAAGCGCTGGAACTGCCCCTTGACGGTCGAGCCGTATTGGAAGGAAAACGAGTCGCCCAGCGGGAGAGCGTCGCTGCCGCTTCCGCTGCCGCCGAGGCCGTAGTAGGTGCCGTCGACGAGGAGGGCGGCGACCAGAGCGTCGGCGTCGACGCGGAGGTAGTTCTTGTCTGGGGCGAGATAGCTTGGCCGCGCAACGGGTTGTGGCTTGGCCCGCCAGACCTTGTCAAAGAAGGCGACGAGGTTCGGGATCTGCGGCCTAGTTGCGACCAGGTCCAGTTCGCTCGTTGCCGATGTGGCGGCCTGCAGCGTTGGGACGTGGCTCAGGCCCCGGTCGTGCAGGCCGTCCCAGCCGATTGCTTCGCATCGGTAGTAGCCGCGATAGACGAGTTGTTGGAGTTTGAGGAAGATGTTCCGGAATAGAGGCACCAAGATGAGCGGGAATATGTTGACCGAGAGTGTCACGATCGCGATGATGGCGGAAAGTTTGCCCCAGTCCTCCATGATGTCCTCAATTGTTTGTACACCTAACCTGGATATCAAGACCCCCAAACGTTGGCAGCCAAGCTCCAAGCTGACCGGGCGCGTGTCGTGGAATGAAGACAGATGGCCAGGACAGTGGAGCCTATAATCTTCGGACGTTGATGGCCGTTCTCGCTCTTCGTCTGGGTGGTGTAGGACTTCGCCTGGGTGGTGTAGGACCCTTGCAGTCGATTGGCTCGGCGTGACCATTGAGCCGAGTGGCTTGCAGCTGTGTAACCCAAGACAAGACGTCGAGCTGAGGAGGCATTCACGAGAGCCTCGTGCCCTCAGTTCAACCGTCCTCACTTCAACCGTCCTCAGTTCAACCATCCTCTATCAACGGCAAACATGGACGAATCGAGCCGGACCCTGGAGGCATTTGCCAACAGCCCCTTCAACCGCGCAACGGCAGCACAGCTATGGCGACGTCTTCTCGCGGAACATACAGCCAGCAGTAATTCTCTTCACGAGGCTGCATGTTGCGGCGACCTCGACACGGTTGTGCAGCTCCTTGATGAGAAGACCGACTCCCTCAACCTCAATGCCATCGACGAGGACGGCCGAGCCCCCATTCATTTTGCTCTGAGAGCTGGCTCGTCCGAAATAGTCCAGTTGCTGCTCGAGGCTGGAGCGTCGCCGAATCCGATACCCCTGCCTGAGCCCTCCATCGCAGATGCACTTATGATGCTGTCTCGGATTCTGTACGCGGCGTTCCAATGGCTCTCCTTCATCTGGGTGGCTTCCAAGCAGCCATTCTTTCCAGCGCCGCTCCTGAAACTCGCCCGGTTTCAACTAGTGCTTAGTCTTGGCCTGGGGGCGGTTCTCTCATACGCCTTCGCCGTCGTCTGGCTTCTCAGGAAATTTCCTCACTTTCGGCCAGACTCGATCGCAGACGCCGCCACGGCGTTCAAGGGCGACTCGGAGCATGCCGTTCTCATGCTGCTTGACTCGGGCTATCAGCCATCGTACAGCGAAATGCCAGTATTATGGGAAGCAGCTGCGCTCAAGGGCTATACTGGCCTGTGTCAACGGTTGATGCAGCTAGGCTGGGACGTCGATGCGAAGTTTGTATATCTTGGCGAGACAGTCGACTCGGATCCAGTGGTGTTGACGGCACTTCTTTATGCCAGCGGCGCATCTCACAGCCACCTTGTATCCCAGCTGCTCAGCCGTGGTGCCGACCCTGTCCAGCTGGATTCCCTTGGCCGGTCCTGCCTCCTGCTAGCGTGCATGCGTTGCTATCCGAGTGCCAGGCCGCGCTCTCGAGAAGAGTCAGACGCCACGCTCGCGGCACTCTTGGCGACAGACGCAGTCCAGCATCTCAACAAGAACCACTTGCCGCCAGATCCCAACAGAGGCGAATCAGTCTTCCAGCTAGGATGGGGTTGGCCGCTGGCCGAGGCGTGCCGTGATTTCTGCACGCCAGCGGTGCAGCTCCTCCTAGACGCCGGAGCAGATCCAAATTTTGCAGACGAGCTGGGCGTCACGGCTCTCCACGTTGCTGCCGGAGTCTGCTACCGCGACAGAAATATTGAGAATGTCAAGATCCTCTTGGACCACGGAGCCAAGGTCAACGCGACGACCTCGGACTCGTGGACGGCACTCGGCAAAGTCTGCAATTCCGGGTCTTCTCCAGAGGCTCTCAAAGTCCTGCTCGAAGCGGGAGCAGATGCTAGCTTCGGCGCCGGCCAGAACACGCCCTTGCAGATCGCGGCGCGTCACGACATATCCGAGTTGCAACTGGTGCGCATCCTGCTGGAGTGGAGAGAGGGCATCGACGTCAACGCGACGGGGGGGCAGTTTGGGTCTGCCCTCGTCGCCGGGCTCAACAAGCCCAAGAGCCCAGACAGCGAGCCAGAGGTACTGGAGTTTGTGCGCGACATGATAAGCCACGGCGCCGACGTCAACTTGGCGCCCGACGGATACCACGCCCCCATCACCACAGCAGCCATCCACGACTGGCCAAGCGTCGTCGAGATGCTCATCAACCACGGCGCCGTCGTCCCGCCCACAAAGGAGGTGACCGGCAAGGCCGAGTGGCCGCGCAGCACGCTGCAAGTCTCCATCCTCAGCTATCTAGACGGCTTCCAGCCCGCCGTCTTCGACATTCTCCTGCACCACGGCGCCACACCCAACGGCGACACCTTCGTGTCCGGGCTCGGCGGCAACGTCGGCTCGACCATCCTCGGCCACGCATGCAGCCGCTACTTTGCCGATCCATCCGTCACCCAGCTCCTGCTCCGCCACGGCGCCGACGCCAACGCGCTCGACCCGCGCGGCCGCCGCCCGCTACACGAGGCCGCCTTCGCGCTCAACGCGGCGCACGCCCGCCTGCTCCTCCAGCACGGCGCCGCGCTCAACCTTCCAGCCCACGCCAGTAACTACGGCACACCGTGGCACTCGCTGTGCAAGGGCCTCGCGCAGTTCTCAACCACAGAGCGCAACATGACAAAAGCACAAGAATTCCACACCATCTGCCAGCTCTTCGCCGCGCAGCCGTCCCCCTCCTCTACGGATCCACTATCCGCAGTCTGGACCCGCGATGCCGCCGGAAATACGTGCCTGCACTACCTTGCGGCGCTGAGCGAACCGTCGCGCATGGTCCTCGCGCTCGCGCCCCACGGCAGCGGCGGCGGCAGCACGTATTACGGCGCCGGAAACTCGCCCGCGGCCGACCTGGCCCAGCGGTTCCTCGTGCTGCTCTGCCGCGGCGGCCTGCACCCGTCTGCGCTGCTCGCCGAGGACGCCGCGGGCCAGACCGCGCTGCACGTCGCCGCCCGGCTCGGCGATGTCGACGTCATGGCCACGCTGCTGGAGCACGTCTACTCAATGGGCAGGGTGCAAGACGCGAGTGATAGCGGTAGCGACGACGACGACAACAACAACGACGCGGACGGCGTCCTCGGCGCGCTGCTCAAGAGCACGGATAACGATGGCAGCACGGCGCTGCTGCTGGCGGCCGGCGAGGGCCGCGCGCTGGCCTGCAGGTTTCTCATGGATGTCTACACGGGCGCGGCGCGGCGGCCGGAGCCCCTAGTCGCGCTAGCGCAGGCTGCGTCGAGGCGGGCAGCGCGCAACGGCCATGTCGACGTCGCGCGGTATCTGGCGGGGTTTAGGCTTGTTGATCGGCCTAATAGAAATGATGTCGGGAATTCCGTGTGGCAGGGTGCGGTTGGGGGTGGTGATGATGTCCAGCTGGTGTTTACGGAGAGTGTGCTTGGCGATGCTGTAGCGGTGTGGAGGACGAGGATGGATATAAAGGCAGAGTAGTGGGAATTTGGTGTTCTGATGACGACAAGGTCAAATATTCTAGGGAACGGTGAATTAGCAAAAAGAAAAAGCGGAGGATCTGGGTTGACCTATTTGTTCTCATCTTATTGTAGTCTAGTTTAAAGTGAGCCGGCCGGTATGACTCTGTCGGCGCCGTTCAATAATTTGACATTTTGCTGTATCACGGCAAATGCGTGAGTTAACCTTTAATGTGTACGTGGTGAAGACTCACTTTGTAGGAATTACCGATCAATCAGGTCAGCGCACGGGCCACACACGCCCAACACGTTGCCCAGCACGTGACCGCGGAGCACCCTAACTGAGCACCTTCGTGTCCCCGTAGTTCGTGATCCCCTTTAGAGAGAGACATGGAAGACTACAAGCAACACAACCCCCCCCACCCTTCGTGACAGTTACTACAGTGACTAATGCGCGAATGACCTTGTCATTCCAACACACTTTCGTTGTAAATCTAACTGTAAAAGTCCCTCCTCAAGGCAAGTCTTATTAAAGCAGACGAAATAATGCATAACGTTCATGATATGCGAGTTAGCCATGATAAGCGAGTTGGCCACCTTAACGAGATTTGGTGGGGCACAAGCAAAAAGATGTTAGTAAATTATTAGTGATCTTATCAATTTCTTATCGCATTTGGCTGCGCACGCTACCCGGTCTCGTTAAGGTGCCTAACTTGCTTATCATGGCTAACTCGCTTATCAAATACGTTAACGTTACATAAAAGGAAGGAAATTATAATCGAATAAAAAGGGATAGTCCCTGGCACTGCTAAATCGTGTAATTTGCCACTTTCTACAACACCGTAAATGGAGCTATTCGCAACTTAGGTCGCCTGGGTCATGTAGTCAAGCCGTCAATTGAGCCAAGGCGCCTAGGTCTTGCAGTCGAGTCGAGCGTTGGCTGGCGAAAGTGTGGTCAACTTAGCGACGTAATTGTAATCCCAGCGCTTGGAGTGGTGCAGCCAGCGATTGCAGTAGTTCTGGCTGTAATATAGGCGGTGAGCTGTAATCCTTGGGCGCTTGTACCTACAGCGGACATGAACAATTTAACAGTAGTAGTTTCCCCAATTAAAAAGGAGAGAGTTTCTATCCACTGTTAAATCGTCGCCATGCACTGTAGTTCTCCAAACATAACCCTAACCCTGGCCCCTATTCCCGCCCTCCAGTACATCCAAGATTCTGCCGCGTAGTAATTTACCACTTTTTACCACAACCGAACCTTATACCTTCCACTACGACCTACCTTCTACTGCAACCCACCTTCTACTGTAACTCACCTTCTACTGTAACCCACCTTCCACTGCAACCCACCTTCAACAACCAGCAAATATCGTCGTCGCAGCATTCAATCCATGTATCGGTATGGCTTCATTTTTCGTTACTTACTTCGTCGCGCAGTACCAACTATCGATAGAAATGGCTGCCCTTGAAGATCTGAGCTATCTGAGCTATCTTAGCGACAACAGCTATCTCAGCGATGCGCCCGATGCAAATGCGCTGCCACCACTACCGCTGTCAAACCCGCTGCCCATCACCGCTGTCAAACTCGCTGCCCACTACTGCCGTTCAACACATCTAAACTACGAAGCGCCAACTATGCTAAAGACTTTGGCGTAACTAGCGTCGATTTTGGCTGTCACCGAGGCTAAATTCGTTAATCCCTGGGCTCACCCACAAATAGCTACGGCACTGCCGCTGGCGCGTTAGAAAGCTTGCAACTCAGGGATACACGCCATTCCAAGCCACGATGAAGTTGTTTGACCATGACGGCGTCCATGGAATGCAATTACTAGTATTTACCCTGGAGCTCACTCTCAACTCTGCATCTTCCACATTAAGAAGAATGTGATCCTTTAGTTCAAGAAGAAATGGAATGCAGCCGCTACAGACGAGGTTGCCCGGACTCAGGCGCAGGCTCAGGGCTAGGGCAGGCAACAACAAGAGTAAAACAACGATGAGGACAGCGACGATGACGAAGAGAACAACGACAACAACGGAGAAGAAAACTAGCTTCTAAAGCTTCAGAAGCTTGATTTTCATGTATATTAGTACCTGGAAAGGTCGCTACTTGATGAAGACGAGTACTTGCAGTACCACGAGTTTGACAGAGTCGAAGACCTTCGAGGAAGGCCCCGCAACACCACTGCTCTTGCCGCCGAACCGAACGCTCCGAGGGTCTCGACCGCTCAGTTCGAGGCCACTCAGCCACGCAGGCAGTCCGGAATCATGCCCTCTCTTCGGCGGGACCCCTCACCGTGGGAGGGTGCCACCCTCGACCATGACGACGGCCATGACGACGGCCATGTCAACGGCCATGTCAACGACGATGTCGACGACGATGTTGACGAACTCAACCAGGCGCCCGCGCAGCCTGCTCGCCGCCGCACCGTCAACAACCTCGACTCGGCACGCCGTAGTAACCGAGGCGCAGGGAGCCGGGGTGGCAGGGGCACAGGCACCCGGAGAGGTAGGGCAAGCACCCGGGGTTCGGGGAGCAGGGGAGGCCGGGGCGGTACAACAACATCACGAGCTTCAACACGCAGTGGAAAGGCTCCTCATCCGACTGCCCAAGCCTTAGAAGGCATGGATCAGTAAGGCTATCAGTTGCATGCAGGCAGTTGTGAGTAGTGTAAGCAGGCCTGTAGTTTTTTATTGCGTTTTTGGCCCTATTACGTAAGCGAATTCAACAAAGTCAGCTTCGCATTTTACTACAGATTTGAACGATTTGAGCGAATCTACGGCCCTGAGCTGGAATCACCGCATTTGGAAGTGTGTTAACGTTGGCGATGGCGGCGAGGTGCAATTGCGGTGCAACTGCGTTGCCAGCGCTTGGAGCGGGGCAGCCAGCGAATGTGGTAATTTGGCTGTAAAATGTGATATTTTCATAGACGGTGAGCTGTAATGCTTGGGCGCCCATGTACCTACAGTGCACGGCGACGATTTAACAGTGGATAGAAACTGTCTCTTAAAAAGAAACCAGAGAAGGATGCGGAGCCCAGGCTCCGCTCGAACCTAGGCCCTTTCAAGCGAAGGGTCATCTTGAACGGTAACTCATTACAGTTCCTTACCCGTTCGACCAGAGTGAAACGGCAATGCCCGTATCAGATTTCAGCTACTTCGCTGGAAAGAAGACGCGACATCAAGGTATATGTGCCCGCAAAAGGGGTTTTTTCTTGAAGCGTTCAACGCTTATCTAGTCTGCGGGTAAGCTTCTAGAAAGAAAGCTGCGCTTTATCCCGGAATGGGCCCCAAAAAAGCCCAACCGCTCCAAGCCGTCAAATGCCGCTTTGCTGTGTCGTGAGATAGAATGCAACTTTCTAGCCAGCTCCCCCCCCCCCCAAAATAAATCACTTTCTTCCTCAATCTCGCAATTCAACCTCAGTCAATCGCACGTACGATTTATCGCTTTCCAGCTATGGACAGGCACGCCCAATACTTGACGATTACGATCTTATTAATCCCTACTAATATAACGTATTTTATAAGCGAACGGATAATATAGGCGAACGGATAATTTTGCACCACCCCACTACAACTACCCTCAATTACACAACCACAACACTAGGAAATAACAATAACTGAATTAGAAATAGATGAATCAGATGATTCTGCAGCCTCCTTGCACGTGCGTGCATTATGGCCAGGCTTGCCGCACACGCCACAGCACCGAATCTTCGTTCGAGACCCCCCTACATCACCACTACTTTGTCGTATTTCCTGGGTTAACTGCTTACCCACAGCCTTCTAATCTAGTAGATCCTGTGCCTCTTGTACCGTAAGTGACCCTCCAAGCCGCATACGTGTTTTTTTTAGCTCTCCGTCTCTTACTAAGCCCCTCATTTGCCTTACGTAGTGCCGAGACCTCAGTACGTAGAAGAGCTACCTCGTGCATCACAGCCATTGTACCTTTGGCTAATCGATCCACAGCAGTTAGCATTGGGGTTGGAGAGCTGCCCTGATGGTTGGAAATTCGAGTTTTAATAAACGCTGACTGTGAGGTGGTTTCTCGAGGGTTGTGTGGCGTTTGGGAGACCCAAGGTAGTGTAGTGGTTAGGCTTGAGGCTGGGGGTGTTGGGGTTCGAATGCGCACATCCAGCTTAGATATCACCCTTTCTGGGTCGTACGGCACAAGGCCAGCTCCGGCGAAGGCTCCTTGGATGTTCTTGTCGATAAAAGCCGTAAAAAATGCCTCTTTAAACGCACAAAGGAAATCCAACTTAGTGATATGTGTAATGTACATGCGCATCAACTCCTCGATTTGATCACCATAAGCCTTCTTCAACGGCCCAAAACAACCAACATCTAATGGCTGGACTAGATGCGAGGAATGAGGAGGCATACAGAGTGTAATAATATTATGCTTCTTGCAATAGTTCTCGAAATCGTCGGAATGGTGGCTTTCGTGGCCGTCAAGGACTAAGAGCCGGTATTTTCCCTTCGTACGAGATGCTGAATGAAGATCAAAGTGCTTGATGAAATCGAGGCCTTTCTCATTGGTAGTCCAGCCGTTATCGGTCGTCCCGATATACCAGGTAGCTGGAAGACCGCAATCTCGGTACCAACCATCCTGGTGGTATTTTCCTTTTAAGAGGATGAATGGTGGGATAGCCCAGCCTTGAGCATTTACCCCCTGGATAACTGTAGCCCATTCACGATTACCAGGTTGGACCTTTTTAGCTTTCCCATAGCCATCAGAAGTAGTAACAGCCATCCCAGTAGTAATCATACCCATCGCAAACCCAGTCTCATCAAAGTTGTACGTATCTTCGTCAAGGATACCGTACTTGGCTTTAGTATTATACACAAGGGCAAACCACTCGCGAATAATCTTTGGATCTTCGCATTTAGCCCTCTGGTAGTCATATTTACGCGAAAAACGCGTCCGGAGTTCTGGTTGGCGTTTAACGAAGTTGTGAGCCCAGAGCTTGCCGACAGGGGGCGCGTCGCGTTCGCGTAACAGTCGGTTGGCCATATCTTCCACAAAACGAAGCCGAGGAGGAAATGCGCGTGCACATAGCTCAGATATATACTGAATAATTGTATGCTCCTCTAGATCTGTGAGTTTTCGTGAATTGGCTGGAATATCGCGTCATGAAGGCCGACCGACGCGTCGGTTGTAGAGAGTAGTGTAGGGAACAGAATAGATCTTTGCTGCAGCTGAAAAACGGAGTTTTGGGTCTTTTCCAAGAGCTTCAAGGGCTAAGTTTGATTGTGCTTCCTTTGAAGGTAGTGCCATATTGTGTGGTGGAGGAAAACGTTGCGAAAGGTCGAGAGGGTGGGGTGGTGTAAAATTATCCGTTCGCTTATAAAATACGTTATCACTAGGAACGCGTGTTTTTCAAGCCGCCGCGATGGCTACGGTCGGAGTCCCTCAACCGCAGCCTCCACCGCCCGATGCGCCAAATCCAGGCGCCGTGGCCAGCCTCCCGGCCGCCTGATCCTCCCTATAACTAAAGAGACCCCGAACGACTACATCCCTATCACCGCACAGTCGATCGAATGAGACAAGGCTGCATTTACCAGGCTGTATTCGTAGAATCTAAAGCTAAGGAAAGAAAGAAGCAAGGAATCGAGAGCGGCCGGGCGGCCGTGGGGAAATAGTTGTAGGCGCTAGGGATCACGTTCAAGGTCATGTGCTAGGGCAGTGGTGGGGAGTGGAACTCCTGCAAGAGTGCACGAGCCACAAAGCCTAAAACCGATGCGCCCAACCAGCGGGTTTTGGCCCTGCCGTGACAATCCCTCCCAAATACAAGAGATGCCGTGGTTATAGCTTGGTCAAACATAACTAGCACCCCTCGGCCAGCCACCCATTACCTCGAGCGAAGCGAGGACAGCTCGCCGCAGGCGCCGCCGGAGGCAAAAAACAAGAAAAAAAGAGGCTCCGTTCAGCAGCTGACCCCTTCCTGACCCGTCAGGTAACCTATTTTAGTTTGTTTTTACCGTGGAAGCACTCAAGGATCCAGAGGCTTGTCTAATTCCCTAGTTTCAAGGTATAGTGTACACTCTCCTCCCCCTAGCTCTTTAAGGGGTTCTTGACGAGAAGTCGGAAGTGCTTAGTATCCGAAGTATCAGCAAACCTGACCAGCTGGGTGCAGATCATGGCCCAAGCCCACGCGACCCGATAGTCGACCGTACCCTCGTGCTTGCGGAACTCGATGGTGCGCTCTGACCCCGACGCATCGTCTACGAGGTGGTTGAAGTTGTAGGCTACCCGGTTTCTCTCGTCGGGGGGCGCATGATGGATCCCCAGCATCGCGCAGAGTTCGTGGATGTTTTCGGCGCCCCAGAGGAGCTGGAACCTGGGCTGCTTGCTGCGTCTGGGATCCAGTCGTCGTAGTCTGGGGAATTGCCGCGCGGTTTGAACCAACCGAGTTGACGCACCAGGATCGAGGCCATGAAGGGAGGGCAAAGTCCATGGCGTTGAGACGCGTGTGCTCGGCGCAGATCCCGCGAGGCGCGCCTCGCCGAGCATGAGGATTGTGGCGAGCTTTTTCAGGGTGACGAGCGAGAACGGCGGGTCCAACCAAAGTCTTCCGACGTGGACGTGGAGAGCGCACGTCTCGTTGACCTGGGCCTTTTACGCCACGAGACCTTTCAGAATTGTCTTGAAAGTATCCTTGTATTCAGAGTACTGGTTATGTTTGCTCTTGCCCTAGCCGCTGCCTGACGTGCTGGTAGCCATGAGAACTAGCGTATTGACCTCGATGCCCCAACAGAACTCCACAGCTCCCTCGGAAGCTAGGGAGTTGTCATCCTTGACGACCCAAGCCTCCAAATTGTTGAGTCTGTTCCTGCTATTCTCGTCAATCTCTGCTTGACCGTGAAAAGTGTGGCGCTAGCGGCTTCGATGCATTGTGCAACCACCTCCATGACGAGTACCTTGATGGAACAACAGTTTTTCAGGCCGGCTTCATTTAGTTCAAGTAATCAGACTCTTGTGCGACCTAGTTGGTTGTAGGGGTTCGCGCTCCTTCGCTTCCGCTGGTGTTGGTATTACTCGATACCTACTCCATCGGAACTTTCGCAATAACGTGTCCGCCGGTCCACATCTTTTCTCCGAAGCTGATACCCCGCGTCTCATGGTCTATGGAATTCATAGTCTGTGGAATTCATAGTCTGTGGAATTCATAGTCTGTGGAATCCCGGTGCAGTGGGAACCATTGGGCAACCTGCACCAGGAAAAAAAGAATCAGCAAAGTTCATGTCGTCGAAGCCTCTTTGCCGTGGATATCAGGTGACGCAAGGGAACGCGTTGCGTACAAAAGCCCCGAAACGCGCCTGCGGAGCGCAACATCGCGAAAGCATGCAAATGCTACACCATCTGCCAGCTCTGCGCTGTGCAGTTCCCCTCGGCCTCAGAAGCGCCAGCAGCGGCGGTCTGGGACAGCGACGGCGTCGGAGACACCTGCCTTGACTACTTCGCTGCGCTGAGCGGGCCGTCGCGCATAGTCCTCGCGATCGCGCCGGAAATTCCGCGGCCGCCGATTTAATTCACTACCCTCGCGCTGCTCCGCGACGGCCTGCGCCCGTCTGTGCTATTCGCTGAGGACGTCGCGGGCTGTGTCGGGGCGGGCAGCGCGCAACGGCCATATTGATATTGCGATACCTGGCGGTATTTAGGCTAATTGATGGGCCTGACGGAAGTGATGTTGGGGGTTCTGTGCGGCAGGGTGCGGTGGGGGGTGGTGATCAGCAGCTGTCGTCTAAAAAAAAAAAGGATTTGTTGATGTCGTAGCTGTGTGGAGGACGAGGATGGATGTGAGAGGGCGGGTTAATTGGTGGAATTGGAAATTGGCGGAATTGGAAATTGGCATTTCGGGTAACGACAGCGCCAAATCTTTTGGGATCGGCGAATCGGTAAAGATGAGCGGAGGATCTGGTTTCAGCTACTTGTTCTCGTCTTATTGTATTCTAATTTAGACTCTTTCGTCCCATCAACCAGACCACGGAGATGACAAGTACATCGTGCGTGTCTTTGCCCTCTTCAGTCTGAAGTAAAAGGGATTCTTAGCCATCCCGACGTCCTGCCCTCTCCCGTAATTAACTCGAATGGGCAGGTGACATGCGCATTGATGTCAGTGCCAGTCAAATCAGCGAATCGCCAGCACTCGAGTAAGCCCCCTTCTCTAGCTGAGTAGTTCACGTCAATATTTGAACTTGAATCCGAGGAGCTAGTAGGCTAGTTCGTGTTAGTGGCGCGGCGCAGACCTATTTGGGATGGGAGGGAACACGCATTGCAACCTCGCAACCTGGCTTGGAGCTGGAGTGAAGATGTCGCGTGGATATTCTAGGTAAGCCGGGGCGACTTTAGGCCTCGGCTTACTTGCAGCCCGCCGCCTATTGAAGTATTTAGCTTAACATATTTCCGTTCATTGTATGAAATTAAAGCACAGTTCCTCTTTATACCCCAACTACACTCTCCGGCCCTGCACAACGTTGACCAGCTTCCTTTGGTAAGTTCGTGAGCACAAAGCTGTTACAGACATTGCTCAACTCATTCGACCTACCAGTTCGCACCTCAATCGCCATGAAGCTGCTTGCCCCCGCCTGCATTGCTGTGGCCACGATGACTAGCTCGACGCGCGCCTGGACGCTGAAGATGTACGACAATCCCGACGGCACGGTGCAGATCCACAGCTCTGGTGGGTCTGGCGACTTTTCGTGCTGGAATATGGTCGGCACTAGCTACAACAACAAGGCCTCGTACGTGTCGTGGTCGGTGCCGGCCGGCCAGAGATGCACCATCTTCTACTACGACGACGGCGGATGCAGCACGTGGCTGGGCCAGTACACGGCGTCCTTCAACTCGGCTTTGCCCTCGCAGCTCAATAACAAGATTTCTTCATACAAAATCGACTGTTAGGTGTTCTTCTTTGTCTTTTGTATTTAGCAGTTCTCGAGTAACAAGTTTATGAAAGGGGGAACAATGTGGATGGCAGTAGCGTGAGTACCTAGGTCCACAGCACAAACCACTCACTGTGGCAGGAAAACCAGGCTCCATTAGGGGGCTGTGGAGAGGTTGAAAGAGCGTTGAGCCTGTTCTATCCAATTATAGTGTTTAGCATTAATTATCAATGGCCAACTCCTTTATTTCCGCTGTAGGCCATGTTTCTGCCTATACATGCTGACCTACTCGTCGTGGCGACTAACGGTGGACAGGCAACTAACGGTGGACAGGCAACTAACGGTGGACAGGAATTGTCACGTCGAGAATTCGGCCTTGGGCTTCAAGAGCCACCGGACGGCGTGCTGGGACTTGGCCTCGTTGGAGGTGCACGCGAAGCCAACCAGCGTGTAGCAGATCATGGCGAACGCGTTGGACACGCCCGGGTCGAGCGTGCCCTCCTGCTTGCGGAACTCGATCGTGTGCTTGGGTTTCTCCGTCCCCTTGGCGCGCCACAGCGAGTCGAAGCTGTAGCCAGTGCGGTACTCCATATCGAACGGCTGTTGATCGCCCCGCAGCAGCAGGCAGACCTCCGTGGCGGTGCCAGCGGCGGGTTAGCGCCGTGTTTCACCACCAGATAGGTGCTGTCGAGGTTGTAGGCGTAGCGTCTGCAGTTTCCGTGCCGCTTTTCCTTGTACAAATCCAGCAAGTGGTCCTCGGCGAGCAGGATGACCGTGGCGATCTTCTTGAGCTCGAGGGCCGTGAACAGGGTATCGACGGGCGTCGATCCGAACCCGCCCACGTGGGCCTGGAATGCGCACCGGAAGTTGGCGGCCGAGATGTCGTACTGCCGCAGGCCGCAGGCCGCCCAGCACCCGGGCGATGGTATTTTTATGGCGATGGACGCCGTCGCTCTCGGGCATGAAGATCGGCGACGTGACTTCGAAGCATGCTAGCTCGTAGTTGGCGCCCTCTGGGGGGTCAAATTCGAGCGTGGGATCTGCCTTGACAACCCAACTCTTTCCTTTCTCGTAGGCATTTGTTACTGTCACGGCTCTTCATAAGAATCGGCACAGTTTCTTCATGTCCAGTGAGGTCGAAAAATCGGATGAAACGAGCGCGGCTGCTGGCCCAGTGGCCACTGGCCGGGCCTCGTTTCGTCTGTTGTTTGGCACGCTCGGATCAACGTTAAACGAACCAAATCAGATCGGAAAAGAGAGTGCGCAAGGGCTGGCTGGTCCGTGTCAAGTTGGCATCACGGTGCTGGGGAAATTGAGATTCTTGGCCCGAAGAGTAAACGTTCCAACGGTTTAATTTCCACACCTGTCGGGGTTGAAGAGCCGTCATTTTTTTTTTCCTTTTCTTCCCTCACTCCTTCAGAATCACAAGGAGAGGGATACGAGTCAGGCATCGAGCCTACTTCCCACACTTCAGGCTTGCGAACAGAGGCAGCCTAGTCAGGCCGACTTCTCAGATAATGGATTCACGTCGACCGTGCGCGGACGAGCAAGCTATCAAAACCGATGGGCCGGACCAACATGTCACATTGCGGCTGTTGACCTTTGTTTACTTCAACCCTGTTGAATTACTCCCGCTCTACTATTACCACCCCACTTCGAAATGGGTCTTGTGATAGTTTCACTCCCGAACCGGGCGATTCGGGTTCTACTCTTTCCTCATCTTAGGCATCCTGCTGGCTCGCAATCGTAATCTAGAACACTCCCTTTCCTCCTTCACCCCCCTCCCCCGCAACCGCCTCCACACCCACCCCCTCCGCAGCCACCTCCGCAGCCGCCGCCACCGCCGCCTCCTCCACAACCACCACCCCCTGAATCGCCACCCCCTGAAGCATCACCACCGCCGCAGCTGGCACTCCCACACCCGCTCCCGCAGTTCGCCCCGCACGCCGCACCGCACGCGGGCCCCGAGTCAGCCTGCCCATCAGCAACAGCAGCACTTGGAAAACACGCATCGGCATACAACGCCGCCTCAACAGCAGCAGACGCAGCAGACACAGCAGACGCAGCAGACACAGCAGCGACATCAGCCGCCGCCCAGCTACCACCCTCCCCACCAAACCCGGCAAAAACGCCCCTCCAATCATCCCCACCGCCAGCACCAAAACGTCTTCCCGAACGGAGTTGCAAGGGAACGTCGGGCAGCCGCACGCGCCCGTCGCGCATCGCCTCGTACGCGACGATCTGCTCCTCGCGCGCTCGCAGCGCCCACTCGGCCACGAAGTAGTGCCGGTATGTCCCCGCCTCGAAGTAGTGGCTGAACGGCTGCGCGCGGTGGATGCCGCCGAGCTTGACGCGCGCCAGCGCGGGGTATGTTGCGCGGAGGGATCTGCGGCTGGGTTTCATGGGTGAAGGTGGAGATGGAGATGGAGATGGAGATGGAGATGAAGATGAAGATGATGAAGAAGGTGAAGGAGATGATGAAGGTGAAGGAGAGTGCAGCCACGCGGTCGCGGCGCACAGCTCGCGCGCGTTGGCCATGCCGGCCGCGGCGCGCGCCAGCAGGCCCGATGCGGTGAGGACCGTGAGCCGGTTCCGGAACCAGGCGAGCTGCTGCGCTGCGCCTTTCGCGTCGCCGGTGCCTTGACCCTCCCCGGTGCCAGAAGCGGCGTTGGAACCAGCACCAGGCGGATACAGGAACCTGTCGCGCGCAAAGTGGTGCGCGACCATGGACCAGGCGTCGAAGGGGAACGCCCAGAGGTGCTTAGCCAAGTTGCACGGACCGGGCTCGCCGCCAGTCCCGGGCCGACTCTCAATATTACCGCCGCAGCGCGAGGGATACCGGCCGTACGCCTCGGTGCAGTCCCAGCCGAACACGTCCTGGTAGCGGTACAGCGTGCCGCCGAACGCGCCCCAGTCGCTCCAGTACTCCTGTTGCGCGTCTACTACGTCTGCTTCGTCGTGCCGCCCGAAGTGGAACCGCAGCAGGTACTCCTCTGTCAGCCCCGACGGCACGTCGTACTTGCTGCGCACGCCCCGCTGCAGGTAACCTGCGTCTGGACACACGAAGCTGATGGTGTAGAGCGGTGGGGGTGGTGGTGCTGGTGGTGCTGGTGGTGCTGGTGGTGCTGGTGCTGGTGGTGCTGGTGGTTTGTTGTTATTGCTGCTCTTAGCTGTGCCGCCGGGTGCGGTCAGGGGTTTGTTTTCGTCTGCAGTATTAGCAGCAGCAGCAGACTTGGCGCCAACCACAACAAAACTGCCGTCGGCGGCCACCCCGACGCCGCCGCGCAGCAGCGGCTCGAACAGGTCCGTGTCGATCAGCGCGTTGCAAAAGGACTGGCAGTTGTTGCCCGTGGCACTCCACGTCAGGCGGGTGTCCGGGTGCAGCAGCCGCGCGGCGATGCTGTCGAGGTAGATGGCGACGCGGCTCTGCAGTAGCACCCGCAGCTTGAGCAGCGCCGGCTCGAGTGCTGCCGAAAGCACGCGCCGCTGGTCCGTCGCCGGCAGCCCAGCATCATCAAACGGCCGCCGGCTCGCCGCCAGCAGGTCCCGCGCCACGTCCAGCTCGTCGGCCTGCGGCAGCAGCCCGCTGAACGGCGCGCCGACAACCTGCTTCATGACCGCCTTGTACCGCTTGGGTTTGGGTTTGATGCTGCTGCTCCTGCTGGCCGGCTGGTGCCACACGGCGCGGTCGGCTAGGCCGCCGACGGCTAGGTTGCGGCGCCCGCGGGCGTGCACCAGGTCGAAGCGCTCGTGGAAAACAGGCGCGTCGCGCACCGAGACCAGCGCGCCGCTCTTGGTGTGGGCCACGCCGTTCTCAACCACCAGCGGACCGACACGTAGCGCCATGTGCACGTTGCCGAACGGGTACCGCTTGGCGAAGCGCCGGAAGAATAGCGGGATGTCCGTGTCGGCCTCGGCCTCGGTCACGACGCTCGTCGAACTCGACGCTGCCGCGCGCTGCACCGAGTCGTGCAGGCTCGTCTCCGTCACGTTCTGCAGCCTGGCTGTCGTCCTCTTGCCCTGTCTAGGAGAGCCGAGCAGTTGTCGGTAGCCCTTTCCTGCTGCCGACGTCGCGGGCTTCTTGGGCGCGGCGGCGGGGGCAGCGACAGACGGCTTCCGGAACACGCCGGCCGTCATCTGCAGGCCATCGTACTTGGCCATGGCGACCAGCTCGCCGAGCTTGAGCAGGCCGCACTGGATGGTGCCGGGGCCGCCGACGTCGAGGTGCATGGCGGCGGCAGCGACGGGGAAGAGGGGCAGCGGCCGGCCCGACGCCGCGTCGTAGTGCGGCACGTCGCGGCAGCGGCAGATGCGCCGGCTGACGGGCGCCGTGATGGCCTCGCCCAGGACGCAGTGCTTGTAGGCCTTGGCGTAGGTCTCGTCGCCGTAGTGGTGCTGCCGGTAGCAGTCCTCGCACACGGCCACCGGGCCGCCGCTGGCTTGTGATATGAACATGCTTCCCCGGATGATGGCGCGGCACTCGGGCTGGCCGCAGTGCAGCGGCTGGAACCGCGGGATCCAGAGCTCGTCGAACTGCGAGAGCGCGACTGGGGGTTGTTAGTGGGGACTAGATGGGCCCCAGGGGGGGTGGGGGGGTAGACACGCACGCTGTGGGATGGCCGGCCGCTTCCAGAAGCGCAGCTGCTCAAGCGGAGGCCGGTGCTCGATCAGTTTCTCAATGTCGAGGAAGCCTTGGCAATCGTCAGTCGAAATGGTAGCACATTGTGCCGGGCATCGACCTACCGGTAGCCTGCAGCAGCGTCCATGCCCGCGCTTCCATTCCGTGCAGCCGCGGCACTTCTACTCAAGTTGATGACCATTAATACCACAAGCAACAGAGTCTACCACAGGCAACAGAGTCTACCACAAGCAACAGAGTCTACTACAAGCAACAGAGTCAACTGTCAGAACCAGCAGCACATACCGTCGATAGCCTTTCTCACGGCGGCCTTGATCCTCGAGCTGGTGAACTCGGCCCTGCGGTCTATCATGGCCTCCTTGAGGGCTTCGCGGTGCGTCTTCTTGGGCTTCTGGGTGTAGTAGCCGTTGGCTGCAGGCTTCTTCTGCGATGCGTCGGCCTCCTGCTTCTCGCCTACTCATGGACATCAACCAAAGCCAAAATCAAGAAAGAGATCACGGCCGAACGCACCGTAGCGGATGGCAAAGGCGCGCGTCTCGTGGCTAACAGCATCGAGAAACGTGTCGTATCCGTGGATGAAGCCGTCGTCCTCCTCTGCAAGCACCTCGCCCGCGTACGGCGGCTGCTGCCACGCCCGCAGCGTGCGCACAATGTTCTCGAGCTCGCCGCGCACCCCGTCCCAGTACAGCGCCTCGAGCTCGCCGCGCAGGTGCGCCGCGCCCGGCCCGACGGGCTGCCACTCGGCCTCGGGCGCCGGCGTGATGGCTGCCGACGAGCGCGCGTTGGCTTGCAGCACTGCGTAGAGCGCTTTCTTGGCGCGCAACATGTTGGCCGATGATCGATCCGAGGTCAGATGATCCGAGGTCAGATTGCAAGATTGGGGATAGGCGTTGATTGTGTGTTCACGGCTTCACGCTGATTTTGTCATCGTGATGATTAGAGGAATTCGCAACTTTGCGAGTGGCGTCAACATGCACTCAGTGGTGGCGTGGAGTGAGAGGGAGGTGGTCGAGAGCCTGATATCCCGCCTCCTGGCAACAATAATCAGTTCCTCCCGGCTGGTGCAAAGAAAACGCCTTGGTGCGGGTAAAGAATCACCCCGCGTCTGGCTTCATAATTTACCTAAGTCTAATCGGAGACCGACGCGAGACTAGCGCGATCGATCCGGTATCGTCGGAAAGTGCACGAGGCTGGGATGGGATGGGATGGGCAGTAGCATGGGATGGGATGGGCAGTAGCATGGGATGGGATGGGATGCAGTAGGATGGGGCGGGATGAATCGTCACATGCGTGCTGCGCCTCTGTGGATGCCGCGCTGCAACCCTGGAACCTTTTCGGAATCTTGACACTGAAAGCCCCACCATCCTCAGGGTTAGGGTTTACCCCACACCTGGAATCGCGCTCCATAGCTGGCGGCCTTCGGCCTGTAGTTTTAGATAGGACAACCCATTCCATACCCTTCTTTTTGTTGGAGTCAGCACCTCAACTTTCTTCATTTTATCTCCCTCCTTCTTCTTTTTGGTCCTGCCAGAGGGCCTCTATTATAGTTGTAAATGGTGGCAATGGTGGTGGCAAAAGTAGCCACACCAGCTGAACTGGCCACTTCATTTCAGCTCCCCTGAGCCTCTTTTCACCTCGGATGACCACACCAGAGCTCAGCTGGGATGAGCTCTATTCCACATGCAACCCTTGTCCATCTGACAATAGCCAATCCAACACTTTTCAACACCGAGCCACGTCCCGTGCACAGGGCGTCTTTGCCAGCCATACGGAATATTCGACAAGAGACATTTCTGCGACGAGGTCAACGCCAACTGTGTTTACCATAATTACATGTAAGTGAAATGTGGTGATATTGATGAAGCGGATGCACAGCAGTCGAAGACTGGCTCCCAAATGCAACAAACAGTAACGTTAATTATTCATTAAATTCGCAGTTAGTATTCGCGACTGCATGGCATAGTCTAGCGACTTTCTTGATATTACACCCCAAATTTAACTCCGAAATCTCCACAAACCATGCTATAAGACATACTACGAGTAGCTCAGGCTCTTCGCCCACGGCGGGTGCCCCGCCCACTCACACTCCTTCCCCGTGTCCGCATCAATCCACCAGCGCGGTCCGGGGGCCGGCAGGGTGTCGCCACAGGACTCGCAGGCAAGCGGCAGCGCAGCCAGACGACGCACCTCTGCAGCAGCACGAGAGTCGAGAACCGCATCAATGTTCGCGGCTGGCCGGCGCGCGCAGTTGCGGCAGACATACACGCCGCCAGCTCCTACGCCGCCGCCGCCCATCTCCACGTCGACCTGCATGGCCCGATTGCCTCGGTCATTATTCCTCGACCGCGTGTTGCTGTTCCAGTTCGTCCTCCGCCTCCCCGGCCGCTGCCATTTCCACCTGCAGTCCTTGGCGAAGAAGCATCGCGAGCAGCGCGCGCGGCACCGCGTCAGGTGGTGTGCCGTGCGCGCGTCGATGCTGGCCGCGTCGGCGCCCGTCGATGACATGTCCGTGCGGCATTCCTGAGCGGCGCTGTTAGTAGGAAAGAAAGAAAGAAAGAAAGAAAGAAAGAAAGAAAGAAAGAAAGAAAGAAGGAAGGAAAGAAGGAAAGAAGGAAAGAAAGAAAGAAAGAAGGAAGGAAAGAAGGAAAGAAGGAAAGAAAGAAAGAAAGAAGGAAGGAAAGAAGGAAAGAAGGAAAGAAGGAAAGAAGGAAAGAAGGAAAGAAGGAAAGAAGGAAAGAAAGGAAGAAAGAAAGGTGGGTATTAGGGATCTCACGTTGCACATAGGGATGTTACAGAGGTGGCACCGCGAAGTGTGCGGAATCACTGTAACAGACGGTATTACTGTTGACGGTGTTGTAGTTGTTGACGGTGTCGTGGTTGCTGATGGTGTTGCAGTTGTTGATGGTGTAGGTGTTGGTGGCCGACAGCAGTGCTGTTGCAGCTCGTCCAGCACGGCCGCCGGGTCTGCGAGACCGAAAAAGGCGATGCGCAGCCGCTTCGACGACTGGCTCACGCTGACCAGATCCGCGTAGTGCACGTGGCGCGCTACCATTATGGCCAGCTCCAGCGGGAGGTGCACGTCTTTCTCCGCGCGCTGGGCAGGCGGCTTCTTGTCGCTGCCGGAGAAGGAGGGGATGAGTCGGCTGACTGCTCTGTGCTTTTCTGCCGTGCTGTTGTTATTGATACTGTTCAGGGGCGGCGGCTTGGGAGATTTGCCGTCTCTGAGCACCGAAAGCGCGCTGCGGCTGTAGCGGTAGCCAAAGTAGCCGCCGGCCTGCAGGTAGTCGATGCCGCGGATGGCCGGGCTCAGCAGCCAGAGCAGCGGCGAGAGAATCACGTCGATGTCGTACCCCGACGACGAGCCCCACGACCGGCGGCTGCGGTATCCGCCCGAACACGCGTCCGCGAATCCCAGCGACATGTTGACGATGGCGCAGATAAGGTATACGACTCTGGGGTCACAAAGCTGGTTAGCATGTTGTGGACAAAATAATCAGTTACAGATTACTGCTGGCAGCACTTACACGACGGCAACTGTCACGGCCCAGTTCTGCACCATGTCGTGGCAGATGGCCGCGCCGCTGTCGTCATTGCTGAACAGGCCCGTGCTGTTGGCAACGATGAAGAAATTCTGCTGCCCGGGGGGCCCAGCCGTTGCGGCGCCGTCGCAGCCGCCGTACGACCGCGGCAGGAACATGGATTGCTTGCCGGCGCCCACGGCGAGCGCCACGGCCAGCGCGAGGTCGACCAGCCCGACGGTGCCCAGCAGCGCGCCGCGGCAGGCGTTCGAGGCAGCGAACATGAAGAAGTTCCACGCAAACGTCGCGATGCCCTGGGCAAAGTCAGTCTTTCGGTCTCTCACATTATTGGGACGAGGTTGATGCTCACCGCGTTCCCCACGACCCGCAGCCCCTCGAGAAAGTCCTGGCCGTGCGGGATGGCGTCGAAGATGCCCGGCCCGACGTCGCGGGCGTTCTTCCAGAGACCGAGCCCTGTCACCCCCATCATGCCCGTGGGGATGTGGCAGGCGAAGCGGATGATGCACGACACGACGCCCTGGCCCGACATGGTGAGTACCTGCGGGTGGGGTGTCGGGATAGTTGACGATGTTTGCTGATTTCTGGGCGGCCGACTGCTGGAGGAATCAAGGTCAATATTTAGCCCGGCAGACAGCGAGACCTTCGTATTGCCACGACATGATGATGGTGGACCAGGCTCAACGGTCGACTCTGCCTGGCCTGGGCGCAGTGTAGTTGGTGTACGTGGGCGCAGAGATAATGCGGGGGAACATGTCGCCGATGATCCCCTATCGGTGATGTGGGCTCGGGCTCCCCTTAGCTCGGGCCCTTAGCTCGGGCTCCCCTTACCCAATGATTGTTGGGGGCGGTGCTACACGACCGGGGTGTGTCGGTCGCCGAATCCGGCTGCAGCCACACTCTGACCGAGCCGCTTCCGAAGCAGCATCTGACCCTGCCTTGCCGAGCTTGGCCATCTCAGGGCCTGGTGCTGAGCTGCGGGCGAAGCTAAATGCACGTTCACGATGTTTCTTGTTGAAGTCGTATGAGCAGCCAACGAAACCGAGACAGACAAAATAACTTGTTTGGTTGAGTCCATCTTCAACCCGGTGGTCTTCGCTTGAGCTTGCTCCGTTCCCTCCCTGAAAACACACCAACCCTTACAAAGACGGCCGCCATGTCGCACCTGGCCGGGTCGCACCTGATCGGAGCGCACACTAAAGCGCTCCACGAGACGGGCAAGCAGGAGGTCGTCTCGATACAGAACCACACTAAACAGCCCACAAACTACCGACAGCAGGGGACCGTGTGGCGCCCGGCCCGGGACATGCAAGAGGAGCCCGTGATTCCCGCGCCGGGCTTGTTCGCGACACTTGTTTTGCCCCGCGACACAGACCATGCCGGCGCCGACGCGGATGCGGACGCGCTGCCGACGGTCGGCGAGTGCGCAACACATCTGCAGCTGCTGCACGTCTTCTACGCGCTGCGCGTGCGCATCATCGAGTCGGCCGAGCTCGACAAGACGTTCGGCGTCGAGCAGAACCGCACGACCGTGTGGCGCACCCGGTACAGCGGCCGCTACGGGCGCAGCGAGAAGTACCAACACCCGCTCGGCGACGCGACGTGGAAGGCCCGCCGCAAGGAAAAGTTCCGGTACTATCTCATTGTCGCCGCTGCGCGGTTCCAGGAGTGGGTGAAGAAGGCGGATGCGGTGTTGGCGGAGACAAAACAGGGCACGGGCAGTCTCTGTCTTGCTTTTCTGCCTCCTCTAGGTACGTAGGTCTCTGTTCTGCCATTGGCACTGTGTCTTGCTGACGGCCGAGTCACCCTCAAGACGTTCTCATGGTCTGGCACGCCTTCCTGCTCAACCCGCGAGACTTTGAGGACTACTGTCGCAAGCACCGCCTCGAGCGGATCCGCAAAGTCCCCTTTCCGTGGGCCCAGATCGTGCGTGCATGCCAAAACCGAGAATATCAATAGAGTATTCACTAACACAAAGCCACCCACTTCCAGCACTCGGCCATCGACTCTCGGACCGACACCTTCATGCTTCCCAAAGACGCCGCAGCCTCCGCAGACTCAACCGGCCTCGCACCCGACCTGTTTGCCTTCCTCGCCGACGTCAGCAAAGCGCCTAGCTCCGTCGCGCCGACGCTGGCCCGGTTCGGCGGCGGCGCCGACGCCCCTGCCGCCGCCCCCGCCGCCTCCGCCGCCATCCTCAGCATGTCGACCTCGACCGCGACATCACCCCAAACCCTCGCCTCGCCACCATCAAAAGGGGCAAGCGCAAGCACCGTAACTCGCCAAAGCAAAGCCGCCACAACCTCAGCCGAGTCCAACTTCCTCCTCGTCCTCTTCACGCACGGCGGCACGCCCGCCACGCCCAACACCACTACCGCCACCGCCACCGCCACCGCCAACTCCAACACGGCACTCATCGCCAACGTGCAGCGTCAAGCCGTCTTCGCCGACAAGATGCACGCGCAGCTGTGGCTGCGCAGCCCGGCCGTCTTGCGCACGCTCTCGCGCGCAATTTCCCGCTACGCCCAATTCCTGGCCCTCTTCCGCGCACACCCGGGCCAGACGCTCGTGCCGGCGCTCGACGTCGACCTGGCGTGGCACACGCACCAGCTGTCGGCATCGGCGTACGGCGCGGGCGTGCGCGCGCGCGCGGGGCGGTTCATTGACCACGATGATAAGTTGGGTGTGGGCGTGCTGAAGGGCGCGCTGGAGAGGACTGCGGAGTGGTATTTTGTGGCCTTTGGGGGGCTGTATGCGCCGTGTCTCTGCTGGGACTGCGAGGCTGTGGCGGAGGTGTTGGAGAGAGAAGCCAATGGGGACATGGATGAGGATGGGGATGGGGATGGGGACTTGGATGGGGAGGAGGAAGAGGACAGAATGGGTAGGCTTGTTGACGCTGTCCAGGACGAGTTGCATTACTACCGTTCTGTCGAGGCGGCCAGGCGCGCGAGGAAGCAGCTCCCCGTGCGGGAAAAGGTCCCTGCGTAGGCGCTGTGTTTCTTGGGGATGTTAGTTTGCGTCATGTGCTCTACCGGGGCGGTATAAGTGGAGTGTATGGGTGGCCAATGTTGGCTGTAAAACGGTCTAGAGGGTGTGTAGTTGTATCCACGGTCGATAAGCACATGTCAACAGATGATAATAACCCCCTTGATTCAGCGGGACGAAGCCAATAAAGCCGCCGTCATATTAACATCAGACCGTAAATGCCGCTCCAAAGCACCTCATTACAAAAGATAACGACTTTCGAGCGTAGCGAGCAGCCCGCGGCGGCGAAGGGGTCTCACGAAGCGGTCGGACTCGGATTGCCGGATTTGATTTGGTCACGCACGGGTCGAGTTTTCGCTGTGACATGAGTTTTGCGTTGATCCTTGAGCGAGGTCAGCTGCTGCCTGACGGAAGGAACCATCGTCTCCGGTTCATCGTCTCCGGTTCTCGTCTCCGGTTCTCGTCTCCGGTTCATGTCTCCGGTTCTCGTCTCCGGTTCGTCTTCGTCTCAGGTATTGATGCATGTCAGCCAGACAACAGGCTGCTTCATGGAACGCTAGATAGGAAACCAAACTCCGGGATACGGCCTTATCAAAAGAAGGGCTGTTTTTAGGGAGTAGGCATGCCCCTTTGGTGTTGTATGGTGAATGTCGGAGCTCAGCAGAAAACTAGCGATATGCGGAGGATGTTTGACGATGGTCCAGCTAGCCACTTCCCCGTCCCGGCCAGCTATTAGTGGCTAGAAAAAACGCCCCCAAAGCGGGCAAAGCGGGTCTTATTGCAGGAGCCAATGATAGTTGGGATTGTCGCTTGAGTGTAGGTCCATGTAGCATCCCACTGTCTGTTGCATTGTCGTCGCTTGGGGAGCGGCCGCTTCCCCGCTGTGTGATACCCAGGCATCGGCATCTTCTATTGAGCCTGTGTCGCTCTGGCCCGTCACTGGCGGGTTGCCTAACCAGGCATAGTGAAGAAAGACGGGAGGAAGAGAGCCATCCATTTCACGCCCACCGGCATGCAGGCTGACACCCGACGCAAGCACGTCGAGAGCAGGTAGGTAGGCCAGCAAATTGTGCGTTCTAGACAAAGTTGGTGTGGTGAAATTACCTGCATTGCATCTTTTCACTAGTGGCATCCCACTTAGGTAGTGGCTTTCGATCACCAGCTGAAGTCGGTTGTCCAGCGAATTAGGGCCACTTGTGGCGGGCCTAGACGGATGAACCCGCGAAGAAACCCGCGAAGAAACCCGCTCAGGCGCTTAACTTGAAGGTCGAGACCGGTCTTTTGCTTGAAGTTGCAGATCTGGGGCTGGCTGAGTGCTGGGTACTCAGCTCTCCACACTCTGTGATTTCGACAGAACAAGATTGCCAACGCAACGGCCCTGGCAGTGGCTTGAGTGTAATGGTCTCCTGGTCTCAGAGTGTCCAATGAGCCGGGGCCTCTTCCGCACAACTCTTGAGCGTTTGCAGAAGACCCAATAAGAGTCTCTGACTTTAGTCCTTGTGGGTTGTTCTCTCCTAACATGAAAACATCCATAGAGCGTTGCAGGTCACGTAGCACTGTGGAAAGGCGGAGGACTAGCCCCGGGAAATGGTGTATATGAAGTCAGACCTGCGCTCGGTTCTGGAGTTGGATATTCTCCCCACACTTTCATGCTCTCTCGACTGCTTTGTGCTTCAAGTTAATTGCCAGCGGAAACAATCAATACCTTGCGCCTTACACTGCCTTCTAGTTATTCTTCTCCCCAAGTACAGCTCGAGCAAGATGTCCACGCCTCAGGTTATCCAGGACTTCTACACTGTCCTGGGACAGCTTGGGGGTCAGGATGCGCTTGATGCGACCGTTGCCGCGGCTTTGTTTCTGGCCAAGGACGTCTTGACCGATGCGGGGATCACTGATGGCACGAGCTTCGTCAATTGGATAATCACATCTTTGCTGCAATGGGTCCCGAAGGAGAACTCTGAGTCGACTGAACTTATGCAGCAGCTCATCATCTTCTATTTCGTCCTTGACCAGGCTCCCCTTGGCCTGGATCAGACCCAGATCTACCCAAACTCGGTTGGCAATGGACTGACCCCTTTGTCGGCATGGATCGTCGAGTTCGCCGATGCCTTAGGAACTTGGTTCAACGACCCTCAGTCGCTGACGTCAGATTCGTTCAAAACCTTTGTCAACTCCCCGCTGTATCGGGTTTGGGAATGCTCAAGCCCGGATGGCTCCGCGTTCAATAACTTCAACCAGTTTTTTGGGCGCCAGCTTGCAACCCCGCGCAAGGTCGCTGGCCCGGGCGACAACAAGACGCCCGTGTACCCGGCAGACAGCCACTGGGACAACTTCTTCGCTGTCGACAGCGGCTCCAACACATGGATACCCGCCGCAGACGGCGACCCAGAGTCCAAGGGCTTAATCACAGCCAAGGGCTGGACATGGAGCGTCGGCGCTCTCCTGCAGGACAGCCCCTACGCCAGCTCCTTCGCCGGCGGTGTCTGGGTCCATTCGTTCCTCAGCACCTTCAACTACCACCACTTCCGCTCGCCCGTCTCGGGCACCGTCATCGAATCCCGCGTCATCCAGAATGCCGCATACCTCGACGTCACCGCCACAAATGGCAAACTCGGCGCTCGACGCGGCATCAAGAAAGGTGTCAAGGCCGGCGATGCAGGCGTTCAAATCGTTGCCCAGGACCAGTCGGGTTATCAGTTCCTGCAGACACGTGGCCTCGTCATAATCGACACGAGCACTAGCACCGAGGGTGACATTGGGCTTGTGGCATGTACGTATCCCTCTATTCTTGGTTCCCTTGATTGGGTATCTATGGGCTGACACTCAACACAAATAGTGCTCCCTATGGGCATGGCTCAGGTGTCGTCCGTCATCCTGACTGTCAAACCGCAGCAGACCATTGAAAAGGGCGGAGAAATCGGCTTCTTCCAGTTTGGCGGGTCCGATATCGTGACTGTCTTCCAGGCCAAGGCAGGGTTTTCGAACACGGACCCTACCTTCTGGAATCAGGCGACATCGGTGGATGAGAAGGGAAACCCTCTGCCGTATACCTTTTACGGCACTTCACTCATCGCGAACCCGTCATCAAAGGCCAAGTAACAACTTGCCCCCAGCGCGTCTAGCCAATGTCCTAGAGGGCAGGCAGTTTTCCCTTTTGTAGCGTTCTTGAACGACTTGAACGACTTGAACGACTTGAACGACTTGAGCGACTTGAGCGACTTGAGCAACGTTGATTTATATAATGTTCCTATCTGAGTACCTAACGACTGCGAATATGAAACCTGTCTTTACCTGCAACTGAATTTAACATGAATCCAAGCTCTCACTCTGCATTGAAGTATTCTGTGAAAGTGAGGCGCCATTTTAGCACGTAGTCATGCTGCCGAGGGATGAAATGTGTGTTGGATCACTGGCTTAAAGTGCCACTACCACAGTGGAGCATGAGGTCCAAAAAACCGATGGTTCCAGAGTACATTTGAAGAGTAGCAAGGTGCCCGAGTGCCCCTGCTCCTGTCAGAAAGAAGGGTCTGGATTTCTAGGTGTGGCTATTCGAGCTGAAGTGTGGTCATGGAAGCTAAACTGACGAAATTAGTTCAGCTAACAAGGGCCACCATCTGCCACCCACGTTGCCACGATGCACAACTACAAGAAAAACTCTCTAGCTTCGCCAGGGAGTCACAGATCAGACAAGCAATATAATCGCGCAGTTGCAACCCTATCAGATTTACAGAATTTAGTGTGCCGTGTATCTAACAGCTTCGATTTACGGGCCCTGAAATTGGGGACTGTAGACGCACTTAATCTTGGCCCACTCAGTTATCCCAATTCTGGGGCTCAGTTCACGTGCCGAGTTTTAGGGTAAACAAAAGGTGGTAAATGCGAGCCCTGTCCTGGGGTCTTATGTACTGGTATATGCTAGGCTAGCGTATTTGAGGCTGGTATATCACGTACTAGTGTTATTCTACTTGTATAATTCTACGTGCTGGTATACTGTTTACCACGTGAAATCCACATACTAGTACATTGCGTACCATCCTCAAAATCGATCTGGGATGTTATATACCATCCTGTGCCGATGTGCTAGTCTACCCCGTGGGCGATATCTAGGCCACATGAGAAATTAGGATTATTACTGTGTTAAACATAGCTTTATCACCTAAAACTGAGTCTTAATAAGATCCTAGGTATATTTAGCGCACACCTTCTCGCCTATCGGCTTCTAGGTCCAGAGGCCTTCGTGTCGCTTGGCTTTTCCATTACGATGAAAACTTTGCAAAGGCTCCCCTTCTATCGAAGCCGCCCCCGCCCCCCAACATCCGAAGGACACCCCCCCTGGAGAGCATCCTCTCAATAGCCTCCTCAATAGCCTCAATAGATTGATGAAGGGGCCAGAATATGTCCATATGCTTATATTCTATATTCTAATCACAATTGCCGAGCGGGATAGATAGTGGCCCAGAACCAGGCCCGCAATCGTCACCAGCTGTAACCAACTAAAACTAAACCTTTATATCCTCCAGCTTTTTATGGACTGTAAAGCCGCCCATTCCTTCCGTGCAATTATTAAGCCCTGTGCGTTTTCTCGGCTCAGAAATCCACATGCATGCGCACCCGCCAAAGCATGTGACTAATCTTGACATTATTTGACATTCTGTAACCAATCTATCCGCACCCAATCTATGAACCTCTATACCGTTTCTATTAGGGGCTCTACGCATGGGCAACCGAGCTGTCCTTGGACAGCATCTCGATTCCACTGCCACGGCTTGACAGCATCTCCATGCCGCTGCCACGTTTGCCCGTCTGAGACACGCCGAGGTCGTCGACGTAGAAGATGAAAAAGATGGCCATGACAGTGGCCATGAGCACGGCATCAAACATGTAGAGGAAAATCTCGTGCGAGATGAGGAAGCCCCTGTTACCCTGGAGGTATTCAACCACGCGAAAGAGGCTTCGTACCATGATGACAGCGCTGACAACGTACAGGACGGTCAAATGGCGCTTCCAAGGGATGGGCGTCTGTCGGGCAGCATCGTCTTTGGCTTGGCGGAAGCGGAGGTGGAATGCGACGGTGGTGACTAGGAAGAAGCCGAACATGCAGATCTGCACGAACAAGCCGGCGATGATGATCTTCTCGCCAATGTCGTAAAGCTCCAGAGTGCCGGCCGCCTGAATTCCACCGCCGCCAGCCTGCAGGAAGAACGACAAAACATCGCCAATGACAAACATTTTCGTCATCCATCTGACGGGAATGATGGACAACGGCTCGGCGTGCAAGACCCGGATCAGCCGCCCGAGAATCATGTAGATGGATGCCGCGTAGAGAGCCGGCGCGACGAGAATGAGGATCGCTTGGATCACAAACGCGCCGATGGCTGCGTCGTCAAAGTGAGACCATATCCGACCACAGTAACCAACTGCTTGAACTGCAGACCGAGGAAGACACTATCGTCAGCAACTTGCACCTACCCCGACAACTGGGCAACTCGGGGATGGTAGGTACACACAGAAACCGCCGACGGTAAAGGCAGTAAAGTAAAATGAGCGGTGGCGGTAAATACGCCAAACATGGAGGAGCGAGAGAATGAAAAAGACGCCGACGGCAGCAATAGCAGCAGGCAGCGAGACTTTGTATCGGTATAGGGCGAAATCTAAGGATTCTGCTCCCGCGGCCTCGGCGCCGGGGGAGGCAATTGGGGCGGCCATCGGTGTCGGTAACCCGAGGCAAAAATTGGGGCTGCCGCAGTGTGGCTGGCCGATGCAGATTGCAGAGACTCCGGGGTGGCTAGAGACAGGGAGGAGGGCCAGCGACGGAAAGAAAAAAAGCGCTAGCAGAAAGAATTTAAAGGGAATGGAAACGGAACTTAGCTGATCGTTGGAAAGGAGAAAGGAGCATGCGAGAGATATACGTTTTGGTTAGCGCTGCCGAGCTTCTCGCTCGGAGTATGCCGAGAGTTGACGTTCAATGCCTTGCATGAAAACCTTGAATCATCCCGGCCAGATGAGAGTATCCGACAAATGCGTTGAGTGCTCGTATCTAAACGAGGTGGAGGCGGTGGCGTTGCGAAACAGGTGGGGCCGGGATCTGGATTTGCACAAGGACCGGGGATTTTACACTAGCCCACGTTCGCGTTTATTGGGTGGAGCCCTGAGGGCTCGTATCTCTCGTATATATCGCACCCTGTCCGAAAAACCCGAAGTCCCCCACTTCCTCCATTCCGCCTGCCCTGCCCATGGGAATCCATCTCGAATAACGTTACCAGCCTCTGCCATTGCCAACCCGAACGGACATGACCGGCACAAAACGCAAGGGACACCACAAGAGCCGCTTAGGTAAGACGCCTTTTTCCCCTTTTGCAATTGAGCGCACCTTGAACACGGAAGAAGAAGAAAGAAAGAAGGAAAAAGGCGTTTCTCCGTCCTTGACCCTTTGCTCCTCTACGCATTGATTAACAAGGTGTAGGTTGTAACAACTGCAAAGCTCGGAAAGTCAAGGTGCGAATTTTATATCGTGGCGCATTTTATATTGTGGTCTCATGCCCCAAGCCGTTTCCAAGGAGCAGGCTGCCGAAGCAGCCAGATCGAGATGCTGGTGTTTGGTGTTAGAGCAACCTATGTTCCGGGCGCCCGTCTGGCCATGAACCATTGCTCCGTCTCAACGATCCGACACAACTAGCAAAAGCCTTCGCCACTAACACGCCATGGTGTCCCCGACAGTGCGATGAGAACAAGCCATCATGTTCGAACTGCATCAGGCGTCAAGTCGACTGCGATTTTTCTCCAATCGGAACTCCGCAGCCGCGTGTGTCTCCTGGGGGCCTTAATATGACGGATTTAGAGCTGCTGCACCACTACTCCACCGCCACGTACCTGACCTTGGTAGAGAGTCCAGTATGGCACCCTCGTTATTCTACCCTACCCCCCCCCCCCCGCTGGACCTACGATCGAGAAAGCTAACCGCCCCATCTCGGTCTCAAACAGACCATGAGAGAGTTCTACAGGAAGACGGTCGTGCAGGTAGGGCTCAGCTGCGACTACATCATGAGGGCCATCCTGGCTGTGTCCAGTCTGCACCTCGCCCACCACCGTCCGGAACGGCGAGATCATTACCAGGCCGTGGCCATCGCCCACCACCAGGCCGCGTCGCAGGCCGCCATGCTGCTCATCTCGGATGCGACGCCCGAGAGCGCGCAGATGCTCTTTATGTTCTCGGTGCTGACAACCTACTATGGTGAGTGAGCCTTGAGAACAGACTGATTACCTCTTCCCATCCCTCCCCCCGTTCTCGCTTGGCTTTCCATGGCCCTCCAGCATAGCTCAAGCTCACTGGCAAATTCAGCTCTGGGGTGGCCGCGCAAATCTGGTGATACCCTCCTGCTTGCGGATTCGGGGTTCCCCGACTGGGTGTATCTGACCCGCGGGACAAAAGGCTTCATCGACCTGGCGGGCGTGCCGAACGACGGACCGCTGGCGCCCTTGTTCGCGCACTCCACCAACCGCTACATGCTGCGCGAGGGGCCGGAAGCGTCCGACTCGTCGGCGCACCCCGCGCTGACAGAACTTGGGGACGTCTTTGCGCGGCGGCCGCTGGAGGAGGGCCTGCGCCAGATCTACGTGACGGCGCTTCGGGAGCTGAAAAAGTCGTTTGGCCAGGCACAAGCATACGCAGGGCAGTACGAGATGACGGACGCCTTTACTTGGATCTTCCTAATGGCCGAAGACCTGCTGCCGCTGCTGCGGACGCCGACCCAGGAGGCCGTGGTCATCTTTGCCTTCTTCTGCGTGCTGCTCAAGAAACTCGACGGCCACTGGTGGATGCAGGGCTGGGGCCGGCACCTCATCGCCCACTCGTATGGGCTGCTGGACGAGGAGGGACGGCTGTTGATTCGCTGGGCGGTAGAGGAGATTGGTTGGGTGCCGCCGTCCGCGATGGAACGCTTGTGAGGCAGCGCAGGCTTCTTGGGTTTCTCGTCTGTGTACTCTCATCAGAACTGATTGGTTTCGTGTTGCTCGGTCACCCAAGGAAAGTAATGCTAGGAAGAAGAAGAAGAAGAAGAAGAAGAAGAAGAAGAAGAAGAAGAAGAAGAAGAAGAAGAAGAAGAAGAAGAAGAAGAAGAAGAAGAAGAAGAAGAAGAAGAAGAAGAAGAAGAAGAAGAAGAAGAAGAAGAAGAAGAAGAAAAAGAAGAAGAAAAAGAAGAAGAAAAAGAAGAAGAAAATTGACAATTTTAATAACTAATACATACATGGGAATTAAATGGCCACCGGGATGACGATGTGAACGACATGAAAAAAGGTGAAGCGCGGCCTCCTGTCAGGCCCGCATCCTAACTTGCGTACACCAGCTAGCTCAATTTCAAATTCTTGACTGACGAATGCTAATCTTTGAACCGCCCTTGACGGTAAAAGTTGTGCCGTTGACAACGGCACCATTCACCGTGAACTTGGACTGGCTCACGGGGACCAGCAATGGCAACGGGACTGATACTGTTCCCGTGGTGCCCGCGGGGCCGTCCACAGACATGGTCAGGAGATCCCCACAGAATCTCCAGCTGACCGCAACAGCGCCGCGAGGAGTGGGCACCTTGCCCTGGGCAGAGGTGAGGCCAATCGCCTGAGGGTCCACGGCCCACTCGGCCCAGCCCGGCTTGCTCGGCCGGGCGCCCAGCACGAATCGGCTCAGCGCGGCCGTTGGGCCCGCGCTCCACCCGTGGCACAGGCTCGTGGCCACACCGAGTGCCGGGCGGCCAGACTCGTCCAAGGTCTCCCAGAAGCAACCAGTGTAGTTGGCGTTTCGGGGATCCGCCATGGGCGCCCACAGCGAGTTGAGCAGCTCCCTGGCGGCGCGAGAGTTCTGCGAGCCGAAAGCCGCGCGGAGATGGTACGCCGACGCGTAGGGACTCATGTATCGCTGGAATCCGCGCCCGAGGACTCGGCGCGAAAAGGCTAGCGGGCCCTTAGGCCCGGCAAGCCCCGTCGAAAGGGTTGAGAGGATGGACTCGGACGAATGGGATGGGTCCACATTGACACCGGCAAGGATGGCGATGGCGTTGGAGTCCTGGCCAAAGCCGTCCCGGACCTTCTCGGAGTAGACGTACGCGCTCAGCTCGTCACTCCAGAGCTGCTTGTCAATGGCCGACCGCAGCGCAGCGAGACGGTCTTGGTAGACAGAGATGTCGACCCCGGCGTCGGCCAAGAGCCCGGATGTCTCTTGGAGCGAGTACGCGTAGAGGACGTTGAATTTGGTGACGACGCCAGACTGGGCAGGGTCGTAGTAGTTCCAGTCTCCGCCAAACGTGGCGTCGCTGAGGCTGAAGAGGCCGCTGGGCAGCAACTGCGAGTGCGACCAGTCGAGCATCCTGACCACCCTGGGCGCCCACGCCCGCGCGAAGGCAACATCGCCCGTGTGCATGTACACCTGCGAGACGGCGGTGAGCAGGTTCCAGGAGTAGCCGATCAGGCCTGTCAGGTTGACGTCCAGGGGAGCTGACAACGGCCCCTGTTGAATCTTGACCGTGGGCGTGAAGAAGCCTGGCGCGGCCTGGTATGATGCGAAAAGCTCGAGGGCGCCCTCGATGAACTCCAGCCCGTGGGTGCTGGCCAGGGCGGCAGAGCCTGCCACGTCCAGGTCTCCAGTGTATGCGATACGGTCTCGGCGCGAACCGTCAACAGACACGGCGAGAGGGTTGGTGCCTGCTAGGAAATCGCCGAGGCAGCTCTCGTCGGTTAAGGAGTGCTGGTAGGTTACAGCGCCCGCGGTGTCGGTTGCGACCAAGTCTCTGAAAACAGCCGTGTGGCCAAAGGAAGCGCCGATGCCGTAGGAACCGTAGAACTTTGAGAACTGCGCGAAGCTGAGCACCTGCTGGCCGTTGATGTGGACAGCAATGTCGGCCATAGCGGCCTGAACATGTACCGAATGCCATGTGCCAAGGGCGAGGGTCACGTTTGAAGGTACTGTCGCCCTGGTGAGCTCGGTGTTTTCGGTTGTCGATCCCACGTAGGCCGCGATTGTCCTCGCTCCCACGTCAACTGACAAGTAGATGCCCGAGTTGAGGGTGTCGGACAGCACGCTGAACCCGAAGCCGCCAGCGAGCGGCTTGACCTTGAAGTCGAGATTGTAGGCCGTGCTGGTGACAGCAACCAGGCCTGCGTTGGCCTGAGGAGCGAGACTGCTGATCAAGGCACCCTCGCCGGTGATCTCCCAGAACTGGGGGATCGAGTTTTTGGGGATCTCGCTCAGCTGAACGGTCCTGGCGCCGACCGTCCAGATGTCTGTGATGGAGCTGTCGGAGCTCCTGAATGATCCGGGGAGCTTGTCGAGGGGAGTCGTGTGGACCGTGGGGACGACGCCAACGTGCCGCAACGTCAGCTCGCCGGGCGACGACAAGTTTAGCTTCTGGTACCGAAAGCCTCCCTGGATGAGGCGGTTGATTACTTGGCCCGGGGTAGTGATGTTGTAACGGTTTACGCGGTAAGAGTCCATGGCGGCTGCGAGCGGGAGGGGACCATCGCCCTAGTGGCCGGGGCTCGGTTGGCAGTTCTCCTAGTCTAGTAGCGACGGGGGGGCAGAACGCACCATGTACAAACTCAAGGCGGCCTTGGTCTCGGAGTAGGTCATCTCGAAAACCGACGTGTCGCCCGTTGCGCTGACGGCCTCAAAGGCCGGGATGCCCTCTACCTCGGCCCCATAATCGAGAACGAGGATGCCGCCCACTGTTGTAGTTGACGACAGGACGATCGGTCCATCGTGCGCCGTGATAAATGGAGCGTCCGGTCGCAGCGGATGTGGGTGTGTCCGGGTAACGGCGGCACCTGCGATGGCCGCCAGGCCCAGGGAGATCGGCCTGATCATGACGTGTCCGAGTTGATGCCGTGATTGAAGCACGGATGCGATGGGGGGAAGAGTGGTTGCGGAAACGGCGCAGCTGAGGGCGAATGACTCGCGGCAATGTAGACAGACAACTGAGGTTGGGTTCGAGTCTGTTAAAATACATCAGTGTAGACTTCTGAATACGGGCCCCTCGGCATTCCCAGAACAAAGAGGACGGAGATTAAAGTCTTCCAAGCTAATCCGTGATCCAGGTCGTTACCGAGGCAGACTTCACATCGTGAGCAAGCGATGGGGCCAAGAGCTTCAGTCGTCGCACGGGACCGAGCTATACGACAGAACCGAGGGAGAATTGGAAATGCCTCTGTTCAGGGTTCTCCCTGCAGACACATTGGCCTGCACCCATCGGCATCAGCCGTCCCCCCCTGACGATGGCCCCATAGCAATCGCCATCAAGATGTGAGGCCAACGCACGCGGGGAGGGCTGAGCGAGCGGACAAGGGATAAAACTCCACAAGCGGGTATGTGTGCATTGCGGTGCAGTAGCGTGTGAGACTAGGGCGCTTTTAGAAGATTCAACCCGGAGAAAGATACGACAAAACGAGGCTAAGCGAAGCTTGAAAGCCTGACTCATCCATGATCGGAGCTAGGGTCATCCTTTGCAGAAAACCGGGCCCCGCTAGTCTCACACGCCCCGCACCCTAGTCTCACACGCCACCGCACCCTAGTCTCACGCGCCACCGCACCCTAGTCTCACGCGCCACCGCACCCTGGTCTCACGCGCCACCGCACCCTGGTCTCACACGCACCGCACCCCAAGTGTCAACGCTTAAAGTCGACGTTACCCCATTCTTGGTTTTTCTAAATTCTCGCCAGGTTGAGAGCATCGCTAACGCCCATCCTTCTCCTCCATTCACTCTCCGAAAACCAGGGCACCCGGAGCAGTGGCTGCAGGTTTATCGGCAGCCTCGGAAACATGGCTGCAGCCGAAAAGGCAGGCCACATGCATATTAACAGCCAAGTGGCGCTTGACCAGCCTCCACCCTACGAGCTGCATTCGAGCGGACAGTTTCTGTCTACCACAGCAGTGGTCGCGTGTAAGTCGCCCACCTTACCCACCTGGTGGCCGGAAGCAAGCTGCTAACCAGGGGCCAGTGGATGGCACCCTCAACGTCGAGCTCTCGTCGCCCAATGCCAGCGAGCTGCGCGCGCTATTACCTGCTGCCACCCCTACCCCGCCCGTGCGGCCAGACGCGCTGTCCGAACCCTACCTACACCTCAACATTGTGATTCACGTTGTGGGAAGTCGAGGTGAGCATACTCCGTACTACCCAGCGACTGGACTGTCATCAACTTCAATCCGTATGATGCCTCTAGACGCTCAGCTCTAATATCTACGTACGTAGGTGATGTACAACCATTCATCGCGTACGGTACCGCTCTGCAACGGCACGGTCACAGGGTGCGCCTTGCCACCCATGAATGTTTTTCCCAGTTTGTCCGGGACTCGGGTCTCGAGTTCTATTCGATCGGGGGCGATCCCGCGGAGCTCATGGCGGTAAGATGGGAGCAAACCCCTGATGGCGGCCGCGTGTTGTTCGCTAGCTGTTGGTGAACAGGTGCACGCCGCTGACTTTTCGCGCATGATATAGTACATGGTCAAGAACCCTGGTCTGATACCTTCGTTGGAGTCTCTCCGTGGCGGTGACATCGGCAGCAAGAGGCGCATGATCGACGAGATGCTACGGGGCTGTTGGGCCTCCTGCGTTGAACCCGACCCCGAGACCAAGCGTCCTTTCGTGGCCGATGCCATCATCGCAAACCCCCCAAGCTTCGCCCACGTTCATTGTGCGCAGGCTCTCGGAATACCTGCGCACATCATGTTCACCATGCCGTGGAATGCAACCCGAGCCTTTCCCCATCCGCTAGTCAAAATGAGCTCGACAGACATCGAACCCGGTACCGCAAACTGGCTTACCTACGGCCTGGTCGAGCTCATGACTTGGCAAGGGTGAGTCAGATCTTCCTCCGGCACGGCGGTCAAAAAGAATAGCTGGGCGATGGTTGCAGCAGAGCTGACGCCTGGAGCACACACAACACAGCCTTGGCGATGTAATCAACCGTTGGAGGAAGCAGCAGCTCGAGCTGGACAAGCTATCCGATTCTATGGGGCCCTCCATTACCACCTACCTGCGCATACCGCACACGTACTGCTGGTCCCCCGCTCTGGTTCCCAAACCGACGGACTGGGGCTCGGAGATTGGTAAGAGCAACTAACTCCTGCCAAACGTCGCCGTAATGCAATTACAAGGGACGAGCCGGGCGACTTCTCATGTCACTGAACAGGTTCAGTTCCGCTAACGACGTCAACAACAGATGTCTGCGGGTTCTTCATGCGCGACGAACCGAGCTGCACCCCTCCTCCTGACCTCGAGAGCTTCCTTACCCAGGGGCCGGCCCCCATCTATGTAGGTTTCGGCAGCATCGTGCTCGACGACCCGGCGCGTCTTTATAGGGTGATCATCGAGGCAGCCAAGCGGTGTCGAGTCAGGGCCATCGTCTCCCGCGGTTGGAGTAAGCTGGGGGGCGACGCTTGCAACACGGTCGACGTGTTTCACTTGGGAGACTGTCCTCATGGCAAGTACGCTCCCAGCAAGCAGTCCGTGGTGTTCAAATACTGACGGTGGCATACATCTAGAATGGCTGTTCAAGAGGGTTTCGGCAGTCGTACATCACGGAGGAGCTGGCACAACTGCATGTGGCCTTGTGAACGCGCGACCAACCCTGATCGTACCTTTTTTTGGCGAGTGAGTCCGCACGAACCTCTCTCTCTCGCCTCTCTTCCGTCTCCACCAGACAAACTGACTGGGCTCAAATACCAGCCAGCCCTTTTGGGGAAGCGTTGTCGCTGCAGCCGGAGCTGGTCCAAAGCCGATCCCGCAGAAGGAGCTCCAGGTCGACAACTTGGCCGACGCAATCAGGTACATCACAAGCGCAGCCGCATACGATGCCGCGAGCAGACTCGCAAGCCAGATGCGTCACGAGTCTGGAGTCGACGCCGCCGTCCACTCATTCTATTGGAACCTGCCTCTTGCGGCTCTTACTTGTGATCTCATCCCGGAGCAAGTGGCGCGGTGGTCCATGACGAAGCATGGGAGGACGGTCAAACTCTCTGACACGGCTGTAGCCGTGCTCATTGCTCAAAAGCGCATCCAGATTGGCCAGGTGAAGCCGTACGTCAACCCCTAAACTCCCCTAGTCACCGAGCCACACTGTTCACATGGAATTGGCAGCCTACGTACCCGAGAATACGACACTGACGTCCGCCGGTGGGATCCGCTGTCTGGCGGAGCCGCGTCAACCCTGGGCACTGTGACCGACTTTGGCCTGTCGCTAGGTGGACTATTCATCGACCCTTACAAGGCATACAAGCGAGCTGCGGCTGCTGGCGGCCATGGTTCCTCAGCTGCCGCCGCCGCACGTATAGCTGGTTCGAGTGCCGGGTCCATGACGGGAGTGCTGACCAAGGGCATGCTCGTCGATATGCCGCTCGCACTGGCCGAGGGCATGAAGAATGTTCCGAAGCTCTACGGCGAGGAGGTGCCGGATCACGGCAAGGTCACGGACTGGCAAAGCGGTGGGAAGGTCGCGGCTAAAGTAAGGTGAACTCCGTCGTCAGCCAATCGGCACATGTCCTGACTTGGGGTGGTAGACCTTCGGATCAGGCTTTTACCACGGCATCACCGGAGTGGCCATGCAGCCGTGGGAAGGGGCGAAGAAAGAAGGTTTCAAGGGCTTCCTCAAGGGAGCAGGCAAAGGCACGATTGGTTTAGTCACCAAACCTGGAGCAGGTCAGTATCTGTGTCCCTTTCCATCGGCTACCCTTTGTCAAGTCAGGTCTGATGCATATCTCGGCAGCACTGTTTGGGCTGGTTGGATACCCGGCGCTTGGGATCGCGAAGTCACTTACGGCTAGGAAGGGTGTGGAGAGAGCCATACTCGGCGCGAAAGGCGCGCAGGTTGACATTTGTGCATCGCATAGAGCCGGAGATCAGGATATTGCTCAAATCACGGCGCGATTTGAGAGCTTGTTTTCATAACGGGCTGTGCCCGGTTCGGGATCCTGGGCCGCCGTGCCGGTTACCCTCGGATGCAAGTGGGGATATGGCTGGGAACTGACCTGATTGACGGTCAATGAACTTGTAGATATAATAGCCCTAGAACTAGAACTCAGTGTATCAATTCTGTCGTTCGCGAATAGTAGACTTGACGCTGACAAATTTCTCCGCAGGAGTCCACTAAAGCAATAGCCGCTATGGCGATAATTGAGAAAGACGCTCATCTTATTAGACCAGATGACCTTCTTCTAATCCTCTAGAGTTCTTAGCCCTTGAGGCTCCTCAAAACAAAAAAGAACTAGGGCTTGAAGCCGTAGCCAAGCTCTATAACGTCGCATCTTCGACCCTCCGTGACCGACGCACTAGCAAGCCTGCACGACGCGATATTCTATCCAACTCACGCAGTTTAGCGGATCTGAAAAGAGAAGACGGTAGTTCAGTATATTATTGAGCTATATACACGCGCATTTACTCCTCGATTACGTATTGTAGAAGATATGGCCAATCAGCTACGACACGAACGTGAGGCGCCTCCTGTCAGCCAACGCTAAGCACACATCTTCGTCAAACGCCAACCAGAGCTCCGTACGCGTTATACACGTAGGTACATTTACCAGAGGGCTAAGTGCGAGGACCCGAGGTTATTAGCGACTGGTTTGCCCTCATACGGAACGTCAAAGCCAAGTACGGCATCGTGGATGCCGGCATCTACAACTTTGACGGGACTAGGTTCTTGATGGGCATCATTCGCAGGCATGGTAGCCACGACCTCTGATGGCCGTGGCAAGGCAAAGCTGGCTCAGCCTGGCAACAGCGAGTGGGCAACGGTGATACACGCAAAACCAGCGGTGTTTTCGTCTACCCTATAGATAATCTTCCCGTCACAAAGATTATTGAGACGACTCAAGGAGGCTGAAATGGCAGAACTTGGGAGCCGAAAACAGGGGGTCGAAAACGGGGCCTCCAAAAAGTGGAGAAAATGCAAAGGCACTCCCAATAAGCAGAATTTTATATTAACGTTTTTATAAGACAGTTCCTTGTCAGTGGCCTCCGTTTAGAATAGGCAGCAATTTTACCTTGGGGGCCCTTGTCCACAGCATGCACACGAGTCTCAGCACCGCGAAGGATTCAGCCTCTTCGTGCTGGCGAGCATGAATCGTGCATATTAGCGAAGCAGGAGGTTCTGACTGCTAACGCTAAGCGAAAGAGGGAACAAAAGCGAACGAAGCTGAGCAGTTCCTCCCCCAAGCGTATCTCGCCCAACTATTGCAGTCGTGTGCAAAAGTAAACCCCCCATATTGTGAGGGCCTGGTCCTCCAGGCCTCCCAGACGCTCTGACTAATCAGACGCCAGCCGGGTGGATCCACCCGACCAGCCAGAGGGATCCACCCAACTGACTAATGGAAGCTCGGCCAGAGCCCCACCTTGAGACGCCCTGGAAGAATCTCGCGAGGGGAGGCTTTTGAGCTTCTTTTCCCTTTTCCCTTTAGTTTAGAATCTTCGTCTATAGCGCCCAATAGAGGAGTTCCGCCCTCATTCCAAGCCGGCCGTGACAATAATAATAATAATAATAATAATAATAATAATAATAATAATAACTTAATTGCCTCTTACTCTATCTTTAAAAATATCTTTTCTTATATCCTCTAAAGTAGGTAATACTTTATTCAGACTTAAAAACCAATTTACTACGTTGCTTTTAAGTTGTCCTAAATCGTCCGCATAACTTTGAGTCTAGGTCTTAAGTTGTTGTTGATTGTGGTATAGTTGACGGTTTTCTTCTTCGATACGCTGTCTCATTATTATTTCTGTTTCTGTTCTGGTTCTTAACTCGTAAAGTTCGTAATAGAGTCTCTGATTCTCCTCTTTAAGGTTGTCGATCATGGTACGGAAGCTAAGTTCTGATGTAACTGACTAGTAGGATTCAGTTAGCCAACAAAACAGCAGCCCGAGCGATAGGATGAAAATAGTCGTGCTCTCGCCAAAATCCCCGAACGCCAGCACCGACGCAAACGCAAACGCCGCCACGAACGTCCCCAGACTAACCAGCGTGCGCTTGAAATTCCCCACCTGCAGCGCGCGCAGCTGCGCCGTCATCTCCCCTAGCAGCCGCGCCATCATATTAATCTCCCTCCTCTCCCTCTCCTCCCCCATCCCATTCCCACCCGGCCTCGCCGCCAACGGCCGTGCAAGCCCATAAGACAACGCCCTCATCAACACGTGTGCCCGCTCCGGCGGCACGTGGAACTAGTTGACGCACATAAGCACAAAATACGCGTCGCGCTGGAGCTGGCGCGAGACGCCGCGGCTGCGCGGCTGGCGCGTCCGCGCGCTGCACTGCCCGACTTGGTGCAGTTCGAACAGGGCGGACGCGAGCGCTGTGGGCGGGGACCCTAGCTAGACGGAGGTCGATGCCAGGGTGTTGCGGACGGCTCGCCAGAAGTGTCCGCCGTGGCTGGATTCGAAGGGAAGGCTGAGGAGGACGGTAAGGGGGAAGACCTGTTGCGATGGGGGGTGGTTATTAGCTGTGGTTGTTGTGGTGGAGGGTGGAGTGGGGGGGTTGGGAAACGTGCCCACGTTGCCACGATGCTGATGGCCGTTTGGGGCGGGTTGAGTTGCGCTCCGCCTATGCAGATACGCTCACATCCTGTTGTTCACCGGGCAGGTATGTGGTTAGCAAGGGAACGTGTTGGACGGCAAAACACCCTGGTGATTTGAACACAACTGTGTTTGGTGAGTGGTGAACTCACCCTCCGGCGTGATCCGAAATACGGTTCGAGCTGCGAGAAGTTGTTCGGCACTACGCTGCGATCCCACAGCCGGTCGATGGGTCCCGAGAACAGGTAGTCTTGGAGGGTCCTGTTGTCGACGCCGCCGACGGCGTAGTTGGGGATGGTCCAGATCCTTATGATCTCCTCCTTGCACTCGTCGCCGTCGTATGCTGCGGCGAGGCCACTGGCAACGCAGAGGACGCACAGCCGGGTGGTGAGTCTTGGGGGGCGCCGCCGTCGCTGCCGAGGGGCCATGGTTGTTGCTGGGGTTTGTTTTGGATCGCGATATTAGTGTGGTGATTTATCAGTGAAAACAATCACAGGACTTCCACAAGATTGAGATGGCAAGAAACCGACGTGAGAATAGTCCACAAGTCGTCAAATCCAGCGCAACTTCGAGAAACGTTTTGAAAATACCCTACTCTCCAACTACACAGAGCAAGCACGGACACAACACCCGTCTTGAAGGCTGGCCGCTGTCGGCACTCAGCTGCATCCCGGATTCCAGGGGTACGTCTGAGAGCCTTGTGGCGGCGTGTGGCGCCTGCAGTCTTATCATTCATTAGCTATCAATGCGGGCGCGGTTCAGCCTTACGGGCATATTTGCTGCTGCACGCAGCGATTATCGGGGGTTTCTGACTGGGCGACAATGACGAGAACGGAACATGGAGCCTAGTGACGGGATTCCGCCTCGGAGCGCTTAAGACAGAGTGGGTTGGCCAGGTTCAGACATCCCCGACCCTTCGCCTTGCGAGAGAGCCCAGCTATAAGCCATTTACCTGACACCGCCGGCCTGACTCTTGGTTCCTACAAAGAGGAAGTCGAGAAAATGTCCGAATTTCTCATGCAACTTACACTGGTCTGGTGCCTCAATCCCAACTTTCATAAGTTATCCTAATTGCTTACAAAAGGCAACTTCCAATTTAACAGAGTCATCCTTTCTCCAGCGGAGGAGCCTTCCCTTGGTGAGTCGAGACCCGGTCGGTACCTGTGGCATCTAATTATGATTTCCCCATGACCGAATGCATCCGATCATAGTCAGCACCGCCAAAACTCTCACTCACCCGCCTCCCTCCGCCTCACACGAGCCGGGATTTTACCTTTAGGTCTCGCCACGCCGAGGCCAAACCGCCAGGTATCACGCACGACCTGGTCCGTCAAGATGTCCATGTCGAATTTGGTCACGAGAATGGCAACGGTCGAAAGAATGACCGTCTTCGACAGGAAGCGGCCTGGACACATGGATGGGCCTCCTTTTTTGGGGGGGTTTTGCCGAGTTAATTAGCTGAAGACGACAAAGTAATTCGGAGACAGTACAGAAAGAGAACAGCAAAACTTAATTACCTCCATACGGTATCCAAGACCCATCCAGTCCATCCGTGGAAAACCAGGGTTTTTTCCTTGCCTCATCTTCTGCTCCTGCCGAGGCCATTTTATTTTTGGTAGCAGTAGTGCCAGACCTGATGATGGGCTTGCATTCGGGCCTTACGGGTCCGCTCGACGGATCGGCAGGGTCGACGATGAACCTGTCGGCCCAGAAGGTGTTTAGCGGGTACAGGCCGCCCTTTGTGTTCCAGACGGCCTCGTCCATGTGGGCGATGACGGTGTTGACGAGGGCGATCTTGGTGCGCGGCAGCCGCCACTTGCCCAGAGAGACGTCGCTGTGCGGGGAGCTGAACATGAGCAGCACCTCGACGTGCAGACGCAGAGTCTCGGCGTAGCAGGAGCACAGTAGGGGCAGCTTCCACAGCCGCTTAAAGTCGATGGTGGTTTCAGTTTCGGGGCTGTCGAGAGAGAAGTCGTGCTGCTCCTCCAGCTCGGAACGCACACGCTGCAGAAGCACAGGGTCACGGAAGATGTGACTCGCCATCATCATGGTGGCCGAGATGGAGTTGGACACGGACCCCCAGAGCATGCCCAGGTCGTGGGCCGAAAGACTCTCGCTGTCCATAAACCCGCCCGACTTGTTCCCTCTATCGCCACCAGACTTGGTTTTGATCAACATCTCGCGGTGCAGATGGCGGATGATCTCGGACCCCCAGAAGGGATCGGCATCACCACCACCGTCTGCCACGCTGCCGATGCTGTCCTCGCGGAACCACTGGCGGGAGTAGGCATACCAACGGCGTATCTGAGCCTGCAGTCGGGAGCGAACACGATATGGGCCCGGCACGAGGAAGGACGGCACCTTGCGCACCAGCCACGGCAACCCGTCGTCAAAGACCCACAGATCATCAACGAAACCCGGATTGAGCTGTAGCAGTGCCGGGCCGAATATGGTCTGGATCAAGGCAGTGCTGACGGCCTTGCCGAAGTAACTGAACATGTCGTCGAGCTGAGTCCACGCACCGCCGGGAATAATCTCGGCGGGGTCGTACAATAATTGCGCAGTTATCATATGCGTGAAGCGACGGGAGGCAGCGTCCAGGTTCGACCCCGTCCAGGCCTTGTGGTATGCTCGATGGAGCAGGTGGTCGATACGTTTCTCGGGCGCCACATTGCTTCCTGGCAGCGGCTTGGCCGACAGACCCGAGTCGTCATCGGCATAGGGCACAAGACCGGCCTTGGGCATGCCGAACAGATACCGCAGCCCAAAGTTGTACAGAGACATGGGGCTGGACAGGTCCTGGTGTCGCATGATGCGGGATATGGTCTCCCGCTCCTGGAAGATATAGAGATGACGACCCAGGAGCGTGATCTTGGACGACGTCAACCTTCCATGGTATAATCTGTAAATGTACCAATACCAGGCACGGCAGGGTTAGTCTCGATGCATGTAATTACTTGTCTGAGTGAGATGCCGATGAAAAATGAAAAGAAGAAACATACGTTGCTTGGCGTATGAACTTGCCTGTGTCGATGACAAAGGACGCGATGTTTCCCACATAAGGAATGAAGGCCGGATACGCGGGTGGAAGCTGCTCTCCCCCGGGTTCGGCTGCAGCCTCACGCCTGCGTGCACGGCGGTAGTGAATAGTGGACCAGGTATGGTGGATTAAGATGGCGGCGACGACGATGAAGACGGCGGCGATGTAGTACTGACGGGGCTCAACGACAAGAGACGAGAAAGCGGGACTGTTGACGGCCAGTGCCATGGTCACCATCAGACGTCACAGATCTGTTCCTGCGAGATGTCAAGGAAGATGGGGATGATCAGAGATTGTCGGCACAGCTGGACGGAAAGAGGAGGATGAGGCCACAACGACGTATGATCAGATCGGACGGGACTTGCATTAATACGGAATCTACCGTGAATCTGTCGGTCTCCTCTAGGCTGCCCAATTTCTCTCAACCGAATTGTCAACAGCCGTGCCTGGCACCACAGCACGGCTGCTGGCCAGGCCAGGCCAGGCCCGGCCATTAAATTCGCATGGGATTCGTCCACATCAAGTTGGTATCCGCAAAACAGGCGCAGGACGGGTGAGTCTTACTGTCCTGCCCTTTTCTCTTTATTCAGTCTTTGCCGCTGGTCGGCAGCGTCCACAACGCCAACCGCGAATATTTGATTTGTCTGAGCTCGACGTTCCGGTTACGGCATCCGCAACGACCACCAGATGAGGAAAGAAACATGGCCATCTCATGATGAGTAGACGGAACCTGGTGTTGACGAGTCGGTACTTGTGACGGCATATTGTCGAGTCGGTACTTGTGACGGCATATTGTCCACTTTGCCCCTGAGCAACATTGAAAGTTGTAGTTGAAGTTGACCAGGTTGGCAGACAAACGAATGCCGAAATTCGCAGGGCTTGATGGCTGCTTCGGATGCGGCGGGCAGGCGGCGCAGACTCTTTTTATTGACGCCGTTTGTAACCATTTTCAATGTTGGTTGTGCAGCAACAGGTACCGCGCCGCCAAAAACGCTATGGGTTCACTTTGCTTTGCCGCACACCCAATCGTCCCATCGGCCCTTTTCGAAATTACCGTTCTCGGTACCTTATTCATTGCTGGGTGGGTTGGGAAAATGGGGCGAAGATCTGGGGCAATTACACCCACACGGTACTGGTTCCAAGGCGGAGGCTCGGGCCAAAAAAAGGGTCGCCTTCCCCAGTGACTAAGATTTGGATTCGTTACGGTGCCAATCCCTTTACCAGGTGCCGTCCTTCACCCTACAGATCAGTCTAGCTTCGTCAAATACCCTATATAGCGCTAAAGACACCTCAGTTATCTGCTTGTACTGTGGAAGATTGGCTTGTTGACCAGGCAGCTGGCGATACCAGTCTAGCCCCTTTCAGACATGACGTTCTGGGCCTTGCACTGGGGTGGCACTAAGGAGGGTGACCTTTTTTTTTTACCCGAGGCTTCGTACTTCCCGTCCCTACCTAAGGTACAGAAGCAACCTTATCCGAGCCGTATAATTGGCCGCGGTCTGAGCGTTGCCAGCACTCATGCAACACGGCTGTTGGGGGGTTGGGGCCCGTTGACGTGCAGCGCAGCGGACTGGTGGTGGGTGGCCGTGCCACAGCTGTTGGGACGCGGGATGTAGGACAGACAGCCAGAGAAAGGGAAGGAGAGCGGATCATGTTTGCATTCACTGCAGTGCCGTTCTGATGACACCCTATGATACAAACCAACAAACGCCGAGGCACGGCAGGATAAAACTCTGCGGCGCAGTGGGGGGTGGGGGGCATTTTCATTCGTATTTACTCGCTCGTCGCACGAGATAAAAAGAAAGAAAAAGAAAAAAAGGAAAGAAGAAAACGCCACCCACTGGTCAACACTCAACAGGGACATGGAATGATAGGTAATTAGTCCCGAAGCCCCGCTCTTCTTGGGCTTTCCATCTCCGAGTCCATGTTCATGTCCATTACTATAATCTTGTCTTGGCTCAACCTGCCTCCTCACCTGCCTTGCTTGTCAAACCCCCACTTGGGGTCACCCACCCAGACAGGCTGTCATTCGGACCTGTCGCCCGCGCCCCAGTCCGTGCTCACTAAGGTTGTTCGTACTTGCAGAAGCACTTTACGGACTCGGAACCCGAGCTGCAGGCCAGCCAGCCAGGCATAGGCCCATCATCAGCCATGGCCTCCCTAATCCCCCCGGGGATGGACCTGTGCATGCTCCCGGCCGCCATAGCGCCACCAGGGGAGACGTACAACTTTGAAAACCCGGAGTCGCTGGCGGCGGCCACGGCGGCCCTCGACATCCTCTTGTTGATCCTGACCTATCTGTTTGCCGGCGCACGGCTATGGCAGAACCGGCACCGGTGGAGAATGTCCGACTGTGAGTTTGTTCATACGACATGGCATTTAATAAATTACCTACCTACCTTGGGTATCATGACTGACGAGGTGAACACGAACACAGACATGACAATGGTGTCCTTGGCCATCTACACGGGCCTCACGGGCATCTTCATGTCCCTGCATCAGTACAACCGCCACCAATGGGACGTGCCGCTCTGCTGGTTCAACGGCCACTACATGAAGACACTATACGCCGAGATCCTGCTGTTTGGCGCCACCCAGTTCTTCTCCAAGGCCGCCATCTTCCTGCTGTTCCGCGAGCTGTTTGGAATCTCGGTCACCATGCGCCGCGCCGTGTGGGTGGGCATAGCGGCCAGTTTTGTTGTTTACGTCTCCTTCATTCCCGTGGCGAGCTACTTCATGGCACCCAAGATGGGCCATACCTGGGACGCCCTCCCTTTCGAGATGGAGAGCGGCATCGCCCTGCAATCCTGGGGCATCGCTATCGGCGCTTCTACCGTCCTGCTAGACATTTATATCTTTTTCCTGCCGCTGCCCGTGCTGTCCCACCTGAATCTCACTCGCTCCAGGCGGATGAGGCTGATTGCCGTCTTTTGTACCGCCCTCTTGTGAGTAACTATATACCTACGATTCTCATATAAACAAACCTAGTATTGATTAGGAACATTGCTGACGCTATCATCTTGGGTATTAGTGGTGTTGCTGCTAGTGTCCTGGCACTGGTCTACCGGGTCAAGCTCTTCCTGAGCTCGGACGACAACACGTGGGGCCAGGCCCTCATTGCGATTTGCAAGTAAGTCAACATAAAACACATGTACACTCCCAGACATGACACGGTGGATGTTCTGATTGACATGATAAAAAAAACAGCCAGGTCGAGAACAGCGTCGCCATCATCGTGGGTTCAGGGCCGGCCTTTTCCGCCTTTCTGCGGGCGCACGTCATGGGTATTAGTGATGGGTCATGGTGGACCAAAGCTCGCTCGATGTTGCGCTCGACCTTTGGCGGCACCGCCAACTACAGCTCCAACAACAGCGGGGGCGGTGGTGGCACCAGCGACAAGAACGGCTTCTCCTTTGGCGACAACTACCAGACACAAGAAGACAGGAAGTCACAGATCAGCAGGCAGCAGCAGCAGGGCACCAACAACAGCAAGACACCAAGTTCCCGCACTAATAACACAACAGTGAAAGGCGGACGCTCGATGGGCATGCCATGGTCAAAGTCGCGCACACGCCGCCGCGACGACGACGACCACGAGCTCACCGACTCGCAGCTGCTCAAGTCCGAGGCCATCACGGCCTACGACCGCCTCGACGACAGCGACGTCCAGGTTGAAGTCACCTCGCCCCCCCCGGTCGTCGTGGTGCACCACCACCCGCAACACCCCGTTGGTGGTGGCATTGTCCGGACAGTCGACATCTTCCAGGAGCATGTGCGCGGCCAGCGGCAACCACCAGGTACACCCCCAGGCAAAGGAGCTCGAAAGTACGGTTCGACGGACCAGCTTGTGTGACAATGGTACTTTTTTTTTTTTCTTTCTCTCTAATTAGGTTCTTTCTCTCTAATTAGGTGGGTTCTTACCTAGGTAGTCATGTCATGTCATGTTACGATTTTTTTGATCATGTATTATTAGGTAAATCTAAGGCACTTACTTCCACTACTGGCATCTAATTAGGGCGCGTTTGGTTCTTCGTGTAAGGTCCAGTAAAGAGGGCCTTCAGGGTTAATTGGCTTCCTTACCGGGATCCATTTGGCGAAAGCTGGTAGGTTGAAGTCAGATTTTCCACCTACCGGACCCCCGGTAGGAAGATTGCTCCACACACCCAAATCAGCCAATAATAGCCCACGGTTCGCCCGGCAGTTATACTGGATTCAAAATCCCAGTTCATGCCGGTAAAGCCTACCGGAGGATATGAAGGGGGTCCGGTAGTGGTCTTCCTAAACCTAAAAAAGTGGGCTTTTTACCGATCCTTACACACAACCAAACGCCGCCTTAGCCAATCTAATTAGTATCTACATGCGGCATCTCTCTTCTCTTTTGACGATTTTCTGAGTGGCAAGTCGCTGAAGCAGCAAACAGTTGAAAGTCTATTTTAATTTCAAAATCCATATTATTGGTCTAGTAATTAGTTACAATGGCAGTCTGAAGTACCGTGTCATTTTACCCTTCGCGATACCGAAGGTACCTACTTGAAATCGAAGAAGGGTTAGGGTTACCCTATGTTCCTGATGACCGGCAGGGGAAGGGGTGCCATGACCCCCCCCTTTTCCTTTGTCTAATTATCCAATTAGTACTAGTCCCTCTTCCTTCCCGGGAACTCTAATTATAGTACCTTAATTCAACACCCTCCCTTTGATGTTGTGTAATCGAACCCGGATTCCTTGAGCCCCCGTCCCTTTGTTCACTCCGATCACTCTGCGCTTCTTCGAGTAACAATTCCTTTCCCTCTTCCCGGACGCTCCTTCGGAAGGATGATGGTCTATCGGAAGGGAAAAATTTTTTTTTTTGCCAATCACGAGACGGAAAACAGTCCGAAAGCGAAAAGTAAAACCCGCCGTTGTGGTTTCTGTTTCTAGGCAGCAAGGTATGACAGATGGTAGGGTGGGGTAGGAGTGCCTACCTATTAATTAATTAAATCGGTGGCCGGTGGTCCCTCGCAGGTTCTAATTAGAACACGGGAGGATTTCCTGTTTGGAAGGCAGGTGCATAGAGGCAACCGGATGGGATAGCGTTTTGGGTATGTGGGTGTGGGTGTGGGTTACGGTGCATCAAGTAAAGTGCTTCTACCATGGGATTGGCCTGGCACTGTTTTCCACACTTGCCTTGCCTTGCTCAATTAATGCCCTGGAGAAAAAGTGGCGGGAGGAGTCGGGCCGATCCTGGTACGATCAGTACTGCAGCGGAATACTGCAGTGGGAGGGCACAGGTAAGAAACAGCAAGCTGCTGTTGTAACTTGGATATTTGCTGAGAGGTTGGTTGGTTATCTGTCCAACTCAGATCTGTTTGTTTGCACGCTGCACTCTGGGCTTAATTAGCTGATCTGCGGGTGAGTGTGAATATTGCCAGTGTCAGCAAAAAGCAGGTACTGTGCGTTGGTCAGCAGTCTACAGCCGGTCTGCAGCATTTTAATATCTCTCTGTGTTGTACCACAAAGTTTCGGTGCGGGGTTCAGCCAGCGGTTTGTGGGTGCGTGCTAGACCAGACAACCAGTGGTGTAGTGCCGTGTGTGGTCGGGCGTGATTGTCCCCCGCTTCTCTCGTTACTGGAGGCTGCGTCAAGCTCGACCCCCCACATACACATACACACACACCCACACCCCCGTATGACCTCATCTTGGGTCTATTCCTCCCCGTCTCCGCTTCCCTTGCGGTCCGCGAATCCTGGTCCTGGCGCTGGAAAAGCAACTTAGCAAGACAACATGACAACGACTACTCGTCCTGGCAGTGGTAGCGTCCTCATTACAGGGGCCAACGGTGGCTTTGGGTGCGGTATCGTGTCCAAGATGGTGTCGACGCCCGAGCTGGCCGTCTACCACGGCATCTACACCACCCGTGATGGCTCGTCGGCCCCGGCCCTGAAGACGGCTCTAGCAAGTGCAACTGCGAAGTCGCATAGCCACGAGGTGCTGTCTCTTGACCTGTCGCGGCTTGCTTCCGTCAGGGAGGTAGCCGCGGGCATCAATGCTCGTGTGGCGTCGGGCAAGTTGCCCCCGATCCGTGCCCTCATCCTCAACGCCGCCTACAACGACCTCGGGCAGCAGGCCTTTACCGAGGATGGATTCGATATGGGCTTCGCGGCCACCTACCTTGGCCACTGGCTGTTGACTCTGCTGCTGCTGCAGAGCATGGACCGACAGCACGGCCGGGTTGTCGTGGTCGGTGGCAGCTCCTACGAGTGAGTGCCCGATAGTAATTACCTTACCTTGGTTCACATATCATGATGTACCTCGGTGTTAACAAATCACGCAGTGTCCACCACCCCATCCACAAGCTGGGAGGATACTACAAAGACAAGAAGTGGCAGACGCTCATCAACGGCGACAGCATCGACGCCGTCGCCGAGGGCACGTGGAGCAGCAACAACGACGACGCGCCGAGCAAGGCCGGGGTGCGGCGGTACGGGGCTGCCAAGATGTGCGCCGTCATGATGTTACTCGAGCTGCAGAAGCGTCTCGACGCCGACCCGGCCCTGTCCAGCCTGTCCGTCGTCGGCATCGACCCAGGCTCCATGGCCACGGGCATTGTGCGCCGCGGTGACTGGTTCACCCGCACCGTTCTCTTCCCCGTCGTCGTGCCTGCCCTGGCCCCCGTCATGGCCTGGTCTGGAAACCCCACTCCTACCTTCCGCAGCGTCTCCCGGTCCGCAGACGACTTGCTCTCTGCGGCCTTCGATTCAGACCCCGCCCGCCTCAGGGGCAGGTACTTGGACGGCTCCCAGCTCAAGGACGTAAGCCCCGAGGCTGCCGACGAGGCCAAGCGGGCCGTGGTGTGGAGGGACAGCGTCAAGTACACGCACCTGACTAGTGGGGATACGATGTTGGTCAACTGGGCATGAGTCGATACCCCCTTTTGTGGCTTGTTTACATGTTCAATATTTGAAATTATTATCTACCTTATCTATTACCTACCTGCTCGATGCCTAATGTGACGGTAGTATTCGACCACCAATAATTTTGTACTTGTAAGAAGGCAGGTAACTGGTTCCATTTCAGTCCAGGTCGGCGGGTTCTCTGTTTGGCCAAGCCTACCTACCCCTCTTTCCCCCAGTGCGCTACGTGAACGGTGTGGGTGGCGTGCCATTGCGGGGGATGTGTAAGTAGAAATGGGGGAACGGGAAGGAAATGGGAAAGGGGGGACCCCGAGGAACAGAAGGATCAATTTCGGGGCTCAAACGGTGTGGCGTGTATGTACTGTGTGATACGAGAAGAGAGAGAGGGAGAGAGAGGGAAAGAGAGAGAGAGTTGTTGGAATTGGCTTTTTTCAATATCCGCTTCAACTGCAACCCCATCCAGGGCGGAAATGGCGCAATAAACCCTCCACCCCTACCTGTATTTTCCAAATTTCTCAGTTTGTGCCTCTCCCGCTGCCAAGGTTCCCGTCGTCTGTGCCTCCCGCTCGCGCAGTAGCTCCCGCCCGCAGATTTGCAACCCTGCTAACTAATTCTGTACCTAGTCTAGTTGCTAGACAAACCTGAGCTGTTAGACGAGTTGCTCCCTGGCATGACCTTGCCGCAACCCTACATTCCACTTCCGACGGCTGGCTGGGTTGTTCCCGTATACAATGAGCCACGGGGGAAGATGGAAGCAAAACCATTGGCTGTCTGCCCTCTCTGCTTACACGCTGGGTGTCAGCGGCGGGTAGCATTCAGGGTTTGATAAAACAGCACAGCACACGAGAGGACATTTGCTTGCCCAGAGCCCGAGCTCCTACTTGCTCGACTATTTGCGTCAACCGAGGTGTGCACTGTGCAGTGTGCATATGTGGCTTCGAGTCATAACTGCATTGGGCCCCGCGACAAAACTTCCCGCAGACCTGTGCCGTCTCCTGCAACTGCCGTAGTCAAATATTTCAGCTGTGCCGCGAATCTTTCCAGGCCGTGTCTATGTTGTGCTACCCACCACCAGGCCGTGGGATGTAGATAACAGCAGGAAAATATGAAGGGATCCAGGCCAGACATAATTACGACCCAACCAGAGCAGGTGGGCCCAGTTCTAGACCCTCAATCTAATCAGCAGGCCACATATCAAAGATACTTGGGTCAAAGGAGACGGTACCTGGGTATTCTGGAGAGTGACAAACGGCATCGAGCTGGGTACTCGAACCTGCCACTGGCATGAATCTGAATTGCGTGGTCCTCTCAGGCAGTACGATGGGTGGCGCGGCCATGTGGTGAAAAAGGGGAATGATAGTCTGTTCCTCTCGATTGTAGTAATTAATAGGGAGTAGTTTGCCTGTTCTCCTCAAGGCCTACTTCGTATAGATAATACCTTTGTCTGCCAGGCCCGTGCAGTCCAGAGTACCTACTGTACTCGCATTCCCAGGAAACATCCCAGAGACGCAGCATCAGGATGCAAACAAACATGACCCTGTCCTCCGGGACTCGGGCCGTGGAGGGAAACCTGAACCTGGCCATCCAAGCGATCCTGCTACGGAGTCAGGAGCATCCAACACTGTTCCGCACCGCCGTGCTGCTGTCCACCGCCCTGATCATCTGGAGGCTGTGGAAGTTTACTCTATATCCGATTCTGCACCCGACTGAGCCAAAGGAACTGCCGTCGTGGATCCCTAGTAAGTTTTCAAGTTCTTTTTTGTTGATTTTTATAATTTACCTCTCTATGCATGTGTGTGGGTACTGACCTCAACCCTCAGTTCTAGGTTAGCGAAGTCCATGATAATACCCAAGATACCTAAATTCATAAAACGAGGACGAGCAACTAATGTGCAGTATTGTCAACAAAAAAGGCCATGGCTTTGCCTTTTTTCACAACTCGCAGGCCTTTCTGGCCAAGGCCACGTAAGAAGCTTCAACTGTTTTTTCCTCGTGGAGACGAGAAAGAAAGAATGCTCTGACATGAAAGCCGTGATGAATTTAGCAAGGCGATTGGCGGCAAAGACCCCTTCGCCGTGACCGTCTTCGGCTCGCACTTCTACATCATCACGCAGCCCAAGCAGACGATTGAAGTCTACAAGAATGTGGACTCGCTCTCGTTCGAGGAGTTCCTGATCGGGCTGATGAAATATCTCAACTTGACCGATCACACCCTGCAGGCCGTCTTCGAGACGCGGTTGCCGCGCGACAAGCCCGGCTTCCCCAACCCAGACGGCAAGGCGCTGGGCCACTTTGTGCGCGACATGCACCACCGTCAGCTGTACCCGGGCGCCAACCTCGATACCCTAGAGGCCGTCATGGTGCAGTGGTTCGACAGGTACCTGCACCTGGACGCCCTGCAGACTCTCTGCGCGCCATACAGCACCTCCTCCTCCTCCTCCTCCTCGCCTGCTACTACCGGCGAGGCTAATAAGGCTAGTATCGAGGTACCGCTAGTCAAGTGGTGCTCGGAGCTGTTCACGCGCGCGGGTGAACAGGGCTACTTTGGCGACTCACTGGCGGCGCTGGACCCGGACATGGCAACCACCTTCCTCGTGTACGATGAGCTCAGCTGGCAGGTCTTGTACCAGTACCCGCGTGTCTTTAGTCGTCAAATGCACGCAGCCATGGACCGCGTCCAGCAGACCTTTGTTCGCTACTTCCGCATCCCGCAGGCTGAACGCGAGGCCCAGGGCGGCGCCTGGTTCACGACGGCCATCGAGAACGAGTGCCGTTCCCTGGGCATCGAGGAGCAGGATATGGCGCGGTTTATGGTCATGGTGTACTGGGTGTAAGTCGTCCTTTTTTTTTTCTACCTCCCCCTATTCCCATATTCCACTAATACTCGTAATTCACTATCCTCGTATGTCGTATATCTCTCGTTTCATGTCCACCTCTTAACATAAAAGAACAGAGTAAGCACAAACACGCGTAAGGCCGCCTACTGGATTCTGTACTACCTGCTACACGACAAGCCAGACCTGATCGAGGCGATCCGACAGGAGACGGCGCCGGCGTTTGACAAGGACGGCAAGCTGGTCGACCTGGCGTACCTGCACGGGGGTCAGTGCCGGAATCTGGAGCAGGCGTGGCTTGAGACGCTGCGGCTGAGCGCCAACTCGGCGTCGGCGCGTGTGCTGACGCGCGACACCGTCGTGGGCGGCAAGCTGCTTCGCCGCGGCGGCCGCATCCTGATCCCGTACCGTCTGCTGCACTTTAACAAGGCAGTCTTTGGGCTCGGCGCCGGGAAGGACGCAGTAGCAGCCGCGGAGGGTCATGGTAATACCAGCAGCAGTGGTGATGATGGCCCGGATATCAATTCGTTTCGCCCCGAGCGCTTTGCCGGCAGGGAGTCGATCACGCGCGGGCCCAGCTGGCGCCCCTTTGGCGGTGGCAAGACCATGTGTCCGGGTCACTTTGTGGCTAAGCGCGAGACCATGATCTTTGTCGCCATGGTGCTGCAGCGCTTCCATGTGGAGCTGGTGGGCGATGGCGTGCTCCAGCCCGATCTGGGTAAGCCCGTCCTCGGCCTCGCTGACCGCAAGTCGGGCCAGGAGGTCACTCTTAGAATCACACCGAGGACTATGTAGGTAAGGTAGTTTTACCTTCCATGTTTGCCTGCTTTGCTGCTTATGTACGAAATTACAAGAACTAGAACTAGGTAGCTCTCAAATTTGTGCATGAGTGCTTTAGTCTTCGAAGGAGACGTAAAAGACACGTTGTCGTAATTAGTATCCAGAGCAGACAGTGTATCTAGAGCAGACAGTGGCTAAAAACAATGAAATATGTTGTCTTGCCCGTACTCTTTCATTGTTCCACAGTAATTATGGTCTGTAAGAATCGGTTGTTGTTTGTTTTCTTTTTTGCTCAGATCCTTGCATGACTGGTAGAAATCATCCCTGGCCAACAAATGACGACACGAATGGTGTCTGAAATTTGGCCAATGGATGCGCAACTTTCTGCATATACGGACGGCCAAGATTAATCCCGAGGCCACGGAGAAGAGCAAAAGACGCGGTCATTGTTGCGCCCTCACCTCGTGTGTTGTCAGGATGCGGATGCGGATGTGGATGCGGGTTCGGTGTCTATGCGTGCGTTCTGCGGCATGGCCAGTCTCCCGTTGGCTGATTTGCGCAAGGGTGGGCAATATTGCACTCAGCATTGCAGTAACATCAGCCCCCCAAAAGGGCCTAATATGCGCGGGCACGTGTGAAGCACGTTCGAGGTAACCCCAGCCTTTCTGGAAGGTCTTTCATCGACGAATAAGAGGGCCAATATTTCATGTATTAGTACGGCGCGGTCCGGGCCCCTCCTCGGATGAATTCCTCCAGTCCCCAGATGTGGTGGTGTGAGCCGACGGGTAGTGATAAATATCTCGTTTGCCTGCCCTCTTGCTTTCTCGATGTCAAAGGCCGGGGGTTCAACAGAACCAACATAATTACCAAGTCCGACGGCGAAGATGATGTCTTCCCCTTTGCTCCACCTGCTTATTGTGTGCTTTTGCGCCGTCCGAGTCCTAGCTCTCGCTGCAGCAGTGCCAGATGATCTCTCTGTGCAGTCAAGTGCGAGCTCTACCAAGGGCGCCCTTTGTGTAAGTTGGCTAGTTCCCTACCTACCTTACTTACCTCTCCAAAATATCCAACCGATATCGCGGTCACCGAAGGAAGGCTGACAAGAGAGCAGTGTACTGCCCTGGCTTTGGTCCTGGGCTCCAAAGTGTCGTTTCCCAAGACGGCTGGATACAATGCGTTTGTATCCAGCTACTGGTCAGCACAGGAACAAGCCATCAGGCCATCGTGCGTCCTTTCCGCAACCTCGGCCCAGGACGTGTCGACGACGATCCGGATCCTTGCCCCGCTGCTGTGCAAGTTCGCCGTCCGCAGTGGTGGTCATGCGGCTCTGGCCGGCATTGCCAACATCCCAGATGGCGTAACCATTGACCTCGGTAGCCTCAACCAAGTCAAGCTGTCGACCGACAAGCTCACCGTGGCCGTCGGACCTGGCCAGAACTGGGGCGGCGTCTACACGGCCCTCCAACCCCAGGGCGTGGCAGTCCCTGGCGGCCGCGCCTCTGGGGTCGGCGTAGGCGGTTCGACGTTGGGTGATGGATGGGGTTTCTTGGCCAACCAAGCCGGGTTTGGGTGTGACAACGTGGTCGAGTACGAGGTGGTGCTCGCCAGCGGCACCATCGTCACGGCTACCCAGACTTCTAACAAGGACCTGTGGAAAGCGCTCAAGGGTGGTGGCGGCAACTTTGGCATCGTGACCAAGTTCGTCTTCCGCACCTACGCGGTAAGCAGCCAGATCTGGGCCGGCGGCATCGTCCAGCTGGCTCAGACCCAAGACCTTCCCCAGCTGGCCACCGCTATCTACGACTTCACCGCCAACCCTCAGTACAAGCCCAAGGCCACCTTGCTTGTCGGCTACGGCTCGCACCCGGGCTTGGGCCTCATCCTTTTCATCCAGGTGGTCAACTTGGAGCCTGTGGATCGGCCCGCCGTGTTCAACGACTTCTATGCTCTCCCTGGCGTGCAGCTGTACAACACCACTTCGCTCACCACTCTCCCTGGATATGCGGCTCTGTTCAACTTAGACTCTCCATCTGGGCTTCAGTACGTTTTCTTTTTATTTCCACCTCGTCCGTTCGTGACCGACCGCCTACCTTAAGGCATGCTTGTCAAGATTATCTCGATCTGACGCTGGTTACCGTTACCCACAGGCAAATTACCTGGGACTTCACCTTCGTGAGCGACAAGGACACCATGCAGGAGCTATGGACGCTCACAGACGGCAGCCAGCTCCAGCTCTCAAACGTGACGGGGATCGACTGGTCTCTCGCTTTCCAGCCGATCGCGCGGGGCATGACGGCGGCCTCGGACACGGCCAGCGGCGGTAACAATGTTCTCGGCATCGGGCAAGCGCCGGCACAGGGGCTGCAGCTCGCCATCCTGTCGGCATCGTTCCCCAACGCGGCCGACTACACCAAGGTGAAGGCGGTTGCCGACAAGCTGCTCGCCGATGTCGTCGCCGCCGCCAAGCGACGCAACACGTACCGCCCCTGGGTCGACCTGAACCACGCCAACTGGAACCAGGACGTGTTTGCCAGCTACGGCGCAGCGAACCAGCAGTTCCTGCGCACGACGGCCAAGGCCTACGACCCCTTTGGCGTCTTTCAGAATTTGAAGCCGGGCGGCTTCAAGCTGTGGTGACTTTCGTGTACTAGGCGTAGGCGTGAAGTGGACAAACCCAGGTACATGAAAAAATGAAAATGATCACGGATGACGGGCGTGTGGAGAGGGCGCCGAGGATATAAGAACCTTTGTGCCCAGATTCATCGCGCATTACAGATAGACATCCATCAATTATGCTAGGCCCAGACCTAGCCCGGGGCACTAGTTAGCCCCTGTATATCCCCTATCCTCTCATCCTCCCAGCGACAAGAGCTATACTGAATCCCTGAATGTAGTAACTCTACCAAAATGTATCTGTCTGCGTAGAGATAAGACGAGAATTAGAGACGCAGATTCGCATGTTTAGATGATGTACCCGTCCATCGCCGTGGCCCACGAGTAGAAGGATTGGATCATGGCCCCGTCAGCCGTCAATAGCCCAAGACGCTCATATCCGTCTAAGCCTCCGCTCCCGTCCGGCAAGACCTTCTCCAGGCGACCCAATACCAACAGCAAGAGACATTCGGGGTTGAAGTGCTGCGAATGACCCAAATGCGCCACCAGGAGGCACACCACGTGGCCCGACATTAACCCGGCGTGTTGGAATAGCGATACTGGTGACCGCACACTAGCAGGGAGGAAGCAGAGATCGCGCGAGTACGCACGTGCAAGTAGGCACGTGCGGCGCGCGGACCTCTCTCACACACACACACACAAAAACCCCGGTCGCAAGCAGAACCTACCTTAGTTCCAGAGAGAGAAAAACATGAATCAGAACAACTTTACACCCCCCCCCCCCCCGGTAGTACTACCACTTTTTGACCCGTTGGAACACCTACGTGGTTGGAATACCACGAACACGGCGGCTGGCGGCGAATCAACAGTGCATCTACGCAGCGATCTTCCTTCCTTCTTTCCAAAGGCATAAGTGCCCTCTACGAGAGGCAAATCCGGACGAAACTTAAAGCCTCCCTGACCCTGTCTCTTGAAAGACCTCTTGGAAGACCGGGACAAGTACCCGCGGCGGAGCCACTGTACATTGACGTCTTCGGGATCATAGGACCGCCACCCGTCGACGTCGTACCCTGGGAGCGAGAATTCGGCATGAGCTGCTGGGCCCCGGATGCCAAGGAGGCCGTGTGATACCTCACCGTACGGGTTGCGGCCCGAACGCAGCGCGGATGCCCGTGTTACCTGCGCCGGAATCGGTATCTTGAGTAGCCTCGCAGGCCCTGCTCCCTGTATCGAAAGTCAACTATCCTGAAGTTGGGGACTTGGTCGAGTCCGATCTCGAACGCCTCGAGGTTTGGTAACTTCTGTAGGGCGTCGCGCAAAAGCGGCGCGTTCTCGATAGGCCGCTGCTCGCGCGCCAAACTCATGTACGTGTCGTACATCTTACGAAAAGCAGCGTACTCCTCCAAGTCAGAGGGCGATATGTCTATTCCATTGTCAATCAGAACGCTCCAGCCTACATCGCGATAATAGTTACCCTCGCCGCGTTGAATAAGCCCTTCTTTGAACTCGTCCCACGTCATGTTGTTATCAATCATATCTAGAAGGTAGATCAAAGACTTGACTAAGCTCGCAGCGGCCAGGTTGTTCATAATAGCTCTCAGAAAGTTGACATTTCTGGGCGTCTTGTAGATAATCAACTCGCGATACGCATAGCGCACTGCGATATCGTTAAAGGCCTTGGAGACCAGGCGCAGGTTCCGTATGTCACTGGGTCTGAGTTGCTCGCAGATTAAGTGGACGATATCAGGAAGCCGTATCTTGTCCATTGTGCCTCAGTGGTCGGTGCCTATGAGGTGTATGGCAGATGGGCCTTTGCTGCAGCGCTGATGGAGACTGCTAATCGATTACCATAGAGTGGCGGGGATGTACAACAAGAATTACTCAAAGTCTTGTTGCGCTTTTGGGGTGCGCTGGTATATGAATCTTGATACCCGAGAATTTATCTTCGAGGAATTCCTTAAGGCCGACCAGGCTAGCTGACTTACCAACCAAGAGGATAGTCGTCAGTTCGTCGTGGTCAGTTTCGGTCTGTTGGAGGAGACTGTCAGCCAAGCTGTACACTTCTTTATAAAAGTATTAACAGGCTTGATCAAAGTCCTTGCGAGAAATCTCGATCTCCTGACTGTCTCGGTCGGGGTCCGGAAAATAGGTCTCTAGAAAATTTTCCTTAAGGGTGAATGCCGTATTATCCCCTATATTCCGTTTAATATCGTTACAATCTCTTCGAAAGGTTTCCTTTTTTTTATCCGGTAGGCTGGAACCCGTTCTCTCACAAATGAGATTCATAAGCAACTAGGTAATTGTTAAAGTGTGGTTGGTTACTACAGCTACAGGGCCCTGAAGTCCAGGGCACTGTAGCGGTTGTACTGGTGCAGCTATGGCACTGTACAGTACTGAGGAAGCTGCACAGCACCACGGGACACTGCACAAGGAACTATACAGCGGCACAAACCAGTATGTTACGAATCCTTGGTGAAATGCGTAATAGTGGGGCACGCTCAGTTTTGTGTGGACCAATCAGGAGCGTCCCATGGAAGGAACCAATTAGGAGTGTCCCTAGGTCCCGAGGTTCGGGACCACTTAAGGTCGGGGACGCGGGACAGTGGGACCATTGTTATTGGTTACACAGTTAGATTATACGATGACTGTACCCACGGTCTTAGATAGTTCTTGCTTGGTTCTTCAAGCAAGCAATACACATTCACTGCACTCATACACCTTGAGTGGCATTCCAATTTGACTGTATTACCCGTGCGATAGGAGCTTGCCCTTTGTTCTATCTTCATAATTACCAACCCCAGCATCCTGTGGAGCCCGTGCTCCCTTACAGACAGACGACCCTAACAGTCGAGTGGTTTGTAATAGAATCGTCTCAGGCGAGACAGTCTCCAGGATCCTGAGACATCGACTACGCTCACCGTCATTATCCAGAGTTTCGAAAACCTCTTGTGGTGGAAACGCCGGGACGTGGTTACCGCACTTTCTTCCAAGCCCATAGTTTGACTCGTCGCATCGAATCCGTTATGCTCTATTTTGACAACGATTTCCACAGCCTTCGCTATCCCTGCATTTATATACCCCGTTAGTCAAAGGTGTCGTTGGCCGTGTTGCCCGCGGCGCGTTACTCTTTGACCTACCCCCAACAACCCCTAGATTATTATATCGACGCCCTTAACGCCTTTGATAACTGCCAGGTATGTGTGTCGGCGGACGTCTGTCTGCTAGTTATTTAATAATTGGGATCTGCGTGTCTGGTTGACGAGACAGCGGCCAGCTTCCGGTACAACCACCGCCATAGGCCGGCGGGCGAGCGACCGCGGGCGGTGCTGACGGGCCGTAGGGAGCGTATTACAGAGTTGGCGACAATCGCGGTGACGTTCTACTATATAGAGGACGCCGCACGAGGTTAATACGCGCGCGGCCAAGATAGAGACGAAGATAACCTCGTGAAGCTCACAATCTAGGTATGGTAGTATAGGAGAAGTCGCCCAAACTTGTTTTTGGAAACGATTGAGGTTTGTTATATAGGCTATAGGTACCGTTAGTAATAAACGAATAGGGGCGTCAGCCACCGTCTTACGTAACGAGAAAGTTCGTGGGCTGACCCCTACAAAAGGGATTTTATTATTGGTTTGCAGGAGATAAGCAGGCGGCAGCGCGACCAGACATAGCAAGAGCTCGGCCAAGGAACGGATGATTATCTGTTACGATCCTGGTTCAGGCGCGCAGGAGGCTGCACGGAGCTTCCCACTATTGGCTGACGCAAGGAAGTGGGGTAGTTCCCCGCTTCGCTCAAGTGCAGCCAATAACGGGGCGGTCAGTATGATCAGCATGGTCAGGGCGATCAGTGAGGGAACTGATCGCACTGAGCACACTGACCGCACTGAGCTCACTGATCACCTAGGACCAACGCTCTGATTGGTCCGCCTTAGATAGATATATACGACGACCGTAGCCACGGTCTCAGATAGTTCTTGCTTGGTTCTTCAAGCAAGCAATACACATTCACTGCACTCATACACTTTGAGTGGCATTCCAATTTGACTGTATTACCCGTGCGATAGGAGCTTGCCCTTTGTTCTATCTTCATAATTACCAACCCCAGCATTCTGTGGAGCCCATGCTCCCTTACAGACAGACGACCCTAACAGTCGAGTGGTTTGTAATATTATCCTATTTTCGACGCTCAAGTACGTTCAGCTATCCTCGTCCTCCCCTTCCTCGATAGTGCACTTCTATTATCTATTCTCTTTTACGAAGCGGGAGAAATTGGCGGAAGCGCTACTCGATGCTTAAATAAATAGAAGTCATCTCTATATCAATTGGAAATGTATTCATTATAGGAGGTATCCGCGAAAACTTAACAAATTATTCGCTGATTCTTGGTTATATCTTAAGGGAGATATACCCATAGCTTGGAGTCGTTTATACTGCGGACTATATAATCCAATAATTAGACGCCCATGGCTTGGAGTTATTTATACGCCTCGCCCCGCCACTTAAATCCTTATCGGGACGTATATACAGTGTGAGGGCCTGGTCCTCCAGGCCTCCCAGACGCTCTGACTAATCAGACGCCAGTTGGGTGGATCCACCCGACCAGCCAGAGCCCCACCTTGAGACGCCCTGGAAGAATCTCGCGAGGGGAGGCTTTTGAGCTTCTTTTCCCTTTTCCCTTTAGTTTAGAATCTTCGTCTATAGCGCCCAATAGAGGAGTTCCGCCCTCATTCCAAGCCGGCCGTGACATACAGTACATTAGCCCCGGCTGCTATACCGTACGCCAATATTCATTAGCGGAATTGTTCTCGGGGATTCGGGCGCACTATATTCCGCCTCTTATATTCTAGTTACCACGGAGCACTGGCGCTCGTGTCCACGTCTTGCTGTTCTACTCCGCTGTCGCGATAGCTTGCCTGTGTGACGGCGTTTAGCAACACCCACTACCGCTGCACCACACCTTCCAAAAGGATGCCAGAATTACAAGCCGTCAGGCTGCAATTCTATAGTGGGTTATAGTATGGTCACGCACCCGTAGGGCCTCAGCGCCTACCGCCGTGCCGTGACATCACCCCCCCTCGGCCCCGCGGGGCGCGTAGAGGTCTGACTACCCCGGAACCTCGAGCATGTGAGGACCCGTCCACCAAACTGGCCCTGAAGCAGCCAGAGCCGCCCAGAACCCACGGGCCTATCAGAAGCCTCCTCGAGGCCCCACCTACCCCACTGATAGATGCAAACTTATTCGCGAGCACGCGACGCGTTGTCGGACTTTTCCT